CCTTAACCTTACCCGGCAAAGTTTCGCAAGGAAAAACTACGGAATAATTCTTGGGTATTTTGCAATTTGTTCGGCACAGTTAAGTTTATCCTGCAATGATTACTTGATTAAAATGAAGTTTGGCGGGCATTATAACGTTTCCAACAACTTTGTGTTATTTTTCAACAACAAGATTCATCATTACAACGAATATCGATTCAACGACGACAATATTGAGATGTGTGCTTCTAATGATTCAGGGATCCAAGCTGTTTGGAGAGCTCAAAATTCGTGGAGAAAGTTCGAAAACTTTTCTAGATGCTCTTATATTGGAGTCAGCTGTTTTTTTTATGATGAAAATTATTGCGTTGTAAATAAGCAGTTTATACTTTATTCAGCATATAACGGTCAATATTTCACAAGAAATGAATATGGGGTGATAAACGGGATAGCTATCGTATGCGAAGAAAAGTTACGACCAGAATCAACAGAGTTTACCAAGGAAGATCTATCAAAATGCAACGATTCAATCATCAATATAAAATACGAATATGATCAATACAAAGTTTGGAATAACTTTTCAATACTCTATAAGAACAAGATGTATGATTATACTGAGTATCGAGTTCTGAATGATACCATAAAGATTTGTAACTCCACTGATGACTACGTACGAAATATTTGGAAAATGCGGAATTACTGGGTAAAGGGTGAAAGGTCTTTTCAAGGTTGTATAAATCCAAACGATTATAATAAGCTAAATAAGCATTATACTGTAAACAAACAGTTTCATGTTTACCTGGCATCATCTGGTCAATATCTAATGGAGAATCACTATGATATATATAAAGGTGAAATTTATGTTTGCGAGAAACTTTTGAGACCAGAATCATCAGAGTTTACCAAGGAAGATCTATTAACATGCAACGATTCAATCATCAATATAAAATACGATAATGAATACAAAGTTTGGTATGACTTTTCAATACTCTATAAGAACAAGGTGTATGATTATACTGAGTATCGAGTTCTGAATGATACCATAAAGATTTGTAACTCCACTCATGACTACGTACGGAATATTTGGAACACGCGTAATAACCGGGTGAAAAAAAACATGTATATTAAAAATTGCAAAAATCCCAGCGTAACTTGGATTATAGAATTATATTTTTATGTTGTGAACAAGCAGTTGCATGTCTATTGGGCACCAGCTGAACAATATTTCACAAGAAACGACTATAGAGTGATAAACGGTAGACCATATACATGCGAAGAAATGTTACGACCAAAATCAACAGAGTTTACCAAGGAAGGTCTATTAACATGCAACGGTTCAATCATCAATATACAATACGATGATGAATACAAAGTTTGGAATAACTTTTCAATACTCTATAAGAACAAGGTGTATGATTATACTGAGTATCGAGTTCTGAATGATACCATAAAGATTTGTAACTCCACTGATGACTACGTAAGGAATATTTGGAAAATGCGTAATAAATGGATAAAGTGGGAAAGGTCTTTTCAAAGTTGTAATGAATCCTTCGACTTGAATTATTGTGTGGTGAGCAAGCAGTTCCATGTTTACTGGGCAGCAGCCAGTCAACATTTTGAAAAGAGTGACTATGGGGTTAAACACGGTAAACCTCACGTATGCAAGGGAAAATTACGACCAGAATCAACAGAGTTTACCAAGGAAGGTCTATTAACATGCAACGATTCAATCACCAATATAAAATACGATGATGAATACAAAGTTTGGAATAACTTTTCAATACTCTATAAGAACAAGGAATATGATTATACTGAGTATCGAGTTCTGAATGATACCATAAAGATTTGTAACTCCACTGATGACTACGTACGGAATGTTTGGAAAATGCGTAATGAGTGGGTAAAGCACTTCATATATTTTGAAATTTGTTACAAATCCATTATCAGAAAGACTAAACGAGGGTATTTCCCTCTTATGAAACACATGAAGTTGCAGGAAATCACAAAGAAGCAAAAGGGAGGAAATTCTGTTCTAGCGAATGCATTTTGGCAAAATATCAGCAAGAGCAACAGTCCAGGGAAAATATCTGTGCTGGAAATGGAAAAGAAATTGAACGAATTGAAGCAAAAATATCCCATTCTAATGAGAGATGTAAAGTTGAGCAGAAGCCCTATGGCATATGGCGTACTGGAGGGTAAATTCATATCATGTGATAAAAAACTAATAGAACGTAATATATCAGATATTAGACTGTCTTTCCATAAATACCATTTGTGCCTTGGCGCTTTCAATTATTTGTTTATTATTGTTGTTGATAGTTTATGGTATGCTTCCAGAGTTGCGAACTCTTCCTGGTTTGAATTTGATGAGTTTAAGCTTCTCATTTCTCTTGGCATTGATTAATTACGTAGTGTATTTGTCACAGTATTTACGTGTTAATAAAGAATTGGATTTCCCATGTGCCAGGTTGGATATAACAAATAAGTTTATTACGTATAACATACTCATGAATGCTGTTGTTAATATCTATCACTTGAGAAAAACCTTTTACCGCAATGCTTTGGTGAAATCTGATGTAAACAAGTTGAAAACCTTCTTTAAGTACAGTCTCTTTGGCTGGGGTGTTCCTGTCGTTATAACTCTTGTCAACATTGTTTTTGTGAAGACTGAAGTCTTGAGGTTTCATCAGAATATAACCCAGAGATCAGTTTCTTGTATTAAGGATCATAATCTTCCTAACTGGCTGGTTGCTGATGAGAATTATGTTGTTCCAGTCTGTCTTTCGTTGTACATCATTGGAATGTTCATCTTCACCGCTTATCGAATTCGCAAAAATCTCAGAGCAAGCAACAACATTGTACAGAAATCAAACATTGTTAAGAATCGCAGAAGCTTTGTGATGTTATTTAAACTGTCAACCACCACAGCCATGAGCTCCTCTTGTATTTGAAGATTTTGTGTTTAATTCGGACGTAATGATAGCATTACTGACGGTAGCGTGGCTTACTGATGTTTATGTTGGAATTGCGTTTGTCTTCACTCGAAAAAATTACCAGCTGCTTAGGAAGAAATATTTTAGCAAGCCAGAAAGCAAGCATAAAAAATCGAAAATAATTCAACTTCAAAGAAATCTTTAAACGATAATTCCTGCAAGAAATCTTTTCATGCAATAATAATTGGAGGATAATATTTATAATATAAGTCAAGATTCCAGTTTAGTCATTGCTTGTTGCTACAACAAGGACGAGTGAGTGATGTGATAGAGTTTCTTTATATACCACAGCGATCATTAGGACTAGTTTGTATACATCAAACAAAAAAAAAGATAGATTTAGACTATTTCACATCTATTGCATGTCATGGAATGGAGATTTTATCAAAACATTGTTCTTAATTGCGCGTGATTTTCTCTTGGCCTTTTGGTAAAGAATTTACCCGTTCCTTTGTAAAATTTAAGCATTGTCGGTCTGCTGGCAAAGCAAGCTAATATATATAGTCGTAATAACGGGATATATAGGCTGAAGTAAAACAAGTGTGTATATTTAGAGCTATAATCTACAAAACAAGATTTGCATGTTAATATAAACGTAATGAGATGTTACAGAATATCAGGTTAAATGAAACATCCATGATTCTTCGTTTAGAACTGTTAATAAATATACTACAAGCGACCTTTCTAGTTTAAATAAACTATTTCACAATGCTGGTCACAACTCGCGTGGTTTATATATGCGTGTGACCACCTAACCTAACCCTTGTGGCATTGTAACTTTTGTCAATGATTATCTGATCATGAAACCACAGACCACATGGATGTTAGTTTACCATTTATTCATACCTAATATCACGTGTATGTAGCAAAAACAAGTACGTATAAAACAATTAAACTATGATGATATATCAAGCCTACTGTATATTGAACGAAAGTAATGCATGCAAAAAATGATTGTAAATCAGCAATACAAGCTATATCTTGTATGACTTCAGGCTTCGCATGGTTCGGTGATAAATGAACATAGCGTATTTGCTTGCATTTAGTATAGAAATATTTACTGTAAAATTGAACTGTGCTAGAATATGTCTGCATGAAGTAATTGTAGTTTTCTGTATTATTGTATATCGATTAAAATTGTAAACGAATGCATTCAAAAGGATTGTAGTATAAGCACAATAAAGTAAATTAAAAAAACACACAACCTTGTGTCGTTTCTATATTTTGTCTAAGTTCCGCGTCGAAGATCGGTAAGATAAGATACGTCTACACTGCACAGAAGCTAGGCTGAAATTCGCACTCGGAGGTTCCTTTCGTTTTTCCAAGTGGGAAGGAAAGTTGAAGAAGATTGTTCATATTTTCATAGCTATCTAAAGCGAACGCCCTTGTTCGCCATATTGACTGCACACTGCATGATGGTAGTGTTCAAGAAAAAACCATGGAATTGTGAGGAATTTTTGAAGGATTTTTTCAGGCAGAGCCAAGCGGATAAGAACTCAACGAATTCAGCAAATATTTTTTGTGCAACATCAACTAAAGTTAGTCGTAACAAACAATGGCTACCATTTGTCTATGACCTAGTGTAACTATGCTTCACGACTTCAGATCACCTGAAGTAAGAAGTACTTAAAAGAAGACATTGGAGTATATTCCCTTTCGTTGTGAAAAAAACTGTTTAATAATTTATCAAACAGTTCCTTGCCTATCTATGTTTTTTACTTAGTTTATTTTAAACCTCCTGTAGATAAACTTCATCGACATCACCATTTTAAAATGTATTTTTCTGTCTTGCCCAAGAGAGAAAGCATCGCAATGGTCGCTGGTTACATGCAGAGCTAGCGCTATAGAAGCTTAATTGGATGCGTTTATTCAATTACTCACGGTCACACACCGTCAAAACAAAAGCTTTGGAAAGAAATCAGTCGGACATCAGAGGAAAAAACGAATATGCACACTCCATCCGAATAAAGCCTTCTAGCACCAGCCTATTCTTCTTACTTTGTAAAAAAACTTTTAAAACAATCCTACCTTATGTGTTGAAACTCTTTGTGTTGAAATTTTGTCGTCAGGATTATCGGAAGCATCTCCTTCGTCTTTTGATGGCGAACATTTGACGCAGACCAAATCCTCCAGTACCGTGGAAAACTCCTCCAGTTTTACAAGTTCACAAATTTCAAGCAAAATCGGTTCCACAATGCTTTTGTGAGATTTCATTTTGCTAATAAGCCAGGTCTGAAGAGAAACACAACAGAGGAAGATATGAATTTTGTTCACGTGTATTTATCGGCGTGATTGTGGATTGAACAAGTGCGATGGACGAATTTAACCAATTTCCAAAATGAACGAAATATCTTACTCACCAACTTTGATGTTACAATTTTTGTATATGCTTTCCAGTTCTTTGTGTTGCTCGTATTTTCTGGCAACTCAAATGCAATTTGGTCCAGTTTTTGAGCACCCTAAACGTGTACAAATATATTTCGTAACCTCCTATCTTTAACTTTTCCTTTCTTAGTCTCTTTCTCTGATATTCCTTTCTCCTATGTTCCCTTCCTAACTCTTTCCATTCCTCCTAGCCGTATCCTTACCTCATTTCATAACCGCCCCCTTCTCAAGTGCTTCCCCTCCTTCCTTAATAGCTCCTTCCTAACTCCCCCCTTCCAGGTCTTTCACCCCTTCCTCTCCTACTTTCTCCTTCCCAACCTTCCCTCGACCCTCCATCACACTATTCTCTCTCGCATTTCGTCCCCCCTCCTTTGCTTTCACTCCCTTCTTTTTTCCTGCTTTCTCTCTTTCTCCCCCCCCCTCCTTTCCTTCACCCTCTCTCTCTTCAAACGTCCTCCCTATTCTGTCATTCCTTCACCTCCTTATCCCATCCTATCCCTTCCCTCTCCTTTCCAATCCCTCCTCTTCTCACCCCTGTTCAAACATCCCCAATTCCAAGTCAACTTACCTTCGCAATAAGATACTGTATGCAGTTAAAGATCAACGTAGCTTTCCCATCAGGAGGCAACGAATTGAAATCCTCTCTACCAAAGTAAGAAAACAAACTTTCGTGAGCGAAGTTAACGGGCCCAAAAACATCCGAAACAAACTTAAAACAGCGTTCAAACCTTCTTTGAAAGAAGAACACATAGCCTGAAGCGGCCTTTTCTTGTAGTTTCTTCAAAAACTGAACTTCTTTAGAAAACATCGACTGTATAAAAATACACATTTAAAACTGTTGAGCCCGGTGGTCATCTGGATATTTATATATGTGATACTCTTCCTTTGGCTGATGGGAACGAGTGAATATGTGTAATGAATGCCCTGTTTATACGTGCATTATCTGGACATTTATGACTTATCCACTTCTTTACATCTATCAAAAGAGGATAATCTCAAGTACAACTTACCAATCGCAGAGCTTTCCCTAATTTCATTCCAACTTTCTTTTTCGGTTTCTTCCGAAACTCCTGGTCTGAGGTTTGGACAATTTTATCCAAGGCATCTTTGCCGTCCATTGCAAGTTTCGTTCCAACTTCAACTGCATTGTCTACCTATACAGGAGATGTAGAATATAAACTAAACGAAGCGAATATTTATCTTAACTATAACGTACACTTTTAATCAAGCTAATACTACAGGAAAAATTGAAAAACGTGAACACAGAAATATACACAAACTATTTCTACCGGGAAAATCTGAATCGTGAATTGTCTTCCTATGGGAATGCAACAAGAATCTGCCGTTGTAATTTCGGCTGAGATAAATTCTACGATATCATACCTCTGGGACTAGAAATCTGGCCAAATCTTTTTGTTCTTCCAAAGTTAAAGAAGCTAAACTTTCAAGAAACAAGTCGCTACACTGTCTTAACTTGTCTTTGACCGCAAGTAATCTGGAATGAATGAAAACAAGAAACAAATGAATCAGTTTATAGTGGTTTCCTGTACGCCAATTATTCATGATTAAATAAGTACAAGAATATACTGTACAAAACGGCAAGTTTTTTACAAACCTCGATTTTAGACTTTTGATTATGTCGTGTCTTTCATCTCTGGTCATTTCATTCTTGTATTTTGTAAATATTTCGCAAAACAACGCAAACCTTGCCAGAGCTACGAATTGAAACGACACAGTCAATCCTAAACGCTTCTCTTAAATCTAATCAGGAAAATAACGAAAATTTCTTTAAGAGAACTTGCTACGATACCTAATGACAATTGCCGAGCGATCTGCTTGAAAACTCCGAGGAGATTTTTTGGATCACAGAGTCCATTACCGTGAGGGGATTCAAAATCTTTCTGCTTCATATTAATCAACACGTCATAAGCTTCATCAATCACGCCAAATATACAGTTCAGAAGCTTCGTTATTCCTGTATAAAGATTGCAGAAAACGTGTTAGAATTTCCCGCCAAATTCAACGTAAACTTCAAGGACTTTTCATGGCAAAAATAATCCTTTTTAAAGTACAAAATTAGGCAGGAAATCTCCTGGGGTTTTTTAAGCGGTGTGTTTGAAAAGCACCACAACACTGTTGTATTTAATCGTTATAAATAGCATTTTATTTCACTCACTTCTCTTCAGAGCAGTCGACTCTAAGAACTGTGTACAAACTTCATATAACTTCTTCATCCTCTTGTTTTGTTCCAACAAGGAGTGGATCTTTTCAACGGTGTCTTCGCAGACGTTTGGAGGCAAGGATCCAGCGTAGAAGAAATGAAGTGTAGCCTCAACTGCATCTGCTGGCCAATTTGATAAAGGAGGTGGACTCGTAGACCAGTCGACTGTCGGACAAGCGCAGAGAAGAACAACTTTGTGAGCATCAAACTAAATGCAACAATTGAGTTTGAGTTCAAGTATTCGTCTTTGAACTTAGCATCAAATGTGGTATAACAACTGCCTAAATAGACAAAACACTTCTCGATGTTTCGACCTGAGGGCCTTCGTCAGGAGAGTTAGTATATCATACTGTGGAGAGTGTTTTGTCTATTTAGGCAGTTGTTATACCACATTTGATGCTAATATAAGTTGTTTGAAGATGCTGTCACGCTGCTCCTTGGTTATATTGGAACTTATTCTTCATTGAATTTCCCAGGGTTGTCAAGAATTAATTAAAGTTGTTAGAAATACCCACTTAGGTTATCGCAGGAAACAGGGGAAGTAAACTCTAATAATCCATATTCAAAGAGGTTGATGTACGTTGGTCTAAAAGATATCTGTTACTTAATGTTTTAATTTGCAAATGTAATTGACAGAGTTTTATCTCAAGTCTTCAGGTGTTTTTATAGGTACGACTCACCTTTTGACCATTTTCGGCAGTGATTGTCAAATCTGAGAACAAACCATCCCGGAGTGCAGGAAGCAATGAATATGACCACAATGAAAGATGGGGATTGATTCTATCTTCTTGCAACTAAAAATACATCAAACACTACCTTTTGAAGTTGAAAAAAATAAACTCTACAATAAACTAAACACAGAGGGCTACAATCATGACCACTGTATTGAGTGAGTAATGTACTATAACACAATTCCCACAAGCCCAGAAAATAATTGGGGAGTAGGGGATACATGTCCTCCAGATCCATTCCCATTTCTTACACCCAAGACTACCCATGTTTTCGTGCATCCAAATACCTTCTCGCATTTGAGAACAAGCATTGGTGAAAATTGATAACGAATGGTCATGATGGTCTTGTCCGATGAAAGAGTCAGCTGCAATTAATAAATTAAGACGAAAATAAAAACTCTCTCCTATGAAGATGGTGAATCAGACAGACAGGAGGAGGAACTGGGAGGATATAGAAGGATATGGGAAGAACTGGGAGGATATAGGAGGAGATCTGGAAGCTTGTGCAACTCTGTCTAGGGGAAAAATTACCTGAATATGGAGAGTCTGTTTTGTACTTACAATAAATGGTGCTAGTTCACCAGTTTCTGAGCTGAGAAGGTTCAGTTTCAGAGCTTCACTATCCTGATCACAATCCTTGTACTGTAAGAAAATGATCAATGTTTATATCATTATAAATTCATTGGCTGAATTCATCCGTTGATAATAATAAAACTACATTGTAAAAATAAAAAATTACCCTGCAAAGTTGAGTACACTACCTTACAGTCTGGACAAGGAGCTAACTCATAACTATCGCACGTTAGAAATGGTAAAAAATCAGACGGTGTTTGATGTAGTTTCCATCTGATATCTCCAGCTTCATCGAATGTCAATTCAGAGCTTAAAAATAAAAAAGAGAAAGTCATCAACCTTGTGCATTGGACAATAGAAAAGTAATTGAATTTTAAAAAGGAACTGAATGTAGAATGAACAGATCGCCAAAATTATTCAGATGGTAGTGAATTGGTAGGGGGAAAGACTTGCCCAGCTTAAAGGGGGGGTGAATTCATCTGGGAAACATCACAAATACATGGCTGTTTTCTCTTGCCACACAATAAATACACTAGCACACATATCATGCATAATTTTTACATCTAGTGTTTGCTTATTTATATATAAATGTCATAGATTAATTTGTGACAGCCTCAAGGAGTCAAGATCAGTGACGTGATTATTGATAACAATAATGAAATTTGTTTTACAATTAAAACTATTTGCTTACCTGTTTAAGTTGCAATGATCAAAATTCGCTGGAGATTCGCATTGGATTACCTATAAAGTTAACAAATGCACGTTCAACATGAATTACATGATATCCGCCCAGGTACATAGACCCCAGCTAGAGTCAGTGAACACCACCACTGATCTACCACGTACTCGAAATATACAATCTTTGAACCACAGCCGCAAATGTTTTCGAATTAAATACGATAGCATTTACCTTCCACGAGCCGTAGACGTCGTTTTCAGATATTTCCAAACGATATTTTTCATTCCTTACTAGTTCCTCGCGAGAGAAACGAGATAAATAATACTTTCTACGTGCCGCCATCTTGGTTCTAAAGATTGAGTCTTCTGATTGGTTGGGCGTGTCCAGTGTCACAAATCTTCTGCTTCTACTTTACCCACAAATTCTTGGAATTTCCTAAGAAATATACCTCGTTCTTGAAGCACAAACGATTCTAGTTTCTTAAACCCTTCAAATAGCTTCTAGTGTATTAAAGGAACATGTATAGCCGTCGCATTAATACACACGTTTAAATATTTATAATTCACATACAAATATCTTGTGTTTCACAACAATGTGGATTTCTTCGTTTGCCTAGAACCTCATGGAGAGAAAGAATGGTTGAACATTACATGCGAAATCACTTCAATTGTGTAGAGGTTCTGGAGCCTATACCCGGTGAAATGTGTTGTAACTTGTACGAGGAATCCAAGCGTGCCTTTATTAGCTTTATGTGGAGCTCACTGGCCTTTATCGGATTTATGTTTACTCAAAGCATGCGCCTAGCAATGGACAACTTGTGTGAAAACGGTTGTAATTGTTCACCACTCAATTCAGCGATAGCTTGTAGTTAGAACGATTTTGGGTTGAAATATTCTTGACAAAGACAGCCAAAATAAAAGCATACTAATGGTAGTTTTAAGAATGGCTCGGGAGATGACAGATACTATTTGAGACATAAAAAGAAGGTTTTTCTCATCATGTCTGACAAAGAGCTTTTGTACCACAGACAATCATTAACGCCAGTAATCAACTTATATAATGAGTATTGAGTGCCTTCAGCTGGCTACTTGACAAATGCTTTTTCAAATACATATATAAGACTTCTAAGAGCACTTTGTTCGTGCCGTAAGGCATTTTAAAACCAGTTTTTAGAGCGCAAAAACCTGGTTAAGCGATTCAATAATGAGAAGGTCACGTGCGTTTTGACATTCCAACGCGAGCACGGAGTTGCGCAATGTAATTGCTCAGTTTTAAGGTCGGACCGAGTTTCATGTTCGTGAATTGCATGAGAGTACTTCGTGTTAACAACAGCAACGATTCACCATCAATTTCCTGTGAAAATATAGAATGAAAAGTGTTCTTGTGTTGTTTTACAAATAAACTACCCAAGGAACAAATAATAAAACGATAAAAACAACAAACAAACAAGGAAACAAAAAACAAACAAACAAACTAACAGAGAAAGCAGCCGTAAAAACGATGAACAAAGAAGAAGATAATCAATAAACACACAAATTATCCAAAAGACTAACAGGTAAACAAAAACAGGCAACAAACCAAGGAACAACAAACAAGCAAATAAACAAACAAACATACCTGATCCATAAAATATGTTGCATAGTTTTTACAGTCCGTTGACATTATATATTCCCCAACCTGATCGACATTCCATTTTCGTGGATTATCAGGATGATATAAACACTTGTCGCTAGAGCAACCAGGGAATGACGTATTAGTGGCAGCGTTTGCACACAACTTTCCGTGTGACTTGGCACAAGTCTTGGAACTAAATGACGCGCCTCCTTTTCGAGATGCAGCACTGTCCGTTGCGTGAACACGTGATTTCTTTGGAGGACTCGAAAAACCATTGAAGGAATGTAATTGTTTCTCTGAAAGAAAACATTAGGCAAATTGATTATATAATTCCAGTATAAATAAAGTTAGTTTAGTTTAGGTTTCCTCCTGTAGTAACACTGGATCAATAAGAGATGATCCTTACTGGACCTCTAGGAAGAACAGTTTAGAACTGATAGAGCTATCCAGTATAAATAAAGTTAGTTTAGTTTAGGTTTCCTCCTGTAGTAACACTGAATCAATAAGAGATGATCCTTACTGGACCTCTAGGAAGAATAAAAATAAATCGAAAAAAATAACTTTGCCATACCATTTGGTGAACGCAACTTCACTGACGGATGCTGACTACTCTGTACAGCATGAAGGACTCCTTTCATTAGTTCAGCTTTCGGTGACGTCACACAAGATGACGCCATCCCTGGTGTTGCGGTGACGTGATCACTGGCGAGATCCGATGATCGTCGTAAACGTTTTGGGCTGATTTCCTTTGCTCGTGGAGGCGCATAGGGTGGGTCGTTCTTATCATCTACCAAGAAGAAAAAAAATCAAGATTAATGGGGTGAGGATTAACAGATGAGATTCGAAGCGGGCTAAACGATGTTAGGATTAAAGGATAGGATTCGGATTTACGAGATTAGGATTAAAGGATGAGATTCGGATTAGAATTTATCAGGTTTAGATTAAAGGATAGAATTGAGAATTAAGTCCAAGGATTAAATTGGAACTGAAGCCGAGTTAATTTCTATAAGGCTTACCGTCATCATCATGTTCTCTTTTTTTTCCTTTTCTAATAAATTGTTCACCATCTTCATCATCAAACTCCTGAAGGAATCCTCCGTTCTCATCAAACTCGTATTGATTCATCTCACTCTCCAATTCCTTCTTCTTGTTTTTCTTCCCTTTCACGTACGTGAAGCGGACCTTCTTTTTCTTCCGTCGCCGATACATCCACGTTGAGCCACGTTTGTTGATCGGAACATCGTCGATGTCCGCGATCCCCTCGTTCTCAACATCGTCGCCGTTCCTCGGAATATCGGAGAGCATCGGAATCTCTTCGGAGCCCGTCGGCGAAATCTCGCAAGCTGTCGGAGTAACGTCGGTAATGTTCAGACTTATATCGGATTGAGCCGGCGTTCCATCGGAAATTTTCGGTGTGGTATCACTGTGTTTTGTTTCCAGATTGTTTTTATTAATTTTGACATTGTAGCCTCCCATTTGTGTGATCAGATGTTTAGTATCCCGTGATGCATCGCGTGGTTGGTATTTTTCGCGAGCCAGCATTCCAGAGCGGACAGCGGTTGTTACCGCACCCATTCCTCCCCCGACGTTGATACTAAACTTCTGTATCGTGTTCTGTGAGCCCATATTCGCGTTCCTGTCGTACTTTTCCGTGCCGATGTCCCTTCTTTTCGTGTCCCTATCAAATTTCTTCGCGCTTTGATAAGAGGCATACGTGCTCTGATTTGACATATCGTTGGATTGAATATTCGTGTTCTGATGTCGTGTCCCCGCGTTCTGGTGAGGCATCATCGTGATCTGGTTGGGCATACTCGTGTTCTGACTTAGCGCGACCGCGTGTTGATGTGAGCAATTCGTGCTCTGATAATCGCTCTCGTTTTTCACGGACGGATAAACGCGAGCAACTTGCGTTGTCTGTGAATGGCTAGCGTTTGCAAAACCACTTCTAGAAGCCATCTGTTTAGATGCACCATTGTCGTTACTTCTGACGACACTAAACATTCTATTCATCATTGCATTAGCGTCAGCACTTTGCCCCACCACGTGGTTCATCACGCATGCGCCTGAGGATGGAATGCTGGTCTTATTGGCCTGCGTTGCAACGAAGGTTCCTCGTTCTGTAACGCAAACATTTGGAGCAGCGGATTTGCCTTCCACAGGTCTCAGCCTGATCATCTGTACACCTTTTTGACTGGGAGTGCCTGATATGGCGCGGGCTGGAATTAAAGGTGGAGGACCAGCGCGGGTAAGCGGTATCGAGGCAGGTATAGGATGTTGATTAGCTGTCACTAATGTTGTGGTTTGGTTCGAGTTATTCAGATGATTTGAAGGAGCGCACATATCACCAGAGCATTGCGTCTGAGGTAAACCGACCATTCGACTTGAAAATGAACTGGCAACTTTCTCACTACTAGTGGTATGAGTGATGAATTTCGACTGAGCAAGATGGAAGGATGGTGACCCCGTCTCGGATGGTACTGACATGGTGGTAGCTGGTATGGCCGTCGAACTTGCTGGTAAAGGAAGTTTATTTGCAGGTGGTACGTAGATTCCAACCTTAGGCTGGTTACGCTCTGGTATTGGCCCTGCTGGGATAATCTGGTAGAGAAAGAGCAAGGAAAAGCTGTTAGGTAAATACTAACTAATAATTTTATAGATCTAGACTATTTCAAAAAAGAAAGCTTACTGGTCGTGCGGACTTCTTGGAAGGCACACTCAGTGATCGTATTCCACGATAAGAGCCTCTTCCGTTGCCTGTAGTTGCGCCATCGTTTTCTGTGGCCACGGTTGTGATAGGTAGTGGAGGGGGGCCGTAAGGCGATGGGAGTAGGCGGGGTTTTCCATAGGTGGGACTCTGAGAAGATGACACTGATGTGGGGAGGGAGCCCGCTGTAGGAAGTGGGGGTGTCGAGTGATGGGCGAGATTATTTGATGTGTTAGGTGTTGATGAATGAGGCGTAGAAGGGTGGTGGGTTGTGTGTTGTGGGGGGACTGATGGGTATGGGGTGGGGTGGTGGGAGGAGGGGGGAGGTGTGGTTTGAGTGACCATTGACACAGATGACGTAGCAGCTTTGGAGTGAAACATAGAGCGATCATGTAATATCCCCTGATCTGAAATATCAAAATATTCCTCAGGTAAATCTGTGGTTTTCGTAGACTACAGAATACCTGGCAATTCAGCAGAAGGAACAGATCCTTATCGTCGCACGCAAGTACCAACAATACTTACTCGCTTGGACTTGATGCAAGATCTTTGTCGCCGTGTTTCTCAAATGATCAGCAATTGCAGTGACAGGTAAACTGAGATTAGGTAATGGCACGTGATTGCCTTTATGAAACACCGATGTCACGATGCCAGCGGCTGCTCTCTGAGCTGCTGCCTCATTAGCTACTGCCTTGGACCTGCGCCCGCGCTTTTTTTTCTCATAGCCCAGGTGTTTTGTCTCAAAATATTCTCGAGCTCGCTTTGCTTTCATTCCTTTAGGACCCTGAAGGTTGCCATACTCTGAAAAAAATTAATCCAGTAAGGATCATCTCTTATTGATCCGATGTTACTACAGGAGGAAACCTAAACTAAACTAACTTTATTTATATTGGATAGCTTTATCAGTTCTTAACTGTTCTTCCTAGAGGTCCAGGAAAGATAAAGACTATACTAGATTAAGAATCAAACTCACGGTCAGCTTTGCATTCATCAGGACACGGACTTGCAACTGGTGTAAGACTCAAGAAATACTCGCAGCAAACCAGGCGACGACAGAAACGCTTCAAATATCGTTCCAACTTCGGACGGGAGTCAACCCTTGAAATTGCCTACAAAAGCAAAACATAAATCACATTCACCTGTTCAATAATAATTTATAATATACACCCCGGAATCTGTTCATATGACGTCTCTGGGTTACCTTTTTGAACGTTTTCCCGTTGTGTTTGATGGTGAGGCGTACTCCGCTACCCTCTTGCATCATTTCTAAGACTCTCTCTGGATCCTTCGCACATTTCGCGACCATCTCCAAGCCAATCCTGATGACGCTGCTCACTTTCCCAGGATCCGTTGCATCAGGAAGAAGTTTGACTTCTTCAGGATTCAGCAGAGGTCCGCAACAGCATGTCTTGTTGAAGTAGATCTGATTCTTGTTGTGGTAAAACCGCTCCGGGCCTGAACGAAATCACCTCATGTTGACGCAATATTACTTGGGTTTTTCTTTCATTTAATGTAGAAAGGATTGTGTTTGACAAAGTGAGTTAGAAACTTATAAATAGAAACTGAAAAATATTTGATAGAACCGAAAGATTTAGGCCTGTTTCAGACGTCGAGCTTTTCATGTGCCCAACCTAAAGTGTTTCTGAAGTCAGTGAAAGGACATATGTCACTTCAGTTATACATATATAGCTCTCTCACCAGTACCACTTCCATCTTCGTCACTCAAATCTTCGTCATCATCTGAGGGGGATAACGTGGGACATTTCTCCTTGTCCTCACTGTTATCATCCACTTCCTCAACTGGACTGTTAACAAAGTTAAATAACATTGATTGTGGGTTACGATGTTAGAAGTATCATTAAATGTCACTTTGCATTAAACATACCTTGTTACAGACATATCTTGAACTGAGTAATCAGGCCCTAAAATGATACATAAGCGCAAGTCAGTACTAATTACATTACTAATTGCATTACTAATTACAATACTAATTATACATTATAACTAGTTACATTTATGCCACAAATAATGACGAGAAAATCGATTAAGATAATCGCTGTTCATTTTATTACCTGGTGAAGGTGTTTGCGGGTATGGCTGGTCAGGCATGGACGACGAAGCGGCCAACATACTTGGAGCAGTTTCAGGAATGCAATGCGTTTCATTGGAAGGCGATGCAATGCTGTGAGCTGCTGTATGATGGGGAGTTGCAGAGACGTGTGTTGAAAGGTTGGGATGGGTTACAAGGCTATTGGGTGCTGTTTGGTTGTGTTTTCCGTGGGTATGATGTGTTGCCAGGTGATGCGTCGGGGTCGTATGGGGTGTCGACGGGTGAACTGAGGCTTCCCGTGTTGTACCGCGGGCGTTGTTTGAGAGGTGGCCGTGTGTTACGAGATTCGAAACGATGTTTGTTGCAGGAGGGTTGTTATGAGATGTTGCAGCCTCAGTCTGTGTTTCAATGTTGGGATGTGTTGCAAGATTAGCCGAAGGTTGCTTCCGTCCGATCACATCTGTAAACGAAATCAACTTCAACCGTTTCGGACAAGATTCCAACCTAGAAATACCAACGCAAGATATAAGATTTCGAGAATTCTTCAGAGATATATCTAGGAATATAGACGAGATTTACAAGATTTCGAGAATCTTTCTACGCGAGAAATTATATTCCCAGAATTTTTACAGAAAATCTAGATATATCAAGACGGGAAACCAGATTCCGAGAATTATTTCCAAGAAAAAAGATATTCTGGGAAACGTTGAAGTGATAAAATTTAGATTGAAATACGTACCCTTCGTATTTAACAACCGTCTTGAAAGGCACTAGAGAAATCAATAAGAGATATTGGTAAAAACAAAGACGAACTACCCAAGTCGACCAGTCTGACTTCAGGGCATGTTAATACACAATGTTTCGATTAACACAAATGTTGTGTTATGCCTTGTATTAAACATTTCATTTAACATGCGCTGAGATCTACTTTCGTTGCAAAGTGTAAATAAGGGATATTCTGCATCTTCAAGTTGAAACTCTACCCATTCTAATAAAGTCACTAAATCCGTTGTTAAAGCCTAATCCGCTTTAAAATCCTAATCGGCTCTTAAATCAAATCCTGAATCCGTTGGATCCGGGCAACGCTACCGACTTCCATGCGAAACCTCGGTTAACATTTCTGAACCAAAAAATTGCAGAAACAAAGCACTCACTTTTTCCGTATGGCGTGTGCAGTGGATGACCTGTCCTCTTGCACCAACCAAAGCCGTGAATATCTGGACTGTCGCACAGGACAAACTGGAATCGTGTCTGACTCCCGTCAAAAAACAGTTGGAGAACACGACCCATCACGTTTGTGATTGTCGCTACACGAATGAGATGCGGATGTTCCAAGTCGACGGCTTCCAGTTTTTGTCCTGCTCTGAATTTGTGAGACTTTGATTTCTAAAAGTCAGCAATCAAGGAATAAGATGAAGTATTCAACACAGAGAGAGTTATAGGCTATACTTCACGGGCGGGGGGTAGTGATGTTTTCAACTGTTAAAAGAAAAGAAACAATTGAGCCTACAATTAATCAAAAACAACTATCCTTCAGAACATTCCAGCTCTTGCACAACTGAGCCTTATTCACTTAATATTATCGATGTTATGATCAAAAGCTCTTACCTTGAACAGATGTTGAGGTGCACAGCTGGCCCGTTGAGCTGTTATATATTTTTCCCACGAAAATGATTTTCTTGTATATCCTAGAAAACGAGAGTGAGTCCAGTTAAGTTAAGACAATAGAGATCCTAAGGCCACCAATTTTCTTATATGGTAATTTTTCAAACTTTTTTTTAAAAATACATTCACGCGAAATCAAACCCTCCTCTCCAAAAAAATCTACAACCCCCCTACAAAAAAATCAATAACCCCCCTACAAAAAAATCAACAAGCCCCCCTACAAAAAAATCAACAACCCCCCCCGACCTACCAGAGGGTACCGTGAATTCAATGCCGTTTTTGTAGCTCCAGCCAACCGGGAAAATGTTACTGGAATCACTATGGCAACACATCGTGACACTGGGTAAACCATCCAGTTTGTCTGTCGCCACAAGAAAGTAGTAAGGACCAAGGCTTTTGACAACAGTCGCCGCACAGAAAATGTACGGTTTCGAAGGATGAATGACTTCGAGCTTCATGCCGTTTTCAAATGCATGAACTTTTGGTTGATAATGCTCCTACAAATAAAAATAATAAAGATATAAAAAATATATAAAAAATAAAGATATTTTTATCAAGTCCTCAAATGCTTATGTGAAACACTTTCCTAACAAAACTTTGTAGTCCTTTCTATGATGCTCGCTATAGTTTAGCTGCATTAATGGAGTTTACTCTCTCAGACAAGATACAGAGAACTGGCAAATGCTACCAATATTCTCGAGAATGTTGGTGTTGTCACAGTCCAGACAGAGTTTGACAATAGATCAATATGCAGTCAAAGTTTAGCATTGTTACCGATGGAAATAAGTGCTTCGGAGCGGCCAACGCTCCAGTTAGTGTTTGCGTCAAAAAATTTCTCCATTCCTCCAAGGTACAATTAATACCTAAAACACAAAGTATACGAGTTGGGATGTTTCAAAAGCACTTGAGGCGAATGAATGATTGAACACTTTCCAAGCAAACGAACGAGAATGTAGATATATCATCATGCATCGATCTATACCACCAACAGACTATTTGCATTTTTGACAAATCTTTGATGTAGGCAAGAAAATGTCAACAAATCACCAAAGCTTCAAATAGCGGCTTACTTCGATTGCGAAATGTTGTAAATAGTGTTTTTGTGTACTTTTGTTATCAAGTGTGAAAAGTGGTATTTCTTTTCGGCTAAATCAAATGCCTCAGCAATCTCCGTTTGCTACAGAATATATTAACTTTGCGAAGCGATATTTTCCTCACTTTAGATCATTTTCACTAAAACTTTGCGATTTTACTAATTTTGGTATGCTCTATTCGGGAATAAACTTTATTCTGCTGAGATAATAAGCATATAGCATAAACCAGCGATTGTCAGGCGTTCAGGAGAGCGAATCACAACCGTCTTATTCTTCCCTGAAGTGTTTTTTAACCTAGGTATAAACTTACCAACGGGCGGTTGTAAAGGAAAGGCATTTTGCGCACACCATCCAATAGGATACAGCTCTTCCGCTTGAAAATTACACCAAAAATCGTTGGAGGAGTCGCGCCCGTAACCATCATAACGAATTCGCACTCGATGACCCAGGACTTCAACAACAGTGGCAACACAGAAGGATTGTGGGTTGTTTTTGTCAATCGCTTCTAGTTTCATACCGGGATCCAGACCAGGCACTTCGAATGTGTACTTCAAATTGAACATTAGAGAATATCAGTTTGGAGAAAGGGGAACGGGGGAGGGGGGCACACCCACTGCAGGGCTGGGCCAGGGCTTGACAGGATTGTTTTGGGCTCAAGGGGCAGATGTTGGGGCCAGGGGGTAGACAGAGGTGAGGGTGGGGGGGTGGGGGGTTGTAATAGGTTGGGGCTTGTAATAGGTGGGGGGTTGATAGGAATGGGGGAGAGAATTGGCAAGGTTTTGGAGATGGGCAGATGTGGGGGGTTGACACAGGTTGGGGATTGAAACAGGTGGGGTTGTAATAGGTGGGGGTTTGACAGGGGTTGAGATGGATTGACAGGGGAAAGCTAGGGCTACGTATTCAAGTTTTGGAGGGGGCATAGTGAAGGTACTCAACATTCCAAAAAACCTTAAGTTAGACCTCCCCATTGTTAGTTTACTCACACTTTTAGTTGAGAAATTATAATCTGGAGCCATTTTCACTTGAAGTGTTCTTGAATACTTGTCCCATTTGACTTGTAGCACCTGGTCGTCACCATTGTAAGAAGAATGTACTGCAAAGATTGTGGAGATGAAAGCCATGAGAAATGAACTAGCTAAGCCATATAGACCATATACTATCACCAAGTAGATAGGTACACCACTTGCAAAGCACATGAACAGTGGTCAAATTAGGGCAGGGGGCAGACACAACTCATATTCAAGCAGATCAACCACTCAAATTTAACATGACTGCTATTAAGTCTCACCACAATTCTCACCACAAGGTGACCTAGTTGATGAAGACATTTTAATGAAGATACAATGAAAGATGTTACCTATTGTTGCTGGTTGAATAGGTTCAAGAAATTTTTTTTCCACCTATGAATTAAAAAAAATGCATAATGATTAAATCAATTGAATTTGAGAGTGGTAACTTGTAACTATTTACTGCTATAGGCTGAAAACCAATGAATATCTAAACATTGCCAACTAAAAAACGACTATAGCTGGTATGTTATGGTGTACCTTTTTGGAATTGGACACAGAAAGTTGTTCAACTTGTTCCTCCACACAGCATTGTTGGAGATGCGTCATGATAGCATCTTGATTGTTGTTGACAATTGCACCACATTGGTCGCAACTGGTCGTTTCATTGCTGTAGGCCATGTTATCCATCTGTGGCATCGGATACATCATGCTATGATCTTGATTCACATACGACATTGTGGGAACCATTGAGTCCGTGTTGGGATTATATTTCTATGGGAAATCAAGTTTCATAGAATGTGCCTTAGTGTACAACATCACTGTTATCAATCAGGTTAAAAAAAATCATAAATTGATATTGAACAAAATAATCTTACAACTAATGCTGAACAAATAATGCCCAAGCTTTGCCATGGGTGACTATAATTCTGGACAAGGATACTTTCTGTTAGCCTGTCCATGTATAAATTAAACAACTAGCTTCCATGACTGTTTTTTAGCTGTGTAGCTATAGTGACAGTTCATTTAACTGATCAAGGGATATCTGTTAATTTCTTTCAATGGAGTTCAGCTTTGCAGTCTTGAACAAGGTGATTTAAGTCAAAATTATATGATTCAGTCTTATACTTTTTGTCAATAAAAAAATTTACCCCTCATATGCATGGTACATATAGAAAAAATACTTGTCCCAAAGGCATTAACTTAATCAACCCATAATAGCTTACAACACACCAAGAATAGCCCGACTTTTCCTTTATCTTACTTTCCTCATGCCATACAATTTTACTCATCAGTGGAAGAGTAATTATCAGTTAATGAGTTCATAAACTTTTCAACTTTAATTTCCACAACTTAGCTCAAGTGAGGCTCAAAAAGAGCTAGAGTTTCAAGCCATTGGCATTAATTAATAAGTTGCACTCACTTCATCTTGAATCATAGTTGGAGTTAGTTCGTCATTTAAAATAGAAGTCAGATAGCTGCTGGATCCTTCGGTGAACTCAGGTGGTCCTGGGTTACCCATAGGGCTATGCAACAATTGGTCAAATGCTGTGGATCCTGGTATGGGCGAAACCGACATAAATTCATCCATTGTAACTACTGCATCCAGAGTCTGTCGAAAAATTATTTAAACTTTGTCAGACATGTGTTATTAAACTTCACCAGAATACTGTTAACTTGTATTTGTTAAGAAAACTTTAACAAATTCAAAAATTGGGGTGGGAAAAAATTGTTTTAGCAAAAAGGGGGGATGATTATGAAAACTCAGCAGATGACTGGTGGTACCTTCTTAATAAACTTGGGGCTAGATCCACCACTGTATCAGAGGGTAATATGGGCAAAGGGGGAAGAAAAGGTAGGGTAGGCCTCCCTCCCTAATAAACTTATAAGAACATTATTGCGATACATACAGTCCTGTACCTAAACCAATAATAACAAAAGATCACGTTCACCCACTATATGATTAGCAAAGTGCTGCAATTTCACAATCCCAAAATGCAGAAAATCAAATAAATTTCAAGACAACAGTCAGACACAATGCCATGAGACTTAATATGTCACTGAATTATATAACCAAGGATTTAAATTGTTTCAAAAGTTGACATTACAAAGTCGAAGAGCAAAGCTGCTTTCAGGCTCTTCAAATAAATGAACGCCCACGTCGCAGCATTTTTTTTGTCTGTATTTTTATGACGCCATCGAAACTAGAAGATTCGGAATCGCAAACCGAATGAAATTCGCGATAAACTTTGCTTCGTACACGCTCCGGTTCGTGCCGAAACTGAAAAAAAAAGTGATTCTAGATTAAGATCGATTTCGATGAAATAAACTAGACGTTGCAGCGAATATTTCAAGGAACTTATATTGCGATATTTTCGCAATAATTGAGCGCGTACCACGTGAGTGAAATATTACATTTGTGCATATTCAATGAAGCAAGTTTGAAACGACATCTTTAAACTTTTCAACTTCGTTTAGCGTCAACTCGCAGCAAAAATATACAAGGTTTCGCGTTAAACTCTCGGTTTATCCTTTCCGTGTGTGTTTCTGTACGATTAAGGCGCTAGAATTGTGCTACTACTCGCAAAATTTATTCACAGTGGGCGGTCAGTGTCATGTCCAAATTTGTAAATGCGAAAACTCGCGACTAAATTAAAGAATGAATCTTGTATTTGCCACGATTCGAGGCAAAAACAGGCTCACTCGATAGCAGATGCCCATCGCTGGGTGTTTACAGGTTTCCTGCCGTGATATCGAAGAGAAAGGTCCCGAATTCGTTTTATTCATTTACACACAATTTTGCAGTCGGTTCACTCAAGCAGACAAACTAGGAAGCGTTGCTGGAATGTAGTATGAAATTCGTTTGAATTTTCGGCTGGAAAATACCCGTCAAAAATGCTCCATACTTCCTGTACATGTCACAAAGAGTAAGAAACAAACGTTAACTCACCGAATAGTTGAGTATTTAGGCGAGGAAAGGCAAAATATTATCGCCAATTTCGTTCAGTCTGCCATCACCGTGTTTTGCAAATTCTACAAAGCAATATTAACCGCGTACTGCGCATGCGCCGATGAAAATCGGCGAAAATTAACAAATACCTGCCGGCTAAAATTTTAATAACAATGTGCAAATTCGTGCAAAATACAATACAAAGACTGCGATCAATGAAAGGGGTAATCTGTTTACACGAGCTGTGATAGTTACGTGTCTCCGAGAAAATAATACAACAATTCCAGGGTATTATACGAAGTTACTGACACGACATCAAAGCAACAATACCCTGTATCGGATTACAGAATTCTGTGCCTAATTTGGCAAAAGAATTTCGTGTCAGTCGCTTTAAAGTAATTTTACTAAGGTTTCGAATTTCTTGGCTTGATTATTTTCGTTTGTATATCAAAGCATCACAATCTAAAACAGTCGACCAATATATCATGATGCATCGATATTATATTTGCTCGGCGATAATATTTGAATGTTAGAATGTAAATTTTCGCTGAGGATGTAGGAACGCGCACCACACGAGTTCGAATATGGAAATTAGTGAAATTCCACACTCTGGTTGGTAATTAGTTTGAGCGTCGCGGTATGGTGAAATATTTAATATGGTAGCAATAGAGATGACACTCTGGGGTAACTATATACGTAAAAATAAGATATCTCTGCATAAGTTGAACTTTGGTCACAGAGATGAAAGACGCATGAGATATTATAGTCAACGGAAGAATGATTCGGTTGAGAAGAGAGTTCGGCTCAGTAGAACATCATTCTTGCTACACAAGAGTGAATGAACGACTGTGGTTCCTGGAGCAGGAAAACTTTGCAAACAGAAGTTAATCTAACCGTACAAACATGTGCCAAATATTTGCTATGTTTTCAAACATCACGTAATTCCAGCGCTGTCTATTGTAGATGTACTAAGTGCTTCAAAACCTCACATCATTCAATTTGTCACATTTCTTTCATTGTCCATTTCTTTCATTAAAAATTTTTAGTTTACTGTCTTCAACACGTGAACTTTCGTGCAACAGAAAACAATCTGGACTGCATGGTCAAGTTAAGAACAATATTTACACCTGCAGAAGTGAGTCAAGTGACCCATTGTTCAAATACAAAACCTAAGAATTTTATATCCAAACAACAGAGCAGGATAAGATTTGCGAGGCTCGAGCCCTTAACTCAAAGCAGGCTGTCCAAAAGTCGGTTAGTCAAATAATGGTACCCGGAAATTTGTTTCAAAATACAAACTTTGATGGAAGTATTTTGAAGGTGAAAATCGGTTTTTAAAACTCACGACTTAATCCGGTATACAAACTCACCCAATAACACGCACCGTTGCAAGGATTTCCTTGTATGTTTCCCAACATTGAAAAGACATTTATACTCCTTAGTTTCTTTTATAAATCCACGTGATATTCTCTGGTCAGAAAAAGGAAAAAATCAACTAGGAATTATGTCACATATTGTGCATTTCGATAGCTACAAATTAGACATGCATGGTTTGATAATCTATTACAATGTTATTGAATCAATATTTTGAAACAATTTTAGCCAATTATAAAGTTCCTGAATACGTTATTTCAATAAAAAAAACTTGTTTATTTAATAATATAGCCTGATATTGAACCAATGTATTGAGCAACAATTCCAGTCAACTATATTAAATCCGGTGGGGTCCGTAAGTATGTAATGTGAATTGATGACAGAATAATAAATATCTTTGTTTGTATGATATTTACAATATATTGCACTTATATATCTGGTTCAATGGCTCTCTGCGGGCGACATGTTATGACAAAGAACATGTTCATCTTGGCGAAAACAGTTTAAAATATTTATGACACAACCATCGCAATTCTATGGTTGGTTTAACCAAAAAATGTTGGCAAACTTTGGAGCTGAAAATCAGACCAAATCTCTCAATTTTTCTAACTTGCACTTCAATACGAGACAACTATGTATTGTATTGTGAAAACACAATAAATATTTTCCCAATTTGAGAATTGTTGATTGGTTTTCACTTTCGATATTCAGTACGGAGAAAACTCCGTAGTTGACAATCTGTTTTTTTCTAAATGGTGGTCGTGTTGTGGCCTGTTGCTGTGACCAGTCTGTTCACCGCTCAACCTCCATCACCAGTGGCCCGCGTTTCAACAAAGCGTCAATTTTATAGGCATCAATTATACGTGGCGATTTGAGCGAACGTTATTTTTTAGTCAGCGGTGACAGCTTTGGTGACGCCAATCGGGAATGGTTGCGAAGATTAACCGAGTTGGGTGGAGTCTGAATACAAGAAACAGCGTTGAGAGTAAAGTTGTATGAGATACGATAAGATACGGTACGATACGGTACGATATGGTATGGCATGGTATGGTATGGTATGGTATGGTATGGTATGGTATGGTATGGTATGGTATGGTATGGTATGGTATGGTATGGTATGGTATGGTGTGGTATGGTATGGTATGGCATGGCATGGTATGGTATGGTATATCCTAAGACATAGAACAGTAAAAAAACTCACCCTGTCAAAAAGACTAAAAGGTTCATGAGAGAGGTTCGGATATTGACCTGAGCTCTGCGACATCTGTGTCTCACTCAACTTGAGCTGAAAGCAAAAACAATCCTCGTGAAACAAACTCACGAAACATCGCCCGTCAACCAAACGTCTACCTGCAACTCCGCTTTATCTCTTGCCCATCTTCGAGTGTTTTCTAAGAGCTCTTTTTCGAGTGCAACGACCCTGCCTTCAGCTCTGCGTAATTTCTCATCCATCTTCATTCGGTCTATGTCTTCCTCCACCGCCTTACTTGTTCTCTACCGAAAGATATAATCTTTCAAAGAACTCTACAAGTTAACACAGTCCGACAAATTCGAAGTGTGTTACTAGATGCTAATTTTGAGACAAGCAATACGATTTTTAAGTGTACGTTTGGAAAATGCAAGACGCAAATGCCAAAAATGTGATGCGAAACATTCCACTACTTTAGAAGGACATTGCAGTCGACTAAAAAAATGATTGGCTGTCTTTCTGAGTGCAAGAGGAAGAAGGGTCCTTGAGAATTTTTGTTATTTCAAAATAGCTTTGGATACGGTCAGATACGGCCTAATTTAGCAATCTACTCTTTCTAAGATATACGATCTCATTTCAAATGGTAGAGTACTATAGGTGTCTTAGATTATTATAAAACTATTTGACAATAGACCCGCACTTTTCTCCTGTTAAAAGACAGATATCTGGCTTACTTCATAATCGAGAACGAGGGCTCTCAACCTCTTGTTTTCATCTAGTAAAGTTTCTTCGGTGGTTTTCAAGGGTTGATCTAAAACAGACACACGACGGACGTGAGGAGGAACGATTGAATAGCAAGAAAGGACGTACATGGATTTAAGGGAACCGTACGGTGGTAGTGAGGGACAGATGGTGATGATCAGAATAGTGATGGAAAGGGACAGACCGGTAGTAGTGAGGACAGGCAGATGATGGTGAGGGACAGAGCAGTGGTAGTGGAGGAAAGACAGGTGGTAGTGGGGGACAGACAGTGTGGGATGAAGGGATCTCAAATTCTCGATGAAAACACACCTTCGTTCTTTTTGCCCTTTCCTTTGGAAATTGCAAGAAAATCCTCTAACCGAAGAATAACCTTTTCCTGTCGTTTGCACGTATCTTCGAGCGTCTTGGTTCGACGAAGTCGTTCCTGGAAAATTCAACATTTCTTGTAAACTGACTCTGTAAAAGCTGTCAAAACTACAAGATGTTGTAACTTTGTGGCACGTTATTATACCTGCATCTTCTGTAAAAGCATCTGTTGGTTCTTATGCGCGTCCTGCAGTTTGTACAATTCTTTCTCTCGTTCGTTTTTCTGTTAGGCAAAGAGTCAGTTTGTCATCAGCAAGATGATACTTTACCGTTCCAAGTATTCGAACATACCCACCTTAATCAACTGATTTTGAAGACTTTGAATTTCGAGCTTTAGTTCTCTATTGATAGCGATCTGTTCATCGAGACTTCCTTTTATTATGACTAAAATAGAAAATTAAATGAATTCGGATTAGGTCTGGGATTAGGATTTGTGATTGATTAAGGTTAAAACTTATCCTAAATCCTACCCCAATTCTAACCTAATCTCCAGGCTTAAACCAGTTCAAGATTCAGTTAATGATTATTACCCCTGGTATTTCAGAAATCGATTTTTACCTATTCTTTGCACCAGCTCTGCATGAGTCGTTTTCTCCAGTTGCAATGGAAGAGGCACCGTCTGGCGTGACTCGTTCCCATGATCAATTTGAAGGCGAAGCCGGCTATTTGTGGCCTGTTGAAAGAGTTTAATTTTTTGGAAATTGGAAAGGAGAGAAACCCGAGTAGAACTACGAATGGGAAGGAAAGGAGCGAATCAACTTAGACAAATTAGTGAAGAACGCTGGGTGCAGAAGGTAGGAAGGCATGAAGCTACGCTTCGTCCAAAGGTCTAAACGGGTAACTTCAAATCTAAACTATACATTCAAGTAATTCAAAGCGACTACGTGTAAAACGAGCGATAACTATAGGAGAAGATAGCAAGTAATTTGCTGAACATCCTTGCCTGTAGTCGAGTGGCTTCGCTCTTCAATCTAAGAATATCATCTGCCATTTTCTTCATCGCAAACCGGTGTTTTTCAAGCTCCTATAACGGTAGTCCTTTCTTCAAATGAACAAAAGAAACTACAACCTTATCATGATAGCACCGTAGGAATGCGGTGCGTTCTGGAGAAAAAAGCAATGATTTACCTTTGCTTGATGCTCCATGACAGAAAACGACATTGGGTCAACACCGGTCTATCAGAAGATAAGACTATTACTTAATCGAAAGTTTTTTAGTTTTGCTACAATGTCTATACTGTACATACTTGGGTTATCATGTCTGTGCCTACCCTAGGCAACCTATGCGTATACCTCCTACCTTGGGCTGTCCTTGGGATACTTGTTGAACTGCAACGTCGTGATTGGCGCTGCTGTGTTTGTTTATCATCGGCAAAGGCGCTGGATTCACAGCAACCTGTGTCCTCTGTACTGCCGTTGTCTGTTGCGATGACGCGTCGATAACGGGAAGAATATGGAAGTGCGTGGATGAGAGCATTGGATCAGGACGCTGAGGGGATGAAAATATACCATACAAGTGTCAACGTTACCTTTTCGCTTAGGGTTTTATCTGGTAGGCGGGGGTGGGGGGGGCTGAATGAGATGGGGGGTCATCCCCTAACCCCTTGTGATGTTTTGCAACTTAACTAATTTAGAATGACCTCCAGGAGTACACTTTTTGCCAGGATAACACCTGTCTATAGCCATCCAGAAAATTGCCAAAATTGGTCCGACTTACCTTGCTTGTTATTAGCCGTAAAATGACATTAACATTCGCTAAACTCACAGAGTTATCGCGAAAGGTTGATTCCTAAGATGCGAAAAAAAGGGGGAGAAAAACTAGTTGATTAAACAAAACGATTCGCACAAAACAGAATATAATATATGAGCATATATAACGACATACGTTTATTGTAATGTTCTCCACACAAAGTCCCATGGTGGCATTTTGTTGTTTCAAAACACTCAACAATGATTCATTGAGATCTATCATCGAGTACGCTACTGGGGACCGAGGCTGCCAACGACCAAAATTTACAACTGGATAAAGGAAATTTTGTTTATTTACAAGATATTTTACCAAGCAGGTAGCTTATAGCAAGGCAATCCATAAAAGGGGCATAACTCCGGGAAAGACACTTTGAGACCACATTATATATAGAAATACAGTATTGTTCAAGAAAAATTCAAATGAAGGCCAATACCTACCTTGTAGAGCGTTGTAATATTCAATAACCAAAGCTGAGGTGGAGTTGAACAGCCAACGACCATCACCATAAAAGAAGAGCATCTGGTTCCACTTTGGTTGTTCTACAGGCGCGCCAGAAAATGTCACCTAAAAACGATGCTTAGTTACTTCCTATGTGAGACGTTTTTCTACAAATCGTTTTCTCCATTGACAACTATCTCATTCCTTGCCTACCCTCTCCTCTTTATCCCTTGCCTACCCTCTCTCCTTCATCCCTTGCCTACCCTTTCCCCTTCATCCATTGCCTACTCTCACCCCTTCATCCCTTGCCTACCCTCTCCCCTTCATCCCTTGCCTACCCTCTCCCCTTCATCCCTTGCCTACCCTCTCCCCTTCATCCCTTACTTACCCTCTCCCCTTTATCCCTTGCCTACCCTCTCCCCTTCATCACTTGCCTACCCTCTCCTCTTCAATCTCCACTCATCCCCGTCATTCTTCTATTCATATTTTAATTTTGAGTGTCTGTAGCTACCGACCTATCCCATTACTTACCTGTGGAACATTGTATTGATTTTCGTCGTAGAAAGTCTTCAGTAAACTGACCAAATCTGTCGATGGAAATCTCACCTTTCTTGTTTTGACATAACTTTCTCGCTGCTTTCCCTCTGCGAAATTTTGACTGGAAAAAAAATTGACAGAAAATCAGCTATCTGCAAATGGACGTTTGAAGCTACAGATAAAATTTTGATCCGGGCAAAATGATTGAATCAAACGCCACAGTTGGAAAGAGCATCTCAGTATCACTAAAACTGCTTCCTTTGGGCAGATCAAAACTTAGCCTGCAATTTGAATCACCATTCACTTAAATCTAAGTCGAATTATCTAGAACTAGCTTGGGTATTTTGCACTACGAACAGCATACCCGTAGTATATATCAACTCTCTGCTACAATAGTCATTCGAACATGAAGGTTTTGTAGTTCTTGTGTGTATTTTTAAAGGTCGGCCACTCACCGATACTGGCTGGAATCAGGAACAATTCTTAGAGCAGCAATCAAAGGATCAGTCAAGCCTGAGGAAGTGAAATGTCTCAGAACCACCTAAAGCAATGAATGACAAGAGAAATAAGCTAGACCATTCTCGGAATATCTCTAAATATCTAAGAGAAACTCTAACTATCCTGGCTTTTTCAGTTCAAATATGTTTTCGACAATAATCCAGCAAAGCTAGGGTCGCCTCTTGAACAAGTTTTACGCATGAAAACAAACTCAAACTTTGTTTAGGGCCTGTTTACTCGGAGCGAGATACCACGGCTTAACATCAAAGGCTTAACCTGATCAGTCTTTCATTATATGCAGTTTTCACCTCGCCTAGCCGGGATAACTCGCTCCATGTAAACAGGCGCTTACTGTGTTTAGATTTGCTTTCTGAAAAGTTGGTTTATTGTCATACGGACGTTCAGTGAACCCTATCCAGACTAGTCTAGCATTCCACTCTCCTGAAGAAAGTGGAGATTGATAGGGTCAAGCAGTGAAAATCTGGTACGATCAAAACCACCCAACTACATATGACTTGAATAGCAATTAGTTCAAATTACCTCCAAACCATAAACCTCTGACTGTAGTGAAGACAGAACGAGCTCGTCTGCTTTCAACATTAACGTGATAAACAGCTTCGTTTTTATCTCTTTTCCACCCTTAGAAAAACAACAAGAAGCAAGTTACAGTAGATCTGAACAAAGTAATATTCATTGAACTGTGTGATCTCAGAAATTTTCAAAGTCCAAACCTTGCCCATGAGGTTGACTAAGCGGTTATTCAAAAGACCAAGAATATCTTCAAGTTTCGCGATCAAATAAATACACACACAAATACTAGTTCTCACCTGTTCTAGTTCCAGATGATATGGATAGAAAGGTTTCAGAGGTCCAAGTGGAAGACAATATCCGGTGATCAATGTTTTCTTGGGATGATCAATAATATTGATTATTAGATCTAGGAGGTGAGAAAGTTTGTTGAAGGAAGTTGGAAAGGTTGCGTACCAAAAACGAAGCAGGTTGGAAAAAACAGATGATTAACTACCTCCATTGGAAATCTTGTCTTTCGGTGCCTTTAGAACCAGAAGTTCATCCCAGAGCGGGGTGTACGTCGGATGTAAAGTAGCATGAGTGCTACTGTTGATATCGTCGCTATTACTGAGTTTGCTAAGGAAGAACATCTGAATATCAGTATTGTATCTCACACTTACTGTATCCATTAACCGGAACTAAACTGACTATATTTATACTGGATATAGCTCTATCAGTTCTAAACTGTTCTTCCTAGAGGTCCAGTAAGGATCATCTCTTATTGATCCAGTGTTACAGGAGGAAACCTAAACTAAACTAACTTTATTTATTCTGGATAACTCTATCGGTTCTAAACTGTTCTTCCTGGAGGTCCAGTAAGGATCATCTCTTATTGATCCAGTGTTACTACAGGAGGAAACCTAAACTAAACTAACTTTATTTATACTGGATAGCTCTATCAGTTCTAAACTGTTCTTCCTGGAGGTCCAGTAAGGATCATCTCTTATTGATCCAGTGTTACTACAGGAGGAAACCTAAACTAAACTAACTTTATTTATACTGGATAGCTCTATCAGTTCTAAACTGTTCTTCCTGGAGGTCCAGTAAGGATAATCTCTTATTGATCCAGCGTTACTATACAGGAGGAAACCTAACCTAAACTAAACTAACTTCCACATTCATGAACGATCACGACTTGTGTACCTGGTAACATAAGGTTGAGGTGGTCGTCCTTGTGTGTTGGAGACTACATCACACGCGCTGTGCACGTGAATCACAACTTCATACACACCAACTTCATTCAAATAACTACCACACAAGTGCCTTGTGGACGGTCCTTCCACGTCTCCTGGTAAAGCTGCGTCATTCACCTGCACACAAAATTTGACTTTCCCTTACTTAAGCTATTTGCATGAAACATTTCCTTAAAAAACCACCACATAAAAATCACTTTGAAATACCAGGTTACTAACCATTGTTTTTGCAGATAATGATTGGTTACGCGGTGGAGCTATTGTATATATAAAAGACAGAACAGGTTTTAACAAGTACCAGAAACAAAACTACAAAAGACAGGTGTTTGAGATGCCCAGTAGAATTGTGAAGGTGTTAGCATCTTGGTGAACTAAGTTAGTCGTTACCTGTGAGACTAGCGTTCCTATTATTTGAAGGTTCATTTGTTAACTGTCTAATCGCAATTGCCTCGTTCTGAAAATTTGATGAATCTTCCTTCTTCCTAAATACAGTCGCTTTCCCGCGATCAACTGTCTCGGTCTGAATACCCAAAGAACTCGACGCAGTTCCATTAATTTCCTCTTTTCTACCTTGCAGTGACTCAGTATTCCTCCTACCTTCGCTATACCTTCGTAAATCTTCTCTAGTCTGACCTGTCTGCACTTCCTGGATACTTGATGTAATGTACTCTTCCCCAGAGCTAATGAGGTTCCCCGTTAAAGCGTCGCCCGCGTCCTCGGAGCCCGGGTTTACGTATAAAGAGTTCAATTCCGAAGTGCAGAGACTGTCCGAGAGAAATGAGTTGTTTTCGAAGTTTGTGTGAAATGCATGCATGGTTGTAGCATAGTGTTTGATGGAGTCTTCTGGGGGTTCAAACTCTTCAGAAATAGTAGTTTTGTTTAATGGTTCATGTGGTACAACACTGGCTGAAAAATATCTTGTTCTATTACCTAAATAAATCAACTAAAATTAAACTAACTTTATTTATACTGGATAGCTCTATCAGTTCTAAACTGTTCTTCCTAGAGGTCCAGTAAAGATCATCTCTTATTGATCCAGTGTTACTACAGGAGGAAACCTAAACTAAACTAACTTTATTTATACTGGATAGCTCTATCAGTTCTAAACTGTTCTTCCTAGAGGTCCAGTAAGGATCATCTCTTATTGATCCAGTGTTACTGCAGGAGGAAACCTAAACTAAACTAACTTTATTTATATTGGATAGCTCTATCAGTTCTAAACTGTTCTTTCTATAGAGGTCCAGTAAGGATCATCTCTTATTGATCCAGTGTTACTACAGGAGGAAACCTAAACTAAACTTTATTTATACTGGATAGCTCTATCAGTTCTAAACTGTTCTTCCTATAGAGGTCCAGTAAGGATCATCTCTTATTGAACCAGTGTTACTACAGGAGGAAACCTAAACTAAACTAACTTTATTTACACTGTATATTGGATAGCTCAAAATATAAACTTTCTTTCATAGAGGTAGGAACAAACATACCTTTTTCTTCATCAATTTTTAGTAGAACTGTAATCTGTGCATGACCAATATTCACATAAAGCTGTTCCTCATTGAGCAGTTTATTCAGAGCAATCTGAGTTGTGTAGTTGTAACAGATATCTTTGTCCTTACTGGTTGATGGCTGATCATTCTTCAGCGGCCCAGCACAGGGAAACACTAGGAACTTACCCTCACCACACTTAAATGGATTCTCAAGAGGGTTGTCACTAAATTGATAGGCCTCGAATAACAGATTAACCTCACCTTCGGAAAACTCTGGAATATAGACAAGTGTATATGACTGTTAATGGGATTTAGCTAGCTGCAGGCCAGAGCTACACCCTGACCAGATCTTTGAGAAATTGGTACTTAGCCTCAGTAGCGTAGCCAGCCTGTCAATTTGTCCCGCTATGCTAATATTTTAGTGTTCACTGACTGTGAAAACAATAGATTTCTAAAGGCATGATCAAACAATTATAATAACTCGAAATTTACATAGCGGGACAAAATCGTCCAGCCTACACTTACGTACCTTTGGGCATTTCAAATCGGAACTGGGTGTCATCAAATGGACATGGGGTATCATAACCATCCTGAAGACAGAGTTCAGTGGTATACTCATACTCAAATATCGACTCTTTAAAGTCATTCAGGAGGAGTTTAACTTGTCGCAGATCCCCACGGGAACTACTGATTTTGAACTTTATCTTGTATTTTCCCTTTTGGTTGAACAGAACATGGTGGACTTTTAAATCCAGACACAAGGCACCTTTCAGAAGCTCTTCATCATTGTCAAAGGCCAGCATTCTTTCATGGTATCATTTTTGATGGATATATACCCCTAACTCCCTTTCATCTCTTATTTCCTATGAGAATATGTAAGACAAAATGATACAGTTGACCATAACAAGTACAGAGAAAGACTATGATCTGGCAATGTTTTATATAGTAACTGAAAATTTTGTGTGCCAATTACTTCACATTAAAATGGGATTTGATGTCCTAATAATCTAGATTACAGAGAATTACCTTTCTCAATCCTAGAATTATAACCCAATTTTGCATGTCAATTGAACCTGTGATTCAAATTTCAGTTGTTGACATAGGTCATTCTCACTTTAATACCGTATTTTCTTAAAAACACTGAATAACGGTACATTTAATACAAACCGTATAAAACAATCTTCACAAAGGTTTCAGATGTAAATCCAACGTACAACTACAGTAATCTGTGTGCAGGATTCATCATTTATTGCTTGAGAAAAGAAAATTATCTGTTCCAGCATCTTTGCTATCCCGATATCGGACAAGCGTATTTAATATTCATCGATGAAGCATGCCGAAGTACGCAAGAATTCATTTCAAAACCTTGACGAACGACTTTTGAACAGTACAGAAGTTATAATAGAGAACTCACCTTCAAGTACAAAAAAAATTGTTAAGGAATCAAACAGTTACGGAGTCAAAAACAACACTGGGTAAAAAATTTGCATTTTTTTTGTCCGCCATGTTTTGACTTCAATCTTCTTCACTCGCATGTTATCTAAGCAACTTCATTGATACCGAGCCCACAGGCTGAAAACGCTGACTATTCTCTACTTAACATACACCAAGACCGTATTTCAGAACACCAACACTTTTCTGAAGGTATCATTAGGAAAACTACTCAAGAAACACACGTCTTTGCAAATCCAAATCTATTTTTCTTCAAAAAATTACAGTATAATGCAATCTTATGATATCCTGTATCATTGTTCATAAGACTTCTTTTAAATCTGTTTCTTATTTTTGTCCTTGTGTCTTTTCCTAGCATTCCATTTTACCCATTTCCTTCCCTTCCCCCCATTCCCTTCCCTTCCCCCTTTCCCTTTTGCATCCATTTCTGTCTTACAACCAATTCTACACAAATCACCCTTTCTTGCATTTGAGATACATCAATGCATGCAAAATTCCCAATGTAGTAACACTGGATCAATAAGAGAACAGAGAACAGTTTAGACTTGATAGAGTTATCCAGTTTAAATAAAGTTAGTTTAGTTTAGGTTTCCTCCCGTAGTAACACTGGATCAATAAGAGATGAACCTTCCTGGACCTCTAGGAAGAACAGTTTAGACTGATAGAACTATCCAGTTGAAATAAAGTTAGTTTAGTTCAGGTTTCCTCCTGTAGTAACACTGGATCAATAAGAGATGATCCTTACTGAACCTCTAGGAAGAACAGTTTAGAACGGATGGAGCTATCTCAGAATAAACGAAGTTAGTTTACACTTAGGCTTCCTCCTGTAATAATACTAGTTTAAAGGAGGATGTTCCTTACAGAATTTCTCGGAAAAACACGAGAATAGTAAATCGTTTGAGCACGCTATTCCCTCGAATATTATTGGAGGGTAAAATGCTGTTTCTTTAGGAGAAAAACGAGGGTTCAAACGAGGTTATATAACTTCACGTACCTTAAAAGAGTACGGCGAAAATCGTTCAGTATAAATTAAAAGAAACAAACATAATATATCACAATGTTAGAAAAATTATCTATAGACATGTATAGAAATACTCCTGTAGCTTCACATCTGTAACAACTATTGACATTTTGATGTCGATTTTCAAAACTTCCTACTTTACAACCTAAGAAACCTATTATTAAGAACCCGTGAAAATTCCATCCCATCATCGAGCCTCATGTAAAAGTATAGATGGACTAATCTCGATAAACCGATCTTGCTGTGACACGATTGGCCCTTCTTCATTGAACCACCCTCCCCCCGTCCGGATTTTGTGGTATCCCCCGAGGTTCAAAGCTAAAATCAGCAGCGCGTAAGTCTCTTACGGGGGGGCTATTGAAATGAAGATATTTTAAGACAGTTCCACAAACCTTGTGTCCTGCCCTACCTTTCCCGAATGTTCACAATTTATTGAACTTTAGTTGAGTAAACAGAATGCCAGAGCTATAGATTATAACAAATACATATAGTTTTACTTATGCATATAGGAAAGCGGTAAGTAAAATGGTTAAGAAGACCATATACTAAAGGTGTCGAACCTTTTGAGGGAGACCTCAGGAAAATTGAAATCATAAACAACACATGCATTGTGATTTTCACAAAAAAATATATTGATTACATACGAAACATATCGGATATTACCCTCAACGGTCTTTCTAACCAATTTACCAAATAAGATCTACCATCCTTTATGTTAAAGTAAATAAACCCTGTCCTTAAATACTATTCCCTACCTGCATTACGTAGTCCATACAGTTTAATGGTAAATTTTATAAGATCGTTGGTAAAAAATGGAAAGAGTGAAAAAACACACTAAGGAGGATTACATGCACAAAAAGCTTCATTTCAAATTATCAAGTACGATTATTTATGAAAGACAAGATGCATGAGACGAACTATTGTCCCTAAAACCAAAGCCTTGAACTTTTTCAGAGAAAAGTTTTTGTTTTTTTGACTATTTTTCACTGGTAAACAGTATCGTCGCGTGAATTTGATTGATTGCTTTTACAAGCAGATTAGTCTCTCCTGTTTGTGCTAGTTCGTTGCAAACATCTTTACCTCTCGTTCGCAATGATATGGTGACCTTCAGTTACCCTGGAGACAAGCAGGTTTTTATGCCTGGCGAGGCGATAGTTATGGCATTAGAAAGGGATAAAGCCAAATTCAAACAAACCATTACACACCTCTTCCAAGGAACCTCCAGCCATTTGTATCAATGCCTCGACGTATGCTATGTACAAAGACCCAACTAACGCGCGCATCCCATAACAATTGCTTATTAGCACATAGTAATATGCTTAACTACGAATGCAGCCTAACGCTGGATGCAAAAACAAGATTGAAAATAGCGTAAGCACTCCGTCTAACCTTTAGAATCTTTGAGGAGGTCCAAAATGTCCGGGTGGACCTGGCATTTGAGGCGGCGGGCCCATCGGAGGTCTGGAGGGCATCCCCATGGATTGGTTGTTCGGACCACGCCCCATGAGTGGCATCATATTGTGTGGTTGCTGCTGCATCATGTTTTGACCAGGCATGGGCATTGGGGGGAAGGCACCGGGTGGAGGGAGAGCCCCTGGGGGGCCATGGATTGGGTTCGGTGGCATTCCAGGAAGTCCGGGCGGCATGAGTGGGGACGGAAACGGCAGCGCACAAGGTGGGGCAACTGGTGCATTACTGGTTGGATTTGCAGAGGTGGGTGTACCCTGTGTCCTTGCCTTGTACCTTGGTAGGAGAGCAATGTGTTCTTCCTACATTAATGGAAATGTTTGCTATTAGAATATGCATTCGAGTTGAAAACTAGAGAATTAATTCAGTGCTGAATCAAAACACAAAGTCATAGTTATCAGCCTTAATTGTACATCATTGGGCCAAGAGGTGTGAAATAAAATTTGAAGAGATCAGAGTTAAGGAGCAGTGAATGTAGAACAGTGGTAGTTGAAATCTCCTGAAATTTAAGAGTGTTTAAAAAGCCAACCGAGCGAATGTCGACCTGGTTACCCTACCAGAGATATGTCTTCATCTGGATGTATAATTGTACTGGTTGCCCCAGTGCTTGGTACAGTTGCAGGTTTGGAGACAGGAACACCTGGTTTGTCTAAATTGGAATTATATTATGATTTATTATCAGAGTGCACGAAAATAACCATTAACGAGATGCGAACAGTTCATTAGGCAAAACTACCTTCATTTGACGAAGATGGTCGAGAGTTGGCAGATGTTGGTGGTGCTGAATATACCGTAGTGGGTTTACTGTTAGTGGTTAGTGGTTTGAAGTCTGCACCTACAGGACCACTGGATGAGCTGTTCTGAGGCGAGGAGACGTTCTGTAACCAAAAAATACAACACTAGTATGAAAATTCCATCTTTGCTTAAGAGGGGTTGAAGGATGCTAAAAATTCATACCCAAATTGGGTGGGTATCAATTTTGCAATCTTGGCTGATTGAGAGTGTGGAAATAGCTCCCTTTAACCACATAATTTTGGTGATAGGGCACTCTAGCCAAAAGAACTGGGGTGTATTGCATATGATGCAACATATATACACTACTGTAGACGCATGCTTAGTGGTGGAAGTCTGGTTTACCTGGGCTGATGGGAACAGAGGTTTGCTTCCAGGGGCTCCGGGTCGAACTCCTTGTGGCTGCATGCTAAAAAAATGAAGATGCAGAGAGGATGTTGAATGAGGTTATACGAAAGCAACACAAACTGTTGCAGCTTGTAAGAAAAGACATGATGATAATGATTCAACATACCCTCGGGGTGGAACCATGTTAGGAGGCATTGGTGGTCGACCAGGCATACCTAAGGTAAAAATACTTGAAACAAGATGGTAACCAAACGGTTTAAACATTTGAAGGCATTTTAATCAAAGACAGAATGCCTAAATCACACACATTGAACAGGGGGATTTGTCAAGGATGAACTATCCCTATGAAATGCTTCTGAGTGGTTCAAAAACTTCTAGGGGGCCACACCCCATGCACTGTTTCTTCCAACAGTTTTTCTGGCTGAGAGGGTAATTATTAACAATAAAAATTTGTTCAACTTTTTTTTTATTATGTACAACATGAAACAAGCAAGATTTATATTACTAACCTCCACCTTGAAATCTTTAAACAATATTTGAAGCATTCGGATTTGCGTAAGTCAAAACAGCTTTAGCATACAATTATTGTACTATGTAAACGGCCCTAAATTTGCCAGCTTGATTTTGCTCAAATTTGAATCATAAATCCGCACTCAAATATTCCAGCCAAACATCTTCTGACCTACATGACCACTTGTCATTTTAACCATCAGCCTGTGACCTAAAATCTTACCTGGCATAAGTGCTCTGGGAGCAAACCCTGGTGGGAAACCGGGTACAGGAAAACCGGGCATCATCGGTGGCATCATCGGCATCCCAGGTATCATGGGTGGTGCGCCCATCGGCATCATTCCGACAGGCGGAATTTGTGGTGTATCAGTCTTAGCTTTTTTTGATGTGCCACCCTCTGTAAAAATTATTCTTAGTAAGGCTATGAAATTGAGATGCAAATATGCAAAATATGAAGACATTTTTGGCATATCCCTATCATAGATTTCACAAATCTTAAACTCGCTATTTTTGTAGATCTCATCACCAAAACCTACCACTTTCATCATCATCATCTTCACCACCCTGCGACATTTGCGCAAGCTTCTGTCTTCTTTCCTTCACATCCTTCTCCGGGATACCTTCCATGCCGTAAATCTCTATTTCTGGATCGCCTCGGTTGGGCAGAGAGTTTGGTATGGCGCTGACATGTTCCTTGTGGACTTGCATGCAGTGAATGGCCAATCCTGGGCCAGTGTATAGCTTTTTATGGCAAATAAAGCACTTGAAATGCTTCGCTTTTTGGTGCTGGATAAGAACTTTCTCATCATCAAATTCCCTATTGCAATACCTTGGTATGAATTAAGGAGCGTTCAGTCAAAAAGCGGGCAGAAACAACAGAAAATTTAGTACAAAATTTGACAATTACAACGCAAATGCATTTTAATAACTAGGAAAGTCTTAGTGAAAGTGTACGAAGAATAGACATATATAGCCTTTCTTTAAAGCAAATGTTGCTAGACGAAGACAACCGATTTCCTAGGCAAGAAAAGCATCTGAACTCCACTTGAACATGTCATTTTTTAAAATAAAAAAATCACAAAGAGTCAAGGATCTTTCAATTTAGCACGTGTCGACAAAATAAACTGCCTCGTTTTGTTTTGTTCGAGGTTTTGTTGATATATAATATATATAGCCACTTCGTTTCAAAACATAAAAGACACTGAAAAGTGGTTTTATCGCTTAACTTATTTAAAAACAAGCATAACCTAACCACAGATGAATAAAAATATCGAGTTAGAGCGAAATGAAATGGAAAATTGTTCCACAACATTGTATTATTACTATGTAAAGTACTATTTTAGTATTGAAAGGAAAATATAGTACAGATATTTCAACTATTTTCTTCACATTTGGTCTTATATCACAGCAAACACACTTACAAATAACAAAAAATGAAGTCAAAACTTCTATACGACGACTTAACAAATAAAACTTCATAATACGAACTAAACATGCAAATTATTATAGCCGGTAGGTGACCGCCGTCGAAGCTAAAAAATCAGGGTAAATATGACGTTAATGAAAGGATACCAACACCAGGGCTTCATTGGCTTTTTCTTCTTTCTTCCCATGCTGTTATTTTGTCAAAAACAAGCAAGAAAAGCCAAAATTCAGCCGCAAACACGCACCACAATCGCTGCTACACGCTGACTGCCTTGTATTCGTCGAAGGAGTACCGAAGTCCCCGGATGAAAAAACTGACCTCAGATGCTAAACTGGAATATGCATAAACGCGTCGTCTCTACCATAAACGCGTCGAATATGACCATGGTCGTATTTGCCATTTTCCGGCGAATTTGACCATGGTCGTATTTGCCATTTTCCGGCGAATATGACCATGGTCGTATTTGCCATTTTCCAGCGAATATGACCATGGTCGTATTTGCCATTTTCCAGCGAATATGACCATGGTCGTATTTGCCATTTTCCGGCGAATATGACCATGGTCGTATTTGCCATTTTCCGGCGAATATGACCATGGTCGTATTTGCCGTTTTCCGGCGAATATGACCATGGTCGTATTTGCCATTTTCCGGCGAATATGACCATGGTCGTATTTGCCATTTTCCGGCGAATATGACCATGGTCGTATTTGCCATTTTCCGGCGAATATGACCATGGTCGTATTTGCCATTTTCCGGGGAATATGACCATGCTCGTATTTGCCATTTTCCGGCGAATATGACCATGGTCGTATTTGCCATTTTCCGGCGAATATGACCATGGTCGTATTTGCCATTTTCCGGCGAATATGACCATGGTCGTCATAGCTAATTTTAAATTTTTTTTTCACTGCACACGTGATTACAATAGTATAGTACCGGGTATAGTAGATAATATAATTGGTACTAATTGGAAATTGGTAATTTACAGATGGATGAGATGTAGGGGGTCTGCAGTACCTGTGTTTTCTGTATTTTGAAGTCCCTATTACTTGATTTCCAGCATTTTGGGGGGACAACTGCTAACAAATCCGTTTCAACAGAGTGAGTTCTGTTGAGAAATACCATTTACCACTGCTCATTTCTTAGTTTATCAACATCATCATTTCTTATTTTATCTTATTTTAATCTACACATTTATTTACAAATGTACAAATAACATATATCAATGTAATCACACCATCGACTGCATTTGAGCAATTTTATCATTATACAATTGATGATATGTGCTTGCGAGATAGTAAAATGCAGCTTCCACATTTTGGTTTTGTTTCTGAAAAAAAAAGCAAAAATTGGACTTGGGATGCCTTTGGAAAATGTTAGGATCTCTGGAATATTAGATGGTGTGTTCCTGGATGGGTGGGCACATGTTTTCATGGGTAATCCTACAATATGAAATGGGTTAGGCAGACTATTGTTATACTCACAGCTGAGGTTTCAAAGTATTCAAGACCGTGGGAACCAGCAAGTTCTTTGCCTTGCTTCATTGAGACAGCCCGGCGTTGTTTTAGATCTGTCTTGTTGGCGACAAGGACACCTGAGTAGAGTCATGCAATAGAACTATCATTTTTCAGGCAACTCAACAGGAGAACTCAAACTGATAGAGAAATGCAATAAGCTTACCAATCATTTTGTTCGTAGATTTTCGCTTCTGGCAAAGATCAATCCATTTGGCACAAGCATTAAATGACTGTTCATTGGTGACATCATATACTATCACTGCTAGATCAAGTGTATCCCACTAAAAATAATTAGATAATGTCAATCAGTGTTACTCTGTTTAGGAGCAAATGCTGGACAATATAATATAATACAATTTAGGTTTACAAAATAAACTAACCGACTGCTGCACCATGTCCTTAAAAATTTCCTGCCCACTTGAATCATAAAGATAAAATTCCTAGAGAAAAAGGTTCATTTTAATTTCCAAACAAGTTATTCAATGAGAACAGTATAAGGGAACATAAAATATCCATTTCCAAATCCTACCACACTATCATTGGTCTCAGGAATGTTTACGACTTTCGTATGAAGGTCAACTGCGGCAGTCTGTAAAAAAGCAAACAGTAGACTTTTGTTTTAATGATGTCAAAATTGAAACCCTGACTTTCACTGGCTTTTTAGTTTGGCAGATATGTGAACTATGCAACTTCTTTGGAAGGACCGTTACACCTGAAGTCTTCCACCTCCTTCCAAAGGGTTGCGTCAGTCTGCCTAGAATAACAACTTATCTACATTCTTATGCAAGACCTGAAGGCTAACCATCTTACCATGCTGTAATTCTTTGGAAACTGAGAGCCATCGCTACCAAATACTTGCACCAAAGCACTCTTTCCTACACTACATTCACCTACAAACCAAAGCATTCTTCATTTCCACAGAAGTATTTTATGGAAAAGATAGTGCCCTACATTAGGAATCCACCTATATCTTACAACCTAAACACCAGATCATAGTACTGTACTCATCAGAAATTTTTGTATAGTACATCAAATAGAATATTTGTTACCACAGTAACAGAAACATATAAATATATAAGACGATTTTTGGCAAAATGCCGCATATTTTAACATTTTCGACAGCAAGAGTGCATACGTACCGGCTATAACACATTTTGCACGCAGAATTACCATGATTTTTTCAACCAAAATACAGACGAATTCTCAAGAAATCTTTGTTTACTTTCTGGAAGAAACCTTCGCGAGCCTTCAATCGTGCGAACAAAATGTCGTCTTTTGTGGGGAACTTTATGTAAGCAATACGTGTGAAACGCGGCCTGTCACTGAGCTATAAATATACTGAGCTATGAATTACCTGCTCCGGCTCCTAACCATATATTGACCATTACAACAGCGTGGTTATCGACGTCAAAATATTTGACATCGTAACCAAAGCATAGTTATATTGTTCAATGTTTGTATATGAGCACCAAAAATGCTGGAAACTTTACATAGGACAAGCATTTGACCATTAAAACAGCGTGGTTATCCATGTCAAAATATTTGACATCATAACCAAAGCATAGTTATATTGTTCAATGTTTGTATATGAGCGCCAAACATGCTGGAAACTTTACATAGTATGATCAGTATCTATTATTTTCCAATAATCGTTAAATTGAGAGGCATTTGCGGCGATTTCAGAGACCTACTGTATATTTCAAAATTTTCCCGGTCTCTCCTAGCAGGCGCGCAGTTCCGAGCCCCGGCAACAAAAAACGCTCCGCGGTCCCTGACTTGAAAAGTATAAATCAGGCGTTGGTAGTTTCAAAGGAACAGAACAATTTATTCTATGTAAAGGTATATACAACCCCAAAAAACTCATACTAATATGAAAGATGCAAATCTCAGTTGTCAAATCTCGCTTGCAATCATTTCGATGCAGGTTTTTCTCGAGACAGCATAGGTAGAATTGTTTTATGTTTTTTTAGAAGTATGTGCTTCCAGTTACGAAGACAGCAAAAGATATGTTCGGAGACTTGACCATTGCACAAATGCTGGTCCATTTGATAACAAACGTCCCAAAGCATCGTATAACGAGTACTATCTGTACCTCTGCCTTGAAAGCGCTACTTGTGAGCTTTAACAAGCGAGGAAAAGACGCTTTCTTTATTAGCTAGTAGTTTCTCTGGAGCGTCCCACTCAATCAGACGACCTTGATCTAAGACCATAATACGATCGGAATCCAGAATGGTGTCAATACGATGCGCTATGGTGAGAATGGTGAATTCCTTGAACGCACTGCGCACAACCTCTTGAATCAACTTGTCCGTTTCCAAGTCGACATTTGCCGTCGCTTCGTCCATCACCAGAACCCGGGACTTCACTAGAAGTGCGCGCGCCAGACAAAACAATTGCCGTTGACCAACACTGAGGTTCTCACCACCTTGAAACAAGAGCAAAGAATTAAGATTCTTCTTTTTAAGATTAGGATTGGAAGGTAATTTACGGATTGGATTAGATCGAGATTAGGCTCAGAATCAAACTCTAAATTCGGTAATAATTTCATTTCCAGAATCCATGAATATAATCCTAACTTTTAATCCTAAACCTGACCCTAATCCTAAACCTACGCAACTACTTAAACTAAAGGATTAGAATCAAGGATTATATTCGTGGATTCTGGACATGAAATTATTCCTCCACCTTCGACGATGACTCCTTCCAGTCCTCCGGATAAGGCCGCGATGGCATTCTTCAGTTGCGCTACTTCAAGTACGTGCCATAGCGCGTCATCTTCGTGGACTCCTCGCGGGTCGAGGTTAAACCGCACTGTGCCTTGGAACAATATCGGATCCTGCGGAATGATGGCCAAGCGAGAACGCAGAGCTCGCAAAGACATCTGGGATATATCTATACCGTCGATAATAATATGACCTTCAAAATGCTCCAACATTCTGAAAAGGCCCAGTGTGACTGTTGATTTACCGCTGCCAGTACGACCACAGACCCCAATCTTTTCACCTGCCTTTATGTCCACTGAAACGTCCTTGATCGCCGGGGGCAACTCGTGGGCGTAGGCCAGGGTTAAATCTCTTAAACCGATCTCACCTTAACAAGAAAGAACATGTCATCAATTTATAAACCTCAGAGCGAGCTATCCATTACAAATAAGAACGTTAATCCTGTAGTTTAACCGGATAAGAAGAATGATTCGCATTAGTTTAGTTTAGGTTTCCTCCTGTAGTAACACTGGATCAATAAGAGATGATCCTTATTGGATCTCTGGGAAGAACAGTATAGAACAAATTGTTCACAAACCTTTTTCTGGCCACTTCTCACCCGGTTTGATGTCGGCGTCTTTCGGCGAAGGTTCGTTATCAATGTTTGAATAATGATCAACACGTTCGACTGCGTTCATATTCATCTCAATCTCAGTCGCCATGCGCACAACCCAGTTAAACACCTGGGCCACAGCAAGTGCATACGTGAGAGCAAGGCCAACCAATCCTGGGCTGATGGTACCGCTGAGAGCCGCGGCGACCGAGGAAACGGCTGCAAGGAACACAATCATCGCACCGCCATAGTCCAAACGCAACCCAAGCCAACGGTGCGACATTTGTGTGAAGATAAACGCGACGTTGTTTTTGTCGATTGCTTTCTTGATCTGGTGTTGGAAGCGTTCTTGTGAGCGGTACGCACGGATCGTAGAAAGACCTCCTAAGGTCTCGGAGAGTTGAGCGTAGATTGGAGATTTACTGATGCTGTCCAGACGCTGAAGCTCACGAGTACTCCGTCTGAAATAATTTAGAAAGAAATCGTGATGGTGCAAGCCTGACATATGAAGGAATTAATCTAGTCAGTAATTCCTTCATTCTCCCTTCACTTCACTTCAGAACTCACCCCCTTCCTTTTTCCCCTTCCTCATCTTACTCAGCACCTACCTCCCACATCATCAATATATCTTATCCCCCTTCCTTGGCTCAACACCCACACTTCCTCGTTCTCCCACCTTTCTTCACCTCTGCACCCTCTCCCCTTTCTTTTTTGTCCTTACCTCAGCACCCACCCCCCTCGCTTTCCCTCTCTTCCCTGCCTTGGTTATGTTAGTATTAGCGCAAATTTACCTGATGAATCGTTGAACGTAGTAGTAGATGATAATAAACGGCAAGACGACGATTAAAAAATACGGAGTGACTGCTGCTTGGACGACGAGAGCGGCTGTTGCACCCAACATCGTGTTGATAAAGTTTTGAGTTACCACTAAAAGAAAATACTAGCTTTAGAAAATCTGGGGAATGAAGTAAAGGCGTTCAAAATATTCAGCAAAATCTAATTGTAGAACAAGTGTTTTTCAATAATTTCACTGTAAGCGAATATACGGAACATCGTGTAAGAGATATGATTTGAGCGAGAACTATGTTTTAATGCTGTGTCTAGTCTGGTAATTGTTATTATAATGTTTGCACCTCATTCTGTCTAATGAGGAGTAGTAACCTCCTTAGATATGAACGAGAATGAACAACATACTTGGGAGATTGCTATCAATTGCTGTCGTATCCGAAGACATTCGGTTCAGAACTCGGCCAATTGGCGTTGTATCAAAAAACCTCATCGGTGCTCGGACTATACGTCTGAGCATGCGCACGTGCAGTAATTTCGCACCCCGTAGACAACACAGCGCAATGGAGATTGATTTAAAGAACGTCAAGACGACCGCAGCTATGGATAGCCCGGTATATCCAACCAGGTAGTAATCTACATCATGATCGGCTGAGGTGTTGCCAACGGGTCTGTCTGAAGACCAGATCGAGAGCCACCAGTCTGCACCAACAATACCACCTAAAGAGGATATAATATTTCATGAAGATCAACACTTTTAATTTCTTGCTCTCAAAATAACGGTTTCACTTACCCTGGGCGACGACGGCTAAGACAAGGGCAATCACGACGTAGAGGTAGCCACAAGCCTTGGCATAGCTGAGGTACACACGCAAAGCGACAGCGCCTTTTTCTCGTTCCTCTTTCGTTATAAGTTTTCCTTTCTCATCAGCTTGCTCGTTCTCTTCAGCCTCCTTGATCTCCTCCGCCACCGTATGTCTACGATCCCTGACAACCTCTGGTTCCTCCTCTTCCTGAAGAAAATATCCTACAAGTCACATTCTTTGTACCTCACTGTATCTACCTGTACTCTTCCGCTCCTTCCTGTACCTCGCTGAACCTATCTATACCTATACGCACCAATATCTTCATACCTGTACCTCACTGTAACCATTTATACCTACTTCTTCCCATTTGTACCTAATTGAACCTCCTTGTACCCACTTGTACCTCATCGGTCCTATCTGTACCCATTTGTATCTTCCAGTTCCTATCTGTACCCATTTGTACCTCATTGTTCCTACTCGTACCTATTTGTACCTTACTGTATCAAATTGTGCTCAACTGTAGCTTTCTGCACCTACCTGAACATGCTGTTCTCGTTCAATGGATTGCTGGCGCGTGATGGTCAGCGCATTCCTCACGTTGTTAAGTTTCGTGTTCTGGACCTCTTTGAAGGTACTGCAAATAACAGCACAACCGTCCTTCATTACAATGACATTATCTGCTTTGGGGAGATACTGCAGTTGATGCGTCACCAGAACCACGGTGCGGCCCCGCTTGACAAGCATGTTCATGATCGCCTGCTCAAACACGTGCTGACCCACGTGCGCATCGAGCGCTGAAAGAGGGTCGTCAAACATGACGAAATTTGCGCCGGAGTAAACAGCTCTAGCCAGACTAATGCGTTGCTTTTGACCACCGCTGAGGTTAATCCCTTTCTCACCGATCTCTGTTTCATCGCCTGAAAAGGGAAACATTTTAGTTAACTTTTCTAAATGCCGTGCTTACAAATATGAGGGAATGAGGTAGAGTTAGGCTAAGGCACCAATGCACCATATAGGTTATGGGCAGGTGTATCTATGAGCATAACATTGGAGATTGAAATCAATCAAATGTTTTACGTCCTGAGTGCTATTCACGTACCTGCTGGCAATATTTCCAAATCACTCTTCAGAGCACATGCTTGCAGGATGGCATCGTAGCGCTCACGAATGAAGGGTTGCCCGAAAAGAATATTGTTCTTCACAGTATCATTCAAGAGCCAGGCTTTCTGGGCTGCATACGCCACCGTGACGTCGTCAGCCCACAGGACTTGCCCACCTACCGGCGTCATCTCACCCAATAGAGCATTCACCTAAATAAGATAGAGTATGGTCAAAAGAGAAACTGCTTAACCAATTTACGAAAACCACGAATAAGGAGTAGTTTAGTTTTGTACCAAAGAAGATTTTCCACTGCCAACGGGTCCCACAATCATTGTTAGTTTTCCCTTAGGAACATTTACATCAACGTTGGCTATCGTTGGCTCGTCTGCCTCAGGATCCCAGGAGAAGCTTGCCTCGTTAATAACAACGGCAATCCGAGGTGGAATACAGAAATCTGGATCGGTACGTGAGGGTGCCTTGGCATCGTTTTCCTTCGTCTTCGAGGATTCGTCTTTGGAGAACTTTACACTGACTTCGATGGTTGGACTGCCTGGTTGTGAAGCATTGAATAAACTGAGCATTGCATGAAAAAGTAACATATCTAACACGCTAAGGCCTGGTTTGTACCATCAAAGTTTTCTGTAATCATATAGTAGTGTATTTGTTTAGAGGAACTAAACAACTGTACTCAACAGCGGCCTATTTCTCTCTGACATTCCTTAGATGTACTGTACCTAGAGTATCTTGAACTGGCAGCTTTGGAAAACTTGACAGGTGTTATAAAAGCCTTGATAATGTAAGCAGTCAAAGACTCGATGATTTTATCAAGCACAACTAACCCGCATCGGGGATGAAAAACATTGCTGTAACACCTTAAAGTTTGTGAATAAAAGCAACCATAGCACACATATGTACATATGCACTAACATACTGTATTCATACATCCCTTTTCAGATCGGCATTGGTGTGACAGACTTGCAGCTAAAATTACCTGGCGATGGCTTTGGCTCGTTCTTCGTGGGTTTCGTCAGCGGCGCCATCTTGAACTCCTCAGGTCCAGGATTCTCTTCACCTTCTTCAACAACACAGACGGGTGCCTCGTCTCGGAGATGACTGATCTCAGGAGCAAGGAGGAAGGGAAGCAGACGCTTTGTACTCACGCGAGCGTTCACCACTGTCCGTACCAAAAGCGGGACAAGAAACAGCGGCACCTTCATGCATTTAAAGAAGAAAAAAGTTCGATGAAGTTGTTGGCTGCCGATGCATCAAAATGCACCTACTTTGGGATTGTATTTTGTCTAGAGCATGCCTTGGTATTTTACGTTATAGCAAGAACAGAGAGCATGAGTGTTGGTAAATTATATGGTAAGCGCAATTTCTGTGGCAGCTTCAACTGATCGAAGTCAGGGTTGGCATTCGTTTGAGACCATGCAATACTTCACTATCTGTTGCAAATGATTTTCGCCATATTGATAATTGTCCAAAGGTTCTCTTAACCGCTTTCATCCCTCTACTACTAGCCCTTAGGCAATAACTACAGAGCCGCAACCATTTTCGAAGAGCTGTTTTGGACCTTGTTTCTTTCACTTTAATATCAACGCTATAATCAACTAGCAATAGAGTCCCAATAATGGTTGGCTAGCGCTGTGCTGGACTACCAGCCATTGAGACAAAGTTGGACTAACTTGGAAATGGAGAAAATTGTTGATGAAATGATTGAAATATTTGCCTACCTTCATCAGGTTTATCAGAGCTAGCGAAGCAAACGCTTTTGATGCCGTCAACTCCTTACCAGATACCTTCACGTAACTCACAAACATTACAAGAGCCACGATAGTCGTTGTGCAAGTCGTTACGAAGCTCGTCAAGCCGTTCAGAAGAGCACTTTTCAGTTTGACTGAGATTTCACGGCGGCGAATTCCTTCAATGAGCTCGCAGAAGAATCCCTCCCAGGCGTAGAGCTTCAGTAGTTTCATTCCTTGTAGCATTTCGTTTGAGTTCTTTAAACGTTCGTCGCTGATACCTTTAGTAAGCAGAGTATTCATCCAGTGATATTAGATATATTACAGTCAGAGTCGTTGAGAGGGGATGGGGGCACTGGTAATTAGGTAGGGGGACCTACCTGCTTTTAGGGGGTGGGCTGTTTGAGTGGGGGAAGAGACATTAGAGAAAGGTGCTGGGTGCAACTAGAGATGGTAAGACTGTTAGAGAGGGAGTGGTAGGCTATTGGAGAAAGGGAGGCCTATTGGAAAAGGGGAGGCCATTTGGAAAGGCAGTGGTAGACAATTGAAAACAAGAGCTATAAAGAGAAACTATCATCTTATTACTTCACTCCCTTCCATACCATGCTCTCTGTTGAATTCAGAATATTTGCTACCAAATAGTATACAGTCAAAATTTTCACACTATACCTAAGCCAATCTTTTGGAATTTCCCCATTTTAGCAGCTAAAACATAGTTTATTGGAATGAGAATCAACAGCACAATAAAGCCAAGAAATGCAGCGACTCCAAGTTCGTTGACGACAAAAGCTAGTGCCAAGACCAGCTTCAGTGGTGCGGCCCAAATATTATGCAGGAAGGTCATTGACAATGCAATGTTTTGAGTATCAGTTGATATATGATTCACAATTTGTCCTGAATCCATTTTGCCCCCAGAAATGGTGAAACTTGAAAGATTTAAGCCTTTGTTGTAAATCATCACCTGCAAATACAAAATCTTAGTGGGCACTTTTAAAAAGGAGAGAATAAGAATTTTCTTATGCTTGCACCCCTTCTGAGCACTGGGTCATAGGCTCTGGATATTTTGCCCCCTATTGCCAGTCATCATCCCAGAACATGCATAATTCTATCAGTTTTAACATGTTTTGCACTCAAAGTGCTACTTAATAGCCTAGGATCTAAGTTTCAATGTGTCATTGCTTTCATTCAAACAAATAGTTGCTAATATGATCTTAAGAATTTTTAGCTGATAAAGACTCAAATTATTTTTTTACCTGTAAAGATGCCCTCAAATTCATTGAATAACGTAGGGCATTATAGAAATAGTACTGTATGAAAGTACTTGATGCTATGTTTCCCACCAAAATCACAACAGAGAGAACAAAACCATTGCTGAAAAAATCCGAAATTGACATGTGTAAATTGTCTTCATTTGGAGGCTTCACTTCTTCGCCATTTGACTTCAAAGTCCTTTCAACATAAGCGACAATCTGCTTCAAACATAAAGGACCAATAAAACTAAGTAGATCTCCAATCAGACGACAGGTTGCAGCAGTTAAAATGATTTTTCGATATGTTAAAAAGAAGGCAAGCCATATTGATGGTGTGGTCTGTTTCTTAGCAGCACGGACCTTTTCCGCCTCCCAGACTTTCATGAAATGCTTGTGGTTATGGTCGGCCTTATCAACCGATGGCAGATCACCAAGATCCTCCGGTTCAAGTGGACGACTGTTGCCGAGTTTCAGCATATCGTACATCCACGAGAAAGTACACCTGGATAAAAAGTTCGAAAAGTCATGGACAAACTTAATCTTTCCTTCTTGAAAATTCCTGCAAGAATCCTCCTCCATTTCGCTTGCATTAGCCCTGCTCCATGCAGAACCTCTGGACCTCTGTGGAAGATGTGAAAAAATAACTCTCCGTTCAATAATGAGCAAAAGTATGTAAAAGAGAAGTATAAGAAGATTTGTGGACAGACGTATATCATACGGTCCTTCAGCTTGGTATAATTGCACGAATTTTACAGCCCACATAATCACGCTACTCAGCCAATACAAGATGATAATTGATAGCTTCTTCACTGGCGATTCATGGCTGACCTCAACAATATCATAGTACACGGTAACGATGATTAGGCAGACAAGTGCGAGTATATTTGGTAGGTAAAGATGCAAAGGTGTTGTGGAGATCTGTTGTTGATACATGAAACCTTCGCCGATCTTCGCCAGGTACGACAGAGCCAGTAGAATCGTTAGCATCCATCTCAGCGAGTGATGTTTAAATCTCACGCAGGACTGGCCGAAAACTTCAGATTTTCCTCGCAAAATGAGGACCAGAGCTGGAATCAATACGAACAAGACTATTGCAGTAGGAATTAAGAATAGTGTGTCCACAAAACAGCTTGTAAGCACGCCATTTTCACGGACTTTTATGCCACTCCCGGAGCACCAAGTAACCGCCATGATGCTTGTTGTTTGTCAAAGGATTACACTCATTTTCAAATTTAGGCGTCTTCAAAAAAGCCGCACAGATGTTGTAATATTAGTAATATGACCTTACGAAAATAATTATCTCTGTATAAACATAAAAACAACGGAAAACATGTGCCTTGAGTTTTATCAAAATAGATTATAAAGAGTAAAACTGATTATAAAGAGTTTTTTATACATCATATTCTTTAGTGATATTGGTCTAGCACTACAATTTGCATGTAATGGACACCCACTGTAAAAAAAATGAAAGGAATTTTATAATGGTTACAATTTTCATTCATTAATTATCCTGCAGGTGCTTGCAAACATGTTTGAAAGATGCAACGAAAAGTTGAAAACCTGTTGAAAATTTTTTCACGTCGACATTTATGGCGTGGCGGATATCACATCAATATTTATGGCATGGCAGTTTAATGTTTAATTTACAGTGAAATAATCAAACGAAACAGAGAATATTTGATATTTTGCAATGTTTTAATTTTTGGTGTGTATAAACCTAATGTTTCAATTTCCCAGAATTTGTAGCAATTTTACGATAATTTATTGGTAATGTAGCAATTTTTTGGGAAAAGTCTGCAGCAGATTTTGATATTGATAAGGTTCTTTGCCTAAAGTTCAAATATTTCAGAAAATTAAATCATACATCACATGGTGATACTGGAGGGAAAAAATGGTAACAGAATACGGTTTTAAAAAATATTGTTATTTGACTCTTGAGGTTTCAACTTTCAATGACATTTGTTTATAATTATACCTTCGTCGCATGGCAACGCACGTTCAGACATTCCAAATAACAAAACTACAAGAGGACAACTTGACATCGAAATGGCGATATATTTGCCTCCCATCTCTCGAAAAAAGAAAGTCGAAAGAGCGGTAATGTAAGTGGAATATATATCTTTTCAGATCATCGGTATTTCATTTTGTACTACGGGTAATGAACTCCCAGCGAGTGTTATAAATTTGTTTGTATTAACTATGCGGGGTCCATAATCATTTGATCTGGGTCACAGTTTTTGAAAGCTTTTCTTAATCTTTCACTGCAGTATCCTAATAGGATTGAATGTGTCTGGAAAATGTGCAGAATTTATTCTCAATCCTTGATTCTTATCCAAATATAGAAGTGTGTTCTGCTTTTAACTTTTAGCAACAGCAAGGCAAAGCTGTTTAGTGCAGACATTAGAGATCCCACCACATCTACCCAGTCAATATACCAGCAAGATTTTCTCAAACACACAACACCACCTGCAGAGTTGCGCATCACATCACCAGGACGACGCAACAAACCGCAGCCAACTTCTGTGACTTTTAACTGGAAAAACTCCAGGTCCTTGTGCGAGCCTGTTTGCTGTGTGGCGACAGAGTCTGTCAGGACTAAACAGGCAGAGTGGTGGCCGAACAAAATACCCAAAGATGAAAAACCACATCCCAGCTATTCTTTGGACTCCACCTCTCGTTCAGACTATAAACCTATTGACATTGCAGAATATGTAAAAATGTGTCAGAAGCAGACAAAGCAATTGATAGAAACCAGAAAAGCACAAGCAACTGGCCGAGAAAAGATCTCTTATGAACATAAGTACAACTCAAGGTTACCAAAGAACCAGCCTGATCGAGGCAAATTGCATGGAAGTTTTATTAATGGTGAAATTTTTACATAAAAGTGCAGTTATATAGATTTCGGTTGAATGAAAATGATAATGTATGTAAATGGAATAAAATATTTGTAGATCTTTTTAAAAAAACAATCTGTGTTGGTGACAGTAATCCTCTTGCTTCTGGATATGTGGGTGCATTGCCAATAATAGGCACATGATTCATCTCATGCAAAACAGCAAGGCATTACAATACATGCAACCTGTTTCTGCAGAATAAGTAGCCCTAATCAAATCACTTTTTAAGCCAGCTAGGGCATTTTCACACAAAACACAATGCTATATATGATATAAGATACAAAATATAACAATTCAATGAAGATTCTATCAAACACATCACATTACACTTTCATTTTATGGTCATATCATAATTGTTTCATCCAAATGAATATTTTCATAGACGTCACATTTATTATAATTGTTTCACTCATATGAATATTTTCATAGACCTATGCTGACTTTGGTTTACCAGTACGCCAAACAAATTCACTAAATATCTTGCCGATCAAATACAATCCAAATGTCAACAATCCTGATGCTATCAAAAAGATGAAGACACCAACGTTGGACATTTTCTCCATAAATGGGTACACCCAAAAATGTGCATGGTGAGCGATCCAGAGCAACCAACCGATGTAGACACCACTGAAGAACATTAAACCAATTAGAGCGAATAACTTTCTTGGGTATATGTGCTGGATGGTAAACGCTTGAATGAAACAAACTACTATTGGTAGTGTGTGGTAACCATGGTTCATCCAGAACGGATACAGTTTGTCTTCTTCTGGTTTACGCATGAATGTTGGGTTGACTGTGTAGAGTATCCAAAACATCGAACATACAAACATTGACAATGGAAAAACGATTACAGTGAAAGTATAATCACGAATGCTCTTCCATATATCGTTGTCCCTTTCCTTCGAGTAGACAAGGAAGTCAAAGATTGCGGCGATGTTGTTGTAGAAAAGGCCGAATAAAAAGCTCCAAAAAGTCAAGAATTTAAACCTCCCTGCATAGATTAGATGAGTCGGCAAGTTCATGTAGGCATAGTCACATGTTACAACGGCAAGATACAACATAAAACAGCCATAATGTAGCCAGAAAGATTGAGGAATCGAAGCCATTTTTATAATCCTATAAACAATCTTATTATGCAATAGATCAACTCGTATAAATTATTCAACAAATATTCGCGTCATATGTCAAAGTTCGATCATAAATCGTCGATGAAAAATGTAAACACGATAATTTAAAACTGTGGTTTAGAGCAATTAGAATGATTTCATGTTTCAATTGCTACAAAGATGTTTTGTAATATGTAATTTGTAACTTTCTAAAGTTTTGATACAGTTGTGTTCGTATTATCACTATTTTTATCCTACACAACACTTGTACAATTTTTCAAGCGCCTAAAGTTTCATTTGGCTTGTGAAAGAACGTTTCTAAAATATTTCACAATGCATATGCAGTAATTCATTTAAAAAGCGCTACATAATGCTTTAAACTCTGGCGCATAACGCGTGAAAACAGCCCTTAGTAGTTGGTTTAATAGGCCATGACTGGAAAAATTCGCTGAAGAATTTTCCCGCCTAGAAATCTCCACCAATCAGGTGCGTTGATGCACAAATATAAGCCAATCATATTTAAGCGGATTGCTTTTTCAAAAGGAGACGCTGCCTACAAATCTTCCCGTTTGGATGAACTGTTCACATTCAAACTGCCATTACTCTTTTTATTTCTCACCTTGTTGCCTTTTCCCCCTATTTTATTCTCTGGCTTACCATCATCCTTACTATCTCTTGTCCTCATCCTCTTACCAAGTTTTTCTTTCCTTTTTGTTTTATTTGTCAGTTTTCCTCTTTTTCTCTTGCTTTTCATGGCCATACCAAGAGCTTTCAAACAACCTATGAAATAACTCAACTCAATATATTGACCTATATTCATCACCTGTATACTGGCTACTTCAGTGCAACACATCATCTACAATAAACATAAAAACACCTTTGTCTAAGTCCTTCTCTGATAAGATCCTATCTCTGCATAACCAGTTGTAGAGATTGCTGTCTTGGTGTTTGTAATACCATTCACTAATATCTTCCTCATATTCTTCTACCATATTTTCACACTGTAAGAAAACAAGTACTATAAACATTTCTTCCTTCAATTTAAGTTAGTTGACAAACATCTTAAATGCACCTGGGTTTTCAGCTTGACCACTTCAGCATCTGGTGCATTCCACATTTCATCAGGAAAGCCAAGATTAACCTTCACTCCACGGTCCCTGAGCGCATTTAAAGTCTTAAATGTTGCACTCTCATCTAAAAAGATTACAGCAGCACCTTTAATGCGTTTTTTAGAAGGAAGTCAAGATTTCACAACTCAGTCATTTTTACACCCATACCTGGTGAATATCTTTCATGATCTTTCTTATCTTTGTGAACTTTGTACTTTCTAAAATTCTCACAAACATTTTCAAGTGCTTCTATAAGCCGCAATTCTCTAAAATAATAAAGTTAAAAGTATACTGGCTGTAAGATACCATGCTTTAGTTGGACGCGTTGTACCATCATAAGTGTTGCTATATTCAACTTACGAGTTCTTGTATATTATCGTCTTTCTATGTTTCTCGGTTTGCAAGTCATGTCCTAGTTTGAGCACATCTTTTGAATTTGATGCTGAAAGCTCATTCAAGAATACATCAACGGTATGCTTACAAACTGTAAAAAGATAAAAAGATCAGGTCAAATTCAGCTCTAATACATAACTAATAGAGGTATATTTTGGGTGCATTATTTGCATAATCACCATGGCAAAGAGTTGGAAATTTTTGTATCGAGTCTTCCCCAATAGATTCATAACCACCAATGCTTAAAACAGTAAGATACACGAGCAACTTCATCTTCGACTTTGAGGATCAACATTGTCAAAAATAATTTTCTGGGGGGGTTTAAATTACAGTAAACAACAAAATGTAAACAATAATTAAAACTGTGCTTCCACGTTGTTTATTTTATTAAATTATTTATTTTATAAAAGTGGATATTTGCAAAAAAAATATAAAATATAAAAATATATAAAACAATATAAGTTCACGCGTCCGATAATTTAGTAACATTAATTTATTTGAAATAAATTTATTTGAAATATTTTTTAATTTTTTAGACTCGACTTCCTCATTTTACAAAATTTCATTTTAAAAAATATTTCATAATATCAGATTATGGAAGCATCGCTACTTACCAGACTCTTCTTCATTGCGCAATTTCCAATATGGCTTCCAAAACAGTGTTTTTGGAGCGGACATTCTATGGTTGTTTACGGTTACCTGGTTAGTAAAAAATACCCGAAAATTTTACGATGCTGTCATAAATCGACTTATCGAGTTCTTGTCTATTTCACAGGGCTGTTACGTTCCCAGTTTTCTTTAAATTTCGTCCGCAATGCGTCGAAGAAATCAGGTGGAAGCACCAAGAGTCAGGGAAAGCGACAAAACCCGAAACATTTGGGAGCAAAACGAGGGGAAGGTAAAGTTACTGGAGCATGAAATCAAGGATAATGAAGACAAATAAAAGAGCAGTTCCGTGTGAAAATTAGGAATCCTCAGTTACAATTAGGAATCCTCAGTTAGAATTAGGAATTCTCAGTGACAATTAGGAATGCAATTATTCTATTAAAAAACCTAATTAGCCAATTACTCACCTTATTTAAACTGTCATCTTGACGGTATCTTTTCTTAAATAGGTGAACATGTCATCCCTGGAACGATATTGTACCGTCAAAGAGGTTACCGATTTCATCCTGGTGAAAATGTACGTATACCCGTGTGAAAACGTCCATATTGATTTAATATCATGTTAATTGTGTATATTTTCTCTTCCAAGGTTGGTGTAGGTCGGGATCACACGCTGTATGCATTGGTGGAAGGCAAGGTGAAGTACACAAGAGAATTACTCGAGCCATATCCCTGGGCTTTGGGAAAATCTGGTCCTTACCACGAACGAAAGTTCATCCATGTTATTGGAAAACCTTTTGTACCTAAATATGTCTTAGTCAATAAACAAGACTTTGTAATTAAATAAATAAAAATGATGAAACCAACACTTATTTCATCGTGTATAATTTCAACAGACTTTACATCCACTTTATTTGTGTTCCATCTATTCACTTTATTTGTGTTCAGGAAATTCACGATTTACAATCTTGCTGTTACCTGCTTCGAATGCGTAATTAAGAACGATATTTTATGTACAATTTCTATGGATTGTTTTGTCGTTTTTCGACAAATCACGAACCTATTACCATTGCTGAAGAATCATTCGTCTACAGACTTCAGTGGCGAAGCCAGCCTGACGATTTAGTCATGCTATTCAAATTTTATGTTATTATCATTATTCATTTCTTTAAAAATTCATTGAAAATGCATGACTAAATTGTCAGGCTGGCTACGCCACTGTTCCTCCCTTGAAAACGTTTCCTTCTTAACAATAGCGAGGTTTAGATTATTGAGTGTGATCACCATTTTATGGCTGTATTGACTCTCTAATCCCTTTTTTTGAAGCCTTGGCATCCATCTTTCATCGGAAGCACCTAGATTTTCAGCCTATAGGATAATTCTGTTCTCTTTCGCAAGATCCTCATAAAGACCACTGAAGTTACCCTTCGATTTCCGATTTTCCAAAAACTGCCGTCACAACTAACCATTTAAATTATTTGCCTCTCATGAAAGCCAAGCCAAGGAGTTCTTGATTTGTAAAAAAATCTTTTCTGATTTCCCAAAAGGGATTAAAATATTTCATGCCTTCCAGTAAAGCACTTCTCACCTTGGTTTCCATCAATCTGGCTTTGGCGAGAACGTCCGCATTTGCTTTAGTTCAATTTGTCCATCGACAACTTCTTCCTGAGTTTTAGATCGTCTTGAACGCGCTTTTTCTTTTACAAATTTTGTCGCAGACATGGTTAACTTGACGACGCGTTTCTCAAAGGTTTCACGCATCAGAACGTCGGCTAACTTTTCTCGCGACGCTTTTAGATCTTTCATTAAGACGGCGACAAGAACGTTGAGGAGGACGAAGTGTGTTGCCAAAACAAACGTCGTGAAATACAACGGAGCCGTGTATTTACTGAAGCAACAGTTTTTCTTGCAAGTCGCCGATGAGTCGCATGATGGACGCAACGTGTCCTGAAGCATAAGCAATCGTTAGTAGCACCTAAACTAATCTAACTTTATTTATACTGGATAGCTATATCAGTTCTAAACTGTTCTTCCTAGAGGTCCAGTAAGTATCATCTCTTTTTGATCCAGTGTTACTACAGGAGGAAACCTAAACTAAACTAACTTTATTTATACTGGATAGCTCTATCAGTTCTAAACTGTTCTTCCTAGAGGTCCAGTAAGGATCATCTCTTAGAAGTTAATGAAATCGGAGGTGGATATTTAGATGTCTTACTCACCATGAAAATAGTGTTCCAATTGTCTCCAGTCGCGACACGAAACAGCGTCAACATGGCGGTTGGAAAATTACGAAAATGAGCATGTGTATCAATGCCCTGGCAATGGTAGCCGTTTGAGCATTCTGGAACACATAAAGAATCGTAATTTTTCGAGAAAGGGAAGATGTGTGAGGGGGAGGATATGACATAAATATGAGGGGGGGAATAATAATTTTAGAAGCGGATTGTAAATTAGAAGTTATAGTTTACCTATCGAGCCGAATAATTGAATGCCAAGTGAGGAATATATGAAAAAGAGGAGGAAAAGCACGATACCGAGGTTAGCAACCTTTAAGAAACAGAATATGGGATTGTTAAAATACGACTTGTATTCGGAATCTTAGATTATAAAATGACCTCTCTCGACTATTTTACATACCTGAGGAAGCGATTTTATGACAGTATCTAGCAAAGATCGCACGCCTTTGGCTACCTTGAACAGCTTTAGCACTATAGAAGTATACAAAACAATAAAGTTTGGAATCCATGAAGCAAATTAAGAGATTAAAACTAGGCGCCGGTTTTACAAAAGCTGGATAGCGCTATCCACCGGATAGTGTTTTTTTTTCAATCGCTTTAATTGCCCGTTGTTCGGTATAACTTTGACTAAGTCTTAGTATTTCTAAATTGAGGATCCTTTTTAACAATTGTTGGTTCCAAAGCAGAAATTTGATTGCTTTTTTAACATTTCAACAACGGTTGGAAAAAGTCCCTATCCGGTGGGTAAGCGCTATCCGGCCTTCGACTTCGTACAGCCTGCTCCAGGTGCTCCAGGGATATTTGGGTAAAACATTTCTGTTTGTACCTCTGATGATTCTCAAAACACGAAGACTGCGTAGAACGATGGGTTTCACGTTGATTTTCAGAGCTTTGTTCATCAAATCCATGATAATACCAACAACGGAGAAGATAACGATGAGAAAATCCAGAATATTCCATCTGCCATGGAAAAAAAAGATAAAGAATTGTCTTGAAGTTCACTTCTTAGAGTTCGTCTCTACAATTGAACTCTGACAATGTGAATATTTAGTTAAAATGACTATAGTGCTCAGTCTTTCTGGATTTTAATAATCTTCGTACCTGTCATTGAAATAGCATTTCCACCCAACGGCAGTGACTTTAATAAACGCTTCTATTATAAAAATTAAAGTACAGACGTAGTTGTTTACGTCCAATAAAAGTTTGTATTTTTCGGACATTTTGTAATGTTCCAGTGACATCAGGATGACGTTGACGCAGATGACGACAGCGATGGCTAGGTCCCAGTACTTGTTGTGACAAAGACGGAAGCAGCGACCACGAAATGAAGACGGTTTCAGACCACCTAAATCGTCTAGTTGCAAAATGGTTACATTGTAAATATGTCAGACTGTTAATACTGTATGGTTTGACTCTTAGGGGGGGGGGGCTATTTGACTCTTAGGGGGAGGGGGCTATTATGGATAGCTATTATGGATAACTATGTCAATTTTGTTTTTAAAAACACTTTCTCTTCGTCGGACAGATGAAACCAAGGAATAGATTTGAAAGTTCTGGTTTTCAGGATAGAACTAACGGAGGAGATCTGAGAGAACTTCAACGCTTTCAGCAAACGATTATCTGCTGGAAATTAAGGTCAAGACACTGGACTTCTCAGAGAAAACGTGATCAATTTCGCATATAGAGCATATCTGAGAGAGCGTGCAAATATACATGCATAAACCGCGGTAGTAATCAATTCACCACTTTGCTTACCATATCTCGTCTTATCTACAATCTTCAAGGAATCGTCTGTCTTTTGCGACTTGATTCTTCTATCTGCCCTTTCCTGCTTCTCTTGACAGAGTTGATAATTATTGACAACGATACCTACGACCATGTTCAACACCAGAAATCCAACGACCATTAAGAAGCCCATAAAATACAAAACTTTCCATGGATTGTGGTTTTCCCTCGGCTAAAATGCGAGCAAAAATAAAAAGTGTAGTTCTTAGGACCTAAATTATTGAGTTTGTTTTGCCTCCCTAAAGCCGGTCTATGGTGGCTAAATTATTAAATAAATTGATCTAGAAAATGTAAGCACATAGCTCCTAGCAACTGTCTTATGATTGTACGATTCGCTACCGTCTTTTAAAATGAATAGAAATTCAGATTTATTTCCCATCAACGGTTCTCGTTTCCTCATATTCTAGACTGAATCAATAGTATTTAATAATAGACCTTTTTCACAATGACGTCAAACGTGGAAGTCTGATGTTACACGAAGTTTGATTGGCTCGATAGTTTTGTGCATGGAGCCAATCAAATTTCGTGTAACATCAGACTTTCCGCGTTTGACGTCATTATAAGAAAGGTCTATTGCATGTATCTAAAACTCACCTGCTTATCAACCCCGACGGCATCTACCCCATAATGCATCACAGTCACCCACCCATCTCTGGTTGCCAAGACGAACAACGTGACCAGCGCCTAAAAAGCGCAACACTTCATGTAAACGAATGGATAACTAAGGCATGGTGACAATATATACCCGACCGTATCCTATGTGACAAGGACCTTGCTAACTATCCAGAATGGTCATACCTGAGCCAGATTATCAAAATTATAAGGACGATTTGTCCAGTTTCCATTTGGCATTTGCGTACATTCGTGTTTTGTATCCACGAAAGGATGGCTTTCGCAATGGTGAAAGGTCCCTTTGAATAACTGGAGATAAACCAGAAATGCATTATTTTAACAATTCACTAAATTTGATTTTGTGAATTGTGAATTTTGTGATTCACTCGTTTGATTTTTTTTAAAAATAACTAACCTGAACTCCGAGAATTCCAAACACAACAAAAAAGATGCCAGCGATGAGAACGGTGTTCCCAATCGGTTTTAGAGACCGCAGCAGAGCTCCAACAACCAGCTTCAATCCAGGTGCTCGCCGAATCATCCTGAAAGATATACATACTGCATCAAAACAAATGACACGTGAAGGCTGGTAAACTATCCAGTTAAAAATTGCTCTCATACCTCAACGGGCGCAGTGTTCTAAGCGCTCGCAGTACTTTGACTGAGCCGAGTATCCCAGGGCTGGTGCTGTGAAACGATGACGTGATCACGTGTAACCAGGAGACGAGAACGATTATGAAATCCAAGACGTTCCAACCGAGACGCAAGTAAGTGTCCTTACCTAGCACCAGTCCTTGCGCTATCACCTACAGTGAAGAGGACTTTAATGAACTTATACTTCTCATCAATAGCATGGGAACTGCTAGTGCTGTTTTCCACTTACACGTTTTTCATACGCACGTACACGCACGTAAAAGTCTAAATCCGTATATATGTCATATTTGAAAAAGCTAGGTGAATAAATCGAAAGAACTTAGTTTTCCACATTTTTTAGTGTGAATCTCATATTCATGCATTAGTTTATTCACTCACACCAATTAAGGACCTCTGGCATAATACTTTATAGTACTTTATTTTTTATCTCATTAAACTAAGCTATGATGACCTTACCTTAATCACAACTTCAATCGTAAAAAGTATAGTGAAAACCAGGTTTGCAGTATAAATTACATCTGTATTCTACAGATAAGGAAAACAGGACACTTGTAAGATAACGATGACTCGAAGCATTAGGTATTTAAAACGTTGCAAAAATTACCTGTTTTACATCCATAGGGTAATCGAAGACCATGAAACAACAGCTAACCACGATTAGGAACAGCACAAAATTATCAAACATTTTACTGTTTGAGATTCTCTTCATGAGCTGACGAAATAAGTTATCTTCAGAAAATATGAATAATGATTTTGACGAACTTTTATCAACATGTTTCTAAAAGGATAGAAATCATTATAAATCATTAGCATCATTATGAAAATTGATTACCATAGATCATCACCATCATTATAAATAATGATCATCATCAATAATCAAACAACATCATGATCATACAAAATATTCAACCTGATCATTATCAATATTATCGCCATCAATTTTATCATAAGCAATGATTAAATTATCACCATAATCATCAATGATTATCATCATGGATAATCAATCATCGCCACCATCATCATAATCAACGATCAAACATCATCATCATAAATTATCATCGTGATCAATATCGATCATCATAACATCTAACCTTTTGATGTTTCTCAATACTTGATGTCTCATCGTATTTAATGTCTCCGTCTACATCTGTGATAACAATCTTTGGCTTAGATCGAGCAGAAGAGAGTGTTTCTTCATCAGAAAATCCTCCATTATTGCAAGCCGAATTGTGGTCCGGTTTCGTTTGATGAAAAATGGAAGAACTTTCCTTCGTCGGGGAAAATCCTTTCTCCTCATCGTTGTAACTTGTGGAAAAGGCTTTGTTGTTAAAATGATAGGACATGATTGGATTTTTTGTTGGTCCTCGGACAAACGTTTCGTCTTTTGGTGCTGAGGAAAATGCTCTCATAAAAAAGTTGGACGATTTTCGAGGAGTGTCGAGGCTGGATTTTGAATCAATATTATAAGGTTTCCCCATAACACCGCGCATGGCTGATGCACAGTAGTTTAAGGGATTCTTCACTGTGTTCTCGGTAAATGTATGTTCATCACGAGGGCTCTCATCGTCTGGTATATCGCTGAAATCATCTTTCTCTGGTTCAGGAGTAGTTGGCTGTTCCTTCGCCTGTTTTATTAAGGCAAGCCAGTCTGTTGTTGGCTTGGGTGCAACTGATTCTGTTGTTTCTGGGGCTTTGCGGTCTTCTGACTCGTCAAAAAGCTAAATAAACGAAATAAAAAAGGATGAGTTTGAAAAACTGTTTGTCTTGCACAAGACTTTAAGGGAAAACGATTGTAACTGACGCAGCTATGAACTATAGATTGGTTTAAAACCTTTAGTTGACATGCTTACCAGAGGGTTGGTAAATCCTTCTACCAAAATGGCGACTAGGAGATTGAACAACACGTAATATCCAATGATAGTCAAGATGATAAAATATATTCCTGCCCAATGATTAGTTGATCTCATAGCACTCTGCATTACTAGGTTCCAATCTTCCAGTGTGAGTACCTACAAAGTACTGCGAGCTATCAAATCGAATATCACTTGGTTATGTTCACAATCACAATTGGAAACGACAGCTTATTGTAGTACACTACCTACACTGGACCACCATGTTTAAGATATCTTTCTCAGGTAGTTCAGACACAAACCACGACAGCTTATTGTAGAATACTACCTACACTAAACCGCCACGTTTGAGATATCTTTCTCATATAGTTCAGACACAAACCACGACAGCTTATTGTAGAATACTACCTACACTGAACCACCACGTTTGAGATATCTTTCTCAGATAGTTCAGACACAAACCACGACAGCTTATTGTAGAATACTACCTACACTAAACCACCACGTTTGAGATATCTTTCTCAGATAGTTCAGACACAAACCACGACAGCTTATTGTAGAATACTACCTACACTGGACCACCACGTTTGAGATATCTTTCTCAGGTAGTTCAGACACAAACCACGACAGCTTATTGTAGAATACTACCTACACTAGACCACCACGTTTGAGATATCTTTCTCAGGTAGTTCAGACACAAACCACGACAGCTTACTGTAGAATACTACCTACACTAGACCACCACGTTTGAGATATCTTTCTCAGGTAGTTCAGACACAAACCACGACAGCTTACTGTAGAATACTACCTACACTAGACCACCACGTTTGGGACAATCAATCACGACAATCTTACCTGAAATATGGTTACCATAGCAGCAGGGAAAGTATCAAAGTTACTTCGAACTGTTTCCATGGTGCAGTTTGCGTTGGGTAGACTTAATTTCCCGCCAAATAAATTCATTCCCAGGACAGCGAAGGTGAACATGAAGAGGAACAAAAGCGCGGTAAACGTGACCACACTCGTCATAGTGTGAACCATAACAATAAGCTGATGTCTGATTGGTCGAATGAGACGAAATATTCGGAGCAATCGTATGCTTCGTAGGACCGAGAGCCCGCCGCTACCTTGAAGGACGATCAACTCGATAATACTAGAGAATCAAGAATTTGTAAGTTAAGTAAGTTTTGAATTTCAGGCCTGAAGAAATGTGTCACAGAGTTGCAGTTGTCCATCGATTTTGACAACATTGAGGTATATTTTGCTGGCAACAAGAAACGTTTTGCCTGCAAACCTGAGAAGTATTTTCGAACAGTATTGTTGATACATAAAAACAAGACTGTTGAAGATATCTTTGCCGTATTTTTCTGAACGTAGATACAATTATTTAAAAAGACTTTAAGTTACCTCGCAAACACAAGGCTTACTAAACGCTAATACTGAACTTCTCCATTTTAAGGACATTTGCAAATAAAGAGATATGTAGAAGATGAAAGTCATACCTTATAATAACGATGAAACCGTCAAAAATATTAAACCATTGGCTCACATAACAGCGGATTCCTTCGCCAGCGATTTTGATGATCATCTCAATAGAAAATATCGTGATGAAAACGACATTTGAGATTTCAAGAAATTCGTACAACGACTCAGGCTATAAATATAAAGATGTACTGTCAGGAGGAACGGGGAAGATAGAGACTTGGGGAAGAATACCAAGTTAACTGTCGACTCTCAATTCTCAAGATCTCAATCGACCTCATTGTCTTGGGTGTAACATCCCCAAGCGTCCATACACCCTGTCCTATCATCCATCTCACCTGCTGGTAATGTTCAGTTGCCATGGTGACTGTATTCAGTACAATCACGACCATGATGAAATTGATGAATGTCGCGTTATTTGTGAGCCTCGCACAGATTTCTAAAAATCTTTGCCAGAGAGTCCGCTCTTGAGAAACGTAATATAAACCATGTCTTTGAATATCAAACATACTACCAAATCTATCATCCAGGCTCCCTTCTCTTCCTCTCCTTTCATTTGTTTTCTTTGAAAAAGAAGTAAAAGTTTAGAATTGATAGAACTATCCAGTATAAATAAAGTTAGTTTAGTTTAGGTTTCCTCCTGTAGTAACACTGGATCAATAAGAGATGATCCTTACTGGATCTCTAGGAAGAACAGTTTAGAACTGATAGAGCTATCCAGTATAAATAAAGTTAGTTTAGTTTAGGTTTTCTCCTGTAGTAACAAACTGGGCATCTAGGAAGAACAGAGTTTAAATAAAGTAAGTTTAGTTCTATATATTCATAAAACCTTAACAGGAGTGATCTTAACATCTTCAAGCGACGTGCTTCTTTTTCTGTATGTAGCGACTAGCGGTGGAAGTTTTAGATCCGTAGAACCTTTTGATGAAACAAGACCAGATTGTTGTAAATTTGCCACATCTAAAGTTTGTAAACTACTTCGCTTAGGTAAAGATTTGGTTTCTGGACTAGTGGCAACAAGTGTACCAACACTTGGTGTTGAGCTTTTATCCTCTTCTTTTGAGGAACGTCTTATTCGAGTATTTGAAACGCCTAAAGCATTGAAACTCGGAGTCGTTTTCTCCATTACTTTACAGGAGGAATCCGTGTCCTTCAGACTAGGAACCTCGAGTTTTTTCAAACTTGCTGTCCTGTCCTTGTTTACTTCATTCAAAGCGTTTTTAGCTTGCGAATTGAAAATCGGCGAACTTTTTTCGGTGATCTTTGGAGAGGCAGCTGGTCCAACCGGATCGAATTGTGTTTGTTTGGTGGTTGATTCTGTCGTCTGCGAATTCGGTATTTTTACAGGAACTTCTGATTCTTTGGCAGGTTTTTGTTTGGTCTGCTTTTTCAGCGAAGCGTTTGCGGTGCTTATCAATTCTGTCTTCGCAGATTTCGTCCGTTCAGTTGGGTCATCATGGACTTGACATCTTACATTCACGCGAAATGTGGCAGAAGCGGAGGCAGACGCTAATTAGAAAGAAATCAGTCAAATCAATTACCTAATTAGTACTTAATTAATCAATGAATAGATATTACCTAGACTCGAAAAAGCGGACGTTTTTGTCAGATCTTCATTGGAACACAACGACACCGCATCGGGGGGGACGCACACCTGCTCCGAGGAGACCGATTCAACCGACAAGGTAGGGGATAGCCTCCCGGAAACATGTGGGGAAGTGGGGGAGAGAAAATTCTGAGAAATCTTACAGTTTGATGTCATTTCTAGTGATATAATAGAGTCGCTGGGTTCTCGAACGGAGCTTTGGTGGGAGATATGGACGGTGGGGTTTCGAGGCAGGTCACCCCCCGGTTGGTCGTGTATTACAGGTGGGGTATGACAGACTGAACTATGATGTGAGACAACCACAGTAGGATTCCGGGGGATGTTTGCCCCTGAATCATCCTGGGGGGACTGTACCACGTGTTCATGATGGTAGTAGTGGTGAAAGTGATGATGGTGATGGACGTGTTTATCAGATCGTTTGGTAATCGTGTCGCTGAGGTTGGTTTTCACAACACTCAAAACCTTTCCCCATTTTGTCTGTTTGAACACGTTCTCTGCTTGTAGTTTCCTCTGACGATCTTCCTCCAACAGTTGCAGTTCCCGAGTCTTCGTTTCCTGGAACTGCATGGCTAAGACCACAAGGCACAGGTTGACCAAGAAGAAAGGACCGATCTAGATAAGACAGAAAATTGAGATTTCAGGGTTTGCATCCAAAAGGCAAATGTTACTCGAAGAAAGGTTTAACCATAAACGACAATAAAGAAAACGTTCTCTTGTTATTCTAATTAACCGCTCAATGTACCGTGATAATTTTGAGCTTGAAACATAGTCAAAATTCTAACAAAATAATCGCCGTTTTCCGCAAACGTAAACTAGTAACGTGTTGCAAGTAAAATCTTTTGAAAGAATGAAAACACTTTGACAGCTCAAGCCAACAAACTCCCTTTATCAAACAGCCAGCGATTTTTACCACTCAGTGCTCAGCAGCGAGACTGGAAACTGAACTAAATGAAGTTCCAAACAAGAAACCTTCGAGTCATAAACTTGTCACAACTTTGCGACGAAAACCTAAACTTCAAACACAATATTCAGCCAGTTTAGACGCTAAGGACAAGAACGCATGCAAGAAGAAGCCGAACAGAACCACGTTACAAGATTCATAAAAATTTTCGGAGAATTTATGGGAATTACCAGAATTAGAATAACAAAGTAAATCCAGTTCCAATAATCGTGAGCTTCCTGAATACGATACATTATGTCCGACCAGCCTTCTAATGTGATGATCTATTAAACAAAACAGAATGGAATAAAGTGACCACTTATTGCTGGTGTAAACGAAGAACACTAGGGCACCAATAGTTTGTGGTGCTTTGGGTAGATTGAAGAGGAAGTACTATCTTAATCTGGGACAAAATGATAACTGCATAACAGTGAAAAGAGTGAATTCAGTGAATGTATGAGATCAGGTTACGTTTGAACTGATCTCATACATTCACTGAATAGAATTATCTTTAATGCCTGAACCGATCTCATGCACTTACTGGATAGATCGATTGATTGATTGATGGATAGATCAAATCAAACAACTTACTTGAAATATAACCATCAAGGCATAGCCGATATTGTCGAAAGAAACTGGGTGGTATGAAGGGGGTTTTTGGTCCTTCCTGTTTACACTCGTATTCTTGTCGAGCGAAGGATCCAATGGTATGGAATTCGCAATGATTCCCGTGAGAGGCATAATTTGATAGCGTACATCCCGAGTTCCCTTCGGGCATATTTTTGCAGCTTTTAGTGTCAGTCAACGATGATAAGGAACAGAGAAAATCTGGCTCATCGAAAGACGGTTGATAGTAACATCTACTCTGCGTGGTTTCCCTGTAAAGATATTTATGAAACTGATTAAATATTATTGACACGACTTCATGAAGAATCTATTTGCTTGCCATGAGTAACCTTCGATTGAGACTTCTCTTTCAGAGAAAAGACATCCAGTTTATTGCTATCACAACCAGAAACTAGCGACTGGAATGTCAATGGTCATTTTTTTTCTCTAGATTTGAATCATGCTGAGCCCTTTTCTCTTTCATATGTCAATCATTTGGCCACGAGTCCTTTTTAAAACGTTTTCAACAGCACAACAGAAGGTTTGACACTATTTCATCACTTACCCAAAAGTTGCGTTGTGCCGCAAAGTCGAGTTAAGAAAACATCTGTTTCTCAATACCCCTTGCCAAAGTTGAACACCGACGATGGCAAATATAAAGAGGACTAAAAAAGCCAGCGCAAAAACATTGGCCAAGAGTGGTAAAGCTTCCAGCAGTAATGTCACCAAGATTCTGATGCCTAGAAAAGACATTGTGAATAAAGTTAGTTTAGTTTAGGTTTCCTGCTGTAGTAACACTGGATCAATGAGAGATGATCCTTACTAGACATCTAAGAAGAACAGTTCAGAGCTGACAGAGCTATCCAGTATAAAAAAAGTTAGTTTAGTTTAGGTTTCCTCCTGTAATAACACTGGATCAATAAGAGAGGATCCTTACTGAACCTCTAGGAAGAACAGTTTAGAACTGATAAAGGTATACCTATATACACAGTGTAAAGATGTAACTTACTAGGCACACGATTAATAGCTCTCAGTGGACGAAGAACTCGAACCAGTCTGATCGCCACCAAAAATGCTCCGTCCATTTCCGAGAACTCATCGACCATCCTATGAAAGACAAAAAGTTGAATGAGGAATCGGAACTCCAACTAGTAGTAAAATGATTAGAATAGAAATCAAAACAAGGTTTTTTCGCACGGTGAACGTTTGTGGAAAAAAGCACACTTTCGCTTCTTTCAACTTAGAGGTTAGGCAGGAAAACATGACCCCTCTCCCTAACTGAGAAAGGTCTCCCCCCTTCCCTATGCACGTACCCAGCGACTACAATTAGAAAATCAAGTCTGTTCCAGCCCTCTGAGAAATAACTCTTCTTTCCGATCACCCCCATCGCTATCATCTTGATCACCATTTCAGCGACGAAGAAATAAAGCACGAACGAGTTGATTTTCTTCAGTCGTTTGCAGTTGTCCTGCTCACAATAACGGTCAAGTGGATCGGTCAACGCCAGACACACGCAATTCACAAAGATCACGAGCATACTGAGTCGTTCAAACCACGTGTCAAAAGTTAAGGAAACGTCTGGAAACATCGATGGCTCTGTTTCCTTGTTGTTATTTTTGTCAGTTTAAGTTATCTGGTGCTATCACTATTAGTTTATTGTTCTATAATCATAGATTTTGAAGCCTGTTCAGCGCCTGAAACCTGTTTTAGTGCAATCAGGAATGAAAATACGACCCTAAAATAGCTAAATCTTGTGTATAAAAAGAAAATAGAATCTTTTGTGACTCGATTATTCAAAATATACTTGAGATATATCAGTCATGTTGAGTGTGAACTGAGTCAACTGACAGATTAAAGGATATGGCCAGTGGACGAGATGAATAAACCATTTTCTTACAAAGAACGTTCGCTTGAGAAAAAAACAAGATTTCTCCTCAAAACTACTATCGAGAACATTTTTCGGGTCTTTCGATTTCGACTTGGCTTTCTTCTCCGCTTGCGAAGAACCAGAATTGATCGTAAACTTTCCAAACATGCTTTTATCTGGCGATTTATATCATCCTATATCGATTATAAACAGTGGAAGCCTCGGGATGATGACCTATATGAAATGATAAACAGTTTAATTTAGTTTGACACGAACGTAAAAGGTATATATAGCCCGTGATAAAAGTGTAACCTTATGCATAAGTAAATAAAAAATTAGACATTATAGGATTTTTAAACAGAACCATTTAAGTTAAGTTTGCTTTATTAATGTCTAGAGAAATTGAGCCTAAATGTAGCATTTTGTTATAATTAAGATATACCCTTCATTACAGCTATTCTGCATGGCCTATTCTAGCTTTTGTACAATTTTATATACTTGTACTACAAAGATCACTGTTTAGAAAGTTGAAAGACCTCAATCAACCTGCCGTTTGTAAGTTACTCCCACGCACGCAGTATATGAACGCACAGCTATAGTCGATCACCAAAGAACTTCACAAAAAGCAATTTCTTCTTTATAAAATAACTCATTTGTGCACAGCAGTTAAAAAACGCTTCGTTATAGGATGTTGTTTTTGAAAGAAGCAATACATTATGTAAATACGCTTTCTCAAATTACTGGCCTTAATAATTCGTATTCTTCGACAGGTGCAAAGCAGGTTATAGACACTTAAAATTGTAAAACCTGAATAGTGTTTCTGGACTCTGGTATGCAAATCTCGCCTGCCGTTTCACGAGGGCATTCTCTACCGCGTGAAGCTCTGGGTTAGGCTGTCGTCAAACCAGATTTTTGAAAGAGCGTTGAAACTATATAGAATCTCCTGACAGAAATTTGAAAACTCTGTGCATGAATTAGTTGTGCTTATTATATTCTGTTTGGCCAAATCGTACCATTGAGTAATAGCTAGGATGTTTGAAAATGTTCGGGAAAGTTAAACCTGCAGACACGACATAATCCGTATTACAGCCTTTCTGGTATCCCACCGAGTCATAATCGCGTCTTCTTGCGAAGAACATTCGGTCGAAACTTCGAGCAGGTGTTTTTTTTGACGAGAAGTCGTTGAATTTATGGCCGATTTTAAAGCCAGACGGTAAAAAAATCTTGGCTAGATGAGATATTTTCTGCAGCGCCGTAATTCAAGCTGACGATTCGAGTGATTTTTACCTCGTGTCGAAGGAACAGGCATATTATGCCGCCAAAATGAAACATAATTTTCAGAGTCGACAGACAGGAATTATACGAATTAAGTGCTGGCTTTTGCATGACCGCGTGTACAATTTGAAAATCAAGCCATGAACCGATAATAGATTTCAAAAATTGGTTTGTTAAAACCTAATAAAGTAAATATCCTTTATATGGAATACGTGAGTGAGTGAAATTTTTAAATGAATTTCGTTAATTTATAGATGGTCTTCAGAGATAAAACCCGCGTGGGGAAGAGACGCGTAATTTATGCGTGGAAGAGATATAGACTCAGCCGATGTGATGCGATCTCAGCCCAACCAACGATCATAAAGCATATTTTCAACGCTAGCTGCTCTAATGTATATATATTGTGCTTTTGTACACTAAGCGATATTCAAAATTGTCAACAATGTTTCAATAATATACATCCTATATATACGCGCAGTTCCCGCTGTTTTTTCCAATTAATCCGAAATTATATTTTACGACGGAGCCAAGCTATTAAAATCCTTTTAAAATCTCCCTCTGTACATGTATACGAAACAGCCGCGACCTTTGAAAACTTGGCGACTTCCTGTTTCGGGAAAGATGCGACGCTAAAAGGAAATTAATGCGCTTTTATGCCAATGATGATTAAAAAAAAGCTAATTTTAAGCAATATAAGCAGTCCGTCTTGTTTACATCGGGAGATATACAACTCTCAGGTAAAATGCAAATGTATACGGTGTGTTACTGAATATGCATAACTCTTTCGTTTCCGCTTTCCATCAGCGCTATATATCTGTACTTCGTATAAAACAACCTGATACTAACTGTACCTGTGTCAGGTTGTTTCATAGCAAGTATATATATGGCCAAATATTCTAGTATTTAGCGTACATACATATACTTGAACGTAAGCTACTACACACTGTACTAAAACTGAGCAAATATTCGATACGTTGGTTCTTTTTTAGATGCCAATTTATCTATATAACATTACAGTATTATATCAACGTATATTTCCACAACAATGAGGCACATTTTCTATAAAAACTGAACGTCTAAACATATATCGAACCGCTTATTTCATGCAATTAAAATGCATGTAAGTCAAGATATCTTTACAATGTACAAACGTACAGTATTCATCATTGGCTTAGCATCACGGTATACCGATTTTTGGTTCTATACGTCGGATCATTATTATTTTACAAGTGAGAAAAGCCCTTACGCGGTGTTGCTGAAAAATTTAAATTTTCACAATCAGTTTTAAAACATCTGTGTTTAGAATAGTAATATTTCACTCGCAGACTGGCGATAATGTTATCTTATGTACATAGTCACACAGATATAACGGAGATATGCTGCTTATATATTCCTTAATATTTACTCTGTGGCGCCTACATCCAAAATAAAACGTCTAAACATAAAAGTTCTCTTGGTTTAATAACTCTCACAGGCATTGTTTGGAAAGAAACATGTGTTACGTAAGCTGGGATGAAGATAGATAACCCTAGTCGAGACTATATATAGCGAGTGTATTTTCAAAACACGTGAAACGTTTTCGTATTTGAAAGAAAATAAGGAACGCAAAATGTTTTGAGTTCCATAGAATGATAAAAAATACACTCGAGTTGAAATGAAAGCGATTTTTAAGTCTTCCTTTAAGTATTCCAACCAGGTTCTTAAAATTATCGACACACCCTTACTCCTGTCTAATTTCAAAACAGCATTTGGTATTCGTGAGTTTTAAAACAACAATTTTGTGGATTCAAATTTTAGAGCATATTTTTGAAGTCCGAGAACATAGTCAACACGAATAACAATGTTTAGTAAACCCTGTGTCCTATGTAGATTCGTTTTGTATATACACAACGAGTCGATTTAATGAAAATCTATCAGTTCCTTGAACTTTAATGTATCATGCTCTTTTTAGGAATTAAGGACGAAAGTATAATTGGTTAGAATCTATACAGTGAATTCCTGGCCGTATAAGCTTAGGTATAAACGCATAAAGCATCGAACTTCAAAGTTTAAATGACATAAAATGTCTAGAACGAAGACATGTAGGCAATGATGGATAATTACCGAGCATCACGTACGTCTTAACGACCGCGTTTAGGATGAGGCGCACTAATTTACTAAGCCATACTACCATTCTGAAAACTCATAAAGAAAATAAACTTTTACATGAGTAATTACCTTTACAGTCTATATGGAAGAAACTAAAATTTGCAAATTTACTTACGCGGCATTGCTGTGGTCACCTGTTAATGGACAGGCTTGTATCAGAATCAGATATTCCCTGGCCTATCTACGCTCGCGAGATCCATTGCCCGGCGGTAATGACGGTTACTAGTCCCATGTCTGCTTTTCAATTACGGCGTTTTTAAAAAGAGTCGCCTATGGCTTTGAGCAAAATACAAAAGTAAAAATAATATTTGTGTCCACACAGCCGATTAAAACATAATGCAAGTTCATGAATAATTTACGCGCCATCAGAGCTGAGCATGGGATTAGCGAGAATTGTTGATATAGCGCCGTCGCTTTGGTAACAAGGACATGCCGTGGAAAACCGCAAGAGATGTCTGTCACTGTCATTTTAGCATTTTGAATCGTGCTCGTCACGAGGCGAGGAGCACTGGAAACGAAGATAAGATGAGCACAGAGCCATGGCCTGGAAACGAATGCATACAGCCCTTAACTACATTTTGAGTACTTGAATTGTGAAACTCGAGAATTGACGATTTTAAGTGGGATTTCTGTCACTGAATATATCGTTAAAAGAAAGCTACCTTTCCGCACAACCAGCTCAAAATCTCAGGGAAACTGGGTCAATACAAGACTTGCAGATCCTGTAAGAAAACAATTAATAGTTAGTATGTTTAGTTGAAGATTCCTTCTGCAGTTGCGAGATTTAGATGATGATCATTACTGGACCTCCAGTATAAATAAAGTTAGTCTAGTTTAGGTTTCCTCCTGTAGTAATACTGGATCAATAAGAGATGATTCTTACTGGACCTCTAGGAAGAACAGTTTAGAACTGATAGAGGTATCCAGTATAAATAAAGTTAGTTTAATTTAGGTTTCCTCCTGTAGGAACACTAGATTAATAAGAGATGATTCTTACTGGACCTCTAGGAAGAACAGTTTAGAACTGATAGAGCTATCCAGTATAAATAAAGTTAGTTTAGTTTAGGTTTCTTCTTGTAGTAACACCGGATCAATAAGAGATGATCCTTACTGGGCCTCTAGGAAGAACAGAGTTTAAATAAAGTAAGTATATAGTTTAGGTTTCCATCTGTAGTAATACTGGTTCCATAAAAGGTAAATATTACTGGATTACTAGATAGATAATTATTTAAGATAAATTGTAGAATTAGTTGGATAAATTATCTTTTGAAACACGAACGTAAGATATCAACTTCAACGTCGCCTGGCACCATATGCTTGACTCCGCTGACGACATCACAAATGTATTGTTGATACTAGTGAAGCATATTACGTCATGCGCATAAACTCGAAACAGCCAGCATGACGTCAGCGGGTTTGTTGGAAAAAAACCCCAAAGAATAACATGAGAGCAAGCACGGGGAATACGTCAGGAATAAAAAACACAGAGATTTAAAGAATAAACATCTCTGTTATCAATCCTACCGGACATGCGGAATTGGCTCTCTTCCCAAGTAGCTAAATGACGTCGATTTTTTTTCACTGATTTGTGGATGAACTGTTGTAGCTACGAAGGTTTCCATGGACTTTCAGTTATAGGAGTTTGAACTGAAATAAAAACAGTAAAAAAATGCTGCGAGTATGCTGGTAGCTACCACCACGAAACATCCCATTCAACGGTGGAAACAGATAAGAGAAAACATATGCAGACGACCAGTAAATTCGATTTAACTAAAGGTCTGTTTACATGGAGCGAGTTATCCCGGCTAGGTGAGGTAAAAAGCGCATCACATCAAAGGCTTAACCTGATTAGTCTTTCATTATATGCAGTTTTCACCTCGCCTAGCCGGGATAACTCGCTCCATGTAGACAGACCCTAAGTTACTACAGAAAATAAACTGTTTTCTAGCATTAAATGAAAGTAGATTTTAAGACTAATCGTATCACATGATATTGAGGAAATCTACAAAGCTTTAAATCTTTCCGAAGGACAGTTGAAAACTTTTTACAGCTTGCATGATGCCAATGATGGAAATGTTTTCTTTTATGCATCAAGGCCTTGCATTTAAGCTCGACCTTAGCAAAGGGCAAAATATACGAATATTTCGCCAGCTTACCGCGGTTTCGGATTTCAAGAGATGTTTTTTACTCGTAACGAACGCGTCACAGAAAACGGGTTTTTTCGTTGATGTTTTCTCGGCCAATCAGGTCAGCGAACGTGGGCAGAAATCCTGGTCGAATTGCGTAAAAACCGTGCCAAATTCCTCGTTCTTGTGGCAGGCATTTTAAAGGGCCTGGCAGAGCTAACGTCGTTAAATGGTACACAACAAGGTTTAAAGCTCGTTCAGCTTAGCATCAAGGTAGCCTATCAAAAGGTTTCAGATTCAAGAGAGCGAAACTTGTAAGTAAATTTTACAATATATATAGCTAAAATTTTAAGCATTATCATGCATGAAATGATAATATCTAAGTGCATGAGTTACTAACTCAATAAACATTAAAGCAATATGGTTCCTCATGCAACACTACGACTACATGGGTAAAGACAAGATGGGACAATTGATGTACTAAATCCTCAAGGTTAAAAAGTAGCTTATATTCTATTTACTAATTTTCAGTTGTTTTTCGCATTACTGAACGAGCTTCGTCTAGAATTGTGCTGCTACTGAAAAAAGCCAGTCGAATTCAACTAGTAGTTCTTTATAACAATAAGGGCTGGCTATTCAAGCCCTTGCATGCAACTATAGGGCAAGTCAAACATCTGTTTTGTTTATGTATATCTGCATGGATAGCTGTTCTGTTCAAGACTTTGGAAAATACTTATAAAAGCAACGTATCTTGATAAATAAATTGTTGGAAAGTTTCACTTGTAGTTTTTCATTAAAACAGGGTTAGGCTAATCGGATTTTGAACAACCAGGCCCGTATGAAAACGCGCTTCGACAATACAAATTGAAAGCTCATGATAGTTATATGAAATATATCGTAATCCTTTCTAGTTTTTACACATTACTCTGCATCACGCAGTCATTCTGAATTAGTATTATTAGTTTATGCACACATGCAAGTTTAAAAACGTGTTAATCCAAGGATGCAATTATCAGGAACTCTCAGCACGACTCACCACTCACTCAAGGCTGTGCTTTTAGCAGCTACAAGGCTGTTTGTTGTTTTCAAGGTGAAGTTAATCCTATCGGGTCAGAAATTCTTTATGATCGCGTTGAGAGTGACCAAACGGGGATCATTTCATTGTCACGTTTCAATGCGTGTATAGTGGAAAGGGCTTTAAACCGCTTTTGTGAGGTCGTTTTAGAGTTCCAAGGACTCGGACGAGTTTATGCCGGTAAAAATGACCTGGACTCTTTCTCAGATAGGTGTGAATACATTGAGTTGACCATAACAGGTATATAGCACTATCTCAGACGTGATTTTAACACTTCTTGTGGACGGTTCTATAGCACCAGCATGTGTTTAGTATTTGACTGTTTTAATACCTTTTTATTAAAAATTGAAACCGCAGTATAGAGAGAGAGAGAGTCGCAACAATTCATGCTACTGTGGCCATTTTGATAAACATGCAGTTTAGCAATTATATCGAACTCAAACAAAATTGTTTCAACAACAAACAAAAAAATGACATTAAATCGCCCTCGCATACATAAACCCCCACATAGCATAATACCGAGTTTGAAACGAGCGATTTCAAAAGTTTTTTCCACAATCGCTTTTAGGGAACCAATAAGGACTAAAAGGGTCACATCGGGATAACACCGGGGGATATAACAGCACAATAGTAGATAGCTACATATTCAGACGAAAAAAAATGTTTCAATTTGATATGAATTTGATCCTAAGTTAGAAATATAGATAAGATTACCGGCTTCCTTATCTATATTTAAATTATTTGAATATTAGCGAACAAGGGTGGTAAGTATTAGACAAGTCCCTGAACAAGGCAGCTGGACCAATTTAATTGCGCCCACTTAATTCTTCATTTGGCCTGGGGCAGGCACGGGTTGTAAAAGAAGATATAGTGAACTTCGGACAATTGATTGTTGGTAGCAGAATAAGTGAAAGGGAATCAGTGGGTGCATGCTGGCTGTTTTTACCGTATTGAAGAAAGCATCCAGTGTTTCCTAAAATTAATAACATTTAACTATTCCTGCAGGGCAATATGTAGTTTCAAACTTACCCGTTGAAGTAAAATCTCATTTTGGCGCTAAGAATCAATCGCTTTAAGCCTGTAACAAAAGACAACGAAGTTTGAACACTGTCCGAAAGGGTATAATTGTGCGTATTCATAAAACGTTCATTCCTGAAGATTAACTGTTCTCATTAACGGAAACGAGAACAACAAAGTCATTCGTTGTAACTACCATGCATAAGAACAGCAACCAGTTTATTTAAAGCGGAAAAATAGGCAACATTCACAAGCTATGAAGCAACTAATCGTCCGGCAATTACTACAACAGTACTCAGCGAAATGATTGATGGCCTTCATTAGTTAAACTTTTATAATTGCGACTGGTAGAAAACTAGCTAGCGGCAACTTCAAAATAGAAGTCAAACCATCTGCAGGCAAGGTTACGCAATGTTATGAATATACTATACGTGTGAAGGCAGGTGTTTCCCACAGACCCCTCGTTTTCCTTAGTATAAACACTGTTACAATATATGCAAAGCAGTTTATACTGCCGGCGTACGGGAGTCGAGCGGAGGTCCGCTTTTTAGGCGTCAATTTTTGGAGGCGCGTCAACTCGGCGCACTACTTTGTAGAAATTAATCCGAAAGGTACACAAATGATTGTTAATAGCTTTATCAACTCAAAACTGTTGTAAACATGTTTATCTAAAGGTTTTGTACAATTCATCGCATCTTTCTGTGTCAATTTCTAGCCCGACCTGTCCAAAAATGCATTTACGAAATCTCCACGCAATTGTGGTGGCGTTCACCTACAGTTTTTCTATGTGTCATTATGGTAAGTCCTATGCAAATCATTTTCGTAGTAACGTTTCTGAACAGCGCTTCGTATGCACGCATTTTAATGTGTGTGCTTAACGGCTAAATTGATGACGAAGGTAGGACTCCACTCATGAATCATTTTATTTTGAACACTTTCATTTTTTGAAACGTATACCAGAAGACTCTAGCCTAATTTACGCGAATGCAATAATAGAGACAGAGCATTGCAACTTAGGACTAAACTTTGGGAGACTTTGCAGATACATTTCAAGTTCTTGGGCTGAAAGATATCGTGGGAAGGACCAGTAATACAGTGTCAATCCTTTTGAAATCCGATCGTACGATTAAATACGCCTCTTTTGAATCTAAACATAGAAATTTGAAACAACTACAATACAATGCATGTTGTAAATCAATAGTTTATACCAACCAAATTTGTCCGTACTAACATTTTATTATGATCGCTTTTCGGTCGGCGGGTATAACTTAATTATTCATGAATACATTTTCATCTCGAATAAAAAAAAATAATTATCTTTATGAGTTCAGCATACTATCAAATCGATTGAGGTAAAAATAAGTTGTACAGTTCATTTGTGGGGGCTTTTGCAACAGACTTGTTGTCGCTTGCATTGAATCATGCAAGTTTATAACAAAAATTTAGGTAGAGTAGATGACTTGTATTTTTACATCAAATTATATATATCAAATTAATTCCTCGCGGTTTTCAGTAATGGTTTTATATTAACGCCTTTTAGATATTCTCGGGTCTCAGTAAATTAGGAAGCCGCGTGTAAGTTCGCTCATATCAAAATAAATAAGAGTTAAGCTGGTAAATATGCACAGGGCAAATAAATTTGTTTGAAGACAAACTATGTTTCATCGCAATATAAAACATCCATGCATGTCGGCAGTATTTATCTGGAAACAAGCAGCTGCCTGGAATATCACAAATATTCGCAAAACACTAAGTTGTTCCATGGTAACGTGAATATAGGCGGAGATGTCGACGGGAAGTGTAATCGCCTATGAGGAAGGATAGAGCGATTATATCTCTATAATCTTGCCCTGTAGCGGTTCCCGACAGCCCCCGTGGTAGCCTTTAACTATTCATATTTGTAAAGGTACCAGATTATTTTGAACTAATGATTATATATGTTTACTTTGTTTGGACAGTATGTAAATTGCATATACTAATTGATGCAAATTCAAGGTCAGTTTTTCCAACGAATCATGCGATGTCTCATTCCTATACCATTGCCAAATTTCCTTCATCATCTACATGCACACAGGCACGTGAAGAACATTTAGGAAATAAAACTGACGAATTAAACCGTGGATTAGACCACGAACAAGAGTTAAAACATGCTTGGAAACAGCAGATAGCTTTTGTAAAAATATCTGTTCGGCGGGCAGGTTGTAACAATAAACTAAGTATCAAAACTTAAGTGGCAAATAAAATAAAAAATAACAAATAAAAGCCTACGGTTACGGTTTCATCTTTGATAAAATGATATCTAAATACGAAAAAGATACAGTTGATTGATCCTTATCTTTTTATATATATACAGACCCAACGAATTATCAATTCTATGGAGTGTTGATACCATGAATGCATTTGTTAAATTTATCAACACTATAGACATAATATGCAATTCATTTATAACCATACTCTTAAGTCTTAACATTTTTGTATACTGAACAGTTGAATCGCTCCCAGATTAGTGTATATGTAAATATTAAATCATTTGATAAAAAATGAAAAAGCATTGGGACAAAAGTTTCAAAAAGAGAGATCGTTTTAGATTTCAGTCGCCGGTGATGGCGAAGGCCTTCTGCCAGTTTCCTCACAAAAGAACCATGCAGGGACACCCACATTTAAGACCGAGTTTACATATAGTTCAAGGCGAAAAATAACGCCAAATATGTTTTGATTTTAAAATATTTTTAAAGATGTTAAGCAACTAAATCTTTTTTATTCATAGCACATGTCCCTTCATGGACGTAGAAAAACAACTTTACTTTTTAGCCGAAAGGGATTGCGCTTTCACGCCAATAATAGTAACAAATATACTACAAAATTGGTGAACCATCACCGCGGGTAATATTTTCAAAATCTCACAAACAAGCTTTGCAGTCTCACTCAAGATGATCTTTCAAGTCGCGCATGGTGTGGTAGATCCTGTTCTTCTTTCGAAAATAATAATTTTGCCTTCATGCATGTGTCTGAGTTCATTAATCACGATCAAATAGAAATCATAGGTCTAATCCCTTTATTTATTTATTCTACACGGTCTAATATTGTGCTGATTTTGCTTAAAAATATTTCACACGAGTGTCTTTAAGCGTGTTACAGCGAAGACAATAGGAAACCCTAGGTGATATTTAAGACATAAATAAATGACATACACCCCCAGCCGTTCGCAGTGCAAAAACAATAAAAAGTAACATGGCAACGTTAAAACTTTGGATAAATTTGTTTTAGAAACGGTTGGAGGTGATTGACAACTGAGGAACAGAGATGAACGATTGTGTTCACATGCATTGGGTTTTTTAAGTGCGAAAATCCTTTATAGTGTGAAATTTTTCAATGCCAGAGACATGTTTATTAGTATATAATTATAAATATATATAGTTTTTAGTTCGACTACCAAAACTTCACAGGGAATATGGTCTATTGATATTTTAAGTTGAAAAGAGTCACAGCGCATTAAACCAATGGATGGTATTGCCTACTTTTGATAGATGTAAATCGAACAAATAAGTTAAAAAAGCTTAGATTAGTCACAGACTACATCGCTCCCTGAAAACTGCAAAAGACTGGCGCTGAGTTATAATAATATGCCTTTGACAAATGATATCGTTTCTATATTAATCTGTTTTCATTGATTTGCGTATTTCAAAATACTGCATGTGCGATTATTTTAAAAGAATGCATGCATAAAAAAATTATACAATTTGTGAAAGACTTCTTGAGGTTTCATGCGACCGCCTTAGTTTTAACAGGTCAAAACTGGTCTGAGTGGCGACAAAATAGTCGTAAATAATTTATATATATTTTTCAAACAATGGCGATGATTATTAAAAACAGTCCGCGATATTCAAATGATGTTTTATCATTATAAATAATAACAGAAAATATAAATGAGTTTCAGGGTAAATTGATTTTGGGGACTTAAAAGGTTATTACTATAAACAACTTTATTATTTATTATTGCCACAAAGATGATTGGCTATCGCAAGACAATCGTCAATTTAGGTTTGACATATATAAAATGAAATTGGAAATTCGCATGATAAATTGACGCTATTGACAGAAACAAGGGAATGATTAATTCAAAACAATATTTCCGTAACGAATTGCGAAAATTTTTATTGAAAATAAACAATCCACAACAGTTCAATTCGAGATATGGATAAATTTTTAAAAGTGCGTGAATTTATGAAATGTATATGCACATAAAATTTACGAAATCACATGAACAACTTTCACTATCTCTGCCAAGCTCTGTTATTGCATATGCCGTCTGTGGTGAAATTATTGTGAAATATATAATAAAATTAGATTCATACTTATATATGTATTTGTCACATGTATACAGTCCAAAGAACTACTAAAAAAAGTAGTATACAGAATGACAGTCGTCTCGAAGATAAATCACTCACAATATATACTTTTCTTAATTTCATAGTTTTGGCACTCGACAACGACATTGTTTCTCCTGAAAGTAAGTTTTGGGTCAGTGCAGCAAAAAAGTGACTCGTGGCATAATAGTGCACAAAAATATAGCGTTTATACAGCTCAAAACCTGGCCATCGACAGGAAATATAGTTTAATGGTTTCTCGATAAAATTCAATGTTTACTTTTTCGTATTTTAGATGGAAGAGTCACGCGAATGTCTCCAACCAGAGGAAGCTTAGCCGGTGGAACAAAATTGGTCATTCAGGGAACTGGTAATGAACGAGCTCATGTCCTATATATATCTTAATAGCGTTTAATAAAAACTATATTAGATACAGATTGAGAAATTAGTAACATTACCTCACTTCCATGAGCAATTTCTGGTGACATGGACAGTAGAATTGCATCCACATCCATCCATATACCACCAGCGATGAGCATTTATCCTATAGCATCTATAAAGAGAGAGATATTTTGAGTATACAAATCGGTCAAAACGAGCAAAAGACCCATTTGGAATATTCATTTTTTCACCAGGTTTTTCGGCGGATCAGTTCTCGTTTGATAATCCAAAACTCGGAAACAAAGTGACGCTGGTCTCTGCAAGAGGAGTTATTATACCGTGTCATGTTGTTGAAACAGATACCTCACCAACACGAATCTCCTGCGAAACTGGGTGAGTAAGGCCGTCATTTTACTTTTGTTTCAGAGCTCTCAACTGCAACCATCTGGGACAAATTGCTCAAATACAAAAGAATGAAGTCGCTTCGCGCGATAGATATCGCTAGTGGAAAACCAGCTTTAAACCAGCAACTCTTATTTATACCAACATATAAAACAAACTATATCTCTAAGTCTCGCAATAACTGGCAACAATAACTGGCAGCCGACTGGCAGAAAGGTGTTCAACGAAGTGGGTTGATAAGCACGCATCTCGCTTGTGATCGAGGAGAAATTGAAATACAAGTGTATATAACTATCAGAAGGACACATCAATTCTTCCCTGCATGACGACCAGGGCGCTTAAATTTAATATATCAGCGACCTGGTGAAGACTCTCACATATAGTAACGCAGACTTGATAACGAAATCAACTGCTATTTACTGAAGTATTTTTCTATTCATTTAAAGTGTTCCTCCAAAGGGATTCGAAGACGATACCTATTCTTTGAAGATCAAAGTGAACGATATTCCTTTCGGAGGGGCCAACACAAAACCCTACTGTTGGGGAGCGTGTCATTTTCGGGTAAGGATGTTAACGTGTTAACATATCAGGTAGCTTAAGTTAAGGGGTTGGGGTGAGGGGAACCTTTTACATGGGTTAAGGGGGGAAACTTTGGAGGAAACTTTAACATGGTAAAGGAAGCGGTGGGGGTGATCCTAGACTCTCAGTGATGATGGGGCCTCGGATGGAAGAGGGGAGGTGGGGGTGATAAGACCCTAGTGATGAGGGGCCTCGGAGAAGGGAGAGGGGAGGTGGGGGTGATAAGACCCTAGTGATGAGGGCCTCGGAGATGGGGAGGGGAGTGGGGATGATAAGACTCTAGTGATGAGGGGCCTCGGAGATGGGGAGGGGAAGTGGTGGTGATAAGACTCTAGTGATGAGGGGCCTCGGAGAAGGGAGAGGGGAAGTGGTGGTGATAAGACTCTAGTGATGAGGGGGCCTCGGAGATGGGGGAGGGAAGGTGGGGGTGATAAGACCCTGGTGATGAGGGGGCCTCGGAGATGGGGGAGGGAAGGTGGGGGTGATAAGACCCTAGTGATGAGGGGGCCTCGGAGGGGAGGTCCCGTTCATTCTAGTGCACGCTGACTTTGAGCAGAAATTCTAAACCAAATCATTGCAAATTATTATTATGTTTCGCAGTTCAATAAATGGAGGACCCCGACAATTAACCAAATAAGTTTCCAAGCTGGTTTACCAGGTAATTATCACTTTTTATGTCAACGTACGACGTCCTTGGCCCATCGGAGGTGTATAGAGCAGAACCATGTATGCTCACGAAATGAAATGCTCGGGTTTTTCTTGCAGATCAAGTGATAAAGATATCAGGAAGGGTTTTGACTGCCCAAATTGGACGTTTATCTGATGGCAGTGGGGAAAATTTTAATCCAGAGGGCAAAGAGATTGTGCGGTATGAATGAACAATGAACATAGGTTTTCTAATGAAAACATTATAAGAATTTCGCACCTAATTCGTTTATTACCGAGGTCGAGTTTACTCGACCATGGTCGAATACGCCGGAAAACGGTATACTCGGTATATAAACGGTATATTCCATTTGTTTCAGGCTGTACATAGGTGGAGCTAACTGTGATACCAATAACAAAGAAACAGAGGAAACGTAAGTACAGATGGATGTCGAGTTTTTGAAATATTCGTTTCAACAGACATCAATTTAGTTGCATATTGTTCTAACTCCACTCTGAGGTTGTTGGAAACCACAAGTTAACCAATTTAAAAATATCGAAAGTTAGTGGCTAATCGCCAAATATAGGAAGACACTTTCATAATATAGAAAGAAACAAAGAGAGTGAAATCTTCAAAACCGAAAGGATAGCAAAAGAACCACATATCTTAACATTAATCTTAGTTCTACACGGACATTTAGTGTTAAATGAGCAGTGAAAAAACACCATAACTACACCTATAGACACACGTTTTCATGTATTTAAAGGCATGAAAAATCCTTCTTCGCATAGATATGGGACATGGGTGGATCAATGGAATGCAAATGGCTATATCATCTGCCGCCCAGAGCTCAAGGAGCCAGGTTTGCACTTATAGAAACGTTTTGTTATCTTCGTATGGATGGTTGGGATGTGACTAGTTGATTGGTATTTTTTTCAGGATCTTACAAAGTTTCATATCTCGTGTCTGGCGATGCTGGTCGTTCGAAACCCGATGATCACGTCAGTTATGTTGACAGTGATGAAACCATCTACCAATACCAAGCTCATGCTGGTAATATATAAATACGAAAGCATGGTATACCATACCATACCATATAATATTATACCACATCACACCACACCATACCACACATACCACACCACACCATACCATACCATACCAAATCATATCATACCATACCATACCATACCATACCATACCATACCATACCATACCATACCATACCATACCATACCATACCATACCATACCATACCATACCATAACATACCATACCATACCATACCATAACATACCATACCATACCATTCCATACCATATCCCACACCACACAACACACCACACCACACCACACCACACCACAACCACAACCACACCATGCTTCTTTCTCATTCTTACATTATCAATGATCTATTTAGATGTTATATCAATCTCTCCGAGATCTGGCAGTGTTAATGGAGGAACTATTCTAACGATCACAGGAAGATTCTTTGTGATGGACAAGAAACGGGTCACAGTAAGCGTTGGAGGTATTATAAGAGATGGAATTGATTGATTGATTGATTGATTAAATCTTTATATACAATTAAGAAAGCATATTCAAAAACAGTATACGATTATCCACAAGAAAGTCACACTAAGTTAAAAAGGCACCTATATGAAATATATTATAATGACGTTTTAATTTTCTTACCGTAATAAAACACAACAACACTTTATATGATCTTCTAGGCGCACCATGCGAGGTTCTGTCCACCAGTGAGACCACAATTAAATGTAGAACATCTCGAGAACCTTCAAATATTAAATACATGGATTTACATGCAGGTAAAAATGATCATATGTGATCAATCATAACACTTTCGTCTAGGGATATGGGATCATTGGGTAAATGACCCTTACTAGTTACTGGCCTCCAGGAAGAACAGTTCAGAACTGATAGAGCTATCCAGTATAAATAAAGTTAGTTTAGGTTTCCTCCTGTAGTAACACTGGATCAATAAGAGAAGATCCTTACTGGACCTCTAGGAAGAACAATTTAGAACAGATAAAGCTATCTAGTATAGATAAAGTTAGTTTAGTTTAGGTTTCCTCCTGTAGTAACACTGGATCAATAAGAGATGAGACTTACTGGAACCTGTAGCTGGGAATATTAACATACGATTATTCTCTTCAAGGAGCGAGAGGTGTTGTTCGGGAGATTTGGAAAGACAAATTGGTTCAGGAGTTACGAGACGTTGACTCGACCCTCTCACCTGACACACCTGGTTATATTCGTGAGCACTATACGGACTTTGCTTCCAGCCCGACAGTGGAAACATTCAAGAAGAATAAGACTTCAGAGCAATACACTTCGCGGATCACAGGCATATTTGTGCCACCCAGTACAGACAGCTACAGATTTTATGTACGGTCAGACGACAAGGGTTTGGTGTACCTGAGCAATAGCACATCTCCCAAAGATAAGGTATGCTTGAGCTGAATGACTGGATTGTCAAAATTATTATCGACAGGGCTTAGGTTGTGAGTGATGTCGCTATGTGAAGTATTCTTTATAGGGTATCAAAATTCATTTGAAATTTGCAGTTTTGTATTGTTCTTAATAGATAAATATCTCTTGCAGCGAGAAATCGCTTCCGCGAAATCATATACAGGAAAATCGTGGTCAAGATACTCAACACAAAGATCTGAGGTGCTGCATTTGACTGGAGGGAAAGAATATTACTTTGAAGTGCTTCAAAACGATTACGGTTGGTCACATTGGGTAAATCTAGGCATGCATAAACACACAACGAAAATGACTCACGATCAAGTCCCAATGGCAGTGGATGAAGTACAGGAATTGAAGATATCCACTGTGCAAGCTAGCGAAGAACAGGTATGCGAATTTAAAATAAACAAACGTTCTTCATTTCCGCGAGGAATACGAGTATCTATGTATGTATCTATCTACCGTTTTGTGACGTAATTTCTAGAGGTTCGATAAGGATCATCTCTTATTGATCCAGTGTTACTACAGGAGGAAACCTAAACTAAACTAAATTTATTTATACTGGATAGCTCTATCAGTTCTAAACTGTTCTTCCTAGAGGCCCAATAAGGATCATCTCTTATTGATCCAGTGTTACTACAGGAAGAAACCTAAACTAAACTAACTTTATTCATACTGGATAGCTCTATCAGTTCTAAACTGTTGTTCCTAGAGGTCCAGTAAGGATCATCTCTTATTGATCCACTGTTACTACAGGAGAAAACCTAAACTAAACTAACTTTATTTATACTGGATAGCTCTATCAGTTCTAAACTGTTCTTCCTAGAGGTCCAGTAAGGATCATCTCTTATTGACCCAGTGTTACTACAGGAGGAAACCTAAACTAAACTTTATACCATATGCTTCCATTACATAAGGAGCCCTTTCCCAAATCATTCTTTTCCTTGTAGACGATTACCGTTGAAAACTGGACGGATGGATTCACACAACACGAAGAACAACTGGTGACAGTAAATCAATGTTTGATGGTAAACGACACTTGTACCAAAGCGCCAGACTTTGAGTTAGACTACGATGGCCACGTTACAGCGGCTCTTTCCTCTGACATTAGCAAAACTGGTTTGCAAAGCGCGTTAAATGGTTTGCCTTCCATATCCTCAGCAGGATCAGTAACCGTCAGCATGGAATCCGCTGATAACACAGAAAGAGTCTACAGGGTAAAATTCATGTTTTCCGAGCCGGAGACAACAGTCGTGTTGAAAGATGCAAGTCGGTTTAGAGGGAAATTCGTGAGTGTGGTTGTGGATAAATCAGGAACAAGAACCACAAAAGGCTTTAGTTTAGGTTTTGAAGGTGTGAAGTCGTTGCCTATTCATCCAGACAACACTGAAAAGGAGATGAATGATGTTATAAAAGATCTGTTTACAACCCGTTGTACCTATTCAACACGCTTTGGTAAGATTTGGTGACAATGTCAGAAAATGAATTTAACCAACTATATTGCAGTCCTAACCAAGCAAAACTAAGTCCAATGTACTGGTTCACTCACATGCAGGTAACTCTGATGTCCACGTTTTAGGAAACGCATATTTCTATCAAGGTTTTGAAGAATCGTGGGGAACAGAGTCTGGTGATAGAGTTGGTAACGTCGAGCCTTACTGCGGTAGGAAGGCGCTGTATAATCCAAATGAGATTTTCAAAGCTGGTACAACATTTATTCGTAAAGGAGCAAAAGGGCAAGAGTTTGATGTACAAACTTTTCCCCAGGTACGAGGATATCAATGCAACAGATGTTGGCAACTGGTGTATCTAGATACCACCCACAACCCTTAGTTACCCGGCACCCATAAAAATTAGTGACCTCTCAAAAATTTGGTTACTATTCACATACCCAGTTACCACTCACACACCTAGTTACCACTCACATATCCAGTTACTACTACCCACATACCCAGTAACCCCTCACATATATAGTTACCACTCACATACCCAGTTACCACTCACATACCCAGTAACCACTCACACATCCAGTTACCACTCACATACCTAGTCATCACTAGAGATTTCTTACTAGACTGACTACATAAAAATTATGATCAATCGTTTTAGCTCTGTCTGGCAATAAAAGGAGAGTTAAAAACTGTGGCTATCCATATGAAGATCAAATACAAAGATACATCGAAGACAAATCGGGAGATGACCCTGCAACACACATTAGAGACATACACTCCAAACAAGTGGAATCATATTTGTGTTAATATGTATAGCCTAATAACAGCTAATTCACAGTTATCTAATGCACGCAAACCTGGGTCGTCTGTGTTCATGAAAACCATCTTTATCTCACGTTCTCTCTACGTTGATGATATCTGGATTGGGAGAATACCGGTGACAGGTATGAAAAACAGTTTTCTAGAATCATTGAGGGTAGGGCTAGAAAATACTGGAAGTCTACAGCATAACCTATACTAGTTCAGTTTATTCTTCCTCCTGTAGTAACACTGGATCAATAAGAGATGATCCTTACTGGACCTCTAGAAAGAACAGTTTAGAACTGATAGAGCCGTCCAGTGTAAATAAAGTTTGTTCAGTTTAGGTAAGCAAAGTAAAACCATATTTCTTAATTACTATAGTATCAAAAATGAGGAAAGCTGCCAAACCAAACGGACACTGGATCTCGGATGCATCCGTTACAAAAACGTCATCGAAAGAATTCACCGTCAGCATGTCTCCAGCAAAGTGTGGCGATGGTATACCATTATTGGAAGTCGTAGGAGCCCAGAGAAAAGGCGACAAGGACGATGCCAGTTTCAACTTTACCGAGTTTGGTTCAAGCATAGAAATAAAACGAGAAAAGGCAGCAAGTCCACCATTGACTGGTGTCTTTGATATTTCACACCAAAATACGACAGTGAAAGGTAAACAAACTATGTAAAGGTTTCTAAATGGCATAGGAAATATTGCTTTGGTTAAGGCATATGGAAGGATAAGCATTGGTTATACCACGAAAGGGTAACGGAAGAGTTGACTGGCACAGATCGCTAGGGTACATCCTTACAGGAGCTTAGATTTAAACGATTGGTTCTTGAAATTGTTTTGGAGAAAGGTCTATGTAGATAGATGTACATGGCCGTTGAAGCAAGATCACCTAATCGCTTAATCCTAATCCTAATCCTGTAATCCTAATCTTACAGATATTTCGTTGAACACTACGGGGGAACAACTGAAGAAGATGTTGGAGGATAATTTCGACGTGGGCACAGTCGTGGTGACGAAAACTGAGAAATGTTATTACGCCAAGTGGAAGGTGTCGTGGACCTCGAAGCCTGGGCTCCAGCCGTTACTTCATGTAAATACAAGCAAACTCTTCGGAAATAAAGTGTCGTTCAAAAACTCTCAAACTGAGGGCGGATTGTTCTACAATAAAATTCCTGGAGAATTCCTACGAATGCCAAGCAAAAAGCCACAGGTATTGTATTCTATTTAGAGAGGCAACCACTGACATATACCAGAACTATACTATGCTAGTGAAGACAACATACTGAGGTTCCCGGCGGCGTTTTAATAAAAAATATCTTCACTTAGGTCGTGGTTACTGTCAACGACTTGGTTGCGAGCTGTTTGAATGAAAACTGCTCTTACAATTACTCGACTGAAAGGACACCGACAATACAAGCTATCTCGCCGACAAGGACGACACCTGGGGCAATGGTTACTGTGACTGGCACAGGATTTAACAGCAACGCCAGCCACGTGATGGTTACCATTGGCAACGTGCCGTGTGACGTCAGCACGGCTTCCGAAACCCAAATTTCGTTCATAGTTGGTAAGCGGGAATTTGGAATTGTCACAGATAATAGTAATTGAATCGAAAGCATTGCTAAATGTAAACATTTGAGTATGTCAACCACAGATATTATCAGCTTTAATGACTTATTTCTTCATTAAACTCATTTGCTACGGGTGTTGGATTATATTAAAAAAGTCACAAGAAAACTAACTTTGTGATGTCTCGATTTTCAGCGTCTAATGTCAAGCCAGGAATTCAGACTGTGAACGTGAATGTATTTGGCAAGGGTAATGCTATGGCTAGCTCAAAGCTAAGTCCTACCATATCCATTGAAATAAACGTGACTGCGGTGAAACCTTCCAGCGGTGGTACTGCTGGTGGTACAACACTCACTATCACTGGGTCGGGCTTTGGAACATCAAAAACTGACCTCAGTGTATTGATCGGCGGAGTGGAGTGCGAAATTGTAACAATTGCGCCAACTGAGATACAATGTAAGACTGGTGCTCGCTCCAATGGGACTGCGGATGTGGTTATTTCAGGCAAAAATGTCAGCGCAACTTTAAGTGAGAAATACACATACGATTCCTCGCTCGAGGCGATAATTACTAGCTTTAGTCCTACGACTGGAGCAGTTCACGGTGGTTCGGTTCTGACTATCTCAGGATCTGGATTCCCAAATTCCGCGTCGGAAGTTGAAGTGATGGTCGGAGGTCTTGACTGCCCGGTCCATAATGTTACAGCTACAGAGATCACATGTCTGCTGCCGAGACACAAACCCGGTCGGGCAAAGGTCGTTGTCGATACGCAAAAGAACGGAAGAGCCTCCTACAGCGGGTCTGTGATGAACTTCACCTACGTCCTGTTTCTCAGCGCCGTTTCACCGAGCCGAGGGTCTCTGAATGGGGGTACAGAGATCACCATTACCGGGGAAGGTTTTCATGGTAATATGAGTGGTAACGTTGTTACCATCGGGGAAAAGAAGTGCGAGGTTTTCGACAGTACTTCGGTTACGATTAAGTGTAAAACGCAAAATGGCGGAAGCATTGTTGCAGTCGATAACTCTGGCTCCCATCCAGGTATATGCAGCCGAATTGAAACATTTTTGGAAATATATCAGTGCAAAGTCAATATTTCCAGGAATTTTAAAGTGCTTTTTATTTCTAGAATATGGAATTGGTTACCAGTGGAAACCAGCTGTAGTTCATATAAAAGTTGGTGATACTGTCAAGGTAAATATGAAAATATTCTCTTGTGTTGAATAACTTTCCATGTATAGTATCACAACATCTCTTCAATAAGGAAATAATGAGATCTCTGCCAAGGCTGAGTCATTTCAACGATGTGAAATTAAGATTAGAAATTAGAATCTCTTCTTATTCAACTTGGAAAGTGAACCAAGTCCTGTACGACTAACGATCTTGTCAACACTTTATTTCTAGTGGAGTTGGTCTGCTCCAGTAGGAGTCAAATTGAATTATGGTGTCTTTGAAACGGCTGATGAAAAATCTACAAAATATGACGGCAAAGGTTTTAACAGTCCCCGAGGTTCAAGTGGATCATTTGTTCATCTGTTTACCAAACCAGGCACATACCATTTCTCAAGTGGTTATATCGATGCCTATGGCGCTATCGATATGAAAGGAAAAGTTGTTGTGGAAGCGGCTGTGTCGAAAACTGAAGACGTTAACGTAGAAGTTGATGGTAAGTTATCGCATTGCCCAAATGAATGTAAAATTTCAATCTTAAGCCTTGCATCACCTTCTAACGCTGTGTTGTTATTCAGGATTCAAGGCACCCCACAATCTGCCTCAAAACGCTTCAGCCCAAACTGAAGAATCGAATTGTGAAACAGCGGTCCTCTCTAGAGACAACTTGCACTTTGGCTTCACCTACTCGACATGCGCGACCGGCACCGTCACCATAGTAACTCCTGCTTCTGGCGTCAGCGGCGACGTCATCACCATCGAAGGTACCGGCTTCAGTACAAACAAAAAAGATAATATTGTTAAGTTCAGCAGCCATGATTGTCTGACGGTGGGTAACTCGACTTCGACATCAATCACCTGTGTCTTGGATATGTCACAAAGTCCTACACCATTTGAACCATTTGATGTATCCATTCGAGTCAAAGGCCTTGGTTTCGCCAATGTTGCATCAGCGATGAATCATACAACCACGTTCCAGTTGATATCCTCGATAGAATCGGTTTCTCCAAGACGGGGTTCAATCGCCGGGGGTACTACCGTAGCTATAACCGGTCAAGGATTCATCGATGGTATCTCTGTTACCATTGGTGGAGCCAGATGTGACGTCACAGAAGTATTGTTCACACGGGTAACCTGTGTTACGTCGGCGTTGGGGACGAGCGAAAAACTTAATCAAACTGTGGTTATCAGTCTATTCAAGGATAATGTGGAACACAGAGGAATGTGTAAGGATCCTAATGGTTGCATGTTTGACTTCATGGATAGTCAAACGCCTGAAGTTAGCGATGTTCAGCCACAGACTATAAGCTCACCGAATACAGTTATCACCATGAATGGCACTAAGGTAATATACCCTGGTAGTTGTTACTGAATCTTTGCACGAATGTATTGATAGTTGTATAAAGAGGAGAAAGGTCGAGCAGTCCAGTAAAGTAAATATAATCCTGAATTCATAGCCGGATAAATCTGATGTCAGAGTAATTATCTTCTCGTCTTCTTTATCTCGCTCTAGTTTACGAGTGTGACTTCAGATATTTCCATCATGGTTGGTGACGAATCGTGTGTGGTAGGGCAACAGCATCTGAGACGCAAATCACCTGTACCATAGCTGGCCTCGTTGCAGGAGATCACTCTATCAAAGTGAATATAAAAGGTGACAAAGGCAGCGCCGTGTTCGAAAGCTCCCAGCTGCAACGTGTCAGTAGCGAAGCAGCACTGACCAGCATGAACCCGACAGAAGGTAGCATTAATGGTGGACTCCTTTTGACCATGAATGGCAACGGATTCGATCGTATTGAATCGACTACAGTATCAATTGGTCAAGTACCATGCAAGGTTACTGATGTAACAACTTCAGTGGTAAGGTGCAAGACAGGAAGCCAAGCTGAAGGTTCGTATCTTGTAACACTGAGCTCTGGCGGAAGGAGCTTCCCCACAAAATCGTTTGCAACAAATCCTGCATCCACGCCCGTGATTAGTTCCGCAACACCGACCCAGGGGAAAGCTGGAGAGGCCATAACCATACAAGGAACTGGTTTTTCAACAAACGCCTCTCAAAATCACCTAAAAATTGGTGGAACCGATTGTCAGGTCACGGCTAGCACGGAGACAACTATCACTTGTACCCCTCAGCCCAAAGCAGCTGGTACCTACGCCGTCACCCTTCACGTTCAGGGTAAAGGCTATGCCACATCTACCACAAATTTTACATACCAGCTAAACATTGATTCTGTTAAACCTAGCGAAAGCGGGTTCGGTGGCGGGAAAGTCTTGACCATAACTGGCTCTGGGTTCGATGGTGAGCTAAACGTGACAATCTGTGGTAACCAGTGCGAGATTTCTAAGAACCACAATCTGACGGATGCTATAATCCAATGCGAAGTCCCGCCTAAGACTCAATCTGCACCAGGAGCCGATGATACGTGCGATTTGGTTGTAATGGTTACCAGTAAGAATCCAGATAACACATTTCAGACTGTCGAGAAGACTGAATCCTCTGTATATACCTATAAAGATGCTCTAACCTCCACCATCACCGGTGTTTCACCATCACGAGGCGGCACAGGAGGTGGTGTGGTACTTACCATTACTGGTACTGGCTTTAGCACCACACAGAGCCAGAACAAAGTCACCATCGACGGTACCATGTGCTTGGTGACCTCAGCGACAACGACAGAACTCAAGTGTACCACAGGTTCACATCACAGAACCATCAGGACAAAAGTAAGAGTTGACGTTGGTTCAAATGGTGCGGCAGTTCAAGAAAATGCTGATTTCTACTATGTCGATGTCTGGTCATCAAAATACACCTGGGGCGGTCGAGATCCTCCCGTTGAAGGAGATTTTATCGTGATCAATAAAGGACAAACTATGGTCCTCGATGTAGACACGCCGGTTTTGGCTTTCCTGTTGATCAAAGGAGGAACATTCATGTTTGATGATGAGAAAGACATTCACCTTCAGAGTAAATTTATATTGATTACCAGCGGTGGTTCGTTCATGGTTGGCAGTGAAAAAGAGCCTTTCAAACACAAAGCAACGATTACAATCCATGGTCACGTCAGATCGAAGGAGATTCCCGTATATGGCGCGAAGAGTATCGCGCTGAGAGAAGGATACCTTGGACTGCATGGACAACATGTGCTGCACACGTGGACAGTGATCATGAAGACTGTATATCCCGGAGATAAAGAATTGAAGCTGAAGGACGCTGTCACATGGAAGCCCGGCGATAAAATCGTGATCGCCCCCACCGGGAAAAATATCAGAGAACACGAGGAGGTTATGGTAGTTGGGGTTCAACAGGGGGGGAAGGTTATTCAAGTTTACCCAGCTTTAAAACACAAGCATATCTCAATAGTGCAGACAATAGGAGGAAGAACGATTGAAACTCGGGCGGAGGTTGGTTTGTTGACGCGAAATGTGGTCGTACAAGGCTCCGAGCATGATCAATGGAAGGGAACCATCCAGGCGTGTCCCAAGGATTTCGAACCCGGTCAGTTCCAAACTCAAACGTGCTTCTTGGGAAAGTTCGGTCAAGAGCCGGCAAGCGATGAGTTTGGGGTTCAAATCATGATTCACGCACCAAGGAAGAGCGCAGGGATGGTCAGAGCCCAGTTTAACCACGTTGAAATCCGTCACGCTGGACAGGCATTCAGGATCGGACGCTATCCAATCCATTTCCACGTAAGCGGTGATGTCGATGGTTCTTATGTGAAAGGCTGTAGTATTCATCATTCGTTCAACCGAGCAGTTACCATGCATGGTATCAACAACCTTGTCGTTGAACGGAATGTGTTCTATCACGCGCGAGGCAACGCGTTTTTCATGGAGGATGGAATAGAGACGGGGAATGTTATTCAGTACAACCTCGGGATCTTCGTAACTTCTTCGACTTCAACTCTAAACGTGGATGTCACTCCAGCCTCGTATTGGGTGACAAATGCGAACAACACTGTCCGTCATAATGTTGCTGCAGGTGGCAGCCATTTTGGTTTCTGGTATCAAATGTTCAAGCATCCAGACGGCCCGTCGTTCACTCCAGACGTGTGTCCACGGAACGTGTTTATGCACGAGTTCAGGAACAACACTGCGCACTCGTTTGGTCGATACGGGCTGTGGGTGTTTCCAATTTACCATCCAAAAACTGGAGGAAAATGCAAGTCGACGATAGCGGAACCGGCCGAATTCCATTCCTTCTTGGCTTGGAACAACATGCGTGGGGCTGAAGGTGTACAAATGGGGGCGGTTAAATTTGTAGACTTCATCATGATGGATAACGACCTTGCCGGAATCGAATATATCGACTCAAACAGCGACTTTCCACCGTGGGGCGGGCCGATGATCAAGGATTCTTTGATAGTGGGTCATAGTAAAGTGTCCTCTGAAGGATTACCCAAAGCACTGAAGACTAACACTGATTGTACAACAAGTGGACTCATGTTACCGAAGACCTCCAAATTGACCGTACGCAATGTGACGATGGTGAACTTCGACCGAAAAGGGTGTGCCGCTTTTGAGGCATGCGCACACTGCATTCCTTTCTGCCCGTTCTGTGGAGGATGGACTGTGAAGTTTGAGAAGATGACGTTCATAAATGTATCGAAACGTTCACGATTCAAGTGGAGGCATGAAGTTGTGTTCAAAGATCTGGATGGATCACTAACAGGTAGGAAAATTTGTGGAACGACCCTTTTATAAGCTTCTTGAAGTAATGAAGAACTAGTAGTGCCAAGTTAGTATAGTTTAGGTTTCCTCCTGTAGTAACACTAGATCAATAAGAGATGATCCTTATTGGACCTCTAGGAAGAACAGTTGAGAACTGATAGAGCTATCGAGTTATCTTTTTCATCAACAGGAACTCCTGGAGGCAGTATCACACCAACAAATCGAAATCTTCCACCAAGCGCCTGCACCTCCTCCGCAGAAGACAGCTTGGGTGGGGTTCCAGGAAGCATCTGCGATAACACAGTAAATTTCAAAAGATTCTCGTTCAACAATGCAGCACCTCAATCCCTTGTACCACTGGACGCCTTGTTTGAAAACGACCATGGCATCGACTCGGTTCCGTGGAAGTTCAAAGGAATCACTCACTCAAAGAGCTGGACAATCACCCTCATAAACGGCAGCGACTACAAATTCAGTTTCAAGAATCTAACTCAAGTTACAAACATCACCTACTCTGGAGATTTCTATGAATTCGATAGGTACGATCATGTCCGCATCACACACGTCTTGAGGCAAGAGCCAGACTATTTTGTAACAACTGGTCATCTTCAAAATTTCTCGGAAAGCGTTCCTCCAACCAATGGCTTTCATGGTGAATGGGGATTTGTTAACAAAACAAAAGAGTTTACTTATCTGGTAACAGGAAAAGACAACACAAGAGATCAGAATAATAATTTAAACGAAAAGAGCGTCGCACTTCGAGTAAGTAAAAGAAAATGTAAGGAAATGTAAGGAAAGGGAATGTAAATTAGTCATTACTTGCATTCTGTGGGATTAAAGATCTAAAGGGAGAGTATGATATTACTGAACGAAGCAATTGTAGATCTTTTCTTGGAGTGAAATATTTACAATATTGGAGGTTAGCGCTAAAAGGAACGTATTACCACCACCTTGCCAATTGTTTCTTAGCTGAGGCGGAAGGATTCTTTCTTAGAGAAAAAGGATAGCCGCTTTTTACTCTTACTAATGTTCCTCTTTATATTTAGATCTATCGCTGTTTTTATCAAAATTGTATCGTTCCCACTCCACCCCCGCCAACAGAAGGCCGTCCGGAAACTTTCCTGCGGTGGTCGCGAGCCGAGGACTGGATCACGCAAGAGCCAGGTTACGGCGGTTATAACGGAGTGTTGCCGAAAGATAACGAAAACGTGTTGATCCGTTCTGATTGGTGGATGGTCGCTGATACCCAGTTCCCCACGCTAAACCGGCTCATAATCCACGGTGTGCTGGAGTTTGAGAATGACAAAGATTATGTGCTGAATGCGTCTATTATATTCATCATGGGAGAAAGAGCAAGGTAATGATTTAAAGGAATACGATAGGATACATGGTAGTATAATAGGATACATGGTGGTATGATGGGATACACGGTAGTATAATAGGATATATGGTAGTATAATAGGATACATGATAGTATGATAGGATACATGGTAGTATAATAGAATACATGGTAGTATAATGGAATACATGGTGATATGATGGGATACACGGTAGTATAATAGGATATTAGGATACATCTAACGGTATGAAGAAAAGTGAATCTGGTTAAGAGGCTGTGACAATTCACTTCACGTGGAAGAGCTCAAAATTACGCGGATGTTTTGTCTAGGTTGATTATCGGCTGGAGAGACAACCCCCATCCTGGCAATGTACTCATTTCTTTACAAGGAAACTGGGATTCTCGTGACATGCCGCTAAATAACGGGCCTAATGTAGGCTCAAAAGCAATCGGCGTATTCGGATCCCTTGAAATGCATGGTATGCCGCGCGATGTGTACTGGACCCGACTCAACAAAACCGTCGAAGCAGGGGAGAACGTTCTTGAACTGGAGGAGAAAGTAGACTGGAAACAAGGAGAGGAGATCGTGATTGCTTCTACAACATTCGAGGCTAGACAAGCAGAAAGGGTGACCATTGATTCTGTAAGTGGAAACAAAGTGACTTTAAAAGAAGCCCTGAAGCACAAACACGTCAGTCATTTGGAAATCCTACCTGATGGACGAAAATACAAGCTGGCTGCTGAAGTTGGTCTTCTCACGAGGAATGTAAAGATTGAGGGAGCGAACATTCCCGTGGGGTCTATCCCTAAGCAAGATTTCGGATGCAGGGTGATTGTTAGTAAAACGATGGCAAATGGAATTGAGTACGTCGGCAAGGCAAAGATTCAGAATGTTGAGTTTAAAAATTGTGGGCAGAATGGTTGGACTGATAGCTACGATCCAAGGTAAGGCTGACATGGAATGGAACAAGATCAAGAACAAGAATAGGTTATTGGTGGTTCATTTTCACATGTGTGTGTTTACTTGAAAAGATTTCAAGCCAAAATCTAATAAACATTTTAGATTCTAATTTTGAGCACCTCAAAAGGAGTCTTAAACTCCTCAAACTTTCACATCCATTTCATTTGAACTTCAAACTTAAACAGGTTCCAAACACAAGCCAAACACTGTAATAATTCTCTTTGAAAACAGGTATTCTCTGGCCTTTCTGGACATCAAGACCACATCAACAAACGACTCGTACGTCAAAGGAAACTCGTTCAACTACAACTTCAACACGGCTTTAGGAGTATTCGCTACCAACAACCTGTTGGTTGAGAACAACGTGATTTATTTCACGCTCGGAGCGTCGATGAGAGTCGAAGGAGAAATGAACAGATTGATCCATAATTTGGTGATCTATTCAGCTTCGTTAGCAACATACAAAGATCGAATGGACGCCTTGGATCCACACTGGCCTGGAGCCATCGACACGGAAGAAGCCCAAAGTGTCGTACTCATTAATAATGCTATTGGTAAAAATTTATCTTTTTTAATCTTTAGAAATGCAATGCTTGACGACAGATTAGTTCAAACGTGCATCAGAAAATAATGAATTAGCTTACAGAAAAAAAAGTTCTTACGTTTAAAGTTTTAAATGAATGAAAGTCCTCTTTTTATATGCACTTGACTTTGGGATCCCATTTAAACAGACTAGCTGTTTCAATTGTACAAAACTCCTCCCAGAAACTGTTCATATTTCATCCAAATCCTCGTAAAAGTTATTTTATCGCTTCTTCCCTATAAACAACGTTCTCTTTCCTCAAAGGTGGCAGTGAACGGGTTGGATACCTAACAGACGGTGAGTCATGCAATACACCAGCAAACTCGCCTGACAGATGGCGTGGAAACACAGTCCACGGTGCTTTGCAAGGCATAACGATCATGTACAGTCAAGGCTATCCACGGTGTGCCCGGATCTCTGGTTTCCTGGTATGGAAGAACTACGACTGGGGTCTCTTCTTCTACACCAAATCTCGCATCATCGTCACAGACTCCGTGTTTGCAGAAAACACAAATTCCATCAACCCTCATGTCTTTGCGCCCGCGGCGCTTAGTCATGTCACCGCTGACAAGTTTGTCCGCGTGCTCAATACGACGTTCATTGGTCGAACTGCAAGCTGGGATTGTGCCATAGATAAGGTGGCTCCGAAAACAAGTGTAGTGAATTCCAAACAGAGAGCTAAGAAGACCCCCTCAGGTTCGAGTCTAACAAAATCATGAATCAGACTATGTTTAGAAAAGATAACTTTTGAATATCTTCTAATGGGACTTTTTTTAGCGAAGCACTCTAAAATTTCATCTCAAGGAAGCAAAAATAATGCCTACCCAAATCCCAATTTTTCTGGAGGCCCGTAACTTAACGGGTTTAACAGGTAACACTTAATACAAGCAAAAATACCTTTTCTTCAGGTGGTTTAGTTGGCTTGATGATGACCGGGTTTATGTCGAGAAAAGCTGGCGGTCCAAAGATGAGATGGGATTCGCCAACCAGCTATCCTGCAATTTATGGCATCACGAAGTTGATCGATGTAACTTTTGCATCATTTGGCGAGGCTTGTGGAGCTCGGGACATAGCGATCATGCCAAACCCCATAATTGGCGATATTATGCATCCTTTTACTGTGGAGAAACTTAAGAAATTTAATGTGGATCATGAATCATTGCTTTTCTACACTCGACCGACCTTAGGGTGAGTTAGATTCACAAATATTGTAATATCTGTCCCTAAGACTTTTCCTGTGAGAAGTAAACTGTTCTTATACTGTATAGCGCCAGAAATCCTGAATTTCTCTTGCTGAAGGTCCAGTGAAGATCAGGAGCCAGTTGAATAAAAGACTAGTAAACTTTTACTGTAGTTGAGGACAGAATTGGCTAATCAGAGTTGTGCATTTCTGAGTTAACTAAGATTTAACTTTGCAAAATGTAGTTAAAGAGTTTTATACAGCCCGCCCCTGAACTAACTCTGTGTTCATAGATGGGTGAATCCCTCGGACTGTGTTGATATGGACTGCGATGGAAGGCGACAGCTTCTTATAACTGATCTTGATGGAAGTTTATCTGGAAAGGCAGGCAATACAATCATCTCCAAGGCAGAATACGAGTGGGGAGAAAATCCAAGCTTTGGATTAGGTATGTCGAGGATTTGCATTCACAGAATCGAGTTTCAAACTGAGGAATAAAGAGTTACACAATCTTATCGTTCATTTCTATGATTCAAGGTGATTACCGAATTCCAAAGACAGCGCAAACCAACCCGGATGGATCTCGTATCGACATCAACAGCTATCTTCCTAACAAAGGAATAATTCGAGGCGATAATCATTGCACTTGGATGAACAACTGGAATGCTTACAAATGTTCCGATATTGATCACCTCATGACTATTGTTGAAAGCTTGGATAAGGATACGGAAACAAGAAGGTTATCTCCAGTTGCTATCTTTGGTGAGTAAACGAATCTTTCTGTTCTGTAGAGACACGCTTGCGTTTATTTGTTCACCCACAGTCTGAAATTAATATCCCTACGTTCATTTTCAGGTGACAGTTACGTGAACTTGTTGAACGGCCCCATGGATCACGGATGGTGTCTTGGCTACACTTGTCAAGAAAGGATTTCAACATTCTACGCCATTGTCGCTTCGCACAGAAATTATTCCCTGTACTTTACAAACACCAACCCACAAAAATTGCGCCTCCATCTCTTGGGAAAAAGAAACAAGGTGATACGATATGCAATCTTCTACAAGACCACGCAAAGATTGGACATCTATCGAAAAGGTATGTGAACAGTCTTCGTCACGTCCATGACAACCACTTTTGGAAATTTGCAACGAATTTTCAATCGTTTCAAGGGCTTTACATCAATCCTACGAATGCGAAACTATCCGGAGAAGACTTCACACTAAAGCGAAAGAATCCAAGATTACCAAACGATCAGTTTGAACCACAGTTGACCAGCTTTAGCGGAGCAAATTACTGGGACCGCGATACAAACTTGTTGTATGTTATCGTGCGGGGCTCTGAACCCATCGACATACGAACATCTCCAGTTATTCAGGTAAAATAATGTTTCCTGTTGTAACCAAAATCTCTAAAGCCCTCTTTCTGTGTTCGGTGGAAAGGTTTAGAACCGCCAGAACTAACTAGCATTAATACAGCTTGTTTAAGTTCCTCTTGAATCCATAGTAAATCGACAAAGATAGTCTTGCAAGACCACGAGAGAGAGAGAAGAAATCGTCTAGCTATCCATTTTTAATGTTAGTTAAGGGTGGCTGTGAATCTAACCAAACCAGCTTTAATCTAATGATGGATTCCAGCTTGAACGATCTGTGATTTGGTACACTAATACGGCTTATCACTGTAGGTTAAGCTTGGAGTGAAACCCATCAGTGTGGACGAGTTCTTCGAGAAGAACCTGGTGGAAAATCTCGCGGCTTTATTGGGAATCGACAAATCAAAGATACGAGTGATGAATGTTGTCAGCGCAGGTGGAGCGAGGCGAAGACGCGCCGTGCCTGAAACAACGTTTGTCGAAGTTGAGATTGGTGATCCACCAGAGACGAGCATTGAATATGACGAGGGTGATGTTTATGATAACAGTACACTCACAAACACCACTGAAGGAATTGCCACCAATTATACAGGTTGGTTTCCATAATATTGAACTATGAAGTATCGCAGATAAACACAAGGTTAAGGTTTTGGTATTTTGTTTACAATATTTTCAACACAGAGTATTCTCCCTTGGGTCTACTAAATGATTATTTTCACAGGTGTTTCAAACGCGACCTCATTTAAAGAACTGGAGAGTCTTGCTACGGAGCTGGTGGATCAATTTCAAACCGGAGGTTTTGAGAAGCACAATATCTCATTACAATCATTTGCAATGAAAGAACCAATTCCGGAGCCAGTTGACCCGACCGACGGAGTTAGGGCGACCAATGAAACAGGTTTGTGAAATTCCTGTCTTTCCCTCACTAAATTCAACCATCTAAAATAAGTTACATTTCAAAAATACCCAAGAAAATCCATACAATAGCCAACACAGTTGAAAACTAAAACAGCTGAGAGTCTTACGAGGCGTGTTATTCTGTAATAGGCCGCAGCATGAAAGTAAACTCCATAATACCGTTCACAGGCAGCCATGTTTAAACCGGCGTTTAAATCATTCTGTCATATAGCTCAAGTCACAAACAGCACAGGTAACAGCACCTTACGTTACGATCAAGTCAACGACATCGAAGAAAACAACGGACAAGAAACGGTTTACCAAATTCCCAACGAACTTATCATCGTCGAGCAACCTTCTGGAGGAAACGAGGGAGCGATAATGGCCACGCAACCCAAGCTACGCATGCGTGATGCAAACAACGAGATTGTCGAGAATGTTGGCTACGGCGAGGTCGGAGCATGGGTTGTCATGGCAACGATACGACAAGGCACAGGTCACCCTGGGGCGAACTTCACTGGGAACAACACAGTGAAGTTCATCAAAGGTTGGGCTAATTTCACGGAGCTGAGTATCTCACACAGTGGCTCCGGGTACATCATTGATTTCCACGTTTCAAAACCAGAATCCGCCGATTTCAAAGCGGCGTCCCAATCTTTTGACGTGGCGGAAACGCTGGTACGCTTCGCCATAAGTCAACAGCCAGGTAACGGGGACGAAGGAATAGCTTTGAGCCAGCAACCGCAAGTGGAAGTTCGCGATTCATCGAGCAATCAAATCGTTAACACCGGATGGAAAGGAAGAAGATGGTACGCCAAAGCCACCCTCGTAGACCCCAACAACAACGGAGCTGTTTTGGGAGGTGCCACGACCGTCGAATTTTTCGAAGGAGTGGCCACCTTCACGAATCTAAGCATCGATATCTCCGGGGATAACTATCAACTTACAATCGATACTAGCACTGAGCCTGACTCGAGTTACAAAGACAAGCTTACCACGGGAAAGTTTGACATCGCATACAATTCTGGAAATGCAAACACAAATCCTGTGTTCTCCGAAGCCCTCGCGGGCATCACTTTGCGAGAGGATATCTCAGTTAATACTTGGGTGGCGAAAGCAAACGCTAGCGATTCTGACCCAGGTCTAAACGGGGTCCTCGCGTTCAGTATAAGCTCTGGGGATTCCCATGGAGTGTTTACGATCGACCCAACAACAGGTGACATTAGAACGGCAAAAACGCCTGATCTGGAGACAACGCGACAAACCATTTATACCCTGACTATAACAGTCGCTGATAAAGGCAATCCATCAAAGAACGCTTCACAGGTGTTGAATATTCAGATAAGCAGCGTTAATGAGTTTACGCCAACGCTTAATGGAAACCAAAGTCAAACTGTCAGAGAAGATGCAAACGTTTCAACTGCCGTAGGAAAAGTGCAAGCTAGTGATGGTGATTTTGGGGAAGATGGAATGTTAACATACTCTTTAGTCAGTGGAAACGATGAAGGACGTTTTAGTATCAACAAAACCACAGGTAAGGTATCCAAGCTCTTAATATACTGCATGAATCATTTGAAATATAAATCAGTATAACTTCAATTAGCTTGGTTAGAATTGAGTGTGCATATCTGAGTTGATATAGAGGCTGATATGACTCCTCTCAATTTCCAGGTGTACTGATCCTCGTTAAAAAGCTGGACTACATCACCACCAGGGATTATGATCTTGGTGTCAAAATCGAGGACAATGCTTCATTGGGTCAGCGACGTTCTTTGACCGTGACCTTCCACGTTGACGTCACGTTCCATCCACGTGACAGCCAAGACCCGGAAGTGAAGAAAGTCATCGAACTGACGTTTCCAGATGTGGATTACGATGCGGTTATACTGGGAAACGAGGCTGAATTCATCGCAGCGTTGAAAGGCACTCTGGTCGCAAAGCATCCTGGTGTGATTTTCGTGCACTTCGAGTTGCGCAAAGGAAGCGTTATTGCGACATTTGATATGATCACGTCATCATCGAATGTCACAGGCGTGGTCAACGAACTGGCCAATCAGGTCACATCTGACGGCGGATTATCAGTGAGCTTCAACGGTAATGTTTACACCACAGATAAGATGAAAACAGATGGCAAGGTCTACGAAGCAAGCCCGGAGGACGACGATGATTCGATTGTGGTGAGTAAAGCAAAATTCTAATTTCGACGTATTCTAATAGACAGAGCCTCTAAGAGGGGGATAAAGCGGGAGTTTGCCCTAGCTTACCAAGGTCTATAAAAAGGTACGTCCTAAAAAATGAAGTGAAATAACAATGCTCAATGGGGTGGAACCCTCACACCTGTTTTTTGCTCCGGGTCATAAAATTTCCTTGCAAGACTAATAGTGATGAACAATTTTTCTTAATCACCGTTTTTTCCATCCTAAGGTACCAGTGGCAGTTGGTTCTGTCTTAGGGGCTCTCTTCATAGTCGCCATCATTGCCTTGATCATTTTGGCATGCACTTCAAAAAAACGCAAAGCAAGAGACAAGATGAGGCGTCCGTCCATCAACAAAGGCTACCAACCGGAATTCGAGATGACAAATTATTATGAGACTCGACCAGGAACAGCCATCATCGTTGAACCGCATAAACAGGCGACACGACTTGGATCAAGCATCGGCATCGCTAATCGCAGTGTCCATCCAGAGGTATGTATGCATATTATAAAGTATGTCTGTTGACACGATCCAATTTAGTCGGACCCAATTCATTCCTCCATCGTATCTTTAATTCATTCTTCAGCAAAGGGTTGAAACTCCTGAACATTGGCGACCTTCAACACGAACGAGTTCGCATCACGAGTCAAGGCCATCCACTGCCATATCCCATCGCAGCAGTCACAGCAACCCACAAATGAACTGGACTCAGTTTGAGCTCCGACCTACGTCCGGCCTGCAACGGCAGCCGTCGAATACACCTTCGGAAATTCTCGTGGAAATGCCAGTGACTCCAATCCCAATGAGAGAGCCAGTGGTTGCTGAGAAGAAACCTGATTCGAATACAAAATTGAATACGATGTACGACGTCGTAAATGAAGTGGCGCCCGCCGGTTTCATTAATGAATATAGAGGTGATGTATCACGAGTTTCTCTCTCAAACCTGTCACTTCTAAACTTTTCTTTAAGTTAGTTTCACGTAAGTCCAGTGTTACCACAGGAGGAAACCTAAACCTAAACTGATCTTCCTAGAGATCCAGTAAGGATCATCTGTTATTGATCCAGTGTTATTACAGGAGGAAACCTAAACTAAACTAACTTTATTTATACTGGATATCTCTATCAGTTCTAAACTGATCTTCCTAGAGGTCCAGTAAGGATTACCTCTTATTGATCCAGTTTTACTACAGGAGGAAACCTAAACTAAACTAATTTTATTTATACTGGACAACTGCCAACAAACTTGACAAAAGGTTTTCCAACTAACAGGTGGAGGTTATCGTAAAATGCAAGTGAACTTGGTTCGTCCTGAAAAAGGTCGTTTGTTTCACAAAATCTGCGACATGAATATCAACATGCAATGGACGTTGAAGGAATTGAGAGAAAAGTTAAACAGGCAGTTTAGGGCATTACCGGAGGTGAAAGGGAATCAATTTGTATTTGTTGACAATGATTTCAACGACGTGGTACCGTACAAGGAAGAGAAGTTCAGCGTGGCAAGGATCTTTAAGGCCTATGTCAGAGTAAAGATAGTTCGTGGAACAGGTAAGAAGAGATTAAGACCTTTTATGAGATAAGCGTGATATAACTTCCTTTAAAAGTTCAGGGTTTATCTTAAGAAAAAATCAGAACAGCACTACATCTTAATTTGCACAACATCAAGGATTCATAGAAACCATAGCTGAATATTTAATAGTTACGTATATAATCGTAGCTACTAATAATGCTCTCGTTTATCTATTCTCTTAGACGCTTGGATTCATTTCTGTCCGTGCGGGAAAATCGCGACAATCTGGTGCAAGAAATGTGCGTTGCGTGGTTACTGTTCAGTGTCATGTCGTGAGAGAGATGAGAAATCACACGACGCAATGTGCCAACCAAATTTGGACTTACTCCGAAAATCTTTAGTCGAGATAAAAAACTCAACTTCACAGGAATGAGAGGAAAGCATTAGGTTCATCTTAAGGCATGATTTAACAGCAGGACTGCTAATGTTTTAGTGGAGATACAAAACTCAACATCACAAGAATGAGAGGAAAGCTTTAAGTTCATGCAAAAGAATGAGTTTAACAGCAGGATTGCTAATGCTTTAATACATATATCTAGCATTTAATATACGGCAATATTGTTTTAAAAATTGCATATAAACCACATTTATATACTACACTCAATTTATTGGGCACGAAACAGCCAAAAAATTTGGTATCTGTACCAATTTCATCGGTTGGGTATACCGGTGCCGATGTAAATACACTATAATTATTGCATTATATATATTATCTCTTGCATTGAGAGCACTGTACATAATATGTTAACAAACATGATATATGTAGTAAATAGAAATGTAAAATTAGTTTAATAAATCATTTGACGCATCTTGTAAATCTGAAATTTATTATCTTAGAAAGAAATTTTCAAATCAATCCGAGCATATTTTTCATGTCTGGCATTCAGATATATCGCTATCGAGAATCGCAATTAAGTAGGTCAGATTATTTAGCGAAAACAATCACTCCTAATCTGGTACTTTCTATTACTTCAGAAAGAACTTTGTTCTTTCTAAAAAAGAACTCTGTTCTTTTTAAAACGACGCATTGAATAGTTAAAAACATTGCAATTAACCAAACAATGTTGCTATAGCACCTATAGTCTATGTTCAGTAATTATAATTATTCCTAGAAGCTAGAGATTAGGTTATGATTGGGCCAGTTAGAATCTGGTCTCAGATTAGGTTTATGGTTGATCAGAATTAATCCCAATCCTAAATGTAATCCTAATTCTAACATAATCTGAAGGATTATTGTTGATTAGAGTTAATGCTAATTCCAAATCTAATCCTAATCCTAACATAATCTGAAGGATTATGGTTGATTAGAGTTATTCCTAATTCTAATCCTTACATAATCTAAACGATTATAGTTGATTAGAGTTAATCTTAATCCTAATCTAAATCTAATCCTAATCCTAACCTAATCAAAAGGATTCATCATATAAAGGTGTATTGAGCAATGAATTATCGGTATTCACCTTCCTGGAGTCTAAACATGCTGTTACGAGAACATTCACCGCGGGCTTACAATACCAGCTCGCATACCTGCGGATAAAATAAAAATATTCATAAGCAAGCGCATTCAATCATTCAATCATCAAAATGGAAACAATTAATCACACGGGAATCCTTGTCAATATCACAGGACACAGGCATCTTTTTATCAACATGATTTACAACAAAATAAATACATCATGACACACAACCATCTCGAAAATAAAGGAAAAATACCAGATTCTGTAGAATAGTCATCTCTGCCCCATACCCTGAGTATTTTTTACACACTCAGGAAAATACAGTGGGCAGTGCCCGACAATGTCCTTTACTTTATTATTCCGTCATTTTACGCCGAAAACTAAACGATTTTTCTACGTAACGCCGAAAACTAAACGATTTTCTTGTCAGTGAAATGAAATGTCATATTTTTCGCCAAAACACCACCTCAATGTGAGGAAATATATTGTATTGTGCAACACCAATGGATTCCACCTGAAACGAGTTCAGTTTTCAAAAACCGTGTATGCTTCGTATATGCGTGAAAAAACTAGTCTGTCTGTTGGCTGTCTAACTTTCATATAGCAACACCCCCAGGTGATAACATTAATAATTTATTTTATCCGTCAAAGCAATGGTCGCGATTACAGTTTAACATTTTAAAGAATTTGTAACAGATATCTGTTCTGCGTGGATGTCAATACTTTGATGTTTTTTCAAATATTTCCATCGAAATTCTTTGATATGTGGGAATTACCTATATATGTTGAATTCCAACTGTGGGCATAGAAATTTGACGGTGTCAAGCAGACCCCATTCCTGCCTGACGATTGCTCACCTTTTGTGAAAGGATTTGTATAACGAAAAGAGTAACCCTCGCGACATTCCTGCAAATGCGGCAAAATCGCGGTGCCCTAGAGTGCCATCGAACACTTCGCTGAGCAGGAAACAAAAGCTCAGCTGGCGAACCAAACGTCGTTATCAATCAAAAAGAAATCTTTCTGAAGACAGCTTGATATCGCTGCAAAGAAATATATCATTACATGCTTTGCGAGACAAGAAATCAATTTCAACCTGTCGCGTTTGTTGGCTGGTAAGTAAACAGTAAGCTGGAATAGTAATCATTTTATATGTATATTATGAGGAATTGTAACAGTTCTTATGCATGATGTGTATCAATTTAGGTTAAAATATTAAAAAACTCAGCTGTATTTCCTTATTTCGATATACGGCGGTCGACTGGACATAACTCGTCGCGGATAATTTAATTCCCATTAAATATATAGGACTAAAGGCAAATTTTAACAAAATGTTGATGTCGGCTCTTCGTATTTACCAAACATACCGTAATGAAAATTAATTTGTAGGTAAGTATTTATTATGCTGCGAGGCTTTTTGTCCGTTTACCCGGGCCTTCATCAGGGGTCAGTTGTATCAAGCCCGTTTAGCTTAAACGGCGGATAAGTCAAAATTAAATAACACTCTTACATCTCTCTTGAATGAGTCAACTTGAATATTATGCACTGAATATGTAGTTTTAAACAGTATATTTGTATTAAGGTTAAAAACATTTTGTTTCCTTGTTGAATAAAACGATAGACGTGATTTCTTTTTTGAACTTATCCGCCGTTTAAGCTAAACGGGCTTGATACAACCGGCTGCAGTGCAATATGAAGGCCCGGGTTAACGGACCGAAAGCTTTGCAGTATAATAAATACTTACGTGGTACAAACTAATTTACTTATTGATGTCACCATGTAAACTTATAAGAATGTAATACCGTAATGTGTTAATGAAAATATAAAAAAAAACGTAATCAGCAGAAACAACATCCTGTGAACTCGAGATTTGATCTAGCTTTAGAATAAGGCTGGGATACTGCCAATAAGATATTTCCAAGTATAACTATCAAACAGGAATAATTGGGATTATTATCAAGAACTTTTTGAATTGTCTTAAAGCTTAAAACGTGACTTACAAGATGTTATTCCTCGGAGTATGTTTTCAATACACAGGTAATGATGGACCGATTTCTTTTTAGAAACGCCAACGAAAGGTAAAGACAGGTAAAAAGAGGAAGAAATTAGCAACATGTTTCCGCTTAAAACAGTGGCACTCGTCGCAGTTTTTGCTGGTAAGAAATGAAGAACTTATCTATGCATGGTCAAGGGTTTCAGTGCACATGTATCTATTAAGTAAAATCGGTTGTAACTTCCTTTTGAAGGATGGACAGTTTAAAACTGATAAAGCTATATCCAGTATAAATACAGTTAGTTTAGTTTTGGTTTCCTCCTGTAATAACACTGGATCAATAAGAGATGATCCTTACTGGACCTCTAGGAAGAACAGTTTAGAACTGATAGAGTTATCCAGTATAAGTAAAGTTAGTTTAGTTTAGGTTTCCTCCTGTAGTAACACTGGATCAATAAGAGATTATCCTTACTGGATCTCTAGGAAGAACAGTTTAGAACTGATAGAACTATCCAGTATAAATAAAGTTAGTTTAGTTTAGGTTTCCTCCTGCAGTAACACTGGTTTACTGGTTTAGCTTACCCTAGTTTAGGTTTCTTCCTACAACACTACTTGAATTGGAGATAGGAAAAATAACTCAGAATTGATAAAAGCTTTACAGTATAAATAAAGTTATTCGGGTTCATTCACTAGCTATTTTCACCAATATTGAGTAACACTATACCGTCTACCGGCTGCGAAACCTTTTCATTTAGCTAATATACTTCATTTGGCATTTGCAATCTTATTTCGCAACGCAACTTTTAAGAATCTAGAACATTTTATACCGAACTGTACTGACTCCTATAATATCATGACATTGCAATTTATATATTATGAGTGGGCAGGTTTATATTTGATAGGAATAATAGCGTTTGTATTGCGCGTATCAGTCTGTATCTTAAAGGCTAGGAAACCACATAACATGCTGAGATTAGCCAAAAATTGGTCTTTAAATAGCTCGGGTCTATTAATACCCGCGCCCACGAGATTCCTAATCCAAATTATATCTGTCGATAAGTGCAAAAACGGGCGCTAAAATATCGAACCTGTTAATTGGTCATAATTCTATAGCAAGCTATCGATTAAAACCTTATACAGAATACGTTCTGCGAACAATCCCGTGTGCTTGTATGTTCGGCACGCATGTCATCAGCTGTTAAAGATATGTTTCCATCAAACCCTTAAGTTATATATTTATCATTTACAAAAGCAGGCTGCCAAGTTGGTAAAATTCGAGGCTTTTCAACGTGACAAGGAAATATTTGACCGCCAAGCATAACAAAGCAATTTTCACATATAATATTGTTTTGCAAATGTAATCATTTTGGATAGATAAAACGCCTACATGCATATCATGCTGAGATCAAATTTGACAGTTTGTTTTGCTGAAGAGTGATTACGTAATGGCGTGGACTAACATATGTATGTCGTAATGTAAATTCGTTAACATTGAACAATTCTTAAAACCAAAAATATTTGAGATATGACCCATTGCGTTATGGGCATTGATATTTTTCAATGTTATTCTTATTGTAACCATTCTTATTTTTTTAATATATTGTGCGTTTCCAAACCATACCATGCAATTAAAATATAGATTGGTTTGAAGTGTTTGCACGCTTCCAGACCCGTTCAAGTGTTTTCAACTTGATTACGAAATGGTCCAGTCGAATGAACGAAAGTGTTCAGTTACGAACCAAGTTACAAGATTGTACATAGCAACTAGTTAGGATGAGAAAATTGCTGTACGATGCTGCTAAGGCAATTCACATGCAAGCGTGTCTTCAAAAAATATAAAAAATATTCGACATTAGGAAAGATTTTGAGAAAAGCTGAGGTGATATATCATTTATTTCTGGCGAACATAAGTCTGCAATTTTCCCAAATGCTTTTGTTTTAAAAGCGATTTCGAATTTAGCAGGGGGCGAGAGGAATACAAAAGCTGCAGTCTACGGTGCACCTTATGTTCCTCCTACACGCTGATATAACATTAACCCTCGCCTCGTCTGATTTCGGATGGCTAAATCGATAAAAAGCTATTCACTGACAAACAATGCATTAATGGTTGCTCGGAGACGGAAAAAACAAACAAGAAATTACTTTTATAACGTTCCTAAAATCTTTGAAAAGCTTATGTGAATTATTCTTTCAACTTGCTCCAACAAAACTGTGCTCTATATATTTTGCGGATTAAAAATCGCAAACAGAAAATTAAAACCAGCACACGATATTTTCACTTGTTTTGATATTTTCACTTAAAACTGCAACAACACCTTTAGCTGGAGGCCTGTTATCGAAAGCGCAACGAGGGCATAAATACCAGTGAAAAACAATATATTGAAGGCTGTAGGAACATCAGGGTCACGAAAATAAGTGCCCTAGCTGCTACGATAACTTCGCAAATATAAATCGCTCAATTTTGTTTCTCGCGCTCAGGGGTTCAAAGGTTTTGCAATATATTTAGTCTTGCCTTTCATTGGGACGTTCTTAACGAAATTAGCAATATTAATGCACTGCATGACAACATTTGCGCAAAATATTTAGGTGGCTTTGCATGGCTTACTGGTGTGTCAAACAACAAAAGCTATTCCACTTTTTTGTCCAACCAGGGCCAGTTGTATAAAAGACTAGGTAGCTTTTAACTGTAGTTAAGGACAGAATTGGCCAGTCAGAGTTGCGTATTTCTAAGTTAACTAGGATTTAACTATATGCGAAGTGTAGTTCAAGCGTTTTATACATGCAACCGATCTCAAATAACACGACATGGCAGTTTCATTATATATAAAGAATAAATTCTGGAAGGCATTATTTGTAATCTTGACAGTGTTGCGTGTTTCCTGTCAATATATGGACTCCTCTCAACATATTGACTGTCAAATACCTATGGCAATCTTCATGTATTCCTTACCGCGTTCGGTCTACCGAACATAGCCGGTTGTACGAAAGATTCATGCATAGCTATTGTGATTTTTTCAATCGCTCTAAAATTTCCTGTTGTCTGACATAACTTGGATTCATAAACTTGGGGGTTCTAGATCTCTTTGATAATTACAAGCCCGAAATCTTAAGTACTTTTCCATTAATAGATCACCACCAGTAAGTGTATCCTTAGGTGAATACTGCAGACGTTTACACCACAATTATATTTTTATAGTTTATGGGAAACACAGCGATGCTTCATCCCCACCCGTGTCAGGTACACGTGAAGTAACTCTATACTTTAGTTACCTTTTAGATAGAATACACGTCATCAGCCTTGAGAATTCTTTATAGGACTGCAATGATAGTCTGCTAATCTTCTCGTGTTTCTAAAATGTAGAGGGAAATGTCAGGAAACTAAACACAAATACGGGAAGTCTCGCTGGTGGAACGATGCTCAGAATTCATGGAAAAGGTACAGCAGAATCTTAAAGGCTAGCTTGAAATTTTTGTCGTGATTTTCTGTGCGATTCTTCTCGTTTGATATAGATGTGAACGGATGGATGAGTTATGGTTGTTTACATAAGTGATCATAGTCTATTTCATTTTATTTCGTAGGCTTTTCCGGCGATCAGTTTGCGTTTGAAGACCCAAATCTGGGTAACGTAGTGACGCTTACAGGAAATGACGGAGTTACTGTTCCCTGTCATGTCGTGGAAACGGACACGTCTGACACGAAAATATCTTGTGAAGTCGGGTGAATACTATAAATTATACGATTTTTTCGGACGAATATCCAGCATGACGATATATTTCGTGTGTAAAAACAACTGGATTTTGATAAAGACTAAAAAAGTTTTATTATTTTATCAGAGAACCACCAGCTGGCCACGAAAGAGACACATATTCACTTTCAATCAAAGTGAACGGTCAACCTCTTGGTGGAGGCCATCGCCACACATACTGCTGGGGGACATGCAGATTTTACGTGAGTTGTCTTTCTGAAGTTTCCGTAATTTGGTAAATCATCAACAGAGAACAGAAATGATATATTCATTGTGATATATTCATTGTGATATATTCATTGTGATATATTCATTGTGATATATTCATTGTGATATATTCATTGTGATATATTCATTGTGATATATTCATTGTGATATATTCATTGTGATATATTCATTGTGTTAACTTCAATTTGTGTTTATAGCATGCATAAAAAGGTTACCCGTTAAGGAGCACTTAGCTCTGTGCACGGGTTTTACCAGTCTTTAATTGACAAGGATTGTAAAAAAAAGAGAAAGAGTCCAACCCTATGTATCCATTCAATCGTTTGTAAAAAAAAGAGAAAGAGTCCAACCCTATGTATCTATTCAATCGTTGATTTCATAAACAAACGTACTTGATTTCATAAATAAACGTACTTAGCCTTCAGACGGCACAACTCGAAAATGAGCCAACTGTACCAATGCATCTCACTGAAATAATAGTCTATGTGAGTGAATAGGTTTGTTGTATATCTTAAGATAACTACTTGTATTTTACAGTTCAGACATTGGAGAACCCCGTCAATATCAGTAATTGATAGACAGGCTGGCGAGACAGGTAAGCAATCATCATCTTTTAATGAGGCTCAAAGGAAATGTGGTTTATGAAGTATGGTCAGGACAAAATTGACATAAATCCCTCTTTTTTTAGACAAAATTTTAAAGATAACTGGAAGGCTATACACAGAACAGATTGGTCGCCTCTCTGACGGTACTGGAGAAAACTTTGAACCAGAGGGAGCCGAAATTACACGGTAACTAAGACAAACTGAGCTTGGCTTTATATATCAGTTGCAATATTCCGGATAACTACAGAAAGAAACCTAAACCAAAGACCTTTATACCATGTTTATAGTACCATTTTATTTATATTGATAAATTCTAAACTGTTCTTCCTAAAGGTCCAGTAAGGATAACCTCTTATTGACCTCTTCTTGACCCAGTATTACTACAGGAGGAAACCTAAACTAAACTAACTTTATTTATACTGGATAGCTTTATCAGTTCTAAACTGTTCTTCCTGGAGGTCCAGTAAGAATCATCTCTTGTTGATCTAGTGTCACTACACGAGGAAACATAAGCTAATTCATCTATCACTAGTTTTTATTCATCAATATCATGACCACTCTCATTTTTGCAGAGTGTATATTGGCGGGTACAACTGCGACACTAACGACGAATTTGGAGAAGTGTAAGAAATATTTTTTAATTAATAATATTATTAATATTATTACCAATGTCGAATGCTTAGACTAATACAATACAGCATGGTACAATATGGTACAATATGGTACAATATGGTACAATGTGGTACAATATGGTACAACATGGTACACTAGGGTACAATATGGTACAATATGGTACAATATGGTAAAATATGGCACAATATGGTACCCTGCAGTACATACGGTCAGTACAAATCGGAACAATAGACCCCCGGCTGTGCCAGGTGATAATTTCGAGGTATTTTTTCGTTTCAGGTACGGTATAGTGTGGCAAGAATGGACAGGGTACTTCATCTGCAGGGCGGAAATCAGTGCTCCAGGTAAACAATACCCCACCTTCTATTGGGTTACCCCACAGGAACGTTTGATATGCTGAGGGTGTTAACAGATCACCGCAGATGTGTTAGTGTTAGTTTTTCAGTGCTAAGAACACAGTAATAAAATCATTGTGGGTATGTATTTCAAGACATCTCTTTCCGCTATTCAGGATCGTACCTAGTTTCATATCTGGTATCGTATTACGGCCGTTCCAGAATTGAAAATGATCTAGCCAGTTATGTCGATGGCAATGACGTCATCTATCAATACCAAGCTCATTCAGGTAAGGTCGGAAATCATTGATACGATGGTTGTTTTATGAAAAGCATTGGCCAAAGAAATCATGGCTGTCGGAATGATAGCGTAATACAGCACTGTTCTTTAAAGACAAGAGGTATCTTTGTTTTCAATGTAAACGATTGCCCAGTTTCTAATGAGGACATCTAAAACCCCCGCACACGAAAGCTATTAGCTGAGCTAAAGACCTCGCTTGGTTGTTAGCTCAGCGAGTTACTCTCGTGTGCGGATAGTTTGCATCGTGATGTCTTTGGCTCAGTCTATTATAGCTCTCGTGTGCGGCGGGCTAAAGACTAGAAGATTATCGCATTAAGTCCGCAATTTATTTAGCTTTGGACTTACCTAGAACAATCCCCCTTTAGATGTTTTAAGCGTTGCGCCAAGGAACGGAAGCAGAGCTGGTGGAACAATCCTAACGATAAAAGGAAAAGGTTTCAGCCATATTGAAGAGAATGTTAAAGTAACTGTCGGAGGTAAACATGACTGAGTGAAATCAATAGACCTTTCTCTTAATAACGAAATGTCTGATGTCACAAGAAGTTTGATTGGCGCGTCATTATGAAAAAGTCTATTACTTCTATCCAGTAGAAATAAAATTAGTTTAGCTTAGGTTTCCTCCTGTAGTAATACTGGATCAATTAGATGATCCTTACTGGACCTCTAGGAAGAACAGTTTAGAACTGATAAATTACTAAGCTGCATATTCATTGCTTTTCTTTAAATAAAACAGGCGTTCCATGTAAGGTCCTGACAAGTACTCGGGATACAATCAAGTGTATTACTGGAAGCGTGGACGAAGAGAAAGACAACAGAAAATTTCATCCAGGTTTGCATGTCAACGTATTTGAACAACTGCATGCATTCAATCTCGCTCATGCTGAGAACACCTTGTGATCATCAACATCCTTGTTTTAACATCCTTGTGATCATCAACATCCTTGTTTTAACATCCTTGTGATCATCAACATCCTTGTTTTAACATTCTTGTGATCATCAACATCCTTGTTTTAACATCCTTGAGATCATCAACATCCTTGTTTTAACATCCTTGTGATCATCAACATCCTTGTTTTAACATCCTTGAGATCATCAACATCCTTGTTTTAACATCCTTGTGATAATCAACATCCTTGTTTTAACATCCTTGTGATCATCAACATCCTTGTTTTAACATCCTTGAGATCATCAACATCCTTGTTTTAACATCCTTGTGATAATCAACATCCTTGTTTTAACATCCTTGTGATCATCAACATCCTTGTTTTAACATCCTTGAGATCATCAACATCCTTGTTTTAACATCCTTGTGATAGTCAACATCCTTGTTTTAACATTCTTGTGATAATCAACATCCTTGTTTTAACATCCTTGAGATCATCAACATCCTTGTTTTAACATCCTTGAGATCATCAACATCCTTGTTTTAACATCCTTGAGATCATCAACATCCTTGTTTTAACATCCTTGTGATAATCAACATCCTTGTTTTAACATTCTCGTGATCTATTTCTCCACCAGGTGGCCGGGGGTTCACATGTGACACGTGGACAACCAACCAATGGATCCCTAACGTGCGAGATTTTGATCCGAACTCAACTGACTACAATACACACATCCACAGCCACATCCATCAAATGCACACAGATTTTGCAAACTGTCCAAACGATCCAACATTCGTGAAACCGACCTCCAGGTTGGTTGGCCGACTGACCGCATATTTTGTGCCTCCATCCAGTGGAATGTACAGATTTGGAACGCTATCAGATGACAGCAGTGTTGTCTATTTCAGTAACACTAGTTCACCCGCGAACAAAGTAAGCCGGCTCAAGCGTTCCTCGTATCAACAATATAAATTCACCAATCATTTCTGGTTATTCAGTTATCGAAAAAGTTTCATTAAAATGTACATAGTTGTCATTACTGAACATAATCACAAGATTCCGACCAGTTTCATAAAGAATATATAACAAAATATAAGGCTGGAACATACCAGAAAACATTTGTGTTTTTCATCAACGCCGACTTTTCTTTATGATTTAGAAGGAAATTGCTTCAGCAGCTTGGTACACAGGGTCCAATTGGGAGAAGTATGACACTCAGTGGTCAGAACGTATGTACCTTGAGAAAGGTCGACATTACTATATCGAGGGCGACTATTATGATGGTGGCGGTGCTTACTTTCTAAATATTGGTTTGAAGAAGGAATCCACAAGTCATACCGAGAACGATGTGCCCATGGCCGTCCAAGAACAGCAGTATTTGAAAATATGGAGCAGTTTGAGCGATGAGAGACAGGTAGGTACATTTCAGTTGGCCGGCATGTCGAACCAGGATGTGAATAGACTAGATATAGCGTTGGTTGAGTTAGGGCAAATGAGTTCATAGTACACTTTACAAAGCAAAATAATGGTTCATTGGTTACATTCGATGGATAATGATTGACATTGACGATGGATAATGGATATTGATGAGAGAAAGGTGATAAGAGTGTACTTGAGTTGTTGAGTTTATCAATTTAATATTCTCTTTCCTAACAAGGATGGTGGTCACCGGTTGATAAGAGTTTACTTGAGTTGTTGAGTTTATCAAACACACCAAACAAATTCTTTTTTCAGACCATTTCGTATGAAAACTGGAAAGATGGCTTCGTTCAACAAGAGGAACAGCTTGTTACGGTCATGCAATGTTTACTTGTCAACAACGTTTGTCAACAACCTCCTTCCTTCATGTTGAGCTACGATGGCGTTACGACCCAGGCTCTAACTTCAGGCATCTCTGCTGCAAATCTAGAATCTGCTCTGAATAATCTTGCTACGATAAGAAGTGCTGGCTCCGTCGCTGTCACCTTAGAATCGTCCGACAACCAGAAGAGAATCTTTAGAGTGAAGTTCAACTTTGCCGAACCTGAGCACACACTAATGCTGCAAACACAGAGCCAGTATGTAAACATTGAAGTCGACAAGGCTGGAATAAACTCCGGAAGAGGTTTCAGACTCGGTTTTGGTGGAAAACGAACAAGAGTGATTAATCCTAACGCAACGAAAGAGGAACTGGAAGGAACTTTCTCTCAACTTTTTAGCACGGAATGTACATTCTCGGAAGACACAGGTAAATTTTACATCATTTCTTCTTTAGTACGGCGATTCTGAATTTTTTATAGGCATTTGAGAGGGGCCAAGCCCTCAAACTGATCTGCGAATGCTCGAAATGAAATCCTATTCAAGAGCGCTATTTTTTAAACTGGAACTTTCAGTTCTTAGGATCACTAAGACGGGAAAGTATTAGAGATCATTCAACCAGAAGAGAGTACGTCTTCTTCAACTCAGTATTACCATGAGGTAAAGAAGATGCATCAGATTAATCACGGGTAATTTTTCTTCTCCAGATTCAGCTTACTTCTACCAGGGCTACGAAGGGGATAAATCAGGGTATGAACAAGGAGATAGAGTTAAGGACGAAACGCCACACTGTGGAAGGCAGGCATTAATAAATCCAAACGCGATCTACGTTGGGGGTCTGACGGAAATAAAACCTGGACAAAAAGGGGGCGAATTTAATCTGCAAGTCAATTCAAGGGTAAGTCCTATGATGGTTAAACATTACTTCATGTTACGTCGATCATAATAACCGATGATCAGTTCCAAGCCTATTAATATACATATTACCGGACATTTTTTAAAATTTACGACTTGCTTTTGAAGTCAATAAAAGCTAAAAACAGTATTTTACCGTTCACTATGTATGATTAGAACAAGATCTTGGAAATTTTATCAGAATGCCATTCTTTCTCTCCCTCCAAGAGTTTAAATGTTTTAACAATTGCTTTATAATATCTATTTCAACGCAAAAATTTGCTCATGTTTCCATCAATAATTATCTTTCAAACAGGTTTGCTATGCATTCAAAGGCGACTGTGACAAAGTAACATTGAGAACTTACGTAAAATATACAAACAGCGAGGGAAAGTCGACACACGGCAATCTCTACCACGAGTACCCCTGTTCCACACGCTGGCAATACGACTGTTTCAACTTGAATGAACTGGCTGTAGACTCTGATATTTGGCAAAAGAGAATGCCAGGATCTCAATTGTTTGTGAAGGATATCTACATTTCTAGAGATGTGATGGTTGACGATGTTTGGATTGGAAGGTCGCCAGTGAGTGGTAAGTAGATTAGCGGTATCAAAAAATCGGAGTAAAATGATCCTTGCTGGATCTCTAGGAAGAACGGTTTAGAATTGGTAGAGCTATTCAGTATGAATAAGGTTAGTTTAGTTTAGGTTTCCTCCTGTAGTAACACTGGATCAATAAGAGATGGCCCTTACTGGACCTCTAGGAAGAACAGTTTAGAACTGATAGAGCTATCCAGTATAAATAAAGTTAGTTTAATTTAGGTTTCCTTCTGTAGTAACACTGGATCAATAAGAGATGATCCTTACTGGACCTCTAGGAAGAACAGTTTTGAACTTATAGAGCTATCCAGTTTAAATAAAGTTAGTTTAGTTTAGGTTTCCTCCTGTAGTACCACTGGATCAACAAGAGATGATCCTTACTGGATCTCTAGGAAGAACAGTTTAGAACTGATGGAGCTATCCAGTATAAATAAAGTTAGTTTAGTTTAGGTTTCCTTCTGTAGTACCACTGGATCAATAAGAGATGATACTTACTGGATCTCTAGGAAGAACAGTTTAGAACTGATAGAGCTATCCAGTATAAATAAAGTTAGTTAGGTTTAGGTTTCCTCCTGTAGTAATACTGGTTCAATAAGAGATGATCCTTACTGGACCTCTAGGAAGAACAGTTTAGAACTGATAGAGCTATCCAGTATAAATAAAGTTAGTTAAGTTTAGTTTTTCCTCCCGTAGAAGTATTATTCATCGATCAAATTTGTTTCCACCCTTTTTCAGTTACCAAACGTAAAGTCGCTGCTCAACCAAATGGCCAATGGATAAAGAATTTTATAATAGAGAAATTATCAGAAACCAAATTCAGAATCAAGATGTATCCAGGAAAATGTGGTTTTGATATTCCACTGATCTCTGTACAAGGAATTCCTCACACGGATGGCGAGGATCAAATCTCCTTCAACGTTTCAGCAATCGGCGCAACGATCACTGTGACACGTGAAAGAGCCGCAAGTCCGCCGTTAGGAGGGACGTTTGATTTGAAATTTGGAAATAAAACAGTCCAAGGTACAAATGGAAGCACAACTACAATAAAGCGGAAGCACAACTAAAACTTACCAATATCTTTATACACGATTTTCATCAACCATTCCAAACCACTGGTTCCTGACCACCTGCAAGAAATTAACAACAATGCTTAATCACCAAGTCTTTAACTACGTTTTGCATAAGCTAACCTTGTCTAGTTAACTCAGAAATGCACAACTCTGGTTGGCCAATTCTGTTTTTAACTAGAGTTAAAAGTTAACTAGTCTTTTATACAACAGGCCCCTGGTTTTACCTCCTTTTCGCCTTGCCTAAGATCTTGTATCATTATGGAAACATATTCATGATTTATCGCTTTGGCTGTCTTACTTCATTCAACTAACTACCTTGCCTAATTGTCCTAATTATCGTGATGATTGCTTCATTACCACTTAGCGTGTGTTTACATGAGTCCGGTCACCACAGTTTTAACGAAGCGTGTGATGATTTTGAGTTATTGAAATAAGTCTTTATGAAACCAACCAGGCCCATGCTATAGTCAGGATGTTTACGCCACTTCCAGAATTATGTTATATACTCATTTCAATAACTCAAAGTCATTTTACGCGTCTTTGAACCGCGGCTGAAGACAATATAGACATATGTACTCATGCATGCAACTTTAACAACTCTGAGAATCCATTTATGCATTCAAAGATGAGACTTTTCAAAAGTACAACAATTTTCAGCAAAAATTACGAACTACTCCAATAAGATGACACTATCTACTTCAAAAAACCCCGGGAATAACACGATTTAAATCCATTTAAAGGTATTCCGCTAAACACAACAGCTCAGGAGATGAAAGAACTTCTAGAAACGAATTATGATGTAGGCGAACTGCGAGTTCAAATCTCCAACGGTTATCCGAAGTGCAGCCACTACAGGTGGAAGTTAGACTGGCTGACAAAGGCAGGGAAACAACCGGAGTTTAAAATCAATGCAAGTAAAGTTACTGGTGAAAATATCAGGATCTCGTATACAACAAGAGATGGAGGACTGTTTTATCGCAAGATACCAGGAGAGTTTCTACGGGTGATAACTAAAGAACCACAGGTAGCGTTGATTCAAAGATTGACATAACTTGCTTTTAAAAAAAGGCTTAGTGGTATAGTTTTTAAAACCATGGTCTGTTTGTAGTAACACTGGATCAATACGAGATGATCCTTACTGGACCTCTAGAAAGAACAGTTTAGAACTGATAGAGCTATCCAGTATAAATAAAGTTAGTTTAGTTTAGGTTTCCTCCTGTAGTAACACTGGATCAATACGAGATGATCCTTACTGGACCTCTAGGAAGAACAGTTTAGAACTGATAGAGCTATCCAGTATAAATAAAGTTAGTTTAGTTTAGGTTTCCTCCTGTAGTAACACTGGGTCAATAAGAGATGATCCTTACTGGACCTCTAGGAAGAACAGTTTAGAACTGATAAAGCTATCCAGTATAAATAAAGTTAGTTTAGTTTAGGTTTCCCCCTGTAGTAACACTGGATCAATACGAGATGATCCTTACTGGACCTCTAGGAAGAACAGTTTAGAACTGATAAAGCTATCCAGTATAAATAAATTTAGTTTAGTTTAGGTTTCCTCCTGTAGTAACACTGGATCAATAAGAGATGATCCAAAAGTTTTTAGACGGTTTATCTTACAGAATCCATTGTATCTTAGGTTGTCGTGACAGTAAATGACTTGGTAGCCAGCTGTTTGGGCAAAGAATGTTCCTATCACCATCTGACAGAGAGAACACCAGTAGTCACCAGCTTCAATACAACAACTGGCGGAGCTGGTTCCGCGGTCAAAGTTACGGGGACTGGATTTAGCAACAATGCGAGTCACGTCACTGTTACCATGGGTGGTGTCGAATGCACTGTGCTGTCGAGTAGCGAGACAGAAATCCAATTTCTTATTGGTTGGTAATCAAATATCGTTTAACAAACTTCAGTATTCTAATAAAGAATTTATTTCGGTCGGAGAAAAAAGAGCGCTACAAGTTCTATGCGACCGTATGCTTCAAGCTTTTTTCCAAGAGTGGAAAATATTGGTTTTTACGTGTTAAGAAACCCTTTTGTTTTGGGAACATTCTTCTTACATACAACTGAGAGGAATATATGACTCGGTCAAAAGTTTTCCGCAGGAAATGAACCGGAATTGAGAAATCGAAGCCAGACTGAATTTTGTCTTTAATTTCTTCTATTCTGTTTTTTAGGCAATAATGTCAATCCTGGATCTCAAGAGATCTCAATCAGTATCCACAACAAAGGCTTTGCTCAATTTGAGATCGTACAGAACAGGCGACGCCGTAGTGTATCAAACATTATACCCTTCTTATTTAACATATTTATCGTTCGTGTCGACTCTGTGACCCCGAACACTGGTGGAACGGCGGGTGGTACACGTCTTAGGATTCAAGGTAATTGATCCATGGTAGGCGGGGGGGAGGAGACCCCAGGGTTCAGGGTGGGTGTACACTCGTTAGATGCCCAGAGGCAGGGCAGGGTAAATCATTATTCAGAATACATCTTAAACATAAAATACCTCTCTTGTCAGAAGTAAGATATTTCTTACTCGACTAATACGTTTGAAATGGTCAATTACAATCTCTCTGTTGGCTAATCATTAAAGTAGTGTGTCCTGTGATATAAATTCAACTACAACGCATCACTAAATGTCTAGATAATGAGACAACGGACTATAAATGTGATCAAACATCCTTTAGAGCCAATAACACAATTTCAATTTAAACCAAATTCCATGCGACAATTCGTATACCAGGACCAACATGAACAGACATCTTTCCTTTGACGAAAGCAAAGTCAATTTCTCCACCTATAAATGCGATCTTTCTATTATGCTAAGTGCATGAATATTCTCTTGATGTGTTAAACCGTCTCCGTATTCAATACAGGCTTTGGTTTCGGCACAAGTCCAGATCTTTCGGTTGAGGTCGGTGAAGTGGAATGTGAGATTGAATCCATTGATACGACAGTCATTATGTGCGAAACTGGGCCCAGGTCTGCAGGACTGGTTGACATTGTCGTGTTTTCTGGCTGCAAGGAAATCGGTTGTACATACACATTCAACAACGGCTTCACATACGATGACTCCGTGCAACCAAGAATAACCGAGATTAACCCGGAGATGGGGCCAACGTACGGTGGTATAGCGTTGACCATCACCGGCACTTCGTTCCCTACGGCGGTTGAAGAGGTCACGGTTACCATGGGAGCAAGACGTTGCGAGGTCACGGCAACAAGCAGCACGCAAGTGACTTGCACCGTGCCGATGAACCCCCCTGGGAATGTCAATGTGGTCGTCGATACTAAAGTTAAAGGTGAGAATATCCGGGGGGAGAAATAAAATAGAAATTACCCAAGGTAAAACCACCCAACTTCTTCCTTACGATAAATTTCTTTGAACATAGGAAGAGCATCTTTGGATGGAACCAACGCCGTGTTCACGTCAGTGTTATATGTCAGCGGTGTTACACCGAACAGAGGGTCGCTGAACGGTGGCGCTGAGCTCACTATACAAGGTGGAGGGTTTAGTACAAACAATACCGATAACATGGTCATGTTGGGAGACGTGATGTGTGAGGTTACATCAAGTACGGAGAATGAATTGAAATGCAAAACACCGGTTGGAGGAAGGATTGTAAAAGTTGACAACTCCGGGTCACATCCAGGTAAGGGTCAACAGGATGTACTATTAGACAAACCATTATCTTTAGGTCGTTTAAAAAGAGGGGAAATCTTCGCGTGATGAGCAAGTTGTGTCACTAGTGATTCCAAGGTACTGAATATAGCTCTTCGAATATCGTTTCAGAGTTTGGTATTGGTTATCAATGGAGTCCATCAACAGTAACCGTTCGAGTCGGTGATAGAGTAAAGGTAGGCTATCATACCCGTCCTATGCAGAAAGAGATGTTTTAAAACATCTTCGTTCATCAGTTTAAGAATTAGGAAGAGGGCTCTGTCTTTTTGCAACAAAGAAAATACAGACATGAAACTGAAACCGAAAATACTTTTGAAATTAGCCTCGAGAATACGTTTACAATTATGGTTCAAAGTTTCCTGTACGCATGAATGCTGCAACTTCAAGTGAATAAACCATCAACTATTCTTAACCTTTACAAAGCGTAAACACTGTCAAACTATAATCTTCATTTGATCCATTTAGTGGAGCTGGGCTGCACCACATTTGGCTGATGTGGTGTACGGAGTTCATCAAACCAAAGATGGCGACTCTTCCGACTACGATGGAACTGGTTTTATCAGCCAGCGCAGTGGTAGTGGCTCGTTCATGCATCAGTTCACAACCCCTGGTACTTACTACTTCTCAAGCGGATTTATCGACAAATCACAATCATTGGACATGAAGGGAATGGTTGTAGTTGAGCAAGCCCAGTCTAGCGTGGTGAATGTTGAAGTCAAAGTCAACGGTATGACCATAATCTTTGTTACATTTATTGCACCAAAAAGACAGAGGGTAGCGTGCACTGAGGCTGCACGGGTTGGGGGGATATCCTCTCACCCTGAACTATTGGAAGATGATAACCGATGAGAACCGACCACCGGATGGAGTCTGTAGCAAAAAATGCTGACCATAAATGGGGTTGGGGGGAGGGCTCATATCAACTCAATGTTTTCATAATTTTGACGTTTAGCTTAAAATCACAAAAGTTGATAGAGCACTTTGTACAGTACATTGACCCAATTTGTGTTCCCTGTTCTTTACCATTCTGCATACATCTTTTATTTCAGAGTACACAGCCGCCCACAACTTGTCAGGCGCCCAGCCTGATCAGTCCCCAGAAAGGTGCAACCAAGACGCGACAAAGACCCAGGATGGCGTAAACTTTGCCTTCACATTCTCGACCTGCGTCACCTCCACCGTCACAGCGGTCACACCTGCCTCGGGCGTGAACACAGACAAAATAACCATCAAAGGAAGCGGTTTTAGCCGGGTTAAGAACAAAAACACCGTGACATTCGGTGGTCACGTTTGTAACATACTGGAAAGCAACGATACTGTTATAACTTGTAACCTAGACACTACCAACGAACCAGAACCATGGATGAAAATGCCTGTGTCTGTCGAAGTGAGTGGTAATGGACGCGCTATCATCGCCCCTGGAGTGAACGAAACTACATTCTTTGAATTGATTCCTTCGTTGGTAACAATAACACCAAGATTTGGTTCGCATTTCGGAGGCACAAGGATCGTTTTAGGTGGGCAGGGATTTGTCGAAGACATGAGAGTTAGTTTAGGACAAAGCGGATGTCGAATAGACAGTTTATCATACACTCAGATAGACTGCGTTGTGGGGCCATCTTTCACACAGACTGAAAACGACCAGCGTGTGGTGGAAATACTCTTAGAAAAAAATAACGGGAATTTAAAAGCTGTTTGCAAGGAACCAGGTGCTTGCAGCTATGTCTACCAAAATGCCCTAACGCCAGAGATTACAACTTTCAGTCCAACAACAGTGAGCGCCCCAGATACGATACTCACGTTTGACGGTTCAAAATTAAGCAATACACCATCAGACGTCAAGGTTGTCATCGGCGACGTGCAATGCGCCGTACAGACTACATCCATGAGCCAGATCACATGCAATCTGCCAGGACTGCCCGTGGGCCAGCATCGCGCGATGGTACATATCGCGGGCGACAAAGGTTATGCCAAATTCACAAATCAAGTAAACGTCACTAGCCAAGAAGCATTAACAAGTCTATCGCATACACAGGGGAGCGTCAACGGAGGACTATTGCTCACAATTAATGGCCATGGCTTTGATCCTGAAGGCGAGACCGTAGTGGAAATCGGTGGTAAACGATGTGAGATAACAGAAGTCACAACTTCTGTTATAAAATGTCGAACACCTAACCAAGGTGCCCCGGGATCGTTTTTGGTACAGGTTTCTTCCTCTGGTTTTCCGCTGACACCTCTCAACTCGCAGACATTTTCCACCTCTACGGCAGCGACTCCTGTGGTCAACACGATACCAAACGCTGGTCGATCTGGTAACACCATCAACATTCAAGGCACAGGCTTTGCAACGCAACCATCAGAGAACCACGTCAAGATTGGTGGTACCCCATGCATGGTAACGACCAGCACTGCAACCACCATCGCTTGCACGCTTTCTGCAAAGCCTGCCGGTAGCTATCCCGTTACGCTCCACGTCGTTGGTAAAGGTATGGGAACCACGGGCATGAACTTCACCTATCAGTTGAACATCGACACCGTCACCCCGAATGAAAGTGGGTTTGGTGGTGGTAGGCTTGTCACCATTAGCGGTTCTGGATTTAGTCGTGAGGCCGACGTGACCATCTGTGGTAATCCTTGCAAGATTCCTAAAGGATATTTGGTTAATGATACAGAAATCCAGTGCGAAACACCACCGAAAGAGCAATCAGCCCCTGGAGCCAATGATGTTTGCGACGTGGTTGTGACCAACACAGAAAATATGTTTAGAAATACCGAATCCTCGGGATATACCTACAAAGACGCTCTAACCTCCACCATTACCGGTGTTTCACCATCACGGGGCGGCACAGGAGGTGGTGTGGTACTTACCATTACTGGTACTGGCTTTAGCACCACACAGAGCCAGAACAAAGTCACCATCGACGGTACCATGTGCTTGGTGACCTCAGCGACAACGACAGAACTCAAGTGTACCACAGGTTCACATCATAGAACCATCAAGACAAAAGTAAGAGTTGACGTTGGTTCAAATGGTGCTGCTGTTCAGGAAAATGCTGACTTCTACTATGTTGATGTCTGGTCATCAAAATACACCTGGGGTGGTCGAGATCCTCCCATTGAAGGTAGGACATGCGCCTGTATTCTAAAAGCTCACTCACACTCAAACTCATTGAGTAGGAGATCTCAATCCTCTCATAACGTTTCCATGACGATATTTCCAGTCAAATAAGAGCTTGATTTTGAGTGTTTTACCCTAAATCATTTCATTGATTAAGAAAGAACATTCTCATTGATCAGCAACAACAAGAGTTTTCTAGGAATTTCTAGGCGTTTTCTAGGAATTTCTAGGACTTTTCTAGGAGTTTCTAAGAATGGGGCTGGTTTCTTTTCTTGAAGGTGATTTTATTGTGATTAACGAGGGGCAAACCATGGTCCTTGATGTGGACACACCTGTTCTGGCTTTCCTGTTGATCAAAGGAGGAACATTCATGTTTGATGATGAGAAAGACATTCACCTTCACAGCAATTTTATACTAATCACCCACGGTGGTTCATTCATGGTTGGATCCGAAGAGGAGCCATTCAAACACAAGGCAACCATCACCTTGCATGGTCACGTGAGATCGAAAGAGATTCCCGTGTATGGCGCGAAAAGCATCGGCCTGAGGGAAGGATACCTCGGACTGCATGGACAACACGTGCCGCACACGTGGACAGTGATCATGGAGACCGTAAATCCCGGAGATACACAACTGAAGCTGAAACATGCTGTCACGTGGAAGCCTGGCGATAAAATCGTTATCGCTCCCACCGGGAAAAATATCAGAGAACATGAGGAGGTTATGGTAGTCGGAGTTACGGACGGGGGGAAGACGATCAATGTCTATCCAGCACTCCAGTATAGACATATTTCAATCGTCCAAACGTTTGGTGGAAGGGTTATTGAAACTCGCGCTGAAGTTGGTTTACTCACACGAAACGTTGTTGTTCAAGGTTTGATCTATTTTTAATTCCTCGTATTACATATTATAGTCATCGTTTGCAAAATTGGTCACAGATACCTCCAATAATATTTTCTGTAAATGTGACACCTCTCTAGTACAGACACCATGCACTCTAATACAAACATCTCTCTAATACAGACACCACTCTAATACAGACATCTCTCTAATACAGACATCTCTCCAATGCAGACACCTCTCTAATACAGACACCTCTCTAATACAAACACCTCTCTAATACAAACACCTCTCTAATACAGACATCTCTCTAATACAGACATCTCTCTAATACAGACATCTCTCTAATACAAACATCTCTCTAATACAGACACCTCTCTAATACAGACATCTCTCTAATACAAACATCTCTCTAATTCAAACAAGTCTAATAGACAGGCACCGTTCAAATACCTGACATCTTCCCAATACGCTACACCTCTTGTAAAGACACACCCCTCTAACAGACCTATCTCTAATCGCAAACATCCCTTTCACATCTCGGAATGAGAGACACGTCTTCACCTTGTACATTCCAGGAAGTTTACATGACGAATGGCAAGGTACAATCAAAGCTTGCCCGGACGCATTCCAACCAGGACAGTTCCAAACACAGAATTGCTTCCAGGGGAAATTTGGTGAAGAGCCGGATAGTGATGGATTCGGTGTTCAGATAATGATTCACGCTCCGGTGAAAAGCGCTGGTATGGTGACCGCGCACTTTAATCACATTGAAGTGCGCAACGCGGGACAAGCATTCAGGATCGGACGCTATCCAATCCATTTCCATATCAGCGGTGATGTCGATGGTTCTTATGTGAAAGGCTGTAGTATTCATCATTCAAATAACCGAGCAGTCACCATGCATGGTATCAACAACCTTCTCGTTGAACGAAATGTTTTTTACAATGCAAAAGGCAACGCGTTTTTCATGGAGGATGGAATAGAGACGGGAAATGTTATTCAGTACAACCTCGGGATCTTCGTAATCTCGTCAACTTCAACTCTAAACGTGGATGTCACTCCAGCCTCGTATTGGGTGACAAATGCGAACAACACTGTCCGTCATAATGTTGCTGCAGGTATTAATTATAATAATTATAATAATTAAAAAATATTATACAAAGTTTCATGACTGAATGGCACGAAGCGATTTTATAAAAAGATACATTCTTAATCATTGAACACAATAGACACAACACTAGGCCAGTCGTGACTAATGAATCTTTAACTTTCCTTCTTTTCTACAAGGTGGAAGCCATTTTGGTTTCTGGTATCAAATGTTCCAACATCCAGACGGCCCGTCGTTCACTCCAGACGTGTGTCCACGGAACGTGTTCATGTTAGAGTTCCGCAATAACACTGCACATTCGTTTGGAAGATACGGTTTATGGATCTTCCCAATTTACCATCCTAAGAAAGGAGGCACGTGTAACTCTAAAATAGCTGAGCCCGCAGAGTTTAACTCCATGCTCGCCTATAACAACATGCGCGGAGCTGAAGGTGTACAAATTGGCTCAGTGAGGTTTGTCGACTTCGTCATGATGGATAACGACCTTGCCGGAATCGAATATGTCGACACAAACAGTGATTCTCCACCGTGGGGCGGGCCGATGATCAAGGATTCCATGATCGTAGGTCACAGCCGACTCTCTGAAGGGTTACCGAGAGTGGTCAAAAGTAACAGAAATTGTACAACAAGTGGACTCATGTTGCCGAAGACCTCCAAGTTGACCGTAAGCAATGTGACGATGGTGAACTTCGACCAAAAAGGGTGTGCCGCTTTTGAGGCATGCGCACACTGCATTCCTTTCTGCCCGTTCTGTGGAGGATGGACTGTGAAATTTGAGAAGATGACGTTCATCAATTCACCCCAAATTTCGCGATTCAAGTGGAAGCATGAAGTTGTGTTCAAAGATTTGGACGGAACACTAACAGGTGGGTAACCAACACCATGTAATAGTCACAGCGGAAAGTTTGATCTCGAAGGCGAAGATCTTTGCCAGCAAAACTGCTCCGCTAAAGCATCTAACAGGGACTTTATTTTCCTTCAAATCAAGGTACCGTTGGAGGAAGTGTTGTTCCAACGAATAAAAACCTTCCCCCGAATGCATGCACTGAAAAGGCCGAGCATAGTTTTGGGGAGGCGAAAGGCAGCATTTGTGACGAGACCTTAGACTTCAGAAGATTCGCATGGAATCACGCCGCGCCTACATCGTTGAACCCAATGAACGTCTTGATGACGAATGCACACGGAACCGACTCGTTTCCATGGAAACCAAAATCCATCACTCACAAGGAGGGCTGGATGACCACGGTTATCGTCGGAGACGATTATACGATGGCTTTTGCAAATCATACTCATATTACCAACATTTCATACACCGGTTCATTTTATGAATTTGCCCCAACGGAATATATCAGGTAAAAAAAGATTGTTTTCCATTTTGAATTTATCCACCGTTAAGCTAAACGCCTTTCGAACAACCGGCCCCAAGGGGGGGTAATTACTCCGAGGAGAGGTAATTACTCCGAGAAGAAAAAAAGGGGGCGAGGTCACCCACTGTGTTGTGGGGGGGGAATGAAATGGGGGAGCTTATTATCATTGATTCATAAGCTACGACAGTTCGCTGAAAGATATAAGACTCTAAAACAGGTCTTGTGACGATGTAAATTCTCTGAAACATTTCCTGGGATTCAAAGATGAAAAGTAGATAACATTAAGACTGAAAAATGCAATGAGTTTCATGATGTAAATATGAAAAGTTGTGTTTCCTGACTTTCCTAGGATGAAACACGAATTCACACAAGAACCAGACTTCTTCATGACGACTGGCGTGAGACAGAATGTCACCGATAGAATACCACAGCCGACCGATGATCATGGTGATTGGGGATTCAATAATGCCACGAAGACAATGACCTACCTGGTCAGCGGTAAAGGCGCTGACGTCGACGAAAACAACAATACTGGGACAAGAGACATTAAATTCCAGGCGAGTGTTACTGATCGCAATAGAAAACTGGATGCTGTGAATCAAAGGAGGTTTTCACATTGAAGACATATGAGGTTTTCCACATTGAGAATTTTCAAAATTTCAAAATTTCCTCTTAGGTCTATCGCTGCTTCTTCTTGAACTGTATCACACCAACGCCACCTCCCCCTGACAAAGTGAACGAGATCCTCGACCTGAAATGGTCAGTAGCAGAAGATTGGAAGAGACCAGAGTCGCCCACGGAGGAAAAATACGGGGGGTACGACGGAGTGTTACCTAAAGACGGGGAGGATGTCCACATTCGGTCGGACTGGCACATGATAGCCGATACCGATTTCCCTCAGATTAATCAACTGATTATTCATGGCGTGTTGGAACTTGAAAACACTCGAGGTAATTCCGCCGGAACAAATTAATCAATACGATCGATACAATCGATTACCCAATCGATACTATCGATTACCCAAGATGAGGGAACGGTCAACCATAGCAGATTTAAAGAGTCAATATAACTCCGGTATAGGATTTAGTCAAAAGTAATGGGCATAGCAGTCGGTCACTGGACACAAAGAAACGTCCTTTAGAGCAAAATAGTATACGACACCGCGGAAATTGGTAAAATTGAAAAATACTTAGCCGCAATTCTCAATACTCAGGCTTCAAACTTGGTGAGAAAAAAAGTTTTATAAATACTACACAAAATATATCTTGCACAAAAAATTTGAAGCTTGCACACGGCAATAACGAATCATCTGAATTAATAACCTTGTGTACACTTTAAGCCTCCAAATGGCCATTTAACAGCTGTCAGATGTGTATGATAAACTGTCAAAAGATTGCATAATGCGTATTCAGAAGAAAAACCAAACTTTTTAAAGTTATTCAATAGTTTTCTCTTTGATAGCGATACAGAAATGCACAATTGTGAACCAGTGATCAGATTTTCGGGTTGAAACTTCATAAACACCAATTTCTGCGGTGTCATAGTATACCGTACATACAAACTGTTTTATGTATAGTGAAATAATATGTGAAGCGAGATCTCGGCACTGCTGAGCTAGCCCAGGCTGGCCCGTCTCATATGAACACGCCCCTAGAACTGCTCCAGGGTTGACACTGAACCTTTTCCTTCCTGATTTTCTGTAGATTACGTGTTGAATGCTTCTATTATACTAATCATGGGCGAGTTCGCCGAGCTCATTGTTGGCACGGAAGAGAACCCACATCCGGGGAATGTACTCATCACCCTCCAAGGGGACTGGAACTCGCCTGAAATGCCGATGAACAGGGGACCCAACCTGGGGTCCAAAGCGATAGGCGTGTTCGGGATCCTGGAGTTACACGGTATGCCGCACGATGTGTACTGGACCCGACTCTCAAGCACTGCTGATGCCGGAGCCACGGCTATACAACTGGACGATGAGGTGGAGTCGGACTGGAGAGTTGGTGACGAAATCGTCATTGCTTCCACAACATTCGAGGCCCGTCAAGCGGAAGTGGTGAAAATCTCGGCAATTTCTGGCAAGACCGTTACCCTCGAGAGAGCTTTGAAATACAAGCATATGATGGGGTGGTTCATTCTCTTCCTGATGGACGACAGTACAAGCTTGGAGCGGAAGTTGGACTTCTCACGAGGAATATAAAAATCGAGGGTGCGAATAATCCATCCGGGTCGGTTTCCACGCAGGATTTCGGGTGTCGGGTTTTGGTTGGTCAAACCACGGCTGGTGATGAAGTTTACACGGGCTGGGCGAAGATTGAGAATGTCGAGTTCAAACATTGCGGTCAAAGAGGCTGGACTGACTTCTATGATCCAAGGTACGTCGATAACACATCATACTACCTATTATCCCATCGTCACACCATATGATCCCATATGATCCCATATGACACCACAATATCCCCTCACAAAAAAAACCTCCACAAATGGAGAAAAACTCCCCAAACAACATGGCACTACTATGTAGAGAGTGGTCAATATCAGCGATTGCCTCCTATCACTTTTATGTCCAACTGACTTCATTCAATAAGTTATCCAGTCTAATATGATTATCCAGTCTGTTTAAGCTATTCCCTTCCGTCACGTTTAGATTTGCGCTATCATTCTTGGACGTTGGAAAGACGAGGAAAAACGAAAGCTATGTGCGAGGTAATTCATTCAACCACAATCTAAACACGGCTCTGGGTGTCTTCGGAACAAGCGATCTCATGATTGAAAACAACGTCGTCTACTTCACCATCGAAGCCTCGATAAAAGTCTGGGGTCAAAGAAATATGATCATCAACAACTTGGTTGTCTATATGGCGTCTTACTCGACGTACAAAGGGCGTCGGGCCGCGTTGGACATTCACTGGCCAGGGGCGTTTGAAGTCGACTCGGCCACAGACGCTGTCCTCATTGATAACGCAGTAGGTAAGAATATAACTCTCCGGGACAGTGAATATTTTCAGCCTGGAAATGCTTATAAGTGTATTCTGCTTACTTATTGGAACAAATGACTCAATCGATGAATCAACCAATCAATCAATAAATCGTTCGATCATCGATCAGTTAATCGAAAATTAATCGATCGATTGATTAATAATTCAATCAATGAATCATTCGATCAATTGAAAATTAATCGATTAATTAATCAATCAATCGATTAATCAATCATCATTGTCTTACTTTAAGGTGGCAGCGAACGGATAGGCTACCTTATCGATGGTGAACCCTGTGATACTCCCGGGAACACGCCAACAAAATGGCGTGGAAACACGGCCCACAGTGCTTTGCACGGTGTGACCATCTTCTACAAGAGCGGTATAAAGGGATGCACAATGGTGTCTGGTTTCCTGGCCTGGAAGATCTATGACTGGGGTCTGTTCTTCTTCACCAAATCACGGGTGTTGATTAAGGATAACGTATTCGCGGATAATGTGAACTCTATCAATGGTATGGTATACGACCCTCATGCACTGACTCATAAAGCATCTGATAAGTTTGTCCGCATTCATGATACGGTAATGATTGGAAGAACAGCAAGTTGGGACTGCGCTATTGATGCTGTTGAACCGGTAACGGCTGTGGTTAACGAAAAGCAACGTGCGTTTAGAACACCCTCAGGTATATACATGCTTTACTGTTATTTCTCATCACAATGTATCGGGTTTTTTTTGGAAATCAAGACAAAGTTTCATAAGCTAAATGCGTTCAACTTTTTAACTTTCAACGATTTTAACCGTATTGATTGCGAATTTTGGTGCGATTTTCGTCTTTTGATCGATGCGAAACGAGCGAATAGTTATGAATGCTCAAATGTCCTTATTTAAACAATCCCTAACTTAATCATAAGTTCACATCTGTCAAAAGATTGCACCAACGTCAATCAAGTACAAATACGCGTTGATACTCGGAAAATGCTCTCTTGCAAAATGATATGTACCGGTCTTTTCTGGTCAACCCCCGATGACAAAACCTTCGCTGCCTTGAGTAATTTCTCATTGTACTAAGTATGTAACAGTCTGTTTTTAAAACACAGCCACAACCAAGGGTCAATCTGAGTGCAAATCTTTCTTTTTTTGTTCAATTAAGGTGGCAATGTTGGCTTATTGATGCCCAGTTTCATGTCCACGTTTGGTATGGGACCAATAAAGAGATGGGACAGTGCCAAATCATACACAGCTATTTACGGCATAACAAAACTCACAAATGTTACATTCGATTCATTCGGGACTGCATGCAATGGTAAACGCGATACAGCAATCATGCTCAATCCTGTGGTGGGTGATATTACTCATCCAATGACCTTGGAGGCAATAACGAAATACAATATGGACGATGAATCAATGCTGTTCTACACTATGCCTACTCTTAGGTAATTTGCCGAGACAATAGGTCTCAAAAAGGGACTAGCCAATGAACTCTAATATAACTGGAATTCAACTATTTTAATTTAAACTACACATTTTAATATCACATGGCATATGTTGGAAAATGTTGAGTACAGATCAATACCTTTTCACTCTCCTTGCCTTAGAAGTTCAGCATCAGGTTCTCGTCACAAAATGCAACAAACTGCACGAGGAACGTCTTTACAAGCAACATTTCTATGACAATTTTAAATGAACTCATTCAATTTTTGCAACTCTGTTTTATTTAAAAATCAAATCTGCCGCCATTTTGAATAATTCAATTCAGTCGCGCGGACGTAATTTTTTCGCGGGATTCGTGGATTTTGCGTGATCGCGAAATATGCGACGGAAAAAATGACTTTTTATGATCTGTTTTTTCAAACAAAATGATTCCATATTTTGTTCTTTAGATGGGTCAATCCTTCAGACTGTGTTGACATGGATTGCGACGGACGACGACAGGTTTTAATCACGGATATCGATGGAAGTTACACGGGAAAGGCCGGAGATTCGATGATAACAAAAGCGGAATACGAGTGGGGTGGAAACCCGAGTTATGGCCTAGGTATGGATAAAAAGAAACAACAGCAAAAACAGCAGCAAATCAAACGCAAACAACAACGAAATCCTCAACATCAAATAAACAAGGAAACAAACTTCATTCATACATGCTACGCGCAACCCAATCTCCGCAAGGATTTGATCCCAACCTTTTCAAGTTTTCTAACAATGTTTTTTACATTCAAGGTGATTACAGAATCCCCATAGCAGCGCAAACCAACCCGGATGGATCTCGTATCAATATCAACAGCTATCTTCCTAACAAAGGAATAATTCGAGGAAATGATAATCAGTGTACATGGATGAACAACTGGAATGCTTACAAATGTTCCGATATGGATCACCTCATGACCATCATAGAAAGTTTGGATGCAGATACGGAAACAAGAAGGCTATCCCCAGTTGCTATTTTCGGTAAGCGGGAAGAAACATTGGTTAGCATCTCAACAGTTCACAAATCATAACATATCTTTCATTTTTTGTAGGCGACAGCTACGTGAACTTGTTGAACGGCCCCATGGATCACGGATGGTGTCTTGGTTACACTTGTCAAGAAAGGATTTCAACATTCTACGCCATTGTCGCCTCGCAGAGAAATTATTCTCTCTACTTTACGAACACCAATCCACAAAAATTACGCCTCCATCTTTTGGGAGAAAGAGACAAAGTGATTCGGTATGCAATCTTCTACAAGACCACGCAAAGATTGGACATCTATCGTCGAGGTATGTCATATACCACCGACTATCAGTCTATTAGGATGGATCTTATATCGAACTCTACCAATCGTTTTTCACAACTCGATACATTGTAAATCTGTCACTACAAATCCTATTACGAATCTAAAGGCTAGATAATACTAAACATTGTTTGAATTGATTATCTTGAAACTCCTTATCGCCACAAGACGAATATTAATTTCAATGATGAAGAACTTGTTTTATTGTATCCCCAGTAAACACGCTTGTTTTTGAGGCCATCACTGTTCATATTGAGAAAGAACAAGATATGAATGATGTTCTAAAGTTTACTTAGTTTCTTATGTTTCCTATGGTTTAGGCCTTTATATCAACCCAACTAATGCAAAATTATCTGGTGAAGAATTCACGTTAAAACGCAAGGATCCAAGATTACCAAACGATCAGTTTGAACCACAGTTGACCAGCTTCAGTGGAGCAAATTACTGGGACCGCGATACAAACTTGTTGTATGTTATCGTGCGAGGCTCTGAACCCATCGACATACGAACATCTCCAGTTATCCAGGTTGGTTCAAATGAACTCTAGACTGTAAATGGCGATTGTGATATCAATGTCAAAACATTCTTCCTAGAGATCATCAATACTAATCCAGTGTTACTACAGGAGGAAGCCTAAACTAAACTAACTTTATTTATACTGGATAGCTCTATCAGTTCTAAACTGTTCTTCCTAGAGATCCAGTAAGGATCATCTCTTATTGATCCATTTTTACTACAGGAGAAACCTAAACTAAACTAACTTCATTTATACTGGATAAATTAAAAAACAAATTCCGAATAAACAGGACATATTGAGAGTCAAAATATGAATCAAGCAAGGCACAGGTTGAGACTGTAAATTCTCGACTTTATTTCAAAGTCATCTTCAGACAAATGTCTGATTCATTCATGGTTTTTTTAACGGATAGTTCCGTAAGTTCTAAACTATTCTTCCTGTGGGATTTACCGCGTTACTATGGAGAAAAACTTACCCAAATTTCATCGCTCCTTCGTAGGTTAAAATTGGAATGAAGCCGATATCAGTGGATGAGTTCTTTGAAGAGAATTTAGTTCAGAACTTAGCGGCGTTACTTGGCATTGACACATCCAGGATTCGCATCATGAACGTCGTGGGTGCTGGTGGCGGAGCTAGAAAACGTCGAAGCACAGATGAGAACATGGTGATTGAATTCGAGATTGGTGATCCACCAGCGACAACCATTGAGTACGATGAGGGTGATATCGCCGATAACACCACCTCCACCAATACAACAGTGGAAGGTGTTGCCACAAATCAAAATTACACAGGTTTGTTGATTTTTGTAAGCAAAGTAGCCCGACTGTTTAGGCCATTCAGCATGACCTATCCTTATCCTGGAATTATAGAAAGATTAGTTCAGAACTGATGGAGCTATCCAGTGTAAATTATTTGACTCCTCCTGTAGTCACACAGCGAGCTCAATAAGAGATGATCCATATACGGGAGGGAACACTAGACTTCTGGATCAAAAACAGAGGCCATGGTGAAGAATATAGATATTAAAACGATATTTTTTACACATTGCATATTTTGTATTCTTAGGGGTCGCTAATTCAACATCGTTCCAGGAATTGGAACAACTCGCGAGTAATCTTGTCGATCAAGTCCAAACAGGAACCTTGTCGGAATCATTGAACATCACAGTGCAAAATTTTGCAATGGCAGAACCAGTTCCAGAACCTGTCGATCAAACCGGAGGAGTTAGAGCTACCAATGAGTCTGGTAGGTTTGAGTCCTGTTAGTCAACAAATCTGTGCACGTGAAAATCTGAACCTGTTGTATAAAAACTGACCACCAGATAGTGATTATTTAAATCGCTTTGAAATTTGTAGTTTGGTATAACTTAATTTACACCTTGATGAAGAGAAACTAATTTAGAAATTCTGAGCCTATATCTGCAGTGTTGTTTTTTAAGCATTTGTACAATAGTCTAAAATACAACATATCCAGTAGATAGTGCTATCCAGTCTTCGTGTAAGGTATAACTACCATACTGAGTTCACGCTGACATTTTTTAGTCGCAAACGTAACAGCTTCGAACGACACGTTGCGTTATGATCAGAAGTCACAAGAAACAGAAAACGATGGTCAAGAAACAGTTTACCAAATTCCCTCACAACTATCTGTTGTTGTCCAGCCTGACGGAGCAAACGAGACCGTTCCTTTCTCCGTTCAGCCAAAACTATGGATGCTGGATGCCCAAGGAGATCAAGTTAACAGCGTTGGCTTTGGAGAAATTGGTGCCTGGGTTGTAACCGCAAATATCAGACCTGGAACGGGCGATCCTAAAGCAAGCATCATTGGTAACAATACGATCAAATTCAGCAAAGGATGGGCCAACTTTAGCACATTGAGCATCTCACATAACGGGACATACATTCTCGATTTTCACATTTCAAAGCCCGATACTGCAAATTTCCAGGCATCTTCCCAGCAGTTCGTAGTTAAAGAGAGAGAGTTATACTTCACTTTCAAAACTCAGCCCGGTAGCGGAACGGAAATGGCCTCTTTGCCTGTGCAGCCAGAGGTTGAAGTAAGAGACGCTGCGAACGGGGAACTGGTGAATAACACGGGTTGGAAGAATCGCACGTGGTACGCAAATGCTAGTTTAGTCAGCAGCAACGGAGCTGAACTGCAGGGTACAAAAATGATCGAATTTACCGAAGGTGTAGCGAGTTTCACCGATTTGAACGTAGATATTGCCGGAACGATATACAAGGTTACTGTGGAAGCCATGACCGAGCCTTCGTCACGATATCACGGCTCCATTACCAGCGAGACGTTTGATATCCAGGATAGAGTTCTATATCTTGCTGTGGTCAGACAACCTGGTGATTGCAATGATACTGTGGCATGCGGTGTACAGCCTGTTGTTGAAGTTCGTGATGTCCCTACGAACACTGCCGCTGGAAATCTTGGCTGGCGAGGACGAACTTGGTAAGTAAAGTGGTAGTACATTAATTAAATTCGTTTAAACTGGGTAGTTTTATCAGTTCTGAACTGTTGCCCTTCGAAGCCCAGTAAAGATCATCTCTTATTGATCCAGTGTTACTACAGGAAGAAACCTAAACTAAACCAGCTTTATTTATACTGGATAGCTCTATCAGTTCTAAACTGTTCTTCCTAGAGGTCCAGTAAGGATCATCTCTTATTGATCCAGTGTTACTACAGGAGGAAACCTAAACTAAACTAACTTTATTTATACTGGATAGCTCTATCAGTTCTAAACTGTTCTTCCTAGAGCTCCAGCAAGGATCATCTCTTATTGATCCAGTGTTACTACAGAAGGAAACCTAAACTAAACTAACTTTATTTATACTGGGCGACTCTATCTGATCCTCCCTTGTTTTAACTCTAGGTATGCAAGAGTATCAACAACAAATGGCAACACACTGATCGGTGAAACACGGCTACAAATCCCGACATCAGGCCAGCTCACTTTCACCGACATAGGACTGAGTGACGTTGCCTCAGGAGTTATCCTACGATTCGCAATCGAAACCGAACCTGCATCTTCGTACAGCTCCCTAAACACCACATCGAACGGAATTGAAGTAGTACAACGCCAATTCTACCTGGTGGTGGCCGAAGAAGTCGCCGCGGATCTAGCTCTTCCGTTTTCATTAGCTGTAGAAGTTAGAGACGTAGGAACAAGTAAAAAAGCTCTGCCTTGGAAGACTCCGATGACATTGACCGTGGCATTGACTACAAACCCAACCGGGGCCGTCTTCTCGGGAACGCACACTGTAAACGTGACAGACGCCATTGGAAATTTCACCGACTTGGAAATTAATAAGCTGGGAACGAATTACACCGTGGAGGTTACTTCGAGTGATGGTCACAAGGTATAAATTATGTATCATTAACTGTTGTTGAGTGAGCAGATATATCGGTTACTTAACTTGTGGCGTTAGCCGATTTCAACAAACCTCGTTTTACTTCCTACCTGTTTCGACTAAGTTTAATTTTCCTCAACGTTTTGTATTTGAACACATATTTAGGTGAGTCACACATTCGATGTGGTAACACCAAACATTCACGCTCCAGAATTCACACCAAGCGACGGTCAGTACGAAGCAAGCATCCCAGAGGACAGTGCGGTCGGCACAAACGTAAGCAGAGTAAACGCCACAGATAAAGACGATGGAATTCGAGGAGATGTGTACTATAACATCACCGGCGGAAACGAAGAGGATAAATTTGAGATCGATGTCAACTCCGGGCTTGTTCGAACCAAGGCCTTGCTCGATCGGGAGACCACTGCTAGTTATGTTCTAACGGTGACGGTATACGACGGTTCGTTACCCCCAAGGCGACGTTATACGCATGGTCAATTGACTGTGACCATCGGGGATATTAACGATAATTCACCAGTAGTTATCGGACCATCGTTGGTGGTGATCCCGGAGAATTTCACCATTGGTGATGTTCTAACCAACATTACCGCTAGTGACAAAGACGAAGGACAAAATGCAGAAGTTATGTTTGCGATTTTATCAGGAAACGATCAAGGACTCTTCACCCTAAATGAAAACACGGGACATCTTACATTAAATGGTAAGTGGTGGAAATGAATCAGTTTCCAACTTTCACTCTACCATAACCAAAGACGGTGTCAGCACTTTAAGTTACAGACGACCGCATAAAAACTGGGTACAGTCAGAACGGTACAAACTCTCCCCAACCAGTGAAGCCAGAATTAGAAGTCATCATTTTCGAAACGTTGAACTATTATCAGAAATTGTATACTGATCATTTTGTCAACTTCTTGAGGCTGTATTAATTTCCCCTTCTTTTTCAGGATCAATCGACTTGGACGCTTTGAGAAGAGAGAACTACACAGTAATCTTAAAGATTATCGCGACAGACAAAGGCCAAACTTCGCTGACATCGACACCGCTCAACATAACCATTACCTTTATCAATGTTAATGAATTTCACCCGAAGCTTTCGAAGGAAAGCGAAACAGTGATACTGCTGGAGAATGCTACCGTAGGAACCGAGATCTTCCAAGCGAATGCGAGCGATGGAGACTATGGGAAATTTGGAAAGATTGTTTATGATATTCTGAATGGGAACATTGGTGGATATTTCAGTATCGATGCGGATACAGGGGTGATATCAATTGCGAAAGAGCTGGATCGCGAAGCTACTCCTAATGGCTTTGTCCTTACCATCGAAGCAAAAGGATTCTCTGGTGTTGGTCCAGGAGACACGATGGTACTTCATATTAATCTCACTGATGTCAACGATAACAGTCCAGTGTTTGTTGGTACAATTAGCCCACAAGGGGTGTCTGAAACAGCAAGTGTTGGCGATCTCATTGTCCAAGTCCAGGCAACAGACAGTGACTTAGGTGAAAACGCTGACATAACTTACAGCATTACTACGGGAAATACAGATGGTCTCTTTGAACTTAACGGGGTAACTGGAGAAATGAAAGTGAAGAAATCTTTAGACTTGGAAGGCAGTGATCCGCCTGGTTCACTCAGCTATACACTCAGGATTGAAGCAAGAGATAACGGAAGCCCGGTCAGAATGACCACAGTAGATTGATACAACATTACAACAGAGAACGAGTATACGCCGGAGCTTGAGCGAACCTCTGCAACCATTGAAATAATGGAAAACGTTTCTGTTTCCTCCGAAATCTACAAGGCCAACGCGACAGATCAAGACTATAGTACAGATGGCCAACTTGAGTTTACCATAAGCTCCCAGAGCCCTTCGGGGTACTTTTCCATTAATTCCCAGACTGGTAAAATCACCATAGCTAAGGCATTGGATAGAGAAGTCGTATCCAGCGTCAACCTCACCATCCAAGCTGCAGATAAACCATCAGTTGGAGCCGCAAAAACCTCTACAATGGAATTGAAGGTTCGAATTTCAACAGACGTTAACGACAACAGTCCAGAATTCACAGGTCAGGTTCCACCACAAGAAATATCCGAGGCGTCGTTGGCTGGTGACTTGGTTGTCCAGGTACAGGCAACAGATGCTGATTTGGGTGCGAATGCTGAGATTCTTTACAGTATAACCCAAGGTAACTCTGAAGACCTCTTTGAAATCGACGGGGTATCCGGTGAAATCAAAGTAAAACAGAGTTTGGACTTGGAATCAGGTAACCCACCCAGTCTTAGCTATACACTGAGAGTTCAAGCAAGTGACAGTGGAACTCCACAGCTGTCTGATACAATGGATGTGCAGATTTCGATTAAGTCAGTTAACGAGTTTAATCCTGAGTTTGCGAATGCCACACACACCACTTCCGTTTCGGAGAACGCAACAGTTTCTACTGAGGTGAGTTCGAATAGTATGGTATGGTAGTTTCTACTGAGGTGAGTTGGTATGGTATGGTTAGTATAGTATGGAGTGGTGTGGTATGGTATGGTATGGTATGGTATGGTATGGTATGGTATGGTATGGTATGGTATGGTATGGTATGGTATGGTATGGTATGGTATGGTATGGTATGGTATGGATGGTATGGGTATGGTATGGTATGGTATGGTATGGTATGTATGGTATATGTATGGTAGGTATGGTATGGTATGGTATGGTATGGTATGGTATGGTAGTAGGTATGGTATGGTATGGATGGATGGTAGTGGTATGGTATGGATGGTATGGATGGTATGGGATGGTATGGTATGGTATGGTATGGTATGGTATGGTATGGTATGGTATGGTATGGTATGGTATGGTATGGTATGGTATGGTATGGTATGGTATGGTATGGTATGGTATGGTATGGTATGGTATGGCATGGTATGGTATGGTAAGGTATGGTATGCCATAACATGGCATGGCATGGCATGGCATGGCATGGCGGCATGGCATGGTATGGTATGGTATGGTATGGTATGGTATGGTATGGTATGGTATGGTATGGTATGGTATGGTATGGTAAGGTATGGTATTGTATGGTATGGTATGGTATGGTATGGTATGGTATGGTATGGTATCGTATGGCATGGTATGGTACGGTTATACCACGGTGTGTAGTGATATTACAGTATAGACAGCATGTTATGACATGTCTCAAATCTCAATGTAGCTTTGTATAGGTCATGATAGAACTATATACTTTCTAAAGACTTTCTCTTTTTTGCGCTCAGGTTTATGCGGCCATAGCTACAGATAAAGATTATGGCAGTGATGGTAATGTCCAGTATTCAATAATGACCCAAACGCCTGACGAATACTTCCAAATTGACGCTAATTCAGGCAAAATCACAATCACCAAAGACTTGGATCGTGAAACCACTCCTGGTGGGATATTCCTCACGATTAAGGCTACGGATGTACCAAGCTCAGACGAAGCCAGATCAACCACAATGAATGTTACAATCCAGATTTTGGATTACAACGATAACAGTCCTATGTTCACTGTAGTACCAGAACAGGAAATCTCAGAAAACGCAAACATTGGAGATCTTGTAGTCAAGTTGGAAGCGACAGATGCTGATGAGGGAACGAACGCAGCTATCACGTATAGCATCAAATCTGGCAGCTCTCGTTTTAACATCGATTCTCAAACTGGAGAAATAAAGGTCAACCAATCACTAGACTTGGAAAGTGGAGATCATACTGCTGATTTCAAGTATCCCTTGACAATTGAAGCTCGTGATGGCGGGGTTCCTTCGCTTGCCACGGATTTAGTTGTGACCATAGTAATCAAGGGAGTGAACGAATTTGATCCGACTTTTGGCAAAGCAGCAGACGAGATCTCTGTCCAAGAAAACACGACAACATCAACCGTGGTTTACACCCCCGGGGCTTCGGATGGGGACTCAGGCATTGATGGTGAACTAAATTATACGTTGGTAGACAAGAACGGTGAAAGTTACTTCAGCATCGACTCCGCCAATGGCGAGGTGTCGGTCGCAAAACAGTTGGACTACGTAGCAACACCGAATGGTATCAATCTAACCATCACAGCAACCGATAAACCAGCTAACCCGAGCGACGCAAAATCCGCAAGCATGGATTTGACGATAAATGTTCTATACGTTGGCAATACAGCTCCGATATTCCCGGCCGAGAGTTTAGACACAACAGTCGCTGAAGATCGTGAAGTTGGATCGACTATTTTGACAATAGATATCACAGATGCAAATCCGGGTCCAAACGGAGAGGTTTGGTTCGCTATTGATGGTGGAAATGATTTGGGCTTCTTCAGAATCGACAAGAACTCAGGTGAGATTAGTCTTAACAAATCCGTGGACTTAGAAACTTCAGGTACTCCGATTACGCATACCTTGACAGTCCAAGCAACGGATCGTGGAACTCCACCACTCTCCTCAACGAAATCTCTGACTATCAATGTCACAAATGTGAACGAATTCACACCTCAGTTTACAAAGTCCAGTGATACGGCCAGTATTGGTGAAGAGGTGGGAATTTCAACGTACGTTTACCGACCGACCGCTAGCGACCAGGACTACGGAAAGGATGGAGAGCTGATGTATTTCATCGACTCTGGGAACGATGCAGGATACTTTGAGATCGATCCGAATAACGGATCCTTGACCACACGGGCCTTACTTGACCGGGAGGCGCATCCAAATGGAATTGATCTGATACTCTTAGTCAAAGATAAAGCCGAAGATGGTTTCACCAAGAACTCTACGATGATGTTGCATGTTAATATCACAGATTATAATGACAATATACCTGTCTTTACTGGAACTATTAACCCACAAGATGTCTCAGAAACGGCTTCGGTTGGAGACAGGATTGCTCAAATACAGGCAACAGACTCTGACTTGGGCAAAAACGCAGAAATCAAATACAGCATAATCGCTGGGAACTCTTTGGGATATTTCGAAATTGATCCAGAGTCTGGAGAAATCAAAGTGAGCAAATCTCTGGATTTGGACTCGGACAGTCAAACACATTCGAATAACTTGAAGTACATACTAACGGTTCAGGCTGAAGACAAAGGTACGCCGGCTCAGCGGAAAAACACGACCGTCGAAGTTACGATTATTTCGGAGAACGAGTTCACGCCACAGTTTTCAGACTCCAGCGATAATGTTGAGGTCAGCGAGAATGCTGGGATATCAGACGAAATCTATACAGCAAGTGCAACGGACGATGATTACGGGACGGATGGTCAGATATCGTACAGCATCACCTCAGAAAGCCATACTGGGTATTTTACCATCAATTCTGGATCAGGGACGGTCACGGTGGTGAAGACATTGGATCGTGAAGCAATTCCTGAAGGGATAAACCTGACCATTCAGGCGGCAGATCAACCCCAAATCGGCGCGGCGAAGACAGCCACGATGGTTCTGTATGTTGAAATCACAGACATTAATGACGAAGACCCTGTCTTCACCGGATCGTTTTCAGACCAAGAAGCACCAGAAGATAGCCCAAATGGTACCTTAATTACCCAAGTACAAGCAACAGATAAAGATCTCGGTGATAACGCAAAGATCTCTTACAGCATCACTGGTGGAAACTCTCTTGGATTCTTCGCAATCAATTCAGAGTCTGGCAGAATCACGGTCGCAAAATCTTTGGACTTAGAAACTGCATCTCACGCACAAGGTCTAAGCTATACTTTAACAGTCACTGCCACTGATTCAGGGCAAACACCAAGATCTAATTCAGGAAACTTGAAGATCACAGTCACCAGTATCAATGAATTCAAACCTGAGTTTCAAAAAGACGTTGAATACATAATAGTACCTCATAACACTTCAGTATCCGATGTGGTATATACAGCTCAAGCAACTGACGAGGACTTTGGGTCTGATGGCCAACTCCAGTACAGCATGACCTCGACGAACAACAATGGATTCTTTACAATCAACCCGAGTAATGGGGAAATATCTGTCGCAAAAGTGCTGGACTACACAGCGGTACCGAACGGTGTTAACATCACCATCACAGCTAGTGATCAACCAAGCAATGGGTCGTCTAAAACCGACTCAATGCAGCTAAATATCGAAGTCAAGTACGTCGATAATACTGCTCCAGTGTTTTCGCAATCCTCTCCGAGCTCAGTGAGCGTTCCAGAGAATTCAACCGTGGACACTCTCGTAGTAGCTGTCGAGGCAACCGACACGGATCCTGGGCAAAATGGGGAGGTGAACTACAAGATTACTGCTGGAAATGAACGTGGCTTCTTTAAGATCAGCGAAAACAGCGGTGAAATAAGAGTGAATCAAGTTCTAGATTTGGAAACAAAATCTCATGCTCCTGATGCGACATATGCATTGACGATTGAAGCCACAGACCGAGGTACCCCACCATTGTCCGCTACGAAACAACTCAGTGTTCTGGTCACTCCAGTCAACGAGTTCAGGCCAAGTATAGCGAACACAGTTTTTGCGCAAACGTTGAAAGAAGATACCGCAGTGAACACTCCAGTTTTGAAAGTGCTTGGTGAAGATCAGGATTATGGAGATGACGGGAGGTTGACGTACTCAATAACAGCAGGAAATGAAGGAAATCATTTTAAAATCAACCAAACAACAGGTACAGTACAGATATTTCAACAAACTAAGAGTGATAACTACAGGACCTCTAGGAAGAACACCTTAGAACTGATAGAGCTATCCAGTATAAATAAAGTTAGTTTAGTTTAGGTTTCTTCTGTAGTAACACTAAATCAATAAGAGATGATCCTTACTTAATCTCTAAAAAGAACAGTTTAGAACTGATAGAGCTATCCAGTATAAACAAAGTTAGTTTAGTTTAGGTTTCCTCCTGTAGTAACACTGGATCAATAAGAGATGATCCTTACTGGACCTCTAGGAAGAACAGTTTAGAACTGATAGAGCTATCCAGTATAAACAAAGTTAGTTTAGTTTAGGTTTCCTCCTGTAGTAACACTGGATCAATAAGAGATGATCCTTACTGGACCTCTAGGAAGAACAGTTTAGAACTGATAGAGCTAACTTAATAGTCTCACAATTGATTTTCTCTGTTAAGGAATGATTTACTTGGACAAAGCATTAGATTACAAAACAACAAAGGAATATTCGTTGACAATCCGTGTAGAAGATAACGCTCCTGCAGGAAGAAAACTTTCAACGGAGATGAAAATAACCATCAAAGTCTCGTTCACTCCCGACGACACAGCCAGCGATCCTGAAACTCTTAGCAACCTGACGTTAACCTTCGCAGACGCTGACTACGATTCTCTGGTTCTTGGGAATAAAGAAAACTTCATCTTACAGATAAAGAAATCGCTTGAAGAGAAATATCCAAACGCGATTTTCATTCATTTCAAAGTATGGAAGGGAAGCATTATCGTCTCGGTTGAGATGATAACGAAACAGTCTGACGAGAAGAACGTTTTGAACCAAATAGCGAACGACGTGAACACCCCAGGGGGATTGCAGCTCAGCGTAAATGGAACGACGATAACAACAAAAGATTTCAAAAAGGATGGGACGATATACACTGCCACCGATAGTGATTCTGATGACAGTTCAGCTGTGGTGAGTCTTGAAATAACTGTTCAGGCATATTTAAATGACTCGGCAAAGTTTCCATTCAATCCTTAGCAAAGTCCTGGGATAGCTACACATTGTAACATTGAAGTCTACAAACAAGCTGTTACATATTTATTCACACACTGTCAACAAGATGTGTCCGCGCTGTTTGCTCCAAGTTGTTGTAACAAGTGTAGGACAAGCTTTTAACAACTTGTAGCAAGCCCGAGTGTATTACCAGACTTGTTCAACAAGTTTGTTAGAACTTCTTAACAAGTTGCCCCATGCTTGTCCACAGCTTATTGGTAGACTTGTTACAAAATGTGATATTTATACAGGTGTAGGAAACGTTGAGGAGAAACATCGTAAGACAAACAAAGCGAAGCTAAATTTCAGCCTGTTTTCATCGTTTTGTATTTCTCTCTTTAGTTGCCAGTTGTGATCGGTTCGGTCGCTGGTGGTCTGCTCTTGATAGGTGTCGTGGTGGCCATACTTCTGTCGTGCTATTCCAAGTACAAGTCGGACAGGAAGGAAGAATCTCGTATGTATTCAAACGCGGGGTATCGCCCCGGGGAAGATCCCCCTCCTTCATACAAGAGTGCATCCACGGTCGCATACAGCCACAGGCCACCCAGTCAACCAAGACGCAGTGCAAGGCCCAGTGTCGCAGGAACAGCTCTAACAGGACAGTCGATAGTAAGTCCACTTGTTCCAGTAAAGATTCAGTAGAAATATTTGTAGTCACAAATTATTTTCTGGGGAGAGTTGGGCTTCCCCCAAAAGAATTCAGATGAATTGACTATACTTGAAAAGATTCTGACGATCTATAGCATTTTTAACATAACTTGCCTGATCTATAACAGAAATCAGCTTGTAATGAAGACGATGCTTTAGGTGATGACCACACAATGCTTTACAATTCGTTAATTTACTGTTTCGTTTCTTAAAGGGAAGCCATCATGATGTTCTTCGTCCAAGCACCGCATCTTCAATGCCTCGTTCGGCTTTCAGGGGAACTTCTCCAACGAGCTTTAAACCTCCGTCGCAAATAAGCGATAATTACGAATCCTTGTTATCCACCCGGGACCCGGAGAGACCTGATTCAGCTTATTCCCAGAATCGCTACACATCCATCAAAATGCCTTCGTCCCCACGACGACAGTACGACAATCGACCGAGCTCGAGCGAGAACCGTGAAAGAACGAGTAGTCCACGGAGCACTGGCTACGAGTCGGTTGAGGGAAGATCTTCGAAGCTCAATCCAGTCTTTGATGCATCTTTGACCACAGCTGTGTCTGCCCGTTCCGGTGTTTATGGAAGTAAGTAGATGGTTGTGTTTTGTTCTAAACCACCAATAGCTTTAGAAATAGATTCCCAAAAAGAAAAATTATGAGAAAAACAGGCACAGATAATCATATAGCATGTATCTTTGTACGTGACGCCCAAAGAATTCTTCAAAAATTAGAAGGAATTTTGTTTGTATCATATTCAAAACAACTTGGAGCAGGTTCGGCTATCGAGAATCTGATGATTATCCACTTTGTAGCAAGGTCTTGAACGTAACAACATAGGAAATCCTCAATTCTATGTTACAGAACAATAGATAGCTAAGAATTTACAGGTTTATCTAAAAACAGTCTAAAGAAAGGAGGAACCCTTTGTTGAAATGAATGGAATTTTGATTTACTAAAAATGAATCACGATTCTTCAGGCTCACAATATCGCAAGTTCTACGTGAACTTGGTTATGCCAAACAGCGGGTACATGTTTAGTCGTCTTGGAGAAGTGAATGTCAACATCAACGGAAGTCTGAAGGAACTCCGAGAAATTTTGGACGCCGAACTTGGAAGCAAGGATGAACTGAGAAACAAAAGATACATCTTCGTGGACAATGATTTCGACAACATTGAACCAAGCCGAGAGGATCACACTCCAGTTCAAAACGTATACACATCCAACATTAAAGTAAAGGTCGTCTGAAGCCGCTGAAACGTCAGACTATTACACTTTGCACCAGACATAATGGAAACGTGTATGAAAAACTAATCATTGATGAAGAACTATAACCTACGGTATAAAATCTCAGTATAACTAAGCTTATACCTACCTACAAATGCATGAACACATATCTCAAAGTATACAAAAAAGCATCATTATTTATCCAACATACAATCTGAACACAGAAAGGCTTGCATTTGCAATTGAATATATGAATGTCAAAGGAATTGTTGCATCTTCTCTTATTGTAGTAACGAAACTGCTGATATTTTAAATTCTTGAAATTGTGTAATGGTTTATAATCCGTTGAAGCACAATAAACGTAACCGACAAATTGTCACCAAACTGGTGTTTTTTTTTGCAGCTGCAAATAGCAGTACAGGGGGTGGATTTTAAGACCACTATCACTTCAAGTAACCACCGCTGAGGGTGTTGTATGTGTGAAAGCTAACTTGAAATAAAACAGAATGAACTCTATCTAAAGACCTCGCTTAAACCCATCTTTAAAATAACAAATTAAACCAAAGAACCATGCAAAAAATACCAGGAAATTAAACAAACACGTAATAATAGACTTACTTTCGACAATTCTGTCTTCTAGCAAGCTTCATTTGATCTGAAATGACATATTTAGCATTAAACCGCGAACCACTGTTTCATACAACAGATAATTCAGCATATCTGCGATACCTATACGTATATTCAAAGGACAACGACAGTTATATAAAGCCTGGTTTTCATATGACGCCGACGTAGGCTAAGTGTTATTGTCTGTGATTATTGAAGTCTTTGTCTTTCTGAAATCATTTTCTTTGTGGATGATTACAGACAATGAGTCGGAGACAGGTCCCCGTCATATGAAAACCAGGCTCAACACAAACGTAGATTAGAAGCTGTCAACTTGAAAATATTTATTTGACAAATTGGCGCGACTGCTCAATAAGACGAGAGAGCTTTATGTACAAAATTTGTCTAAAAGACTATAAATTAACACTAAAATTTAACTCTTTTATACACGTTACTTCGCGATTTTTAAAGAAAGGCAAGCTAGTGTACATAAATTACATATCTCTGCCGTTCATTAAATAAATATTTCGATAAACTCTGAAGTTCTATACGTGCGAATTGAGATCTTCTTCGGTTGGCACTTGGTGAAATTAGGTCAGAAGATCCTTAGACTGTGCTAAGGATATCAAGTTCTGGGCACCCAGGAGTCCTGAACCTACATGAAGTACAAGAAAACGGTCGTACTAAAGTCGTAAACATTCGTATTTGAATACAGTACAAGCTTGACTACACTCTGCTTAAAGGGGAGTTATCAGGTTACCATACAGCTCATCAAAAATTTCGAAAGAACGTGTTTTTAGGTTTTCCTTCAAAGAAGTGAAGACGGCTACAATATACACTTCTTCAACAGACTAGGTATATGCTTTGTGTGGATTAAAATGCGTGGGTAATATTTAGTACGTGACCAAATTCGTATTTTAAATGTCGGTTTGATAATCAATCCTGCTTCTCGCTAACGCCCGACACTTAAAATCCACTTGCCTTTGAGATACTGATCTTGACACGACAGAGGCACGCTTGAATGAGTCATCGCAAGCTGTTTAGGAAAAATAAAATTTTTAGCAGTTAAAAAGACTGTTTACCCGTTGATGGAGACGAAAGCCAAGTTCTAACCTTGAAGCAGCTTTGTGCAAAGAAATTTCTTAGGTCTTTTCTACTGACGTTCTCCAGAAAACGTCTCAATGGGATTATGTGGGAACTTGGAGCCATCCTAAAAAAGAATAAAAAATCATTAAAAAATGACAGAAAATGTGCATTTTTTCATACCAAACACTTTTGCTTATTCGGAAAATGCAAAGAGAGTATCCTGGATTTGTGTGGATCATGGAAATTGACTTATAAGACAGTAAAACTCGCCTCAGCTGCATAGAACTCACCAGTTAGTTAAGAAGTCTTCGACAATATGATGGATACGATCTGGCTTTGGTAGTCTCGATCCACTAAGCAACTCTTGAAGATAAAGAGAAAATAGTTATGAATATCTAGAGGGTGAACATATATGCTGAAGTCTGCATCATCATGTTGCTGTTTTTGGGCAGTAAAAGACGATATACATACCTGTAGGTGGTTTGTGGTAAAAATATATTACTGGATGAAGGAAGTTTGAATTATGGGCGTCAGATGGGTCACCTGTGGCGCGGTCCTCACGGAACGGATCTTTTCTACATAAAAAAATAAAAAATTATTCACATTAAGATTAATCTAATTTTTGTTAACAAGATAGACCACAGATTAAGTAAACACTTTTACCCACTCCAAAAAAATCAAGTTAAAATGACAAAACATCTCTGCATGTCTTTCTAACGGACCTCAGGGGACGATCATGCGACTTTGTAGGGTTGCATCATTCGCAGCCGTTCCCTTTCAAACTTCTATACTCTGAAATACACACATACCCTGCACCCGAAAAGCCTTTGCCATATTCAAGGTTGATAACGATTATTGGTCCCTCTGGTAAACCAGTGTATCCTTGAGTCAAAATATACAATAGGATACAATAAACACGACTTAATTCTTTAACATGAACACAACTGGATCTTCACTTACGCTCTAGTTGAGAAACCAACTGAAGAGGGAACTCCTCAACGTACAATGCTTTTCCATCAGGCTCTAGAGTGAAATAAACAAGATGATTTAACCAATTATATTCCTTTTACACATCTTTTTTTGCTTAAAACCTGCCCAAAAAGCTTTTTGCATTTATATGAATAATATGATCTTACTTTCCTGGACCTAACTAGTTCATACTGAGATTATGACAATCGTTAGCATTTTCGATGCAAGCTGCGCTCTAATGGTGGAATGGGGCAAACCCCCTAGTAAATATCCCCCTCAGAGTGAGATAGGTCTAGCTCTAAGATCGATTCAACTTAGTTAGCTTAATATTACTCACGATAAATGACGACATCGACCAAAACACCAAACATCTGATACGGAGCCTGAGAAGATGGAAAATAAAAAAGAGTTTTAATCAACATCAACAATTAAAACACAATCCATCAAACAATTCAATCAACATGTATGTCTTTAAGACGGAGTTTTATCGAGCAGAAAACTTACGGAAGCTTCGTTGATTCTCTTAACAATCATATTTAAAACATCAAGGTGATGCATTTCATGATGGCGCCATTTCACTCCGTGGTTTTTCGACTCCAAGATGCGATGCAGTGCCCTCGCTAAAAAAACACAGAAATACAGGTGAGATTCGCATTGGGCAGCCACCAGAGGTGTTGGGGGAAGCGCAGAAAGGATTTGCACTCAAGCATACCAGTGTAACGATAACCGTGGATGAAACCACCGGCAGATTTTCGCCAGTCCAGAGAGTGCGATGCTACACCAGCTAATGTCGTACAAGAAAGAAATGAAAATATTATTGACAGGTATATACACTAACGATGTAATTAGTGGTTCTCCACTCACCGATCCACATTCGTGGAACTCGTTTGCTTTCAAAATTTCCTTTTATTTCGGGAAATTTCTTCTTTTTGCCCTCACAGGGCCCGGGCTGGGCGCTCTCGTCAAAGATTGAGAAGTCGAACTACAGGGGTGAAAGATGACAACAAGTTGGCACTATAGATAAATGGTTAACATAGGGGAGGGGGTAGGTGGTACAGTACATGGGAGCAAGGGAAGGCAGGAAGGGGGAGAAATGTCCCTCACCCCCAGGGTGTACACCATCACTAGTGTTCATCATGAACATTTTAAAACGACAACACAGACTTTCTTCCAAATCCTCCGTATGGCCTGAGTGTACAGCAGTGGATCTCAGGGGATATCATTGCTGTCAAACCGTACGAGATAATTCTCCTTCAATTAATTCACAGTGTTTTTACAGCTCAAAGCCGAAAGAAATGCATGAAAAGTACATTCTTTTCACGAACCTTGAAACCGAGACACCCAAGAACCCGGTCGTAGGGATCACGAATGGCAAAATTATCAGCTGTAAAAAAATATTGATTTTTAAGAAGAAGATTTATGGATTAAATGCTCGATTAGATCCTAATACTATTAAGATCCTAATACTATTAAGATCCTAGTACAAGATTAAGATCCAAGATTAAGATCCAAGATTAAGATCAAAGATTAAGATCCAAGATTAAGATCCAAGATTAAGATTCAAGATTAAGATTCAAGATTAAGATCCAAGATTAAGATACAAGATTAAGTTCCAAGATTAAGATCCAAGATTAAGATCAAAGATTAAGATCAAAGATTAAGATCCAAGATTAAGATACAAGATTAAGATCCAAGATTAAGATCCAAGATTAAGATACAAGATTAAGATCCAAGATTAAGATACAAGATTAAGTTCCAAGATTAAGATCCAAGATTAAGATCCAAGATTAAGATCCAAGATTAAGTTCCAAGATTAAGATCCTAGTACTCACGTCCTACTCCAGTTTGGTTGAGCATTTTCCCCGTTCCACCGAAGGCGTCCACATAATATTTACCATTGTGTTTGACGATAGCAATTTGAGTGTTGATTGATGCCTCTGAAGATTTAAAACAACATTGTTTCATTTAGGAAACAGGACGCTGGTGTAAAAATGAATATCCTTTAGAATCAAGAAGATCTCTTATCGATCAAGTGTTACTACAGAAAGAAACCTAAACTAAACTAACTTTATTTATACTGGATAGCTCTTAAAGTTCTAAACTGTTCTTCCTAGAGGTCCAGTAAGGATCATCTCTTATTGATCCAGTGTTACTACAGGAGGAAACATAAACTAAACTAACTTTATTTATACTGGATTGCTCTATCAGTTCTAAACTGTTCTTCCTAGAGGTCCAGTAAGGATCATCTCTTATTGATCCAGTGTTACTACAGGAGGAAACCTAAACTAAACTAACTTTATTTATACTGGATAGTTCTATCAGTTCTAAACTGTTCTTCCTAGAGGTCCAGTAAGGATCGTCTCTTATTGATCCAGTCTTACTACAGGAGGAAACCTCAACTAACTTTATTTATACTGGATAGCTCTAACAGTTCTGAAATAGTCTATATTACCCACAGCAAACCTCAAACTAATATCTTACCCACTAAACCATCCAAAGATTTGAGTTGATAAGTGTCCAACAACCCATTGTTGACTGCTCTGTATTTAAACGAAAACGACTTAAGATTTGACACATTAAGCAAGGAGACATCCATGCAGGGTTTGATCTGATTTACCTCAAGTCTCCGACGTAATGAGTTGCCCAGGCCAAGCGCACTCGTGATCTGCCAACCATGTGAATTAGGTTTGTAGATCTGATGATATGATCAGCTGTTTCAAAAGCTGAATTTCCTAGAAAGAGAAGAAATTCACAGACTGGATTAGATATTAGATATTAGATTATCATCCTCAACACTATAGCACGACCGATGTCATCATCACCAAAATTATCATCATTAAAATCACTTACACCATCATCATCATCATCAGCACCAATACTATCATCGTCATCAATAGCATCAACATCACATACACCATCATCATCACCAATATTATCATTATCAATCAATACCATCAACGTCACGTTGTCACATTATCGTCTCCAATACCATCAATATTTTACCAAAAACATACCTCTGCCAAGAATTAAAACGCTCTGTCCTTCATAATCCTCGGGGTCCAAAGGCATTTTCCCATATGACTAAAACAGTCGAGAGCGTCTATTTAATTAACTTCACACAATACACAATGCCTAGAACATATATCATCACTGCACATGTATATACTGAAACAGTAATTATTCAATAAACACAAACCTCGACAAATTCAGATCCTTTAAACGAAGGTAACACCTCTGTGGACATCCCGGTACTAAAGAAGAAAAGCGTATGGCTTGTCAAATAACAGAATTATACATGTAGACTCAAAAATGGACCACGTACAAAAATGAAAATTTTACTCCAAACAAAAAGAAGACTACAACACTAGATTAAGACTATGATTAGCGACCAAATATACAAGTATTCAGGGTTTTTACAAGCCAAATAAATTAGACCATCCATCAATGATGAATTAGGTTCTCTCCTGCAACAAACCTGATTATTAAGTCACTGCATTTGTACGCTTTGCCATTCTGGTCTTTGAGAATGAAAACGTCGTTGTAGGCATCCTTGGATATGTTTAGGATATTCGTGTTGTACGAGATACTGAGGTTTAGTTTGGTGGCGTAATCGTTCAAGTATTGAACCTGAAGAAAGATCCCGCGAAGACGTTAATACAATCTCATTCTGTTAACACGACTGAAAGATGTTTTAGTCTGTTGATTTGAAATATTTATGGACAGAAAAACAACTAAACTCTAAAGCCAAAGCGTACTGCTTTATCAATGTAAACAAAGACTACACTAAATTATTCTTCACCCGAGAAAAATCATCTTTACTCTATTTGTCCCCGCGTTTTTTCAGACACAATTGTCCAGCATGTGTTTACCAATTTTAAATTTTGACATCGCGAAACGGATAAATTTTGAATGGAACTAATTACATATTAGGAAACGAAGTGAAAAGCTTTTATTAAATGTCAACAAAAGTGCGTGTCTTCCCAGGCCAACGCATTTTGATAAACGGTTTAGCATTTGAAAACTATCGGCTTTATTCAAAGGTGTAATGGTTTAAACATATATGCCTTCTGTCAGTAGGACAGCAACAAAATGGGGCAGGCTTTTGCGAAAAATTTGATACCACGATTTGCTCAGTAGAACTATATCCCGTTTTTGAAAAAGCTTTGTCCTTATACATCGCCTGTGATGGACGCGTTATATCAGATTATATTATTTTGACAATTTTACCAAATTTTACTGACTGTGACCTCACATGCATAGAATACCCAAAGGCAAATGTGAAATATGCTCATTTTAAGACGTGATGAAATGAGGTGGAATTTCTCAAATCCGATTTTTATACTCGATTGAGAAAATGCTCTAATCTTATCCAAAAAGATTATGAACAGAAAAATTCGCTTAAGGGTCTTTTAAATATGAAAAATCAACAGCAATTCCAACTGCCGAATTCGTGAAACTGTCTTTCGTGAAACCGTCTATTCAATTCTAGACAATTTCTTTCCTTCAATTGTATCAACACAAGACGCCCAATTCGTACGCGGTATTCAATAAACTTAATTCTCTTCAATAAGGATCACTGTTTTTCATTCGGAAACTATTAAGATTTAACACCTGCACAAGCACCGCACAAACAATTAATTGCGTTGAATTAAATGAGCATATATGCCAAAAATATATGCGAAGGGCTTGCGCATTTTGTGTTGTTTTGAAATTTGAATTGAGTACTTGTCAGGAAATATTGAAGGAACTTGTCCGACTGAGATATATCAGATATTATTATTTCACAATAACAAGCAGTTTGAAAGATTGTTTTTTAAGAAGGTTGTCAAAATAATCTCGAGTGAGACATGCAATATGGCACAATGTGGTCGGATTTTGGACTTATTTTTTCGAGGGTGTTTCTAGGTATTTGGAGTTATTTTGAGTAGGAACTACCGGTGATTAGCAACTGATATATTTGGCTAACATTTGCAGCTTGTAATATGGGGATTTAAAGTTAAACCTACGCCTCGAAATAGCTGCATTAATCTTTCTTTGAACTCTTACAAAGCTTAATTCCTCCGCTTCGTAGAGAAAGAAAGGTTTTTATCGACAGTTTTCTATCGCCGTAGACAAATTTCATACGCTTGAAATTAAAATCGCGTTCAAAGAGAAATAACAAAATTCATGGAACAAAGATAGTAAAGAGACAAAAATTTTTACGACCATTATCTTTGATTGAACTCTTTTGGAAACTGTCAATCGAGGTTTCGTGATGATTAAAATCATTCTTGCCCTCAAAGGCAGAAAGAACTATTTGAAAATACCTTGGGAAATGCAGATTTTAAGAGTTAACTATTTTTTTCTTAAAAGTTGCAAATGAGCGTTCAAAGTTGCAATTATTCTTTAAATAACATTTGCAACAGGCATGTTTATATCTGACATCTCGTTTTGAATAGGATGCTTTGGGCAACCTGCCGGGTCCTGCTGTGATGAACGATAAGCAAAGTGAAAAACAAAACACAAACCAGAACATCTGCGGGAGGAAAGAACTCCTTTGAATATCGAGTGACACGAAGTGTCTCGTCATCGCTTATCAGTGAGTTCCAATCATGTCTCAGATTAAATTCCTTGTTTGTTTGCCCTGCAAACAAAATTAAACAGAGTTTTGCTGAAAAGGAAGCGGAAATGAGCATGGTATCACTGGCCAGACTCAAGCCTGAAGGAAGACAATATTTTATTTACATCCTCCTTTAAAATTAGAGTTTATTCAACCATTTTTGCAAACAGAATTATTCACCATCTTAAATAAAAATTACGATCTGACAACGATTTAACATAGCACAAATTCGTAAAATTAGTAGGAATTAATTTGAACTAAAGCTACTTAAACAGTCAAAAAACAATATCCGCGTGTTAAAGCTAATATGCATGACCTATATGCCTTTCAAAACGGTGTCCACTGTCAATTCTTGACGACATACGTGCACTTTGCCTTGCCTAGTTCGACCATCAGCTTAGCTATTTGGGAAAACTAGTAAATATACTCGATATCGGCTCGGTACCACAAGATATTAATAAATATTTGTTTACATCCTGTTGCTTGAGGTGTCAGACACGAAGACGTATAAATAACCCATAAAAAACAACGTGCGAACTAAATTTGCCACTACAAACACAATACTATAACTTCTGTCATGTTTCCCCGCTGTTAACGACGGTTTCATACAAATAATAGCGTGTACAAATTATAAAGAGGAACTCAATTTTATGCATGGTTTGTGGTAAATTTATGACACGTCGTTTTAATGATGAAAGGGAAGTCACTTCAGACGAATATATTAAGTGCGCTTCAGTTTACAGCTAAATTTCGTCCCTGCCTAGCTGAAATTCAACAGAATTATCGCATAAAACGTTTTCTCGTCAGAAATAAACGATTAAGAAAAAAATTCATACACGTACATGTAATGGTATATATGCAAATACTGTGTCGTATTAAAATCCACATGCAAAATATATTCAAAACATGTCTTCTGCATACCTGTGAATCTTTTATTGATCGAGATAAGCTTTCTATGCCGTGGGAATGTTTTGTAAAACGTTCCTAAAACGATTAGAACAATAATTGTTACAATAAGGTTACACTAGTAGTAGTATCAGTTCATATCAGCAGATCTCTGTAAATACTCAGTAAATATCTTAGAATTTAAACTACTAACTCACCGGCTGAGCTGCCCCGTTCAAACACAATATAATTCCGACCAGCCTTTTCCAAATAATACGCTATCTGTAGACCTGTTTTGGAAATATTCTTTTATGTATATTTAAGGAAAAAACATCGCACTGTATTATTCTAAAATACGACGTATCTGAGACAATTATCATCGTATTTACCTCCTGGTCCAGCTCCAACAACACAGTAGTCATTGTCGGAGGAACTCATCGAGCAAACGCCAAACAACGAAATTAAAATGATGAACACAAGCCGCACTTTACACGCCATTGTGTGCCTTGGATATTGAACACCTGAGGCAAATGATCTGTTTCGCACAAGAAACGTGTTATGTATACTCTATGTTTAATTAAACGACATTTGCATTAATTTAAATAAATACAAATAATTTTTGAAATTTAAGACCCAATTCACTCATCAGAAAAACTTAATTCCCATTCCATCCACTTCCGATTACGTAATCACCATAATCCACACATTCGCCACTGACCTCCGTTACCCAAATGCGAGCTGGATAGAGTTGATGCCTTTGACTTTTGAGAAGCAATAAAAAACTGGAAATTATAAAAATACTTAAAAGTCAGTCCTAAAAAGCGCCGAAATACGGAGTTCGTCGATACGCAAAGTACACAAAGTTATCAATTTAAGTGAATTCAACGTAATTCATTACTCCTATTAGGAAGATAAACGTGGATCCGAAGACACTCCGATTGCCAGAATCTTCTTTTAAAGGATGACATTTAGTGATTATAGAATTGCCACATAAAAACAAAATGATAATAAACTTCGGTGTTTAACAAACACGTAAAATTTTACATATTTCGCTGGGTTGAAACTATTTTGAACTTTGAATGATGGTAGATCGAGTGTAGATGCAGTTTGGTGTATTTTATACGTTTAAAAACGCAGAATTTTAAAATGAATTGGCTTGATTCTAGTTCATTTAGCGGGCTGCTAAGTCAGGCACAAAAATCCATTGATAAAGTGTTGGATATACCAGGTGAAGATGATGGCAAAAGTAAGAAAGGAGATCAGAGTTTGGACACGGGTAAATTGTTCTTTTATTCATTGTTTAAGTGACGGCATTGGTGTTTAAGATTGTATTTTGTGTATTTATAATAAATTATCAAATATACTGTTTTTATAAACAATATTGAAATAATTGAATATTGTTTTTTTGTGGAATGAGGCTTTCAACACCGTTAAAACGCGTCAGAGGACAACTAGATCTGTGATCATGATGGCTGTACTGTACAACCTATAAACTTGCAATGTGTAAAATTATAAAATCCCCTGGGCACTGCTCCCACCCCCCCCAAAGGCACCACACAACATCCCCCCTACCTCAGTTTCATCGATATGTTTCACCACACCCTTTCCCCAAACTTTTTTCATCAAACCTTTTCCATCCATCTCTTTTAAACCTAAAATTTAATTATATCCAACCTTCCCCTCTCTCCTTAGGAACATATTTCTCTCCCAATTTTTGGAGATTATTTATAAAATTTATGGTGAAAAAAATCTGGTAACATACAGGCATCATTTCTTTTTACACTTGTTCGTAAATGGTAAGAATTGTCCACCACAGTAACCTACTCACATTTTATACTCATTTAGGTGTTTCACAATCATCCAAGGAGCAAAAAAATAAATCTTCTGAACCGAAATCATCAGGTAGTTGGCTTTCAGGGGCAGATTCATTTTGGGGGTCCTTAACTCAGAATGTCACTAGCAGCGAGGGAAAAGGTGGAAAAGATAATGACCCTAACAGTATTAATGAAGTTGAAACAAAAAACAAATCTACTTCTGAAAAGGTGAACGATTCTCCACAAAAGGAGTCGAAATTGTCCGGTTCAAAATCAATGAATTTAAAAAGAAATGGTAAGAAAAGAGCTTCGAGAAAGAAAGGGGAAACATCAGAAAACCAACTTAAGGCAGGTCCAGCTGTTGAAAGAATGCCTGAAATTGATGCAGAAGCTAAGATTGAAGCTTTGAATGGTTTAAAAGGTAATAATCATCATCAGGAGAGTGATGTTGACCTTACGGAAGCAAAAGTTGACTGTATTAGTGAAATTAGTGTGGATAAGAAAGTCATTGAGAGTTCAGATGGTGATGTTTTAATGAGTAAAGCTGATGATGTAAGTGATAGCAATGAAATGACAGACAGTCAGAGTGTTAAAATCAGGGAGGATAGAACAAGAGATTCAGAAATGGTGTTTAAAAAGAGTGAAGATATTTCAATGAAAGAAGGTGAATTTGGAAAAGATGAAGATTTTGGGGGGAAAGATGAAGCAGTAGACCAAGTTGAAATAACAGACAAGATTGAACAAACAAAACAAGATGAAACACGGTTTAAGAAAGTTCAATTGGAGAATGATGAGAAAGGCAAAGAAGATGAAGGATTTGATGACTCTATTCTACAAAGCAACGATGTGGGAAACTTACAAACGTTTGAGGCTTATGATAGAGGTGATTTGGGGGTAAATGAGATAGCAAATTATGGCGAAGAATTCACAAAGGAACAAGAGATAATTGTTACGGAAAGTTCTCAACAGTTTGAGATGTTCTCAGAGCCAGTTGCTGCATCAACCCCACAGAAGAAAGAGCGTCCTTCGTCTCCTGATGAAAAGCTACCTTGTGTTAATACTGAGAGTAACAAGGGGTTAACGAATATTGATGATTTGATGAAGAAAGATGAACTTCCAGAAAAGATTCTTGATGTTCAAAGGGAGGAGGAAAGCAAGACTGGTCAAGATTTGGAGGTTGATAGTGAAAGGACAAAAGTGAAGGAAGGTGAAGAATTGCTGGACTCAAATAAACAAATTGGAGAATTAACTTCTACGCAGGTACTTGGGAGTTATTTTCATGATTTGTAGTTTTCAAGAGAAGAAACCTGGTTTATTTCTTGTGTAAATTTACTCTTTCCTAGGAGCATGACAGACTCCTTCAAATTATTGAAGTCAGAGAATCAAAACTGGTTGAACTCAGCAAGGAAAACCTTCACCTCCAAGAAACAAACACCATCTTGAGAAGGTAAGATCAGAGTATGGCCAGACCTTTTTTTTTTATTAAACCTGTTTTCGTAGATTGTCTCAGACACCCCAGCTTGTCCAGCCAACAAAGTAGCCAGTATCCACATACTACTCTTAGTTATATTTTTAACCCATTAGTCAAATTGAACAACTTGATGAGGTGCATAAGGCTGAAGATGCTGAAATGGAAGAAATGAAAACAGAATTTACGAAACGAATTGGAGAATCAGAGGCCAAACTGCAAGCTGCAGCCAAGGTACCACTTGAATGACGTGAACCAACACAGAACTGTTATTTATTTCAGTTTTTTTTTAGTTTTAATGTTTTATCTTAGGAGAGAGACCTGTTCAAGAAACAACTTGAAGAGACCCAGAAATGCTTGAGCTCAGAGTAAGAGAATTATCTTGATGAGGTTTTTGCATGTACAGAACTTTGCGTGAAAATATCTTGCCACAAAATAACGAATGATAAAAACTTTTTGTTTTTGGCTAGTATTGAAAGACAACTAAAGGAATTCCAAGAATTACTGCAACAAAAAGATGTTCAGATCACTCAACTAATGGAGGAAGGTAAGACACTCTGTGGTGGAAATCCTGCTGTAGCCACCCTAACCTTCCTCCTACAACATGCAATCTCTGAAAAACTACCATCTACTCCTTCAAGAAAACCACACTGCCCTCTCCCTTTCTGAATTGGGCATACTAATAGATTACATTAATCCCACCAATGACCTTCGCTGGTAGAGGTCAGTGATTCAACATGTCTCTCTATCGCAGGTGAAAAACTATCAAAACAAATCCTTCAGCGCAACAACAATATAAAGAAACTTCGAGCCAAGGAGAAAGAGTTGAATACTTCAAATGAAAACCTGAGGTAGGCTTAGATCAAAGTTATATAATAATGCAATGCATTTCCAGATAAATAAAACAATCCTGCTGTGGCTTACAGCTCGAGGTTTGAAGAAGCAGAGAGCGAGATTGAGAGGTTAAAAGGGATTTTGAAAGAACGAGATGAACACAAGAAAGAACAAGATGGTATGTGATAGTCTTCCACAGACACTCCACTCTCTATTATTAACTGAACTGATTATCATCAATTTCATGTTTCATTTTGTCTGTTTCAGATGCGATCAAAAAGCTCAATGCTTACACGAAAAAACAGGAGGAGGTTATAGGCAAGCAAAAGGTCAGTGTTTTAATTTTATACGTTTTATACCCACAAATATGCATTTGAAATTTAAAGTGCTATGTACATACACACATGGTTGAATTTTCACAGGTGGAACTAGAGGAGTCCGCAGCAAAGTTACCAAGCCTACAGACAGCATTGGACAACGCTTACAAGTAATTGAGAATTCTGGCTATGGTCTAAATTTTTATCTAGACAAGAGGAAAGAAAGCGAACGGCATAGCTAGAGAAAGCATTTTAGATCGAATATGTTCTTCCTAGCTCTGCTGTTGAACTGAATTATTATTCCTCCCCAGATGAAAATTAACTCTATGGCAAGAATCATGTATTCTTTTTTAAATGCTTGCTGTGGATAGTTTTGTATTTTTATACAAATAAAAAACAATCTGTTCAAAACGAATTTGTCATTCTTAGGGAAATAACCGAGCTTCACATTGTCAACGCGGCAAAGTCCAGCGAAGTTCAGGTAGACAATGAAAATTGTGTTATATTCAACGCATTTTGACTGCTTGAAAATTATATATTATGTATTACGAATACAGCAGTGTTTCTGTACTTTTAAGATTCGTTTTATACTCACAGGAAGCAGCACTTAGTGTTGAAATGACAGCCAAAGAAGAGTTGAGGATTGCATTGGAAAAATTAAAGAAGGAATCACAAAGAGAATGCGATGCTTTAGCTATGGAGGTATTGAACCTATTTTACTGAACATTTCCACGTATGATGCAGTTTTAAACTATTTTATCGATGGTTAAGACAGTAAACAGGAAACTGCAAGCAGATGTTCAAAGAGAACTCAGAACTTGCTGTCAGGGTACAAGAGGTAAAAGATACAAGTACTAATCACAGTTCTATCAACGTCTCTTTCTCTGAAGGTGACAGATTTGCAAACACAATTACATCGGAACGAACAACAGGCCGCGAGGAGAGAGGACAATTTGAGGCAGGAGATTGCAGATATACAAATGGTAAGAACGAAAAATGAACTAAACCAACAGATATACACAAGCACGGCTTAGTGTCTCTGATGCAGGATAATTAAAATAATCAATCGCTTTTTTTACAGAGGCTCCAAGAGGCAGAAACGCGGAACCAGGAATTGACGCAGAGTGTTTCCATCGGTGAGTCATGTACAAATGGTTGCACAAACCTTCTCAATTCAAACTAATAAACCTATTTGATTTTTTCATTCATTAATGTTCTAGCTACGAGACCTCTGCTACGACAGATTGAGAATCTTCAACATTCCTATGGAAGTCAACAAATATCTTGGGAGAAATTGGAGAAGAACCTCACGGAGAGACTTGGTAAGTTCACTTGGTAAGGAGTTCTTCGAGGAGGATATCTGAGGCGAGTTTCATGCACAAAGGCTAGACATTTGTATGAATAGAAACTATTCAAACCTTGTTGCAAACTAGTGAGTTCTCCCTCCAGTACATCTGAAGCGAGTTCTACCATAGATATCTTTAGATACCATAGATATACCATAGAACCATAGATATTTTTTTCATGTCTCAGCCGATGTTCAAAGTCAACTTGCAACAGCCCAGGAGAAGGAGCGCGCATCGACGGAGAGATCGATTGAGCTGAGCTCCAAGGTCGCATCTCTCGAGTCACAAGTTGGTAACTACAGGCAGGAGAAATCTCGAATCGAGGCTGAATTTGAGCTGGAGAAAGGAAAAATAGAAGCACTGGAAGATTTTAAAAGTAGGGAATCTGGGAAAGTCGAGGCGATAAAGAACTTGCATTCAAAACAACTGGAAACAATGATGGTTGAGAAGGTATTTGTAATGGCGGAGGATCATGAAACATCGTGGGACCTCTTAGAGGAGGGGGAGAGGGGGAACTTGAGAGGGTAGCCCGCCCCTGTCCCAGGCTTAGGGTTCTGTACATATGTCCCACTCGATACAGCTTAACTCTATAGAGTTCATTTCTGATGCAATCTTCTTTAGAGTCTGTTGGAACAACAGCTTGCGGTGGAGAGGACGAAATACGAATCAGAACAAAAGAAAATGACAAAACTTGAAGAACAGTTGGTATGTTTATAAAACAACGTAGACAGCACAACTTCACTAGACTTTGGTCCTAGTTCTCGTATTTTTATCCAACAGAGAGAAAGATCACAGAAGAACGACGATAATGGAAGTCCTGAGAACGAGGTGAATACGGTAATATTGATATCAGAAATTTCTAAAATAGGATTGGATTCCATCAGGCGGTGAAAACACAGCAGATCTCTAATAGGGCATTACGTTTGTATTTCACTAGGATCCAGGCCAAAAGACGACCTTAGAACGACGTCGAAGTCGCAATTCTAGCTCGTCCTCAGTCTTCTCTCTGTCCGACACAATGACCAGGAACCTGCCATCCGGTGGGACAGCGGTATTGGAAGAATTGCGGGCGACGATACGACACAAAGAAGGGGAACTGGTATCGATGCAGGTGCGTGGATCATGACACGCCTCAGATGGCAAAAAAAATTTGAACCATCAGCTTGCATTGTTCACATATCTCTCACCATCTTGCGCCATCAAATGACAGATTATTTCACTTATAAAAACGTCATCTTCATTTTCAGTCTGCCATCTCAACATTGGAATCTAGTCGTGAATCTCTGACTGAGGAACTAACCACCCTAATGAACAGCAATGAGAATCTTTCTAAAGAAAACCAGCAACTTCGAAATATTGGAAAGTCTTTTCAGGTATCGTCAACTTGTGGTTCCGTCCTGTTATAGGTTGCATGAAACATGCAAGTTTCTGGATTTGACTATAAAAATCTAACAAAGATTTTTATACACTTTCCAACTGTTATAGTTTGCATAAAACATGAAAGTTTCTTGACTTTCTTCAACCATAAATTATAACCACAATTGAAGTGTCCCATTGCACATTTGCAGGAGCTGCAGACCAAGTACAATGCATTGCTTCAGATGTATGGAGAAAAACAGGAGGAAACTGATGAATTGAAGTTAGATTTGCAAGATATCAAGAACATGTACAAAGCACAGGTCAGTAAAAGCAGAGAAATCTTTGCAGGAAGGTTCCCAAGGAAAGAATTGGTAGAAAATGTTACTATTGTTTCCATTTTAGATTCAAGAACTTCTCAGTGGAAGATGACATTTAGATTGGAACCAATGAATTTTAAAGAGTGCATAGACAAATGTAAAGAAAGATATAATATGACTTTGCAGAAGAATGGATATAATCCAACAAAGATTTTTATACACTTTCCAACTGTTTTTAACACCATCATTCTGCATTTACTCTAAGGTCATTGAAAATATATATAGTCTAGTTAGTTCTAACATATGAATTGCTGGGGTTTTTTACCCCCAATGGGTAGCAAAGGGTTGTAGCATCCCCAACACAGCAGTACCACCTAGTACTCTTGCCAAACTGGTTTTTCCTGCCTGATAGTTTAAAGTGATAGATTTAGACTACCTGAGAGGCTGAGAAGTACATTGTCTCCAACTTCTGGCAGTTTGAAGTGACAGGCTTATAGAAATATTACTTAATATTTCTATGAATAGACTACCTGAGAAGTACATTGTCTCCAACTTCTGGCAGTTTGAAGTGACAGGCTTATAGAAATATCATTAAATATTTCTATCAATTGACAAGCTGAGGAGTACATTGTCTCCAACTTCTGATAGTTTAAGTGATAGACTCAGAAATGTCATTCAATATTTCTATAAATTGACTACCTGAGGAGTACATTGTCTCTAACTTCTGGCAGTTTGAAGTGAGAAACTCATAGAAATATAATTTAATATTTCAATCCATTGACTACCTGAAAACTGCATTTTCTTTAACTTCTAGCAGTTTGGAGTGAGTCATTGTATTTCTCATTTTATATAACTATCACTCCTAAATATTGTAGAAAGCTCTGTTGTCAATTGCTGAAATAAAAGATTTTCAAACAGTGAAAAATATGTTGAATTTTATTATATATTTAACAAACAGTCAATTTCAAAGAAATAGCACAATCAAGGCACATATCTATTTATATATAAAGTTCTTAAACTCATCATCCAGTTGTTTTTTCAGATCAGGTTTATCAACAAGATATTCATCAGACTAAAAGAAAATAATATAAATCTCATCATGGGGTGGATAATTATAAGAAAATCACTCATGAATGATAAATTATTTTAATTGGCAAATATGTCATTTTAATATATTATTTTACAAATATATTATACTATTTTATACTTACAGTCATTTCCTCAAACGGTTTCAAAGCTTTCAATTGTGCAAGCTACAAATATCCAGAGATTTATTTTGTTTAGAGATACTTCAAAACAGTTGTTTAGTTAAAAAACAAAGTATTTTCTCGCAAATCTTACTTCTTCTTTGAGACTTGAAATATTGGAATTAGTTTCTTGCATAACTTCAACACATTTTTTCCCCTAAATTCAAAAGATGGTTCACTTTTTAAGTATTTCGGCCCAAGTGAACAGTTGGACTTGATGGTCAATGTGGAGACAAAAAAGTGTCAACCATTTTGGGTAAAACAATAAATTGATACTTTACACTTCACCATACCTAAGAAATCAGCAAACTTAGTAGTGGCGTAAAGTAGTGTTTACAATCAGTTAGGGTTAGGATTAGGGAATTGGATTAGAGTTAGGGTTAACGCAGTTAAATGATGTGATAGATGACATATATTTGATATATGCGATCATTTGGGTATGTATGAAAGATGACACCCTACTGTAAAATAACCCTTCGTGCGAATCGAATGCTTGTGGGAATAGAACCATAAGTATTGTTCTCTTCAAGTACCACCACAAAAGCCTATACTTACAAATTCCTTTTCTTCATCATTAATAGCAGGTGACATTGTATCTTCAGGGTATGGTACCTTCACTCCTGCAAACTATATAAAGATGTGGAAGAATCGAGTCAATTTGTTTCACAGAAATTTAGCATGCAAAGTTGAACGGGAACAGCTTAAACATGTTAACTCACCGATTTCTCAAATGCCTCAACAAAACCAGGTTTTGAGACATGCTGTTTGTAAAATGCCCAGTCAATAGGATCGGGTTTTGCCGATAGTGATTCTAACCTAACAGTTCAAATAATCAATTATAGGTTAATATGAAACTAAGTCAAATAAAACATACAATAAAATACAATATATACCGTCGAAAAGCAGCAAATTATGCAATATAATTAAACATATATACTAAATTTGTACAGTACAGTATACAAAAATATATACCTTGTTTTTATAGATTCGTGCCTTGAACGAAAGCCGGAAAACTCTCCCCTAGCTGCTGCAGGAACTTTCGTGGCAATTTTTATCCAATCTGCAACGTATTTCCCAACTTGTCTCGACGACATATTCACTTTTTGCAAAGCTTTTTTGCACAAAAATCTAAACCAATATGGCCGTCGTCCGCGCACCGAGGATGAAGTCCACGAAGACTGGTGACTAAAACACGAAGCCCCGCGAGACGGAAAAAATGACGTCTGAAGGAAAACCGGGGGATCCCCAGCTCCAAGTCAGGTGATAGCGCTGTGTTAGCTTTTCAATCAACAACGCCACATCATCATATTTTTTTATGCTGTTCTTTGCAGTTCACTGGTTCCTTGTTGATGAGAATCAGTCAGTCAGAGAATGGAAAAAGAAATTCCTGTGACTGAACAGCAGAACAACATAACTAAGGATATAGATGGATCAAATTCTGAAGAAATTGTTGAAAAATTAGAGGAGTGTGATAGGCAAATTTTTACTGGTTGGCAGGGCTACCCAAGTGTGTTTTCTTCAAGAATATTAACCATATTGAAATGTATAAGTAGCATTGCCTCTCAGCATCTTCAACCTGGTCGGGATAGAACGGGAATCATCCTCAGTGGCTGCGGAACCTCGGGAAGGCTTGCCTTTTTCATCAGTCGGAAATTTAACCAGCTTGCGGAAGAACAGGGTCTGCGGCAGTGTTATCACTACATTATTTCTGGTGGTGATAAAGCTCTTATGACGTCAGTTGAATCCTGTGAGGATGATTGGAATGCTGGGAAGGAAGATTTGGAGAGAGTGGCGGAAGGTTTTGATGAAGTTCTCTACATCGGGATAACATGCGGGTTGTCAGCCCCATTTGTTGGTGGCCAGGTTGAATATTGCCTGGATCAGAAACGAAGGTTTACACCATACCTCCTTGGGTTCAATCCAGTTAATCAAGCACGGAATGCACCAATCAGCGGAACTGATAAAGTCATGCTTGGTATTGCCAAAATCATGGAAGGTAATTGTGCATGGATATCCTAAAATACTGTGTTGTAGGGGGGGAGGAGGGTCACCTACCACCTCTTAGCTATAGGGGGGAGTGGTTCACTAGCACAGTGTCTTAGCCATGAGGGGGGGGGTAGGTCGCTAAGCACAACTGTTTAGCTGTAGAGAGGGTTGCTTAGAAGAACACCTTCCCTGAAGGGAGGAGGGGTTCACTTAAGGTACAACTGCTTAGCTAACACTATAGCAGGTGATCATTATTAACCAGAGCAAGGTTAATCAGTCTCCAGAGAATGATTTCAGATGACATGTTCAATTCTTTTAGATAAAGGTCATTTGCTAAATCCAATTGTTGGTCCAGAGGCCATTACCGGCTCCTCAAGAATGAAATGTGGCACAACAACAAAGATGATCCTGGAGGCAATATTCATCACTGCTCACCAATCAGCTGCTAACAATACAGCTATTACCACCGTCGGCCAAAAACCCTCAGAACCCTACGAGTTCATGGAAGAATACAAGAGGACCCTTGAGTTCACATATGCTAAAAATGAAAAAATCTCATCCCTTATTAACATGGCTGGTGAAGGTCTTACAAAAGGTGGTTGTGTATCATACATAGCCTGGGGTTCTCTTGGAATCATGGGTATGATCGATGCTGCTGAATGTGTACCAACATTTGGGGCAAACCATGATGATGTCAGATGCTTCATAGAAAGTGGTTACAAATTTCTAGGAAATTCTGAAGGGGATTTGTCAATGAAGAATGATGCGTACCAAATTAGCTTTGATTATTTTATAAAAAAGAGATGTCCTGATCTTTCTGAGAATGACACAGTTATTTTTATAATTAATAGTTTAGAATCTAATCAAATTGAAGTTCTCGGAGAATTGGCAGACTTAGTTAGGATTCAAAAAGTAAAACTAGCTTTGATAGCTATTAACACAAGGAAAGAAGATGTTAAAAAGGTTAAAGATAAATTAGATTGTGCATCACCAACAGTCCACATAGTTTTACCAAGTGTAGTCAGGGAGAAAGTTAGTTCCAAATACGACAATTTTGTCAGCCAGTGTACCGCAGAGGTCTCTCTAAAGTGGGTTATAAATGCAATCTCAACAGGTGCACATATTTTGAAGGGTAAAGTGTTTCAGAATAACATGATTGATTTGAAACTCACAAATGGAAAGCTTTTTGAGAGAGGTGTGAGAATCGTCTCTGGCTTAGCGAATGTTAGCAGTGAGACAGCTAAGATGTGTTTGCTGAAATCAATTTATAGACAAGATAAACTGAGGCCAGACGTAATGAATGCAGAAATATCTCAGCACATACAGAAAGCAGGTTATGAAGAGAAGGTGATACCACTGGCTATTTTATTGGTGAAAGGTTTTCGCATTGAATCAGGGTTGAAAAAGCTAGAAGAGTGTCCTAGAGTACGGCAGTGTATTGAAGATATCCAACTCATCAACAGCCAACATTAATTCTAGATTTTTTAACTAATTTTTTGGATGACTGCATAATTGTGACAAATTTTAGGTTATCTATTGTAATTTTGAACGCTGTTATCTCTCATACAGGTCACAGCTTTTGCTGCTTTTATTAATTAAATATGTTATATAAAGATAAAATTGACATAATTTAATCGTTAATTTTACATTTAATAGTCAAATGTGTTCGTCATGGACAAAGCATGTAGATTTTGCATTGATTTGTAACATGACTTTGCAACATAAGAACATAAATACATTTTCATTTTAATTAATATATATATACTGTATATATATCATTTTAAAATATATTAAAATTCATATTAAAATATTTTATACCTTGTTCTTATAGTGATTCTATTTAATACACTATTAAATTAGATAGAGTACTATCTGTCCCTGGGATGTCCGGTTGAAGTTGAGATATACAAGATTGTTACACAATGCTTATTTTTTTTTAAATCAAGCCAATGTGAAAACACTTTTGTGTCCAAATTCATTGGGATGTGAAGGATTTTTTTAGCCAATTTCACTCAGCCTTAAATCTTACCTCATTTAGTCCAATTTATTCTGGAATTTAAGACGTTCAGCACTTCATTGACAGACAGCATATAAACACCCAACTCGTCCAGAGCATTTTGCGTTGTTTCCTTATTCGCTTGGCGTTTATTCTCATCCAAAGTCTCCTTCAAAAGCACAGCTGATCCTGGCATCAGGTTCAATAAAATGATTGCCTCTTTGAGTCTAAAATAAACAGTTGTGAACATATTTCTCATTCATCCCTTCATGCAAAGAAAAAAGGAAACTAATCTTTTCTTATTGAATATTGATCCAGTGTTACTACTACAAAAGAAAACTGAAGAGCATTATATATGTTTTTTGCCATGCTCAAACTGAAGGACTATTTCTAGCTTAAAAGACACAAAAAATGAGCATCCTTACTTTCTGAAATAGTTTTCAGGTTTTGATGTGAATTGTCCAAACAGCACAAAAAGATTTTTGTGAACGTCAAATTTGAGCTGTGCTGCACCACCTTCATTGAAGTGACTTTTCAAAACAACCTAAATTAAGTCCAAAACAAAATGCATGCAAAATTAGATTAAATTTTATAAACCAACAAGCTTGATAACAATTTCAAAATTTCTTAATGCATCAAGTCCCGTACCTCATTAAAGAGAAATTCCGACAAGTCTGTAGCCAGTTGTTTCCAAAGGCTGGTAAACAAACAATCAGCCATTTCTTGTTTCAACTTGCGAAGAATATCGCGCAGATAGATTATCATATCACATAACGAGGAGGAAAGACTTGTGATGGCAAGATCCTTGTGCGACGGAAGACTATGCCAGCTTTCATTCCTGTACAATTCACTTTTCATTTTAAACTCATTCCCGACATGTTTGACTAACACAGTAAGCATATTACTCTGTAATGTCTTCAGTTGTGCTATGGCACCTTCAAATAAAGTTCCACTTTCATCAAAATCACCATCCTGATGATCATAGTTATCTAACTGAAGTTCATCGTTTATAGTGTCAGCTGGTATATCCTTTTGTTCATCTCTCTTCTTCCTAGCCAATTGCATTCTGGCATAGTTGAGTTTCAGAAAGAACTGAAAGAGTAAATTAAGAAGTGCCCACTCAAAGAGCTGTCCAGTATAAAGTTTTATAGTTTAGTTTAGGTTTCCTCCTGTAGTAACACTGGATCAATAAGAGATGATCCTTACTGGACCTCTAGGAAGAACAGTTTAGAAACTGATAGAGCTTTCCAGTATAAATAAAGTTAGTTTTTGTTATGTTATGTTACTCCTCAACTTACGGTTTGCTCAGACCAATCTTGTAAAATTGTTTCAAGATAATTTGTACTATTGATGATGAAGAGGAAGCAAGGAGTCAATGGTCCATTATCACTTCCAATCTCATCCAGGCTCGCAGTGAAGAAATACAGAAGATCAAGTTGAACATTCACAAATGAAATTTGATTTTCCTCACCCGGCAAGTTCTTGTAACGCTCTGGAACATAAATTATGTAAAAAGCTGAAATTAATGGATGTTGTGGTTTGCAGCCATGCAAGGGAAGGGGGGGAAGGCAAGGGAGGGGGGAGGGCAAGGGAGGGGAGAGGGCAAGGGAGGGGGGAGGGCAAGGGAGAGACAAGGTCATGGCAGGTTAGGGCAAGGATATGGAACTATCAAAGACATTGTGCCGGGATGGCAATACCCTACCGTTATCCTACAAGGAGTGAAGCAAAGGTCTCAACACACTCTGGAACTCTTAAATCATCAACATCTGCAGCATCTTCATATCTTGGGCTCCAAGCTTTGTCAGATGAAAGTAAAGACTGTATGTTTTCCATTGCATCTGTATAATAACAAACATAGATGCAATTAGAATCACCTTTCATTCCTCTGAAGAAACAATATATACTATAATTTTGAATAAGTTCTGAAATAGCATTGTAAAGTTATTTTAGCTTGGGTTTCCACCTGCAATTAAACTAGGAGATGATTCCTACAGGCTACATACAGGTCCACTAGCAGAAAGCATGAAAGAGAACTTACACATTTTTTCCAGTGCTACCCATTTTGCAAAGCAAGGTTGTTTGACCAAGACATCTAGGCAGTTGCTATTCACCTGGCTCAAATCATAGGTATTTCTGAGCTCTTGGTCAAACAGCAAAGTCTCATCAACAAAATGGGAAAACAGAGCTTCGTCATTCAACACTAGTGGTATGCTCTTATCCATTTTATCAACGACAAGCTGAAGAAGACCCTCACAAAACTGAGCCTGTTGAATTTAAAAAAAAAAAGCTAGCATCCATCTTAAACCTGTCCCTTATCATTCATACATCGGTCCTTAGCTGGGTGGTATTATCTATATTTTTGGAAGGTATACCTGTGCTGAACTCCAGCTTGACTCAGATTTATCGATGATTGGCTGAATTGTGGAGTCCAGGAAATCTTCGTGATCTCGTAACCAGTTGAGAATTTGTGTGTAGAACCATTCAGGCTGGAAATATAGCAAGCAAAAAAGCTGCAGTCTCCACATGAGTAACCCAAACGTCAAGCAATTTACTGGCTGTGAGCAATGACTTAAGTTCTTGATAAATGGTTAATTTCAAAAAATGGTTCATCGGCAGACATGAATGAAAATGTACCTTTTCCAAATTGTTTGTCTGTTTTTTACCATAGAAATGGTAATGAAATCGCTTTCTCAATGGTTGAAGTAAAAAATCCATTGGAAGCGAAATATTCTCTGCCGTTTTTCCATCACTTGTTTCCATAGCTTTTCTGACGCAGCATCAAGGAACCCAAATCATGCAAATTTGTTTTTAGAATTACTATCTTCATTTCTCTCACAGAAAAGAGGGAATTGTTACAAAAAAGGATACATTTCGGACACCTGAAGCAGCATTAAAAAGAGACTTTCTAGCGTTTGAAAAACACTCAAATTAGATGCTAACGATGGGGCTGTTGAACCAGAAGTAAATGGCCATTTCAAGACTCCAAGAACTTCATTAAACTCTCTATAAACAAGAAAAAATAACACTGAGTATAGCTATAGCAGGCTGGCTATATTCATGAGAGAGTTTAGATTATTATGGTGAAAAACAAAACATTTCTCACTACATTACTTGGCAAGTTTGTCAACCACAATTTTGTTCCAATGTTTCAAAGTCTCAACAATGAAATGGTTGAGATGGTAGCAGGATGTTCCTTGGAGATTATCCAGAAGATTTTTCATCGCCAGTAGCTCCGATATGGCTTTCCTAAGAGATCCTGTCTCCAGTCCTTGGTGAATTATATTGCTACACACAGAAAACAAGAACAACTTATAACCATCAGCTATCTGTATCTACCAATAATAATACTAAGGCAATTTACCCATCTTTTTCTAAGAACCACGCAACAGTTAGTTATGGGATTAAGTATTTCCTTAGGCAGATTTGAAACTAATCTGACTGAATCCAGTGATCAGTCACCAGGATAAAGATTTGGATTAAGGATTTGGATTAAGGATTTGGATTAAAGGTTAGAGTTTAGGAGGCTTAAGTTACAATCAGGAAATTCATGGTAAGATTAGGATTTCGTTTGTAGTCTTGGTTTGAATTTATTCATCAACTATATAGATCTGCCTGTCTAAGTTTCCATTTTTCAATATACCTGAGTTGTTCAACTCTATGCAAACACTTGATATAACTACTCAAGTTTTCCAGCTTTTTCACAGTGTTATTCAAACTTTCCAATTGCTCCATGATATCATCAACGTTATCATTATGTTCGCCAACACGAGTATTGAGCTCTTCTAAACTACACTGGATCTTATCAACGTTTTCCAACGCTGAATTCGCCTCTTCAACTGTCTTTCCAACACACAACGGTGCCACGTCCTTGCTGGATTCAGATATCGCCAACTAAACAAACGAGAAACGTAGCCTTCTTAGGTGCACGTTTAAATTTTGACCTGTTTTTGCAATCTTTAAAACACCCGCTTCAATGGCCTTCCATTGTCAGAATCACCACTAAAAAAACATTAACAAACCTGCTTTTCTAGCGCGTTTCTTTGCCTCTCCATTCGCTCAAGGCAATGTTTAACATTAGACAAATCCTCTGGAAAATTCTCATCAAGAAAACTACATAACTTCTGCTGTAATTTCTCTTCGAAAACGACACTTTCTTCCATTTTCGAACTGCTCATTTGAGCCGCCATTTCTTCATCCACCCGATTCACACAACCGAAAAAAAATGTCGCCTCTAGGCTTTTCATTGATTATCAATTTTGAAAATGATTTGTTCAATATTTCCTTCATTTCGACAGAATATAAAAAGGGTTTTGGTTGAAAATTGTTGGTTAGAAAGTAGGGTAGCAAATCAATATACTTTGATGGCAAACACTTTACTCTTTTAGACTTTTACCTAAAATCAATCAAATATGATTGTCCTGTGATATTTTTGGCGGCAGTTTGGTAGGCAACCAATTGTACGAATCTGCGAGATTGCTTGCACAATCCTCATTAATAAAGAGGTGTATCATACATTAGTTTCTATTTTTATCCATTTTGCGGTTTTTGTTACTCCGATCGAAATAAAACTCGAATAAAATAGCATTTATCTACTATAAAGGTAAGTCTTGCTGCATGCGGGCTTTGGGGTGAATGCATTGTCTGATTTGTGGGAGAAATTTTAGCGTGTATTTGTTGGATAGCCGCATACCCAAGGGCCAAGACAGGCCGAGATTAGAGTACAGACACAAACAAACAAAATGCATAGCGCTGTGTAATTCATATGTGGTAGCAGATGTAGAATTTGAGCACATTTGAGATGGTTCTGCAGATTTCTTTTGAGCGTTTTGGTTTGAAATTCTTACAATTAATCGCATGATTGCAACATATTTACTCTAGTGTGACATTTTAGACGTGTGCTTGCTCTTTGACCTTTTAGTGTTGCAGAAGTTGCTATTCTTTTGTGTGAATACATATATTTTCAACGAATTTATGCAATCCAGCAACCATCCTTTTAAGCGATAATGGTGATGAACTATCATTGCCATTATTGACTTAATGGTAATAATGATTAGCAGCAATATCAATAATCACTATCACTTTGATATAATCTGCATCAACAATATATCATCAATAATCATTATCACAATCACTATAATCAATATGTATAATCGTACAAAAATCACCATTCTCAAAATCATCATGAATATCATCGTCAGTAACACTATCATTAACACGATCATTAATATCATCATAATCACAATTATCAATATACCATCATCAGTATCATTGTCATCAATAATATTATTGTATAATTACCACCAATGTTATCAATATCAATGTTATCATCATCTTTAATACAGTATCTTCATTACCCCAGCCTTCACAATCATCATCCTGATCATTTCTTTGATTACCACAACACTATTATCAACTTCATAACTTCATCTAGATTCAAAACATGTCCACGACAGAAGCTGAGGAAAAGCAACCCAGAGCGAATCAAAAATGGAATGGTTGGGGCTACCAGGACTCAAAATTCCTCATCAACTCTGAAGGCCTCGCACAGTTCACTGGCGCGCGTTATCCCATTAGTGGCCAGGTTTTTCCAAAGCTCATCGATTGGTTTGTGAACTCTTGCAACGCGAGCTTAGAGTTCAAATCACCTGCACAGAATATACCGAAAGAAGACGAGCTTCCAAAAGCTACTATTAATGAAAAGTTTTTAAACAGTGCCTTAAACTCTGGCTACGAACTTTCCCTGCACGGTCATGAACGGTAAATTACTTGACGTCCAACTTTGAAAAATACATGATTTGAGTTTAGATGTTTTGCCGTTCAAAGGTCGCTTGCATGCGTACGACCTACGAAAGCTATCTGCAGCTATCTTATGATTGTGTTTGCTTCTAAATTACCCGTAGTTCGGTATAACCTAGATTAAACCTCAGCATGCTCAAGTCAAATTAGAGTTTATCTTCATAATTGCTGGCTCAATTTCTATGGTTTTATCCCCATTGAAGGATTTGAAGCATTTTTACATTTGTATGAGAAAAAATTCTGAATAGAACCAAGCAATCAGTCCGGTAATATAACATGGCTTGTGTCTTTTTTATTTTAAATAATTCGCGATTTATGGTCGCTTTAAAAGTTTCTAATGAAGTTGTTATCTGAATTTATTCATATCTTCACCCTTGGCTTGAAATCGTTCTGTTTTGACTTCAAATTTGACAGACCTTGTGTCAGTTGTGATACTTTACTCACATTATAGGTTATTCCGCAGTCATGGAGCCACCTGTCATGAAATCTATCTTCTACGCCATGGCGCCATTCCTCGTATCCCAGATGCCGTCGTGTGGCCAAAAAACCACAAGGAAGTCGAAGAGATCGTTGCGTTGGCCAACGACTGTGGCGTGTGTTTGATTCCTTTCGGTGGTGGAACAAGCGTGTCAAGCGCGCTGGAATGTCCCAGCGATGAACTCCGAATGATTGTCAGTTTGGACATGACAAAGATGAACAGAATTCTCTGGGTCGATTATGAAAACATGACCATGTGTGCAGAAGCGGGAATTATCGGCGAGGATTTGGAAAGACAAGTAATTTGATTAAAAACAATTCCAGCCTCAAAAGAGCATCGTTTCCCGTTGTGAGACATCCTCCAAATAACACTCTCACAACGATAAAACTGTTCTTTTCCCAAAAATCCTTTATTTGCTCAGTGTTACTAAATAACCTGATCTTTGTTTTGTATTATTTGAAAGTTCTGTGTACATGACAGTTTTATCGGTTGAAAATTCGTATAGTTACTTTGATCCCGGGTAACTCTACAAGTCCAAAATTTTTCCAGTGTTTAAGCTAATGCAAGTGTTTGAGAGACCCGAAGTTGTAAAGTAATGGGGTGATGGTTTAAGTAAACAAATAATAGTTGAAATAATCAAACTTCTGAAATATCAAAAATGCATATCTAAAAAATGCTGGTAAAGTTACCTGCCGTCAGCTCTGATGTGCAAAGTAGAAATTCTCATGACATAAGACACGCTATTTCTCGTTTCAGTTGCACGAGAAAGGTGTTTGCGTTGGACACGAACCGGATTCTATGGAGTTCAGTTCCCTGGGCGGTTGGGTGGCAACCAGGGCATCTGGGATGAAGAAGAACGTCTATGGTAACATAGAGGATTTATTGGTACACGTGAAGTTTGTGACCCCGCAAGGCACGATGGAGAAGAGTTGCATGGTACCACGCATGTCAACTGGGCCAGATATCCATCAAGTTATCATGGGATCAGAAGGTATACAATAAGAGATATATTTCTCAGGTAGTTCAGACACAATGACCATGACAGCTTATTGTAGAATACTACCTACACTGAACCACCACGTTTGAGATATCTTTCTCAGGTAGTTCAGACACAAAACACGACAGTTTATTGTAGAATACTACCTACACTGGACCACGACGTTTGAGATATCTTTCTCAGGTAGTTCAGACACAAACCACGACAGCTCATTGTAGAATACTACCTATACTAGACCACCGCGTTTGAGATATCTTTTTTATAGCAACTCTCCTTCATTCGTCCTAGGTACACTTGGTGTTGTCACTGAAGTAACCCTACGAATTCAGCCACTGCCGGAATGCAAGACATACGGATCCGTTGTCTTTCCAGATTTTGAATCTGGGGTGAATTGCCTTCGGGAAATCGCCAAACTGCGATGTGCTCCGGCCTCGATACGACTCATGGACAACGATCAGTTTAAATTCGGTCAAACATTGAAGCCCCAACACAGCTCGTTCTTTCACTCTCTTATGGACGGCATAAAAACGATGTACGTAACAAGATTCAAGGGATTCGATCCGAACAGGCTTTGCGTTGCAACTTTGCTGTTTCAAGGCACAAAAGAAAGCGTTGATAACCAGGAGAAATTGGTGTACGCCATCGCCAAAAAGCACGGCGGCCTGTCGGCTGGAGCGGAAAACGGGCGACGCGGTTACATGCTGACATTTGTCATAGCTTACCTTCGAGATTTGGGCTTCGAGTACAGTTTTCTGGCCGAGTCCTTTGAGACGTCTGTGCCCTGGGATCGTGTCTCAAGCCTTTGCCGTAATACGAAGGCAGCCATATACAAGAAATGTAAAGATCTTGGAATACAATACAAGCCTCTGGTCACGTGCAGGGTCACGCAAACCTACGACACCGGCGCATGCGTGTATTTTTATTTTGGCTTCAATTACCATGGGTTACCAGATCCCTTGGACGTGTACCAGCAGGTCGAGGACTGTGCACGAGACGAGGTCCTAGCGAATGGCGGCTCGCTGTCTCATCACCATGGCGTTGGAAAACTCAGGAAGAAATGGTTGCCAGAAGCTGTCTCCAACGTTGGCATTCAAGTCATGAAAGGAATTAAGAAATCCCTCGATCCAAATAACGTCTTCGGTAATAGAAATCTAGTGTCGAAACTCTAAAAACTCCTTGAAGACAACCAAGCAAATTATAGGAACTGATTCCATTAGTTAGAATTGTCGCCAATAGTTCCTTTTACCGACAAACGCATGTAAACATTGCACATACGTTTCCAAATTAGTATCGTTTTATAGACTTGCAGAGCCTTCTCTTTTTTTGAAAAACTTTGAACTGCTAGCTAGATTTATAATGTTAGAAATAGGCTTGTTTTAGCAAGCTCCAGATCCCTGGCTTTACTGAATTTTATTAGTTTTGTAACATATGGCATGCGTTTTTCAATAAGGGCAACAATGTTATGATATTGTAGGAATATAGTTTGGTTTTAGTTTTGAAAACCTAGGAAAATATGAATATTTGAAAGTGAAAATCTAGATACATAGATGATAATAATTTAGTTTTAGGATTTCTACAGTCTATTTTTTCCAGTACAACAAAGTTATTATAATGACAAATAAATATCGAGTCCTTTATGACTTATGTCTTCGTGTTTTCTCAGCGCCTATTGAAAATACACCAAATACATTTACCTTCAGTCTTTCACAGAGTATCACAATGAGATTCGGATCACACCTTTTTAAAACTCATCTTCACTACCTTTGCCAAGACAGGTTTTTTCACAATCATCCTTCTTCTGGAAATTGTTGCCATTCGGTGAACATCCGCCAAAAATGAACTGTTCGCAAGCTTTGGTTTCTTGATTGTAGTAAAATCTTGGCATTGCCGCCCGACATGGTCCCACAAACTTCGGCTCGAGGCAAACGGAATTCACTCCGTCATGAGAGGCACCACCGTGAGTCTCGGTTTCAGAACCTGAAGGTTTGAAATAGTACGCTCCTAGTACAAAGGATTGGAAGTTTGTGAACTACCATGCATTGAAATAAGTCCAGTAAGGATCATCTCTTACTGATCCAGTGTTACTACAGGAGGAAACCTAAACTAAACTAACTGTATTTATACTGGATAGCTCTATCAGTTCTAAACTGTTCTTCCTAGAGGTCCAGTAAGGATCATCTCTTATTGATCCAGCGTTACTACAGGAGGAAACCTAAACTAAACTAACTTTATTGATACTGGATAGCTTTATCAGTTCTAAACTGTTCTTCCTAGAGGTCCAGTAAGGATCATCTCTTATTGATCCAGTGTTACTACAGGAAGAAACCTAAACTAACTTTATTTATACTGGATAGCTCTATCAGTTCTAAACTGTTCTTCCTAGAGGTCCAGTAAGGATCATCTCTTATTGATCCAGTGTTACTACAGGAGGAAACCTAAACTAAACTAACTTTTTTATACTGGATAGTTCTATCAGTTCTAAACTGTTCTTCCTAGAGGTCCAGTAAGGATCATCTCTTATTGATCCAGTGTTACTACAGGAGGAAACCTAAACTAAACTAACTTTATTTATACTGGATAGTTCTATCAGTTCTAAACTGTTCTTCCTAGAGGTCCAGTAAGGATCATCTCTTATTTATCCAGTGTTACTACAGGAGGAAACCTATAAACTAAACTAACTTTATTTATACTGGAAAGCTCTATCAGTTTCTAAACTGTTCTTCCTAGAGGTCCAGTAAGGATCATCTCTTATTGATCCAGTGTTACTACAGGAGGAAACCTAAACTAAACTAACTTTATTTATACTGGATAGTTCTATCAGTTCTAAACTGTTCTTCCTAGAGGTCCAGTAAGGATCATCTCTTATTGATCCAGTGTTACTACAGGAGGAAACCTAAACTAAACTAACTTTTTTATACTGGATAGTTCTATCAGTTCTAAACTGTTCTTCCTAGAGGTCCAGTAAGGATCATCTCTTATTTATCCAGTGTTACTACAGGAGGAAACCTATAAACTAAACTAACTTTATTTATACTGGATCGCTCTATCAGTTTTAAACTGTTCTTCCTAGAGGTGCAGTAAGGACATCTCTTATTGATCCAGTGTTACTACAGGAGGAAACCTAAACTAACTTTATTTATACTGGATAGCTCTATCAGTTCTAAACTGTTCTTCCTAGAGGTGCAGTAAGGACATCTCTTATTGATCCAGTGTTACTACAGGAAGAAACCTAAACTAACTTTATTTATACTCGATAGCTCTATCAGTTCTAAATTGTTCTTCATAGAGGTTCAGTAAGGATCATCTCTTATTGATCCAGTGTTACTACAGGAGGAAACCTAAACTAAACTAACTTTATTTATACTGGATAGCTCTATCAGTTCTAAACTGTTCTTTCTAGAGGCCCAGTAAGGATCATCTCTTATTAATCCAGTGTTACTACGGGAAGAAACTTAATTTTATATTAGATGATAATTCTTGATTAATAATTCTAACGATTTCTTTGTCTCTGGCTAAAAGCGCTGAATATATCTTAAAAAGATTCAAATCTCAGTCAACTTACCGCACAGAATCAAAACACAAGCAGCCAGGATCCATAAAAAGAGCCTTGGATTAGCCATGACTGTGAGGGCCGAAATCAACTTACTGTTAATTCATCAAAGCAAAATATTGATGATTTAAACTTTTCAAAACTCATTCATATTTACACAACCGGCATGCCCTGAACAAAACACACGTCAACTATTTGTTCACTGTGTTTATATGATAATTTTACAAATTTCTGGCTTTCTTGTAATGATAGGTTGAAATTCAACCTGATACAACAAAACATGTCTTGTTTGTACTTGTTATAAGTCGTTTCATGTGCACTCTCGCGCTCAAAAAACGGCGATGAAAACTGAAATAAAAACAGAGATTAAAATATGCACTGCTTGGCAATGTATTTTGTCCCAAGGGGAAACCACAGAGCTTCCGAAATGATTGAAGATGTCTCTTCAATGATAGCCCAATCTACTCCAAATTCCTTTTTTCCTCGAGTAATGCGAGCTCTTGCTTGGTCATCCAGGGCAGTAGATGTGGAAAACCAGTTTAGTTTTAAAGTTTTTTACTGCGTCTAATGCTGGACGATTTTACTGGTCAATACATCCACATTGCAAGAACGCATGTTAGGACTCTGTGCATGAGAAACTGGTCAGTGAGAATTACAAGCTTTTAACACCACAGCCGAATGTCTGTGACTCTGTGCATCACACATGTTTCATCACAGTGTTCTGTTGATCTAGATTCCAGGTTTTGTACAAACATGCCATGTTCAATTTTCTCAAAACATCTTCATCCTTTTGGATACAGGTTCAATGAGTCATACTTAGTTAAATTTTTAAACAAAACTATGACTTCATTAGAAATTTATTTTTCATCCAAGATGCATACCGCACATGCTGTACGAACTGAGTACAAAAGATATTCGAATGCATTTCTATGCTCAATCAGCTAGTATATGCTTTTAAATACTGTTAGGCAGGGACCGCGGAGGGGGGGGGGGCTGGGGGGCTTTAGCCCCCCCAATAATTTTCAAAATACATGTGATTCCTTTATAGCGATTTTTATATGGCCATAATAATACGAATAAAAACTCCTTATAGTAAGTTGTGTAATCATAATTATGTGTTCACTATCCGTGTTGGTGAACAATGTTTTCATTGAAGTGTTTACAAGAAAAATATAAACAGATAAGTATGGTCCCCCCCCCCGAGGGTTCACTCTTTCGGCTTCGCTAGCCCCCCCCAATCCAAAAACTGCTCCGCGGTCCCTGTTAGGTCTGATAAGTTATCAATATTAAAAATGATGACCGGTTTATAGCATGCAGAGGAAAATATTTTGGATGTGAAAAAGCATTTTCATAAAAATCTATCCATTCCAACAGAAAATATATCATGTTTCCTCTTGTCTTTCAGGAGGGTTACCACAAGGTTGTAACATTTTCTATAAGATACAATAAAAAAAAACAATTTATAAACTGGCAAGTGATTTGATTTGGAGGAACAGAAATTATTGGAATCATCAAAGCATCATCATCACCTCCAGTAGAGTAAATTTCACTCTGGCTTTCGATTCATTTTCTACCAAAGCGAAGTAATCAAGAAGATTTTCATGCCCGATGTAAGATGCAGCGCTGTCACGATGCTGGTTCACCAACCACTCACTGGAAGAACAGAATGGTTTAGTGGAGAGTCCTTAGGGGAGGAGGGGCAGGGGATGCTGCAGTGAAAACATGGGAAAAAATTGGTACCATGGGAGGGATGGGTAAGAAAGACTAGTTAGGGAGGGTAGGGGAATACTAAAGAACCTACTAGGTACTATGAGAACCTAGAAGTGCATGAGCTGGGGAGAAGTAACCCTTAAATCAGCTCTGCTGGTCAAACAGACTACCTGGATCTACTGGATCATTACTTACAATCGTGTTGTGTCAGAGTGACCAGTACCAACGTACTTCGACTGCACTATAATGTAACAAAATGCACAGATAAAATTGATAAAATTATTGGTGATGACGAGAGTCGAGAGATTCCATGTTACTGTAGGCAAGTAAACTAGTTCAACTGCCCATATCATATGGGCTATATGTAGATATCTCAAAGATATTCTTTATCTACATATGACTTGAAACAACCTGAATTATTATAAATTAGTAAAAATGCTGAACCAAGATGAATTCGACAGTCATTTGACTTTTAAACACCAAACCACATTCGTCTCATCACAAAAGACATTCTGAATTATATACAATACACTTACGATGTTCCAGCTGACTGTGAATATTGTATCTGTCGTTCTGCAAACACAAAAACACAATATGTTAACTGAAAGCACTACAATTTAGTTAAAAAATAAACAAAAACCTCACCATTTTGAAGCTTTGGACTTTGTTTTATTCTCGAAGACTCGAACCCACGTTTTTCTGCGTCTTGCGTGTGCCACTGAACTGTAGAATACCTGGAGCAACGATAACTTATCTGCAATCTAAAAACGACCAATCAGAGACTTAAATGAACAACCAATCAGAAGCTCAGAGCCGTTGTAAACTTATTAAGGTAGCAGTGGGTAGCAGTAAAATGTTTTCAACATATACAGTCGTTTGTATCGGAAGTGAACAGGTAGTCTAGTATTGATACCTGACTGGTACAAAATTTCCCACACTGACCATTGACAAGTCATAAAGAAAAAAAATTGTGAAGAACAAGTTATCTCATTAGATTTATTTCTATTTACAATTAGAAAGCGAAATATGAATCTGTCTATATCCAGATTCAATAATTTACATATAATTGCAATGTTAAGCAGGTTTATAGAGTTTGGGACATAACTGTTTTAACCCAGTCCATATATCTGAAATTACACCCAATTTGAATAACATATATTTGAGGTTGAACCAGTCTGTTTGGACACTATATGAGATCAACAAAACGTAATATTGAGTCCATTTTACATTATATATTAGGACAGAGCTTCACAACAAAACTTTTTTAAAAATTCTTATAGTAGGAGGATGGGTATGCCACCAAAGTCACCATTGAAAGGGTGATGAATTTCAGCATTATTCGGAGTCCCGAGCGGAGTTGCGCTGCTTTCTGTTTTCTTTGTAATGGTCAGATCTCATTCGATTTTTCATGTACCATGGCTCATCCTCGCTGTCGGATCCTGGGCTTGGCTCTCTGTTTCTTTTCTTTCTAGGGCTCCTCTCTCTGTTTTTTAAGCTTCTTTCATGGTTGTTCCATTCAGGCTTGTACTTGAGAGGCAGGCGTGGAGCATCGTCATATACCCTGCAAATACATTGATGATGTTGGTGAGGACAACGGTGACTATTATGATGTTGATAATGGTGGGAATACTGGTGAGAATGATGATATTAGTGGGGAAATTAGTGACCATGATGATATTGGTGGGGAAATTGTTGATCATGATGATATTGGTGGGGACATTGGTGATCATGATGATATTGGTAGGGGAAATTGCTGATCATGATGATATTGATGGGGGCATTGGTGATCATGATGATATTGGTAGGTATATACTAGTGACTGATATAATGTTGATATTTCTAGGGAGATGTGTGATCATGACGAAATTGATCAGCATTCTAGTGGCTTTGATAATAATGGGGATATTGATTACATTGGTCTGGATATTGGTAACTAAAATTATATTGATGGGGATATTCGTGACCATGATTACCTTCTCAAGATTATCACAGCTCGTCTTTCTGTGACATCTTGTGGTCGAACACAGTGTGTTATCCCATCTGCTGCATAACCACTAAAGAGAAACATCAATTTTAATACATTAGTACAAAAATTGTATAGTAACTCTTTAGTGCACCTTCAATGCCTCATCTTTACAATAATACATACCTCAGGACGGTCACACATCCGCGGGATATGGGTAAGGACAGCACCGGTGGCGATGTGCGTATCGGCTTGAAAGTAAACTTACAGCCAAAACACAGAGACGAAGCACTGAAGAAGGAAGCAGATACAATCGGCCTGTCAAATATGTGCCCCGGGTCGATATGTGATACAATGCACCCTCCTGCTTGATAATCATTGATAACCGCACTATTTATAAAGTTCTTTGGAACAATTCCAGCTTCCACAACCTTTTTCTCAACCATATCGAAAATCCATTGCGGGATATCATCCACAACACCCCGGGCATAGAGCTTTTCTTGTCCAGGACCTTTCTCCGCCATTTGTTTTCCATAAGTATAGCCCTCTCCAAAGAAGTATTTATTCCTTAAAGGGGCCCTGTCGACAGTTTTTTCGCGATAGTGTCCTTTTTCTCCGTTCTCGACCACCTCGTCGATCATTTTTTCGATTTTCAGGCAGGCTTCGTCGTCGAATAAGACGCGCTGAGTGATGCCTTCGTGAATTTTTTGCAATTCCGTTGCATCGCCATTTTCGTCGTACGATTCAAAGGAATTGCGTCTGGCTTCTTTGCGCTCCCTCTTTATCTTTCTGTCTTCGTCCAGAGATTTGTGTTTCCGTTTGAAAATGCCGTTTAACTTCGTGCGAAGGTCGACAACGTCTTCAATTTTTGTTGACGATTGTTCAGCCATACTTGCTGCCTTTCTCTTTCAAGTTTCACATAATTCATCCCCACTCCCCCGCGCGAGCTTTACCGGCTGCTCTGAGTGCTCTCATCTTGATCACAGAGCCTTTATTTACGATAAACTAGGATACGGTTGAGGTGGCTAGGATGCCTGTATTTTCTTTTCTCAATCGTTTTCTTTATGATACAACATGCCTGCGAACTGATAGATGTACCTTAGTCTAGGTTTCCTCCTGTAGTAACACTGGATCAATAAGAGATGATCCTTACTGGACCTCTAGGAAGAACAGTTTAGAACTGATAGAGCTATCCAGTATAAATAAAGTTAGTTTAGTTTAGATTTCCTCCTGTAGTAACACTAGATCAATAAGAGATGATCCTTACTGGACCTGTAGGAAGAACAGTTTAGAACTGATAGAGCTATCCAGTATAAATAAAGTTAGTTTAGTTTAGGTTCCTCCTGTAGTAACACTGAATAAATAAGAGATGATTCTTACTGGACCTCTAGGAAGAACAGTTTAGAACTGATAGAGCTATCCAGTATAAATTAATCAAGTTAGTTTTGTTTACGTTTCCCCCGTACGGTAGTAACACTGGAACAATACGAGCTGATCCCTTGTTACTATTACATGAAGTGAACTGAATGAAAATAACTCTGCCAACAATTAACAGAAGATTTAGAATTTATTAAATATATATTCATGTCATTGACGTTGTACAACTCTTAACGAATCTTCAATAGCGTTCTGCGTTGACTGTTTGACCAGCCTGACAAAACAAAGACAAACGATGTTCAAGCAACGAAAATGCAACACTTGAGGGACAAAAATCTATAGTAAAGAAACAATACATTATACCTCTTCAAACTTCATTATTTGCCGAATAAAGAAGTTCCCATATCCTCGTTCGACTTTCGTATCAGCAATATGAATCATGTCCTAAACGATGAGAAATGCTTGCGGTTAACCCGCGAGCAGGCTTTGAAGAGTCTGTACTGATTGATCAAAAACTTACATTCTCAATATAGAAATCAACATCAGACGATGACTGGAATTCTCCCTCCAACGCATCCGGGCCTTTCGTCCACGTCAGATGGCGTTGCTTGTGCTGAAAAGAAACGAATATGTTTTGTTCGACAGTTGCAGGAAAAAAAACGCTGACGAGAATTTGATCGAGGTAAAAGAATTTATTAAACATATATTAATGTCATTGACGTTGAAATTGACGTCGATATTTACTCAGGAATAGGTTTGTCTATACTTGCCTTGTAGCAAAGAAGTTGAGTTCGAAGGGTTTCCTCATCCTGGTAAAAAGATGCATTCATTTGTTAGAATCACTTTCATTTGAATACAGAGGTTTGCTGAGAGACTTTAACTTACCATATCCAAGAACGCGGCCAGTTTTGTGATTGGCATTGTTGTGTAGAGTTTCAGGTAACTACAATGATTTGGAGAAATTTAATGGATGATACGGAGAATCATCTCTATAACAATCTCTCGGATTATCCAAATTTACCTTCTAATGATAGGAATTAATGATTGTTGTCTCATTTCTTGAAGAAAATTTTTCAACTGAATGTCGAATGCCTCCTGTGTAAAAGTGGATCGGAAAGAAGGATGCAGGATTAGAGGTAAGGTATTTACCAAAATACTTACTAAATAATATTGGGGTAAGTACAAAAATAAAGTATTTCGCGGCAGAATTGAACAGAAGGATCAGGACGCTTATATAAAAGCCTATATAAGCGCTCTGAGAAGGATGGTTAGGGGAACATACCCGGTGATATTTCCCCGGTGCTGCATCGTAGTTCGGTGCGGATGGGGTGACAAACTTCGGACAAGCGAAGGAGAACATCTCCTCCAATAAACCAATATCACTAGAAGAGACGAAAACAAGTTGCAAAGCGAAAAAACATATAATCTGCACAATCATTTACACAAGCACCTTTGATCGATATATACATAAGTAATAATGTAGTTTTTGTTGCCTATCTTTCAAGAAAGATTCAAGCTTTCATTATTTTACCCTCGTTGTAATTTTATCATCTTTTCGTTGTAAGTTTCCCGAAGATGTGCATTAACGTTTTCATCGATACGCTAAACAGAAAGAGAATCTCCAATAACGATTTTAAACCATAAGGCGCTGTTCCAATATGCAATTTTTCTTGCAACTTGCAATGCAATTTTGGGAGATGTTAATTTGTAAAGAGTGTTCGAAATGCTAAGAAGACGTTAGCAGATCGTAAGAAATGTTCGTATTTGACAACTTCAGATGCCTCAGGAGTAGAAATGTATTGCAAGTTGCAAGGAGAATTGCATAGTGTAAAACCGCCTCTAAAGTTAACCTTAAACTGTTTGAAAGGATTCTTTTGAATGAACAAGGTTTCTTTTATACCTGAGGAGACAGGGAGAGACAGATGGCGAGAAGCGTGTACATTTTTTCGTTCATTTTCTTGATCTTGTAAACAAAGAAAAAAATATATAAAAATCAAGCGAAGTGGACTCGTTAGGATGCTTTGTTTTTTCCTCCAGTGACTTACAGCATCGATTTGGTAAGCTCTGTTTTGGATCATCGGCTTCGCTCGTTGAATATACAGCAAAATATTGCAGAAACTTCGAATCGCATCCTGGAAGAGAAATGTTATAGCTTTTGTAGTAAAAATGGATATTTAAATTCAAGTAAACCAAATAGCAAAACGGACTCTGTACGACCGACTTTTGGTTGTTTCGTTTATGTTAAAACTCACCTGATATCGCCTCATCATTAGATACGCAAAACCAACGTAATAATATGTCGTGATTTGACAAGCTGGAACTCGCGAGTACATGCTCTGAAATAGAAAAACAAAAATATTCAAATGTGTTGTGGAAATGCTGCTTTGAACTTTGAAGATTTCAACACTATTGCTTGATCTGTGGAAAGATTGCATTATAATTGATGACAAATAAATACAATTGAAAGGAATAAGAACTTCGTGGTTAAACATAGCAGGGTAAGTAAGACAGGGGTGAGGCAAGACGAGAGTGAAGGAGGGGTGTGGGGAAAAGGGGAGTGGGGTTATAGGGGGACAAGGCAAGAAAGAGGTGGGGTGACAAGGGAGTGGGGAAAGAGAGAAGTGGGGCAAGAGGAAAGCTGAGCAAGACAGGCGTGGGGTAAGAAGAAGTGGGGCAAGAGGGAAGTGGGGCATAGAGAAAACTAGGCAAGGCAAGGGTCGGATAAGAAGGGGGTGGGGCAAGAGGAAAGTGGGGCAAGGGGGAGACAAGGCAAGACAAGACAAGGGTGGGGCAAGAAGGGAGTGGAGCAAGAAGAAAATGTGGCAAGAGGGAAACTTGGCTAAACTACAATCAAAAACATACTTTGCGATTCAGCTCAATATTTCCCAAAACCCTCAGCGCCATGGAGTAATCTCCAAGCAAGGAATGCAGTCGTAGCAGACCAATCAAGCTGAAATATCCCAGCATTTTGTACAGAGGACGAATACCAAACTCCCCAGCAACTGTGTCAGGGTCACCACCAGTGCGATATACCTCCAACTAAAATATAGAAAACATAAAAGTTGAAATTAACAGCCAGTGAGGTACACCATTCATATTGAAACAGACTTTATCTAAGTTATTTTTTATGTACTTGTTCATATATTCTAGACTTGTCCACAAGAGAGTGAAGAACATTCAAAACACTGTGGACATTCCAGATCTAAAAACGTACAAGACATATGATTGAATTTCAGTACATGCCAACTATATTTTATAGCATTTAAATAGTTCTAATATACAAACCTTTGGATTATCTCTGAGTGTCGTAATCTCATCTTGACCAAGCTTACCAAACTTGTATCGAAACAAACTAAATGATTGAAACTGAAGAGAAAGGAAAAATCAATGAATTATAAATTTTCACTTACACCCAGCAATGGAGAAAACTGCCAGTAATGTTAAATAGGGTATTTTTGTTTAAAGGCAAAAATCATCCTTTGAATGACAGTTTGAGGCATATTATATACAATCCAAGTAAATGTCAATGTAAAATTAAAGACTTGTTCATTTAATTTAGAATGCCAAACTCAATGTTTTTATCTTTTAAAATGCTAAAAGAATTCAATTATTTTGCTTAAATTATGCCTAATTCACTCTTTCAAATACCTTACAGTTAGTTTATATGAAGTTTGGGAATACATCTTGCAATAAAGGAAACAATACCTGGTATATAAACTCATCAATAATGTCCCAGAGCCACTGGTTGGGTAGAACAAGGGGAACCGGGTCATCTGTGTCTATATATTGAAAGAATGTCAATTTTGATAAATGAAAAAAGAATCGAAAAAATTCATACAAATTGTGATTTAAATGAAAAATGAAATAAGAGTGACTTACTGAGGATATAGTTGAAGAGATCACAATAATTGTAATAAGAATCAATCCTCTGTTCTGTTGTTGGCTGAAAAATATTATAATCGACGGAGGTCAATTCTGATTGTCACCCAAAAGACAGTGATCCACAAATAACGGAATTTTTACCTTTAGCTTCGCGTAGATATGACGGAAACATAGTTCCTTGTATAGAGTCAGGAACAAAGGATCTGAGAAGTGAAAAGATCTAGTTTAGCCCATTCAACAATTGAATTTTGTTTAAGATTAAAATGATCAACTTCACCAACCATTTCCAACAAGAGGTGCTATATGGTCGGCTTCTGGCCAAGGGGCTTTTGGAAATTTCTCGTCACTGAGCCTCGTGAACCTGGATACAAATTGATTGAATGTAACAATTAAGCTATATTCTTTCAGATAGATAAAACACATTTGCCACAGAACACACAAGCTGGGATAGATTTACTGGGGGATTAGACTAGGTGTTTCTAGTAATTCAATCTTACCCGCTTTCGTACATTGAGTGTATTTCTCTTACATTCTAAGAAATAAAAAATAATTGTGCACTATATATGTGTATAATGATAAATTTATAAAATCTTACATATATACATATATGCATATATACACACACTTGCCTTGTAGTGGTTATAAATTACCTGTTCATGAACATGCTTTTGAAAATATTTAATGAAGTTTTGAACTTCTTCTGTGACATAGAATGCATCACTATGTGAACTCTGACCCATATCTAAGGATGATTTAATAAATTCATCATCTATTTGTAGGTGGAACTTTATAATAATACTTGTATAAAATTACGAAAAGTATAAAGCCATAACTCCTGACCTCCATCCTGATAATGTGAGCCATATTCGTCGCCAGTATAACCATATCCTCCTGCTATTGCACCAGAATCCAACTGCAGAAAACGACAGTGAATCATCACTACATTAATACTCCATAAATAACATTCATAGGCTCATAGCTATTGTGACAACTATATCGAAATATACCCATTGAAATATAGCAGAAATTAATTCCCTACCTCTGCTTCAACAAATTCCTCCGCCTGTGTATACATTTTCCCGTGTTTTCATACAATATCCAACTTTTTATTGACCACTTTTTGCTTTTTTATTTACACGTGAAAATAAAAATACAGACTTTGTAGAAATGATGTACACTATGGTACATTTGATGTACATCTATGGACTCTATAGTACATGTATGACATACAGTACATTGTGAAACAAATGAGTACCACTGAGTACATTTAGTGTACATTGATGGACTTTCCTGTGCATTTGTGTGATACAGCCATACAGCGGTGTGATATAAGCCGGATATAAGAGTGATAAGAGCATATAATATTGCCATACCCATCACATGATACCCATAGATATACCCTAACGTATGTCCTAGTATATCCCACTGGTATATCTATGGTATACAGTGAACTGATGGTATATCGTTACTGGAGTGCTCTTTGATCCATCAAAGATTAATGGATTAGTCATCACAAATAGAGAAATTGCGTTTATTTGCGGAACTGTACAATCTGATTTAACATTCATACAATCTGATCAAGAAAAGTAATACGAATTTCTGGACATTTTCCACTAGTATTTATCGGAATACGGTTAGTTCGCTGTGTATTTTCTCTATTTAGAAACAATCACGTCTATTCGGCATGTGATAATTTGCTACTTTATATGTAACAAGTTTATTTTTCATGCATTATCTAAATGATCCATATATTTACTTCTACAGCATGGAGACAGGTGAAAACGAGAAGTTGTTCATTGTCCCAAATGGCAGGACGTGAGTACTTTTAAAATCCCTAAAAAACAAGTGTAAACAGTCATATTCATGGTGAAGTTCAGAGACTCATTCTTAATTACATAATATCTCAGAAATTGCCAGGAATCAGGTGAAACGGATGAAGGAGAATTAAAGAAGGGACTGCTGATACTGGTTGGAGCAAGGCAAATATCCTTTGGAGAGGACTGAATTTTTCAATGGGATGCTTTTTTGCGATGGCTGCCTATGTTCAGGTATGTAGAAATATGGAACTGCTATAATTTGATTAACATCTATTCTTAGTATATGTAACTACATTTCCATGTAACCCCATGGTATGTAATTCTGTGACCAAGTTTGTTTCAAAAATGCCTTGTTCTTTTCCATAGCTCAATGACCCAGATGTCTTGCTATGGATGGTATGAACATTTTAAGTATATAATTTTCACAAACATGACACTCGCTTTTTGAATACTGTTTAATAATCTTGTATAAATTTTCTTTTTTTAGTTTATCTATGCAATTCCAGGCTGTTTGTGTATATCAATTGCATTCTCCCCAGAAGTTCAAGGTTAGTGAAAGTTTTGATTATCTGTTTCAACTTTCAAGAGCAAAAGACAGATTTAGATTGAGGACGAACTGACTGGAGCATCAAAGACAATGTGAGTAATGGCAACTAAATAGTATGATGCACCCAAGTAGGGCTCACATTGTCTTTGACATTACTTTATCAACCATGACCAATTCTGAAATCTTGTTGATTTTTTCAAGAACATCACATATGGCAGACATTAGCAACAGCAGACATTGTTGGAAGTCTCGCTGGAGCGATATATCTTGCTGCAGTAATAAGGCCTCAGATGCAAAAAGGCGCCCTCCACAATCCTTTAGTTTTGGAAGAAGGAAGGTATTATGATGATGATTATGAATGACTGTATATCAATTGGTAAAAGCCAGTCCATTAGTACAAGCACTATAGGTGCATAATACTAAGTTGAATTTTTGATTTTTTAAGGGAGATGTCAGGATTGATAATAATCATTTTTTGGATCAGTTTGTGCAAATTTGTAAGCTGGTACTGTCAACGGTTAGTGTCTAAAGATAGTGTGGTAATACTGAAAATGGATTTGTGACCTAACATAACTTCATCGGTACATATTTCATTTAGAAAAGGTGATGTTCCAGTCTCCTTCTGGATCTCAATTTTGGTCTTGTGCTTTGTACCATTTTCGTTGTGGGCTTACTGCTACAGAAATCTTGATCCAAAAATCCTGCCAGGACATTGTAAAGATATGCTCTGAACTAATGTACCTATGCAGAAGGGCATCAAAAGCCAGACACAGCAAGACACACACAGTTCTTATCACTATGCAATGCCGCATAGCCTAGAATATCTTGTAGAGCATTTTATTTATAGTATGCATCAGCAGTTGTAAGTGCCATAATCTCCTAGTTAAAATGCACAATTGAAGGGAGAGAAAATTATAGAAATTTTATTCAAATAACAATATAATATAGTAAGCAGTTTGATTAACAGTAGATATATTTTCAAAGAAGGCAATAAACCACAAATATTGTTATTTAGAAACTGCTTTGTGAGTAGCAAAAATATGTTATGTGACTGTTTTTAAACAAGGCAATAAAACCACAAATAATTTTATTTAGAATTTAGAAACTGTTTTTGTAGTTAGCATAAATATCTCTATAACTGTTTTCAAACAAGGCAATAAACCACAAATAATGCTATTTTGAAGCAGTTTTGTAATTAGCATAAATATCTCCAGCTTTCCATGAAAACATTTTGACGTTTTCTACATCTATTTAATATCTCAGTATGTTCAAATAAAATATATGCTATTTATAAGAACAAAGCTTTATCATTGAGCAGTTCCATGCCAAAACTGATACACCTTGTATCCCATATAGATACAAACTGCTAGCGATCCAACATTGTGAAGTATTTTACGAAATTTATCATCCTTGTAAACTAAAATAATTGGCAAAGGTGAAGTTAAACGTTCAAGCGGCAACTTTGCCAGATTATGGCTATCGTATTCAACCTGGTACTTGCAGCATGGGTCAAATTGCCAGGATATATTATACAACGCAGCGAACACTAAACTCGAACCTCCCAAAGTCATGCTAATAATTGTTCTGTTAGTTGGTGGAAGTATTAGAGGTGACACTAAACAGCCAAGACTACAAAGCACTGAAGATTTATGAATGAAGTTTCCAACTCGGATCCATTTGGAGACCTGATCACCAAGTACCTTCGGTTCGATAATGATCATCGGGTACTGTCGGCTCAAAGCAGCTTCAAATTCATTTTCGTAAAGTTCCTGGGTCAGGTTCTCGTCAAGGTCAAGGTCATCTGCCTCATGGATCACATGACACTCATCATCAGGATTCTCCATTATTGGACTGTCCATATAAAATATATAAATAATATCAAGCAACGTGACTAAAGAAGTTGGTGTTCACAGATTTAATCCATGGTTAGGATTAGGTCAGGATTAGGGCTAAATTTAGGATCAAGTGACTAACATTAACCCCGCTAATCAACCATAATCGTCCATAAACCAAATCAAGTAAATCTATAACAGTATGACTTAACTGACTACATAGTTTCTGAGGCTAAACATTGATTAAGGCATTCAATGAGAACATCTGTGATTTTCTACTGGTAGAGATTCGGCGTGGACTAAACATAGAATGCCCAGAGACATTGGAATATTCGAATATAATTTTCAAATATTGGGCAATATTTTGACGGTTCATATTTAAAGAATTGAACAATTATCAGCATGTAAAAACGTCCCAACTAGTTTTGCAAGAAACTAAACAAGATTACCTCGTTTCCTCCAGCTCTGGTTCTTGCAATTCTTGCTCATTAGACGCGGTGAAATCGTCCGAAAACTCAGGATTTGCGGCCATATTGCTTTGCCTTCCCGTCCGCGCTGCTCACGAGAAGCTTGGAGACGAGCGCACGAAAGTCCACAGGCCACAGCAAACCCAAGCAACGAAAATTGAAAACGAAGCCTCGGGGATAATCCAAAAATTAATGTATTTTTTTAATAAATCAGAAGTGATTCTGATAAGTACGATCTTTAACAATGTATGTAATGTCTCCAAGATGTTTATTTCTGCATTAAAAAACTGAATATGGATGTACCAAACTGTATAAAACAATTTAGCTGATTTATAAAGAAGTAATCAATATCAAAGATATATTACGTGATAAATCTTAAATATCAAGCATCATTACTCTTAAAACAATGTAATTTTGCCACTAGAAATATCTAAAAAACAATGCATTTCTATAAATACACTTATAAAAAAGAGAGAGTAATCAGCGACATTTTGTGCGGAACACAGACGCTACTATGTGCGAATCGGATAGATATATAAAGATGACGTCATTTGTTTTCCTCGTTCAATCTTTAAAGACATGGCTTCCTTTTTCAGTTCAAACCCGTTCTCATCTCCTGTCGGACAGCGAATCGGTAAGTTTTAAATCAATTCTGAGTTGTTTAGATAATTGCACGTTACTTGATTTACGCGCTTATCAAAGTTCATGCAAAAATATGAAGTTTTAAACGGTTATTCGTTCAACCCCTGTCTGGATGGAAACGTGCATGCCAATTCAGTGAATTGCTAAATTGTTGCTTTATTATCCTTTCATTATCGATTTCAATTCCTCTTTTTAGAGCGAGCAACTGACGAGAAGTTAGCTTCCGAGGATTGGGCACTGAATATCGAGATTTGTGATATTATAAATGAAACTGATGAAGGGTATGACTAAATTGACTGTGATTGAACCTATGTGATGCTATGTTGTAAATTATTCAATAGTTTAGATATTTATGGTAATCCACAATCAGACATAACTGTAATGGGTGATCTGTATAGATGGTACAAAGTTATAGGCATAACAACCCCCCTGGTTGAGAGATACCTATGAGTTCATGAAGTATTTCCTAATGGTATATTGGAGATAGATTAAGTTGGCACACCCTTTTTGTAACTGGGGTGTACCATGAACTAGCTTGAACCAGGAGGAGCGTGTGTATTTATCAGATAATTGGAAACTCAATGAAACTGCTATGTCCTCACTGACCATGAAATCAATGCTTGTTTCAATGTGACTCAATATCTGGTTCCAATCCTATTCTTTTACTTAAATTTATGGATCCTTGCAAAAGGCAGGTTTATTGACGATCAATATAATCATGTCCTCATATATAATAAAAAATATATTGAAAGAATATCATGACTAAATTTCTCAATAAAAATTTCCACATTTCAGGCCTAAAGATGCCATCAAGGCTATAAGAAAAAGGCTTTCATCTCCAAGGGACTTTAAAGTTGTCATGTTCACTTTGACAGTACGCATAATTTCTGAGGAATTTTCAGAATTCTTATAATTATGTTAAATCAAATACCAATGTAAACATATATTTTCATTTTGCAGGTCCTTGAAACATGTGTTAAAAATTGCAACCGAAGGTTTCATATCTGTGTGGCTACTCAAGATTTCCTTCATGAGTTAACAAAATTATTACAACCAAAAGTAAGTCAGTTTCATAAAGCTTTCTTGGGGCCGGTTGTTCGAAAGGCATTCAGCTTAAACAGTGGATAAGTTCAAAATGGAAAACAAAATTATCTATTTATTGAACAACTGAGCTGAAATATTTCGATGTAAATAGTTTAATTGCCAATGGAAGTACATATTTGATGCATAAGATGCCGGTTTAACTTTGGCTTATCCACTGTAAACACCTTTCAAACAACTGGCCCCACACTATGGCTTTTGAGGTATTGAAATGAGTCTTTATGAAAGCAAACAACCATATGCTATTGTTGGAATGACTACATGACTCCCAGGATCATGTTACTTACTCATTTCAATACCTCAAAATCATTTCACGCTTCAATTAACCTCAGCTAAGTGGGATCATGTAAACAGCCCTGACTGAAAACACATCTTTTCTGATGAACCAAATCTTATTACTTTTTTCTTGACAGTACAATGCTCCTGTTATGATTCAAGATAAAATACTTGCCCTCATTCAAACATGGGCAGATGCATTCAAGGGCAAACCAGAGCTTGACGCTGTTCCTCATGTCTATAACAAATTAAAAACACAAGGTACAATAATCCACCTTAAATTAGGATGAACTGTGTGTGTACCATCCTGTGGCAAAACTATATACTTTTTAAGATGAAATTTGTATTGTATATATATATATATTTTTAGGAATTCAGTTCCCTGCCCAAGATCTTGACTCGTTTTCACCCATCTATACTCCAGAACGAGTAGGTTTATTTATATGATACAAGTAAATCTTATACAAATGAGTAAGACTGTTTTTAACTGATAAAGTTGGCTATCTAGCTATCTGATATAAATGAAGTAAGTTTAGTCCAGGTTTCCTCTGGTAGTAACACTGGATCAATAAGAGATGATCCTTACTGAACCTCTAGGAAGAACAGTTTAGAACTGATAGAGCTATCCAGTATAAATAAAGTTAGTTTAGTTTAGGTTTCCTTCTGTAGTAACACTGGATCAATAAGAGATGATCCTTACAGGACCTCTAGGAAGAACAGTTTAGAACTGATAGAGTTATCCAGTATAAATAAAGTTAGTTTAGTTTAGGTTTCCTCCTGTAGTAACACTGGATCAATAAGAGATGATCCTTACAGGACCTCTAGGAAGAACAGTTTAGAACTGATAGAGTTATCCAGTATAAATAAAGTTAGTTTAGTTTAGGTTTCCTCCTGTGGTAACACTGGATCAATAAGAGATGATCCTTACTGGTCCTCTAGGAAGAACAGTTTAGAACTGATAGAGCTATCCAGTATAAATAAAGTTATTTTAGTTTAGTTTTCCTCCTGTTGTAACACTGGATCAATAAGAGATGATCCTTACTGGACCTCTAGGAAGAACGGTTTAGAACTGATAGATTCAAAGGAAAACTTCACTGCTAACTTGTTGAATTTATTTAGTCTGTTCCTGAACAACAACCTGGGGATTCAGAACCAACACATCACGTAAGTGCAAACAGAATTAATGAAAAGACACAGAACTCAACGTCTGTAAAACCCAAAATGTAACGTATAACTTGTATTTTTCAAAGATGGTTCCGGGACTCCCCGCTGGTGTTCGTTCACGACCGGCGACGAGGCAACCCACTGCATCACGCCATACCACTGCACCACGCCATACCACTGGACCGCGAACATTAACCACTGAAAAACTTGCGAAGTTGAGGTCACAACTGGACGTCGTTCAAGGAAACATTCAGGTCATGTCTGAAATGCTAATTGCCGTCAAACCAGGAGAGGAAAGTCTTGATGACCATAGTTTACTTATGGTAATTGTTTTAATGAGTTAATTAAGTATAATTAGCCATCTCATTAAGGTAGCAAATTTGTACGATAGTTAATTTTAAGTGTAATTTAAAACGTATCGTTTTTTCAAATTAAGGAACTCAATAAAACTTGCCGTGCGATGCAAACTAGAATCGTTCAACTGCTTGATCAAGTCGGAAGTGAAGAAGTCACGGAGGAACTGCTTCGTGTCAACGATGATCTAAATAATGTGTTTATCAGATACGATAGATACGAGAGAAATAGAGCAGGTGCACTGGGCACTACCCAAGACCACACTAGACCCAGGCCCTCGCCAGAGCCATCGCAGGTTTGTTATGATCGGTGTTTGATCCAGCGAAATTTTTCAGGGTGGTGGCCTGGGTTGGTTTTGCACCCATGGTGCGAATACAATGAAAAGGACCTTGCTTGAACCTCTGAACTCATTCTTGCCTTCTAATTGTAGGATGTAGTTCAACTTCCAAGAGAGACGGAAACATGGTCAGTGGAATACAGTTTTGGGAAAGGATTTTTTTAGACAGTGGTGGTGCAACCTCCCCCCCCCCCTCGGGAGGCTTCCCCACCTACCTTATCTCCTTTGTAATGACTAGTTTTTGCACTTCCAGGGAACCAAATACCGCACCTCTAATCGACTTTGATGAGAGCGGAGGAAATACAACCTCTTCAACGCAGGAAATGGACGAAAGAATAGCGAGACAGTTTGGAGATATGGGTACGAATTTTGAAATGACGTCATTGATCTTAAAGCAACTTTCTTAGTGTGAAATCAGTGAATATTACGTCTTGTCGTTCCAGGTGTGACTGAAACCAACAACGGAGACGAATTCGATATGTTTGCACAGACGAGACAGAACACGTTTGAAGACAGCAGAAGAATGTACGAAAGAGAAAATAACCTTCTTCGCGCTGTGAAGTTAGTTCTAAATGCTCAATACAAAATCACTTGTATTTTCAGGGGCTCTACTTACGAAGACAACTCCTCGTCGTTACCAGACCGCACACTAGCAAGCGCTATGCACGTAGCAGAACCCGCTGAAACAACGGTAAGCCTGGGTTCATTCTTTCTTCTGCATTACAAGTGTCCAAAATATCAACATAATTCAACCTATAGCAAACGGACTACGATTTATTTGTGTTTGCTTCTAACTTTACTAAATTACCTTTGAAATGTAGGAGAATGAAGGCAAAGAAGCGAGGTAAATCAAGATTTGCTTGTGCTTTGTTCAAAAGGAGCTATTAATACGATTTGTATTTTTAAATATATATAATACAAGTTGCTTTTCCCTGGTATATATTCCTTGGTTTTAATAGCGTAATAAATTTTGCCTTTTTTGTAGTTCGGTTGAGGGTGTTGAGGACTGGCTTGCAACTTCAGACTTGGTAAGTATGACGAAAGTAGAAATGCTTTTGACGTTTTGTCCATTTTATCGCTCGAAATTTACTCGAGTCTTCTTTCCACAGCCATCGCAACAGCCTGCGTCGGAACAAACATCCATGACTAGTTCAGGTAAGTTGATACAACATTTCACAACTCTCACGAGTCTGGTCTACCTTAAAATAGTGTTAAACGAGGTAAAACTAGCTACTATAAAAGAAACTGATGTAAATACATTGCAATATAACCAGGGAGCAGCATGGCAGCGTCTTTAGACAACTTAGCATCAAATGTGGTATAACAACTGTCTAAAATAGACAAAACACTTCTCGACGTTTCGACCTGAAGGGCCTTCGTCAGGAGAGTTAGTGTTTACTACTTATCTATTATACCGCATTTGATGCTATGATGTAAAAACATTCAACTTTTTTTCACAGAATTTGACGCGTTCCTTCAACAGCGTGCAGTTTCTGGTGGATCAAGAACAAGCACTAAAAACAAACCCGGTCAGAGACAAATGAAAAAAGATGTCGACGAATCGGACGAGATGTTTGGACTATGATGCAATTATATCGGACACTAATATTTCTGACATAATCAATCGTTAATAACCTTGTGCTTCCACGCCTAAGATCTTTTCAGATCCTTTAGAAAAATTCTACTTTTGAAAAGAAGTTTTTTAAGAGGGATAGTTCGCTTGAATCGCAAGCCTGTGACTTTAACGCTAATACAACTGAGTAAGATAACGCTGGAGTAGAAATTAAAGCTAGTGTCTTAGTTTCTCTGAGTTTCCAGTAGAAATACTTGACACAGAACGCTGTGCTGTATGAAATTGGAATCAATAAACCCATTTCAATTTTGTGTAGAAATTTCGAGACTGACTTATGTTTACAAAATGTGCCAAAGTTACAATGCAAAAGTGATTTTCAAAATGTGCCAGGGTTTTTTCCCGAATGGCCAGTTTGTTTTGTATTTAAAAGCATTCATCTTTTTGCTGAAGAAGTTTAGATATTTCTACGCCGAATAGCAATTTTCAAAAGCGTCAGTTTGTGAAAGCACCCAACTGTTGACTTTAGGCAAATATGAACATATTTATCCTAAAAAATATATCCTTGAAGTTGTATTAGAGTTAATAGTGTCGATAGGCCGGAGACAAGGCTAGCTTCAACCATAAATTTGAAGCTATGGTTGACAGTGTGTCATCAATGGTAACGCCCGATTTCAAACTTTGATTGTATCACAATGTCATGGGTACTCCAAAGTCCTAATGCAGGCTCGCCCTCCCGGCAAAATAGCCCACGTGCAGGCTACGGAGTACTATATATAGATTTGTAAATTTCAAATATAATCGAAATATCACAGCTCATTTCAGCCCTGTGTCAATCCTGTGATATTTAATGGTTATGTTCCACGGGCCTTTTTCCTTGGTAAGGTTCCTATATGTAGGCAACAGTCGGAAGAATGTATTCATGCCTAACACTCTTACGGTCATCACAGCTTGGTTCAAAGTTCAGTAATAAAAATACGTTATTTCACACCAGCCTTCCTCGTGTTTTTAAAATCCTTTCACGCGAGTGTTCTGGGAATTCAACCCAGAAGCCAAACACTCGTGTTTTTACCAGTTCACGTACAAATAGGTTTTCTCGATTAGGTTTTGGTTTGGCCCCAGACATGGACACTGTTTTTAAAGCCAAACGAAAAGGAGGGAAACCGGAGTGCCCGGAGAAAAACCCTCCAAAGGCAACCTGAATTTCAGGTTACCTGACCGGCGGTCCGAATTTGGTATTTTCATTTAGAAATCGTCCGCAATGACAGTTCATGCTTTATTTATAGTTGACCGTTTTAGTTCCGCTTATCCGCACCGAGGTCCCAGGAATTGTCATGCAATTCTTGAGCTTCCTTAATTCGATCCTGGTGGTGGTCTAACGTGCGCAGAGCGCGTGCGCGCATATCGTCCGCGTCACAAAACAGCAGGCTCTTACAAATTTTTATTAAAACCGCGCTTTGTCCGACAGTGGCAACAAAAATTATGATCATGCTTTTTTGGAATCTTTCTGGCATTTTCGTTTTTGAAAAGGAATACTTCGTATTCACGACTTGCATGCTTTTTCAACTTAAACCGATGTAGACAACAGCACTCTTCTACTATAAGACATGCACTTCATCATGCACTGTTTTCATCATATTTTATACGGGCTCAACTTTTTCAACATGCAACTTACTCAATATGGGTACCCCCGTAACATCTGCTATACTACAAGAATCAATAATGTCCCTTACCTTTCGCACCGTAGCAAGTTACCTTTGGTTAGTTTGGTAAACAGTGTATTCAAACTCACTTGCTTCCTTTCTCCACTCAAACGCATTCTTCTTGAACGGCATCTCGACGGTGCGGCGTGCAAGAAATTAAAAAACATAGTAAGTGTGTCAAAATACAAAGTCTCTTCTTTCAAAAATAAAGTGTTCACTTTTTAGCCAAGAGAGTACTGTACAATATCAACCTACAGTTAAACAGTATACCCCCAGATAACCCCATACCCCGTCCAGTTATCATGCAGGGTAATATACCATGTAATATAGGAGCTATACTTTTCCTTCTTGTACAAACTTCGTCAAGTCAAAATATTAGATCATTCAGTCTTCATGTTTGACATTGACTAGATTTTCAGGGCTTAAACTGCAATCCGAAAAATTACTACCATTGTCTACCAACAAGGGAAACAGAAGAGTGCTATAGTGCCCAAACATCAAACAGTCATTTTTTTCTTTATTTCAATCTTCAATAATTCGAATTAAATGTTCAAAGACTAAAGTATAATTTTTGATGCCACTGACGGACGGTCCCTCGAAGCGTTCGCATTATAACAGGCTGAACAGAGAACTTATATAATCATATAAGTACTCGCGATTACCTTCGTATTAATCTAAAATTAGGCCAATACGAATTCTATAATATTTTCTCGCAGCGTGCGCGTCGATCATGCTAATTGCATTTTGTTACTTTCATTTTCCAACGTTTTCAACTGCCATCATGCAATGCATGCATCATCTTCCGCAGCTGTTAAGTCGTTATAATATTCACACGCAAGTGACAAAACTAGAAAAGTTTCATCGAGAAAGCTCGAAAACGTCTTCATAAGAGATGTGAGAAATTTTCTGTTAACATGCATTTCGAAAAGGGTGAAATGTCACTTGATGTGTGAATATACTAAGTTAGACCACCAGGAGGAATCAATTCAAGAATAATCATGCATTTACATAAATGACATGCACATGCATTACTCTAAGTAGCATACTATGGTATGTACCTCAATCAGCTTCTGCTTGAACACCCGTCTCGTCGTCCATAATCTGATCCTGCGATGATCCTTCATCATCTGATCCTGCGACGATCCTTCAACATCTGATCCTGCGACGATCCTCCAACATCTGATCCTGCGACGATCCTCCAACATCTGATCCTGCGACGATCCTTCATCATCTGATCGTGCGACGATTCTTCATCATCTCATCCTGCGACGATCCGGCTTCATCATCATGCAAAAATATTGTGTCAATAATTTCCACGACAGAAATATTTAAAGCATTCAGGATAAAATGATAATTGAAAACCCGATTGCACACCTCCAACATCTCCTACGCCACTCGTCCAAAGCCTTCGCATTGCGCACGCGAATACAAAATGTCATGCACGTTTTGTATGAAATAATCATCGTTTTCTTATAATGGTCCCGAGAAAACTGAACACTCGACTATCACCTACTTTCAGAAATACAAATTCTCATGCATTTTTATGTTTTAGGCGCTCTGTGAGCGATATTTTTTGTTCCGGACTATATTGTCGTTCAAGATGGAGAAAATACAAGTGATGGGGCCCCAAATCACTTGTATTTACTCCGCATGCGCTTGACACGACCAGACCCATGCAAAAACCGCAATCCGAAAATTTGAAAATCAAGGAGGTAAACAGAAGAGTGTTGAGTATATCTCAAGCCAAAAAAGCCAAATGCATATTTTACTCATGCATACATTCACCGAAATCGAGTTTTGTATTTGCGTGCATAAATGCCCCAAGGCAGGTCCGACATCTGACATTGATTCCTTGACGTTTCTTTCAGTCTAAAAAAAGGAAACCTTGGTAAAACCTAAAACTCACGGCGTACTTTTGGGGTATAACAAATTAGCATGGGAAGCGAATCAGCAAATGAGTCACTACAGCACGAAGCACCGAAGCAGAAAACGGTCTGAAAACACGCTCAGAACATTAAAATACTGAATAAACAGGCTGAAAGAACTTAGCACGATGTCAAGTCTAGCATAAAGTTCATATTCCAGTACGGATAATTGAAGAAATACACAAGATTTAGCAGTGAAAAACAGCAAGAATATGCCTCTACTCGCTAATCGCTTCTGGCTATTCAAATCAATACGGCAATCAAGCCGATTATTCATTTGCAAATCCTGGCAAAGAAGAAGGCCACAGATTCCATGAAGCCGAAGATCAGGCCAACAAATCTCAAACAAAATATCACCAAGTACCTGAGCAAGACTCTTCTAACTTTTCCTAAACTTCTTCGTGTGATCTTTTCTTCTTCTAATCGCCAAGTCTGAGTTTCTGCAACCTTTTAGTAGCTCAAAGAACATTCCAACGGACAATGCACTTTATCACTCCTTTATACAAAGCATTAAAAACAATAGATAATGAGGCATATCCCAACTGATTAACTATTGTTTTAAATGCGTTCGCCAATTAGAAACACGTCTAAAAGACACCCACATAGCTTCTAGCTACGGCCCTGGGCTTAATTCATTCTTCATATGGTCTATTGACTCCTAAAAAGTGCTTTTTATATTGCTATTATCGTTTAAACGTATTTAAGAAAACTGAAGGTATACTAAAAAGTAAAAATGGTGAATATTTCAAGCCCGCGGAGCGTTTTTCGTATTGCTGGGGCTCAGAACCGCGCACATGCTAGGAGAGTCCGGGAAAATTTTGAAATGATAGGTCTCTGAAATCGCCGCAAATGCCACTCAATTTAAGGATTAATGGAAAATAACAGATAGTATGTAAAGTTTCCAGCATGTTTGGCGCTCATAACAAACATTAAACAATATAACCATGCTTTGGTTATGATGTCAAATATTTTGATATGGATAACCACGCTGTTTTCAGAATGGTCAAATGCTTGTCCAATGTAAATGGTGGATAAACTTTGATTGTTGCTCCAGAGAACACAACTTAGGACGCGGATTTTGTTTGTCGGATATTAAGCACCAGTTGAATTAACCAATCAGAATCGAGTATTTTGAATTGAAATTTTGTCTGAGTTTGTTTTGAACTTCAATGGCGGACGTTGAAGGAGTTGAAGATTTGTATTGTATCGTGATATTCCGGTAGAAATTGTCTAAAACGCCTTTCCAAAGTTGGATAAAATCATGAGTGATGAGAATGATGAAGCCCATGATGTTGGTTAGTTATACTGCTATTTCATGCGTTGCCTGTGTTGTTTATTTTTTTGCTACGAAAGTTTATGAGATGTTTTGTGTTGTTTCGACAGGGTTTGTCTTAATTGCAAACGAAATTCTACAGAAGTGCAAGATAAATGGAAACGTGCAGTCGCTCAAAGAGTGCTCCGACTCCTTTTTTATTGCTATATATGAAGGAATATTGGGGGAGTCCTTGGAGGGTAAGGCTTTGTGCAATATAGTTTATAATAGAATGATTTTTAAAATTATATAGTATAAACAGTTTGCAAGGTTTGTACATTCAAAGATCAGTGCTTAAAAATGTACCATTCTTGTGTTTCTCAAGGTATCATAACCAATGCAGTATCTTATGAACAACGGATTTCAAACTGCAGCAAAGTCATTGAAGCGTTGTCACATGATGTTCTAAATGTAGACCTGTCCCACATTACAGCAGAGAATATTGTGGAAGGTGATGTACCAACAATTCAAAATCTTCTGGAAATATTTAAAGAGCTATTAGATTTCATCCTTGATGTGGACGATGAATTTGACCTGGACAATGCTGGTATGTGTGATAGCTGCTGGAATGGTTGTGATCTCAAAACGTTATGACCTCTGTAAGACTTTATCACGATGACATAGATCAATTTTGTGTTTTTCTTTCTCTTCATGATGTACAGGTGAGCAAGATGACTCCAATATCTTGTCTTCTGATCATGAAGTCATCTCTGATGTACTTCAAGAGGAACTTGGTCCATCAACTCATGCTTTCAGATTTACTCCAAAAACTACAGCTTTATCCTCAGATGGTTCAACAGTTGGAGAGCCTGAACTATCTTCAGTAAGTGTTTCAATGGTTAATGTCTCATCTTTTTAGTCACAATGGTTATGTTAAAAACTAATTATTTCAAAAACTAATCATTATAGATTCCAAAATGTAGCGATGTTCCAAGTTCACGAAATTCCGACCTTGACAGTAATTCCACTGATGAAATTATCAGAGAAAGTGAATTATTGGAACGTCAATTCCTAAGGTAAAATAATTTAGGTGGTTAACTATGACTAGACACAAGTATTCTGATCGACAAAACAATTTAAGGTTAAAAAATTCAAAGGCTTATTCCATATGTTGGACTAATTTTAGGGACTATCCTTCCTTGCGCAAGGTAATTAAAGATCAGGGGGTGCCTGTACACCCTGAACTTGCTACGTCAGGTAGGATTCACACCCTGGATGAATGTTCAGACCCACCCAGATATGAAGAAAAACTACCAAAAGGTCGAGATGAGGCTACAACAAGGGACAGATATACTGATGGTAGAATTAGAGAGGTGTGTGTATCTGGTACAACTAAGGATACTCGTGTATCAAGTGGTACCACTAGAGATGCCCCTGGGGCAAGAGGTACAATTACAGGTGCTTCTAAACCAAGTGGTACAACTAGATATGACTCTGGACCAAAGGGTACAACTTGGGATACTTGTGTACCAATGGGTACCACTAGAGATGCTTCTCTACAAAGTGGTTCAACTAGGGATATTCATGTACCAAGGGGTACCACTAGAGATGCTTCTTTACAAAGTGGTACAAATAGGGATACTCGTGTGCCAAGCGGTACCACTAGGGATGCCTCTCTCCAAAGTGGTACATCTAGGGATGCTCCTCCTATACCCAGCGATACAGCAAGGAATGCTATACGAAATGGTACAACTGGATGGACTCCTGTCTCCAGCACAGACAAATTACCTGGTCACGCGGACGACGGTGACACCATACGCAGGTTACGTGATTCATTTACAAAACCAGTGACAATCCCAACGGGATTACAAGCGAAATCACCAGACCATTCTGGTGAATACCCGTTTGGAACAGGGAAAGTTGGTGATGAAAGGGGGTATAGAAAGAGACACGATTATGGTGATTCATTAACATCGGCTGATACAAAACATAAATCTCGAGATTTAACGAATACAGAAATCCGTACGAAAGACAGGCCAGTGAAACGCGCAGAATTTCCTAAGCATGCCAAAGGAAGAAATGAACATGCTGGTTTGACAAAAAGACCTGAGTTGTCGTCTGAAGAACCAGGAACCACAGCCGCGAGTTTGACAGCTCGTAGAAACGGTGATATACCAAGTAAAGCCAAAAACGATCTACAATCTGAGAACGGTTTAACTGCAAGAGGAGCGAGAAAAATCGGTGTTCAGGATACAGGTTCTGATTTTGGTGAAGCACCGATTCGTTCAAAGAAAAAATCAACTCATTACAGACATGATTCTGATCCCACAAGGGATTTCACGGACATAAATGGACCGAGGACTGTTGACGCCAAATCACGACCGGGTGCGTTGGGGATTAGGAGGGTGAATAGGGGAGACCGAGGGATAGGTAGGGATGGCAATGGATATGGTAAGGGTAAAAAGGGTGAAAAGGACAAGCGACCTCGGGGAGTAGTAGGTGGGCAAAGAGGATCAAGGGGTGTTAAGGTGATGAAGGAGGGGATTGAGCAACGAAAAGCAATAGGGGTTAAAGGGGGATCTATTGAGATCAAGGAAGTTGGACAAAAGGAGGGTGATGCAGTGAATTCAGTGGTTTCAGAGGATATGAAGAGACATACGGATGGTTCGGAATCGTCAGGCGTGTTCTGGGACGATCAAATATCTCCATTGGATGTCTCCGAAAGATTGCGAAACCCGAGTCAAGGACTCGCATTTGACGAGGTTGGCCTCGCCAAGAAATCGTCCGAGTATGAAGCTCGTCATCAGAGACTCGGGAAGGAAAAAGAATCACGTGATACACCTGTGGTCCGTCACTATCATCATCATTTTCATCATGCAAGTTCTGAAGACTTAGTACGTGATGTAGACTTGAGTGAAAGGGCTCAGAGTTTTGAGAATGTCGCTAGATCGAGAAATAATGAAGAACTTGGTTCAAGTCTCACAAGAAAGGGTAAGTTAGTAGATCTCTAGGAAGAACAGTTTAGAACTGATAGAGCTATCCAGTATAAATAAAGTTAGTATAGTTTAGGTTTCCTCTTGTAGTAACACTGGATCAATAAGAGATGATCCCTACTGGACCTCTAGGAAGAACAGTTTAGAACTGATAGAGCTATCCAATATAAATAAAGTTAATTTAGTTTAATTCATTTCAGATCCTAGAAACGCTGACCCAGAACCACGTCATACACTGAGAAAAGATGTATTAATGAAAAAAGATGATGAAATATCTCTAAAGAAACGCTCAGTAAAATTCGATGACAATGTCGACACCTTCTTAATCACGAACAGACTTGAGAGACTGAAACGAGACATGGAAATTGAGCGAAATGAACAAAACAGGAGGGGAATGCGAATAAAGAATGGTTATGACGGGTATTTGGATCGTTTAAATAAAGAACACAGACGAATGGAAAAAGAACTGAAAGGAATACCAAAGGTAAGATGGTGCTTTTGACTGGCACGTCAAAGGGTCGTGTCTTGTCTGTGCATTAAAAGCGATGAAATATTTTTCAGAAAACCAAAAAATCGAGCCCCTATCGTGCGAAACGTGTCGTGTCTCCCTCTCCACGTGTCCCTCAGAAGAAGGCAAGATATACCAGTACAAGAGCTAGGAAACGAAGCAGCTCAGCTAGTCCCAAGGTCCGCAAGAAAAAGAAAGCAGGTATACGAGAGAGCTGTTTTCCATTGGCTTTTTATGAGTTTTGGTTGCGGTATATATTACTATAATATAACCCAATACTCATAATGGAACGTGATTGTGCCTCTAGGGAGGATTGTGTGTTTCTTCCTGAAGTAACGTTGGACGTTCATAGGTTTCCTCCTGTAGTTACACTGGATCAATAAGAGATGATCCTTACTGGACCTCTAGGAAGAACAGTTTAGAACTGATAGAACTATCCAGTATAAATAATGTTAGTTTAGTTTAGTTTTCCTCCTGTAGTAACACTGGATCAATAAGAGATGATCCTTACTGGACCTCTAGGAAGAACATTTTAGAACTGATAGAACTATCCAGTATAAATAAAGTTAGTTTAGTTTAGTTTTCCTCCTGTAGTAACAGTGGATCAATAAGAGATGATCCTTACTGGACCTCTAGGAAGAACAGTTTAGATCTGATAGAGCTATCCAGTGTAAATAAACTCAGTTTCCCTATTAGTAAATATTGTTTTTTCAGCCAAACAACTTGAGAAAGGTGACGTTATTTTACCAACATTACTTGACGAGTTTCCATTTCTTCATCTTTCTCCGCACACGCTGCAAACGATGAGAAAGAAACAAACTCAGCAACTCTTGAACCTTTCCAAGTCTTCGCAAGCAGATAAAAGACAGACCAAAACACAAAAGGTTATCGAAGACGCCGAGAAACGACAGCAAACGTTGCTGAAAATACTTCGCAAAGATCTCCAACACAATGAAAGAATGGTAAGTCTGACTGTTGATTCCGAGACGAAATTTCAACTAGAGCGGTTCGACCCAACACCGCAGAAATTGGTGTTGATGAAGTTTAACTCCGTATCGCTATCGAAGAGAAAACTATTGAATAAGTTCAAAATAGTTCAATTTTTCTTCTCAATAATGCATTCTGCAATCTTTTGACAGCTCATCTGACACATCTGACAGCTGTGAAATGGCCATTTTTAGGCTTGAAGTATACACACGAGGTTTTTAATTCAGACGATTCGTTTTTACCGTGTACAAGCTTCAAATCTTTTGTGCAAGTCATATTTTTTTGAGCATTTATAAAAATCTTTTTCCTCGCCAAATTTGGGGCCTAAGAATTGTGACTAAGTCTAAGCAATTTCTGCGGTGTCGTTCCATTCAAATGTAGTCTAGGTGGGATAATATTCATACGAAAATATATTTTGCATGCATCATGCCGAAAAGGCAGTTACCCAAGTAAAGTCCTCACTTCTTAATGTTTGGCTTTTTGAACGAAAGGATATCTCAAACGTAGAGGTGCGCCAGTGTTGGTAGTATTATTCAAAATGCTTTATTTTCCATGCAGCGTGAGCAGAAACAACGGAAGGAACAGGAACGTGCGATACGTTCAAGACTTCGTGAAAAACGACACGCGACTGCGAGAGCACGCAGATACTACGAAGACTACCAGTTACGAATGAGGGCAAGAATGTTGAAACGACGAACGAAAGAGGAACAGGTAAGAAGTTATGATCGAAAATCCTGTCTGATCTTAATCCTGGTTATCATTACTTCCTAAATCCACGCCATAATCCTGTCTGTTCCTAATCCTGTTTATCATTACTTCCTAAATCTAGGCTAAAATCCTGTCTGATCCTAATCCTGTTTATCATTACTTCCTAAATCTAGGCTAAAATCCTGTCTGATCCTAATCCTGTTTATCATTACTTTCTTAATCCAGGCCTAAATCCTGTCCGATTTTAATCCTCTTCATCAATCAGTACTCACTAAAACCCCGCCCATATCCTGTCCGATCCCATCTCAATCCTGTTTATCATTCTCCCTAAACCTGTCTGATCTCAATCATATACCCCCTAAATACACCGCGAATCCCACCGGACCTAGTTCCGATTTGGTTTTTACTACCTAAATCTAGGCGTATCGTGCTCGACCTTAATCCCGTTGATCTCACTTTCACAGGTTTTCAAGAATCTGTTTGAGGACGGTTTAGAAATTCAAAAACAACGAGTCCGTGAACTACGTTCATACGCAAAAGAACAGCGAGAGTTGAGAGCTTTGAAACAACAAAATGAACTAGAATCCATCGAAAATTAGTATCCTTTGTTATGATGGGTGGAATTTATTTACCTATGGATCTGGTTAAACTCTCTCAATTCCACCAGATCTGACCACCTCCTTCTGTAAACCCTCTCTGTAAAGGGCTCTCGTTTGCTTGTGAACTGGAGAAATTTTGCCAGTCTGAAGTTAGTTTTCTGTTGTTGAACCTTGACAAAATGTGTACAGTTACCATGATCAGTATTCGATTTTAGCCGAGGCGATCGCACAGGAAAAAGAAGCGCTTTTGATCAGGGAGAAAGCACAAGAAAAGGTATGAGCTGACCACGTGTGTTCATTCCTGTATTCGACGGAATTAACTTATAGAGCTGTCCATCATCACTAAAGTTAGTTTAATTTCGGTTTCCTCCTGTAGTAACACTGGATCAATAAGAGATGATCCTTACTGGACCTCTAGGAAGAACAGTTTAGAACTGATAGAGCTATCCACTATCAATAAAGTTAGTTTAGTTTAGGTTTCCTCCTGTAGTAACACTGGATCAATAAGAGATGATCCTTACTGGACCTCTAGGAAGAACAGTTTAGAACTGATAGAGCTATCCATTATCAATAAAGTTAGTTTAGTTTAGGTTTCCTCCTGTAGAACACTGGATCAATAAGAGATGATCCTTACTGGACTTCTAGGAAGAACAGTTTAGAACTGATAGAGTTATCCAGTATAAATAAAGTTAGTTTAGTTTAGGTTTCCTCCTGTAGGACACTGGTCAGTAATAAAACGTATTTTACTTCCAGGTTATTCATCAAATGCAACGCAATCTTCGCCAGAAACTTCAAAAGGAAGTCTCGGACATACAAGAGACTCTCGTTCGTGACGAAGATGACGCGTACTTCCGACGACTGGACGCCGAAAGGCTCCGACGTCAATTGCAGATGACGGCGTTTCAAAACCTTAGCTGAGACCACTTTGATGGTCACGTGAAGTAAGTAATCCAAACACGTGAAGAAGTGATCCAAGCGGAAAGGTATCTATGCCATTCGCTGAGAAACGACAAACTGTAAGTAATCCTGTTAGTATAGTTTCATATATTTATATATAATCCATTTAAAAATGCCATAAATATGTAAAAATGTACGAATTGGACTCAAAAGAGACATTCTAAACAATAAGTCATTCGTAATTTATTTAAACTAGAATAAAAAGCTGAGCAAAATCAGTTCGCAAAATATGAATACAGCCATATTGATTTGCATTAGTATCAATTCTGGTCGTCTAAAAAGGCAATATTTTCGGGAAAGCAAAATCTAAGATTTATTACATCACAATAAAATATATACAACACGAAAAATAGCGATGACAGGACAAACTCTATGCAACCTATATCATCTCTTTGGCCTGTAACTGTTGCTGCGTCTCATTGTTAACACCCCCCGTCTTATTAATTTTTCCTACAATACCCCCCCCCCCCTCTGCCGCATCGTCTTTCGAAGTAACACATTGATAATTTCATAAAAGCAGTTCTCAAACACGAGACATTGGAAAGCCTGGAAGAAATCTTAGATGTTTAACCGAAGCGTGTAAATCCTTCGCGCGGCGCGTTTGGTAATTTCAAAACACTAGCCTAACTTATAGTAAAATACGATCCAAATTTGACTGGAGAATGATCTGTTTGCAAGCCTCAAAGACGAAACGAATGTTATTTGTGTCTATCGCCGTCGTGAAGTGATAGAAAAGAGATTTTGAGTGGTCCAATCGTTTGGTATCAAACATCATGTACAGAAAGCGTTTCACGTCCGTCTCTTCATGAGGATCCCCTTTGAACGATGGAAAATAGCGTTTAATGTTGGTGTGACGGATTTTCACTCGTAATTGGTCAGTTTTGTTGAAGAACAAGATCACGTGTGTTCTTGCAAACGTCACACTGTTCACGATGTCGCCGAAGAGATCTAATGACTCCTGTAAACGATTCGTCTGACGGTCCTCCGCCAGAACTTCGTCGTATTCGCTGGCTGAGACGAAAAAAAGGATGGATGTGACATTTTCGAAGCACGTCACCCATTTTTGACGGTAATGCCGCTGACCTCCAACATCGACGAATACAAATGGTGTCTGCGAGACCTCTGTGTGATACTCGGTTATTCCACGCGAGATTTTTCGCGATCTCAACACGTCTTCTTTTGTTGGAAGATAATCCTAGAGAAATATGTATTGCTTGTTTATTTTGGATACATATGCTAGGCTATTGTGTACCGTGCTATGCTAATTCTATACTAATAATATACTAATAATATGCTAATGTTATGCTAATGTTATGATAATGTTATGGTAATGCATTCTATGCTATGCTAATGTTATGCTAATGTTATGATAACGCTATGCTAATGTTATACTAATAATATACTAATAATATGCTAATGCTATGTTAATGTTACGCTAATCCATGCTGTGCTATGCTAAGTTATGTTATATTTCTCATGGTATGATATATGTAGTATATAGTACTGTATATATAGTATGACATAATTTACCTCGTCTTTAATTACAGCAAGTCTTTCCATGAAATACTCGGTCGAATCCGGCTGTAAAAATGAAAAAATCAATAGAATTTGAAGCGTGTAAAACATTTCAAAAAAACTGCACATAACAATTCCCGGAGGGCGGAAATTCTTTGTGTCCTATTTCAGGAAATATGGTTAAACGTAGCGTGCCAAAAATCCTAATGTCTTTTTAACACTCTTAAATCATAAATCTCTCACAAATAACAATTCAAAAAAGAAACATAGCTGAATAGCGAAGTGTGATAGGAAACCTCAAGATAGTCGAATACATTTCACCTTAACAAATGTGTTTGCAATTGTTTTTGAAGAACATATTGACGTCAATACAAGGGCAGACATAAGGATGAGGTTATTTCCTTTCACGTCACTTGTTGTTTTCCCGTTAGCTGTCTTCCATTAACCATTTATTAGCAAAATGCACGTCATCAACAATCTTTTTCGTATTAAATCATGGAGCTATTATGACCTAGGTACAAACAACCAACTGGTGGCTTTCACCTGTTGTACCTCGACCGAACATGAACCAATGTCTGCTATTATAAGGCAGCCTCGTTCCCAGGGGCTTTAAATAAAATAAATATAGGAACACTATAGGCTTTTTTAAAGCTTAAAAGCTTCAACGCGGTATTGTTTTTGTTTAGTGTTGCCAAATCCTTCATTTCGTATGATGACGCAAGACAAATCATGCAATAATAGGGCACGCGTCCGTTAGCCTTTAACCCTCTTTACATTGCACAACGGTTGAAAAACATATTTGCTGCTGTAATGACCACTTTAGGCTTGATCAATTTCGTCTCTTAACTATCAATAGCTCATCAGTATGGATAAAAAAATGAGACTTTAAAACATGGCGCGACACTTAAATCATTACAATCAGTCAAGCCATAAGGATTACCAGAATGACAGCTCCTTCCGTATTCGCTGCCAAATTACTCTCTAGATGTTTTCAAGGAAAAAATTAATCGGTTTATGAAATATTTGAAATAATAAAGTTGTTGCAAAACACCTTGCCCATATATTTATGCTATTGACCCGTCTTAGCCCGGGCAAACGATTATTTCCTAGTGGTTTGAGCAATATTCCTATCGGTTGTATGCATTTATGGTGAGCGTAAAAATTCGGGCATTGTTGGCTAACGTTAGTTTATCTGATACCTTCCAGACAACATTCAAGAATTTTGGATCAAACACTCTCTGATGTACGTGTTGTAACAGCCCTTGACATAATGTGTCAATAGTTAGAACGGGCTTTTAGAAATTGATGCGTATCATTCGTTAAAAGCCAGATGTTTTTTATAATTCTTGGATAACGATTTTTTTCTTGCCATAAATCAAACTGTGGGAAATAATGTTAGAATGCGGCATCTTGCTGACTAGTGCCATGAAGCGTAGCGTATTTTAGAGTCGCGTAATATGTTCGTAGTTAATCTTAACTTCCATTTTTGTCGGTGAAGTCATTTTCACCGATGGGAAATAGTCCGGATGTAAATTTGTCTTTATTTCTGTATTGAAATTGGTCATTCGTAACTGCTGCACACACATAGAAATATTCTATCACATCCGCCACCTTGACATGTTCACGACACTTACGGCGACTAATTGGAAACAAGGCAGAAGTCTGCACACGTCTTATAGCCATTATGTGCGCGCGCTGTTTGAAAAGAAAACAAGTTATATTATATTCCTCGTTATTGAAACCACAAAATCGAGAAATCTGTAGGGTCTAAAACAATGGAACACAAAAGCATATGTTTCTTACACTTTTGGGATTTGTGAATTGCCTGCCTAACTGCACAGATGAAACGTATAAATTAACTTTAATTAGCATGGTGATATATTTGCATAATTCGCGCCACATGCGAGGTGCCCTCCCATGATTTTAGAGCCGGTTCGGGTTTGGTCGACATGCTAGAAAAATTGTCTCCCACATATAAAATCTTATTTCAGCAAGAATCTCGTTCCAGCGTGCCTTTGTCACATGCACTTAATGTTCCTGCACGATAAAGTTAACTGGTGTTTGGCTATCACAATATACCCATGTTTACTTTTCCAACCATTTCGAGACATATTAATGAGATCGCAAGAATTGGGAAGATTAGTATCTAGTATTGAAATCATCTCACTTATACTGTATTCATAGAGCACTGACTGCACAGTTACTAGTATACCACTTTTATATAAAAGCCCGTTTTCCACTAGGCGAAGCGAACAGATAAAAAATAGGAAGCGATTCTACTTTTTCGCGGCGATTTTTTTCGCAAACCAATCAATCACAACACTGGATTTCAGATATTGCGATTCCCGTCGCGCGAATAAATTCGCTTGGTGGAAAACAGAAAACTCTTTTCCTCTCATCTCAAAATCGCGAGCTCGCTGCTAGTGTTTGCATCGAATTAAAATGAATTGTCAAGCATTGTGATTGGACAAAATTACTCGCCGTAGTGAGCTAGTTTTTGGGAAAAGTGGGTGCGAGCCTTAACCTTGGCCCGGCAGATATCTTCCACCTTTGCCGGTATTTTCAAAACTTCATTTAACCTGGTCCCAACATCGACATTCTTTTTAGATTACATTTCCGAACTTAAAGCAGAATATATCTAATGAAAAAATAGCTTCTCTCTGTGCTGAAGACGAGATTTGTTGATTTTGGACTGTTCTAGTTTCAACTAAGAAAATATTTGTTCATCTGCCAACTACGTTAATCTTCCCCACGCAATAAATTGGTTATTAGTGGCCTTTATTTGCTTTATGAGCAGTCATCATCGCACAATGAAAATATGAAATGAAGCCAAAATCATATTTGTTTATATAAAATGGCTTTACAACATCACACAAGTCCTAATTAAACATTCCTGACATTTCCGTCTTTACGACTAAAGTATTTAACTTATGGCATATTCACAATTCAAGTCGGGCAATGATCCATGTCAGGAAGCATGCGTAGACTATTGTCTACAGTCTTGTGATGTAAACTGTCTAGTTTTAGAGAACCCAGACTTCAAAACAAACGTTATTGCATTTCATTCAATTCAGCAATCGCCCTCTTAACCCATCTAAATCGACGTGCTTCAAAGTCAGATATCCGATCCTCCGCTTAAAAGACTTAAAGGCATATGCACCTTGTGAATTATCCTCTGGGCTAAATTGTGTGTTATCATATATTTCAACTACATACGCTATGAGATTCACAAGGAAAAATGTCATTCCTATTTCGTGTCATCACCGTAAGAATACTTTCGTAATTCCTTTCAATTCCGCGTCTATACTACTTGGAACTTATTTATACCCCCGCATGTTAACAGAGGTGGCTGTTAATTCCCACACTCAATTTGCCCAGTGAGACTAATGGAGTAATCCTTCTTTTTCTGCGTGACCAAAGACTGTGTATGATTCATGCTCCTATGACCAACTTCATTGCATCGTGATAAATCGTGGTTGGAAAAGAGCATATGGAACTCGGCATTTCATAAAACGCTAACTCCTTAAGCTACCGACTAGAATTGTCCCTAATCACCTGAGGCAATTTTGCCTCGTTACTAATTAAATTGAAGTTCTATGCAACTTGATGCATACCTTGGACACTTGCACACAATCCTAGCATAGAAGGAAATGTTAGGCAATTGACATTTTCACCCATTAACTCGAATTCTGGTAGTTATCAACAGTTAGCAAACAGCGTGTTAACAACATATGATAACATTTTGATGAACTATTGTTTTAAAGAACCTGCCATGCATATGTTTGCACCTACCAACTGAAACTCCCTTTTGCGGCTGTACGCTGTCTGTATTCCTTTATCCTTCCATAGCCTGCCCACTATCTCCACGTTCTCGATGAAGACGCTTTGATCGACGCAACGTGGTATCTTCCATCGCAGTAGTTCCTGAGCCTTCGTCTCGAATGTCTGGTTTCCCCAAGGAATACGCAACTTCTCTCTCGCATCACAGAGAACCTTTATCGCCTTAAACACGTTCGTGTAGATAACGTCCCGGAATTCCAGTAAGTCTTTCATGTCGAAATCCTCGCCGTAAATGATTCGCATCTGTTTCGCGAATGTGCTTTTCCCCGTCTCGCCCGCGCCGAGAAGAAGGATTTTCACCTGTCGCAAGGCGCGCAAGCTCTCCAAGTACAACTCCTTGTCCAAATCGCGAGAGTGGCGCGCTTCTGGAGTATAATAGGACGCACAAAGACAGGACATTTTCCACCTCGCCGAAGTTTGCGCGCAACGATGCTAAACAGACCTTATCAGTCCGCGCGATTATCGAATGATTAGCATAAATGCCGCGGATAGCTTTTACAACCGTGTCTCATTATTCAATGATAGGCATTAACGTTTATCGCGTGTTGACGTGGGCAGCGAGGTTTTCAATGCGTTCGGATTTACACCCCCAAGACTAATATCATATTTCATTGGAAAAATCTTTAGGTTCGAGGCGACTCGATGCGGTTATTGCCTCATAGTCAACCACATTATTTATCCCTTTTATCCCTCATTTCGAAACAAGTCATAAGTATGTCAAACAGGATCATTAGACTTTCGACTCTAATGGCCCAGCGAGGAGCATTGAAGAAACCAGAACTGAACTAACTGTATGTAAAAAGCTCTACTTGTTTTAAACTGTTCTTCATAGAAGTCCAGTATTAAAGGGTCGTCTGTTATTTATCCAGTGTTACTACAGGAGGAAACCTAAACTAAACTAACTTTATTTATACTGGATAGCTCTATAAGTTTTAAACTGTTCTTCCTAGAGGTCCAGTGAGGATCATCGCTTGTTGATCCAGTGTTACTACAGGAGGAAACCTAAACTAAACTAACTTTATTTATACTGGATAGCTCTATCAGTTCTAAACTGTTCTTCCTAGAGGTCCAGTAAGGAACATCTCTTAATGATCCAGTGTTACTACAGAAGGAAACCTAAACTAAACTAGCTTTATTTATACTGGATAGCTCCATCACTTCTAAACTGTTCTTCCTAGAGGTCCAGTAAGGATCATTTCTTATTGATCCAGTGTTGCTACAGGAGGAAACGATAGATAACTCTATAATTTCTAAACTTAGGGTATAAATTGATCTTATTAGTTGTTCAATATAAGTAAGTCCTTATTTGTTCAGTGTCACCTTTTATTTCCTTATTTCCTGCTAAGTATTTCCTTTCACGGAGAACTTATGTCAGCTTTAAAGTGCTGTTTTCACCCCTGCAGAGTTTATGTTGCAAGCTTCGATTCTATTCACAGCCGAACCAAACCATCATCCTAGCATACACCCGATTTTGGGTCGAAAATCACAACTGAAACTTTTGTGTTTTAAATATCAATAGCATTCGTATTATTTCACCTAGTTCCTATCTATCTTATCCGATATCCCATAGGCTATTCGCGGGCAGACGTTGGTAAATGGTTTATTATGGTTATACCTCTTAAAGGCATTAATACTTTAGATTGCCTTAAAAAAATCTTGTGTATCGTGGTTATCAGGTTATGCAATAGACTATTTTAGACTTCCTAGGTTTCTCGAATTTTCAGGTATATAATATATCATTGAAAGCTGAGCTTTTGATTGAGGTGAAGTAGATAACTGGACGATAAGTTGTGTCAACAGATGTCTTTGTTAAAACAAAATGAAGTTATTCCATACATTTTTAGGCACGCGGGAAGTACCGGGGAGCTATTTTAAACAGTGTACTGAATACCAGAAATTATAGACCACCTTGGACATGTAAATATTTAAGATTTGATAACATTCGATAATGTGGTAAACGGATATTATATGGTCGAAGTTCTACAAGATTAGCATTTTTGGAATTTTCTAAAATAAGCAAAAGAAGTGCCACTCATTACTTGTTGGTATGTGGTAATTTCGTAAACTATCCCATGTGACCTCGCTGTAGCCATTCCAAACCATACTATCTAGAGTTTATAATATCAGGCTATGCTATGTATTGCTTTGCTATGCTATGCTATGCTATATGCTATGACAAACCATACCGTACCATACCATACCATAATCATACCATACTGTACCGTACCATACCATACCACACCACACCATACCATACCATAATCATACCATACCATACCGTACCATAATCATACCATACCGTACCATACCATACCATACCACACCACACCATACCATACCATAATCATACCATACCATACCATACCATACCATACCATACCACACTACCCTATAGCAAACAATGATATATTATACTATATACCACACCATTCCACCCTCCTCTAAGCCGAAATTCCATATGCTCTCTGTAGTAGGGACGCCATTTTGTTACGCTTCTCAAATACAATAGTAAAAACAATAGAATTCGGTTGAATTTAGCGAGGAACATAATGGAAATTTGCAAAGGCAATGCATCATTGAAAATGGCGTTGTGGAACCTCATAATGGCGTTACACATGTACTCATTTCCAGGGTAGAACGGACTCTTACACAATTTCCAGACTTAAGCCTGTTTCAGACGTCGAACTTTTAATTTCATGCGCCGAACCTAATGCAAATGAACTAAAGTCTTTGTTTTAAGTACATTTGCAAATTCGATTGAATTGGCACATGAGAAGTTCCACGTCTAAAACGGGCCTAAATAAGTAACTTAAGTCATGAATATTTTTATACAAGGATTTTGAAAGTCGATCACAAGGGTTCATTATCGCCTTGTATGTACAATCAATGATTCAATGATTGCCAGAGAGGAAGTCCAAACTTTTGGCGGATGATCTCCGATGAAAGACGGCATTGTTGATTTCTCTATTATTAGCACACAAAATCCCTAATCTCTTAAATTGTCGGCGTAAAATACAAGTTGAGTTCACTTATTCCATCAAGTATTTGCCCAAAAAAATTCAGTTATTTTTGTGACAATTTGCAGGAAAACAAATTGACCGAAAAAGATGAACCATCACAACCATATTCCACCTTAAACGTTGTGTTTGTTTTTATGTGATGACAAATGTAACCAGTTGACCTCTCTGTAAAAATATATCTGTCTAGAGGATAAATTTTCAGCCAAAAATCCGTTCATTTCCGCAAAGGAATGTTGAAATAAACTGAACAGGCAGTTTTTGCACCAAACAAACAGATTTATATCGAAGCTCGTCTCCTGGTGTATGTTTCTGAGTAATTTTAATGGAGTAGATTACTGCACACGGGAAAGTTTGTACAACCATATATGTATATTGCATAGATAACTCAATAACATACGCTAGAAAGAGAAAATCGCCTACCGAACTGGTTTAACTACATTGAAAAACAATAGGTAATGATGACGAATTTTAGCTTATCATCTATTGTCTTGTATTTGGCACATTAGAATTCAAACACGGCGTATGAAACAGACCTAAAGTCAGTCTTTTGTGTTATTACTTTTGAGTGAATATGTTTATGCAGATTTGTACAATGCTTGCCCTGTCCTGTCATGAATAATTTATCAGGAAATCACCATTATTTATCTTTTTATTCGTTTTTAAAAGCTCTTAGTTTTTAATGACCCACCAGTCAAGTCTTAAATGACATGATTTATTGTAAAGCAGCATACTTAGAAAAAAAACAAAGGGATATATTTCAAAAGAAATATGTCGTGCCTTGTCGCTTCGTTAGTACCAGCCTTTTTACCTTCTCAAAAACCACGCTGTTTTATTAAAATACCCGAGATTTCTTGTTAGCAAGGACGGGATTGTTGATCACAACTGATTCGCATCAAACTTTGTACATTTACGTAGCCGAGTTCAACCTTGAATAGCCTCTAAAAGGTAGGGTTATGTGAAGTTGATTTAACTGTACTTTACTATTCATATAAACTCTAATCTAAAGACAACAAAAGATTCAAAAATTGTTCGGCTATTTCGTCTGAAGTATGCAGGATTGGTACTCAGGATTCGTATATACTCCGATTTGTAATTCTATATCTTTACTTTATTAGATCTCTGTGTGATCAATTCGCAAAAAAAATGTCTGAAGATAAGGGATTCAGTATGGAAGAAATTATTTCTGAAAAGCTTTCCCTTTCACCATTCAAATCGCATCTTTCTCAGCACGTTGTACCCTCGTCTTTATTCTGCAAGCACAAGGATTGTGGACAGATGACGTCGTTATTTGTGGAGTCTGAGAGCTCGCACTCTTCTTGGTCTTGCGGTTTTCTCCACTGGATTTTGTTTGGATTTATAGTTGTGGTGATTGCTTGTGGGATTTTGACTGTCTTACGATGTTTCCTTAGATTCAGGTATTTATATTTGAAACACTTTATGGATATTTAGTCTGAATTGCCCAGCGTAGTATGAATATCATCTCCAGTGTTACTACAGGAGGAAACCTAAGCTAAACTAACTTTATTTATACTGGATAGCTCTATCAGTTCTAAACTGTTCTTCCTTGAGGTCCAGTAAGGATCATCTCTTATTGATCCAGTGTTACTACCAGAGGAAACCTAAACTAAACTAACTTTATTTATACTGGATAGCTCTATCAGTTCTAAACTGTTCTTCCTTGAGGTCCAGTAAGGATCATCTCTTATTGATTCAGTGTTACTACCAGAGAAAACCTAAACTAAACTAACTTTATTTATACTGGATAACTCTATCAGTTCTAAACTGTTCTTCCTAGAGATCCAGTAAGGATCATCTCTTATTGATCCAGTGTTACTACAGGAGGAAACCTAAACTAAACCAACCACTTTAAGCCATTTTACTGATTGGTTGATATGCATAACTGCACTGTCACTTTTAGGCACTACAAAATGACTGAAAGAAATAGACAACCACTCTCTCCTTCGCACATGTAAGTAATATTATATGATGTTTACCAAGTTAAAATAGCTGCATCACTTTCTCACTGCAAGCATTTTTCGGTTTAAATTTGCTATTAATTAAACAGCCTTTATCTTTTGACCTTTTCAGAGTATTTTTCTCGACAACAAACATCAACGAAAAGGCCTTGTCGAAATGAATCTATTGATGAATCTATTGACTGCAACGCAAAGTAAGAAGAATTACACGTGAAATTATGACTTATATTTTACATTATTTAACACACATTTCTATATGATTATATTTAATATATCTAGTAATATTAGAATTGTACAATGACAATGTACAAAATGTCGATAAGCTTAGCCTATATTGCATGTCTTATACCTGTCTGGGGTCGGTTGTTCGAAAGGCGTTTAGCTTAAACGGTGTCGGGATAAGCAAAAGTTTAAAAACACTCTGATACATGATATATACATCTTGTGAATGACTGAACCTTCATCTTAGGGTATGCATTAAATATATACTTCCAAAATAAAAATTAAACTATTTACATCGAAATATTTCAGCTCATTTGTTCAATAGATAGTCATTTTCGTTTCCATTTTGACTGACTCAAACGCCTTTCGAATAACCGGTCAGTGTTCGTTAACACACGAGTCACCTTGATGCAAACTCGCCGGACTCGTAGCTCAAAATCTTTCTAAAAGCCTGTTTAAAATGGCGATCCCTGTATGCATACATAAAAGGATTACAGGATGGCGCCAAGGATGCCAAAACAAGCAAAGGGCGAAGAATAGAGTGCAATTTCAAATTCGTGTTCAAAAGTTGAAAAGCGGTCACGATAACGTAAGGCATATTGAGAATCGAGTACAGCAAAAATACAATAAACAGAGTCTTGGTTCCTTTGGCGTTAACCATCGTTATTCTGTTAACGATTTCGGAAGCGATGGTTCTTTTTTTTTCGTGTACAATTTTAGCAACGTAGGCATACGATATGAAAATGACGGCGAAAGGCAGGCCGAAAAACAAGACGAGCACTAGAATTTTGTAGGTGACTAGCAACGGATGAACACTGTGCGAATAGAGACCTGTCGTTCGTAGACTTCTGTAAAGCATGATCCTTTTCGCGTCCGAATTAGGAGCAATGATCGTAGTTAGGAATGCGACAAGACCCACAATGGTTAGCGTCGAGCTCCAGACGAGAGCTAGAAGTTTTAAGACTCGAGTCATCGTGACGAGGCTGAGATATCGCAAGGCGTAGCGAATGGAGACGAAACGATCTATGCTGATGAGTGCTATGTGCAAACTCGCTGTTGCAATCAGTGTCGAGGAAACTCCAGCCTGGATATTTGCTAGCACTCCTCCAAAGTCCTCTGAGAGTAAATTGTAGATCCACACTGTAAATGTTAAGCCCGTCAATAGGTCGGCCAGAGCCAAGCTACCGAGAATGGCGTTCGCAGGTGTGCGCAGGTTAGGATAACGTTTCAAGGAAAGTAACACCAAGCCGTTGCCGGCAAAACACGACACCAGGCAACACGATAAGATTGTCGAGTACAAAATTTGGGCGACGTTTGATAGCTCTGGTATCGCTGTCGTTGGATTCTCCGTCTCACCGATTGTAGGCATTTTCGGTGTAGATCAGAACTGAAACACTTTTATCGATTTACAAACTGCAGTAACGAACGCTATTCGCCTTTTCAGTATATTTAATATCTTCGGTTCTTTCAAAGTTTGTAGGATTAATATAATCGATGAAGTTCTTGTATTATTTCAATATATTTCAATACCTGGTTTTTATCTTCGCAGTTATAGGGCCATTATTGCTGACTGAAAAGCACTCTCTTGTCTTTTTCCAGTAACAAAGCCATACGCTTGACTCGATATTTCTAGTTCACTAAAAGTTTGCAGAAATGATATAATCGTTGACGTTGTGTTCCCGTCTTATTGAGTAGGTTTGCTAATTTAGTCTCTCAACTTTGCTTCAATGGGCCGGTGCAGACATTTTCGTTGGGTGAGAAACACTCAGTTTCAGTCCGTTAACAAACCACCGAAACAAACCACACGTTGTTTTAAGCTTGATTCGAGTTCGGTCAAAGCTTGAAAAATTTATATTGTCGCCTGTTCGTTGCCTAGTCTTGTTTGGCTTAATATTTCAGTGTCTTAATGGACAAAAAGATGATTTGGCAAATACATTGATGATGTATTTCATTAGGCATTGCTGACTTGTGTAAATATATTCACTGAATACAGCTGCATTGGTAAATACATTTCTCTGAAAAGCGCAAACAATTAAGAAAGTACGTTTGTTAAATCATTTTAAACGGTCGATCAGCGCATGAATTTGCGGTTAACGTCATCAAGTTTCAAACGTTGCCATCATAAGCTGCAGTAAACGATTTTAGTTTTTTAGTCTTGAATGCGTGTGTGACCTGAAGATGACGTCTTAATAATTATAATCAGTGATATTTGCAATAAAAGCACGCTCGTGCTGTGGCAATCATAGCATTAGTTAAATGAGGTAAATTATTAGTATTTTAAATTAGTTACATTTCTTCTGGCACGTTTCCGACGTCGAACTTGTCATGCGCCAAATCGAATGCAAATGAACTTAAAACGACCTTAGCGGTTCATTTGCATTAGGTACGGCACATGAAAAGTTCGACGTCTGAAACAGGCCGCGGCCTTAGCTCCGTGAGTCTTCGGCATATGAAGAAAATTAGAAATTTTGAATTTATTTGCTACTACAAGAGAAAACCGAAACTAAACTAACTTTATTTATACTGGATAGTTCTATCAGTTCTAAACTGTTCTTCCTAGAGGTCCAGTAAGGATCATCTCTTATTGAGCCAGTGTTACTACAGGAGGAAACCAAACTAAACTAACTTTATTTATACTGGATAGTTCTATCAGTTCTAAACTGTTCTTCCTAGAGGTCCAGTAAGGATCATCTCTTATTGATCCAATGTTACTACAGGAGGAAACCTAAACTAAACTAACTTTATTTATACTGGATAACTCTATCAGTTCTAAACTGTTCTTCCTAGAGGTCCAGTAAGGATCATCTCTTATCGATCCAGTGTTACTACAGGAGGAAACCTAGACTAAACTAACTTTATTTAATATTTATACTGGATAGCTCTATCAGTTCTAAACTGTTCTTCCTAGAGGTCCAGTAATGATCATCTCTTATTGATCCAGTGTTACTACAGGAGGAAACCAAAACTAAACTATTTATACTGGATACCTTTTTCAGTTCTAAACGGTAATTCCTAGAGTTCCAGTGATGACACTGACATAACACTGCATGGTTCAAGTGAGTGCAAACTAATCTCAATGTTTTATTGTGCTAAACGCTCTTATTACAATAATCCTTTAAAAATAGCCATATATAAAGGTTAGTCTTTGTTCCAAAATCTATTTTTGCATCTTCACAGCAAGTTTCAATGCATGTCAAAGAACATGCCGCAAATAACAAAGTCTATTCGAACACAAAACATATGGAGATATATCATTTGCCTATATAACGGAAAACCAATTGTTCATTCGCTGTCAAGTATAGAAATCTAATTCACTGGTTGGCGGGGGATAGCTCCGCAGTCAAAAGCCTACTGCAGTCTTTTCTTGTAATCGGTATAGTTGTTTTTGATTGAACTGCCCGATAAAGAACGCTCGAACGTAGGGGTTATTTGTGGCATTGTGGGTGGTTATGTCTGAACTACCTGAAAAAATTTCAAATCTGGCAGCCCAATGTATAAATGCCTTGTGTCCAAACCATATTTAAACGTTGTGATTGCATGTATTCTACAATAAGCTGGTGTCTGAACTACCTGAGAAAGATATTTCAAACGTGGTGGTCTAGTGTAGGTAGTATTCTACAATAAGCTGTCGTGGTTTGTGTCTGAACTACCAGAGAAAGGTATCTCAAACGCGGTTGTCCAGTGTAGGTAGCATTCTACGATATGAGCCTATATATATCAATTAGCACACGTCAATTTATATTACTGTTTGATTATACATTTTTTTTAATGAATACCTTTGAATAAATACACGATAAACACATAATCAGTGAACAAGTATTAAGATTATATCTGTCTTTTATTCGATTAACTAGACGTAGATCCACGCCGTACTTTTTTACGAATTCGAAGCAATTTTCTGAACGCGACTCGGAACTGTTCGTTTCCCGAGACATATATTGCAGGATTTAAACAACTGGTAAGCGTCGTTAAGAAAGACAAGCATTTTGAGACGCGAAATAAAGTCCTTTCGTTGCCTTCACTGTGTTCAATTCTGTGCACAGTCACAGCAAAATATGGAAAGTAAGCCATCACAAACAAGGCTTGAATGAAGAACAACGTCCTAGCCGCTTTTAGATCTCCCAAAAGGCGCTTGGCAACAACGCTCCATTTCGAAACATCGTTCGGTTGCAATGTGACTATCTTTCTTCTTTGTTGTGCTGAGGCCACAAAAATATACGTGTTGCAAAATAAAATGATCGCGCAAGGAAGTGCAAAGAAAAATATGAGCATGAACTCGGCATAATGGAAAATACGATTAGGTAACTCGCTCATACGAGGTTTTTGCTCGGGGGAACATAAGGTCACCAAACCATCAGCTAAACTCTGAAAATGTCCATGCATATGGTCGATAGCCATCGGTATAACAAACGATGCTATGATTGTAAAAAGCCACATAATCGCAATCGATATGTAGATCCTTTGTTTGGTAACGATGAATTCGTAGCGAAGGCAATATTTTATGCTGACGAAGCGTTCTATGGCGATACATGCCAAATGAAGACTAGTGCAAGACACCGTGATAAGCTCTAAAATGCCTTGAGCGACGCACACCTCCGGAACCCGGGTGCATATTTGCACGATTTTCAGCGTTAACGGTACAACCATGCAGAAGTCGGCGATAGCAAGTCCAGCGAGGTATATATTGGCTGGTTTTCGTAGAGCAACAAACCGCTTCATCGCCCACAGGACCATACCGTTCGCGAAGGCTGTTAATAAGATGACGGCCACCAGGAAAAAAATCGTAAAATCCTTCACCCAACCTCTGTCGAATATGTGATCCAGTGGTTCTTCGTTTGAGAGATTCATTATTGCTTGACCGTTTTCGGCAACCAAGTCTTGTTGTTTGTGTCTGATATATTCACTCCTAGTATGTGGGAAAAAGAGAATCGTATTTATAGCTATATGACGATTTTTTTCTCCAAAGGGGATCGTATTAAAACGGGAATTCAGATCTGGAATATAAGAAACGGAGTCGCTCTACAGGGAATTTTATAGGAAAGTCGATCTGTCGAAAGTTCTCAAAGTGATTTACCCAGCCATGCAATTACTGGAGTTTTGAAAGAAAAGTTGATTCACGTTTTCCAGATTTGAAAAGATAGGGGAAGAATTATACAACTTTCAAGTAACATTAACTGGAACGCCGAAAGTCCCTTGATTTTAATTGGCCTTGAAACGACACCGGCGGTATATACATCGTATTTAAGTGAAGCTTTTCAAAGTGTTTCCAGAGTCCAGGGTTTGCAACGATCTTTACCACGCTGCTTTTAAACACTTACAAAAACCCTCAGCATATGTAGGCCCGTGTATTATTTTTCGCATCAATGCATCTGGCAATTGCGTATAAATTAACGAAAGAAGATTGTCCATAATTGCAAAACGCAAGAAATCTCGATAAGAAATTGCTTCATCGAAGATAACAGCTGCTCAAACAGGTCAGAACGTCCGTTTTGAAAACACAGTTTTCACGTCCGTGCATGTCAAGTATTGAATCTTTCATATTATAAACAGCGGATATATAAGCGAACCGTCGATAAAATGATTTATTGCCTCTATAATACTAAACTGGAGTGCAAAAAACACTTGTGTCTTTTCGTATGAATGCATTCACATGAAAACGAGCTACCAAAATGCTGGAGAGAAGACAACGAGCAAATACAGCTTTGGTTCGAACAGCTGACCACTGACGTCAGCATATACTTCGAGTTAAGATTACTAAATTTGATTTAAAGACGTTTAAAACAGAGCTTTAGGCGGTCGTAAAAATAATTCTTTTTATTGTCGAGTCAGAATGTCCACACCATTACAAAATACAAAATATTTATATTGCTGTAGGATATTAATTGTCCTGTATGGAGAGATCTTAGCTAGTTCAAACAACACGTAAATAAACTAAATTCATTTCGATTGCAAAGCTTTTGGAGATTGACACAACAAAATCTTGCAGAGTTAGGCGAGAGCCTAAGGTTAGATTCAACCGAGCCTTAAGGCAATGTCGTACAAGACATTTCGCAACTTCAAAGACGAAGAGAACACTTAATTGTTGGATGTTTCAAACGAGCACTGACCTGGAATGCCGACGGATTTTCACGTTTCGGGCAAACGTAACAGAGGACCTGACGTTGTTTCTATGCTAAAATATTGTAGAATATACACACATATTATTATACATCAAAATAAATGCCATCATTTTTCATAGTTACATAAACTATATAAAACTAACACTCGCTTGAACTAGCTGGGGCCGGTTGTATGAAAGACGAATGGCGCTATCCACCCGGATAGTGATTTTTTCAACCGTTCTAAAAATGCTCGAAAAACGATAAAATTTCATCTTTGGAACAGATAATTATTGAAGAGGATCCTCGATTTAGGAATACTAAGATTTAATCAAAGTTATAGCAAACAACGGGCGATTTTAAAGCGATTGAAAAAACACTAACCGGCTTTCATACAACCGGCCCCTGATAAGTACAAAACCCATTCGGTAAGCTAGTTTTTTACATAACGTCTTCACAGCTAGGGTGCAAAAATGCACTAACTTTTAAGTAATTTCCTTAAATAATTTTTCATTAAGACCGTTTTACTCGGCACACTAAAAGTATTCTCAAATGGTACGGGGAAGCATTATATATATTTGACAATTAAAAACTGTTTATACCCGTTTACCTTTGAACAAGTTCGGCTCCAATGATGTCATAGATGTGGTATTGAATGCCCAATTTGGAATTCAGCTTATAGCTCTCTAGGTCCTACGGAAAATAAAATTTAGCATGAAAATCAACTGCAAATATCTTTTCTTAATTACAGTAAAAATTGTCGGTTGAGGTCGAAAATCACACAAACCTTGAAAAATGTACCGATTTTATTATAAATATATATATGCATCAAAGTTATTGCAAATTTCTCACCGCAAAATACGTCGTAGTTTATGAAAAACGCAATTTTACAAGCAACGCTCCGATATATATTGCTGTCTAATCGCCACAAATTTGTCGTCCAAATAAGCGGGCAGTCACAAAACATTAGTCAATATCAATACTTGTAATTGGTCTGTAAAATTTGCATATACTATATTTCAAGTCGCCCATCCGACCTCATATATTTGATGTTCCTGCAATTATTTTAATCTATTTACTCCGGTAATGCGGCATCTTCGTCGTAAAGTAATTTGAAATTCGAAAGAGCGGTATAGGCGCTATCTTTACCGAAGGTAAAATCTAGCTTCTTTTCAAAAACAAGGTCTCAAAAATTTGATCGTGCATGCGTTGGAAATTGAGTTGAGGTTAAAACTATATACTTTTTCACTTTTAACTTATCTTTACCGTACAATATCAGTTAAAAGATAAAGGCCTTGTGACGTGAATAAAATGAATTTATTCAGAGTTCTGAGAACATTTACGATCAATTCTTCAGGCATGTTTACACCATAAAACTGTTTACGATTTTTCGTGCGAATCGTCATGAACCATTTCACAGTTTGTTTTGGTAATTTAAAGCTCTCTCATATATGCAAGCATCTGGACCGAATTGCTCAAAAGAAAAGAATACCGGTGGCGTAGAAAACCGCCTTCTTACTTCTTAGAGCTCTAAACTACAACCATTTTGAGTATATTGCCAAAGAAAAGAATATCGGTGCCGTAGAAAACCGCCATCTTTGAGCTCTCAACTACAACAATTTTGAGTATATTGCCAAAGAAAAGAATATAATACCTGTGCCGTAGAAAACCGCCTACTTAGAGCTCTCAACTACACTGAACCAATTTGAGTATATTGCCGAAACGAATAACTTCGTTCGGCGCGAAAATACAGCCAGAAAACTCGCTTTGTCAAACATTACCCGTTGCAAAATTTCCTTAAATTTCCGCCTTCGTATCATTCTCAAAATAGTTTGCCTCCCTCGTGTGAAATTCTTCATAAACACACCAGCACCTGGTATCCCAAGCCACCAGCTTCCAACGTCGCGACATTGGAGTAAACCGCTGTTCACCAAAACCCTAAAACGAGTGCCATCTCATGGTTAAAAATACAAAGAAAAGGTTTTTGATCTTGCATGGAAAACAACGTACCGGCTTCGTTTTTTGGAAGGTCGACCGCAAGCGGGAGACCGCAAACCTAAACTGCAAGTCTTAGTTTTTCCTATAATAGCTCTGTTTTAGATCAACTTGAAGTCATTAATGTTTAAAGAGATATATATAGGCTTCGCAGAATTTGTGACATATGCATGAAAAACAAATTCGGGGGAATTCGCACGTAAAGGTTTAAAATAATTTAAACGATACTTATGAAATCAACAATTGAATACGTGCATAGGGTTGGACTCTGTTGATGATTTCGTGTGTTTTCTCTGGCATAAAATTGCTTACACAACAACTTAGAGGGTTTTAAGACTTTACGTGCATGCGTATATACGTACGTACAAAAAACGCGATAGTGGAAACTGGAAAGCCGGCCTAAGAGTAACGACGTGATCTTACGTGATATCAGCTTCTCCGATCTTGTTTTCTTGAGATAATGTTTTTGTGCTGACGCTAACATCGCAGCATCCAGGGAGGATCTCTGTTAAAAATTTCTCAAGGATGGTTGAGTTTTTGGAATTTTTTTTCATATTTACATGAGCTTTGAAATCTTCCATCAAGACCAAAGCAAATTCATCCGAACCAGAAATTAGTTTGAATAATTGTAGTTTTCGTTCTTGCCAGAGTTTGTTCTGAAATGACCATGTGATATGATTAGAAAATTCTAGTCAAATAGTTGTAACTTGAATACCATTTAATATGATAAAAGGCATATACCATACCGTACCATACCATACCATACCATAACATACTATAACATACCATACAATACCATACCATACAGTACCATACCATATACCATACCATACCATACCATACCGTACCATACTGTACAGTATCATACCATACCATACCGTACCATACCGTACTATACCGTACCATACCATATACCGTACCATACCATAACATACTGTACAGTATTGTACCATACCATACCATACCGTACCATACTGTATAGTATCGTACCATACCATACCATACCCTACCATACTGTACAGTATCGTACCATACCATACCATACCATACTGTATAGTATCGTACCATACCATACCATACCGTGCCATACTGTACAGTATCATACCGTACTATAGCATAACCTCCAAAGCAACAATACACCATACAGCATAGCCTATCATACCATATAACATCACACCACAACCCATTGCACAATAAAACACTACACCATACCATACCCTACAATACCATAATATCATATGGTACCATGCCATATACCATCCTACACAACACCATATGCCATACCATACATAATTACCATACATTAAAACATTCATACAACCATTGCATATTAGCCAATGATTTGGAAACATTACCAGTTGTCGATCAACAATCGTCTTATCCTTCACAATGCAATAGATCTGATGTTTCAAAATTATTGGTGGCAATAAATTTCCAAAAACCTTGTGTGGAAATATCGACTTGATGTACAAAATAGCAGCCATTGTGTCACTGGGTAGTTCAGCTGTGAAGACAAAGATTTGGTGGATAACAGTCAAATTCTGACACATGATTTTCAACAAATGCTGGCAACTTGTAAACTCATCAAATATATGCTACCACAATGCATTGCCACCACTCATTATTGTAGAAATGATCTACTTTCATCGTACTTCCTAAAAATTGCAGCAATCTATGTTATACATTATATTTGTTATACCTGAACTACTCTGCTTATCAGCTAAGCACGAATTATCATTATCATCGATTTTTTTTCTTTTTTTCGCCAATGAACCGTTCTGAAAATCCGATGATATTTCCGCCATTACGCCAGAAATACTTCAAGTAAACACGATATAATGTCTTAGGGGATATAACTGTTTTCAAATAGTTTTCGGGTTTATCTTGTAAAAAAAACTTAAGTTTTAGTATCAGAGCATCTTTTTCAACATGTACATATAGCCGTTGTTTTTCAAGATATTTTACCATTTTTAAAGCTAAATTCGAGTCGAAATTTGATAAAATCTGTTTTCCTTTGTTCTTCGCAGTACGCTTCATTGTAATTGTATGAAGTATCCTAGAGTTTTATATATTTATTATTTATTGTTTTTTATAATTTCTGTCTAAATTTCTGGCCAAAATGTGTTTATTTCATTCTCCGTTTCTTCTCTCTCTTGTGGTGTTTAAAATCGTTTTCTGCAAGTATGAACCTTACTGGGAATCACTGGATTCGAGACCCAACCCAGCATGGTACGACAAATCAAAATTTGGTATTTTCATGCACTGGGGTGTGTATTCTGTGCCAAGTTTTAGGGATTGGTTCTGGAAACACTGGCACGATGGTGAGCCAGCTGACGGGAAATTCACGAAAGATAATTACCCACCTTGGTTCAGATATTCCGATTTTGCACCGATGTTCCGTGCGGAAATGTTCAACCCTGATGCCTGGGCTGACTTGCTTGAAAAATCTGGTGCAAAGTAAGAGAACTCATTCATTGCATCTAAGGATATCAGAAAAATAGTCCAATTGGTCCAAATTTAATCCTTGAGATTAATAGGATTTGGTAACCCTAATCCTTAATTTAATCTTAATCTTAACCTTATCTCTAAGATTAAATTGCAAATGCTGCTGATAGTTTAAGTAGATTATGGTATCCTGGGCTTATCCAGTTAACAAAATTTAAAAGTCATCCCAATTCCCAAGTCATCCCATTCAATTTTCTGAGTTTTCTCATCCAGTTTGCAATATCAGATCAGTTGGCCTTTGTCGGGTAGTGCGCTTCATGGGAATAACATGAAGTATCCGGAGGCAATTTTCATTGTTCTTCGATCTGTCAAAACATGGCTTCATCTTTCTTTTCAATTCTCCTTCTTCTCGTGTCATTTAAAAGCGTTTTCTCCAAGTATGAACCAAACTGGGAATCCCTGGATTCGAGACCAAACCCAGCGTGGTACGACGAAGCAAAATTTGGTATTTTCATGCACTGGGGAGTGTATTCCGTGCCGAGTTTCGGCTCCGAGTGGTTCTGGAAAAATTGGCAAAGCGGCGACCCAGCTTACGTGAATTTCATGAAAGAGAATTACCCGCCGGGATTTGAATATCCTGACTTTGCACCGATGTTTCGTGCAGAGATGTTCAACCCGGATGCATGGGCTGATTTGCTTGCAAAATCTGGGGCGAAGTAAGATGTAATTCGAGATATTCTTATTCATATTCAGTGATTGCTGTCAGTTGTATTAAATTAACGTTTTAATGCATACTGTACGCATTAAGTATTTGAAAATTGAAACTCTAGCTCGTTTCTTTTTTTATCCTTTTCAAACAGTAAAAAAGCTCTTGGGTATATTGTGATTGACGCCTGTTTAAAGTATTTATCTTTGAATTTTGTCATTTGCGATGTTTAAATATTTACAATCAGGCAAGGACATGTTCTTGGTTTCCCTGCTTTTAAAAATAGATTAGATAAACGATTTAATAACAATGCTTGTTTGATAAATTGCTGCATTTGTCATTCTTTTAACCATATCCTTAAGTTATTTCCCCTTTTAAAAGTATATGCAAGCCTTAGAAAACTGTGGTTTCTTGCTATCTAAGTTTGAAAAATTGAGCAGAGATCTCAATAGGTGCCATATATGCAGTGTCAGGTCACAATGATAAAGTTGCACATTATGTGATGCAACCTTGTGAGGAATCTACTTTATCATTTCCATTGTTCTACTTAGTTTTTATAGTTGTAGAACCTACCCCTGTTTGTAGAATACAACATAATCTCTAGACATGTGTCTGATCTTGGCTCGTTTTATACTACCAACTCTTACCCCAGCCAAAGTTGGTCATTCAAAGAATTGCTCCTTACAAGAAAAATATGTCCATTTCAAAAATTTCAGTGAGGATGATACCAGTATTGATATAACTTAATTTACCTTTTAGATATTTCGTTTTAACAAGCAAACATCACGAAGGTTTCACCAATTGGAAATCAAATGTTTCCTGGAATTGGAATTCAGAAGATGTTGGACCACATCGCAATCTTGTGGGTAAGTTAGGAAAAGCACTTTGGTGTTAAAATTGTCACTAGAATTCTCTGGTAATAAGCAGTGTAATAATTCCATAATTCTCTGGTCTATGTTTGCATTCATTATGTTCCCACAGGTGATTTGGCAAAATCTATCCGAGCAAGAACAAAGATTACATTTGGTCTGTATCATTCGCTGTATGAATGGTTTAATCCCATGTACTTGGACGACAAGGAAAATGGCTTCAAAACTCGTGGTTATGTCACAGTTAGTATTTTTTGATTTTCTTTACAACCAAACGTCACACATTGTGGCCTGCGAAATTGAATAGTGTAAAGTAATAATAGAGAATAAAGTGTAATCTTATCCCCTCCTCCTCCTCCTCCTAAATCCATCCTTCAACCCCATTCATCCTGAGTCCCTTTTTCAACCCCCTCCTAAATCCCTCCTTCAAACCACCTACATCCATCCTTCTTCCCTAACCCCTCCTCCAAAATATCTCCTCCAAACCCCCTTCTTCCAAATCCCTCTTTCAACCCCCCCCCTCCTAAATGCTCCTGGCAACCCCTTTTTCTAAATCCCCCTTACAACCCCTCCTTAATTCCCTACTGCTGCATCGCCATCATCACCATCAACACCACCAACACATGACACCACCTTTACTTTTAGAACATACTGATGCCTGAACTGTATGACATGGTAAACACGTTCAAACCAGAATATATTTGGTCAGACGGCGATTGGGAGGCTTCGGACACGTATTGGGGAAGCACCGAGTTCCTGGCGTGGCTCTACAATGAAAGCCCTGTGAAAGACACAGTTGTAGTAAACGATCGCTGGGGCAGTGGATGCATGTGTCATCACGGGGGGACCTACACCTGCCAAGATAGATACAACCCAGGTAAAGTTCGCCCCCAAAATGTACCAGTTTTTCTAAAACATACCCAACTTCTCATTGATGCTGATCCAAACACGAGGGAATGTCAACTCAAGCAACATTCCGAGGTGTTTGGATCAGGCCATCAAAACACAGGAAATGCCGTTCAATTCTTGTATACAACATTCAAAATACCGTGAACATTCTGTCGCGCAGGCGTACTGCAGAAGCACAAATGGGAGAACGCAATGACGGTTGATAAAAAGTCATGGGGCTTTCGACGTGAGGCGAACTTAGATGATTTTCTCACCATTCATGAACTCATCTCAACACTGGCTGAAACCGTCAGGTATTAAACTTTAAATAATCTAGCTCGTGAAGTTATTTCTCTGGTGTGAGATGGCGAGAGTTTTTCTGCATGAATGTATTTCTAGTTTGTATATTTCCAGTAAAAACGGAATCACTGGCCTGAATTTCCATGAAACTTGTTGATATTTTTTGTCTTATAGTTGTGGTGGTAATATGTTGATGAACGTCGGTCCTACCCACGATGGTAGAATCGTCCCAATATTCCAAGAACGGCTCACGGAGATGGGAGATTGGTTAAGAGTGAACGGCGAAGCTATTTACGCGTCTAAGCCATGGAGAGTGCAAAATGAGACCAAAACTCCAGGCATATGGTAATGAATGATATGTAGACCGAAAATTGTGTTGTATAAACTTGAAGCTATTAAAAAACTCAAGAATTTAGGTTGAACGGCTATGGACATTGCAATGAGAAAAACAAAATTTATTTCAGAATTAATTTCGTTTTGCTTCTTACATATTTATCTTTCACAGAAGTCTTGAAATTTCGACACCGAATATTGATATTTTCGTTTGCTTCACTTTGATATATTACTTAACCTAACGTTCTGGGTGAAGTGTTACTGCTCATAACAAAAAAAAACACTTTCACTTCAGATATATTTATCAACAGTTAGCCAACCAGATTACTTGTAGTTCAATAGAACGTCGTTGTTCGTAAAGATTTCAAGAATTTGAACAAAAAAATGAAAATTTTGTGAACAAACTTTGTAGCGGAAAACTATGCTCAAAATTGCATCGTTTAAAAAGAAAATAACTTGAATTGTCATTTCCCTTTAATTAAGGATAAAATAAATAGTTTTTCAGTAATGTTTTTCATCTGAGAATCCCCCCACCCTCAAAAACCTTCGTTCTTTCCCAAGGTACACATCAAAAGACGGGATTGCCTATGCTATCGTTCTGCAGTGGCCCACCGACAACACTTTAGAGCTGATGGCACCAACGACAGATCCTTCTCAAACTAAGGTAGCTATGTTGGGGTTAAATGTGGACATAGAGTGGAAACAAGGGGCTGGAGGGAAAGGTATGGTCATTCAAATGCCCCAGGTACCTGTCTCGCAGATCCCCTCAGATTATGCCTGGGTAATGAAACTATCTAATGTCAAGTAATGTTTTGTAAAGGGCTCTAAAGACGCTTTCCTTTATACGGTAAAACGGCCCGACCAGTCCTGTTGTATTTCGATTCAGACCGAATACTGGTATTTTAGAGTGTTTTAAGAACTCTGCATTCAAGTATATCGTTATTTACATATGCCTAGAACGGAAGATGCAGTTTTATCGCTATATTCTTAACGAAATACTCTATTTCAATTCAAAATATGACCGGTCTGACCATTTTAGACGCTTAAAGGAAAGCGTTCTAAGACTCTTATTTTGCTAAAATTGCGCTGAGCGTGACACTAAAGATAGATTTATAAAATTATATATATATATATATATATATATATTAATTATTTTTAACATGATATACATCTTAATCAAAAATATAGTTATAATTTAACATTTAATGATAATCTTGGGTCCTGTGGACTTATCGAAGTTCGTTGCAATAAATTTAGGCTAGGCTCGCAGGGAAAAACGCTTGAAATAAACTAACCAAATATACAAGAGATAACAATAAACATTTTGTAATAAACAATGATAACAGTAACATAATAGATATAGTAAAATAATGGATGAAATAAAATGGATAATTTAAATACAACGCCATCTTCTAACCTTTCTTCCACCACTACATCGTCTGTCATTATTAGTTATCTCAGGTCTTTCAACTTTACCTATGAGAAAAATGAGTTCATACTCCAGTTCAACCAGCGCGATCAGAAATGGCGAGCTGGCGGTAAAGTGCGTCCATTTGATCCCATCATGCATCACGTGCGATATCACGGTGGCTTCTGATTGGTCGGATTTGCGTTCGCGTGTATTCAAGCCGAATTCGTTTATCGTGAGTTTTGTCATATGGAGTATCCTACATCCAGATGCTTCCGGTGAGCGGTCATCTTGATTCTTGATCTCACAGCGACCTGGCAACATTCCAAAGTGCTTCAAACTAAATTTTGGCAAAGTGACATACACAGGTGCTGGTTTAGCTCGGCCTAACTGTCTCATAAGCTCTTGAAACACATCTGCAGTTAATCTTCCAGAAATGGTGTCCACCCCTTTCGTTTTCTCATTCGGTAAAAACACCAACAGGCACATGTTGCGGGCGGTTAGAGGCAGTTGTAACACCGTTGCGTTCAGGTTTTTGCATGTTACGCAAACCATTCCTCCTTTTTGCACCATCATCTCAGCCTCAATGCTCTCCGTCTCTGAGATACGAAAAGTTCCCTTGGTCGTGAGGCTACTGAGAAACGGCTCTCTCCATTCCATGGTGATATAAACGGCTGATACGAAGAGTGTTTCTAGTGGAGAAATCTCAGAAAACTCTGCTGTACGTAGCTCGTCAGTAAATATTCCCGATTTGTTTAACTGTTGAAGCTTTCTCTGCAGTTTCTTAATATTGATAATCTTGTCATTCGCTAACGGTAGAATCCTCGTTTCACAGTATGTTGCGATGAGTTTTTGAACCTCCTTATCGAGTTTCAATCCATTTTCCAGCCAAACATTGTGGAGTATTGTCACCTCGTTTCCCAACAAGTCGCTTTTACCCTCCAGTAAATTACGCGTGAATTTTATCGCTTCGTGAAAATCTTCGTCCTTTTCCACGGAGTTTCCAATGCTTTCTTCATCTCTGTCGCCGGCCAAAAGACTTGCTAAGAACTGCAAGATCCCAATGCTTGCTGGAACAACGATGAAATTTTCCGAGCCATAGTTTGATAATAAATTAATTGCCTGATTGTTTACCAACTTCTGAGCTGCGCCTTTGATGTTGTTTATTCCAGCTTGCATTTTTCCCCGTTCCGCCTTGTGGAAAGAAAAAATATCTGAAAAGTCTATAAAATTTGCCTAAGACTTTGTTCTTAACACTCGCGATTTTTGCTGCGGTTTCCTTCTCTTGATAGATGTGAACGAGTGACTAGTCACGAATTCTCTGATGTATAAGAGTTCTTATTTGAACATCAGTAACTAATTCACTCATTCACATCTATCAAAAGAAGAAAATCGCAGCAAAAATTGAGAGTGTAAACGGGCCTTTAGGGATGTGATAGGGGTTTGAGAAACCAGGTATGGGGTGGGCCTTCTATCGTAACTAAGGCCGGTTCCCGCCACCCAAGGTTCCTCAGTCTTCTGAAATCAACAAAGACATTGCTAGGTAATTACATGCAGGAGATTTCCCCGGGCCTTTCTTAGCACTCAACCCTCCCCCTTCCCTCACCTCCCTTCCCTCAGCACTCCACCCCCCCCCCAGTCCCCTTTTTCACCCCCTCTCGCCAGCCTTGGTCCTAACCCAGGGCGTGCATCGTGATTCTGAAGCCCATATCTCGGCTTGGTAATGATCGAGTCGAATTCTACCTGGCCAGCAAAGCTGATTACCTCATTCCAAAATAACTCAGCCATGCGGAAAGTTCTTAACAATGTCGATTCAAGATAGCAAGACTCTACTCTAATAGTCTTGAACGTCAGCTTAAGGATATCCCCTGTAATATAAACGATACCCTGAAAATAAATTTGCTTAAATCAAAACAGACTATCATTAATACTGTGGTACAAACGAATAAACTAAAATACGTATCATATGACATATATAACTTACCATTATCATAATTCCTACCTTGTATCAAATCAAAGATTGCTCATTTTACGTTTTCATCAAATAAAGTTATTTTCACGCGGTTCTTAACATCATACAGAAGCATTTTGCTTGTTGAATTGCACGTTTGTGTAAAAAACAGTAGTTTCATATAGCCAGGTTACCAGGCAGTGAAGATGAGACTTGGCTATGTCTTTGTAAACATAACTCACTCATTGGAATTGTCATGTTAAGCACTTTTAGCGGGTGGCATGCATGCATAAGTATTTATGTCATTTTATGTAAAGTGTTTGTGCCACTGGTTTGTGCAGGTGCCCATGTTTACGTGTTGAGATAGCTGCGTTGCGTAAAACACGCAATCAGAAGCGTGCTCTCGTTTATCAACACGCGTGTTCAGTGGCTCAATCAATGTTTAAACAAATATCCCAAACAGATCATATGCAACCGGTATGTTTCATCGTGCATTCATTGTTTTATTTTAAATGAAGTTTCTTAAACGAGATTTCAGTTTGATATAGACCGAAAGCACTGAAATATAGCCATCATTTACACAGTTTTTACAAGCAATATCTATCAAAATTGATAAAATTCGTCCATACATAATAATTATGCAAAATTGTTAGTAATTGTTATTCTTCATATTTTTGACAAAATATCATAAATTATGGACATGCATGAATATCTAATCAATATCATATCCCGTTGCCTTATTTAAAATATCTTTCGACTTTCGTCTGGAATTTTCGACAGATAGCCGAGATAGGCGTATTCAATTTCGCTGAAGAATTGTTTTAAAGTTTTTCTATAATTCGTGACGGTATAATTCTACCCGATCTTTACTTCGTAAACGAGAAATGGTTTCACAGTTCACACGTTTCATTTTCGAAGGCTTTTTAAGTGATATCCACTTAGATTGTCTTAGACTCTAGTCTATCCACGAAAATAACTCTCAAGAATAAAACATTCTTGTGCTAGAAATATTTCCGGAGTGCTAAAGAGCAAGCCACTCGCGTGAGATTCAATTCAAAATAAAATGTCAACTTTCATCAGGTGACACATCGCTGGATTGAAATAAAACATTATTTTGCGGTTGAGAAAAGCTTTCTTCTCTAACTCGCCGAGTCAAACTCGCCGAGTCGAGCATTCTCGATTTCACTCGACAGTCGACACTCGATATTTCCCATGCAAATAAGTTCCTGTGTCCCGCAGAGTTTTGAGACCTAGCCTAACCAGGCAATTATAGTTAGTCAATTTCCAGCGAAGATAATACCACAATAACAATCGCTATAGTCTAATCTTTATAGGTATTACGAAGTAACCGTCAAACTTGTATCGTGAAACAAAAAAAATCCGCTTTCCAACTTAAAAGCTTATAGGCAAACAATATAAGCAACATAATTCGTATATAGTTTGCACATTAGGCAGCTGAATTCGTTATAGTTACTGTTGCCTTGCCAACTACGCTTTCTGTATTATTTGTGTGTTTCGTTTGTGTATTAAATGATGTGAAACTTCAACCTTAGCGATTAGATCGGTAGCCAAGAGACAGGCGTTTCTAAATCAACATGTAAATTGTTAGTTCTGTCAAACAAAATTGAATCGTCGCCTCTCATTCCCTTGCAAATTTCGCTGCAAGCTAAAGATGACTCCGGAGGACTCTGGTTAGTTCTACACTCGAGTCTGAGGGCCGTGAATGTCACGCTTGAGTTGTATGTTACCAATTTTAGGCATATAAGAAATTCATCACGTTAGTTATATTTGTATAGTAGAAGCTTCCCAAGTTGTGTCTATAACCACAACGAGAGTCGTCGATTGTCCGAGTGTACTCGCGTTCGGAAGAACCAAAGAACATTGGCTTTGAAGATCCGAGGCAACTTGAATTTAAATATTTGAACAAAGAATTTCGCAATCATCCCTGGATTTAGTATATTATCTACAGTATTTATCAAAGGTCTTCTGGAGTTAGCGTGCCAGGATTCTTGGGGCTAAGTTGATAGACGGCGAAACGCTGTTTCCTCGAAGGTCCGGCGTAATTTGATATCGAAAACAAAAAGTACTTTGCAATATTTGTAGTCTACGCTTGCTGAATCGGTTTCAGAAGACATATTTACAAGTAATCGGCAAGTTTACCGGCTTTACGTCTAAATAGAAATCGGCAAATATCTGTGGAATTTTTGGGTGTTCCTACAGCAAGTTCTAGTTCGGTTCCTTTGGCAACTGGGGCTGAAATTCACTGGAGACTGAATATTTGAATATTAAACTTGTGTGGTGTAGTTTTTAAAAGGAAAGAGAAGTTCACCACGAGACTTTTGAGTTGGGAAACTCTACAAAGACACAGCCTGTCGTAAATCAAGTTTTCGAACGGACATCACAAAATGCCTTGTGAAGTCAACTACGAGTGTTCAAAGGAAAGTGAAGGTACTCTATTGTTACCTATACTTAATGAAAGCGAATGGTCTGAAGCTGTGCGCATTATATTCTATTTGGTTGCCTTGGTTTGGTCTTTTACGGGCGTCGCGATCATCGCCGATGTCTTCATGTGCGCAATTGAAACAATCACGAGTAAAGTTAAGATCATAAAAGTCGCAAAGCCAGGCGCTGCAAACGATTTCGAAGAGGTGGAAGTTCGCGTCTGGAACGACACCGTCGCGAATTTAACTCTAATGGCACTCGGGTCGTCTGCCCCGGAAATTCTCTTATCTATTATAGAGATCATCGGCACGAATTTCGAAGCCGGGAAACTGGGGCCGAGCACGATCGTCGGCTCCGCTGCGTTCAATTTGCTCGTGATCACGGGCGTGTGCGTCATGGCGATACCTAATGGTGAGGTACGGACGATCAAATCGCTAAAGGTGTTCGCCGTGACGGCTGTGTGCTCCGTCATGGCCTACGTCTGGCTTGTGATAATCCTGAAGGTTAGCAGCGAAAACGTCGTGGATCTCTGGGAGGCCATTTTTACATTTCTCCTCTTTCCGATGTTGGTTATTGTCGCTTACATGGCCGACAAGGAACTGGGCTGTTCTTCCTCTGGAGTGCGACCCTCGCAAGACATAGGAATGCTCGAATTAGGTACGTTTGCATGTTTTCAAACCGATTGGGTGTATTGCATTTCAAAATAGGGACCTTACGCATGTAGGACGCGAACACGACGACGACGGCTATCAATACAATGGGTCATTGAAAAGAAATGAATAATTAAAGACCCTTGATGGGTTTTAGACGTTGTCTTCGTTCTGTTTACAACGGGAAAACGTCGTTTTTTACGTCTTGCCTAGAACGGTTGCATTTCAGGACCCAGTGAGCCCTACTTCGAATTAGGCTCTATAGAATTGTCCTTAAACATGAACACAATGTTTTTAACGCCTTATATCTCACTAAATCGGTACAATTAATAATATACAACAACCACTTTGCTATAGCATCTATTTAAAGGAGAATTTCAGCCGCGTCGTCGTCGTGTTGCCGTCCAACATGCGTAAGGTCCCTATTGAGCCTGCGCGACGGTGCGGTTGAGTGAGGCGAGCCTGGGACACCGACAGTCCACCGAAAAATTATTCTTTCAACTGCTTTAAAGCCAGCTTTTTTTTGCGATTTTGTGTGCGATTTTCTTCTTTTGATAGATGTGAACGAGTGAATTAGTTACTGATGTTCAAATAAGAGCTCTTATACATCAGAACATTCGTAACTAATCACACGTTCACATCTACCAAAAGAAGAAAATCGTACTTTTTTTGTAAACGGGGTTTCAGAAAAGCAATCAATCTATCAATTAATAAGAAGAATCTTTCTCTTGATAATATTATGAGGTTAAAGGAAATTGGCAATGAAAAATAACCTCCTTGAAAGAACTCCTAAAACTATATACTAAGTTTCATCATCAAAATTTTACATCTTTCTTAGTTCTTCAAATATCCAGGCTGAAGATGGCGAGTTGTCCGCCATCTTGTCCTATAATTAGATCTAATTAAATGACGTCACAAACAGGGACAAAATTATAGACGCGTGCAAATCTTTTTAATAAACTGAGTGGATGCTCCTGTGTCGCAAGCGTATGAGTGAATTAACAAGATTACCGATTAATTTGTATTCAACATCGTCAACAAGGCACGGGAAACGCTCAATAAATTCATAAATTTACCCTGTCACGTCTTGCATAACCTGTATTTGTATATTCAAGGGGCCCAAGTTGGACACCTTCTTTAATTTAACAACCTTTTTTCTTTTCACAATAGCTGAGGGTTCCCAGGTACTTGAGCCTTCGAAGGACCCAGAAATCATGGCTTTCATCAAGGTAGGTTCCGAACACACCCCCCCCGGAACTTTACGGTTTCATCAAGGTAGGTTCCGAACACCCCCCCCGGAACTTTACGGTTTCATCAAGGTAGGTTCCGAACACCCCCCCCGGAACTTTACGGTTTCATTGTTGGTTGAAAAACAGCAAACTTCCGGACGTAATCATCTTGTGAATTTTTTCCAGGAGTTGAATCAGAATAATCAACTCACTGAGGAGGATCAAGCAAAACTTGTCGCGATGCGAATTCAGGCCAAGACGCCGAAGAATTATGGGTACTACCGCGTTGGAGCACTACGGGGGATTGGAGGAGGCAAGAAGCTGACGCCGTCAATGAATACTCATTTACATGAGGTGAATAATGTTTCACTGTTATGACACTGAACGCGTTTCTTATTTCCAAAGGAAACATGCCCGTTGTTCTCATGAATCAAGTCTCATATTTCTTTGCCTTGAAATACAATCTTAGTAAATGAAAAACTATTCTTTTTTTATAAGACCTATGACGAACTTTCTGAAGTACAGTTCTCATCTGATGCACTATCCCATATTCGGTCCTCTGAGTCAGGTGAGAAGACTGTAATATCTGACAGTATCAGGGATCGGTTGTATCAAGCCCGTTTAGCTTAAACGGTGGTTAAGTTCAAAATAGAAAGCAAGTCTAACGTCTTATTCAACGAATAAGCCTTAATACAAAGATACTGTTTACAACTACATTGTATTCAGTGCATAATATTCACGTTGATTCATTCAAGAGAGATGTAAGAGTGTTATTTAATTTTGACTTATCCACCGTTTAAGCTAAACGGGCTTGATACAACCGGCCCCAGTTGTCTATACTGGCATCTGTTTCCAATATCTTCTTCTAATTCCCCGGGTTTCTTTACCAGAACCGCCGAAAACGTTTGTTGAATTCGCCTCGCCACAATACGCGGTGTTGGAAAGTTCCAAAATTGTAAAAATCGCCATCATAAGAACTGGCAATACAAAGATACCAGCTGTTGTGAAGTAAGGTGAACCCAGACAGCTTATTGTAGAATACTACCTACACTGGACCACCACGTTTGAGATATCTTTCTCAGGTAGTTCAGACACAAACCACGACAGCTTATTGTAGAATACTACCTACACTGTACCATACACCACGTTTAAGATATCTTTTTCAGGTAGTTCAGAGTTCAGACACAAACCACGACTTTTTTCATTAATTACCTCATCATTTCTCTCTATCAAGCTTCGAAACTATTGATGGCACAGCAATGGCACAGTCGGACTACATTGCGAAAAAGGACTCGTTGGTATTTAAACCCGACGAAACGATAAAACACGTCACAATCGAGATCGTTGACGACAATGAGTGGGAAGAAGATGAAGTGTTCTTCGTTAAACTCTCCTGTTATGATGCTTCCGATAAACAAGTTCAGATCGGCCATCAGAGCATCACTGAAGTCACCATTATCAACGATGACGGTGGGTAGAAACTAAAGCTATTTACTTAGATAGCTCTATCAGTTCTAAACTGTTCTTTCTAGAGGTCCAGTAAGGATCATCTCTTATTGATCCAGTGTTACCACAGAAGGAAACCTAAACTAAACTAACTTTATTTATACTGGATAGCTCTATCAGTTCTAAACTGTTCTTTTTAGAGGTCCAATAAGGATCATCTAAACTAACTAACCATATTTATCCTTAAATGCAACTGTACCATCTCTACTCTAGAACCTGGTGTGATAAGTTTTCAAAAGCCCAGTTATGTCGTAAAAGAAAGTATCGGAAAGGCCAGTTTAGTTTTGGAGCGTACCAAAGGGACCGACGGGACTGTTAGTGTCACGTGGACAACCAAGGACCAATCAGCGACCGAAGGTAAAGACTATGTTGGCGGAACTGGAACGGTCGTGTTTGAGCACGCTGAACAGATCAAGACGATTGACATTGCCATCAATGATGATAAAGAATTCGAAAAGGATGAATCGTTCATTATTGAGTTGAAAAATCCGACCGGAGGCGCCACCCTAGGTCGTCTTCAGAAGACTATTGTCACCATAGTAAATGACGATGGTAAGTGAGTGGTTACCAGTGTTGGTTTCTTGCATGTTTGTGGGATACCTGAAAACAGAAATGCTCTGTTAGGGCGCTTTCCTTTTTACGGTAAAAAGGCCAGACCGGTCCTGTTCATTTCAGGAAAAACAGATTACTGGGGCCGGTTGTATCAAGCCCGTTTAGCTTAAACGGTGGATAAGTCAAAATTAAATAACACTCTTACAACTATCTTGAATGAGTCAACTTGAATATTATGCACTGAATATGTAGTTATAAACAGTAGCTTTGTATTAAGGTCAAAAACTTTTTGTTCGCTTGTTGAATAAAACGGCAGACTTGCTTTCTATTTTGAACTTATCCACCGTTTAAGCTAAACGGGCTTGATACAACCGCCCCCTGGTATTTTAGAGTGTTTTAAGAACTCAAGCATTCTGGTATATTGTTATTACTGAATATACTATACGCATTCAAGTATATTGTTATTAAAATCTGCCTAACACGGGAAATCCAGTTTTACTGCTATATTCGTAACGAAATACTCTATTTCAATTCAAAATATCGCCGATTTGACCATTTTGGCCACTGGAAGGACAGCACCGTTAATTCGTGAAGCTAGCTGCGAGGTTTATATTAGACGAAGTGTTAAGCAAATATTTCTAAATGTTCCAGAGTACAAGCGGGTATTTGACAGAGTTGTTGGTCTCACGCATCTTAATTTGAACCGCATGAAGCTCGGTTCGGAGACCTGGGGACAGCAGTTCAGGAATGCAATGTCAGTGAACGGGGGAGATGTGGAGAACGCAACGTCGATGGATTATTTCATGCATTTCATTACCTTCCCATGGAAAGTAAGTAGCTCATTTTAAGGCGGGAAGGGTGGAGTGGATTTTGAGGGTTCAACATGGGGATTTGTATTAATCGGAATGTTTTCTAAAGGGGTGGGGGGGGGGGGAACTCTACCCAACCAGGTCTTACAAGTGTATTTATCTCCATTACAACTCCAAAATTATGTTATATTTTTGTACCTATTTATGATATTCATAAAATCTTCACTCCAGGTTATCTTTGCTCTATGTCCCCCCTGTACCTGGCTTGGTGGCTGGCTAGCGTTCTGTGTTGCCTTGGGAATGATTGGCATTCTAACCGCAGTCGTTGGCGATCTTGCCACCATATTTGGCTGTCTGGTCGGCCTGAAAAAGGAGGTCACCGCCATCACGTTTGTCGCCATGGGAACCAGTTTACCAGATCTTTTTGCCAGCAAGACCGCGGCAACTGCTGAAAAGCATGCCGACGCGTCTGTGGGGAATGTCACTGGTAGTAATAGTGTGAACGTGTTCCTTGGCCTGGGTACGCCATGGGTGATTGCAGCTGCCTACTGGCATGCCAAGGTAAGAGCCGCCTTCTTAATCCTCACTGGACCTCTAGGAAGAACAGTTTAAAACTGATAGAGCTATCCAGTATAAATAAAGTTAGTTTAGTTTAGGTTTCCTCCTGTGGTAACACTTGATCCTTACTGGACCTTTAGGAAGAACAGTTTAGAACTGATAGAGCTATCCAATATAGATAAAGTTAATCTAGTTTAGATTTCCTCCGGTAGTAAGGTTCTCCTGTAGTGGTTTTCATAAATTTCATTTCAATTTCAGGATAAGGTCTTTGTTGTGGAAGCTGGTACTCTGACAATCAGTGTAATAGTGTATGCAGTTTGTGCAACGATTTGTCTAGCTTTTCTCGTCCTACGGCGGCGTGTTTCTGCATTTGGAAACGCCGAACTGGGTGGGCCTAACAAGGCGAAATATATTACCGGAGTTTTCTTTATTTCTCTCTGGTTCGTTTACATCATTATCTCATCTCTCGTAAGCTACGACGTACTGGATGTGAAAATATAAACTGTGGATAGAAATCTTTGGCAGAATTCATCTAACTGATCCGAAACATGGGAGAGCGTTCTGGACGATTAAAATCCACGAGATAATAATGAAAACTGTCAAATGTAATTTTTCAGTTTTACTATTACCACGCAAGTGTATGCGCTATCAAATATATCTTGTCTGTATCAGTCTGTATGTAAATTACTGTAAATATAGTTTCATAAACTGGTCGCTTTTAACCTACACCAGTCGGGTAATTTAGTAAAATGTTTTCTATTATTCATAAAGTGGTCATGAAAATATTAAAAAATATGGATATCGATCTTAGAAATATGTAAGGTGGTTATCTGTGTCTGCACATAACACAGCTGGCAATGTAGAGAACATACCCCAACTATTTCTGTGGATGAAAATCGAAATACCCAAAGAAAATCCAAGAATTGCTCTAGTGTGGAATTCGGGTGTACATTCAGCTCTGGCTCTGATTGGCTAGAGCTGTCCACCATTCAAAACACTGAAATACTTTTCACTGGTGGAGCAACGTCAGTGGTGCAAAACCCCCCATCGGCGTTTATTCGAATACTCTGAATCAGCGTTCGTGCAGTTGCAGCGGTTTGTGCCATTTCAACATGCGTCAAAGTGTCGAAGAAAAGTTAGGAAGTTTCTGAATTCTAATGTTTTCTAAGGAAATGTAAAAAAATTAACAACCTTTTTGTAATTTCTCTTTGTTTTCTAAAATAAAACTCCCTATGCTTGACCGAAAGTTAGAATGGATTTAAGGCGAGGAAATTCGTTCGGAAATGGCTTGCTCTACGCAGGATTTAATCAGGATCAAGGTTAGTATGTGAGGCTTGACTGCTTGTGCAAAATGAGGTTTATATCTTGTGTGAAGTGTCACAGTGAACGCAATAATTTCGTGTTTGCTTTATCGCCCGTTGTGTTTTCTCGTTGTTTTAATAAAGGTTGTTTTGCCTGTGGGATGGAGAACGGATTTCGAGTTTACAATTGCGATCCTTTGAAGGAGAAAGAACGGCAAGGTGCTTTGCAATGCTATTTTAAAAAATACGATACGTTTTAATGACTTTAATTGCTTGTGATTTGTTAAAAATTTAAGATTGTATAATTAAATTAAAGTAGTTTAATAATTAAATAAATGATTTCTTGAATAATTTGTACCAAAATGACTACATTTTTAAACTGGCCATTGGGTCACATGCTTTAGGACATATGAATATATTATTGTATTATTAACATTCCCGACCATTAATCTTGCTTTTCCAAAAGGACTCATTTTTCAGGACTTCATTTTTTCTACTTAATTTATCAAAGATCAATCACATCACCAGGCCAAAATACTACTTGCCACCATGTGAAGCATTTATGCAAACTTTTAACCAGTTATGAAAAATTTGATTGCTCTTTTTAAACTTGGTGGCTCTATAGGGTGTATAAAAAAACGCAACTGAAATTCTCATGAATATTCACTTATTTTCAGTAATAAAAGTTTTATAGGCCCTTTGGAACTATTAGGGGACCCTGTATATTTATCATGGGACCTCATCATTTTTCACCATTTTGAGTGTGTCGACATATATACCACTTGTTTTGTGATTTTGTTAGATTTTACCGATGGAGGTATTGCGTATGTTGAAATGTTGTTCAGATGTAACTATGTTGCCCTCGTTGGAGGAGGAAAAAACCCAAAATATACTCCAAATAAAGGTAGGGACCACTTCTCACTCAAATTGAACAACCTGGATGTATATTCTAGTGACAAGTAAATTTGTCATTCAGGTATACAGCAATGAGTGTTTTAGGTAATTCATAATGAGCATTTTAAACGTTACTTCTTGTAATAAAGATTTTCTTCACCGTAGTGTTGATTTGGGACGACCTAAAGAAGTCGATTGTAATTCAGCTGGAGTTCTCCAGTGATGTTCGAGCTGTGAAACTTCGAAGAGACAGGTACTAATACACAATACTTACATTAGACTTGCATTATTATAGAGATAAAAGCTGTGGGTTACTTTAAATGTGGCCATTTGATTGTTTTCATTCTCATTTATCTTGTATCAGGATTGTTGTGGTTTTGGATACAATCATCAAGGTTTTTACATTCACACAAAATCCTCAACAACTCCATGTCTTTGAGACATCGCCAAATGCAAAAGGTACATTAACAGAACTCCTTAAGACAATCGCATTTTGACCCATTTTTTTGATAGTATGTCTCTACTAATGAAAATAAAAGTGTCTGGTGTTAGACAAAGTAAAAACAAAATGATAGCTGCATTAGGTGCATTACCAGATAGTGAGTAAAAAAATGTAAAAACTGTGAAGTACATAAGTTAGTTTCAAAGGTTTCATATCATTCAATAGCCAAGTTTTGTGTTTTAGGTCTATGTGTTTTGTGCCCAAGTAGCAATAATTCCTTGTTAGCGTTCCCTGCGAGAAGAACTGGTCACGTTCAAATCGTAGATCTTGCGAATACCGAAAAAGCACCATTAGATATCCCAGCCCATGAGGGGCATTTGGCGTGCATCTGTCTAAACTTACAAGGCACAAGATTAGCCACAGCATCGGAAACGGTAATGATTTTGCTTTGTGACATTGAATGCACTTGTAGAAACATAAATACATATTTTTAAGAGCATCTCCCAATGTTTTTTTTAAATCTATGGCTGTTTTTTCATTCATTTTCAATTCTACTATTATTAATCAACACAGGGAACACTTATTCGTGTTTTTGATGTTGGCACTGGTGATTTTCTAAATGAACTAAGAAGAGGGTCTGGTAATGCAAATATATTTAGGTAAAAACAAATTTTTCCATGTTGTTGAGCCCTCTGTTTAAGATATATTAAGGCAACTTCCCAAAATAATTACATATTTACATTATGTTGAAGTTACATTACGTTGAAAGGTTAGAGGCAAGACTAAGGGTTTGAATTATGGTTCTGGTTACGATAAGGGTTACAAATAGAGTTAGTGTAAGATAAGGCTTAATTAGGATTAAGGTTTAGGGTTTAGATTAGAGTTAGCAATACGGTTTAAATTCAGGTTGAGGATTAAGATTTTAGATTGTGTGTATATTTGCTTGCAATGCACCCAGATGATCCTTACCTTATTATTTTACTTTGTGAATTCTGTAGTATAAATTTCAATCATGACTCGTCACTGTTGTGTGTGTCAAGTGACCACTGGACTGTTCATATTTTCGAAGTGGAGGACAATAAGAAAAGCAAACAGTCAAGGTAACAAAGACACTCTTGTCCTGGATATAGCATTTTGCTGTAGATATCTTCTTTTTTGTAAAGCACTCCCTTTCTCCCTTCAGCTTCAGGCCTTTGAAATACTTTAATTCGACTTGGAGTTTTTCACGATTTCGAGTTCCTGAGGGAGCACCTTGTATCTGTGCTTTTGGTAATGATAAGAATTCTGTTATTGGTAAGTTATGAATTAGATGATTGAGAAAAATAGCTTAAGTTTTAAACTGTTCTTCCTAGAGGTCCAGTAAGGATCATCTCTTATTGATCCAGTGTTACTACAGGAGGAAACCTAAACTAAACTAACTTTATTTACACTGGATAACTCTATCAGTTCTAAACTGTTCTTCCTAGAGATCCAGTAAGGATCATCTCTTATTGATCCAGTGTTACTACAGGAGGAAACCTGGACTAAGACCCTTCCTCCTAGACAGATATTAACAACTTAAATTATTTATTCTTTTCAGCTATTTGTGCGGACGGCAGTTACTACAAATTTGCGTTCAACGCGAAAGGAGAGTGCACTAGAGACGCTTATGCTCAGTTCCTTCAGATGACTGATGGTGATTAGCATATGGTACCAGCCAGTCGATTCTGGTTACCAGTCTATGGTAGTCCTCAGGGTCTCCTCTAAACATGGTCTGTAAGTCTGAGTGAATGAACGAATGTACTGTACACAAATATTGATTAATTGCCATATATTTTTGATAATATCGCGCGTCGCATAATAGAAGTTGGCCTTTACCAACGAGGACTATAGAACGGTAAATGGCAGTCAACTTGGTTTTTTTAACTATTCGTACCCAGGGTATGCGCTTTTAAGATGCGAGAATTTCCGAGGGCCGATATATATTTAGCTGGATTGCGCTATCCAAAATCGATAGTTTTACTGCGCTTCAAGCATTCTTACAACGTTTGAAACAATAATCATATGATAGTAGCCCGGTAGTAAGGGGCTGTTTACATGAGCCCGGTTACCCGAGATTCAACGAAGCGTGAGAGGACTTTGAGGTGTTGAAATAAGTCTTTATGACACCAAACAAGCACATGCTATTGTTATGGTGATTATACGACTGCCAGGATCATGTTATCTGCTCATTTCAATACCTCAAAATCATCTCACGCTTCGTTGAATCTCGGGTAACCGGGCTCATGTAAACAGCCCCTTACTACCCCAATCGAGGATTACCTTCACGATGTGGAAATGTGATTTAAAATAATTCAACGGATATCACACAAACTACAGTAGTTATATATAAACACATAGATGGACGATTTTTTTAATAATGCTGATTTAGCTTATGCTCCTACAAGCGTAATTTTCAAACGCTTTCAAAATCGTTTTTGTCCGTTTATCGTTTTGACGCCCCGTTCTTAACGGTCCAAAGCTGCCCAATATATTGAACTCAACTTCTAAACGGAAATATTTGCAGCCAATTGGTTTTAGAACCTAAAATTATTGAAAACGTTACCATGTAAACACACTTGTTTTCAAATTTTGGCCAATTCTAGTATTTACTCGATCGTCTCTTCATTGGCGGTGCTCCACAAGCAAAGCCAAAGCCGTAGTTTGCAACCTCAGCCAGTTGCAAACGAAAAAATGGCAAAAAAGCTCGCAAAACGTCTCCGCAACACTGGGGAACTTGCTTAAAACCGGTTCTCCACTAGGCGGATTTTTCGCGCGAAGCGACTTTATTCTTTTGTATTTGGGCAATTTGTTCCAGATGGTTGCAGCTGGGAGCTCTGGAACAAGCTACGTGCGAAAATTAACGCTAGTGGAAAACCAGCCGTGTGCTACCGGCTTTAGACTTTATTGAATGCGAAATTACTGTTGTCATCGCAGAGTTTTGGCAGTGTATGTAAACCTAGTCCTAGGTTTAATTATAATATACGCACAAAATTATTGTAAAAATTTTGATAACGAATTAGAGTTGTTTTATTCATCGTGATTGACATTAACACAATTCGTGTGATTAAAATATCTATGATCTATGTCTCAAGATGGAGCTCTTAGATCTACAGGGTGTCCCAAAAAAATGTCCCCCCTATTGAAATGAAGCTTCTGTTGGAGTTTGAATGCATGATCAACGCAGTAGTGTGTAAATAGCACAGTTATTAGGTTGAGGCATTCAAATAAAGTGTCTTGTTTTCAATTGGGTTTATCATAATATTAAGGCAATCCGATTCTAACAAAGGCTTGATTTCAATTGAGAGGACTTTTTTGGGGTACCCAGCGTCGCATTTTGGTCATGTCGAGTTTAATTGAAATAATACATGAGATGATAATGATGCTCATCAAGCCTCATTAGTCACTGTTTGTATTCCTCTCCACGCGACCGAAATGCGACGTATACAAGCTAGCCATCAGATCGAGTAAACTTCAAAGTTTGCTTGCAAAATGTTAAAAATTGTGGAAAATATAGCCCTGCAAAGCGCGCAAGTTTTATAACGTATTTCTATAACCTTCATATATATAGAAAAGACAACCGCTGTGGTTAAAAAGTGTTTATCAGGCGTAATATAAATTATGAACGTGTTCAAATTGGCTTGTACAACATTTTGCGAGCAAACCTTCTAGTTTTACTGCGATGCTGCTGTAGGATTCTATTCGTGTAAGGTTTGGGGTTCGCCATTTCTTGTTTAGAAAATAAAGTCCATGCACATGCAGCTAAAGCTATTTCCCACATCCAAGCACAATATCTTGCATTTTCATCTGCCTCTACGAATTTCTTAATTTCCCTGTGGTGCAAAAGGTTTTTTCGTGGGCGGCGATCTAAGATTCTCAAAAGAGCTGTTTTTTGTGGGCGGCCATGTTAGATTCTCAGTATAGGTTTTCCAAGAAAAAAACGATTTGGAGTGCCAATGGAATGGATAATTTCGGTTTACAAAAAGGCGCCAATATAATATATTTATACCGTGCTTTAAAATCGTTATAAATTTCACTAATCAATTTGAATAAAACTGATAGATTTTGGTTTTCAGCGTCTGTTTTCAGCATCTGCCATAGTTGAGTTATTATATTTGTATTTAATATATTATAATTCAAGGAAATTAAAACTTTGTCGGTATATGACAAGCACGTATATGTCACTCAAGTAAAAAGCATTTGTAATGCATACTGCTATATGTTTCATAACACATCGATAGGCAAAACACCGTATCCTGTGATCTGGCAATGAATGAAGCCGGGATATAATGAAATACATATTCCTTGGGTGGGATTAATCAATTATTACTGCATGTGCACAGATCTATAACAGCAAATTAAACTCTCTGGTCTATACGTTCTTTCATTTGAATTCGAGTTTAACACAACAAAATACGAACAATATGAAACCGGCCGCGGTTTTAAAATAATACATTTATTTTTTCGCTATCATGTAGCCAAACTTTGAGAAAGCTTAAAGGTCAACACAGACCGGACGCGATCGGCAACGCGATGCGAATTTTCAGTTTTCAGAAACACATAAATTAATTCCTGGAAGCAAAATTTGGAATTAATGGATGCCAGAGCAGTCAAAATGTATTATTGTTAAGTAATCTACAAGAATATTATTATAGTTTAAAATTTATTTGCTTTTGGAAAATCAAAAGCTTTGAAAAATCGCGCCGCGTTGCTAAATCGCGTCCGGTCTGTGTGGGCCTTAAATCTCGTGTTTTGCGATTCATCTCTATATAATCATCATTTGCGAATCATCTATAAACTATAATTAATAATCATACGATGCTACGGTTTAATATCGTTAGTTATTGATTTCAAAATAGAATATGAATTGTTTGCGATGTTTTTGTAAAAACACAACTTTTAAAGTGCCTAGCGTCAGGGTTTATGATAGCTTATCGTGCATGTATGAAATCTTCATCGACCATCAAAAAACATCTGCGGCGCGTACTGACGGGCCCCGTTGCACGACGGGTACAATTTTAAGCAAGAGGGGGGAGGGGGTAGGGCTGTTGTGTGACAAACATTTAATTACATAATATGCATGATTCTCGAGAGATATGCGTCTTACAACAGTAGACAATTCTGACGCTAAATATCCAGTTACTATTTTAGTGACTATCTCATTTACAGCTGCATAGCCACAGCTGTTTTTGTCAGTAAAATGCTGGCATCTTTCACGTTGCTAATCAGAAAATGATCTTTGTTAGATCAGCCTCACGTTTCACAGCATAGGACTGGTTCGCATATGTCGCCGACGACAGTCGGCGACGTATCGATTGTGGCCGCGGCGACGAAGAAAATTTATTCAAAATAACCGAGCACTTTATTCATCAGTGATCACCGACAATGTCTACCGCCGATCGTCGGTGACATGAGAACCAGGTCTTATATACATAAATACATATATTATATATAAGTCTAAGTGTATTTTTGAGTGCCCGCGTGTTGACAGAAATTGACTGAAAATTTTTAATATATTGCTAAAAGTGATCCTTCGGTTACAAAGTTGTAAACTTGAAACAATCGTGAGAGTATTTTAGGTGGGTGGGGGACAGTTGTACGAAAGCCGGATGGCGCTACCCACCCGGATAGTGTTATTCTCAATCGTTCTAAAATCGCCCGTTGCTCGGTATAACTTTAACCAAACCTTATAGTATTCTTATATTGGATGTTCTTTTGATCCTATATATAACGGTTAACTCCGAATCTGAAATTTCATTGCTTTTCAAGCTTGTTTGAAGAAATCACTATATATCCGGTGCATGCATGCATGATATCTCTATAGAACTAAACTGCCCCCAGATACGTGGCGTGATCAATCATACATTTAATATACTACATGACACGATGGAAAATTTAATTGCGTTTTCCTTCATGTTTGCACATCCTACATGCAAATTAACACTGGAAAAGGTACGTTTTTACAGATGCACATAACTTTTTGTGCTAGGAATGAGAAATATACTTCATCGAAAGTCGTCTAATCTTTGGGTTACTAGCTATTTCGAATCGCTTACTTCAACACGAAAGAATTGCTGTATGAGGTGTTATTTTATATAGTATACATATACGCTTGACTATATATAAAAATTAGAAAAAGGTGCGTGAATTTGAACACAGTATTCATTGAGGTGTAATTTTATAAAGACAACTTAGTTATCCCAGAATAAAACGCGCAATGTTTATTACCATTACCATCTGCGTTGTACGCGTATTCACATTCAATATCTTTAGGCCTTATATAAAAGCGTTCTCGTAATAATATTTACTTAACCAATGAAGAATCTATATCGAAAAATTGATGAACGGATTCGTTTATATGATGAAGTATTTTGTATTCCCATTGCCAAAAAAGCGATCTAATTCGCCCTCAAATTTAGAAAAATATACTTTTCTGTTGAACTATATATATAAATCTATGTATAGCTCTATTGTAGCTCTCTATACGAGAGCGTCCTATTTAAATATATCGAGTTTTTTTAACCCAATATTTTTTGTTATGTTACCTTAACGACGGGCAACGTATATACGTTATTAAAATAAAAACGGGCGGCAGTTGAAATTAATATGATCTTCCAGAGTGTCTCCGAGTCGCTCCTTAATTTCTAAGCTTGGTTGACGCGCATTTCCACGGAAAAAGAAATTGAACTAACTGCCTAAAAAGGTAAGATTAACATAATTCGTAGACCTTTCCCAAAAGCTTCATTATGAGTGTATATGAAAGTTGAGCAATGATATTCATATGGGGCCCCTTGGTGTTTTCTTAAAGTATCTTTTATTTGCTATCGTATACATTTTTTAGCCTTTCAAATAACGTCCATGAATGCGAAAGGCAAAGAGTCAGGACAAAATGAGCTTTTGAACCTGTTTAGGAGCTTATTTGAAATCTCTTTAACCCGCGTCATTTATAATTCAGCTGGTAATTTTAGGATTAAGTTATTTTACTACTATAAAAGCTCAATGAAAATACGTATATATTTAAGGTAATTGTGTTCGTAGCTCGTAGCTCGAAATTCGGACAATAGTGCGTTCAGAAAATGAAAGGGATTCTCATGTTACGTATTTTTCCAACTGAAGAAGACGCCGTCGTATGTCTACATCGTCTAAGTAGCTTTAAAATGACAACTGGGCACCGTATTAAACGCCCCGTCAATGTCGTTACGATAATTACGTTGTGCTTCATTCAAATTCTTCGCAGCAGCCAGCTGCCTGTATACATACATGCAGTTGAATAAACAAAGTCGAAGTTTCGCGAACAGGAAACTGAAGATCGTATTTAGTTGCTGGGCGATTGATTTCGAAAGACATTCGTCCAGTTTTCCTTTCAAAACACCCTTTTTCAGTTTCGACTTTTTGCGCGTCTTAGTGTTAACATGTGGGCACCATCGTTCCTGCTGCAGCAAATTTTCTATATGCGGCTAATATTAATTAATATTTTTCAAACAATATATACTTGTGGTCCGTTTAGCTGGTGGCGTGAATGAAAATTAACTTTGGCGATTTGAAATTATCACTGCATTTGCTTTTAAATGTTTGAACGAACGCATAAACATGATTAGTGTATATATTGTTTTCAGTTTTTGAGTTGTGTCGAATGCACGATTACGCGAAAAAAAAGGTTCAATGCTCAAAGATAGCGTTTACCTATTTTGTCACAACCTTTCTTTCTAAAAGAACCACCAGAAAAACGTTTAACTACTTTAACTTTTATAAGTTAACAATGAAAAATAACTTGTTTAAATATTGTCTGCTCTGCTTCATGACTGTCTTTGGTGGCGAGGATATAAATTTGTTTACACAAGATTTTGATAGCCGTAAGCATTCCTGTCAAAATATATTCTACATCCGCTATCTGTTTTTTATCGTGAGTTGCTTCGTCTATTCTTTTGCGAATCGTCAGCGAAGTTTTGTTGATTTTTATCTTTAAGATGGAAGCCATTTTAGTCGTCGTAATTTTCCTGATATTTTCGTCGGTCAAATCGACATCTCAGTTTTCCGCGTCTTCGCATTACAGTAGCATTCAAACAACGCATTCGCTGGTGTCCTCGAATGGAACAGGCAATTGGACCGGAAACCAAAGTATTTCAACGTATCCGCCAAGTAAAAGTGGTAATACTTCTTCATTGTCGGTCAATTCGACATCTCAGTTTTCTGCATCTTCGGATTACAGTGGCATTCAAACAACGCATTCGCTGGTGTCCTCGACTGGAACAGGCAATTGGACCGGAAACCAAAGTATTTCAACGTATCCGCCAAGTAAAAGTGGTAATACTTCTTCATTGTCGGTCAATTCGACATCTCAGTTTTCTGCATCTTCGGATTACAGTGGCATTCAAACAACGCATTCGCTGGTGTCCTCGACTGGAACAGGCAATTGGACCGGAAACCGAAGTATTTCAACGTATCCGCCAAGTAAAAGTGGTAATACTTCTTCATTGTCGGTCAATTCGACATCTCAGTTTTCTGCATCTTCGGATTACAGTGGCATTCAAACAACGCATTCGCTGGTGTCCTCGACTGGAACACGCAATTGGACCGGAAACCAAAGTATTTCAACGTAATCCGCCAAGTAGTTAATACTTCTTTCATTGTCGGTCAATTCGACATCTCAGTTTTCTGCATCTTCGGATTACAGTGGCATTCAAACAACGCATTCGCTGGTGTCCTCGACTGGAACACGCAATTGGACCGGAAACCAAAGTATTTCAACGTATCCGCCAAGTAAAAGTGGTAATACTTCTTCATTGTCGGTCAATTCGACATCTCAGTTTTCTGCATCTTCGGATTACAGTGGCATTCAAACAACGCATTCGCTGGTGTCCTCGACTGGAACACGCAATTGGACCGGAAACCAAAGTATTTCAACGTATCCGCCAAGTAAAAGTGGTAATACTTCTTCATTGTCGGTCTATTCGACATCTCAGTTTTCTGCATCTTCGGATTACAGTGGCATTCAAACAACGCATTCGCTGGTGTCCTCGACTGGAACAGGCATTGGACCGGAAACCGAAGTATTTCAACGTATCCGCCAAGTAAAAGTGGTAATACTTCTTCATTGTCGGTCAATTCGACATCTCAGTTTCTGCATCTTCGGATTACAGTGGCATTCAAACAACGCATTCGCTGGTGTCCTCGACTGGAACACGCAATTGGACCGGAAACCAAAGTATTTCAACGTATCCGCCAAGTAAAAGTGGTAATACTTCTTCATTGTCGGTCTATTCGACATCTCAGTTTCTGCATCTTCGGATTACAGTGGCATTCAAACAACGCATTCGCTGGTGTCCTCGACTGGAACAGGCAATTGGACCGGAAACCGAAGTATTTCAACGTATCCGCCAAGTAAAAGTGGTAATACTTCTTCATTGTCGGTCAATTCGACATCTCAGTTTTCTGCATCTTCGGATTACAGTGGCATTCAAACAACGCATTCGCTGGTGTCCTCGACTGGAACACGCAATTGGACCGGAAACCAAAGTATTTCAACGTATCCGCCAAGTAAAAGTGGTAATACTTCTTCATTGTCGGTCTATTCGACATCTCAGTTTTCTGCATCTTCGGATTACAGTGGCATTCAAACAACGCATTCGCTGGTGTCCTCGACTGGAACAGGCAATTGGACCGGAAACCGAAGTATTTCAACGTATCCGCCAAGTAAAAGTGGTAATACTTCTTCATTGTCGGACAATGGGACGTTTCTTTCGCCTGGAAGTTCGTCTGTCTCGGGTAAAAATGAAACAGGGAAGATATTGATCACCACAACCAAACGCTCTCCTCTCGTATCGAGTTCAACAAGCAGCTTTCAAGAAGGAAAAACAAATTCTAGCGGGAATCAAGAGTCATCGAAACAGACCGACAGTAGCTTGTCTCCAAATGTCAACACATCTGAACAAGCCGCAGTCAATGAGACGATAACTTCCTCCATGTCCTCACCACAAATGACCTCTTACATTGAGAAAACATCCCACCTCTCCGTTTACACAGGTAATTTGGAAACTATGAACCAGACAGGGCGAACCTCTTACCCCAATGCTCTCCCCACCTTGATGTTTAGCACAACCCACGTCGCTCAGGTCTACAGCCCCACACAAAGCCAAGGGCTGGCTGCTACGAGCTATGTCAGCGAGCCGGGCTCGGAGGGAAATGGAAATGGACAGTCTTCGAGTAAGAATAAAGACGACAAGTTATCGGGATATAGCAGTGATATCAAAATCTCAAACGAAACAGCGACACCAGCACAGTCTGCTACCGCCGTAAATGGAGGGAGTGTTGTCGTGACAAAAGACACTACATCAACTGCTCACGGCCTCATGCAAACTACATCAAATACTGGACAGGCATCAATAACCTCAGAAGGTGTAATATTCGTTACACCTTCAATCATCGCCATTTCGTCAAGTCCATCTTTCCAAAACACCGGTACGTCAAAATCGCCATCATCATTTTCACAGGGAACTGTCGATAGCAGTTCAATGATCATCCGAAAAGACGCTTCGACAACCAATCGGGTACCCATGACAACCACGTCAAAACCATTGACGAGAAACTCCATTATGACGTCATCACCTGTGATGTCATACACGATGACGTCACAACCGGAAGAGTTACCCACGATGCAGTCACGATATGTGAAACCATCCACGTCGTTATCGAATGTTTTGGATACTACGGAAACATTGTTGACGTCATACACGCTAGCAGTGGATACCATGACAACACACACGATGTCATACACGATGACCTCAAATAACTCACATTCAATCGCCACAACTATGGCAAATATGACTTTATCAGGTCAAACGCAGGCAGGACTATCCACGGCTCATGCGGGGCATATTCCGAGCTCATCTGGTGAGTAAGACCCATTTTACTGTATTTCTTCGATACGGAGGATACCTGCTGGTCCTCTAGAAAGAACAGTTTAGAACTGATAGAGCTATCCAGTATAAATAAAGTTAGTTTAGTTTAGGTCTCCTTCTGTAGTAACACTGGATCAATAAGAGATGATCGTTACTGGACCTCTAGGAAGAACAGTTTAGAACTGATAGAGCTATCCAGTATAAATAAAGTTAGTTAAGTTTAGGTCTCCTTCTGTAGTAACACTGGATCAATAAGAGATGATCGTTACTGGACCTCTAGGAAGAACAGTTTAGAACTGATAAAGCTATCCAGTATAAATAAAGTTAGTTTAGTTTAGATTTCCTCCTGTAGTAACACTGGATCAATAAGAGATGATCGTTACTGGACCTCTAGGAAGAACAGTTTAGAACTGATAGAGCTATCCAGTATAAATAAAGTTAGTTTAGTTTAGGTTTCCTCCTGTAGTAAGACTGGATCAATAAGAGTTGATGCTTACTGGACCTCTAGGAAGAACAGTTTAGAGCTGATACAAGCTATCCAGCATAAATAAAGTCAGTTTAGTGAATCAATCAAAACGTGATGTTTTCTGGAGGCGCGGATAAAGCTACATTGCGTTTTATTTCCTAGTGCTGTCAGGAGAGTGCAATTGCACAACCTCGTACGATCCACAATGTGGTAACCAGTGTTGTGCTGGTGGCAAGGTCACAGCCACACTGATATGTATGGCCAGCAGTAAATCCGTGTCCCATACGTCCTGTAACGTTAACTATACACTATCAGGAAAGTCTTGTGGGGATGTTTCAGAGTGTGCGTGCAAAGGTTAGTATATCATTGATTTGATTTTAGGCTTCTAACAGATGTGAACAAGCAAATAATTATAAAGGCTCTGATATATAAGGGCCTCTTAGTGATCCTCAGTAGCCAACCGACTTGTTCACATCCATCAAAAGACGAATATCGCAGCAAAAATCCTGGGCCTTGACATACAAAAGGTGCAACCGCATTTTCTAACAAAAATCTTTTCTTTTTTACAGGAACTCATCTCTCTTCTTTCTCCAAGATTGCTGTCACTTTTTTAGCATTGTTCGTTTGGCTTTTGTAAGCGTCGTATTTCTAAGGACTGGTTTTCATCTGGTTGAAATTGTCGTGAATATGTCAAGGTGGTCGATGTAATCGAATATTGCTATGTGTTTTGCAGTAAATAATGACAACTTAAATACAGAAAATAAAGACAAATTTCAATATGGACTATTTTACATCCGTGAAATTGACCTGTTTTTTTTATTCGACTAAATGAAAACCAGTCATAAAATAATTTTAGTATTTGTGAACAGCAATAAAAAATTAAAAGCACCGTAAATTTCTGCTATGCCAATGAACACTTGAACTTGCTGTTCAACAAGCACCGTGTCAGTTCTGCACAAGATTACATAGATCACGAAGCTGTTCAATTGTAGTTGATAGAAAAATATTTTACAATGGTAAAAGTTAGTTATGCTACCATTTGATGTAAATAATATAGTATAGTATATCTGATATAACTAGATCTTCGCCTGTATTCAAAAAGCTCTCTCGCCTTCGTTGGGTGTGACAGAGAAAGTATTCAATGGAAAGATTTAAGGTAAAACATTGCAAAGCAAGCTACAATCATGGAATATCGTCCTGATGCGATTTAGACCGTTCATCCAATGATTTTGAACGAGAGCTGGGAACATTTAGAACATGAGTTTAGACAAAAAGGCAAAAGGCACAAAGCGCTCTGAATATGCCGATTAGGTTTTCAAAACTAGTCTTTAATAAAGCATTTGAAGTACAGTTGTTTGAAAGCTTCCCACTCATTGCCAAATAAACTTCATCGTTGTTCAATCATCGCAGGATGCTGTTCGCTCATGTATTTTTCCTGCACGGTTTTTACGAGTAGTTCATTGAGTTGTGTGGTTAGTGCGTGATTTTTGCCATAACAGACAGTCAGTAGAGCTCTCGCTTGCGACAATGTCGAGATACCAGCATCCAACATATCCAAATATACTTCCAGTTTTCCTTTGAAAAACAATTAGAGCAGGTTAAAAAATGAATTACTTTTTTTTAAAAAAATAATATTTACCGGTAATATTCACATGTCCAATCCAATTCAATCCTTGAGATTAGATTAGCGTTAGGTTTTAGATTAAGTTTAAGGTTAACTAGGATTATCCTTATTCATACATCTAACTCTAATCCTGACCTAATACTAGTTCGGTTGCAATACGTTGCATGGCTATTTTATTATACCAATATGCTTACCAATTCTGTAAAGTTGAATCGCCGTACTTGGGTGGTATTTGGCATAGAACTTTAGATAACTATCCAAAGACCTCTTACAATAATAGATGGCTTTATTCCACAGTCCCATCCCAATGCAAATATCAGATATTTTGTCAACGATCTTTAAAACTTTGTAATTTTGGCTATGCAAGATGGCGTCCACATCTGTCAGAAGTTGCTCGAGGACATTCAGCTCTTTGCTCAGGTTTTCTGAATGGGACGTCGCTTGGTTGAAAGTCGATAGTGTGGCCTCGATCTTTTCATAAAGTTGGGTGATATTTCCTGACGCGAAATCGGTTGGGACAGTAGAACCACATTCTGAACAAACCATCGTGTCTATATCATTGAAATTAGTAAAAAACTTAATCGAGCTTGGACCACTTACCAAGAGCTTGGTCATTTGCTATCTGTTCGCTATAGGGGGAAGTGAAAGCGCTATCTTTCGTCTCTATCTTTCGAATTTTAGCAATCAAAAAATCGATCAAGCGAAGGGCTTTTCGAGTACTCACCTTTGGAAAAGCCGACGGCGTTTGGGCATTCTCTATTCAGACATTTCAGGCTATTCATTTCCGATCCATACTCCAGTTCGTTCACACAGCGAGGGCATGCGCAGTCGAAGTAGTATTGCTCTCTCAATTCATCCTGGCGCACGGCACGTGGTCTCATCAATTCCGTATAACTTATAAACAATTCCTGATCCTGTTCAACATTCTTTATGTTCCTAATATGACACGTTGCTCCGATAAACACCGCGATGCAGTTTGGCTCACATGAATGATTTAAAAACGCTGCTGTCTGATACAGACCAAGACCTATAGATTAATATGCGTTCACTTTAAATTCAATTCAATCTAAGTATCTAAGTGTTGATAATCACTTACTCGCTAAATTATATTTCCGATCTTAGGGCGCCTTCCTTTAAGCGGTCAAAATGGTCAAACCGGTCATATTTTGAATTGAAATCGGGTATTCGGTTAAGAATATAGCGGTGAAACTGCATTTCCCGTGCTGGGTACACGTAAATAACGATATACTTGAATACAGAATTCTCGAAATACCAATAATCTGTCTGTACTGAAATACAACAGGACCGGTCTGGCCGTTTTAACCGTATAAAGAAAATCCTGCTTCGAGTTCAAATATGCCTAAATTGTACGAGCCTGTGCATCACATTTATACAATTATAGAATACCCTACAACCTCGATCTTAGTCAGAAAGCAAACCTTTTTTATTCAAACGATTCAAAAGAGACATATTAAAACACAAACGTATTATTTATACCTATTGGCTTCAACTCTCCGTCACAAATTGTAAAAGCATTACAATTCACTTTGCAGAATAACTCAAAGACCCTTTCATTGCTCCACTCCAAACCACCATCGAAATACTTGTCTAACATTTTCAACATGTAAGCAAATACGTCGCCTTTTTTGCTACGTATATGCTCGGAATGGCTGACCAAATCGTCAAGCCATTTCGGGGTGTCTTTTTTTAACAACAACAACGACAGCATTCGCACTGTATCGCTAGGCATAGCGGCAGAGAACTTCTTGAGGTATTTGCATTCAAGTTTGTGCGTCGCCCAAGCATTTCGGTGGCAGTTTTCCCCGCAATAGTAGACCATTTTACAAGCCGAACAGCGCTGTAATTTTATATCACCCATCGACAAACAATTGTCGCATATTCTTCCTAGCATTTCGCTCCTAGAAACGAAAACGTGCGGTTCTTGGAAAAGAATAGTGTCTCCTTTATTCACCCGAACTTTACTTCGTATCCCGCGGCCGCGGGAAGTAGCATTAAATATTTCAAAATTCGAATCCATTTTTACAACTTTCCGTCCACCATCTTGTTTTCTTGCGAAATACTTCATGTTAGCATACATGTCATCATAGAATGAGAAAGGTTGTTGTTGAAAGAGTTCTCATACTGTCATGAATTCCACGTTGTTTTCAAATTTTTGAAGAGCGGTTGGCTTTAAAGCGATTAAGCGAATGAGTGGATTACGGAGGGTGAAGACGTTAGTAAGTGAGTAATATTTCGTAGGACAAAATACTATTGAGTATTGACCTCTTGTAATGTGTTTTTAAAAAAGTATTATATAATATATTCTTCAATATCCCTGTCACATTTAATGCATTTCAGATGCTTGAAGTGGAAGACATTGGCTCCTCCAAAGGGAATAATTAGGCTGCCCCCCCCCGGAATCAGTGCTAACATCCAAGCATGTATTTAATTCATTTCACATGACCACACATTTTCGTTTCTTACGCTTAGCGGCGTCAAGAACAAATCGTGTTACTTCGTGAAATAAGTGTTCTAAATTTTCCCTAGTCAGAGATGAACATTCAATATATTTACAGGCACCAATCGTCTTCATTGTTTCCAATCCCTGCGCGGTTGTGACTGGACTTACATCACGTGACTTCAAAATTTCAAGGGTCTTTTCGTCGTTTCTTAGATCAAGTTTGGTTCCGACCAGAAATATCGGTGTACTAGGAGCGTGAAGGCTCACTTCGGGGTACCACTGAAAAAATGATTACGAGAAAAAGATATTTCTGACTTGTGAAAAGATTAATGATATTTCTACATCTTTACACTGTAATTGCAAACATGAGTAACTGTCCTAGCTGTAACTCTTTGCTGTAACTGCGCTTTAATTACCTTTTCCGTTACACTTTCTAGAGAAACTGGTTCTGCTATTGAAAAGCATACGAAAAACACGTCCTAAAGAAAAATAGAGTTGGACCGCTTGTATGAAAAATGATACGAAAAACGTGGTGAAGTAAAGTCAACTGTGATAGGCGCAAAGATAAACCAATCACAATTCAGATTCTATAGCTTATTACAATTCAGCTGATCTAAGTACAAAGATTAACCAATCAGAAGCCAGATCTTCGTGAAAAAAGTAAATTATTATTTCCTTCATTCCGTATGAAGAATTGCATCGCAGGATCAGAGAAATTTACTTACCGTGTCTTTGTAACACGTGGGTCTAAGGCGGTCATAACCATCTTGTGCTAGACGGAAATTTAATAACAAGTCATGTTAGTCTGTGAGGAAAAATAGCCACCGTGTTCTCAGCGCATCTTGCACAGCGTTCTGTTCTTTGCGTAGCGATGAAGCCGGAGTGACTCTTATCCAACGAAGCACAGCAAAAAACTGAATCACATGAAATATCAAATATTTTGTACCTGGTGTATCCCAAAGCTCAAAAGTAAATGGTTTTCCATCGATCATTTTGTTTATCACACATGTGTCCACACTGTCAAGAAATATACATTCATAAACTGAAGAAAAATGAGAACTTTGTGAACTTTGGGAGTTTTTTCATTGATTGAAAGTTCACACATGTAGAGGACGTAAGTTGCTTTTTTGCACCGTTTCCAGTTTGGTCTTAATATCCATGTGTTTCTACAATGGTTTTTCTAAGCTAAGCTAGAACAATCTACATCAACATTCACTACTCACACGTATGGGATATACTCTCCTGGAAACACATCTTCCGTGTATGTCATAACCAATGATGTTTTCCCAACTGCTCTATGAGAACGAAAAGATTGTTCGTGTTTGATATAAATATTCGCCCTGCTTCAAAAGTGAAAACATTTTCAACATGATGAATTTATAAATCACACGCGAGTCTTTGGACACATCGCGTATGTAAAAAATCATCTTCAAACCAAGTTAAACTATCTGAAATCTACTCTGTAAAGTGTTCAGAAATGTCGGTTATATTTCTATCACGAACTGGTCACTTACTGGTGTTGTGGTTAAAACATATAAAGTATTAAACTGACTTGCTTTTGAAAAATAGCATACGTAAGATGTAGGACGGAAACGTGAACGATGACAGCTGTTTATTAAATGAAATTCATGATACCAAAGAGAATAATTGAATAATTGAAATCCCACATCCGTTTAAAACGTAGTTTGGGGCTTGTTTATAACAGCTTATTGCATAATCTTATCCCTGTTTTGCAGTGTCTGACATTACGAGACGGTGCAGTGATATCAAACATAACTACATTCTACAGAAGCAGAACTTTCCTGTCATTATAGGCTTGAAAAAACCGCATTAAATAAGGACTAATTATGCGTTTGTTTTTAATCTTTCATGTGAATTTGTTTTCGGTTTTTGGAAAAATAGCAGTGTCACTGTCAGCTAGTACCCAGGATCACATTATACGCACGGCCACCTCATGCTATATGTTAAGACTTCTTTGTTTGTAATAGTTATACTTTAACTATTCCACTATCGTTTTGTTTTGAAACAAATATGAGCATACATACCCATCACCGACAATCACAATCTTCGCTTTCGTCCAAGGCAGCATAATATCCTTACACTAAGTATCATCGACGATTCTCATCTCATTGTTACCAACATTGAACAACGCAATTCATTTACGAAAACGCACAATCTGGTGTTTTATTTCAACAAGCGGCCTAAAAACATTGCGTTTCGCAACATTTTAATGATATGTGTGCTTTGATTGTGCTTTTACCACTCGCTACTTCCGCTTCCGTGTGCTTATGACGTCATCACCTCTCCTACGCCCAAATGTTATTCTGTGGGTTTATAGCCTGCGAATAACAGAATCTATTTATACGCTGATATGGTTTTTGTTGCATATCAGATTGTTGCAGTTTTTTTTCCACACGGAGGCGATCACGCTGTTGAGACTTGACCCAGGGTTTTATTAGCCCTGGGTACGAGGTGGAAACTAAACTTTGAATTACTGGTGAAATTCAAGAAACTAAAACAGCGATAATTCACACTGATATTGGTGATAAATTCCTCAAAACTTTACAAATACTAATACAAGTTCCCACGTGTTTCAAAACAGCCTCAAAAGGTTTTTTCCGAACTTCATAATTCATATATAGACGGATTATCTAAAGCTTAAATAAGCATTCGAATAAATGAAAAGAAGTTCAGTATTTCAGCGTGCATTTGTCGGATTAGATGCTTAATATTCAGAAATTACAAACATTTAAAACTTTTCGTATTCGTACGTAAAACGTAAACGGAGTCCTCACTGGAGGACAACTCTTCACTCTTGAGTGGTTAATACAAGTCTATAGTTTTTGAATTTCCGTGTCATCCTTTCTGGGATATGTAGCTGATATGCAGCTACTCAAAGAATCCTATTTGTCATCTTCAAAAGTGGCACGAATCATCATTGAATCGTAAACGGTAGACAACCTTGTCAACGTGGGTTTTGACTTTTGAAATTATGTACTTTCAAGCCGATAATGTAAATAATAGAAAAACAATTGAACGGTTTCAGCATGATTTGTTTCCTAAAGGGGGCAATATTCCCACAGGATTTCCCTTTACGTACGTAAATTTGTCGTGGAGTGGATGAAAAAATATAGAGGGAATAGAGGGCATTTTTTACGTGAAAAACTGTGAATGCGTATGCGCATGCGTCGGATTGCGTCGAGAAAAGACGCCGGACGCTTGAGGTCTGGGTACGAAGCCTTGTTTTTGCAAATTTGATGAATTTGTGGTATATTTTTGCAAGCTCATCAGTCATCACTGAAATTCCTGTTAATGATATAATTATGATATTGCATCAAGTTCTATGGAAAGAAATAAAAATTTTTTAACTCCTAAGTCCGAATACCCTCTTATCTAAAGAGATATTCGACTTTCGAGAGTCTAGATCATTTACATCTTACATAAATATTCTATGTGTCTAAATTGTTTTAGAATTCTTGTCAAACTCTAACAAGCGTGAACTACGGAAAGGCATTTAATAGGATTTTGCGCCGACAAATTCTTCCCTACATATTTTCAATGAAATTAAAATACCGAACGACATCCATCCGTAGCTTTTAAAATTATTTTTAAGAGCCTAAAAAATTACTTTGACAATCCACAAGCAAGTTAATTTAGCATTATATTTGTTTCCAAGTAGAAAAAAATTGACTACGTGTTGACTCATATGCATACAGCTGACTGTTCGAGTCTTCGAGAGTGTGGGGGGCGTTTACCCGTACGGAGGAAAGGCCTTATATCCGCCCGGCGCGGGCATGTCTTTTTTTGGCTCCTTGCTGGGGGTGTTATAAAAAGAAGGGTGTGTTTATACCGGTAGCCAAGTTTTTCAAGCAAGAAACAGCAGCACGTTGAGTTTTGCTTCTAAAATCACTTTGTGGACAATATCTTGGCAATTCCCAACCCTTTACGAAGCTTTGTAGTGTATTATTCGGAAATATCTGGTCGTTATGCAAGCGATTAAATGCGTTGTAGTCGGTGATGGGTAAGTATGCTTATGAAATTATTTCACTGTTTGATACAGCGTCGAGCTAGTTTACCGATCAAAGCTCTATTAAACTATCATAATATCGTACTGGTAGTTCACAAAAGGCTTTGGATCGTGTGCTGTCGTGTTGGTTTCCTGCGAATTCGTGTAAAACGTCGAGTTTTTTCGTGAAGGAAGCTCGAAGCATGCTCAATATAGAATTCTTTCGAACAGCTAATCAGGAAATACTGTGTATGTTAGCTAAACCTTGTTTGACAACTGTTGTTTGGGCTTCTTATAAGAAATATTAACATACAGAACTAATTCATGTATTCTTCGTGTTTTAACAGAGCTGTCGGCAAAACTTGTCTGCTCATAAGTTACACAACAAATGCTTTCCCCGGAGAGTACATACCGACCGTGTAAGTTTCGTATGATGACACAATTTTATATATCTAACCTGAACTTTATTTAAAATGCATTGTGATTATTTTTTGAGCTTGAAATCTCTTCGAGCCGGTTTCAAGTGTTTATCCTTGTGATTCTTTACTTTAGTTTCGACAACTACTCGGCGAATGTGATGGTAGATGGAAAGCCTATAAATTTGGGTTTATGGGATACGGCGGGTATGTTGTGTAATATTTGTACTCGACAAGTTGAAAAGCTTTTATTTACATTAGATTTTTACTTCTTAAAGTTATCGTTTTCGCATTTGAACTGTGTATTTCCTAGCTATGTTTTGAAACAAAGCGGTTGTCGTACGCGAGATAATGTTAATATTTTTCTTTCCCTTTGACTTCATTTCTTCTGGTCACAAATTTCGCAAACTTCCTGACACCATTTCACGCCAAGGCAAATTCATTTCCTTGTATTAATCAATAAATTATACTATGCAATTGTATAATGCTAGATACATTAGCTCACATTAGATATATATTAAAGCATTTTTGATATAATCTTTTTTGTTTCGCCTATGCATGTTTTTATATTTAATCCCCAAAATAAATTTCTATAGCACAATAATTACTCAAAAGGGATAGTCTACAAAATGTCTGACTTCAACAAAAGTTGTTGTTTAAAGTGTTGGCATTATGCAACACATTGTACTTCTCCAAGGCACTTGAAATTGTGTTAATGGACTAAGTATCTAAATGGAAATTTATATATATATTTTACGTCAAACTTGGCAAAGCAAAGCTGTAAATGTTAACTCAGACCTATTTGCCTTGAACTAAATCGAAGAACTATGATACTGTAGTCCAACTTGCTTGACATCAAATGTGGAATAGTAAATGCCTAAAATAGAACGCTTCTTGACATTTTGACTTAGTCACTACGAAAACCCTTAGGTAGGAACATTGAAAAGTGGTTTTGTCTATTTTATGCCTTGTTATACCACATTTGATGCAAAGTTGTTTGAAGATGATACCATTGCAGCTCCCTGGTTGTTACTTAACTTGAGTTTAATTGCTCATCATTAAAGCAGAGAGTGATGCCGTCATGGCGAATGATGGGGTTTTCCCATGCATTAATTTATTTCAGCTGATCAATCTAATCCTTGTTCATTCCTTTTTACCTTGTTTCCTGTTTCCATTCCACCCATCAAAACATATGGTTATATTGCCAACCAGTATGCTGTAAATTCAAATATTGTTGAACAACACATACAACCTTGAACACAAGTCATACTGTATATTTGAAGCAGTAATATTCAATCTCTTGCATTTCACAGGTCAAGAAGATTATGACAGACTTCGACCACTTAGCTACCCACAAACCGTAAGTAATGACTTTAACTTTAACTCTCTTTTACGCATTTTGAAAGTTATCTATTTGAACTTTTGTGGAGTACCATTTAGCATGATGTAGTTTTTAAGAGACTCTTACATCTTATAAACTTTAATCCTTTACAGGACGTTTTCTTAATCTGTTTTTCACTTGTGAGTCCAGCGTCCTTCGAAAATGTCAGAGCAAAGGTATTTATGTCTCAGTGCATATCAAAAAAATTTCACTGATCATATGTTATACTGTGGAAATCAAAACCGTTGTGTTTTGTTTTAGTGGTACCCGGAAGTCAGTCATCACTGTCCTAATACACCAATCGTCCTTGTTGGTACCAAACTAGATTTAAGAGATGACAAGGATACCATAGACAAACTAAAGGAAAAAAAGCTGGCTCCGATCACTTACCCACAAGGCCTTCAAATGATGAAAGATATCGGTGCGGTTAAATATTTGGAATGCTCAGCGTTGACCCAAAAAGGTCTCAAAATTGTTTTTGATGAAGCGATTCGTGCTGTTCTTTGCCCGTCTCCCCAAGTTCGAAAAAAGAGTAAATGTTCTATCCTGTAACAAGACTTTGCAATCCAAAACTTTTTTGTGATTGAAACATGCTAGAATGCCTTAAGCAACTCAAATCAAGAACTTGTAGTTATACGGAATTTGATATTAGCGATAGCGAAGCTTTGCGTAATTTTGTCTTAAAAGTATCTTGGTTTGAGTTGGTTAATTTATAATGAAGGTTGCCTAACACAAGCAATTATAAATATTGTGCTGTAATTTCAGTTAAAGTTAGTTTTATAATTCACATTTTGCTTACATGGTGTGATAGACCCTATGCTAGCAATTCTTTCATTTTGTACTAAGTCGGAGAAAAAAAATCAAAAAAATGTGAATTTTGATGTGCGAATTAGCCTGTAATGTATACTGGACTTTAGTATTAGATATTTTATTTTATTCTTTGTTTTATTTCAAATATTCTAAATGGTTCTTGATTATGCTAAGATATTACTTATTCACTCACACACCTTTAAATTGACCATAGATAACTGCAATACAATATCTAACTGGATTACTATTTCAATAAATATTCCTTTTGTGATTTATTTTAAATACTTTATGAGAAATGTAACAGAAATACACTACTTTTCTTTATGAGTGATCAGAGAAGTTTTGCGGTAGAAATTTGTCTCAAATCTTTTGTGTATTTGTCTTTTTGGTATTTGAAATGAGGTTACGTTGTATAAGACCAGATCTGGTCCAAATCTGGTCCAATTTAGATCAGTAATACTCGTGTGGATTTGGGATCAGGTTTAGATTTATTTCAGTAATCCGGGTTTCCTAGAAATGATGCTTCCTAGATAATGGATTATCCCTACCCACCCTTCGAAAGTCATTCCGCAGACCATTCATGCTCCAGGTATTATTAGGTAGTTCAGTGGCTCAAATTCGAATGAGTCTACCGACATTCTGGTCAGCTGAATCACCCTTTAGTGGCGGGAAAAAGGGAGAAAAAATAAACAAAAATTAAATAACTCTTCAAAAGTTCATATTTGACGTTGTTTACATCGATTTACTTTGAAAATATGCCTCAAAGAAGCATAGCGTAAGTAGATATGTGTCTCATGATGAGATATGGCTGATAATCGATTAGATATTAATGCACAATCGATATTAAATTTTTGTACAATATAAAAGTTTATTAGACGTCTATTATATAATTTATAGGTCGTTCTTTTCATCAAAACCTAAGGTCAAAGAAAGCAATAACGAGCAAAAAGACTGTGGAAAATCAAGGTAAATATAATACATAAGGTATAAAGAAATTATGACAAGGTTATATATATTCTACTGTTAATATGGTGATTGGTGAACACTAAGATTACACTCAGAGGTCGCAGTTTGCATGTCAAAACACTTTTGTAAATTGTGCTTCCCATGTGCTGAATCACAGTTGCATAGGGGAGGACTAGTCACCCTTTCCCTTCAGGTATCCCCCACCTCCCTCAAGGTATCCCCCACCTCCCTCAAGGTATTCCTAACCTCCCTCAATAGTGCTTTGCTCCCCCACATTAAGACCCCAGGTATGGCTAATGCGACAATCTTGAATTTTGTTAGAAAGTCCTCAGAAGAATCGTCAATAAAGGATGAAACATTGCCTGGTGCAGATCAATTTTCCCCTATTAAAAAGACAAAGAAAAGTTCAAAAAAAATACTGGTTGACAGCGATGAAGAAGACCAGTTGAATGGAAAAGGTGACCAGGCGAATGGTGATAAGGAATGTAAAAATGGTAGTTCAACAGATGAAGGCTTGAGATCGGCTGAAGAAAGTAAAGAGGTTAAAAGGACAGAAGAACCAAAGTCATGTAGTCCAAATGAAATTCCAAAACGTAAAACTGGTGTGTTTTATTGTTGTACCTGGAGGTTTCTTTTTTGAGGAAAATAGGCTGGGTCTATATGTGGGTTTATAGTGGTCATATTGAATCATAAAATTATTGTTATGCAGTATATTTAAAATGTCCTGGTATTCGGTGAGATGTATCCCATGCAGTGAGCTCAATATGTAACCATTTACATCTGGTATCTTTGCTTCTTCTAGCAAGAAAACACATGAGAAAGAGGAAGGCAGATGAAGATAGTTCATCAAACAGTGATGACCATAAGGCATGGATAGATTACTTAATTATTTGAATAATCACCAGTGCCTCTTCAGTATGCCACACCTACCATACTGTACCATACCATACCATATTTTTCCATACTGTACCATATGCCACACCACACTATACTATATCCTACTTTACCATACCATATTATGTTATACCATATGATACTGTATCATAACATACCATACCAATATATCATACGATACCATATCATATTGTACCATACCAATTATGTTATACCAATATATGATACTGTACCAGATCTACATCATACCATACCATACCAAACCATATCACACTCTACCATACCATGTCATACCATACCATACCATACCTCACTAAGCTATAACATACGGTACCAAAGAACAATGTACCATCCATATTACTGTGTCATACCATATACTACGTATGTACCATATCAGTCGATCATCATACCATACTGTACGTTCCATACTTACTATACCACACTATACTAGCCATACTGTAACAAAAGCTCCAAGCTCCAGCTCAAAACCACGCTAACCCATATATCTCTTTAAAAATCATCCTTATTAAAAAGCAACTTACCATCCCCTAGACTGTAAAGAAATCAAAGACAAGTGACAATACAGAAACCTCAATCAAATCTGAACCAATGGACACCGATGAAAATAAACCAGAAACAAAGAATGAAGAGAGCAGTGAAGTAAAAAGTGAAAAAGGTCAAACTGATATAAAAAGTGAAGAAGACAAAACTGATATGGAAGATGAAGTTAAGAGTGAAGTTAAGGAAGGGAATAATAACAAAGTTGACACTGTAGATAAAGACAGCTCATCTCCTAAACCAAAAAAGACGTTCCACAGTTTCTTTGGTGGGTATACCTGGAATCATTTCACATGTTAAAATTTACTCAAACATCAATTGTGTTTGAAGGAGAAATTCTTTGTGAATACTTTGATGAAATTCGGTCGTTTAAGGTTTCATTTAGCGAAAGCATAACCAAAGTTTGAATCATTTCAAAATTAGCGATAAAACATGTTTGTTTCATCAGCCCAGCTTGTCACTTTTCATCTTTGCTTTGAAACTATTACTGCAGTGTTTCAATTAAAAATTGTATGTTTTTTTAGGAAAACCCTCTTCAAAGTCTGAAGCAACAAAAACTGAAGATGCCTCCAGGTTACCTAAATGCCAATGATAGTGTTCATCCATTTATATTGCTTGGAAATTTTGTTAATAAAGTATTTTGTTCCATCCATCTTTGATTCTAGCAATGGAGAAATTGTTGACTCTAGAGAATATAACCCTGAAAAGAACACTTACCATCCTATAAAACACGCCTGTTGGAAACACAAGGAAAGGTTTGCATTCAGCCACAACTCCAATTCAAATAAATGGTTATCCAGACACACTGTATATTGTGTTCATTTTCACTTCTATCTTTCCCTAGAGTCCCTTATTTAGCTCTCGCCAGAACCTTTCAATCGATTGAAGACACATCAGCCAGGTTCTGAATCATATCTTTGCTGTAACTTTTTTATTTAAACTGCTCAGCGTTTATCCTAGTTTTTGCTGCCTTGCATTCTTTTCATATCTCAAATATCTTGTTTTAAGGTTGAAAATTACATCGACTTTGTGCAATCTTTTTCGCTCGGTGATAGCTCTAACCCCAGATGATCTGCTACCAACTTTATACCTCTGCTTAAATAAGGTAAATATGTGTCTTTTAAATTCAATTAAATTATTTTAGTCTTGAGTAATAAATGCAGTTTAACACAATTTTTTTCTTCATGATATTTCTCAATAGCTTGCGCCAGCCTATGAAGGTATTGAACTTGGTATTGGTGATGGTGTTTTGATCAAAGTTATTGCAGAAGCTACTGGTAGGTTTTTGTTTGAATTTGACTTTGGAAACTTAAAATTATAGTTTACTCAGTTTGCAAGATGGCAAACTGATTTTCAACTGAAAGATTTTATTTTGGAATATCCCTATGCAACTTTAGCATAAGTGTATGCAACTTTAGCATAAGAGTTAGTTTGCAAACAATGCCAGCATATTTCGATTTCAAACATCATGTGGTTTTAAGGTCGCAGTTCCCAACAAGTCAAATCTGAATTTGCAGAAAAGGGGGATCTTGGAATTGTTGCTGAGGTACTGTATGTGTCCCACAGTGATTATCATTCTCTGTTGTAAATGTCCATATAGAGATCACATGGTATTCATTTAATTGGATAATTATATCAGAATTCTGAAGCTCAGCCAGTAAACTCTTCATCTTTTCTTCAGGCCAGTCGTTCAACACAGCGGACAATGTTCACCCCTGCCAAACTTACCATTGTTACAGTTTACAACAAGTTAAAAGACATTGCTATGATGACTGGACATTCAGTAAGGATGTGTACTGTTTTGGTATGGTGTGGTGTGGGGTAGTATGGTACTGAATAGTTTGGTATGGCATGGTATGGTACTGAATAGTTTGGTATGGCATGGTATGGTATATGGTATAGTGTGGTATGGTATGGTATATGGTATTGTGTGGTATGGTATTGCATGGTGCTGTATGGTGTGATGTGGATGTGATGCTGTATATTGATAGGTTGAAGTGTTATAGTATATAAGCTTGTTTGAACTCTCCATACAGTCAGTCAATCGTAAAGTGGACAAAGTGAAAAGTATGTTTGTGGCGTGTCGTCAATCCGAGGCGAGATACCTAACAAGGTGAGCACAATATATTCACTTCATACTTCATGTAGTCGTATCATTCAAACCCTGCTTCTTCAACACCAACAACACCTAAAACCAAGTCCTTTTCCAGATCCCTCGCGGGCAAACTCCGTATCGGACTAGCAGAACAAACTGTCCTCACAGCTTTGGCGCATGCTGTCGTCTTCACCCCCCCGAGCAAAGGTTTGTCAGCTTCTATGAAACGTTCTTTAGAAATGAACATATTTCAAGATTGACCTTTTTGGCTTTTATATTAGATTTTCCTCCTGAAGTATTGGACGCCAGTAAAGGTTTATCTGCCGAGAGTTTTAAAAAGAAACTCGATGAGGCTGCTTTGTGTATCAAGACGTGTTACTGGTAGGTTTTGTTGCGAGATTTGGTCAGATAAGGGAAATCTAGCTACTGATATACATATTAATACGAGTTTTGTGGAATCTTTTTAGCGAGTTGCCAAATTACAATCTTCTTATTCCTGCTTTGCTTCAACATGGTTGGCGAGAATTACCAGAGCATTGTCATCTTACACCAGGTATAATACCGCAAAATAAATCTTAAACTGTTCTTTCTAGAGGTCCGGTAAAGATCATCTCTTATTGATCCAGTGTTACTACAGGAGGAAACCTAAACTAAACTAACTTTATTTACACTGGATAGTTCTATCAGTTCTGAACTGTTCTTCCGAGGGGTCCAGTAAGGATCATCTCTTATTGATCCAGTGTTACTACAGGAGGAAACCTAAACTAAACTAACTTTATTTATACTGGATAGTTCTATCAGTTCTAAACTGTTCTTCCTAGAGGTCCAGTAAGGATCATCTCTTATTGATCCAATGTTACTGCAGGAGAAAACCTAAACTAAACTAACTTTATTTATACTAAATAGTTCTATCAGTTCTAAACTGTTCTTCCTAGAGGTCCAGTGAGGATCATCTCTTATTGATCCAGTGTTACTACATGAGGAAATCTAAACTAAACTAACTTTATTTAAACTGGATAGTTCTATCAGTTCTAAACTGTTCTTCCTAGAGATCCAGTAAGGATCATCTCTTATTGATCAAGTGGTACTACTAGACGAAACCTAACTTTGTTTTTACTGGATGATTGCTCTATCACTTGCACCGCAGGTCTTGTAAGGATATCTTCATTTTCTTAGGTGTTCCATTAAAACCGATGTTGGCTCATCCAACGAAAGGTGTAGATGAAGTTTTCAAAAGATTTGAAGATGCTTCATTCACTTGTGAATATAAATACGACGGAGAGAGAGCTCAGGTGAGCTGGCAGCATAAAAAACTGCACCATCGCATTCGCTTGGAAATGATTGAAACCATTTCGGGCTAAATATCCAAGAGGCATCTGAAAAGCAACGAGAATTTTTAGGAATTGGCGTTTTCATTTTAGATCCACGTTTTGAACAACGAGGATATTCGCATTTATAGCCGTAACCAGGAGAATAACACCACGAAATATCCGGATATTATTGCAAGAATGTCAAAGGTAAAAGGATTCGTTTCACAGAGTAATTCAATTGTATTTTATATTCGATAAACCCACCGTAAGTTTTTCCCCCTTTTTAGGTCCTAAAAGAGAACGTGCAGTCGTGTATTATTGATTCAGAGGCCGTCGCGTGGGATCCGGAAAAGAAACAGATTTTGCCATTTCAAGTTTTAAGCACAAGAAAAAAGAAAGTACGTAATTAAACTGATATTTCTTCAGATTTGACGATTGAAGGGGCATGAACCAATCAAGTACGAGAGGTTTTTCGGATTAACCAATCACGAGCGCTATAGATCAGCAAGAGGAAGGTCATGAACCAATCAAATGCGAAAGGTTTTTCGAATTAACCTATCACGAGCGCTATAGATCAGCAAGAGGAAGGTCGTGAACCAATCAAATGCGAGAGGTTTTTCGGATTAACCAATCACGAGCGCTATAGATCGGCAAGAGGAAGGTCGTGAACCAATCAAATGCGAGAGGTCTATGAGATCAACCAATCACGAGCGCAATAGATCAGTGTGGGGTGTCGAAACTTGTGGAAGTCAAATCTCAAACCTGGTTAAATTTTTATTATTTTTGAGCAAACTTTCGAATGAAAGCCTGCAGTCTTCAGCAAGCAAGTGATAATGAATCACAAGAGATTAACAATGCTTTACAATTACATTACATACACGATCAATTAACACTCCCCGCTGCAAACTAGATAAGATATTTATGTACAAGAAGATGGTTTAAACGTTTTTAAGATCTTTTAAACCAGTATATCGTTCAGAAAAGATTTTCGCGTTATCATCAGCATAAATAGTGTGCCAACTCTTGGCAATAGTTTGCTTTGTAAATATCCAATCCAGAGAACATTAACTATATTAAAATGTTTCTTCAGGATGCCAATGCTTCAGAGATAAAAGTTCAAGTGTGTATTTACGCGTTTGACTTGCTTTATTTGAATGGAAAGGTGAGATTTTGAATTTTTTATCATTCTGCAGTAATCAGAACCTTCTGTAGTTTGTAGATTTTTTTCAACTTTTGTATTCTCATATTGTATTCTCATTCTAATTTTTGCTGTGATTTCATGTGCGCTTTTCCTCTTTTGATAGATGTGAACGAGTGAGTTAGTTACTGAAGTTCAAATAAGAGCTCTTATATTCAGAACATTCGTAACTAATTACTCGTTCACATCTATCGAAATGAGAAAATCGCAGATAAAATGGCAAGTGTGTACGAGCCTTTATGGATCTTCAATTTTTTTGTAGTCTTATGTCAAAGAGCCTTTCAAAGTCAGACGAGAATTATTGAGGTCTTCACTGAACGAGATTGAGGGCGTAAGTGAAATACGAATTTAAGATATAACCTGATACAACTGTTCTGCTTTTTTGCAACTCTGCATGCGTTTGACTATAAACTACCTCGGATTAGCATGAAAACCTCAATCTGCTATTCTGTACGTTTTAAGGGGTTCATCTTTGCAAAATGCATAACATCCACAGACACAGACGACATTGCTGAATTCCTGGACGAGTCTATCAAAGGTGAGTTTCATCAGGCCTTGAAAGAAACATTTGTCATTGACTGTGTCGCTACACAGGAAATCGAAGATACTCACATGAAACTTTGATTCAAGAGGCTCATGTTTTTAACGTTCTGTTACCGCTATACATCTGCATATATATTACATCTTCTCATGATTTTTTTTCAGGAAACTGTGAAGGGTTGATGGTAAAAACGCTGGAAGTTGATGCCACATATGAAATAGCTAAGCGATCACACAACTGGTTAAAGGTGCAAATGATCTCATTTTTATAGCTTTATTTATACTGGATAGCTCTATCAGTTCTAAAATGTTCTTCCTAGAGGTCCAGTAAGGATCATCTCTTATTGATCCAGTGTTACTACAGGAGGAAACCTAAACTAAACTCTAACTTTATTTATACTGGATAACTCTATCAGTTCTAAACTGTTCTTCCTATAGAGGTCCAGTAAGTATAATCTCTGATTGATCCACTGTTAAACTATACTAAATTTATCTCTAACGATCTAATTTCGTTTTATTTAGTTAAAGAAAGACTATCTTGAAGGTGTTGGCGATACGCTGGATCTTCTTGTGATGGGAGCATATATGGGAAAAGGAAAGAGAGCTGGTCGTTATGGCGGCTTTCTGGTCGCTTGCTACGACGAGGAAAAAGAAGAATTCCAATCCTGCTGCAAAGTATGAACACGATGCATTCCAACTTGTCTCACATACTCTTGTTTCGTGTCTCGACGACCCTAATCCTCTGTAAAGCTCTTTTATTCAGCTTTATCCATGATAAATATCAATGCGAAATGACTGTTGTTATATTTTTTAATCAAACAATCCATACACGGCATGAAGACGCCTTAAATATCATTCTAAAAATGGGTTGCGTGTTTTAGGTCAGCACTGGTTTAAAAGATGAAGATCTAGAAGCTCAGTATAACCTATTTCAAGAACATATTATTGCGAAACCAAAACCTTATTATCGTTTCGATCAAAGTCTTGAACCTGATGTTTGGTTTGATGCAATCAAGGTAAGGGGAAATGTTGGACTTGTTAAATTTTTTCTGGGCGGCTTTGGGTACACAAGCATTCCCTGGTGTTTGTGAAGAACTGATTGACAGAATGAGACTATCAATAAGAGATGATCCTTACTGGACCTCTAGGAAGAACAGTTTAGAACTGATATAGTTATCCAGTATAAATAAAGTTAGTTTAGTTTAGGTTTCCTCCTGTAGTAACGCTGGATCAATAAGAGATGATCCTTAGTGGACCTCTAGGAAGAACAGTTTAGAATTGATTAAGCTATCCAGTATAAATAAAGTTAATTTAGTTCAGGTTTCCTCCTGTAGTAACACTGGATCAATAAGAGATGATCCTTACTGGACCTCTAGGAAGAACAGTTTAGAACTGATAGAGCTATCCAGTATAAATAGAGTTAGAGTTTAGTTTATTTAGTTTGTAGAACGGTTCAATTTATACTGATATTTCTCTTCTCAAGATTTGGGAGGTAAAATGTGCTGACCTCTCAATCTCTCCCGTCCACAAAGCCGCAGCTGGGATTGTAAGTATACAAAATTATCTATCGCATTTACCCAAGCTGGAGTAATGGTAGGAATGAATCCATGTTTTGTAAATGTAGGTTGACTCTGAGAAAGGAATCTCGTTGCGTTTCCCAAGATTCATCCGCGTACGAGAAGACAAGAAACCAGAGCAAGCCACGTCCAGCGTTCAGGTAAGCCATATTACCGTAATTTTGTAATACCACAAGACAAGTTAAACATTTGAGGTAAACGACTAAATTTTTAATAACAAACATGTTTCGGCTTACACTAAGTGAAGTAAACTGAATATTCTTAGCTCACTTCGCACTGAAGATGGCTTCGTGTAAGCCGAAACATGTTTGCTATTAAAAATTTACTCGTTTATCTCAAATGTTTAAGCCATATTAACTATGGGTAAGCCTAGTTCGAGCTTATTTCCTCCCACATGCGAGATGATGGAAAATTGCCAGACCTGTCTGCGCAATCTCTCATCGTAGTTCAACCACAGGCATGAAGTTTCTCGACACTGGCAAAAACTATTTCCATCCAGCGTCTTATCAATAAAACATAAATACCAAGTGAGGAATGCACGTAAGACACTTAGGAAGCTGTTCAATGAACCATCTTATTTCCTAAGGTGGCGGAAATGTACAGAAATCAGGACACAGTAAAGAACAATCAGGCCGCATCAAGCGTCAACGCTGGCGATGACCTTGACGATTTCTATTAATCCCTCGCGAAAAGACACCCATGTACGTTATCACGGATTATGACGTCCTCAAAACGCCTGCCGTGTCAAGGTGAATCCTAAAAAAAACTATAGCCTTTCTTATTTAAACTTGCTGCAAACCTATTATTCACCTAATTTGACAATCTCCTTGTGTCTAAAAGGACGTAATTGGCCACCGTTCTGTATTATCTCTCGCACGATTTGAGTGCATTAAAAAAAAGAACACGATTTATGTTTTAGTTTGATTACTAGTAGTGAAGATTCGCTTTAGGAAACTACTATCAAAGCACAGCAGTTATGCGGCGATCTTAACTGTAAAAGGCTTTAGTTGTTTTTTTACTCACCCTGGATATAAACCAATTTATAAGCATATCTGAATTAGCCTTTGGATGTGACTAAAACATGAACTGCGGCGTACGGAGTATGGAATCAGAACTGGTTAAGATTGTAACCTTTGTAAGACTCTCTGTAAGCCATCTCTGCTCCATTCACGACACGGTTACGATCGCTTTACGAGCATGCCACGACCATATACAGTGAAAACTAAACTTTACAGAATGAGACCATGACTTGTTCGTGATTTAAAACTCGTTCGAGGAATTTCATTTCCCTAAATTAGGCAGTACAACTTATAGATAACTTATTATAGTATATAATATGGGCCTAAGTTTCTGAACTTTGATAAAGCGGAGATTAACTAAATTTTGACCATCTATTTTTTCACTCAATAATAAACCATAGTTTTTAGTACAATTATCAGTCTTCAATCATTTTGTATTTGCTTGTTTTATATCCTTGATGAGATCAAGGCTTGTGCGATGGTTGACTTTGAAATCGATAAGAAACAAACTCGTAAATGCTGTACAAACCTACAATCCAAACCTTAGTTCCATTTTTTGCATCCATTTCCCTGAAATCCAGTTTATCACGATACCATTGTCAGTATGAAATGTACGTGGAACATTTGAGTTTTTCTTCGGCTAATTAAGTTCTTGAATATTCGCACGAACAATGCCGTGTTTTGTTGCATTGACCGGAAAATAATTTTTATCTTCCTATCAAGACGACACTCAAAACACGCCTCGAAAAATGAACAGCCAGCATTTTACAATGCGATATAATTAAGTCAATTCACTTGATCATCGCTAATTATCCTCGTAATTATCATTAGAAATTGCAAGCGTATCATTACGAATAGCAATTCGTCAGCTGAAAATTTATTTGAAAGCAAAACAAAAAACTAAAAATGCATGCTAAAGAGATTTAAACACATTCATTAGGAGATAAACAAATAACACGAGATCCTAAACACATTAACGGTATGACGGTAGTCCGCAAAAGGTTGACGCAGTAGGTCTTTTAAAACAGAATCAATAAAGTCTAACGGAGATATAAGCAAATTTAAGTGCATTGGATATAGAATTACTGTAGATGAAGACCACCCCGCTAGTGACGGGAAAACATCACAGGGTAAGGGAAACAACAGAAAAGAATTGCAATTTAAGTCCATCAGAGCTCAGTAAATGCAATGAAATCGATACAAAACCCAGTGTGACCATATAAGAATATTTTATGAGCAAAGCTGCTCAAGTCCTGTTAGACTGCCCCTCCTGGAAGAAATTTTGTAATTATTAAAATCAGGGGCTGTTTTATGTGCATCTAGAATAAAGATTACAAAATACGGTCACCCTGACAAGACCCATTAAAATCGAGAAGTGTATACGGGGAGGGGCAGGTCCACACCCACACCCCATCTCCCTCTACCCGCAATTCCCCACACCGTTCCACAAAGATGATGCAATTCAAATCAAATTCAGTTTCTTTTCTTTCATTCAAAGTTTACTTTTCACTGTAGTTACGTGAGTCGAGTGTGCCGTTTGTTTCGTGTGGGTGTAAATATTCCTGGTTTCACAACAAAGACGATAATGTCATGTTTTCAAGCACGCGTCACGATGACGTCAAAGCCATTATAATATCGATCAAAACGAAGTCTAACGTTCTCCTTAATTACCTCGTTTGCACGTAGTGGCCGGCTTTTAACGCGTCAATTGACAATGTTATTATTTTCGTTCGGAATCCCCATTTCGCAAGGAGTCAGATGCCAGAAGTTCACATTAGAGAGCTTTAGCAGTGACTACGAGTACGAGATTCGTCATTCTCGCGCGTTGTTTGCTTACGCCATCAGCCAAAACTCGTATCACATGTGCTCGTAGTCGCCGAGTCACTGCTAAAGCTCCCTATTTAGCCAAACAAAACAAAACAAAGTCAATTTCTCTAAGGAAATGATCATTTGAAAAAGACTTTGAACGTATCAAAAAATTCTATTAACATTTCAAATTTTTAAAACGACAAAGAGTAAAAAAATATTCTGAGTTCATTAATTTTATTTCACTTTACGATTTAAGAAACTCGAGTGTTGTAATAGCTCTTTATGAAAACAATGCCTGTCACGATTTATATACTAGCGACGTCACCCAGTCACCCTTCGAGCTAATATTCAAGTTCCTTTTAACCGAGTTCTCGTGTTATATTACAAAGCGATAACTGCTTCTTAAAAATTACATTTGTGGGAGGTATGATCACGTTTAAAATGATCATCCCTGAGGAGAAACAAGCTGTTTCTTGTCCCAAATAGGGCTTAAACCGATAAATAGCACAAACTTCGTACTTCTCGCTGGAATTGCGGATGCCATTTCTCGAAAGTAGGCGTGTTATGACGTATAATGTTGTCATGGATTTTTTAATCACCTCATATTTGCGTCGGTGGCCAGCTGGAAACGCCGGAAATTGTAAATAAAAGATTGAAAGTGTTGATTTAATTCTTTCGCCTCACGGGAAGAAATCGCTCTGCATATATTATTCTGCTGCAAATATGTTTTGATGTTTTTTTATGTTAATTTATTTCTCTTGCTCTACTGTGTTGGGAAAATTGCCTCATTTCGTACAATCCTGATAGACCTATCCTTTGGTCTAATACATGGTGTTTCCACACTTTTCGGGCGATATTTTTAGAGAAAAGTAAATTGTAGCAACTGATTTTGCTATCTTGCAATCTTGCTCGTGCATTTTAGACAAAAAGACTTCTCGTACTTTAAAAAAAACGTTATCAGGCCTCTCGCACTTTTAAAAAAACGTTATCAGGCCAACGTCAAAGCTTGACAATTTCCGTCATAAACAGTTACCAAACGTTGAACTCGATAAAGGCATTCGCACCATGCACAAAATGACGTCAAGTGCGCTTGGATTTGCACCGCCAATGACTGTAGAAAATCGAATACCTCGATTACCAGTCTTTCAGAGTCTACATTCCTTGATTATCTTTCAGTTCATTATTATATTAGTCCATTAGTTGGTCTTCAAAACGTTAACTGATTCTCTCGAAGTACCGAAATAGACAAATCCGTACATCAATTGCCTGAAATATAGCAGAGAAGAAGATTGCCATCGTCAAGAGAGTGACGTATATGTTCATCAGTTTACGAATTGATTTGCCCATTTTGGTTTTTGAAGACGTTGCCAATGTATTTTGTGGCGCTGAATATGCGTATTTTATCCGAACGGCTACTGAGAAAGGGTAGGCTGCCACAACGCCCTAAAATGGGTAAACTACCTCGTGAGAGTTTATAATTAGAAGCATTATCACATGGGTCAAGAACAGGGACCTCAAGAATTTACGATATGCTTTAAGCAGTTGATTACTGTAAAAAGTTTAGAAATCTTATCGGCCCTTGGGTCAAACTAGTCACGACAAAACTCGCCCCTTTGTGCGTGGCTTGAACTAAGTATGGGGGTGTGCATAAAATAAGTGTGTATTTCTATTCTGTGCTCTATCCATTAGCGAACTCAGATACAGCAATGCGTTGTATTAGAGTTTACTGGCCCTACCCCATTGGCCATCGTGTGCTTGCGATAATGTCAGACAAACGTAGACAATTTTAATGATCACAAATATTAGAAGTGCGCTTTCGGTATTTAATATTCCTATGATTGTTTCCTGGTTGTTGACCCTATTCATAGCTTTTTTCCAAAACAACAACTTTAGCTACTTTCCATGCTGACGTCATAGACGTAGATCACGTGAACGTTACACTCGTGCACTAATTAAACGCTCCTCTGAAAATCTTCTTTTTGCGGTATTTCAATTTGAATAATAAGGTTGATACTCGTGTGCTACATAGGCAATATGCTACACTAACCCAAGTTATGTAGGTTGAGACCTTGCTGGGTTTCCCCCAGGTTTTTTTTAAACCCAGAGGTCTCTCAAATTCTAAACTTCAAAAACTCGCAATGGATAATGGTGTAGGGAACTTTCTGTCTCGCTTTCTGCAAATGAGGCAAGGTTAATTTGCTAAAAAAGATTTGAAGCAATTTGCTGGGCTTTTATTTTATTAACTTCCGTAGGTGGAATAATTTAATAAAAAGTGGCAAATCGTCATCTTTCCTTTGAAGCTTGAATATTTTCATTACTGAATACTACCTAAGAAGTCTTTCTTTTGCGCACCTCGGTAACTCATTTATAAATCATTCTTCTGCATCTGACTCACGGGCTAAAATTTGTTACAAAGTCTGAATGGAATGTAACATTTCGTAGACAGTACAGTATCTCGGAAACAGAATGTCACAAATTGAAATATTCTTTTTTATATTCCATCGTTTCGAATGAGTTGTCTAGCAATTATGATAAACATTCACCAGGAAATCATGGGACGAATTGTTAACGATCTCTTGTCTTTGTCAAGTTTCGAGTGTTCATTTCCATTAGAAAGCCGAAAGCGTGTTTTGTTTCAGGAACAACAAAACCTTTGGCTTGCTTTTTACATTTGTGCGAGTATAAAACACTAGATTTGCCTAAAGAAACCAAGACATGAATACCAAACATATTGACATTAGGTCTTGCTGTGTTCGACAAGGTCGAATGTTGAACATTTGGTTTTAATTTTAGCTGCCGTTCGAGTGCTTTGAAAAACGTGCAATATGGCCCTTTGTTGTTAATGTTTTACCCAAATATGGGGAGCTCGTTGACATAATAATCTTGGCCTTATCAAAATAGCTGTGGGAGGGGTGTGACGTCACAGTACAATATTGAAGACGCGTGATTGGCAGAACACATAGGCGGCCTCCTATTGGTTCCCTTCGCGTTTAATCGTTTGTTCGTTTCCGGACACCCACCAATCAGATTCGAGCATCCGTAGATAAATACACACAGTGTTATTTTGGGAGCCCCACTCGTTTGTAGTATTTTCTTGTGTAGAAGTACGTGCACGAACAACAACAAATCTCGACAAAGAATCAAGCGATGCTCTTAGAAATCCAGATCGCGGTTAGCTTTCTAACGTCTTACTTGTACAACAAGTTACCTAGACGTAGAGTGGACTTGTTCGGCGTCGAATTAACGAAGCAGTTGAGGGAGAAGTTCGAAGGACATTGGTACCCTCAGCGTCCTTCGAAAGGAAGTGGCTATCGTTGTTTATTAATCGGTGATGATCTCGATCCCGTTCTTGTAAACGCAGCAAATGACAGTGGTTTGAGTTTGGAAGAAATACGTTCCAGCTTGCCTGATAAATTAACAATGTGGATAGATCCTGACGAAGTCTCTTATAGAATAGGTAAAAAAGCATTGTATCTATTGCCTAATTTGCTTTCCTCTGAGGGCATATAGAAAACCTACTTTAGTGTTATTAAAATACGCTCTCTTTTCCTTCTACAATATGTCAACATTCGTATAAGACTGCTTTCTTGAAAAGGCAGTTTCACCCTTTGATTTTAAGTCCGCGTGTTGTAAGAATACTATGTGCAAAGTACACTTCAAACCGAAAGTAAAATTGCTTGCTCAACGTATCTTCCTTCTAACTTAGATCTCCCACAACTCGTATTTCCATAAAACTTCGTAGCATCCCCAGACAGATGTTTGACTGATACTTTATTGGCGTTCATTTGAGAGAGGAAACACTGGGAGGGTATTTTTGTCCAGCTTTCAGGAAACTGAGCAAAAATTTGAAAGGTCATGAAATTTTCTCGGGTCTTCCCCTTAAGCGTATTGTTTTGATCGAAAAGTCAATTTGTCCCCGAGCCAGATTTGTTGTTATGAAAGCATGCAACTAATACATGGAATAGATTTATGTATTGCTTTAAGATATTTTAATATGGGCAAAGGGTTTTAAACGTTCTTTCCTTGTGCTTTTGTAGAAGACCAACTCGTTGTAAAAGTCATATACCAAAAAGACAAGTATGGGGAATTGGAGAACCTTGCCGAATTGGAAGGCTTCAATGCCCAACAAATGTACGCTGTTTCCACGACGAGTCCAAGTACAATACACACAAGTGAAGTTGAACAAACGTACAACCGTTCGCCTATTCAAACATCGCCATTAACCATGCTTTCTAACACCAACCATTCGAACTATTCCTTATGGAGTACAGAGGAGAACGTACACACGCAAACCCCAGTCGATAGTCGCCTTTCGCCTAACGCGCAAGAGTTTAGATATCCCGTCGCAAAACAGAGTCAACACTCGCCAACGAACAGTCTATACCAGAAAGATTCGCTTAGGTTTAACGAATTTCCAAGTTATATGTGGTCAAATTTAAGCGAGACATCTGATCGAAGGCAGGAATACACCTCGCTACAGTCTATCTACTCAAACTGGCTCGACTCTTCAAATTCATACAAGAGAAGTTATAATGCTTCACAACTCGAAGTTATGGCCTAAAAAATTTCAAAATAGGACTCTTTATTGAACTCGGAATTAAAGAAAAGAAACATTCTAGTTTTTTAATATTTCTCGCCTACACGCGAGCAAGCGGGGTTGCTTATAAATGGCTAGGGTTTTGCTTTCCTTTATAAAGGAGATTTGAAAATTTGTTGTTGAAGATTGTGTACAAATCGTTGTAAAACTGTATATATAGTTTCGTATGCTCGACACCCATTGTGTAAAATGTAAGATAGTTTTGAAACGTAAGTTATTTCGGCCGAACCGAATGGATTAATGGCATTCATGATTCTCTTTTGTTGTTGTTACGAGTTTAAAGGCCGCACTGCTATCACTCACTATAATGGCAGGTTTAATCACCGAGGGTTACTAGTGAATAAGTGTTAACATTACTGTACAATATTTCGACTTCTGCAGAGCAGCAAAAGGAAAAACATTGAAGTTGTCTATCATACGTGTGGATTTGTAAGAGAAAATTGTGTAAAATAAAGCATTACAAAAATCAATCGGGCTGGTGTTGTTTTTGAAATTCATGGCGGGGGTCCTCAAAAGAATGGTAGATTTCATCAGAGATTTCATGCGTGCATGAACACGAAAATTGGGGGTATTATATCCCATTTTTTGATTTGTTACACATCCCATTTTTGATTGGTTACTGTGTTGTAGTCATCCTTTTAAGAAAAAACCTATTCCCGGAGAGTAATGTTTCTACAGAAACGCTGAAAATGTTTAAAGCCCGCATGAATGGACTGCTTTCTAGCGAAAGAAATACGATACTCGGTAGTCTCTGCTTGTATATATCTTGTAAACAATGTCATTACAACTGGGGTATTCTGGAAATCTAGGATTCGGGCAGGAAGCCAAGCAAAACAGGAATTTCCGATTCGTTACGACAGTTAGTGGCTTGTTGCTACCTTGTTCAAGTGTTTGAATAAGTGTATTGTAAAAGAACTGCGAGGAAGGGTGGTTTCAAGTATTCATTTGGTATTTATGAACTATGTTAGAAATTTGAAGCGGCCGAATCTGTTCCGGCAGTAAAAGAACCGTACCTAAAAACCACGATGTTTTTTTAGGGTATAATTAAATTTTACAGAAAGTATCGCGCGGCGCACGTCATATGAATGTCTGTCTGCCTTTACGAAATTGGTTCTTATATTTTTCTCTGACAAGATTTCAAGAAGGTTCTTCAAAACATAAACAAATATTTACAAACGAGGCCATTACCATTGGGTTGGATTTAGATGTGAATAGACTTAGTATAGATGGGTTAGATATACAAATTACAACCCATATTCCTAAATCTATTGATTGTAACTTTGAATATATTGATCATATCGGATCTCCGCATTCATAACGTCTTTCCTCAAAACTAATCCGTCGAATGAATTAGTATATATAGCTCAGTGATTAAGCTATCCTAATCCCTTACAGTCCCCTACTATCCCTAGAAATTAAACTCTCTCCCGAATTCTCCCAAACTATCCTAACATCACCACAAGCAACCTATCTTCACCCAATTTATCCTACCTTCGAAAGTCCAAGGATCAATATTTTAAATATTTTGGTCGAATTATTATTTATTGTTTCTCCTTAAAATTTCTCAAAATATTACCAATACGATGCATAAACTTTTATGATACTAATGAATTTCTCGCCATGAAGAAAGATGTGCGGATATTACTCGTGGGAGAAGGTAAAAACAGATCATTTCATGTTTGTTTTGAAGTAATTGTACCTGAGACCTGAGAGTCACTACAAATTTTACATTTTTACAGTAATGATATTGTGCACGACTTATACACCGCATTGAAGCATGCAATTTTATTATCCTTTATTACTATTACTTTTACTTTACTTGTACCTTTTACACGAAGTGAATGAACATTGGAATCACCACAGGCAGTTCTATACAACTTTGCATATTTCAGACTATAAACAAATATAATTCAAAGATCCAATGGAATTCATGGACTGTATGCAAATTTGCTTGGCTAGACTCTCGAATGCGAGGGGCATTTGTCTCGCATCAATCAATCACTTTTTATCTTGATTATATCCAATCAATAGTTTGAGTAGTCAATCAATAGTTCGATTAGTCAATCAATAATCACTCCAGTCAACATTCTCAAAACAGTGCTATTATTAATTTATTGCTTAAAATTTTACACTTTTTTGAAGAGAGAGTTGGTAAGACGTCACTAATTTTGTCATTGGTCAGCGAAGAGTTTCCTGAAGATGTACGCACACACAATTTTTATATTTACCCTCAATTTAGTATGTATTTTATTTTCCTATCGTGCTGTTGTCATCAACAATATATACTATTCCTGATATTAATCAAGGTACCATGTCGTGCGGAAGAGATCACCATTCCTGCAGATGTTACACCTGAAAAGATACCAACCCATATTGTAGATTACTCTGGTTTGGAACAAACACCAGAGGCATTAGAAGATGAAATTGATAAGGTATTTTGTTTAGTTCTGACAAGAAAAGCAATGATATGTCAAAGTATTTCATGTGACTCGAAACTTCATAACTGGGGGATTCTCCGGTCATACACATTACAACATTGCCGTACCCTCAGGCTTCATATCTTGAGTGTAACAAAATAGGATAGCAGTCAGTCAGTGTCACGCATGTGTGTGACCAGAGAATGACCCAACTGCAAGCAAGGGTGAATCATTTTGTTGTTTTGTAAAGGCTGACGTGGTGTGCATTGTGTATGATGTAACAGATCCTGATACAATTGACAAGGTGCAGTAAAATTCCTTGATAATATGATTATATGAGTATACAGAGTATCTGCACATGCAGCCAAGAAGATTAGAATAGAGTAATATATTGCTCAAGGTATAATTTCAATTCATTTCTAACAGATTGAAAGCTATTGGATTCCTCTTGTATTGGATTCCGAAGATGATGAAGGAGTTTTGCAAAACAAACCCATCATACTGGTTGGAAATAAGGTAATTTGGTAATGAATATAATCTGATCTTTTTTCTAACAAATTTGTTCAAGATGCAATTAAAAGCAGCTTTTACTTAATTTGCTAAAATTCTCCATTGACAGAGTGACCTTTCTGAGCAGAGCACAATGGACGTAAGTTACATCTGACAGAGGTTCACATTGCATTTATTGTAATTTTTTAGTCATGATGTAATCTGAACTAAAGCCAGATAAATATTGATATAGTAATAGTGCAAAGACTTTCAAGCATTCAATGCGTGATGGTAGTTGATTATCAAGCAACTTTGAATTGCGATATTGCTCTGCTTAGAAGTGATTTTGTTTGTAAGAAAATTATGACCTTGCTGATTCTTTTCACTTCTTTGATAATTCAACTAAATCACTCCCAAACATGGTGAAATCACAACTTAAATTGACCTTGATAATCAACTACCTTCACGCATTGCATGATTGAAAGGTAAAAGGAGAAAGGTCTATTCAGTTTCAGGCTTGCCTACTGTATCAATCTTTATATGTAGATTGATATGTAGAACAGATATAATTCTATATTCTCAGCTTTCGTAGCAATCATAAATAAATATTTCCAAGTCAAAACTGTAGATCTTTATCCCATGATAGAGTCAGTGTAATAACATTATATTTCAAATGATTCTATTTTCTAGACTTTGGTAACAATCATGAATAAATATCCCCAAGTCAAAACCTGCATTGAGGTGGGAGTTCTATGATAGTATACTGTATGTCAGCCTTGTATAACCATAAAAATATAAGCACACTACAAAAGCCTGTAGTTTGCCTGTATTTTATAGTTATCTAAAGCGATATCCAGTCGTAATGTGAACAAATGCCTTGTTCTTAACAATTCTGAACTGTTATATTTGTCAATCCTATTTCATTTAAAATGAATTCATATGAGCTAGAATCTTTGTCCTGAAAAATCCAAATATGCGGGCCCTGCATTGTTATAACAACTGCATGATTGCCAAACCGACTGGATATTATCTTTAATTTAACTCTTAATATGTTTTAACAAAATATCTAATGTGAGCATTATATTGCCTTACTTTATCAGTTATGGTAGAGTCCTTGGTACTGACAGCATATCATTCATATTACTCATTAAATTCATTTTAGTGTTCAGCAAAACTTGTCAAGAATATCTCAGAGATGTTTTTCTATGCTCAGAAAGCAGTTTTATATCCTGAAGATCCCCTTTATTCTCAAGATACAAAAGAGGTTTACCACCACATTCAGTTTTACAATGATAGAACACACATTATTAGATAGAAATTGTAACACATTATTAGATAGTAATTGTAACACATTATTAGATAGTAATTGTAACACATTATTAGATAGTAATTGTAACACATTATTAGATGGTAATTGAAACACATTATTAGATAGTAATTCTAACACATTATTAGATAGTAATATTTGCTGTGTGATGGCTTCAGCTAATAATTTCCAGAATCGTTTTTCAGATTTGTTCAAATTCAATTGTTTTCTTGAATTTTTCCAGCTCACAGAACTTTGTGCAAAGGCCCTTACAAGGATATTCAAGGTGAAGTGAAAGTGACCTTTAAATCATCTTTTTAGATCTAATAGTCTTGTCTCAATAATTGCAATGCGTCATTTATTTCTTTCTTGAAAGATCTGTGATGTTGGAGGTGATGGCATACTGGATGACAAGGAACTTAATGACTTCCAGGTGAAAATACATTTTCTTTTCAATTCGTCATGAATTTGACCCCTTGCAGTCTTGCACCACCAACTTGAGAAAGGTGTTCCCCAGCACTGGAAAGGTGTTTACTCTGCTGACCTTGGAAAAGGTACTGTATGCACCTCTTACAAAAGCTGAAAAGGTGGGCGCCTCCTTTGCCATCTCAGGGAAGGTGCATGTGCATCTCTTACCAAACCTGGGAGGTGAGCACCTTCTTTGCCAACTCGGGGAAGGTGTTGCTCTTACCAAGCCTTACTGTCTTGGGGAAAGTGTGCACCTCTTACCAAAGCAGGGATGGTATATGCACCTGTCACACTCCCTCAAAACCTGACCCCCCCCCCCCTCCGAAATACTTTTTCTTCTCAATAATCATTTTATATCCAGTATCAATGCTTCAACTCACCACTGGAAGACGAGGAAGTGGTGGAAGTCAAGAATTGCGTTCAACGAAACACGCACGATGGCCTCAAGGATGACGGGCTCACACTGACAGGTATTGCAAAATCTTCTGCTGAACTCTCCAGGTAATTAGACGCGATCAGCACTTGACCTCCACGAACACGTTATTCTTTGTAACACCAGGGTTCCTCTTCCTTCACAAATTGTTCATGGAAAGAGGGAGACATGAAACCACGTGGACAGTTCTGAGAAAATTTGGTTACGGTGATGATCTTGATTTGAGGGAGGATTATTGTGATTCTGGGTAAGGGAACCCCGAGGTGGATTTATAGGCGAGGGTGTGCACAGGTGTGCCCCCTCCCCTGACGACCCGTGCCCTAAAAGATAATCGGAAAGATAATTATTGTATCCTGCTTTAAGATATTAGGTGGACATTTAGAACAGGATTTTGGTGAATGGTGTTGGATACCCCAGGTTAAGTCCCCCCCCACACACCACCACCACCCTGATCACATACCTTTCCCTCCATAAAGACCTTACTGGGCATCCACCACTGGGCAAACAACGCGAAAATTTTACCACCATTTCTCCACGTTTTTATTTCGCTTCTTCTTTCATATTCAGACTTGATATTCCCTCAAGTTCCACAACAGAACTCTCGGAGTTGGGACGCGACTTCTTCACGAGATTGTTTGAAAGATGTGACAGGGTAAGTCTTCTGAAACGCGCGACGTATGTAGTTGAAATACCACCTCGAATTGCGAATATCAATAGGCATTTTATTTGTTCCAATTACCATTTGTTGAATCAGATTTTGATGCATGTTTATTCAATTTTATTGCTCGTATCACTTCGCCTTGAAAACACACTCGATTTTCTCCCTGGCAATCCTCTACCCAACTATCAATGGATTACATTGCTCTCCACTTTTTCAAGCAAACTCACTAGCTGGTCTTGTGAAAGTATCTATCTGAAACCATATTTACACTCTACAATTATTGTATTCGATTGTTATCCTCACTATTTCAAACGAGGAAGTGGATGTTCACCACTGTTTTTAGGTATGGGCCCAGATATTAAAATCACAAACATATTGCTTGTCTTTTTAGGACGGAGACAGCGCATTATCCCCAGTTGAGCTTGAGGTGGTTTTTTGAATACTTTATGCCGATTACGTTAGCCTGCAAATTTCACGAGGTCTAAGGTTTCGAGGCTAAAATCTATGTCTTTATATATTCCTTGGTTTAGGAGTTATTCAGTCTGTGTAACACGATGCCTTGGGACGAGGAAGTTTTGAGTTGTGTCCAAACCAATGAGAATGGCTGGGTGACATTTGATAGTTACATTGCATTGTGGGTGTACGTAAGACCTTTGCAAGCTGGTTAACAATATACACTCATTTGTTGCCCAATATCATTTATATCCACCATACCATACCAATACCACACCATACCACATCTTTCCATACCACATCTTACCAAACCATACCGTACCAATACCACACCATACTATTCCAAACCATACCATACCATATCCTGCCATACCATATCCTGCCATACCATACCATACCATACCATACCATCTACCCCCCATACCATACCATACCATACCATACCATACCATACCATACCATACCATACCATACCATCTAATTACCATCCTCCTGGAACTACAATAGATTAACAACGTATCTGGACAGCAACAGAGTCTTCACATGGTTATCTTACTTTGGTTACATGCATGGTGAACTGGAGAGTCAGTTGTCCACGGCTGTCACAGGTATGTGTCCATGGCCTTCAAATGGTCCCCAGGGGCCAGGGGGCATCTTACCCTGATCCTTTATTCAATATATTATATTAAGCAAACGCCTTGAATGTTTTTCAACAGTGACACGTAGTAAAGATGTGGATCTCGCGAAGAAGCAGACATCGAGAACTGTCTTTCGATGTAACGTCATTGGTCCCCCTGGATCAGGAAAGGTGCAGTATGAACCTCCACCATGCTCTTGCTGTAGATATAAGACGTACGCTTGTATTCCAAAAGATAGATCACTGATGATCACTCACACTCAAATTCATTGAGTAGGACATCTCAATTACTTCATAGCCATTCCTTGTATAGTATTTCCACTTAAACGAGAGCTTGATTTTAAATCTATTAATTGCTTAAGAAGGGCACTCTCATTGATAAGTAAAACCAAATTTCTACGTACGTTACACTGCATGAGCTTTTGAATACGGACGTTAGGTTCTGAACTCACCCAATTCACAAAGTGATATTAAACTCTACTAATTTCAGACTGCGTTTTTGCAAGGACATGTTAACAGAAGTTTAGAGGTAATATTTTATTCTCAAGTAAACGAACTGCAAAACAAAACAAACTCTGACTTATTAAACACACAAGACGCACAGTTCTGGTGATATTTCGACTTTATTGTAAAGTCATTGTCAAATCATTCGCATTTTATAAACGAAATACATCATCATTCGCATATAACTAGAAAACTTTCTTGTTTTAAGGAGTTGGAGAACTGCAAAACATTCAAAGCAGCGAAGTTCACTGTTAATACTTCAGAAATAAACAGACAGGAAAAATATCTGATTGTGAGTAATCCATCGTCTTAGATTTATACGATGTACAGCATACCATATCATACCATACCATATTGTACCATACCATACCATACCATCTATGGGTGTACGTACCATACCGTACCATACCATACCATACCATACGATACCATACCATATTGTACCATACCATACCCTACCATACGATACCATACCATACCATTCCATACCATACCATGTAATACACCATACCATACCGTACCATACCATACCATACCATACCATACCATACCATATGTTCCAATATAAATTCCTACTCCTGTACCTGAACCTAACACTATTTTGGGTCAGCTTTAGATTTCTCTTCTGTCTTTTTTATAACCACCGCCTGACTGAAGTTATGTGAAATTTCCTGGAATCAAATCGATACCGAATTACTGAATAGCAAGAAATGTGATGTCATTTGCTTCCTTTATGATCAATCAGACCCCAACTCGTTCTCCAAAGTCCTGGAACTTCACGAGGTACATATGATTGAGTGTAGAAAACCCGAAAATACTTCTTTAAAATGGCCAAAAAATTATTCCCATATAGAATTAAATTTGAAAACTAGGACCTTTTTATTCGTATTTTACAAAATTTGACAACCACATTGACTGATTTTACGAATTTTTGAATGTTCTTTCCAGCTATACATCTCAGTTCCGATGATTTTTCCTAGTTAAGCATGTAGTTTTATTCTTAATTTTGTCATTACGTCACTTGTATTTCTTGTTTATTTCAGAATGTGCTTTGTAGTGTGCCGTGTTTGTTTGTGGCTTCAAAAACAGATCGTCCAAAAGTCGAGCAGGTCGACAAAATCGTATTATATATGAATGATTAATAATAAATGAATGATAATGAATGATTGATTAAGAATGATTGATTATAAGCAATTCATTCTATATGATTGATTAGAAATGACTACAATTGATTGATTATAAATTATCGATTATAAATTATTGAATACAAGCAATTAATTCTATGTGATTGATTAGAAATGACTACAATTGATTGATTATAAATTATAGATTATAAATTATTGAATACAAGCAATTCATTCTCTGTGATTGATTATAAATGATTGATTATAAATGATTGAGTATAAATGACTGATTATAAATGATTGATTGTAAATGACCATTGTAATTGTGTGTCATTATTTGCTTGATATATAGTAAACCTTAATTGATCGGAAAGTAGGTTGAAATATTTTTTTTCAGACACAAATCCATATGAAACTCACTGAGTGAGTGTTCGACTTGCATCGCGGATTTCTGACAAAGAAGATTTCCTTAGATGCTAATGCTGTGTTTCATCTTAACTTTTCAGAATTGTGAGGTCCAACCTTCGATGCATTGTACATTAAATAATCTCCCTGAACCAGTGGTGAGTATAATCAAACGCCTTTCCACATCTTTCCATTCTTTTCAATTCAGGAAACGTTGAATGCCCTTTCAATGTTTTGCTTTGTAGCTATTTTCTGCTCTGACGCAATCTGCGCTGAAAAAAGACGTGTACGACACCCTGACCAAAATGGCTGTTTACCCGTAAGTGAAATTTTTTTTGAATTATTAATAAAGCCTGTTTATACTTATGTGCGATTCTTTTCATTTGATAGATGTGAAAGAGTGAGTTAGTTAAGAATGCTCTGATGTATAAGAGTTCGTATTTGAACATCAGTAACTAATTACTCGTTCACATCTATCGAAAGAAAAAAATTGTAAGTGCGGGCCTTTATATGTCGAAGATAAGTGGTTATAAAACCATGGGTAGTTTCGGGGGGAGGGGAGGTGTTTGTTATAACCCTAGTACACAATTCATTTTTAATTTCTTTCAGCCATCTTTGTAACCAAAAATCTCAATTCTTCACCCTGTCGACGTTTCTATCGTTTGGTGCTGGTACAATGCTTCTGGCTGGTGGGGCATTTCTTCTGTACAGATATCTCCGACCACACAGAACGTGACAATGGCTGGTGGTGCAACTGAATAGTTCATAGTCATAGATATTGGTAATATTAAAATATTCTTTTTAAAAACAGGGACATGCTTTGCTGCAAATATAATTGAACTCATTACTGTAAAAAGACCGCAGCTATAAACATATTTTATTGGCAAAAAGCTGAGGTAAGATAAATTTGGACTTGCATATCAAGTGTCAGTTTTTTTACCGTTTTCTTGGAATTTTTTGAATAGTACTTGGAATTACATGCTATGAAGCTCGTAGCCAACTTTCACTTTGGCGAAACTGATTGCAATAAAAGCAAGAAAAAGCTATCCTCTTTTTTTTATCCTCCGTTAACCATCTGTCCATGATGAGTTACTTTCTGGGTTTTTGTTGCATCATTTTGATGGCGTATCGTGGAGTTGATATCGTATGCGACTTGCGTTGTTGTTACCATTTATCAAAGCAGAAAATCGATCCAAAACTGGCCGCAATATTGATTATAACATCTGTGTTCAGTATACCTTTTAGTGTTGCTATTTTTTACCGTGTGTTGAAACGTATTGACGAGCAAACGACCAGTATTGGTATAAACAACCTTTGGAAAGTTCTCTCGCCCGAAGTTAATTTTTATTTTTTGGAGGCGCTTGTAAATCTCGCTCAGAGCTATTTTGCCTTCGAAATGTTATCCTCCAAAATCAGCTCAGGGACGTGCATTGAGTCTATGGATTATCAATTCGCTAGTTGCTGTCTTGGCGGAGGTGTTTTGCAGTTTGTTTGCTTTTTTACGAATCTCTGTAGAATTTACTGTAAAAGAAAACGCGATGTCACGAGGCAAGACGATGAACGTTGGCCAGAGGATGAACTTGGCATTCTTTTCTCGTTTATTTCTTTTTTCATGGGGTTAGCTTATGTTGCCGACGCCACAAGATTGAAATATTGTTAGAACAATTGGACTTCGCGAAATTAATGGCAGAAAACACTTTTTGGACGTTTGCAGCTTAATTGTTTACAATTACAAACAATAGATTTATACCGTGTAATCGAAAGTTACCATCTTTCTGAATACGTTTGACAATAAACTTAGATTAGTTTAGTACGTCTTCTGAAACATAGTTTTAATGTTATGCGTAGACATTGTTGTTAGCATGTAGTTTAATGTATATGTGTGTGATCTATGACACTTTTTGGCATATGAATTACCATGAAAAATATGCTTCTGGTGCTTATATGACTTCGTTTGTACTCTCGTATATTTCTCGTAGAAAGAATCTTTCCATTCATGACCTTGGAAAAAGTTTAAGTCAAATAGAAAACTCTGACCACCATCGCAAGAGTGAATAGTCTAGTGGTGAAGATAACGGTCTCGCAACTGGCAAATTGAGGGTTCGAATCCTGCATGAGGAAAGTGTTTTCATCGTGAGTGTAAAGAAAAGATTCGGGTAAGATATAAAAGCAAAGCTGTTAGTCTTAGTTCGGGCAGCGTTACCATCCTGACCGTCATGGTCAAATTACCCTAAAACAATCGAGTTTACCTGTCCTAAATGAAACGCATACAAACTCAAATACAGGTCCTTGTCTTCCTTGACTAATAACGGGAATTTAGAATATATTGCGCATTTTGTTGCCTGGGTTGCTGTGGTTCTCCCAGACCGGAAATGAAAGGGTGTATGTTATTATTCTAATCAGTCTAATATCCGGTCTGGATTTGAAGCTGAAAATGGCCGACGAACAAGTAAGATTTTACATCTTTTTCCATCGAAAAATGACCTGTTTTTATACATTTTTTCACGCTAATGTGTACCGGTAACGTTTAACGCTTTAAATTCCCTTTATTCTCTAGCAATTCCTGCTGACTGACTTGCAATTTGAAGGTATGTGCAAATGAAAGTCACCGAACATTTTGCCGCTAAGTGGCCGAGTGAGGATTAGGTTGTTCACGCTTTCTGATAAAAATGTGGTCATTTTTCCACCATTTGCCATTCATTCAAAACCATATCGCTTCATTTAGTTTTTATATATAATATATATCATAAAATTTCCAATTCACTTCCTTATATATTATACAAATTATTATCAAAGTCGGCCCACAAATATTGTTGGAATTTAGCAAAGTCAAAACAAATGCTGTGCTGTTTAATTTGTATTTGTTTGTTCAATGGGGGTTCAATAATTAAAGTCAATATTTTTAGGTAGACTTGATATGGAATATGCGTGCTTGAATATTAATACAATGTACATATATGTACAAAATATTTATCAGTTTAGAGTACACCTTGTGAGGCTTTGAATATTGAAAGGCTTGAGTAGTTTTATTATATCAGCAATGCGCTGCTTGTAATGATGCATTATAAACCGTCTAAGTTTCAAAGGTTTTTTAATCTTCTTTGCCAAAAATGCAGCCTAGAAAAGGACCTGTTTGTTATCATTTGAGTGTCCTCTTAATATCAGACTTAAAACAATCATATTTCCTATCATCAATGAAATGAATGTTTTGAGACTAACAATACTGAAAATGATATGGATTGATTATGGATATTACACATAATTGTATGTATCAATGACATGGGAATGTGCCTTTATGCTACCTAACATTTTACTGATCTGACAATAAAAGTCTTTTCACCAGAACTAGTTTTGTCAAATCCAATTACCTTCTAATGGATGTTTTATAGTCTGTCAACTTGCAATGTATATTGGCAGCAAATCTACTTAGTCTGTGCAGCACTGCTTTATCAAAACCAAGTGAAATAGATCCAACAAAATTAGATTGTGCAAGTGAGCCTTAACACCTTATGATTTTATTCATCAATGGTGAACACTTCATATAGTTGGTTAATAGAACTTTACTACATCTAGATATACCACATTCACCATCTCACTATGCCTAACGACAGTTCATTCTTTTGGTGATTTTCAGCGCTAGCAAAAGTCTTCAAATTTGCTGATGTGGAGGAAAAGGGCTTCGTCGATGTGGAAACAATATCCACTCTGGCGGTCCAGTTGCTCGGGGGACATTTAACAGAAAGTCAGAAACATTATATCAAGGCAACGTCAGATGAGAAAACAGAAAAAGGTTGGTTGATCGTGCGTACAGATTGGACAGCATTGCTGGTTAAAATCAGGGACGGACCTAGACACTTAATTGGGGGTGCATATTCATATATTTGTCTTATGCCTGATTGATTTCTTTTGATAGAGATACTTTTACCCTCTTTTAAACTTGAATATATGAATATGCACCCCCCAATTAAGCATCTAGGTCCGTGCTTGGTTAAAATTGTGTATGGGTTTCAGCGTAACTTCTGGCTTGAACTATTTAATATTATTCTAATAAGCTTGCTCCCACACAACATCATAAAGTTCTGCCTACTTGAACTATTTATTTATCCTACTAGACTTGCTCCCCTATAAAACAGCATATCTTCCTACTTAAACTATTTATTCCTTTTCCTTGGCTTTCTACCTTACAACAACATAACTCCCTACTTGAACTATTTATTTATTTCTATCACAAGGCTTGCTTTCCTACAACAACATAACTGACTGTTTGAACAATTTATCATATTTCTCCTAGGCTTGCTTTCCTACAACAGTTTCATTGACATCATGTCAAAAGTGATGATGCAAACCACACAGTGGGGAAAGATGAAGACTTCATTGGAAAGTTATGTTGGCTTTGATACCATTCAGGAACAGATCAGAAAGAAATCTCTGAAACGAGGATTTGAACTGAATCTCATGGTTGTTGGTAAGTACAGACACTATGTACGAATATAATGTGAATTTTACCAATAGCTAAGTTCCAATATACCAAATTCCCCACTCTAAGGTAGTTTTCTCTTTTGTCTAACACCAGCAAATATACTCCATTGTCTGTGAAAGAGTGTTGACAATTCATTGTTTAATTATAGGAGCATCTGGCTTGGGCAAGTCAACTTTGGTAAACACTTTATTCAAAGCAAAGCTCAGCCGAACTTCTTCCATCTCCCAATCCTTTACAATACCAAAAACAGTGGAAATTAAAACAGTAAGCCATGGTGAGTAGGCATGAACACCAATATGATCAACATGTAATCAATAATAAAATCATGTTATCACCAGAGTCAATGGGTTATAAGTGATATAATCACCAATATATTGAACATTTTGTGACAAATGTGATCACAAATATAATCAACATGTTATCACCAATATATTTATCAATAGAATCTACAGGTTATCACAAATGTAATCACAAATATAATCAGTATGTGATATTCGTCTTTCAGTTATTGAAGAGAAAGGTGTTCGCTTAAGGCTAACAATCACCGACACCCCCGGCTTTGGTGACCAAGTCAACAATACTAACTGGTGAGTAAATTTGACAGTCAAAACACAACCATGTTTTATACATAGACAACATATCTTTAAGACCTTCTACTGATGAAAAAATTCCTCAGGTACTTTGAAGTATTTTGCAAGCGGAGGAGATAACAGTTTTTTATTTCAGCTGGGAGCCAGTTATCGAATATATTCACGATCAGTTTGATCAGTACTACAGGGAAGAGTCAAGCACTTATAGAAAAGCAAGAATTCCTGATACCAGAGTTCATTGTTGTTTATATTTTATTGAGCCCACTGGACACAGGTACGTTTAATGAGCTCATGGTTTACTTCGTGTAAGATTTAATGTGATATGTCTACAGCTGCCTGAGATTTCTTGAATATTTCAGGTTGAAATCTCTTGACCTGGAGTTCATGAAACGACTTGACAAATGTGTGAATATAATTCCTGTGATTGCAAAATCTGATACATTAACCTTGGAGGAACGAGAGGCATTTAAACGACGGGTAAGAAAACATACAAATGAAATTATTATGCATTACTAATGCAATCTCGATTGTGATTGGCTAAAAACCTAAAGATAATTCTCAATGTCTTGCCATCTACACGACATTGAAAATTATCCGTAGGTGACGTAATTTTTTGCAGCTAGTTTGTTGTCAATAATGGCGCAGGCTTCCTCTCTAAAAAGGAAATACATAATAAAACAATTATTGAATTCGGTTTTCGCATGATATCGAGAATTATCAAGCCTCAGTTTGCGTTATCCGCCTCAGCTTCGCTTCGGCAAAATGAAATAATGCAAACTTCAGCTTGATAATTCTCGATATCACACTCAACCTCATCCAATAATTGTTAATCATTGATTGATTGATTAACTAGTGAATAACTAGTCTACAGAACAAATTCTCCATTGGAAATATTTTTCTCCCAGATTCGTGAAGATCTCAGTCACACCGTCAACACGTATCCCATCATCCACGACGAGCTTGACGAGGACGAAGTTCGAACGAACACCAAAATCAAGGTATGCGCATGCGCTAATAAATTTCCGAGAAAATTGAGACCTGACCTCGATTGACTACCTCTTGTTTTCCAGGAACAACTACCATTTGCTGTAGTCGGTAGCGACAAAAACGTCTCGGTTGGCGGTAAGGCTGTTGTCGGTCGAAAAACTCGCTGGGGTGTTATCGAAGGTAGTTTTCCTTTGTTGAAAATATGTTTGATGGTAAAGTTGTGTTTTCTTTGACCTTTTCTTGTATCATATTTTAGTTGAGAACAAGAATCATTGTGAGTTTTCTCTTCTACGAGACATGCTGATTAAGTAAGTGAAATTATGTGGTCTACGGAGATTTTGGGCATTCAATTTGAGCGAAATAACTGAAGAAAATGACTGTAGATAGTTCTATTACAGCTAGTCTGAGAGAAAATAGCATTTCCCCAACTTCCAAGAAAAATCTGGTAGAGAATGGTATCACGTAGCTCTGAGGAAACTCTTCGTATAGCTTAGAAAAAACTCCCAGAGAAAGATTGAATACTTGTGCAACTCTGACAAAAATTGCCTTCGGGCATCTGTCGAGAAAACTTTATGAATGCTTAAAAGAAGTTCCTTATATGTTTGTTATTTCGTTTTACCGTTGAACCTCTCGTTAATTTTCAATTCATCCAATTTTTTTCAGGACGCACATGCAGGATCTGAAGGAAGTCACAGATTTTCTTCACTACGAGAGCTACCGGCGAAAGAGGTGCTCGCGAGGAAGCAACGGCGAACACTCCCCCCTGGATGAGAAACCGGAAATGACGCAAGAGAATGGCGTAATCAGTGAGAGTAACATATAAACACAATCAAATCTATTTCTACTGAAAACACACTGAATAATGACACAATTATTTCGACTTTTTATAAACTTTTGTATAAGGACAATTTCCTTATAAATTCTTTATTGTATCCCCGCATACATCTTCAATTTGAATTCGAACTAAATTTAAGTCCACAGGACGAATTTGACTGGGTTGGTTTCCCTTGGGTATTGTACTGTCTAAGATGGATGGACGGGAGGGGGTATTTCTAGTTTGTATATTTGAATTTGTCTCTTCAGGATAGTGTTATTTGAAATCGGTATATATTGTCAGGTAGCTTTAAAATTTGTCAAAACTTGCAAGGGGTTTTATGTTTTGTTAGTAAAACACACTACGTAAAATTGTCTCTCTTTTTTTGTTTCTTATATTATGCATATATGTATATGTGAATTAACCTTTGTTTAGTTCGTGCTGTTTCGTTCGTGTCTTATTATTAGTGCTGTCCATGTTTAGCTCAAAGTTTAGTCAAAATTCTCCATAATCACAACTTCCATATAGTATATCCATTTCAATTCTTGTACGGCATTCTCAGGGAGAAAACTGGAAAACAAGATGTAGTTTCGCAAAGGACGGCTGGGAAAATCTGACCACTATTAAATGCTTGGTGATCTTGGCTGCCCTCTGTTCAATCTGATGACGTTTACACAAAATCCCAGATCTGAGCTGACTGCTCTGAGGCTGAACTGTTTGTTTCACTGAACACAACCCCGATATCATAACCATGGTGACCTATATTGCTTCAATAAACTATATCAATTATTGTTCGTCTAAAGTCTGCCCTAGCGTAAAAAATCGTTTCGCGTCTAATTCTCATGTTTTTTTCCCTTGCCTTTTTAACGATCTTTTTGTTCAAGTTCTCGCATTGTTTTAAAGCCATATCTACAAAAATTGTTTCTTACCGTCTGCATGGAAACCATTTTACCAATTAGAAAATATAACCAATTAAAATATCCCTCATTTTTGCAAAACGGTGCACAAGAAATCACTGAAAACTCGCACTGGCTGTAACCAAAATGGCGAGATATATTATAACCACAATTATTCAAGTCAGCTTAAAAGCTATTGCTAAAAACGAACAAGCTCGAGCCCCAAGTTCAAAACCGCCACGGTAAATATCTCCAAGACTTGAATATCCGTCCTTTAGGTCGACACAAGGCCAATACTCAACATACTTTGGCGAATTTCTAGGCGTCGGTGAAATGGTCCACGAACGAGCAGATATTTTGCAGAGGCCATAAAGACGCGTACGTGCAGAGAGAGAGTGAGATAGAGAGGGGATTTCACAACATGGCAGCGATCAAAATGTTCCTCTTCGTCGCTGTGTTCTCGCTGGGCTTTGTCACCGTTTTTGGCCAAGGTAGGATAGTTTGAATATGATTTGAAACGAAAATGTTTTATATTTAAAAAAAACAGGGAAAAATTTTGATGAAATATACAACGAAACCAGCCTCGAATATCACACGTCATCTTTCAAATTCAAGATTTAGGTTATTCAAAAAATTAGATAACGTAGATCATAAAACATCAGGTTTGGTTCATTTCATGTATAAATCTGTAAAGGTTTCCGATTGAAACATTTTTAGTAAAGTAGGGAAAAAAAGACAGCATCATCCAATAGCCCTGGGTTATAGCTGGACCCATCTTTAGGCCTAACACCAAGCTATAGTTAAGAATTCTTTTTGAAACAAGAGAAAATAATTAATAATTTCTACTTCTGTCAAGGCTCGTTCACATGATCCAAGTAGCCTTTCTCGCGATGACGAATATACCGCCATTTTGGGGGTACGTTTAGGCTGAATTTATTCTTCAAATGGTCTGTTGATTCTAAAAAGAATGCCTTTCATGTTGTTGTAATTTTTTAAACCTATTTGAGAAAATTGAAAGTACCCAAAAACGTCATCGTGAGAAAGGCTAATTTTGTCAGATCCAAGTCACTTTTGATGGATGTTCTATAGTCTGTTCACTTGCAAAGTATATGAACAGCAAGTCAACTAAAACCAATGCTGTACTGCTTTATTAATCGCAAACTTTATTCCATACGTCAGAAGTGAATTGGATCGCATGAACAGGCCTGCTTTATATACGTGTAAAACTTAAAGCTACTACCCGAAAGATTTCGAAATATTATAACTTATGTAACTCTTCTCCTAGAGAGATGAACCTTTGGTAGAACAAGCGAAGTGATTAATTATAGCAATTTCCCTTCCAGTTAAAACAAAGAAATACTTAAGTTGTAACAATTGCTTGATCGATTTCGCAATGCAACTCATTGCCCGTGGAAAATGTCCCTTGCCAAGAATGCGTGTATATATAACTCGATATTTTATACACGTGTTCACAAGAACTATACTCTGAATATCAAAGAAGCTCTTGGGGCTGAACTTTCATGCAATCATTCAACTCTTTATGTAAAGCTACGAAGACTGTCTTTCTTATAAGAAAATTTCCCGGCTACTATGCATGTCATTTGCTTTACATGACAAATGTTGTAATTTCTCGATTGCATTAATCAATATCAAAATGCGTGGTGTATTTTTGTTGAAGCCTCCACGTCACCTGACATTGTATGAATCTGTATCAGCCTGGGAAAAAAATATCATGTATCAGCGAATTTCACGAGATCCCTTGCAGGCTCATTGCGTTACTTCAAGTAACAACATTTTTAGTGAAGATAACCCAGGTTTTTTTCTAACCTGCTATTGGCAAGGACAGTGGGGTCGAGATCAATTTGTTCCTACGGGGAAAGGGGAGCAGAGTGTTCCTTTAGGAAAACGAGTCTTTGCCACTAGCTACCTACTAACTGTCTCGAATTCGTTGTCATTTGGTTTCTAAGCTAACCTGTCCTAAAGTCCTAAACTTAGAACAAACATTTGTGTGAGTTCTGTCAGGAGAAAAAAATAGTTAGGAAGCACCCTCGTCCTCCCCCTACCCTACGATAAACAACCCCCCCCCCTTCCCAGTTAGGTCCACTTTTTTCCAATAATAGGATAAACTTGCTTCTTTCAAATACACTGAAGTTTATCTCTCTTCCAGGAGTATTATACGCCAATCCTTGCTGGGACAAACCCTGTCATTCCTATGCGACTTGTCAAGTCATTAATGGCACCGAAGCCGTTTGCGTCTGTCCACGGAACTGCACTGGACCACGGCGACCAGTCTGTGGAACAAACTGGAAGACTTACGATAGCGTGTGCGCCCTTATGGCAGAGTCCTGCGCTTTGAATGACTGGAACAGCCTAAGATACAACGGAGAATGTAAGTTTTATCCGAAAAACAACATCTTGTCAACCCAAAATATGAGTTATATCACGGCACAAGACTACAAATTTTGTGAGACATTCTGACTACTTTGACAATGACTTTAAAACAAAGTCGAAATATCATTACAAACTTGTTGTCTTTTTTATATAACTCGTATCTTAAGTTCAAAACATATTGTTTTTCGGAGCATTTTTTTTTCCTAATGCATGGTAGAGGTTTTTGGGCTTGTTTCGTCTTTTTATGCGTGTCTTTCTGTTACGCAAAATCCAAATTAACGGATCCAATTCACTTCTGGTGGATGTTTTATAGTCTGTTGATTCGCAAAGTATATGCGCAGCAAATATAATAACGCCAATACAGTACTGCAGTATCAATAACAGACTACATTCAATACAGCAGAAGTGAATTGGATCCAACAAAATTGGATCGTGTGAACAGAGCTTAACATTACCACCAAAACGAGAAATGCCTCATTTTTTGCCAAGTCATCAGTTGCCAAGACAGTGTTGTTTTGAATTCATTGTCTGACCTAGTTACCAATGTATGATAACAGAAGCATCGAATATAACAAAGTCATCTTATTTGTGTATATGATTCTTTGAGATCTTGGCAACAAATTTGTTAGTTTCGATTATAGTTACTTATTTTGGTAATATTGGGTAATCTTGCCAGTTTTATCAAAATAAGATTTGTTTGCCGTGTACCAAGTGTATTTTCTATTAAATTCACAATGGTATCGAGTTTCCAAAATCGGTAATTTTAGTTGAAGAAACACTGTCTTTCCGTTTTCCCGCTTTGCAAAACATGACGTGTCAGTTTAGCAGGGGAGCAGACAGAAGACGATGTTTCCACAACAATGTCTCTTCATTTTCCCTGAGTTCAACTACTTCCCTTTCTTTCAGGCAAGGCTGGAGATTGCCGCAACTCCATTTGGCAAAATCTCAATTGTCCATGGTACAGCAAATGCATATTACATAACGGCTTCCCAAGATGTTCCTGTGTACAGGAGAAATGCCCTACGAACTATGACCCTCTTTGTGCTACCGACGGAAGGACCTACCGGAACATGTGTCATATGAGACAAGCCGGATGTCAGAAAAGAAAACTACTTCGAGTTCGAAACAAAGGCCATTGTCGTAAGTGTGTGATTGTACGATTATTTGGTTAGGCTATCTATTGATTGGGCTATCGAATAATTGATTGACCTAGCGTTTAATTGATTGAGCTATCGAATCATTGATTGAGCTGTCGATTAACTGATTGGGCTATCGATTGATTGAGCTATCGACTATTTGGTTAAGTTATTGATTAATTGATTAAGCTGTTGATTAATTGGTTCCAATATAACCAAGGAGCAGCGTGGCAGCGTCTTCAAACAACTTAGCATCAAATGTGGTATAACAACTGCCTAAAATAAACAAAACGCTTCTCGACATTTCGACCTGAGGGCCTTGGTCAGGAGAGTTAGAATGATTTAATATTGATTAATTGGTTGACTATGGATTGATCGATTACACTGACGATGAATTTGCTCGGCTATTGATTATTTTACTCCTATCTTGATATACTATATATAGCTACCGTTTGTTCTCACTCGGATAGATTTATTGCCCACGAGCACTGTTTCAAATAGCCATAAAGAGAGCCGTTTCCTTTTTTTTAGTTCCAGATCCTTGTAGATTCCAATCATGCTGTTGTGGTGCTGTGTGTCTCGTGAATCAGACTAACTATGCTTCATGTTCCTGTGACTTCACCTGTCGTGATCAGTCCAGTCCTGTATGCGGCTCAGATGGCAAGACCTACAACAGTCCCTGTGCCCTACGCTTGGCTGCCTGTAAACAACAGAATATGAAACTTGCACAGGTGAATCTTGGAGCGTGTGTAGGTAGGTCTCATGTGTTAAAGTATTGATGAACACATGGCAAAATACAAGATGCACACCTGAACTCATTGAAGGCCAACCCCATGATGTTCCACTCATGTAATTTGGAAAGTTTAAATTGTTAATATGTACTGTATGCCTGCTCAGATCAAGGAAACATTGTTACTTCATATTTCATAAGTCATATTTGCATCACATATGATATTTTTTATATACATTGGATATTGTATCTTTTCATTCCCCAATATGACCATGGAGCAGCGTGGCAGCGTCCTCAAGCAAGCTCACATCAAATGTTGGTATAACAACTGCTTAGAATACACAAAAAACCATCTTAATGTAGCCAGTTGTCGTACCACCACGTTTGAAGCGAAAACCTATTTATTCCACAAGCTTGAACCTGAGTTTTTGAAACCTAAACAAAACTAGACAAATGGGGGCTCAGTTTCGTTCATTCACGACCATTTTGCTCGGCAAAATATGCAATGATGTTTCTTTTCTAGATCCCTGCATGCAACATCCAGCTTGCACACACCATGCATCGTGTGTCGTTGAACAAGGCGTAGCCAAATGTGTTTGTCCAGTTTGCCCTGCCACGCGATCACCGGTCTGTGGCTCAGATGGAGTGACGTATGACAACGAATGTATGTTGAGAAGAGCGAGTTGTATTGCAAGGTTGCCCATCGCTACTGCACGTAACGGATCTTGCAGTAAGTATTCACCCATTTACCCATAAGTATTTGCTCATAAAGATGTATGAAAAACGTCGTCCTTGTTTTTCCGTAGTAACACTGCATCAATGATCCTTACTGGACCTTATTTAGGTTTCCTCCTGTAGTAACACTGGATCAATAAGATATGATCCTTACTGGACCTCTAGGAAGAAGAGTTTAGAACTGATAGAGCTATCCAGTATAAATAAAGTTAGTTTAGTTTAGGTTTCCTCCTGTAGTAACAATGGATCAATAAGAGATGATCCTTACTGGACCTCTAGGAAGAACAGTTTAGAACTGATAGAGCTATCCAGTATAAATAAAGTTAGTTTAGTTTAGGTTTCCTCCTGTAGTAACACTGGATCAATAAGAGATGATCCTTACTGGACCTCTAGGAAGAACAGTTTAGAACTGATAGAACTATCCAGCATAAATAAAGTTATTAGGTTTCCTCCTGTAGTAACACGAGTTTCTAACGTTTTCTTTAGACGCGATTATAGCCCCAACAGGTTCCAGCAATCCCTGTTCCATTGGCCAGTGTGCGCACTATGGAACTTGTATGATGTTCCGAGGCGTACCAAAGTGCGTATGCCCAGACCTGTGTCCTCAGAGAATGGCGCAAGTATGTGGTTCCGACGGCTTGACCTATGAGAATGACTGCGCATTGCGGAGAGCAAGCTGTAAATCAGAGACAACGATCATTGTGGCCAGCAGAGGATCTTGTGAAGGTAAAACATTGCCTCTTCCCCTCCACTCCCCGGTGCCCACGGTTCTGTATTGGAGCCGTCACGTAAGGCTTAGATTCGTTCTTTTTACTTTTATTATGTTTCATCAGTGAGCCCAACTTTCGAGCCCACCAAACCAACCATGGATCCATGTTTTGACCAGACCTGTGCCTTCCACGGGGTGTGTGTCGTCGACCAGGGTCTTCCTAAGTGTGTCTGTCACACCAACTGTCCTAATACAACCTCTCCCATCTGTGGTTCTGATGGAAAGACTTACGAAAATGAATGCGATATGAAAAGAGCCAGCTGTGCTAAACAGTTAAGGATCACTGTTGCATCAAGATCACGTTGTCGTGAGTGATTGCTATACAGAATAATTACTACCATAGCATACCATGCAATAGCATAGCATACCATACCATAGCATACCATAGCATGCCATACCATAGCATACCATACCATAGCATACCATAGCATACCATAGCATACCATACCATAGCATATCATAGCATACCCTACCATAGCATACCATACCATACCATAGCATACCATAGCATACCATACCATAGCATACCATAGCATACCCTACCATATCATACCATAGCATACCATACCAAACCACACCACACCATACCATAGCATAGCATACCATACCATACCATACCATACCATACCATACCATACCATACCATACCATACCATACCATACCATACCATACCATACCATACCATACCATACCATACCATACCATACCATACCATACCATGCCATACCATACCATACCATACCATACCATACCATACCATTCCAAACCATACCAAAGAAGACCACGGGTGTTAACTATTCCTTATTTTCTTTCAGCATGTGACACGGCAAACTGCTGCTGTGGCGCTGTCTGTAAAGTGAGAAACAACACAGCATCCTGTGAATGTGATTTCATGTGTTCCGCCCAAAATGATCCCGTCTGTGGTAGTGATCGTAAAACATATGCCAACGACTGTGAACTGAGGTTAGCCGCATGCCGAACAAAGAATAGTGCCCTTACCCGGATATCCAGAGGAGCATGTAAGTATTATTTTGCTATTGTATATCATATGATTGGATCAATAGGGCTATTAAAAACTATTGAGTTTCAGTTTCAAAGCTCAAATGGTCCTTAATAGACCTCTAGGATGAACAGTTTAATACCAATAAGTTAGTTTAGTTCATGTTTCACCCTGTAGTAACACTGGATCAATACGAGATGGTCCTTACTGGACCTCTAGGAAGAACTGTTTAGATCTGATAGAGCTATCCAGTATAAATAAAGTTAGTTTAGTTTAGGTTTCCTTCTGTAGTAACACTGGATCAATAAGAGATGATCCTTACTGGATCTCTCAAAAGGGTCTCCAAAATCTGGTGAGTGTTTTTACTCAAGCTAATCCTCTTATAGGTCCAACCGTTGCACCCACGATAGATCCTTGTGCGTTTGGTATGTGTGCTCATTATGCCACATGTAAGGTTGTCCAAGGTTTGCCACGATGTGTTTGCCCAGATCTCTGTCCCAGTATCTTCTCTCCTCAGTGTGGCTCGGATGGAAAAACCTACCAGAATGAATGTGCTTTGAAAAGAGAGAGTTGTGCCAGGCAAATGAGGATCACAGTGGCAAAGAATGCACCTTGCGGTATGTGAAACGCACTTGATATCGTGAAATATTAGTTCATCCAAAAAAAATCATTTCTTCAACCCATCCGTCCAGTATATATGTATCGTGCATGCACGACCCCAATATTGTCATGGGAGGAGTCTTAAAGAGAATATTTTGATAGTACTACTGTATGTTAGGTTACTAACCAAGCAAGCTAAAAGATTGCTTGATTTACTTGACTACGGTGGGAATTAAACTTGTGACCTTTGGTTTGTTAGTTCAATGCCCTTCCAACTGAGCTACTATAGGTTAGGACAGTTCGGACATGTGAAGTTTTAGAAGTCAGTTATCATCTCTCTTCAATATCTGGATATCGTAATTTCAAGTAAAATTTTAGCCTGTCCGGTTGGAAACCAAGGCTGGATTTCCACTTACGGAGAAATAGTTCGCTAGCCGCTATTCCTTGGAATTTCAACAGCATAAGTAAATTAGTTCAACTTGACTGTTCTCAATTCAAAAGAAAATATGCAAACATTTCGCTAGCGAACCATTTCCGTGTAAGTGGAAATCCACCTTTCGCGTGTTAATTCACTTGAGTCACATAAACACAAATATTAGAACTTTGAGAAAGCGAATATTCTACAACAATCATGTTGGACAGCGTCCCTAATGCATACAAAAGTGTAGAACACCCGACGACAGGGTTAGTAGCCTTGCTTCGAGTTTAATAGTTCCATCCAGTGATTATATGAGATCGCTTCTAGCAAAGTTTAAATTACGGGTGGTGAAGTCGAGTTTCGAATTAACTTTCCCCATTGTTTTCCACGTAGATCCACCTACTACCCAACCCCCCGGACCAACAACCTGCACAGAAGTGGTGTGTCAGCACTTCTCAAAATGCGAAATTGTTGGAGGTTTGGCAAAATGTGTTTGTCCTGCTCTCTGTCCGGGAGCTGGGTTCAGGATATGTGGTTCTGATGGGAAGACATACGAAAATGAATGTGATTTAAGAAGAACAAGTTGTCAGGCAGGCAGAATTATATCCATCGTTAGGATTGGAGTTTGCTGTAAGTTAAATAACTGCACGATAGTTAGTTATGCCACTAAGATGGACTTATCTTGTTTAGTTTTTCCTGTAGTAACACTAGATCAATAAGAGATGATCCTTACTGGACCTCTAGGAAGAACAGTTTAGAAGTGATAGAGCTATCCAGTATAGCAACACTATAGTTAGGCCAGTTTAGTCTCACGTGTTCCACAACAGAAGACGATTTCAGTGGATGTTTTCCTCTACTAAACCATTCTTTTCATGACATGTAGTGCGCACTCTACCCGCCCCAACCCAAGCCGTCACCCCCCAAGTCGTACTACCGACCAACCCCCCTGCTGGAAACCAACTGTGCAACTCTTATCAATGTCCTAACTACGGGCTGTGCGAGGTCTACCAAGGTCAACCGCGATGTGTGTGTCCCAGTCCCTGCACGAGCGCGAGAAGTCCAGTGTGTGGCTCCGACGGCCGAACGTACGATTCCGAGTGCATCCTCAAAAGAACCAGTTGTACTTCAAATAAAGCAATTATCGTTGCCAAGCCAGGATTCTGTGGTATGTCTTTTGAAAAAATATTGCGCCTTGCAAATATCGGTTACCATCCTAAATGCGCATTGTCTTAATTCGACCAGGATTTCCAGTCGAAATTAAGTCTATTAGCACGCTAATAAGGCTCTAGAAATAGCCTCGGTTTAAATGGCACTTAATCATAAATCTATTCCCAGATTGAGCCAGTCTGGGTTAGTAGAATTGCAAAGTTTGGTTATGGATTAGAATGTTTTAAAATGCGAGATTTGTAAGATTAGGTATGGATTTGGGCTAATCCTAACCTAGATTCGTGTAATCAGATTAGGTATTGAGGAACGTGGAATTATTACCGCTATATTGCCTGCAATTTTTATGCATACGAGATACGCGATGCTATAGTTTTCAAATCAGTGGATAAGTTGTTCTACTTTACGAATTTAACTTACAACTGTTTTTCCCTAGAACCAGTAGGTCGCTGTCCAGCTGCAAAAGTGTGCAACAAGCAATGTGATCGAAACATCTGTGCAAAGAGTGGAATGCGTTGCTGTTTAAAAGGAACCAAAATGGAGTGTACCCTTCCTGTCTGGAGTCCTATTGTCCGTACGTATATTGAACTGTGCACCATTTATTAGTCAGTAATTCGGAGCTATCAAGTGTATATTTATAAAGATATTAATAGTTTACACCAATATCAAGTATAAATAAAGTTAGTTTAGTTTACGTTTTCTACTGGTAGTAGTAACACCGTGGATAGTTAAAAGTTGATTTTACTATCCATGGTAACACTAGGTCAATAAGAAATGATTTTTACTGAACCTCTAGGAAGAACAATTTAGAACTGATAGAACTATCCAGTATAAATAAAGTTGGTTTAGTTTAGGTTTCCTCCTGTAGTGACACTGGATCAATAAGAGATGATCCTTACTGGACCTCTAGGAAGAACAGTTTAGAACTGATAGAGCTATCCAGTATAAATGAAGTTAGTTTAGTTTAGGTTTCCTCCTGTAGTAACACTGAATCAATAAGAGATGATCTTTACTTAACCTCTAGGAGGAACAGTTTAGAACTGATCGAGTTATGCAATCATATATATCTTTTCCTAGGTCGATATGTCTGTCCGGCAGACCCGTTAGGGTGTCGTGACGATGCTGATTGTAACGGTGGCTGGATATGCTGTGACACAGGTTGTACTAAACAATGTACCGCTCCCAGACTGTAGTTAGAAAGCCGATAACATTTCTCCAGAGATTGTCATTTGCCGCTGGTATTTCTTGATGCTGAGTATTTAACGCGAGATATATTGAATATAAACTATAAATACGATTTCAGACTTGTCTGGTTATGGGCTGAAATATTTAGATAATAATAAAATCGTATATATGATCAGTTGCATTTCGTTTCCAGTCGATGTATGCTTTCAGCCATCGACTAAATTTTCATCTATAGCCAAGAAAAAAGTCCAGGTAAAAATTTCATGTTCAGTAAATTCAAATACACGACTTTAATTCATGTATTTAGAACTTTCTGAATATGAAATTACTAGCGTGAAATTAATACCACAGGTTATCACAAACTTTTACGACAATATCTGTGGCATTTTGCAAAATCAACCAAACTTTACAGTTTTAGGCTTGTTCACACGATCTGACTTTGTCTGGTTCAATTCACTTCTGACGTATGGAATTTAGTTTGTTATTGATAAAGAAGCACTTCGTTCGTTTTAGTCCATTTGCTGCTCATGTACTTTGCAAGTCAACAGGCTATAAAACATCAATCAGAAGTGAATTGGACCGGACAAAATTACATCGTGTGAACAGAACTCAGACTCCTGCCAACATGCTATTTCTGCATCTGTTATGTTGGATTACATTCTACTTGTCCCAGTGTCCCGACCTAAATATTTCCTAAGGGAGCTGGAATCATCTTCTTCATTGCTTTATCCTCAGTCAAAACTAATATCTTCAGTCTAATCCTAGTTGTTCAGCTGATATTTCACGACCTAAATATTTCCTAAGGGAGCTGGAATCATCTTCATTGCTTTCCTCAGCCAAAACTAATATATCCAGTCTAATCCTAGCTGTTCAGCTGATATTTCACGACATAAATATTTCTCAAAGCAGCTGGAATCATCTTCTTCATTGCTTTATCCTCAGCCAAAGCTAATAACTCCAGTCTAATCCTAGCTGTTCAGCTGATTTTTCAAAAAGTTTAATAGAAGTTTGTCGATGTAAGAGTGGCTGCAAAGGGGGAAAAAATCTGACCCAGAATAAAGGCGTTCCCTTATGAAAGAGGTCTGTAAGGGAGCTAAAATCATCTGCTTCATTGCTTTATCCTCAGCCAAAGCTAATATCTCCAGTGTAATCCTAGCTGTTCAGCGGATATTTCAAAACGTTTAGAAGAAGTTTGTCGATATAAGAATGGCTGCAAGGGGGAAAAAATCTGACCGAGAATAAAGGCGTTCCCTTATGAAAGAGGTCTGTAAGGGAGCTAAAATCATCTGCTTCATTGCTTTATCCTCAGCCAAAGCTAATATCTCCAGTCTAATCCTAGCTGTTCAGCGGATATTTCAAAACGTTTAGAAGAAGTTTGTCGATATAAGAATGGCTGCAAGGGGGAAAAAATCTGACCGAGAATAAAGGCGTTCCCTTATTAAAGAGGTCTCTGTAAGGCAGCTGGAATCATCTGCTTCATTGCTTTATCCTCAGCCAAAGCTAATATCTCCAGTGTAATCCTAGCTGTTCAGCGGATATTTCAAAAAGTTTAGAAGAAGTTTGTCGATGTAAGAGTGGCTGCAAGGGGGAAAAATCTGATCCAGAAAGGCGTTCCCCTATCAAAGAGGTCTCTGTAAGGTATTGCGTGGTGGTTTATGCAAATGTTTTTACTTTTCGCCACAAAGAAACACCATTACACATATTTGGTTTGATTCTTTTAGGACTTCGACCTTTTGAAGTGTCCGAGGCAAATACCATCCGATTCGATTATAGCCTTTAGAATGCATTTATTTTAAGGTACATTGCAATGCTTAAATCTTCCGAAAATACATGTTATCACTCAAATATAGTGCTGTTCTAGAAATAAAATCTTGAATTTCGATAAAGAAACGCCATAAAATTCCCATGCTTCGCTTCCATTTAAAGATTTTGTCAAGTGCAATTCGTAGGCGTATCATTTAGCTTTCAGCAATCAAGTACCTCCTTTGCTGATCCGCTTGTAAATATTTGCATTTTCTTTTTCTTAACAGGAAAAGCCAGTATCCTGTTATTGTGCTATTTAATAGCAGGGGAAACTAAGAATTGGCATTCTTCTGGTACTGCTGAAATGGCTGGCACGAAAGAAGCATGTCTGCTCCTGTTTGTTGGGTTTTTTGTGCTGACAAGTGCTGAACCTCACCACTACGGACGTAAGTATAATTAAAACTAATTATGTTTGTTATGATTAACAAGTTAAATACATTGAAAGTATAGCTAAAGGTTTGGAAATATTGGTAAAATCAATATTAGCATCATGTGAACATTAGCCATCGTTTAAAAAAACCCAAATACTTTAAGTTATGAAATGAATATTGTGGTGATGCTACTCTCAACCGTGGGTAAGCTAAAGAATTAGCTTGACCACGGTGAGAATATACAAACATATTCTAACCATGTTTAAGTGCATATCAGTCAGATTTTCATGACAACAGGTGGCCCACGTTTATCCATGATCAGTTCGGAACCACGCCTTTCCAACACACTAATTTTTTTCATCTTTCCTTAGGTTACAATTTTTACGAAGCCTTTCGTTCTCGTTTTTTATGCCGGTTTAAACGCTGCCATCGTTACGCTGAATGTGAAGTTCAGAACAACACAGCCGTGTGTGTTTGCCCTAAAGTTTGCTCGAAGAAGTATTCCCCGGTCTGTGGAACCAACTGGAAAACCTACAACAATTTTTGTGAACTGGCAAGAGCTTCCTGTCTGGCCGACAGTCGATTAAGACTTCGTTATTATGGGCCATGTGAGTAAGAAAGTGCCTTTTATTAAAAGGGATATCTTGTTCAGAAGATTATCTAACTTTATTTATACTGGATAGCTCTATCAGTTCTAAACTGTTCTTCCTAGAGGTCCAGTAAGGATCATCTCTTATTGATCTAGTGTTACTACAGGAGGAAACCTAAACGAAACTAACTGTATTTATACTGGATAGCTCTATCAGTTCTAAACTGTTCTTCCTAGAGGTCCAGTAAAGATCACCCCTTTTGATCCAGTGTCACTACAGGGGGGAAACCTAAACTAAACTAACTTTATTTATACTGGATAACTCTATCAGTTCTAAACTGTTCTTCCTAGAGGTCCAGTAAGGATCATCTCTTATTGATCCAGTGTTACTACAGGAGGAAACCTAAACTAAACTAACTGTATTTATACTGGATTGCTCTATCAGTTTTCAACTGTTCTTTCCGAGGGTCTGGTGAGAATCATCTTTCATTGACCCTAGAAAAACACTTTTTGCGATCAAAGACTATTATTGTTTTGAAGGCAAATCTGGCAGCTGTAGACGAACACATTGGCAAAGACTGAGATGTCCTTATCGAAGCAGATGTGAGTTGGTCTACGGTCTGCCCCGATGCAGTTGTCCAAAAACCTGTTCATTCGCTTACAAGCCGGTTTGTGGCTCAAATGGTAGAACCTACAGAAACAGCTGTGAATTAAGAAAGGCCGCTTGTAAAGGAAGAAAATGGTTGTATGTTAAGCATCCGGGACATTGTCGTAAGTAAACATTTGATTGGTCACCACCAATGAACTCAAAGTATAAGAAATTAGGAAAGTTTAAATTTAACTTCCACTACCTTTTGCTACCTTTCAGTCATCTATGGCGTTTATGATTGGTTAATCAGATTGCATTTCTCTTGTAGGTCCTGATCCTTGCGCCCGCATTGACTGCTGTTGCGGTGCTCAGTGTAGGGTGAATGAAACGAACCACGCAAGGTGTGCATGCGAGTTTGCCTGTACTCTGCAATATGATCCAGTCTGTGGTTCAGATGGCAAAACGTACGGCAATGCTTGTGGTCTGCGGAGTGCTGCATGCGTGGAACAGAACCCTGGTCTTAGGGTAGTCAGCAAGGGACGTTGCGAAGGTAATATCACGAAATTTGACCTACACCTATACTAGATTTCCCCTTAGTGAGCCTGATCGTAGGTCATATGAGTTTGGTTCTACTTAACCTTACACAATAAGACATGGCATAGAAAGAAAATTCACCTTCAGCGCTGCTGTTTTTCAAAAGGTCAACGCGAGCAAGTGTCTTAGAAATTTAGTTTTGAGGGTTCGTAAACGCAGACAGACTTTTTTATTGCTGTTAGGGAATTTCAACTGTGCTGTCAAGTGTCAAGCTCTTCAATCTGTTTCGCTCAGAACTTTAAAGTTCTCTGAATATTGATAGTTCTCCTTTATATTGAGGTGACTAAATACATGGAATTGAATGAGCAGTTATCAACAAGATTACTCCATCTAGATCCAAATTTTAATGTGTTCAAAATTAAACGGTTCAAAACAATAATATGACTTGGGCTTTACGACACAATTAACTCTTCTCAAAAATACGCATTATGCAACATTCACAATGTAGTTTGGAAAAAATATGTCTATTTTAGATGTATCAACTACCCCTCAAAATGGAACAACTGAACCTCCACCTGTTATCACAACTGCTCCCCCACCTGAGGTATCAACTACCCCTCAAAATGGAACAACTGAACCTCCACCTGGAACAACTGAACCTCCAGCAACTACTTCCAATCCCTGTGCGAGATGTAGATTCTATTCCATTTGTGATTTAAGGAAGGTGCCGCCTGCTTGTGTCTGTCCATCTCCGTGTGGGGAAGTGTTCAAACCCGTCTGCGGATCCAACGGGGTCACTTTTGGAAACGTTTGTGAATTGCAAAGAGATAGCTGTAAAAGTCAACTTCTCATTGAAGTTGTGAGCCAGGGGCCATGTAAGTAGATTATTGACTTTCTTCTTTTGTGACTTTTGGTGATAGTTTTCTTACATATGATGTAGTTTCTTCAACCGCCGATTAGGAACTATTCTAACAGAATAATCTAATAGATTAGCTGAAGAGTGGATTAGATTAGATTAGTTGAGGTTTGATTAGATTGAATTTAGATTCGATTAGATTAATGAAGATTAGACTAAGGAGTAGATTTATTATTTTTAAGCTAACTTGTTTAGGTGACAAACGAGATAAATAATTGCAATTATAAATAGAATTGCCTATAAACATTCTCCAAAATTATTCTTGTTCTTTTAGGTCCTACTCCGACATCAAATGTAACAAATCCAGTAGCATAAAGCGAGGTCACTTCAGTGTTATGAGTTTCCAGTTAGTTTCTTGTGAACTAGAATCTTTCATATCATAAATAGAACTTTTGGATTTCTTTTTGTTAAAAATCTTGTAAAGGTCTTTTAACCGGTTAGTTTGTGAATCCTTGGAAATGTTTTCATTATGACATTGCAAAAGGATTTAGGTAAAATAAATAAATGCACAACCTCGTACCCAGGGTCTTTTTTTCCCTATAACACAGCGAAATTACCCTGGGTCCTGGACTTGTCGCACGTCTTAAAACCCGTTAGTTGAATCCTTGGAAGAATGTTTTTCATGATGACGTTGAAAAAGATTGAAGTAAAAGAGAAAACACTGTCCATTATCCCCAGAACAAATAGTTGGAACACTGATGATTATGATAACTATCCATGATCGCTGATCATTATGATAATTATTCATGATAAAAAATTTCAAATATGGCGGTAAGTAAAAATTGAAAGGAATTCTTCCCTTCCAAAAATTGCTTTATTTCTGTTAAATATTAATAAAATTGTTGTTGATGCTAGCTTCGAAACGTTACTTGAAATGCTACAGTCTCTTCACAGTGGCGTAGCCAGCCTGACGATTTTGTCCCGCTATGGTCAATTTTGACGACTTTTTCAACTATTCAAAAACTGTCTTAAAATGCTAAAAATTGCTTCCTAAGACTAATATCTTTCATTTTAGAGCATATTTCGTTGGTTTTTGGAACATTGAAAAAGTCGTCAATTTTGACCAAAATGGTAAGGCTTACCCCTTACCATTTTGGTCAATTTTGACGACTTTTTCAACTGTTCAAAAAGTGTCTTAAAATGCTAAAAATTGCTTCCTAAGACTAATATCTTTCATTTTAGAGCATATTTGGTTGGTTTTTGAAACATTGAAAAACTCGTCAAAATTGACAAAAAATGGTAAGGCTTACCCCTTATCATTTTGGCCAATTTTGACGACTTTTTGAACTTTTCAAAAACCGTCTTAAAATGCTGAAAATGGCTTCCTAAGATTAATATCTTTCATTTTAGGGCATATTTGGTTAGTTTTTTGAACATTGAAAAATCATCAAAAATGACCAAAACGGCAAGGCTTACCTCTTACCATTTTGGTAAATTTTGACGACTTTTTCAACTGTTCAAAAAGTGTCTTAAAGTCTCCAAAGAAAGGATTAAATGAAATAAAAAACTTGGGTCTTTCACCACAAGCAACGGTGGCCGAGTGGGTTAGGCCAGTAGTCCAAAAGCGGTGGTGGTTCAAGCCCTTGCAGTGTCAAAACATGAGTTGCGAATTCTTATTTAATTTCAAAGTCTCCAAAAAAGGATTAAATCAAATAAAAAACTTGTATCCTTCACCACAAGCAGCGGTTGCCGAGTGGGTTAGGACAGTAGTTATTCCATAAGCGGTGGTGGTTCAAGCCCTTGCAATGTCAAAACATGAGTTGTGAATTCTTATAAAATTTAAAGTCTCCAAGGAAAGGATTAAATGGGATAAAAAACTTTCGTCTTTCACCACAAGTAGCGGTGGCCGATTGGCTTAGGGCAGTGGTTTGTCCGTTGACGTTGGTGGTTCAAGCCCTTGCAGTGTCAAAAAATAAGTTGCAAATTCTTATTTAATTTCAAAGACTTGTAAGGATAAGGTGAAAAAATTCTAAGTCTAAAAAATTCTAAGTTTCACCACCAACACTGATAGCCGGTGGTGAAAGACTTAGAAAATTTAAAAAGTCTTAAGTCGAAGAAAGGATTAAGTAAAATAAAAAACTGTCCTTTTTCACCACCAGCAGCAGTGGCCGAGTTGGTTAGGACAGTGGTTAGTCCATGAAAGCGGTGGTGGGTTCAAGCCCTTGCAGTGTCAAAACATGAGTTTCAAAGACTTGGAAAATTTAAAAAGTCTTAAGTCGAAGAAAGGATTAAGTAAAATAAAAAACAGTCGTCTTCCACCACCAGCAGCAGTGGCCGAGTAGGTTAGGACAATGGTTAGTCCATAAAAGCGGTGGTGGGTTCAAGCCCTTGCAGTGTCAAAAACATAAGTTTCAAAGAAAAATTGGTCATTGTCTAAATCAATTGATCAAAGTCTCAAAAAAAAGGAAATTTCGAAAAGAAATTGGACAATCAAAAAAATTCAGAATTTCAAAAAAAAATGAAAAAAAGAATTCGATGTTTCAAAACAAGATTTGAAAGCTGGAAAATTGAAAAAAATTGGAAGTTTCAAAAAAAAAGAAAGACAATGCAAGGGCTTGCCTAACTAGAAAAATTATTTTATCTATTTCTCTAGTTTTTTTTCTAGTTTTTATTCTATTTCTCTAGTTTTTTTTTCTATTAAAAACTAGAGAAAAAAAACTAGAGAAAAAAAAAACTAGAGAAAAAAACTAACTAGAAAAATAGAAAAAAAACTAGAGAAATAGAAGAAAAACTAAAAAAAACCTAGAGAAATAGAAGAAACTAGAGAAAATAGATAGAAGAAAAAAAAAAACTAGAGAAATAGAAGAAAAACTAGAAGAAAAAAAATAGAGAAATAGAAGAAACTAGAGAAAATAGATAGAAGAAAAAAAAAACTAGAGAAAAAAAACTAAAAAACTAGAGAAAAAAACTAACTAGGAAAATAGAAAAAAACTAGAGAAATAGAAGAAAAACTAGAAGAAAAAAACTAGAGAAATAGAAGAAACTAGAGAAAATAGATAGAAGAAAAAAAAAACTAGAGAAAAAAACTAACTACGAAAATAGAAAAAAAACTAGAGAAATAGAAAAAATTGTCCAGTCACACAGAAGAACTTGCAAAATAAAAACACTAACACCACCAGACGAAAAAGGTTTACTTCTTAAACTTTACAAAGAAAAAAGTTCTCTTTATAAATCCAAGTTTTGAAAATTGTCACATAATTCATCACATTTCACACTAAAATATATTAATTAATAGGAAAAAACTAGAGAAATAGAAGATAATACTAACAGGTTTAACTTAGAAAAAATACTAAGAGGTTTAATTTAGAATTGTCAAGTCACACAGAAGAACTTGCAAAATAAAAACACTAACACCATCCGACGAAAAAGGTTTACTTCTTAAACTTTACAAAGAAAAAAGTTCTCTTTATAAATCCAAGTTTTGAAAATTGTCACATAATTCATCACATTTCACACTAAAATATATTAACTAATAAATCTGGGTGCCTTTCAACTTTCTTCAACACTAAAGTAAAAAAAAGAATTTCATCAAAAAAATAATAAGAGAAAATATATTTAGAAAAAAAACTAATACTAAGAAGAAATTAAAGAGAAAAGAAGTATAAGAAAAAGCCAAAAGCAGCTGCCAAAATCTTTTCAATTGTGAAAGCACACGAAAAAACATGCAAAATCAAAACACCAACACCACCAGACAAAAATCAAGTCTCTTCTTAAACTTTTCAAAAAACATTTAGAAGCAACTGCCAAAATCTTTTCAATCATGAAAGCACATGGAAAAAACATGAAAAAACATGCAAAATCAAAACACTAACACCACCAGACAAAAAAGGTTTACTTCTTAAACTTTACAAAGAAAAATTTCTCTTTATAAATCCAAGTTTTGAAAATTGTCACATGATCACATTTCACACATGTTATCACACACTATAATATATTATCATTCACTTTATAGTATTCTCAATTTTGATTGGTTAATTTACCTGCAGTTAACTGCGTGCAAATAATACTCAGCTGCAAATAATACTCTGAGCATGCGCATTAATGTCAATTTTATAAACAATGGCGACTCGCTTTGCCGAACTGTCCGATAAAACAAACTCAAAATTGAAAATTGAGTGGTGAATGCAGATAAATTATTTGCCTCTGCCTTCGGCATCGGCAAATAATTGATCTGCTCGCCAGCGACAAATCACGATGATTAATTAATGAATCTAGGATAGGCTAAAACAATTAAGGTTCTTCTGGGGTGCCTTTCAACTTTCTTCAACTTCATTCATTCTAAAGAGAAAAAAAATTTCATCAATCCTTTCAGGCAAAAAGTGGCAGCAAAGTTTGTATTTTCAACCTGACATCATTATTAAAAGATATTACTCATTATCTTACTTTAGTAATCTTTCATGGATAGACAATACATTCATGAATGCATTCTGTTTTATGCCAATTATATTTTTGCCATTTTCAATAAAAAGAATGTGTCACATGCATATATTCAACCCAGACATATGTCACTATTTAATTTGAACACAGAAATATCAAAGGTATCACCCTTCTGAGTACTACAGAATATAAATCACATGGAAATCAGAAAAATTTCTCCCAAGTTTAAAATAGTAATTGCTGGTCTTTTTCATGGATATTTATTGTAAGACCACCACAGGAATTTTAGTAATCAGTCAGACTGGTTCAGCTGTTATAGCATTAAGTTTCATCATTGGTTTCACACATGGTGACCATAGAAGCAAATTTCAATTTCATAGTTGTCATCTCAACAATGTAGTGGCTTTTTAAAATCAAATGCTGACCATCCATGACAAAATCAAATTACCTCAGTGCAGATATTTTGTTCACTTTCCAATCAATGTACATCTGACAGTAAACTTCATATATCCACAGCTCATGTTGCACTCCTGACCAGGGAAAATCTTGAATATATAAAGAAGACATTATTAATACAAAATTCCATTTTCAACTACATCTTAATTATTGTCTAGTTTTTCGTCAGGTATTCTATGGTTACTCGATCATCCCTCTATGGTTACTCGATCATCCCTCTATATATAACTATGGTTGCTATATTTATTCAAAGACCAGCACAGGAATTTATTACTGGTGACACATAGTGAGTATAGAAGCAAAGTTCACTTAATAATCTTAACAAAATTTGTGACTGCCTGACGATTTTCAAAAAAAAGATCAGATCCTAGTTGCAGCAAATTCCCCCCTTATACTAAAATAACAAAATATATATCTGGGCAGTTGATATGTATTACAAGGTCACTACAAGAATTTCAGCTGCAAGGCTAATATAAATTTTGAAGCAACAATCGAATTACCTCTCTGCAGAAATTTTGTTCACTTCCAATTTTCCTCTGACAGTAAGGTTCTTATCCACAGCAGCTCATGTGGCTGGTTGCACTCTTGACCAAGGAAAATCTTGAATATATAAAGAAGACATTATTATTCCAAAATTCCATTTTCAACTATCTTAATTATTGTCTAGTTTTTCGTCAGGTATTCTATGGTTACTCGATCATCCCTCGATATATAACTATGGTTGCTATATTTATTCAAAGACCAGCACAGGAATTTATTACTGGTGACACATAGTGAGTATAGAAGCAAAGTTAACAAAATTTGTGACTGCCTGACGATTTTCCAAAAAAAGATCCTAGTTGCAGCAAATTCCCCCTTATACTAAATAACAAAATATATATCTGGGCAGTTGATATGTATTACAAGGTCACTACAAGAATTTCAGCTGCAAGGCTAATATAAATTTTGAAGCAACAATCTTCCATTTTCAACTATCTTAATTATTGTCTAGTTTTTTGTCAGGTATTCTATGGTTACTCGATCATCCCTCTATATAAAACTATGGTTGCTATATTTATTCAAAGACCAGCACAGGAATTTATTACTGGTGGCACATAGTGAGTATAGAAGCAAAGTTCACTTAGTAATCTTAACAAAATTGTGACTGCCTGACGATTTTCATGAAAAAGATCCTAGTTGCAGCAAATTCCCCCTTATACTAAATAACAAAATATATATCTGGGCAGTTGATATGTATTACAAGATCACTACAAGAATTTCAGCTGCAAGGCTAATATAAATTTTGAAGCAACAAACAATCTTCCATTTTCAACTATCTTAATTATTGTCTAGTTTTTCGTCAGGTATTCTATGGCTACTTCATCCCTCTATATATAACTATGGTTGCTATATTTATTCAAAGACCAGCACAGGAATTTATTACTGGTGACACATAGTGAGTATAGAAGCAAAGTTCACTTAATAATCTTAACAAAATTGTGACTGCCTGACGATTTTCCAAAAAAAGATCCTAGTTGCAGCAAATTCCCCCTTATAATAAATAACAAAATATATATCCGGGCAGTTGATATGTATTACAAAGTCACTACAAGAATTTCAGCTTCAAGGCTAATATAAATTTTGAAGGAACAATCGAATTACCTCTGTGCAGAAATCTTGTTCACTTTCAATGTTCATCTGACAGTAAAGTTCATATCCACAGTTCATGTTGCACTCTTGACCAAGAAAAATCTTGAATATAAGAAGACATTATTAATATAAAATTCCATTTTCAACTATCTTAATTATTGTCTATATATAACTATGGTTGCTCTATTTATTTCAAGACCACCACAGGAATTTATTACTGGTGACACATAGTGAGTATAGAAGCAAATTTCACTTAGTAATCTTAACCAAATTGTGACCGCACTGACGATTTTCATGAAAAAGATCCTAGTTGCAGCAAATTCCCTCTTATACTACTGAAATAACAAAATATATACCCGGGCAGTTGATATGTATTACAAGGTAGTGACAAGAATTTCAGCTGCAAGGCTAATATAAATTTTGAAGAAACAATCGAATTACCTTTGCGCAGAAATCTTGTTCACTTCCAATGTTCATCTGACAGTAAAGTTCATATCGACAGCTCATGTTGCACTCTTGACCAAGGAAAATCTTGAATATAAGAAAACATTATTAATATAAAATTGCATTTTCAACTATCTTAATTATTGTCTAGTTCTAGCAGAAGGCACACAAACAGTAAAGTAAAATACTTAACTTTGACCAGACAGCACAACAATCTTGCTCAGAAAGGTCCGCGAACGGTCCACCTGGATAGTTTCTTCGGCATCGCCATTTTGAATTCGGCCGGGCGAGTCTTGAACTGATTTCTATTTCAACTGTTCTCTTGATGTTCGTCTTGATAACTGGCTGTTGAGATAAACGTTAATGACAAAATGTTCAGTTCTGCTTCAGTCTATGGGTGCGGAAATTGCTCATGACATAAATTTTCAGTAAAAAATTATCATCATTGCAGGCAGAATTAAGCTCGAAACTTTAGATAACCTTGTACGCAGAATATCTCATATTGTATATCGTTATTTCTGGCCGACAATTAGCAGAAGGCACACAAACATCAAAGTAAAATACTTAACTTTGACCAGACAGCACAACAATCTTGCTCAGAAAGGTCCGCGAACGGTCCACGTGGATGGTTTTCTTTGGCATCGCCATTTTGAATTTGGCCGGGCGAGTCTTCACCTTCATCTTGACAACTAGCTGTTCAGATAAACCTATATACAACGAAAAAAGGGTTCGGCTCAGCTACACTGTACTCCTTAGGGAAGGCCTACGGCCTTCCCGTAGATTAGTGTAAAGGCCTACAAGTGGGAACTAGCAGACTAGCAGCGTGCGGGGGACCAAAACGCTCTAGGCAAACGGTCCCCCTACTGGGGTCGGACAAAGCAACCGCAGATTACGCATATAATCGCCGGAACCCACCTTTTAGTCAACGGCGAACTCCTTCTTCCTCGAACAATCTTCAATCTTGCTGAGCTTCGATCTTGCTGTCCACCTTCGATCGCCACCAATCTAAAGAAATTTTTTTTTAACGTTGAGATTAGTTTTATAGGTGATAATTACCATGTGATCATAGCAGATCACGTGGATTATAATGTACGACAACATGCCGATCAACTCCAAACATCATCGTGAGCGATGTTACTATAAACGAATCACTAAACGCCTAGAAAAAAGTCCTTTCCTATATTTCAACATTTTAAAAGCAGTGCATTCTAGTTTTGTTTTGAAGCACAATTTGTTTTTTGCTTCTAGTTTTTTGGTTTCGTTTTAAAAGGTGAATTGTCGCTGTGTGCCGAATTCTTTGTATTTCTGATGTCAAACAATCCTGTACTTTTTGGTATCATAAATATAAGCTCCTTTGTTTTGGAGACATACAACAGTTTTTTTTAGATTTTAGCCAAAACATATAGCAGCAATTACAGATTCACTAAGTTCATTCTCATCTTGATTCACAAATTTTTAAAGGAGGCATGTCATAATAATAATTTATGTGAGATAACGTGAATAAGAAAATAAAAAAAAATATGAAGTTTTGGGGTTTTGACGGTCTTAGAGAAGACTTCGTTATTGCAAAGTGAACATTTTCGTAAATCTCGAAATTACGTTATTATAAATTTCAACATCTTTAAGTTTAAGGTTTGTTAAGAATATGTCATATACTTACTTCGTTATCTTTTCTTTTTCACTAAAGCTTTTCTATGGTTCTTCGCTCGTTTGCCTTCCTCATCACACATAGAATTAATTAGTGTTTCTTTTGTCTTTTTTAAACCTATTTTGAACTACGCAATTATATTTCGATCTAAACTGTAACCTGTGTAAATATTAACCTGCTCCAACGCAAATACAGCTGGGACAAGTGAGTAATTAAAGATATTTCCCGATCATATCAAAGAGCTTATAGTATTTGATATATTCGTACCACAAATGTTAAAAACAAGATTGCACCTTGCCAAAAGAAAAATGATGGTTTTTCAACGTTCCAAAAACAAACCAAATATGCTCAAAAACCAAAGAGATTAGTCTTAGCAAATATTTGAAGCCATTTTCACAACGTTAACACATTTTTGGAAAACTTTTAAAATTCGTCAATTTTGGCTAAAATGGTAAGGATGCCCTTACCATGCCAAAAATGATGATTTTTTCAATCTTCCAAAAACAAACCAAATATGCTCAAAAACTAAAAAGAGTAGTCTTAGTGAATAGTTTAAGCCCATTTTACAATGTTAACACATTTTTGGAAACACATTGTTGATAGCCGCATTATATTTTGTAGTAACTCCTGTGTTTGGTGTTTTGTTTTCAAAACTTAGTTCACAACATAATCTAAAGAATAAAGGTAAAACAAATTAATTTTGAGCGGTACGCCGAAAAGATTTTAGGTTTTGAGCGTTTTCCCGCCAAAATACGCGACAGAATAAAAAATCTCCTCTTAATTAATAATGCGCCTGGGTCGTACGCTGTCAGAAATGTCCCCAAAGGTTAAAACGGATTAAAATGAAAAAAGCACCTGATTTGATTATAAGATTTACAGTAAACTTTAGGGTCAAAACTACTGGAAAAAAACATCATTTAAATTAAGTAAATTCAGATTTCAATATCCAAAAACCTTCCCCTGATGAACACCGATCGAAATCACAAATATTTCGCAACATTTCACGAAATATTGCGCTGTCACTTGACTCCAACCTATTGCCGAATTCCGCGAGAATTTCCTGCGTCGTAGCGCGGCCTGGTAACGAACAACCACCAGCGATAAAATTGCGCATTTCTGTCATTGTTTCCACGTACTTTTGTTCGCTAGATTGTACGTCACTTCCGGCGTTTGTTCCACCAATAGAATTGCGTGCTCTCATGCGGGCTAGTAATTGCGTTGAGGACATAGGGCTCCCGAGACCTGGTTTTGTCAAATCACTCTCCTTTTCGTTTTGCAATAAAGACTTGCCAGTGAATAAGGTTGTAGAATTTTCCTTCTAAGGAATAGAAGATAAAACGTTTGAGAAATTTTTATTATCCGCAAACCTGGTGTCGTTCATCAAACCAAACTTCAACTGAATAACTTTTACCTTTTCAACTTTCTTCGCCTTTGGACCAAACAAGGTTCTAAAAAGTTTGGAAAGTTTTGTTAAGACAAGAAAAAAAAGGTTACTTTAAGCTTTCCTTCTATCAATAAGAGATGATCCTTACTGGACCTCAAGGAAGAACAGTTCGGAACTGACAAAGCTATCCAGTATAAATAAAGTTAGTTTAGTTTAGGTTTCCTCCTGTAGTAACACTGGATCAATAAGAGATGATCCTTACTGGATCTCTCGGAAGAACAGTTCAGAACTGACAAAGCTATATCCAGTATAAATAAAGTTAGTTTAGTTTAGGTTTTCTCCTGTAGTAACACTGGATCAATAAGAGATGATTCTAACTGAACTCCTAGGAGGAACACTTTAGAACTGATAGAGATAAGCACTATAAATAAATTTAGTTTAGTCTAGCTACGTTTTCTCCCAGCAATAACACTGGTAATAATCATTGCCAGGAAGAACAGTTTAGAATGTTTACCTTTCCTGCATTCCATATGGCGAACCAACAACACCTGACTGTCCAGTCCATGTAGGTAGACCAGTGTTTCTGAGTTGCAGGCAATGGTCACGTGAACGTTTCACAGCCTCAGCTGCCTGAGCGGCCACTCGTTTAGCCTCGTTTTCCACCAAAACATGATCTGCATTGCCCGAATTCACAATGGTGTCATGTTGAAGTGCACTGTGAACACCTGGGGATAATACAGTACAAAAGTGGATGTCAATGGATGGAAGTCTGTTTACCCGATCCAACTTCCATTCGAAATATGGAATATAGTCTGTCATTGATGAGGTAGAACTGCATTGGTTTCAGTTGATTTGCTGCACATATACATTGCAAGTCGACAGACTATAAAACTTCTATTAGATGCGAATCGGACCCGAAACAATTGGATCGTATGAAAAGACATAACAAAACCAAACAATAACAACCTGATTTTTTGAATAACTTTCTTAAAATGTAATCATCATCAGCATTTTTATCGGGAACGTCTTCAGGCCCTTGCCTTGGACGGTATGGTTCGGAATGACTCAGTTGACCAATATGCATCCCTTCCACTTCTGAAAAAAACCCCGATAACAACGGTGTTAGCCGGCTAAGCAAGCTTGCTCCAACATAGAAGAACACATCCCTATAGCACATAATTAATGCAGAATAACACACCAATATATTACAATGTACTGTAGAACAACACACATATAATACAATGTAGAACGACACATGACCTAACATCAACACGACAAATTTTGAACAACACAAAGTAAAAAGATAAACATAACACATCTAAAACTCACTATTTCTTTTCCTTTTCTTGCTTTTCTTTCGTGATGATTTCGTCATTTTATCATTTAAAGAACTTTCCCTAGACCCAGTCTTCTCAACGTCATCAACCTTAGCGTTCTCGCTCGACGACATTTTCCCGCCAGTAGCTTTTTCCGAACTTTCACCGGTGATCGACGGATTGTTCGTCGTAGGTAAACGAGTGCATTCCGATGCATCCCCGAAACTTTCCCGCTCTTCCGATGTCTCGATCAATTTCTCATTGTTTATTTTGCTCTCGAATTTCACTCCATCACAACTTTGCTCATTCAGATTTCTTTGAACATTTTCCCCTTCTTTTTCAGTGTCCGCCATTTCGTTCCTCTCTTGAACACAGCTCTCCTTCGAAGACGCGAACTGGGTCAGAAGTATTTCCTTCGTCCGTTCTTGTATAGCTTTTAAAACATTTTTATCGCCTACGCTGTGCTTCCGCTTTGTTCCTTTCTTTTTGGCGGGAACAGCGACCTCACAGCCGAGACCTGCAAATATGGCGCCGGTTTCAGTTCCAGACTTCGAGTTGTCTGACGTGTCCAACGTGAACAGCTCAAACAGATCATTTGATTTGAAGAAACGTCGTTGTTTGGGATCTTTTAAAACACGATTTGTCAAAAACTGCTTGAATATTTGTCTAAAAGAGGAACAGAAGTGTATAATGATTGTATTCTATACATATCCAAAACTATCCTCACCAGTGATCCCCACCTACCCTTGAATAATCCTTATCTACTTGAGGCTATCTGACTGTACATATCCACAACTATCCTCACCAGTGATCCCCACCTACCCTTGAATAATCCTTATCTACTTGAGGCTATCTGACTGTACATATCCACAACTATCCTCACCTGTGGTAAATCTTCTCCTCAATAGTGCCAGTGGTCAACAACCGATAAATCGTGACATCCTTTCTCTGTCCCACTCGCCACGCGCGTTCCCGCGCTTGCATGTCGGTACCAGGATTCCAGTCTGGGTCGTATATGATCACGCGATTCGCACCGATCAAGTTCACGCCCAGGCCACCAACACGGGTTGTCAGGAGGAACACAAAAATAGACGAATCCTAAAATTTTGAAATACCAATAGGATAACTTCAGCTATACAATAAGTTCGTCTTTAGTTCGTCTTCAGTTATACATTCAGGGGCCGGTTGTATCAAGCCCGTTTAGCTTAAACGGTGGATAAGTCCAAAATAGAAAGCAAGTCTATCGTTTTATTCAAGAAGCAAACTAAATGTTTTTAACCTTAATACAAAGAAACTGTTTACAACTACATATTCAGTGCATAATATTCAAGTTGACTCATTTAAGAGAGACGTAAGAGTGTTATTTAAGTTTGACTTATCCCCAGTTTAAGCTAAACGGGCTTGATACAACCAGCCCCTGTTCATTTCTTTTTCTCACGAAACAGTTTTACTTTTTCAATGTGCAGTTTTACTTATTCTATAAAGAAGCTCTTTTTAGCTGTCGTGTTGGATTTTGTTTATTTTTTTCCTCGTTCAAAATTCAGTTCTATCACATTTTAATATCTCAATACCCTGCTCACCTTATTAAATTTCTCTATCAACGGCTGCCGAGATGAGATTGAAGTTGATCCATCCATTCTGCAAAAATTATAGCCTTGAGATTTGACAAATATTTCAAGAATTTTCAACATCTAAAGGGAGACAAAAAATATTCAAGTTGACTGCCATTAACAAGACTTTTCATGACGTCACTATACATAACGTCATCACTATATATCCATGACGTCATATAGTCCCCAGTTCTCCCGCCTTCGCTCACCTGCCGTGTTTGTGTGAAAAGCAATACTTTATGCTTTTGTTTTTTCCACAGCTTGAGTAAGGAATGAACAACAATGAGTTTGCCGGCTCGCTTCCAATGCCCGTATTCGCTGTCATTTTTCTCGCGACACTTATCCGTATTTTCCTGCTGCGCTTCGTCTTTTCGTAGTTTCAACAAAGAGCCGGCCGGGGTGGTTAGGTCAGGATGATTGCAAATCTTCCGCAACATTATCAGACCAGGGAAAACCTAAGAATACGACTGCTGTTAATTGTTTTACAAGCACAAATTGATAAAATACAAGAGGTCGTATAAAGAAAAAAGATATCCTCATTTTAGCATGCCATAATGCAATAATTTTTGAGTCCAATGACTGAAGTAATTTTAACATGGTGAGAAAAATGAATTGATTTTTCCAACAGTATCTCTCTTATCAGTCTTATGATATATTGTCTCTTTACCATGTTTTTTAAACAAAGTTTTTGCGGAGTAAGAAACAAACATTCAAACCCACGATTTCTAAGAATACTTCTTAAAATTGCATATTTCCCCCTGAAAATATTCTAAAGCAAGTACCTTCATATTTCCGGACAAAATAGATCCCACATCACGTGAAGCCAAATATTCTTTGTACAATTCTATCTGTTCCTCAGTAAGGCGACAAAACAGTACCTTTGCAAGAGAAATATAGAGCTATACATATTTTGCTTAGAAAAAAATGGCATTTTACCATCTGGTGGCAATCTCATTTGTTAAGAATAGTTCTAACCTGTTCGTTTTTGTTTGGTAAATCCAATTTCTTTTTAACATCCTTCTTCAATCTTCTCAATAAATACGGATTGATTGTGTCCCTCAAAACACACGCACATTTGAACGCTGTCTGTACCTATAGATGTGTTGATAAAAAAAACTTGAATTAAATACACATAACAAACAGCACCAATTCAAGGACATTACACCACAAGAAATTGCTTTATTCTGACCTGAACCGGTGTGGCATTTGAATATCCTCCCATGGTGATTGGCACTGAGAACTCTTGCATGAACACAGGTAACGTTCCCAGCTTGCCAGGATAAACAAAATCGAAGAGGGACCAGAGTTCACGAAGGTTGTTCTGCATTGGTGATCCTGACAACACTAGACGATGCGGAGTGCGAAACTACATACATGAGAAAATAACCGGTAAGTTGACTGTGACTTGATAAACTGTGACTTGACCAACTTTTACTTGCTACTGAAGAAGTACTGGCACTTTATTTCACAGGACACCACGGTAATTAGTAAGACTTATAATATTAACCTCAATTCTCAATATGTACTTTATAGGCTTCAAACTTGGTGAAAAAATGGTTTATAAATACTCAAAAAATATAACTTGCACAGAACAGAAGATTTGAAGTTTGAACACGGCAAAAACGAATCGTCTGAATTCAAAACCTTGTGTATACATTAAGCCTGAAAATGGCCATTTCACAGTTGTCAGATGTGTATGATGAGCTGTCAAAAGATTGCAGAATGCGTATTCAGAAGAAAAATTGAATTTTTAAAAATGATTCAATAGTATTCTCATTGATACATAACGATACAGAAATGGCCAATTGTGAACCAGTGATTTTATTTTCGGGTTGATCGAAACTTTATAAAAACCGATTTCTGCTGTGTTATTTCACAGCCACAGGGTTGATAACTGTAGGTGACTCTTTTTAAATCAATATCTTCAAACCTTGCAGAACTATAAAAGGTGTCCTATAGTTCAGTATTTTACTGTGTCTTATAGCAAACAATTTCATGTGCTACCATCATTACAAAAGATCTACACTATGGCTCAAATTTCTTCTTAAAAAATACATTGTTGTTGTTATTATCCTATGGTTGTTACCTGTTTGCAAGTTAACGTGACCTCAGCATCTGGGTTACGTATGGTATGACCTTCATCTAAAATGATGTAATCCCAACGGGACTGCAACAGATGATCTTGGTTTATTCTCACACCAGAGTATGTGGTCAGCAGAATCCCTGGTTCGTTGCGGATTCTGGTTATCAGGGTGTCCTAAACAAAATGATGGCTCGGTTATGATGATAGGTGAAGGTCGATTCCCTTTCATGTGTATGACAACCCTATGCTGTTTGTTTTATTTTTTTATTGTGTGTGCATGTGTCAGAGATACTGCACTATACTTTAAATTAATGCAAATGGCCTCAAGTTTGAGAGAGAAGCATCTCAGACACACAAAAAAGTTGAAACAAAAAACATAATTGTCACACAAGAATCATCCTAATGTATATTTGCATCACGATTGATCTTAAAACTTTAGTAAATGAAACTTTTATTGATTCAAAAGCACTTTCATTGGAAGATTTGAAAAACGAAGAGAATAGAAGGCTTAGGCTTGATTAGGCCTAAGTGTTGATATGGTTTATGTGCACACAAAACATTCATTACAACCCACCTTGGGTCCCTTGTATGAACCAGTGTCATGCAAAACTGCAACACGAAACTCTGGCCACCACTTGTGCAATTCAGCCACCCATTGAAACAGAATTGTTGCTGGACATATTATGAGAACTGGTCCAAAACCATTCTGCCTGAAATAAAAAAATTGAGATATTAGCAAGACAATCCTTATGATAAGCAACTATCCAGTATAAATAAAGTTAGTTTAGTTTAGGTTTCCTCCTGTAGTAACACTGGATCAATAAGAGATGATCCTTACTCGACCTCTAGGAAGAACAGTTTAGAACTGATAGAGCTATCCAGTATAAATAAAGTTAGTTTAGTTTAGGTTTCCTCCAGTAGTAACACTGGATCAATAAGATATGATCCTCACTGGACCTCTAGGAAAAACAGTTTAGAACTGATAAAGGCTATCCAGTATAAATAAAGTTAGTTTAGTTTAGGTTTTCTCCTGCAGTAACACTGGATCAATGAGACATTATCCTCTCCCTCAACGATAGCAATATACCAATATCCTAATGTATCCAACCAAATGATGCTTACTTTGAACCCCGTCTGCCAATATTACTGTACTTTAGCCCAGCTAGGAATGCAATAATCTGAATTGTCTTTCCCAGACCCATTTCATCTCCAACTATTCCTCCAGCTTGTTGCGTGTGCAGCTCCCATAACCACTTCACCCCAGTCTTTTGGTAGCTAAAATGATAGAAAAGTATGTGTCACATGTGTATCATAGTCCATCCAGAATCTATGTATATATATAGACCTTTGCACAGTGTCACATTAGACATCTTGGACCAGGGTCCAGTTGTACCAACCATGTTTAGCTTAAACTGCACATGGATAAGTTAAATTATGACTACATTCAAATTGAATTGCATTTTATGCATGAATTACATATGTAGTTGTAAACAGTTTGCTTGTTGAATAAAGCAATAGAGATGCTTTCTATTGATCTACAAGATTGAACCATTTAATTTCAACAAACCTGAATAGTTTGTTCCAGATAACAGAAGGAATCTTTAAGCCACCATCAAATTCTTCATCTGGTCCCTCTTCATCCCAGAAGCTGTTTTCCTCCTCATCTCGACCTTCATAATCAATGCCTTTCTCTCGCAATGATTTCTTAAATTTGAACTCCCTGGAGGAACACATTAATCAAACAACAATTAATTCACACCTATACAGAGCTCCTAAAATGTTCTCCAACTCAAAATCATACCTAATTCTGATCTTGTATGCCCTATCATCACCATCATCCTTCACAGACTGCGTCATTCTTTTACTCTTTTTACCAGCTTTGTTCTGAGGAATTTGCACTTTATTGGTTGCCATGGAAGCCTCCCCAATTGGTTCTTCCAGGTCATCTTCGGGCAAGACATGTTCATCATCTTGAAAACTAAGCTTTAAATCGTCCTCATTAGGGATATATTCTTCGTCACTGTCAACTGTGGGTTCATTGATTTCAATGTCAGGGTCTGACGAAAGAAGGGCCTCATCTTCATTGGTATCAATCTGTTTAAGATTGCTCTTAGTTCCATCTAGTTTCATTCTACCAGCATCATCCGAGGTACCAGCATTGTCACCACACTTGGTACCATCACTCCTGCTAGAATTGAATGTCTCAGCATCACTGTCATATTTTTCAACTGTGCTACCAAATGGTGTCATCACACCCAAACGTACAAGTCTTTCAACTTCTGTTTCTTTACGAGCTTCAGAATGAAGAACTCTGTCAATTGAAATTTGCCCAGATTGTTCATTTTGAATGCTGATACCCTCATCTCCCAGACATGAATCTAGAGAATAACAATATTAGAAAAAACCTAAATAGTCTTTGTAAGACCAATGAAGCACAGTTTTTTACAACAAAGTTAAGTTTATTACCTTTTCCTTTTTCAAACTTCTGCAAGCTCTGTAGAATGTCATTTTCCTCTTGTGTAAGTCTTTGAACATCAATCAGCTTAAATTTTTAGTTTGTACAGTCAATGTTAAGTTACTAAGTCAATTTAATGGTAATAATTTTTTATTTACCATTGATTCTTTTGTATGCTGTTTTATTCCTGGTCTTTGGAGCTTTTGCTTAACATTTCTAAAAGTTTGAAACACAATATATTTACTATCATAATAATGATCATATTTGTCAATATATCATTATTATTATCAATCATCAATGTCATCACAATACTAATTATCATCATCGATCAATATTTACAACCAATACTATGATCAATATTATAATCACTGCCAATTAATCAAAATTCACCATTCTATGTGCCATCAATAGGAAAAATCAATATCATCATCATGACAACCAATATTTAATAGAACAAACCTGAGTTCATCTTCAACCGACTTTAACTTCTTTCTCAACTTCTCTTTTTCAAAAATTTCCTCCTGCACAGCAATAGCTTCATCAACTTGTTGTAAAACGCCCTCCTCGAATACAGATTGATCAAAAATATTCACTCCGAGCGCTCGCAAATTCTCAGGTTGCTCTTCGAAGGCAACCTCGTGAATTTTGCTGGAATCGATCGAGATTCCATAACTTCTGACAAAATTACGGCGATGATAAAACGTCTTTTCGCTGCCAATACCACTTGAAGATGGCCCATCTTCTTCTGACATTGTTTTGATATACAATGTTGGAAAAAAACTATATTTTGTGATATATTTTTGATGTCAAATTGTTTTACATCAGCAAAATGCAAATTCATCCGCCATGATGGTGTAATTCTACCTAGTCTCTGATCCATATAGAATATGCAATAACTGGATGGACGTTATAGACGGGTAAAAATGATTTATTTCTGACTCCCCCACCACATAAATATCTAGCTCTGTCACCTCACCCCGCCTCACCTGTATCAATACGAACTTTCAGAAGGAAATCAAGTCTGTTCATTTGCAAATCAAGTACTCTGTAATAAAAATAAGCCTAACCAATTTTGCATTGCATAAACAAACAACTTCTATAAAGAACTTTGCATCAAAACGATCTAAACCTTTTTTTGGAGCCCAAAGTGATGCAGGCAAACTCCTACTTTGACTCCTATTGCTGCATACCTCAACTATGGTGTGCTAGAAAAATATTTGAATTGACAGTTTTAACTCTATGTAGCTATGTTAAGTCAGGTAAACTCGTATTTTTTTATTTCTTACACATACAACACTACTTCTAATACAAAATGTTCAGATATAGAGGCATTCTTCAATCAGTTGCACACTTTACTCAAAATGCATTTAAAAAAAATGGCATCATAATTTAAGACGTAACCCACAGAAGACACACAAATAAAAAAATTCAGAATGGACATAAATTTTCAATTCTTTATACTCTATTATACTGAACTATATATTTTGAGAAATAAAAAAGCTTAGCAATTTTTTAAAATAATAATAATTATTTGTACTTTCCGAGAACTGTAAGTTGATTACCAACAATGTTTAGTGAAAATAACATTGAAATAAAGCAACTGAAATGTGCAAACTGTTTTTTTCACTAACAAATTACTAATATTATTATTATTTAAACAAAGACCAAAGTATGTATGGAAATGCCAAACTTGTATGGAAATTATATAAATGGAATTCCCTTTAGATTCCTATGTTAGCTTTATCAACATACAATTCAAGACTGTTATTGTTTGCATGTCCTTGTATTTGTCTAGAAGCTTTTTATGCTGGTAGCTTCAGCGATTTACCTTTCAAAACTAAAAAAAAGAAAGAGTACCATGTTTACTTGATTGCACAAAACTATGATTATAACCATCACTATGTAGTAATCACTACAATTGATTAACACACTTCATCATTATGATCATTGATTATGATCTGATTGGTCATAATCCTCATCAAAATTGATCATAACCCATCACTAGCAACCATCATATTGATCATTACCAATAGTTCATGATTGATCATCATTATACTAATCATATTATAACCATGATTTCAATCAACAGTGACTATCATACATTTTGATAATCATCAATATCATCATCAACTGATCATGACTGATCACTGATTCACACAATCATTCATGACAAACTGATTATGATTTATCATCATTCATCAAAATAACTGATTATCATCAACACAAATATAATCATAGACCTACCTTTAGTAATGTAAAGATAGAAGAAATCGCAATAGAGAACTGTCTGCACACATCCCGCAACAATGGCGATAAGATCATAGAATCCTTCACCAACATAACGCAGAATCCAGTTTGCAAGGTAGAGAGCACGATAGGAACCAAGAGCAAACAAATAATGACTTGTAATTGTCTCCGCCTCGCCTGTCTTCGAGATCATGAACAACTGTGGAAGAATAGCTAGAGACTCCAAGTAGATGGAGAAGGTCCACAGAACCTAAACATTTTTGACAAGTGAATCTCCAGACAGAGGTATTTACAAATAAAACACCTATTAACCACTAGTAAATGACAATAGTTTTTATATTCTACTTAATCCTTTCTTTGAAGAATTTTAAATGAATAAATGATTTGTTGGGGAAAATCTAGTCTTTGGAGTGATTCGAACCTACAGCTTAACACAACATAGTTTGAGGTGTTAACCACTAGAGCATCAGAGCTGGTGGTGAAGGACCAGAGTTTTTAACAATCACAACACAATCAAGTTTATAATGTTACCTCAACAACTGTCAAACTATGGTTAACGAGAACAGCAAGACCAGCGACAGGGACAACAATGAACTCCATGCGAAAAGTGTCATGATTTGAATCATACGTAGCTTTGAATTTCACAAATATCAGGTAGCAAGTTGCATACGAACACACAATGAATATACACTTCATAACAGAGTTATATACAGATATGAACGTCATAAAAAGATCAAGGTATCGTGTCGTGAACACCAGTGCAAAGAGAATTTGACTCTTGCCAGAAATTCCTGTAAATAGAAAAAGATTGGTATTCAACATTTTGAAGGAATGACTATAGAACCACATTTCAGTAAATAAACCCACAGTTTTACACCTTCTGTGTAAAGATATAAGTATCACTAATACGGAATGTTTGAAAAAAGAAATATATTTGACCCACAAATAAAACTTATTCTAGAAGACAGATAACTGAATTGAATTAATAGTTATCCTTGCTGGATATTCTCTAGTGGTGCCACAGAACTCATGATTACTACATATGTATAGTTGTGCCACATAACTCATATGATTACTACATATGTACAGTATAGTTGTGCCACAGAACTCATGATTACTACATATGTATAGTTGTGCCACATATAACTCATATGATTATTCTAATTTAATACTAAAGGCTAGATTGAATGTGAGGTGGCTTTACATGGTGAACTGATGTTCCCTGATGTTGTACAGAAATTATTGCTGAATTACAGAACTGCTAAGTTAAGCATGATCAAGCCATTGGATATAAATCATATAAGACAGATTTAACCATTGTTCACCTTCCTGATCTCATCATATATATTTAAATACAAAGGTCTTTAAAAAAAAGGACAGGCTATAAAAACCGGTGAAACCCGAGAGGGAACAATAACCCTCTATATAATACACTCGTATCCAGGGCAATCTACCACTGACGTTCAAAGATCCACGTGTCATAATATTCCAGTAATATAACTAGTCTAATTTGTCTCAAAACCTACGAGATTCTTATCAAAAATAATCTTCTCGTTTTCCTGAAGATGAATATATTACTTAGTACATCAAAACCACAAAGGCAAGATTCAGGCAATTAACGCTGCTTCAATATACTTCAACTTAAATTCTTTGAAAATACAGAAATATATTACATAATACATATATGTTATGAATATAAAATAAACAAGGTTATAGTTGAGGTTATAGGAGAGTTTTATAAGAGATCACAAAACGATTACCTATTGACCTGTAGTTCACAACAAACTATTAATATGGATAGTACATGTTCAAGAGATCAATAAACTTTTATACAATGTCCTACCAAATTTGCAAAGATTTCATCGCTTACCGGCACAAGAGCGCGTTTTCCATATTTTCCACAGCAGCAAGAGTATTGCTAAAAGATGGGAGAGGTCGCCAACGAGCCGAAATATGTTCATTTTGGAAGAAAAACACCGGACAACCAAGAGAAACAATGTTAACACAAGATCTCTTTTGAATGTGTCTTTCTTCTCCGCTCGCCACGTCGGCACTATGCGACCGCGCAATCACAATCGGAAACCATCGGGGCGACATCGACGCACTTTCGATGCACACTCGAGAAAAGTCGGTTTCGAACACCCTGGTCCTGGTTTATGCACTGGTTTATGCCAGTTTATGCTAAATCTAATATCTTTAAATAGTCAAGGACCTGTTATATGAGTTTGTATCGGTTTGTATGCATTTAATTTAGGACAGTCAAACTCAACTGTTTTAGGGTAATTTGACCATGGCGATGAGCACGGTAACAGTGCGCGAACCATAATACTGGGCGAAACATCCGAAACTGACCACACCCATTAAAACATTAAAACATTAAACGAATTATTGACCATTAAAACAGCGTGGTTATCTATGTCAAAATATTTGACATCATAACCAAAGCATGGTTATATCGTTTAATGTTTGTATATGAGCGCCAAACATGCTAGAAACTTTACATAGGACAAGCATTTGACCATTAAAACAGCGTGGTTATCCATGTCAAAATATTTGACATCATAACCAAAGCATGGTTATATTGTTTAATGCTTGTATATGAGCGCCAAACATGCTGGAAACTTTACATAGGACAAGCATTTGACCTTTAAAACAGCGTGGTTATCCATGTCAAAATATTTGACACCATAACCAAAGAATGGTTATATCGTTTAATGTTTGTTATGAGCAGCAAACATGCTGGAAACTTTACATAGTATGTATTATTTTCCAATAATCCTTGGAGAGGCATTTGCGGCGATTTCAGAGGCCTATGTATATTTCAAAATTTTCCCGGACTTTCCTAGCAGGCGCGCGGTGCCGAGCCCCAGGAATACGAAAAACGCTCCGCGGTCCCTGCCAATGGCACAAGACCAACCAGATGAGACCAGATCGTGGTGAATGCTGAATGGTGATACACCAGTTATCCTTCTTGCTCCCTCATTATCCTGTGAAGCATTACAATGAGGATAACATAAAGTAACCGGCGCAGGTATTCCTCTGCGAAGAAACGTGTTTTCACAGAAAATAAATTTGTATTATATTAGAATTGTTTATTATTTCATTTTTCTTCTTCAAATAATTCAGGAAAATGTCGAAACGAGGTAGGGTTATATGCACTATAAACGAAGATAGAGTTCTCATTCTTGTTTACTTTTTCTTACAAATCTCAGATACGCCATTTTAAAAGTCAAATTAGTCAATGGCTGATGCAATATTTGAGATATTTCAACTCGATTATACAGCCCTGATACGTCTATGTATATTAAAACTAGATTTATAGGGGTACAGTGAAAGAACTGAAGCAAAACTTCTAAAACTTCACTATATCAAATTCTCACAAATCTTTGTAAAACTTATGCAATTCTTCTATTCTGATGAGTAATCATTCAGCTCTTTTCTTAAGGCAGAGGAAAAGTGAATCACAAAGGTCGCAATCGACACTTTATCACCGAGGCTGAGGTTGAAGCAGAACAAGAGAAAGAACGTAAAGACAAGGAATGGAGGGTAACGCATCTTTATCCAAACACAATGTGACTGGATGGCCTTATCTTAAACAGATGGCAGCTAGTTAATTGTGGTTTTTAGGATTAGTGACTAGGTTTTGGGATTAGGGATCATGTGGTGAAAGCTGCTGGTTTATTATTATTATTTATTATTATTTGAACTTATTTAAAAACATGGTGGTCTTTCAGTTACCTGGTTTTCAAAGGTGACAATATTTAACCTGGCTGTCGGCTGTTTAGTTGACAAGAGAGAGAGAAAACTGGATGCCTGCCATGTTGTCACATGCTTCCCTAAAACCACAGTAAACAAATGGCGGTGCAGCCATGTGCAGGGTACCTTGCAAGCATTTCAACTATGACCAGCAAATGCTTCCCTTGTAGAAGTCCTACTATCTTTGTCATTGTAAATTCTGCTGATCACATGTTTTTTTTCGCCTCAGCAAAGACACGGAAATGAGGTCATCGATGATGATGATGCAGATAAAGAAGAGAGTGAAGAAAGTACAGACTCGGATGAAAGTGAATCAGATGAAGAGGTCTGATTATTTATTGATGAAGAGGTCTAATCATGAGATAGATTGTGATATAATCAAAATACTGATAAGACCGGTGAATGTGATACAGCATTCTATTTTTGCAATAAACAGCATCAAAACATATAAAGAATGTTTATAAATTATTTCATTGTATATGATGCCCTATTAGGGTGCATGTATATAAGAATGTCTGGTTAAAACAGTTTTGAAACTCACTGCCAGTTTTGCAGTCATTACTGTTAATTAATTTACCTTGCAACCAATTCTGTTTTAGAAAGTCCGAAAACCCAAAGGTGTTGATGGTTTAATTGAGATTTCGAATCCAAATAGAACTAGAAAACAGACAAAAAAAGTAACAGAACTTGATACGAGCAGTGAAGCGACTTTGTCACGGCGGGAACGAGAGGAACTTGAAAAGCAACAGGCTCAAGTTCGGTACCAAAAACTTCATGCTGAAGGAAAAACAGAACAAGCTCAGCGAGATCTAGCAAGGCTTGCTATCATACGAAAACAAAGGGAAGAGGCTGCACGGAAGAAAGAAGAGGCTAAGAAAGGTATATACAAACAAGTTCAGTTGTTCACTTGTGGTCTTAGGGCAGGGTTGTGAGACTACCTGTTATTTTGATGTTTCACAGGATGCCACTTGTTTCCCATGCGAGACACATTCTTTGCAACCTAAGATATTCAAAATTGGTTGTATTAATAACATAGGCTTTTCTGTTTTACTAGCTCAAGATAAAGCGAAAACCAAGAAATAAATATATATCTGCACTAGTGAACAGTGAAATACTGTATTTAATAAACTATCAAGTCACTTGTGTAAACAGCATGTAAAAATATGAAGGCTTTTTGAAAGTAATTTTGAATTGTAAACTGGCTGGAGGAAAATGGCTATGAATAAAACCACCACGATTGTGTAAACAAATTATGTATTATTACATGACAGAATCTTTGTTTGCTGCTGAAGAGCTATGGTTAGTTGGGAGGTGGTTTGTGACAATTTTTTATTTGTTGACCTATTCAGGATATTTGTCAAAGTCTCTGACATTCAAAATCTTATGTAATTGCCTCTAAAATTTGATTGCAAAAGAACTCATGACAATATTGTACATAGGTAATAGGAGTACAGGGTCTAGAAAGGAGCAACTTCCAGAAATATTTGAATCCAGAAAAGCAGATTCAGGCAACTTTTCTGAAATCAGTGTTAACTTGGGCAATATGTACTTGCAAGGCTTGTAGGATTATGATCTAGTATGATGTCTAGTTTTAAAAAAAGCTAAATTTAATTCTAAAAATACCAAAAAGATACTTACCCAAAAATTCCACTTGTGCTACCAATTGCAATGACCATCTTAGACATAATTCTCTTCTAAAAAATTAATAGTAAATGCTTTATTTTGGACTAATTTGGCCAGTAAACAGGCAATGAAAGGCTAGATATACTTTAAAAAGAGCCAAATGCTACAAAATTATATTAAAAGGAAGAAAAACAGTCATTAAATCTTGAAAATAGTAAAGGAAAAGTTTAATACAGAGTGTCTCAAAAAAACTGGACCTCATAAATGATTATGTATGCATCAAAATGAAATGCGCTGAATTTTATAAAAATGACAAACGAGAGTTAAAGTCTAAACACGTTTCCAAGGCTACTCATGAAATAAAAAAGGCAAAAATAGCGGGGATTTTGCTGCGAAAAAGCCATGGAAAAAGCCAAGTCAAGAATCAAGCCGAGTTTTTGATTCGGAAGTCTGAGTACTACATATTGTTTTTCCCGCGCATTTTATAAAAAGTAATGAAAAATTTTAAAGTTTTAACCAAATAGTATCATTGTTGGCAAATCTAGAGAAATAGCGAAGTTATTACCAATATTTTTTTCTGCTTTTGTCCTGGGATTATTTGTAAAACGTTCTTTGCAATTTTACCATCACTGGGTGTCTGTTTTGAAGCTGTTTTTCTTCACAAATGGAGTTTGGGACTCGTGAATTCTGGCCTGATGGGACAAATGTTGAAAAACAGAGCAATTTAACAAGTGAAAGAACGTTCCTACGAGATTTATCACCTGGTTCAACTAATAAAGTAAGTTTGAAATAGTTTGGTAATAGCTGAAGATCTTATAACAACGAGTTTTTTGTATGTTGTTTTTTTAAATTATGCACTAGGTTTTGGTCGGGGTTGTTATTTCAAAGCTTTCGGTTCATTCATTTCCTGATAAAAAGAGTAAGTATATCCTGATATGAAGATTTTATATGATTGGTTATTTCGATAGTAAACGCGAGAAAATGTGTTTTAAAATCGACGACGCTTATTTGGGTGGTTTGTTCTGGGGTCGATAAAATATGTTTGAACTAGTATTTTGTTTTAAAAGATCCTGGTTCTGAGCGCTACTCTTTGGGCTTTACAATACGAGATTCTCCCATGGACTACGTGAACGTCACTTGCTGGGGAAATGGCCCATTCATCAACGATATTGCTAAATCCTTCAAAATTAATGACGTCGGTATGAAATATTATTATCAACAATAGCTATGGTTGAGACGAAAACTCCAATAGTTGACAATAATTGCGTTGGTCTTTGAAATAGAAAATCGTCCATTCAGTTGGAGACCGATTTGTGTTGTAAGCAAACGACTTAAACTGGAAAAATTTGTTTACACTTTGAATTTCCATATCTCTTAAAATATGGTTAATATGACGGAAAACGTTAGCATTATTTGGTCAGCTATACTTCCAAATGTATATGAGCTATAGAGTTTATGTTTAGATATATAACATATGCGAACTGCGTGTAATTTTCAAATAAAATCTCCCCTATTGTTCTGATTAGAGTCGATGCGAAAAAGGCGATTTAACCCCCCCCTTTTAATTAAGAAGGGTTCTTCAATTTTTCCCATGCAGTTGAAATTCGTAATCCTCAAGTATCACCGAAACAGGCCAGTGATTACGAGCAACAATGGAAACCATGGACACCCAGGTACATATATGACCCTACACGTAGAATATGCTAATTTGCAAGGCCACTAATTGACGCAATGCTCAGACCGAACAAACGGGCAAGTTCTTAATAAAAGTAATCAAAATCGAAATCTTGATATCCACCCAAAACACTGGTTCATGTAAATGGATATTCACAATGTCCTTACCTCTTTAAGTAACGTCCAACTGAATGTCAGCGAGACACATTCAACAGTATCTCTGTACAGCGGCTGGGATCTCAACGACATGAACGTTCTTCTACACACGCCTGTTAAAGAAAATGGGGACTATTGTGTTATTGATGATATTTTGACCTCAGGACAGAATCTACATGGAGATCATTTGAACGTTTTAGTAGCGGTTAAACATGTAAGACACTTGTGTGCATTTTAGCCTAGATTTGCTGGACCTCCCAAGATCACTGATGTTTCCTGCCTCCTGTAGTAACACTGGATCAATAAGAGATGATCCTTACTGGACCTCTAGGAAGAACAGTTTAGAACTGATAGAGCTATCCAGTATAAATAAAGTTAGTTTAGTTTAGGTTTCCTCTGGTAGTAACACTGGATCAATAAGAGATGATCCTTACTGGACACTCCAGGAAAAACAGTTTGAGCTATCCAGTATAACTGATGTGAATCTTTAAAGGTTGCGACTCCAAAAGATATCATGACCAAACGTGGAAAACAGGTTCAGAAATGTGACGTCCAAGTGTTTGACGAAACTTGTCACTCCTTCCCAATGTTGATGTAAGTTCAATAATATAATTCTGCGGATCAAGCACATAAATTCTACAGCGTAGATATTTACTTTCCTTTCAGATGGGATGAAAATATAATTGAAATGGCAGTATCATGGATCCCAGGAGAGACAGGTCATCTCGCAGATATCAATGTTTTAACCGACAGTTTTCATACGTACATTTCCTGAAGCAATATTTTATCTTAATCGCGGTTCACCGTGGAATATAAAGCGAAACAAACTCAAATAACATCAGCTTACAAACCCAAGATTTGAGTTATTAAACACACAAGACGCAGAAATTAATCTGGTGATCTTTCGACTTTATTCCAAAGTCACTGTCATATCGCCAGAATTCTAAATCAAGAGTTTGCATGATGTTTGCAAGTTATTTTAAGACGGTTAGTTCCATTTAATATATATTTTATCTTTCTTGCAGTGTTGTTCATCGCAGATTTGAAAATTGTTTATGATGATTACAAAAATGCAATGTCGTCGGTCTGTGACAACAGAACTATAATCACTGTCAATCCAGGTAAACCAGCATGTATACCAATGATGTGCCTGATTCATATACATCAAATTATGGTGCAGAGGAAAGTGCATGGTTAATTTAAAATTTTACGGCTGGACAGCCTGCGCTATACCAAAAAGAGATCATATATAAATAAAGATATATAAACAGGATTGAACGCAAATGATGCGAGTTCCGTCGATGCTAAAGTGTCGATTATTTGACAGACACCAGACAGGCCCATCAGCTTTATAGCTATGCTCAAACACCAGAAATTCTCAATGGATTAACGATGGAAAACAATGGGGGAGGAAAAGGCTTTAATTGTAAGTGAAGTACAACAGCTTTTCCAAAATCGCGCACTTTTCTTAACTCTGGAGCGTTTCGCGCGCTTTTCTTAACTCTCGCAACATTCCCGCGTGTTTGGATCAGGCCATCCAAACATGGAAACAAACCATTAAGTAGTTGTTTATTCCAGTATATTCGACCTTCACTATATTCTTTTATTACCAAGGTCGAGTATACCATATTCCGGTATATTCAATCTTCGCTATATTATTTTATTACCAAGGTCGAGTATACCATATTCCGGTATATTCAACCTTCGCTATATTCTTTTATTACCAGGGTCGAGTGTACCATATTCCAGTATATTCAACCTTCGCTATATTCTTTTATTACTCCGCTATAGTGGATGGTATTACTGACGTCTACACTATACAGCAGATGAAACAGTGCATTACCAAAGCTGGTGAAGACAATGGTCGTCCATCAGATGATATTACTGGAATCGTTTTTGCTTTTCTCACGAAGTTCAACATTGATGACAATACTGATAATATCTTAACAATGAGATGGTAGGTTAGAAAGAAAGAAAGAAACGGAGGTGGGGGTGTCTTTTGTGATGACAAATGTTCTCCTCAATAAAAAAGGGACGCTGGAGGAACGGGGGACACCATCCCCGCTGCTTCCCCCCAACTCCAGGCGACCTTAATTGCCTTTCTTCCATTATAGTAATAAATGCAAACGAAAACTAGACAGTCTCACAGCTCAATGTGACAATCCGACTTGTGGTGATCAAAACGAAAACTCTTCACAACTCACCTATAATCTTTTGGTTGATATTTCTGATCATTCCGGCACGCTGATTAACTGTCGCATGATGTCATCTGCCTTGGAAACTCTCCTTGGTTATCCTGTATGTTTGTTTGCCAACAAGGGGGGATTTCGTTTTAGACCAATCAGCAAGTTTGTTTACATTTTCATTAACCCAATCAAAATGCATAAATTTTAACTCATTCCGGTAAAATGGTACATTATTTACCATTTTACATAAAGTATAAAAAATGTAGGCATTCTGATTGGCTTTACCTAAAAAATGTACACAAATATGGCGATTAGTTTAAAACGAAATTCCCTTTATTTGTGCGCCCATAACCACCGTTCCCTGACCTATGAAAATCAATTTGAAGAAATCTGAAAGCATTTTTTTCTTCTTTTATAAAGCCTGATCAATTTCAGCAAATACCAGAAACAGCGGTTGCAGAATTCAAGATGAAATATTTGTTGGAAAAATGCAAACTGTATTTCAGGGTAAGTCGCTAATTTGAGGATTCAGTTGAGGTTAAAAGGTCACCTTTACTTTTATATACGTCAATCCATCGCAAAGCATCAATAAATTCTTGTATCAGTATTTCCCTTTCAGATTTCCAAGAATTTTCGAAGCAATTCAGCGTTGATCCTCTCGTGTGCTCTCGCAGATCCTGAAGAGAATATGAAACTATATATAAATCACCCCAATTTTTAAAATAATTTGAGTTAGCGTTAATTGGTCATAATCCCGAAATTTGTAGTTATCAAAGTAATCGTGCTGTTTCAAAACGATTCATTTATTGTTGAGAACAACAACTTAAGGTTCGACGCTTATTGCATGTACTCTTTTTGTAAGGGTCCCGGGATTTTGTTTGAGTATAGGCAAGCCACACAGACCAGACCATCAAGTATGCGGTTAGGCCCAAGTGTTTGAACTCAAAACAGCGACATTCAAACTATAATATGATACGACGTGTCCTTTAAAACTCTTCGGACTTTAAAAGTTTAATTGCATTATTTCGTATGGCACCAGTACTTCAAAATGAATATTTGAACGAATGAGGTCTGAACACACCTGTTCCAAAACTCTTGAGAACTCGTTATTCAGGGATTTCCTGTTTCCGGGGTGCAGTTGATGATAGTTGCCCTCTGAAATCTGAATCTCCGATAAACTCAGGTTTGCTAACGGAAAATATACAACATAGATTATTATACAATGATTTGTTTTATCGTCCCTCTTCAGGATGTTGTAGAATAAAGGAAACAAGTGAAGGTAGGAAACTAATAGTCTTACGAAATCACATATAATTGCTCCAGCACGACCGAATTGAGAAGCGATTAGAAATTATCATGTAATGCGTAACATAAATATGCGACGCATTATCATTTATGATCGCACCATTCAAATGCTCTTATATCAACTCTTATATTGCATGTTTAATTGCCACACTGGCCTAGTTTTCAGACAACGAGAATTGACAATTCCTGAATTTGCATGGGCGAACACAACATAAAAACCTGCAAGCGAAGCGGGCAATATAATCTATTCTGAGTACGGCAAAGGCCGCCGACACACACCGGACGCGATTTGCCAACGCGAGGCGATATTTTTTTAAATTTTGTAATATTCTTGGTAATTACTGAATGATAGTACATTTTGACTGGTCAGGGACCCAAATCTCTCAAAATGTTCTTTCAGAATCGAATATATTTGCTTCTGAGATTGAAAAATTCGCGTCGCGTTGGCAATTTGCGTCCAGTGCGCGTCGGCCTTAAAAGTTATATTGACGAAGCGCAAATTCAGTGCTTCTCCTTCCCAAGTACCTTCGCGTATTTTTTCGTTAATGGGCTTTCGTTAATGGGGTTTAAATCCGTTTTAATCCGAAAGATTACGGTCCGATAATCCTGTGTGTATAAACCTTATTGAACATTTGAACAGGCAGTTCATAGGAAAAGACAACTAGTTTCGTTTTGTTTCGCTATTTCGGAATCTCGCAGTCTCGCTTCCGGGAGGATGACGTCATTGGGATAACGTAGTGTTCAAGTGATTGAATGACGAACTAATAATATTGGATAAGTAATAATCATATTATTAAAGATAATTTACTGCGTGACCAAAGATTGGGTTTGCTGGAAACGGAGATTACGAAGATTTTTATCGATCATAATAAAAAATCTGCGCATATTTCTTGTTCGTACAAACTTAGCAACATCCCCAGGAGTCGCGTCATGACAGTTGGATAGTAAAAGCTTTGTCTTTTGTCTTGTCGGTTTTGTGATTTCATTGCAATTAAAATTCCAAACGTTGAAATGTGGTGACGCGTAGTTCGTTAAGAGCAGAAAATATTTGCAGAACAAACTATACATCGTCATCTTTAGTGAGGGTAGGAAATTATTAAACAATCTTGTGAACTTATCCCCCAGCCGGCGCGAGGGCACTAATTCCGCCCGGAGATTAGGAATTACACTCGGGTATTGTGACGGAACATAGCGGTCATGGACGTTCAATGGGCAGGGTACTAATTGTGCGCACGCGCGAAATGCGAACGAGTAAAGACTGGTCATCAGCAACTTGCTGATTGGCTAAAAAAGTTTGTATTTTAATGAAGCGTCAGCAAATTAACTGTCATTTTGGAAACTTTTTAAAAAAATGTTTTGTGGGGGTAGGGATAAAACGCTTGTAACTGAATCGCTGAAACGGAAACTGAAAGCAGAAACTGAAATGGGGATAAAACGCTGAGATGGGGATAAAGAAACGTTTTTTTCTCGCCAGTATCCACGCGTAAAATTATGATCTTGTATTGCATAGTTTCAATTCTATTTGCGGGTTGCAACAATACTGTGCCACGCCTTGTTTATAATATTGTTAACAATATTGGTCAGCATTGTTGCTCCCTATTTAATAGGTCTGCATAATATTGTTCCAAGTTACACTGACCTGTTGTACAGAGGGCTCAGCGTTTTTGGCCGTGTATAACACGCACTTCTATAACAGGAGGCAACGCCCTGTCTAATCCCTCTTTCCTATTGGCATGAAATGAAAGATATTGTCTTCTTTTACAAATGCAAATCCGGGATATTCCAAGTTGATATCAACCAGTTTATGCACAGCCTCTCCATCATTCCACTCGCTCGAGCTCCGGTAATCTTCTTCGTCCAATCGAACTTTAACAGAACTCGAACTTTAACAGATTTGTATTTTTATGGAATAACTCTGCCCCCAGAGATCAAATGATCCTCTTCAGTCTCCATATGGAAATCTAAACTATATATTTATTAAAGAGTTTCAAAGGGTCTTAATTTCGAGTGGAATTATACACACTTATACATTTATTATAATACCTTTGATGTAGACCGGTTATATAACTTTGTAACTTTCTATAGTATATGTATGTTAATAATGTAATAGCTATAGTAAATATGTAATAATGTAATTTTGGTAGGACTTAAATAGGAACTAACGTTCTGTTGTCCTTACCATCAATCATATGATTGTAAAGTTAATAAAATGACAGTGTTTGTTACCGAAAAATTTGAAACATCAGCTATCGGCTTTATATTTAAGTCATTTCATAATATAAGCTTAGAGGATTAGGTCTGGTTAGTTCAGGAAATATTTTGCTTCGTTTGAAATGGGTTGCTGCATGCATGTATTTCTAATAAGTGACTAGCAATCATATGACGATCAAGCAGTCAGCAGCTGGTATTTTTCTGCGAGTATTTATATTTATGGTTGTGCCACGCGCATAAATTCGAACCATTCTCATCTTAGAACCACACTAGTCACTAGTTAAAGAAACTAGATCGTATTTTTATCCCAGACGGTTGATGATAAAAGGAAAAGAGTTGAAGAGGAACTCCAAGGAATTAAAAGACATTCAAAACGAAGAATACGATGATGTGGTAAGAATAACAAAATACTTCTTAAAACCAGCGTAGTGCGAAAGAAGCAAACAACCAACGCTGAAAAATTAAAAGTCTATTCAATAATTAAATGTAATCATGCACCCTTTTTAGCGTATCACCCGGTCAAAGCTATTTTGGTGAAAGCTCCGTGTACAGTATGATGCGTTTCACCGCATCAACTGGAGCCCCGGCCGAGAGTGGAGGAGCCTTTCTGAACACACACACACACCGAATGGGTTTGCTTCTAAACTTTTATTTTATTGTTTTATGTAGGTACTGAAAAGAGGCAAAAAGCAAGTATGAATGGAAGTATGAATGTCTGTGAAGAAGAAAGACTGCAATTTTGGGACGAAATCAGAAAGCAAGTTGAATGTGGTGAAAACAAAGAAGATCGGTGGAAGAAGACAATTCTTTGGCGTGCTTTTCAGTTTAGTCCAGTAGATCAAGAAATTGTTAAATATTTAGTTGACCATGGAGCAGACATTTATTCCAAGAACGAAAATGGTGAAACAGTTCTGCGGATGGCGACGAGAAATGGTCTATTTGAACTTGTTAAATATTTTATTCAATATGGCTCTGATAAGTCAGGCAAAACTGCGTTACATCATGCTGTTGATGCTGGTGTAACAGACATTGTCAAATATTTAGCTGAGCAATGTGCTGCTGATGTAAATGGCAAGAAAACTAACGGGGAGACACTATTGCACGCTGAAGGTACTAAAGGTACCTTTGAAATGGTGAAATATCTTGTTGAAAATGGCGCTGATGTAAATGGAAAGGATAGTGACGGGTGGACCGTGCTGCACTATGCTGTTACTACAGATAGGCTAGAAATTGTAAAATATCTTGTTGAAAATGGCGCTGATGTAAATGGAAAGGATACTGACGGGTGGACAGTGCTGCACGATGCTGTTACTAAAGGTACGCTAGAAATGGTAAAATATCTTGTTGAAAATGGCGCTGATGTAAATGGAAAGTATACTGATGGATGGACAGTCTTGCACTATGCTGTTTCCTATAGTTCATTACAAGTAGTAAAATATCTTGTTGAAATGCACGCTGATGTAAATGGAAATAAGACCGATGGGTGGACAGTGCTGGTTCATGCTGTTACTGAAGGTAGGCTAGAAATGGTGAAATATCTTGTTGAACATGGCGCTGATGTAAATGGCCAAATTACTGGGCAGACAATTTTGCACATTGCTGTTACTGAAGATATGCAAGAAACAATAAAATTCCTTGTAGAGAGGGGCGCTGATGTAAATGGCAGGGATACTGACGGGAAAACAGTGCTGCACGCTGCTGTTATTGATAAACATGCGCTAGAAATGGTGGAATATCTCGTTGAAAAAAACGCTGATGTAAATGGAACAGATGTTAACGGTTGGACAGTGCTGCACAGTGCTGTTTCAGAAGGCACGTTTGAAACGGTAAAATATCTTGTTGAACATGGCGCTGATGTAAATGGTAAGATGACTGACGGGTGGACAGTGCTGCACACTGCTGTTACTAAAGCTACGCTAGAAATCGTAAAATACCTTGTTGAAAACGGCTCTGATATAAATGGCAAGGATACTACTGACGGGTGGACAGTGTTACATTATGCTGTTTCTTATGGTTCATTAGAAATGGTAAAATATCTTGTTGAACTGGGTGCGGATGTAAATGGAAAAAAACCCGGTGGGTTGACAGTGCTGCATGACGTTGTTACTAAAGGTCCGCTGGAAATGTTAAAATACCTGGTTGAAAATGGCGCTGATGTAAATGGCAAAAGCAATGGCGGCTGGTCCGTTCTTTACTTTGCTATTTCTAAAGGTACACTAGAAATGGTAAAATATCTTGTTGAGATGGGCGCTGATGTTAATAGCAAGGATACCATTCACAATTGGACAATGCTGCACGCTGCTGTTACTCAGGGTACACTAGAAATGGTAGAGTGTCTTGTTGAGAACGGCGCTGATGTAAATGGCAAGGATACTTACGGATGGACAGTACTGCGTTATGCTGTTTCCAAAGGCACGCTAGAAATAATAAAATGTCTTGTTGAAAATGGCGCTTGTGTAAATAGCAAAATTAAGAGGCAGACAATTCTACACATTGATCTTATTGAGAAGGGTGCTGACCAAAATGGCAAGACAAATGATGGGTGGACATTGCTGCACACTGCTTGTACTGGAGGTATGCTAGAAATCGTAAAATATCTTATTGAGAAGGACGCTGATGTTAATGGAAGAAATATTTACGGGTGGACAGTGCTGCACACTGCTGTTACTAAAGGTACGCTAGAAATGGTAGAATATCTGGTTAGAAACGGCGCTGATGTCAATGGCAAAAAGACTAACGGCTGGACAGTGCTCCACTCTGCTGTTGCTGAAAGTACGCAAGAAATAGTGAAATATCTAGTTCAAATGGGTGCAAATGTACATGGAATGCAGATTGACGGATGGACAGTGCTGCACTCTACTTGTACTGGAAGTACGCTAGAAACCGTAAAATATCTTACTGAAAAGGGCGCTGATGTAAATGGCAAGAATACTGAGGGGTTGACAGTACTGCACGGTGCCGTTGTAAAAGGTACGCTAGAAATTGTAAAATATCTTGTTGGAAACGGCGCTGATGTCAATGGCAAAAAGACTAACGGATGGACAGTGCTGCACTCTGCTGTTACTAAAGGTACACTAGAAATAGTGGGATATCTTGTTGAAATGGATGCTGATGTGAATAGCAAAAATTCTGACGGGTGGACAGTGCTGGATGTCGCCGTTACTAAAGGTTCATTAGAAATGGTAAAATTTCTTGTTGAAATAGGTGCAAATGTAAATGCAAAGAAGAATGACGGGTGGACAGTGCTGCACACTGCTGTTGCTGAAGGTAGGCTAGAAATTGTAAAATATCTAGTTGCACATGGTGCTGATGTAAATGGAAAAATGACTAACGGGTGGACAATTCTACACTATGCTGCTAGTAATGGTATGCAAGAAATGGTAAAATATCTGGTCAAAATCGGCGTTGATGTAAATGGTAAGATTACCGACGGGTGGACAATACTACACTATGCTGCTTCGTATTGTTCCATAGAAATGGTAAGATATCTCGTCGATAACGGCGCTGATGTAAATAGCAAGAATACTTGCGGATTGACAGCACTGCACACTGCTGTTAGTGAAAGTACCCTGGAAGTTGTAAAATATCTTGTTGAAAAGGGCGTTGATGTAAATGGCAAGAGTATTAACGGATGGACAGTACTGCATAATGCTATTACTAAAGGTAGTCTAGAATTAGTAGAATGCCTTGTTGAAAATGGCGCTGATGTAAATGGCAAGAATACATACGGATTGACAGTGCTGCACTATGCTGTTACTAAAAGTACGCTAGAAATAGTAAAATATCTTGTTAAGTATGGCGCTGATGTAAATGGCAAGAAGACCAACGGGGAGACGGTGCTTCACAGTGCTGTTAGTAAAGGCACATCGGAAATAGCAAAATATCTTATTGAAATGGGTGCAAATGTAAACGGAAAGCAGGGTGACGGGTGGACAGTGCTGCACTTTGCCTGTATTGACGGTACGCTAGAAATGGTAAAATATCTTGTTGAACATGGCACTGATGTAAATGGCAAGAATATTAACGGATGGACAGTGCTGCACTATGCTGTTACTGAAGGTACACTAGAAATGGTAAAGCATCTTGTCGAATATGGCGCTAATGTAAATGGCAAGAATACTAACGGATGGACAATGCTGCACTATGCTGTTACTGAAGGTACACTAGAAATGGTAAAGTATCTTGTCGAACATGGCGCTGATGTAAATGGCCAGAGCACTAACGGGTGGACAGTGTTGCACAATGCTGTTACTAAAGGTACGCTAGAAATGGTAAAATATTTTTTTGAACATGGCGCTGATGTAAATAGCAAGAATACTGAGGGATGCACCGTACTGCACACTGCTGTTGCTAAAAGTACGCTAGAAATAGTAAAATATCTTGTTGAACATGGCGCAGAAGTAAATGGCAAGAATACTAACGGATGGACAGTGCTGCACTATGCTGTTACTGAAGGTACACTAGAAATGGTAAAGTATCTTGTCGAACATGGCGCTAATGTAAATGGCCAGAGCACTAACAGGTGGACAGTGTTGCACAATGCTGTTACTAAAGGTACACTAGAAATGGTAAAATATCTTGTTGAACATGGCGCTGATGTAAATAGCAAGAATACTGAGGGATGGACCGTACTGCACAGTGCTGTTACTGAAGGTACGCTAGAATTTGTGAAATATCTTGTTGAAAATGGCGCTGATGTAAATAGAAAGCATACTAACGAATGGACAGTGCTGCACGATGCTGTTACTGAAGGTACACTAGAAATGGTAAAGTATCTTGTCGAACATGGCGCTGATGTAAATGGCAAGAAGACTAACGGGGAAACGGTGCTTTGCAGTGCTGTTAGTAAAGGCACGCCAGAAATAGCAAAATATCTTATTGAAATGGGTGCAAATGTAAACGGAAAGCAGGATGACGGGTGGACAGTGCTGCACTTTGCCTGTACTGACGGTACGCTAGAAATGGTAAAATATCTTGTTGAACATGGCGCTGAAGTAAATGGCAAGAATACTGAGAAATGCACCGTACTGCACACTGCTGTTAGTGAAGGTACGCTAGAAATAGTGAAATATCTTGTTGAACATAGCGCTGATGTAAATAGCAAGAATACTAACGGATGGACAGTGCTGCACTATGCTGTTACTGAGCGTACACTAGAAATGGTAAAGTATCTTGTCGAACATGGCGCTGATGTAAATGGCCAGAGCACTAACGGGTGGACAGTGTTGCACAATGCTGTTACTAAAGGTACGCTAGAAATTGTAAAATATTTGGTTGAACATGGCGCTGATGTAGATGGCAAGGATACTAACGGAGTGACAGCTTTGGAAGCTGCTGTTTGTGCTGGTGCACCAGACATCATCCAATATTTAGTTAAACAAGGCGCAAAGGCTACTGCTGGGAGAGTTCTTCATCATGCTGTTAGTGTTGGTAAATTAGGCATGGTAAAATATCTTGTTGAACAATTAGTTGCTGATGTAAATGAGAAGGATGCTGATGGACAGACAGTCCTGCACGTCGCTGTTGATACTGGTGCATTAGAAATTGTCAAATATTTAGTTGAACAGGGTGCTGACATAACTCTTAAAAGTAAAATCAGCGTTCATACTCTTGGCTTTGACACACTGAAAATAGCTGTTGTAAACAACTTCGTTGCTTTGGTCGATCTTCTTTTTAAAAAGAACATCGCTGGATGGAGACATTGGACATTTCTTGTCGAAGGAAGGCAAATGAGTTTTCTCGAATGGAGTATTCACCTTGGTCATGATGAAATTACAACAATCCTCAAGAGGTCCATAAAACATTCTTTGAAAATTCAGACGTTGAAAACAATGAATTGCAACCAGTTAGAAGAGGTAAATATTTCAAAGATGTATGTGTATTCTTTTTAATTAGTCTGTGAAAGCTGTCTGTGTAGTAGCGAAGGTTTATAGGAAGTTTAAGATCTACGACATCGCAGCTCGATGACGCGGGAAAGCTTTCAAAAGCAATGAAACTAAATCCTAGTTATAATCACCGACTGTCGGCGATGACGAAGAAAATTTTTCAAAATAACAATATACACTTAATGTATGGTTCGAGGGAAATGGTGAGTTTTGTTTTCCCGAGAGTCTGAATGTTTCTGAATGAGACTCGAGGGAAAACAAAACTCACTATTTCCCGAGGTAGTGTACATTAAGTGTTTTGTTATATAGGAACGAAAACATACATGTTACATAACAATTTCATTTAAAAAAGAAACCCACTTTACTTTGTTATGACATGAGCGGGCAACAATTTTTCACTGTTCACCGTTACTACGGCAACGGTCTAATACTGGGGGATTCCAGACCGGCAAAGAACCAATCAGCGCACGCCATTTAGTCACAAGACCGCGTGCCATATAATAAAGAATATTATTTGTTGTCCCCAAATACAGAGTATTTTGCCCGAAAAAATAGGCTCGTACAATGGATACTGGATGATCATTTTAATTATTCTCGATATTTAGAAGTTGAAATTTGACTATTTTGCCCTCATATCTTATAAATGGTGAATGATTTTTCCCTTGATTTACTGTTCTTCTATAGATTGAAACACCGATGCAAGTTTTTGTCGCAAAGAATCAATTTAAAATTGGTGCTGGCGGTTTTTCGTGTGTCTATGTTGGTCTCATGAAGGATGGAAGTGAAGTTGCTGTTAAGAGAATTTTGGTGCAAAGTGACGATAAAACAGTTGAAAACGAATTAGGAATCATGAATCTCATCAAGACAAACAAATCTCCATTTATAGTGAGCTATCGACATTTTCACCGTGACGAAACCTTCATGTATCTTATTGTTGATCTTTGCGAAGAAACGTTGAGGGAACTTGTTCATGCATGCAGTATTGAACATCTACAAGAGCAAGGTCCACGAATGATTAGGGAAATTCTATCAGGACTTCAATTTCTTCATGATAAAGGAATATTGCACAGAGATCTAAAACCATCAAACGTCCTGGTTGATATCGAAAGTCGCATGAAATTGGCAGACTTTGGGATAAGCCGCGTTCTAAATGAAGATGAAACGACAATTGAAACATTTGCGAAAGGTACTACCGGATGGATGCCACCGGAAGTAATCAAGGCAATAGACAATAACGAAAAAGGTCGTTTCAAAAAGAAATCAGATGTCCACGTCGCGGGTATGATTGCCTTCTTCATCTTAACGAAAGGTGAACACCCTTTTGGAACTTCCTTAGATCGAATGAAAAATATTTCCAAAGGAAATCCTGTCAATCTGAAGAAACTTGGTGTCCGCGACGCTCGTAGGTTCGTGTCGTGGTTGATTCGTCACAAAATTGATGATAGACCTCACGCTCACAAAGCATTGGGAGATTCTTTTTTCATGCCGTCAAAAAGGACACACCGAGGCCACCGTTTTAGCGTATGAAATCACGAAAATAAAATGTTTTTCGGACTTTGCCATCTCATATTCCTCAATATAAAACCATGTTTCGTTTCTGTTGTTGAAGAGTTCATCAGCATTTATCGTACGAGATTAAATATAACAAAACTAACCACAGGAATTCACAATTTTGCGGGGTTTAATGAACTTTTTCCTTCACCTTGGAAACTTTCTTCTCACTCGTGGACAAAAATACCAACTTTGACAAAGAAATGTTAACGTGTATTTCAAAAACAAAATGCAAGAAAAAGTTAATTCGACTGATAATATGTGTGAAAAACCTGGCGGATCACCCGTAAAGACAAATTATGAAATTGTGAATATGATTGAATTTAAATTAGCCTTGATATTGCTCCGAGAAAGAAAGAAAGAAAATGCCAAAATAGTACAGCTGACCGCGGAACAACGAGTGTTTATTGTGATATTATCCCAACAGAGTGCTTAGGCATTCAAACTCTAACAATTACATTGTTATGGGTGATTTCAATAGTTTTCGTTTTTTTGAGACACCCTGTAGTTTCGGCCGGGCCCTGCCTGGCGTAAGCCTAGTTAGTTTTTATAAACTTTATAGTGCAAAGAAACACATGTAACGTCTCTTAGACACTTACTCGTTTTATGACTTTTTAATAATGCAATTTGTATTTAGATAATAAAACTAGGGACTTATATAAAAAGCCTTCATAATCATACGTCTCTGAATGGTCTCTAGCCTTCTGAATGTACATCCGAAGAGGAATTTTCAGTTACAAAAGTTCGATAGAAGCAGTTGCATTATGCGACGTTAGAGCTTAGGCTGGTTCAAACGCCCTCCGGCAACTGCCCCTCAGTTAACGCCACGCCCATGTAACACGTATTATTGTCCCAGCCCCATTTAGCCTGTCGACGACCGAGCAAACTAAACAGGTCGCGTTTATTTTAAGCAGATCAAGCACATAAATTCTACAGCGTAGATATTTAGTTTCCTTTCAGATGGGATGAAAATATAATTGAAATGCTCAAATACTGGTATATGGAAAAGCTGTTGTACTCCACTTAAAATTAAAGCCTTTTCCTCCTCCAGTGTTATTTTGGAAACAGCGGTTGCCGAATTTAAGATGAAATATTTATTGGAAAAATGCAACAAACTGTATTTTAGAGTAAGTCGGTTAACGAATGATTTAGGAAAAGATCAACTTTACCTTGTCAATCCATCGCGAAGCATTAACAAATTCTTGTTTATTTCCCAAACAGATTTCCAAGAATTTTCGAAGCAATTCAGCGTTAATTCTCTCGTGTGCTCTCGCAGATCCTGAAGAAAATATGACATTTTAAATTACTCCAACGTTGTTATTTTAAAATATTTTGTAATTTGAGTTAGTATAGTGTTCATTTGGCAATAATCCCGAAATATTGTAGTTTTTAAGTAATCCTGCACTTTTAAAACGATGATTCATTTATTTTCTTCTTAACAACTCAAGGCTCAACCTATGTCTCAACGAATATTGTATGTAACTTCCCAGGGATTACGTTTGTGTAGGCAAGCGCTTTGAAAGAATACGAATGTTAAAATTAAAACAGCCACATTCAAACTGTATTATAAAATAACATGTATATAACGCCTGTTCTGATTGGTTGAAGCCCGTGTTTGGATCAGGCCATCGCGGGAATTTAAAAACAAATTTATTATGGTTAGTTAAGAAAAGCGAGTTAAGAAAAGCTCGCAAAACACTCGCCTTCGGCTCGTGTTTCGCGCGCTTTTCTTAACTCTCGCAACATTCCCGCGTGTTTGGATCAGGCCATCCAAACACTATGTAAATGTATAATATGATACGTGTCATTTTAAGCTCTTGGTCAGTCTTGGACTTTGAAAGTTTAATTGTATTATTTCATTTGGCACTAGCGACCTCGCAAGCCAGGCTTTTCTACCTACGCTCCACGGTTTCATCGCACTAGTACTATATATGAATAATTGAATTTTTGGCCAAGAATACGAACAACGGGATTTTGTTCATTGACAAATATGACGGGTTTTTACCCCAAAGTCCTGGGGACTACTTTCGTTTGTATTCGGGGAATTCCCGTTCCCAGTGGGGTGTCTTCAATTGAGGCGTCTCAGACAATCTCAAATCTGACGAAAGATAAAATCATCAAAAAATGTTTCTTCTGGCTGTTGTACGATATAAATCACAAAGGTAGGAAACTAATTAATAATCTTACAAAATCACAGTTTTTCTGCGGCACGAAAGAACTTAGACCAGAGTGTTTCGCGACCAGAAATCTTGTGAAGCACAACATTTATGACGCATTATTTATGATCGCATCTTTCAATTGCTCTTATATTGCATGCTTTTTTGCCACACTGGCTTTGTTTTCACACAACAAGAATTGACGATTCCTTGCTGGCACACAATACAATGGCCAAATAATTTACATTGATCGAAGAGGCATAAATTTGGTGCGTTTCCTTCCCAAGCACCTTCGCTCGCTCGCTTTTCTCAGTCGCAGATCACAATATTTTTTAAAGGTTTGCAGTGTGCTATTTTGGTGCAAAGTTTGGCTACTTTACAGCGTAGACGTTTTACTCGAAGATGGCAGCTTTTGCAGCAGGTAATATGGGAATGACTGAATTTAGATCTTAAGGAAAATGATTTTATCTTGCCCCAGCATGACGACAACTGCTTGAGACCCTCGACCAAAGATCTTGCTCGAAACGTAGAAGTTATTTTGGCATTTCCCAAGTAGTCTGTTTATCGTCAAACGCGACAGCTACTAAAAGATTGCATAGTTCTACCAAAGTATGCAAAATATGCAGACTGAGACATCAATATGTCTAAGTCTGCATTGTTTTTAGCGTTGTTTGGTAGAGCTAATTACAAATGTAAATCTGCAAATGTTTTTCTCATCATATCTCAACATGTTCCTCAGCAGACCAACAAATGAGCCATTAGGCACTTTAAGATTGACGTTTACGACGAACCGCTAACTTCAAACGGCAAACTAAAACTTCGTATTGGTCATTCAATAATTAGCTGTCTCGATGTTGGGAAATATAATCTTGACCATAAAAATTAAAGGATGAACTGACAGAACTGTGAACTAAGGCTAGCTGTCGAAAACCTGTAGCGTCGGCAATCTTAAGGTCTCCATTACTCGAGAACGAGGTCCCCGGTCGTGGCCTGGTAGCCGTTTTAGTGGCAGCTTATTTCCACATATATTCGTCAAAATTAAATATTCTCTTTCATGCATGTGTTGAAGAAGGATCCATTTCATTTAAGGTGGTTCTAAAACGATGTTGTGACGTAATTATAGGAAGGGTCTATTGATGTGGATTAACAATGTGCCGGCTTTGGTGGCTAAGACACTCTCGACCACTTCCAATGGCCATAACTGATTATATTGTTAATTTTTATCTTCATGCATAGGTATTCTTCGGGATGCAATAAAGTATCAATCATTGAAAAGTGTGAAATATTTAGTTGATAATGGCGCTGATATACATTGTGAAGATGAGTCAGGCAAAACTGCTTTACATTATGCTGTTCATGCTGGTGGAACAGCCATTGTCAAATATTTCGTTGAGCAATGTGGGGCTGATGTAAATCGAAAGGATACTAACGGCCTGACAGTGCTGCAAGATGCTGTTACTGAGTGTACACTTGATATAGTAGAATATCTTGTTGAAAAAGGCGCTGATGTAAATGGCAAGAAAAATGACGGCTGGACAGTGCTGCACTATGCTGTTAGACGTGGTAGGTTAGAAGTGGTAAAATTTCTCGTTAAAAAAGGTGCTGAGGTAAATGGCAAGGGTACTAATAAAGTGGGGACGGCGCTGCACATTGCTGTTACGAAAGATACACCAGAAATTGCAGAATATCTCATTGAAAAACGCGCTGATGTAAATGATAGCGATAGTGACGGATGGACGGTGCTGCATAGTGCTTGTACAGAAGGTACGCTAGAAATGGTCAAATACCTCGTCGCAGAAGGCGCTCGTGTAAATGCAATGATGTCTAATGGCAAAACAGGACTGCATTATGCCGTTTCGAGAGGTAAGCTAGAAATAGTAAAATGTCTTGTTTATAATGGCGCTGATTTAAATAGCAAGGCGACTTACGAGACGAGAGTGCGGGGGACAGTTCTGCATCATGCAATTGTTAACGGTGGAATTAACGGAAATGATAAGCTAAAAATAGTAAAATATCTTGTTGAGCATGGCGCTGATGTAAATGCAAATGATTCTCTTGGATGGACAGTCCTGCACGCTGCTGTCGATGTGGGTGAATTAGACATTGTCAAGTATTTAGTTGAACAGGGTGCCGACATAACTCTGCAAAGTAAACGCAGCGTTCATACTCTTGGCATTGACATCCTCGAGATGGCTGTTGTAACAAATTCAATTGCTTTGGTCAATCTTCTGTTGGAAAAGAGCATCGCTGTGTGGAGAGCTGGAACATTTCTTGTTGAAGGAAGACAAATGAGTCTTCTTGAATGGAGTATTCAATTTGGTCATGAAATTGCAACTAACCGCTGCAAAGGGTCCGTGAAACATCGTGAGAAAATTCAGGAGTTAAAAGCAATGAATCGCAACGAGTTAAAAGAGGTAATATTCCAAACATACACGAGATATTTTAAAACCAGGCCGTACAAGCGGTACTTGATAATTCGAAATATGTCTCTCTGCTAAAATAGCATGCAAAAGACAATATGGCGGCCGTTATCACTTGCTGCTTTTTGCAATTTATCATATATATTCTTTGAAGGCTGTCGCGAGATAGGGTGTCCATGGTAACGACTTCTTAGTAACTGAGCTCAAATCGTTTTTGCTCATAACTTTTCTTCAATAAATAATTTGTGGTTTTTCGTCCATAGACTGAAACACTGATGCAAGCTTTTGTCGCAAAGAGTCAATTCAAAATTGGCGAAGGTGCTCGTTCAAGTGTCTATGTTGGTGTCATGAAGGATAAAAGTGATGTTGCTGTTAAGAGAATTTTGGTACAAAGTGAAGATACAGCAGTTGAAAACGAAAAGAAAATCATGAGTCTTATTAAAACAGACAACTCTCCATTTATTGTGAGCTATCGACATTTTCACCGCGACGATACCTTCATGTATCTTATTGTTGATCTTTGCGAAGAAACCTTGAGCGAACTTGTTCAAGCATGCAGTATTGAATATTTAAAACAGCGTGGCCCACAAATGATTAGGGAAATTCTATCCAGACTAGAATTTCTCCATGGTAAAGGAATATTGCACAGAGATCTAAAACCAGCAAACGTCCTGGTTGATATCGAAGGTCGCATGAAATTGGCAGACTTTGGAATAAGCCGAGTTCTTAATGACGGTGAAACGACAGTTGAAACATTTGCTAAAGGTACTCGTGGATGGATGCCACCGGAAGTAATTGAAGCAATAGACAAAGACGAAAAGGGTCGTTTCAAAAAGAAATCAGATGTCCATGTCGCGGGTATGATTGCTTTCTTCATCTTAACTAAAGGTGAACACCCTTTTGGATCTAATCTGGATCGAATGAGAAATATTTTGGAAGATAATCCTGTTTATTTGGAGAAACTTAGCGACGATAGAGCTCGAACGTTCGTGTCGTGGCTGATTAATCACAAGATTGAGGATAGACCTTACGCTCACGAAGCACTGGGAGATTCATTCGTTATGAATGGAGACTTGGACAACCTTGTGCAAAGAAAAATTACGGGCCGATAATCCGGTGTGTATGCACCTTTTTGAACGGACGGTTCATAACCGTCAAGACAGATATTTATATACGATTTAAGTTTGTCTTAGGTAGTACACAAAACATTTCTCGCCAACATTTTTCCAGTGAGTAATTTATAAGGTCTTAATTTATAGCTGTTTGCAATCGGTTTTCAGCGTAAACTCGTTGATTAGCTGATTAATCATCTTATCCTCGTGCCCAGGTCACTCCGCGTGCTGCTGTGTGGTAGTATGCGAGCGTGAAGACCTGGGTACGAGGATGAACCAGTGAACTCAAATAAGACTGGAACGCTCACTCGGTCGGAAGTTTGAAGCCAAGATGGCGGACACTGAAGCCTTTCTTGTAGGTATGATCCAGGCCTCCACGCGGAAATTTCAAGCGTTCCAGTCTTATTTGAGTTCAGTGGGATGAACGACCTACGATACAACTCTGCGTTGTTACTTGACCCGAAATATCGCAGTTCCTAGTTCGAGATTGCCGGCGATGTCCTTTGTCGGTGTTTAGGGAAGATGTATGGAAAATTTTGCAAATAGTGTGTTAACCATCGTGCTTTGCGGGCTAAATTCAACATTTTGCGTGCGTATACGTAGGTACAAAAAACAGAAAACAGCCCTAATTAAGGCTTTCTTCAGACTGATCGCCAAAACTGGCTCATAAAACATGCTGAGCGCAGTGCCCTTCATTGGAAGCATCGTGTTCAACTTAGGCGCCAGTGCCGGGCACTCATTCTGGTCCTGAACTCAGTTTGTACGTAAAACCTGACCTAATTTTTTATCATTTGTATATATAGCAGTATAGAAACTATAGATGTATAAAATCATATCGGACGGACTGAAGTATCCTAGAGTAGTTTAATATCTCGACCACACTGCAAACGACAGATTGGGTCGAACGTGTGAAAATTTGCAAGTATAAAACAGACATTGTAGTTTTTGTTGAATAAGACACATGTAGAGAAAAAGATTTGAATTTTAATACCGCACAATTTATCATTCTTTGCTATGTTTGAAAGAGAATGGCCCTAAAAGTTGTCAGACTATCCGCCATTAGGAAGAAAAGTCACCTGATTTGGAACATATCGTAAGTTATCACTCCAGTTTTATTAGATCTCCTTAGACGCGGCCTTTCTTAGTCACTGAACTATATATTAGTCCCTGGACGCGATTTTTCTGTCTAAAATGCCTGGGAAAGAAAGCCTACAATACCTTTTACAAAAGTTAATCCATCGCAAAGCATCAGCAAATTCTGGTATACTTCCATTCCATATTTCCAAGTATTTTTGAAGCCGTTTAGCGTTAATACTCTCATGTGTTCTCAGATCCTGAAGAGAAAATAAAACTATATTAAAAAATATCTTGAAACTTTTAAAGAATGTAATATTTAAGTTATTTTTGGTAAAGAATGATCTCATTTCCGAAATTTGTAGTTATCAAAGTTATCGTCAAATTTTGAACAGAAGCAATCGGGCAAACTTCGAAATCTTCCTCAGTAGAACAATTTTTCTGAAATTTTTGCATAATTTTGACGTTTGATTTTAACTCAAAAATCCTGAGAACTAGTTTCGTTTTGTTTCGTTTGCTACTCGGATAGTCTCGCTCGCGGGAGGATGACGTCATTGAGATAACATAATGATCAAGTGATTGCATGACGAACTAATAATATTGGATAATTCATAATATCATTGAAGATTGGATTAAAGATTTTTATGGCAATTAAATTTGTTTCATTTTCGATGCCGTGTCCTCGACGTTGTAGGATATAAACCATATAAGGTAGGAACTTAATGAATAACTTTGTTTAGTCAGTAATTTGGTCCATCACTACAGAACTGAGACGCAACTGGTAATCTCATGCGATTATCGAGTAGCACATTTGTGTGAGGCATTGTGCATGTATAGCAGTTTTCGTTAACCGTAGAGACCCTACAGTACCTAGGATAGCCCTAGAATAGTTAGTAACAAGATGGCAAAATCGAGGATATGCGTATTCATACATTCGTCTTGTGTGCCTGACTGATTCCTTTTGTACGCAATTATTTTTACGGTTATATGAACATAAATATATGAATATAACTTTGATCGTAAAGTTGACCCTTCCTGTGGCCTAAACCATAGCTGTTTCGTTAATTAGAAAGTTGTATTAGGATCCAAAGATGATGTGAAATCTGCACATATTTTTTGCTCGTAACAAACTTAACAACATTCCAAGGAGTCCAAGGAGTCGCGTCATGACAGTTGGATAATAAAAGCTTTGTCTTGTTTTTTATATGATTTCATTGCGATCAAAATTCCAAACGTTGAAATGTCGCGACGTTTAGTTTGTTAAGAGCCGAAAATATTTGCTTATACTCAGGGTGTATCAAAAAAAGTGTCCCAAATGTAAAATTTTCGTTTTTCAGGATATTTCGCAGAATTTGGCAAATTTTTGTGTTCCTAGGGATTAGTTAAGACTTATCTGGTATACCTAAGCCAAGCTTGGTTTTTCATTAACAAAATTATGTTACCGGGGGGGTGGTTCCTTTCCACTGATATTGAGAGGGCTTGCGCGCGAAAATGTGAAGCTGAAATTGAGATATGATTTAGCTGTCTAAAAGTAGGAAAGCTTTTTAATAAACTGTCAAAGTTTCAGGAAAAATAATGCATACTGGGAGCAACGCGCGACCCCTAAAATTGACAAATATTTCATTGCGCGCAGTGGATTAAATGCATCGTTGATTTTAGCGTGACCGATCTCATGCAAGGCTGTATGAATAAATTAAAGCGAGAAACTGAACACAAAGACAAAGTGATTTATTCGTGATGTTAATCCTCAGCATGTCCACCATTTTATTCTAAGCAAACTGCGTCTCGTCTGAGCATAGTAAACACTGAACAGCGAACCATTTGTCTGATTCGCCTAGATTTGCCGGTTGTAGCGTAGGCGATTTGCAAGAAAGAATTTCGAACGAAATGGAGAATTTGAGGCAGGACAGACAAATGGTTCGCCGTTCAGTGTTTACCATGCTCAGACGAGCCGCAGTTTGCTTAGAAAGAAATGGTGGAAATTTTGAGGATTAACATCACGAATAAAAATCTTTTATTAAATCGCTTCGTCTTTTTGTTCAGTTTCTCGCTTTAATTTATTCATTTGCCCAACCTTGCATGAGATCGGTCACGCTAAAATCAACGATGCATTTAATCCACTGCGCGCAATGAAATATTTGTCAATTTAAGGGGTCGCGCGTTGCTCCCAGTATGCATTATTTTTCCTGAAAATTTGACAGTTTATTAAAAAGCTTTCCTACTTTAAAACAGCTAAATCGTGTCTCAGTTTCAGCTTCACATTTTCGCGCGCAAGCTCTCTCAATATCAGTGGAAAGGAACAACCCCCCCCGGTAACATAATTTTGTTAATGAAAAACCAAACTTGGCCTAGGCATACCAGATAAGTCTTAACTATCCCTAGGAACACAAATTCTGCAAAATATCCTGAAGAACGAAAATTTTACATTTGGGACATTTTTTTTGATACACCCTGTAGATCATCATCTTTAGTTGAGGGTAGGTAATTACTAAAATCATATGACGATCGAGCAGTCAGCAGTTAGTATATTTCTGCGAGTATTTGGATTTATATATGGTTGCACTACTTGCATGCTATTGCGGTATAGATGTGATTGCAAGAGAGCACGTTTATTAAGCGTGTATGTTAATTTTCATGGTATATACAGGTACTGAAAAGAAGCAAGAAGCAAGTGGAAGTATGAACGTCTCTGAAGAAGCAAAACAAAAATTTCGGGACGAAATAAAAAAGCAAGTTAAACGTGGTGAAAACAAAAAAGATGGATGGAAGAAGACAATTCTTTGGCGTGCTTTTCAGTTTAGTCCAGTAGATCAAGAAATTATCAAATACTTAGTTTCCAATGGAGCAGACGTTTATTCCAAGAACGAGGAAGGTGAAACAGTTCTTTGTATTGCGACAAAAATGGTTTATTTGATCTTGTTAAGTATTTTGTTCAATATGGCCCTGAACATAATTTTCAAGACGATTACAAAGTTCTTCAGAGTGCAATACATTCTCGATCATTAGAAATTGTGAAATATTTTGTTAAAGATTGTGGTGCTTATGTAAATTGCGAAGATGAGTCGGGCAAAACTGCTTTACATCATGCTGTTGATGCTGGTGAAACAGACATTGTCAAATATTTTGTTGAACAATGGGCGCTGATGTAAATGACAAGGATACTGACGGATGCACAGTAATGCACGATGCTGTTACTAAAGGTAGGCGAGAAATGGTAAAATATCTTGTTGAAATGGGTGCAAATGTAAATGGAAAAAAGACCGACGGCTGGACATTGCTACATGATGCTGTTGCTGAAGGTACGTTAGAAATGGTAAAGTATCTGGTTGAAAACGGCGCTGATGTAAAGAGTGAGAGTACAGACGGGTGGACGGTGCTGCACTATGCTGTTTCTTATAGTTCATTACAAATAGTTATATATCTTGTTGAAATGGGCGCTGATGTGAATGGAAAAAAGACCGACGGCTGGACAGTACTGTTTCATGCTGTTATTGAAGGTACGCTAGAAATGGTAAAATATCTTGTTGAACATGGCGCTGATGTAAATGGCAAGGATAATGAAGGCTGGACAGTCTTGCACTACGCAGTTTCTGAAGGTACTCTTGATATAATAAAATATCTTGTTGAAAAAGGCGCTGATGTAAATGGCCAGGACACTCACGGGAGGACAGTGCTGCACTATGCTGTTACTAAAGGTACGCTAGAAATCGTAAAATATCTTGTTGAACAGGGCGCTGATGTAACTGCTGTTACTGAAGATAGGGAAGAAACAATAAAATTCCTTGTAGAGAGGGGCGCTGATGTAAATGGCAGGGATACTGACGGGAAAACAGTGCTGCACGCTGCTGTTATTAAAGATTCGCTAGAAATGGTGGAGTATCTCGTTGAAAAAGGCGCTGATGTAAATGGAACGGATGTTAACGGTTCGACAGTGCTGCACACTGCTGTTGCAGAGGGTACGTTTGAAACGGTAAAATATCTTGTTGAACATGGCGCTGGTGTAAATGGCAAGATGATTGACGGGTGGACCGTACTGCACACTGCTTTTACTAAAGCTACGCCAGAAATTGTAAAATATCTTGTTTGAAAACGGCGCTGATGTAAATGGCAAGGATACTACTGACGGGTGGACAGTGTTACATTATGCTGTTTCTTATGGTTCATTAGAAATGGTAAAATATCTTGTTGAACTAGGTGCTGATGTAAATGGAAAAAAACCCGGTGGGTTGACAGTGCTGCATGAGGTTGTTACTAAAGGTACGCTAGAAATGTTAAAATACCTGGTTGAACATGGCGCTGATGTAAACGCCAAAAGCAATGGCGGCTGGTCCGTTCTTTACGTTGCTATTTCTAAAGGCACACTAGAAATGGTAAAATATCTAATTAAAATGGGCGCTGATGTTAATAGCAAGGATACTATTCACAATTGGACAATGCTGCACGCTGCTTTTACTCAGGGTACACTAGGAATGGTAGAGTGTCTTGTTGAGAACGGCGCTGATGTAAATGGCAAGGATACTAACGGGTGGACAGTGCTGAACTATGCTGTTACTAAAGCTGCGCTAGAAATGGTAAAATATCTTGTTGAAAACGGCGCTGATGTAAATGGCAAGGATACTAACGGGTGGACAGTGCTGAACTATGCTGTTACTAAAGCTGCGCTAGAAATGGTAAAATATCTTGTTGAAAACGGCGCTGATGTAAATGGCAAGGATACTACTGACGGGTTGACAGTGTTACATTATGCTGTTTCTTACGGTTCATTAGAAATGGTAAAATATCTTGTTGACATTGGGGCTGATGTAAATGGAAAAAAACCCGGTGGGTGGACAGTGCTGCATGACGTTGTTACTAAAGGTACGCTGGAAATGTTAAAATACCTGGTTGAACATGGCGCTGATGTAAATGCCAAAAACAATGCCGGGTATAGTGTGCTTTACGTTGCTATTTCTAAAGGTAAGCTAGAAATGGTAAAATATCTAGTTGAAAAAGGCGCTGATTCAAATAGCAAGAGAACTAACGGGTGGACAATCTTGCACAGTGCTGTTACTGAAGGTTCGCTAGAAGTGGTAAAATATCTTGTTGAAAATGGCGCTGATGTGAATGGCAAGGATACTAACGGGGAGACAGTCTTGCACTACACTGTTGGGAAAGGTGCGCCGGATATATTAAAATATCTTATTGAAATGGGCGCAAATGTTGACGAAAAGCAGAATGACGGGCGAACAGTGCTGCACCATGCTGTTACTAAAGGTACGCTAGAAATGGTGAAATATCTTGTCGAACATGGCGCTGACGTAAACGGCAAGGATACTAACGGAGTGACAACTTTGGACGCTGCTGTTGGGGCTGGTGTACTGGACATCGTCCAATATTTAATGAAACAAGGCGCAAAGGCTACTGCTGGGAGAGTTCTTCATCATGCTGTTAGTGTTGGTGAATTAGATATGGTAAAATATCTTGTTGAACAATTAGCTGCTGATGTAAATGACAAGGATGCTGATGGACAGACACTCCTGCACGTCGCTGTCGATGCTGGTGCATTAGAAATTATCAAATATTTAATTGAACAGGGTGCTGACATAACTCTTAAAAGTAAAATCAGCTTTCATACTCTTGGCTTTGACACCATGAAAATAGCTGTTGTAAACAACTTCGTTGCTTTGGTCGATCTTCTTTTTGAAAAGAACATCGCTTGGTGGAGACGTTGGACATTTCTTGTTGAAGGAAAGCAAATGAGTCTTCTTGAATGGAGTATTCACCTTGGTCATGATGAAATTACAACTATCCTCAAGAGGTCCATAAAACATTCTTTGAAAATTCGGACGTTGAAAACAATGAATTGCAACCAGTTAGAAGAGGTAAATATTTCAAAGATGTATGTGTATTCTTTTAATTAGTCTGTGAAAGCTGCCTGTGTAGTAGCCAACGTTTATAGGAAGTTTAAGATCTACGACATGACGCGGGATGACGCGGGAAAGCTTTCAAAAGCGATGAAACTAAATCCTAAGGGAGCTTTAACAGTGACACAGATTAATACCCATATGTCTCTCTTCTGATTAAAAAAGCGTAAGCGCTTGCTCAGCAAGCTCATGAAAATAAACTCCTCTCATTTGCTAGAGAAAGGGACTGTGTAGTAAAGTTTGAGTCTGAATGCATCATTATCTATTCGCGTTTGGAAAAGTGAGTTAAGAGTACCTCGTTTTCAAATGAATATTGTACAAGTTTTATCTTTTTTCGATTGTCGTAGGAGCGGAAAATTATAAGCAGCAGAAATCCTCGTTCGACGGTATATTTTGAAACATATTTTATTTAAAAAGTGTGTGAATATCTTTACATTGAATGGCATTTCCTGTACAAATCAACAAATAAACATATTTTCCGCTTCATTTGAACACATCGTGAAGTTTTCATATATCTAGAAGTTGAAATTTGACTATTTTGCCCTCATATCTTATAAATCGTGAATGATTTTTTCCTTTTTCTTCTCACGATAGAAAATTTACTGTTTTTCGTCTATAGGTTGAAACACCGATGCAAGTTTTTGTCGCAAGCAATCAATTCAAAATTGGTGCTGGCGGTTTTTCGTGTGTCTATGTTGGTGTCATGAAGGATGGAAGTGAAGTTGCTGTTAAGAGAATTTTCGTGCAAAATGACGATAAAACAGTTGAAAACGAATTAGGAATCATGAATCTCATCAAGACAAACAAATCGCCATTTATAGTGAGCTATCGACATTTTCACCGTGACGATACCTTCATGTATCTTATTGTTGATCTTTGCGAAGAAAACTTGAGGGAACTTGTTCATGCATGCAGTATTGAACTTCTACAAGAGCAAGGTCCACGAATGATTTGGGAAATTCTATCCGGACTTGAATTTCTTCATGGTAAAGGAATATTGCACAGAGATCTAAAACCATCAAACGTCCTGGTTGATATCGAAGGTCGCATGAAATTGGCAGATTTTGGAATAAGCCGCGTTCTAAATGACGATGAAACGACAGTCGAAACATTCGCTAAAGGTACTCGTGATGGATGCCGCCGAAGTAATCAAGGCAATAGACAAAGATGAAAAAGGTCGTTTCAAAAAGAAATCAGATGTCCACGTCGCGGGTATGATTGCCTTCTTCATCTTAAAGAAAGGTGAACACCCTTTTGGATCTTCGTTAGAACGAATGAAAAAATATTTCAAAAGGAAATCCTATCAATCTGAAGAAACTTGGTGATCGCGAAGCTCGTAGGTTTGTGTCGTCGCTGATTCGTCACAAGATTGATGATAGACCTTATGCTGACGAAGCATTGGAAGATTCTTTTCTCATGCTGTCAAAAACGACACACCGAGGCCACCGTTTTAGCGCATGAAATCAAGAAAATAAAATGTTTTTTGGACTTTGCCATTTCATATTCCTCATTATTATATACACAAGCGCCAGATATGAGGTATGCTGCAATTTCATTGGTTGGCTACTTGGCAGATATTAGCTCATATATTTCTAGTAGAGAAAGTAAACAAAATGGCTGAAAGATTTGGGGAGTTGAGTGAAATAGAAATCCAAGCTTTAGTTGATAATAGCACACCAAAATGCACCGAAAGGGCGAAAAAGTTTGTGTATATAATAAAACAGTTATTCTGGTCACGGCTATCAGCTCATATACGACTCGAGTTCGCAGAATAACTGTTAAATATAAAACCAGGTTTCGTTTCTGTTGTTGAAGAGTTCATCGGCATTTATCGTATAGATTGGCGTAATAATAACACAGTCACGTTGATTTCTTTCGCTTCAACAGGAACATTCAATGGTTGTAAACGTCCTCGTGAATAAATAATCATCTGAATTTCCACACGAGACAAAACTAACCACAGGAATTCATAACTTTGCGGGGTTTAATGAACTTTTTCCTTCGCCTTGGAAACACTTTCTTCTCACTCGTGGACAAAAATACCAACTTTGACAAAGAGATGTTAACGTGTATTTTAAAAACAAAATGCAAGAAAAAGTAAATTCGACTGATAATCTGTGTGAAAATTGAAAAAACCTGGCGGATAACCCGTAAAGACGAATTATCTGCGAAGTTTGTTTGAATTTATGAACCCTTTCCAGCCCAACTTTGTCCAGGCGGATTGTCAATCTCTAGGTGGATCAGGTTATTTTAGAATTTGAATCGGTTCCCGAAACGAACGATAATTGGAGGGGGTCTGTATTCATAAACTCAGTTCTGTCCGACGGCTTTGTTTTCTGCATGAGTGCAATAGCTTACAACAGAAATTCGTCGGGCAGAACTGAATAGATAAATAAACACCCCTTGCCCGCAATTATCGTTCTACAGGGTGTCTCAAAAAACGAAAACTATTGAAATCATCATTGTTAAAATTGAATGCCGTGTTCACAAATTTTAGCCCGTGGGGATTTAATCCAACTTATAAAATGCTAAATATGAAAAATTTGAAATTGTGAATATGATTGAATTTAAATTAGCCTTGATATTGCTTCGAAAGAAAATGCCAAAATAGTACTGTCCCAGTTGACCGCGGAACAACGAGTGTTTATTGTGATATTATCCCAACAGAGTGCTTAGGCATTCAAACTCCAACAATTACATTGTTATGGGTGATTTCACACATAGTTTTCGTTTTTTTGAGACACCCTGTAGTTTCGGCCGGGCCCTGCCTGGCGTAGGCCTAGTTAGTTTTTATAAACTTTATAGTGCAAAGAAACACATGTAACGTCTCTTAGACACTTTTTAATAATGCAATTTGTATTTAGATAATAAAACTAGGGACTTATATAAAAAGCCTTCATAATCATACGTCTCTGAATGGTCTCTAGGCTTCTGAATGTACATCCGAAGAGGAATTTTCAGTTACAAAAGTTCGACAGAAGCAGTTGCATTATGCGACGTTAGAGCTTAGGCTGTTTCAAACGCCCCCCGATGCACTCACTCGCGATTATCATATTTTGCCATTTTTTATTTGTTTGCTTGCAACTTCAGCAGTTTTCACAGGACAAACTATATCTATATACAAACCACCAATAACGTAGAGCAAGCAGGAGGGGTGGTAATCACCCTGGGGCACGGAGCAAAGAAGAAGCCCAGGTTCGTTTTCTCACGGTTCAGAGCGCAAATTAAATGATTAGAGAATTACGAAGCCACATGTTCACTTAACGATGGAACAGCTGATGAATAACACTTTAAAGAACTGTTTGTGACCGTATAGAAGTTTCAAATTCAAAAACATTTCCCGTTCAGCACTAACCGAGCATGCGGGAAACCACCTTGCGCCCTCTTCCAAGGAGGTGTCCCCTCAGGCAACTGCCCCTCAGTTAACGCCACGCCCATTTAACACGCATATTGTCCCAGCCCCATTTAGCCTTTTGACGACCGAGCAAACTAAACAGGTCGCGTTTATTTAACACTGGATCAATAAGATGATCCTTACTGCATGGACCTCTAGGAAAAACAGTTTGAAACTGATAGAGCTATATATACAACTGATTCATTCCATAAAGCTTGCGACTCCAAAAGATATCATGACCAAACGTGGAAACAGGTTCAGAAATGTGACGTCCAAGTGTTTGACGAAACTTGCCACTCCTTTTCAATGTTGATGTGGTTCAATAATATAATTCAGCGGATCAAGCACATAAATCTACAGCGTATAGATATTACTTTCCTTTCAGATGGGAAAAATATTATTGAAATGGCGTCTCTTCCTAACCCTCGCCCGCGTTTCTAATTTCAGCAGCAGCGGTCATCTTTAAAAATCTAGCGATTCGAAGCCTCTGCGGAGGAGAGAGGGATTTCCTGTTTCTAACACAAGTCCAATATAAATGCCTAATTATATTCATAAGAGATGCCGGCGGAGGAGGCATTTCCGGGTGCAGTTGATGATAGTTGCCCTCTGAAATCTGAATCTCCGATAAACTCAGGTTTGCTAACGGAAAATATACAACATAGATTATTATACAATTATTTGTTTTATCGTCCCTTCAGGATGTTGTAGAATAAAGGAAACAAGTGAAGGTAGGAAGCAAAATTATCTTACGAAATCACATATATTGCTCCAGCACGACCGAATTGAGAAGCGATTAGAAACTAAAACATGTAATGCGTAACATAAATATGCGACGCATTATTTGACGTACCATGCAAATGGTCTTATATTGCATGTTTTATTGCCACACTGGCCTAGTTTTCACACAACAAGAATTGACAATTCCTGAATTTGCTTGCGTAGACACAACATAATAGCCTGCAAGCGAAGCGGGCAATATAATCCATTGTTAGTACGGTAAAGACCGACACACACCGGACGCAATTTGCCAACGCGAGGTGATTTTTTGGAAAATGTTGTTATATTCTTGGTAATTACTGAATGATAGTACATTTTGACTGGCCTGGGACCCAAATCTCTCAAAGTGTTCTTTCAGAATCGAATACATTTGCTTCCGAGAATGGAAATTATCTGGTATACCTAAGCCAAGCTTGGTTTTTCATTAACAAAATTATGTTACCGGGGGGGTGGTTCCTTTCCACTGATATTGAGAGGGCTTGCGCGTGAGATATGAAGCTGAAATTGAGATATGATTTAGCTGTCTAAAAGTAGGAAAGCTTTTTAATAAACTGTCAAAGTTTCAGGAAAAATAATGCATACTGGGAGCAACGCGCGACCCCTAAAATTGACAAATATTTCATTGCGCGCAGTGGATTAAATGCATCGTTGATTTTAGCGTGACCGATCTCATGCAAGGCTGTATGAATAAATTAAAGCGAGAAACTGAACACAAAGACAAAGTGATTTATTCGTGATGTTAATCCTCAGCATGTCCACCATTTTATTCTAAGCAAACTGCGTCTCGTCTGAGCATAGTAAACACTGAACAGCGAACCATTTGTCTGATTCGCCTAGATTTGCCGGTTGTAGCGTAGGCGATTTGCAAGAAAGAATTTCGAACGAAATGGAGAATTTGAGGCAGGACAGACAAATGGTTCGCCGTTCAGTGTTTACCATGCTCAGACGAGCCGCAGTTTGCTTAGAAAGAAATGGTGGAAATTTTGAGGATTAACATCACGAATAAAAATCTTGTTATTAAATCGCTTCGTCTTTTTGTTCAGTTTCTCGCTTTAATTTATTCATTTGCCCAACCTTGCATGAGATCGGTCACGCTAAAATCAACGATGCATTTAATCCACTGCGCGCAATGAAATATTTGTCAATTTAAGGGGTCGCGCGTTGCTCCCAGTATGCATTTTTCCTGAAAATTTGACAGTTTATTAAAAAGCTTTCCTACTTTAAAACAGCTAAATCGTGTCTCAGTTTCAGCTTCACATTTTCGCGCGCAAGCTCTCTCAATATCAGTGGAAAGGAACAACCCCCCCCGGTAACATAATTTTGTTAATGAAAAACCAAACTTGGCCTAGGCATACCAGATAAGTCTTAACTATCCCTAGGAACACAAATTCTGCAAAATATCCTGAAGAACGAAAATTTTACATTTGGGACATTTTTTTTGATACACCCTGTAGATCATCATCTTTAGTTGAGGGTAGGTAATTACTAAAATCATATGACGATCGAGCAGTCAGCAGTTAGTATATTTCTGCGAGTATTTGGATTTATATATGGTTGCACTACTTGCATGCTATTGCGGTATAGATGTGATTGCAAGAGAGCACGTTTATTAAGCGTGTATGTTAATTTTCATGGTATATACAGGTACTGAAAAGAAGCAAGAAGCAAGTGGAAGTATGAACGTCTCTGAAGAAGCAAAACAAAAATTTCGGGACGAAATAAAAAAGCAAGTTAAACGTGGTGAAAACAAAAAAGATGGATGGAAGAAGACAATTCTTGGCGTGCTTTTCAGTTTAGTCCAGTAGATCAAGAAATTATCAAATACTTAGTTTCCAATGGAGCAGACGTTTATTCCAAGAACGAGGAAGGTGAAACAGTTCTTTGTATTGCGACAAGAAATGGTTTATTTGATCTTGTTAAGTATTTTGTTCAATATGGCCCTGAACATAATTTTCAAGACGATTACAAAGTTCTTCAGAGTGCAATACATTCTCGATCATTAGAAATTGTGAAATATTTTGTTAAAGATTGTGGTGCTTATGTAAATTGCGAAGATGAGTCGGGCAAAACTGCTTTACATCATGCTGTTGATGCTGGTGAAACAGACATTGTCAAATATTTTGTTGAACAATGTGGCGCTGATGTAAATGACAAGGATACTGACGGATGCACAGTAATGCACGATGCTGTTACTAAAGGTAGGCGAGAAATGGTAAAATATCTTGTTGAAATGGGTGCAAATGTAAATGGAAAAAAGACCGACGGCTGGACATTGCTACATGATGCTGTTGCTGAAGGTACGTTAGAAATGGTAAAGTATCTGGTTGAAAACGGCGCTGATGTAAAGAGTGAGAGTACAGACGGGTGGACGGTGCTGCACTATGCTGTTTCTTATAGTTCATTACAAATAGTTATATATCTTGTTGAAATGGGCGCTGATGTGAATGGAAAAAAGACCGACGGCTGGACAGTACTGTTTCATGCTGTTATTGAAGGTACGCTAGAAATGGTAAAATATCTTGTTGAACATGGCGCTGATGTAAATGGCAAGGATAATGAAGGCTGGACAGTCTTGCACTACGCAGTTTCTGAAGGTACTCTTGATATAATAAATATCTTGTTGAAAAAGGCGCTGATGTAAATGGCCAGGACACTCACGGGAGGACAGTGCTGCACTATGCTGTTACTAAAGGTACGCTAGAAATCGTAAAATATCTTGTTGAACAGGGCGCTGATGTAACTGCTGTTACTGAAGATAGGGAAGAAACAATAAAATTCCTTGTAGAGAGGGGCGCTGATGTAAATGGCAGGGATACTGACGGGAAAACAGTGCTGCACGCTGCTGTTATTAAAGATTCGCTAGAAATGGTGGAGTATCTCGTTGAAAAAGGCGCTGATGTAAATGGAACGGATGTTAACGGTTCGACAGTGCTGCACACTGCTGTTGCAGAGGGTACGTTTGAAACGGTAAAATATCTTGTTGAACATGGCGCTGGTGTAAATGGCAAGATGATTGACGGGTGGACCGTACTGCACACTGCTTTTACTAAAGCTACGCCAGAAATTGTAAAATATCTTGTTGAAAACGGCGCTGATGTAAATGGCAAGGATACTACTGACGGGTGGACAGTGTTACATTATGCTGTTTCTTATGGTTCATTAGAAATGGTAAAATATCTTGTTGAACTAGGTGCTGATGTAAATGGAAAAAAACCCGGTGGGTTGACAGTGCTGCATGAGGTTGTTACTAAAGGTACGCTAGAAATGTTAAAATACCTGGTTGAACATGGCGCTGATGTAAACGCCAAAAGCAATGGCGGCTGGTCCGTTCTTTACGTTGCTATTTCTAAAGGCACACTAGAAATGGTAAAATATCTAATTAAAATGGGCGCTGATGTTAATAGCAAGGATACTATTCACAATTGGACAATGCTGCACGCTGCTTTTACTCAGGGTACACTAGGAATGGTAGAGTGTCTTGTTGAGAACGGCGCTGATGTAAATGGCAAGGATACTAACGGGTGGACAGTGCTGAACTATGCTGTTACTAAAGCTGCGCTAGAAATGGTAAAATATCTTGTTGAAAACGGCGCTGATGTAAATGGCAAGGATACTAACGGGTGGACAGTGCTGAACTATGCTGTTACTAAAGCTGCGCTAGAAATGGTAAAATATCTTGTTGAAAACGGCGCTGATGTAAATGGCAAGGATACTACTGACGGGTTGACAGTGTTACATTATGCTGTTTCTTACGGTTCATTAGAAATGGTAAAATATCTTGTTGACATTGGGGCTGATGTAAATGGAAAAAAACCCGGTGGGTGGACAGTGCTGCATGACGTTGTTACTAAAGGTACGCTGGAAATGTTAAAATACCTGGTTGAACATGGCGCTGATGTAAATGCCAAAAACAATGCCGGGTATAGTGTGCTTTACGTTGCTATTTCTAAAGGTAAGCTAGAAATGGTAAAATATCTAGTTGAAAAAGGCGCTGATTCAAATAGCAAGAGAACTAACGGGTGGACAATCTTGCACAGTGCTGTTACTGAAGGTTCGCTAGAAGTGGTAAAATATCTTGTTGAAAATGGCGCTGATGTGAATGGCAAGGATACTAACGGGGAGACAGTCTTGCACTACACTGTTGGGAAAGGTGCGCCGGATATATTAAAATATCTTATTGAAATGGGCGCAAATGTTGACGAAAAGCAGAATGACGGGCGAACAGTGCTGCACCATGCTGTTACTAAAGGTACGCTAGAAATGGTGAAATATCTTGTCGAACATGGCGCTGACGTAAACGGCAAGGATACTAACGGAGTGACAACTTTGGACGCTGCTGTTGGGGCTGGTGTACTGGACATCGTCCAATATTTAATGAAACAAGGCGCAAAGGCTACTGCTGGGAGAGTTCTTCATCATGCTGTTAGTGTTGGTGAATTAGATATGGTAAAATATCTTGTTGAACAATTAGCTGCTGATGTAAATGACAAGGATGCTGATGGACAGACACTCCTGCACGTCGCTGTCGATGCTGGTGCATTAGAAATTATCAAATATTTAATTGAACAGGGTGCTGACATAACTCTTAAAAGTAAAATCAGCTTTCATACTCTTGGCTTTGACACCATGAAAATAGCTGTTGTAAACAACTTCGTTGCTTTGGTCGATCTTCTTTTTGAAAAGAACATCGCTTGGTGGAGACGTTGGACATTTCTTGTTGAAGGAAAGCAAATGAGTCTTCTTGAATGGAGTATTCACCTTGGTCATGATGAAATTACAACTATCCTCAAGAGGTCCATAAAACATTCTTTGAAAATTCGGACGTTGAAAACAATGAATTGCAACCAGTTAGAAGAGGTAAATATTTCAAAGATGTATGTGTATTCTTTTAATTAGTCTGTGAAAGCTGCCTGTGTAGTAGCCAACGTTTATAGGAAGTTTAAGATCTACGACATGACGCGGGATGACGCGGGAAAGCTTTCAAAAGCGATGAAACTAAATCCTAAGGGAGCTTTAACAGTGACACAGATTAATACCCATATGTCTCTCTTCTGATTAAAAAAGCGTAAGCGCTTGCTCAGCAAGCTCATGAAAATAAACTCCTCTCATTTGCTAGAGAAAGGGACTGTGTAGTAAAGTTTGAGTCTGAATGCATCATTATCTATTCGCGTTTTGGAAAAGTGAGTTAAGAGTACCTCGTTTTCAAATGAATATTGTACAAGTGTTTTATCTTTTTTCGATTGTCGTAGGAGCGGAAAATTATAAGCAGCAGAAATCCTCGTTCGACGGTATATTTTGAAACATATTTTATTTAAAAAGTGTGTGAATATCTTTACATTGAATGGCATTTCCTGTACAAATCAACAAATAAACATATTTTCCGCTTCATTTGAACACATCGTGAAGTTTTTCATATATCTAGAAGTTGAAATTTGACTATTTTGCCCTCATATCTTATAAATCGTGAATGATTTTTTTCCTTTTTCTTCTCACGATAGAAAATTTACTGTTTTTCGTCTATAGGTTGAAACACCGATGCAAGTTTTTGTCGCAAGCAATCAATTCAAAATTGGTGCTGGCGGTTTTTCGTGTGTCTATGTTGGTGTCATGAAGGATGGAAGTGAAGTTGCTGTTAAGAGAATTTTCGTGCAAAATGACGATAAAACAGTTGAAAACGAATTAGGAATCATGAATCTCATCAAGACAAACAAATCGCCATTTATAGTGAGCTATCGACATTTTCACCGTGACGATACCTTCATGTATCTTATTGTTGATCTTTGCGAAGAAAACTTGAGGGAACTTGTTCATGCATGCAGTATTGAACTTCTACAAGAGCAAGGTCCACGAATGATTTGGGAAATTCTATCCGGACTTGAATTTCTTCATGGTAAAGGAATATTGCACAGAGATCTAAAACCATCAAACGTCCTGGTTGATATCGAAGGTCGCATGAAATTGGCAGATTTTGGAATAAGCCGCGTTCTAAATGACGATGAAACGACAGTCGAAACATTCGCTAAAGGTACTCGTGGATGGATGCCGCCGGAAGTAATCAAGGCAATAGACAAAGATGAAAAAGGTCGTTTCAAAAAGAAATCAGATGTCCACGTCGCGGGTATGATTGCCTTCTTCATCTTAAAGAAAGGTGAACACCCTTTTGGATCTTCGTTAGAACGAATGAAAAATATTTCAAAAGGAAATCCTATCAATCTGAAGAAACTTGGTGATCGCGAAGCTCGTAGGTTTGTGTCGTCGCTGATTCGTCACAAGATTGATGATAGACCTTATGCTGACGAAGCATTGGAAGATTCTTTTCTCATGCTGTCAAAAACGACACACCGAGGCCACCGTTTTAGCGCATGAAATCAAGAAAATAAAATGTTTTTTGGACTTTGCCATTTCATATTCCTCATTATTATATACACAAGCGCCAGATATGAGGTATGCTGCAATTTCATTGGTTGGCTACTTGGCAGATATTAGCTCATATATTTCTAGTAGAGAAAGTAAACAAAATGGCTGAAAGATTTGGGGAGTTGAGTGAAATAGAAATCCAAGCTTTAGTTGATAATAGCACACCAAAATGCACCGAAAGGGCGAAAAAGTTTGTGTATAAATAAAACAGTTATTCTGGTCACGGCTATCAGCTCATATACGACTCGAGTTCGCAGAATAACTGTTAAATATAAAACCAGGTTTCGTTTCTGTTGTTGAAGAGTTCATCGGCATTTATCGTATAGATTGGCGTAATAATAACACAGTCACGTTGATTTCTTTCGCTTCAACAGGAACATTCAATGGTTGTAAACGTCCTCGTGAATAAATAATCATCTGAATTTCCACACGAGACAAAACTAACCACAGGAATTCATAACTTTGCGGGGTTTAATGAACTTTTTCCTTCGCCTTGGAAACACTTTCTTCTCACTCGTGGACAAAAATACCAACTTTGACAAAGAGATGTTAACGTGTATTTTAAAAACAAAATGCAAGAAAAAGTAAATTCGACTGATAATCTGTGTGAAAATTGAAAAACCTGGCGGATAACCCGTAAAGACGAATTATCTGCGAAGTTTGTTTGAATTTATGAACCCTTTCCAGCCCAACTTTGTCCAGGCGGATTGTCAATCTCTAGGGTGGATCAGGTTATTTTTAGAATTTGAATCGGTTCCCGAAACTAGAACGATAATTGGAGGGGGTCTGTATTCATAAACTCAGTTCTGTCCGACGGCTTTGTTTTCTGCATGAGTGCAATAGCTTACAACAGAAATTCGTCGGGCAGAACTGAATAGATAAATAAACACCCCTTGCCCGCAATTATCGTTCTACAGGGTGTCTCAAAAAACGAAAACTATTGAAATCATTCATTGTTAAAATTTGAATGCCGTGTTCACAAATTTTAGCCCGTGGGGGATTTAATCCAACTTATAAAATGCTAAATATGAAAAATTTGAAATTGTGAATATGATTGAATTTAAATTAGCCTTGATATTGCTTCGAAAGAAAATGCCAAAATAGTACTGTCCCAGTTGACCGCGGAACAACGAGTGTTTATTGTGATATTATCCCAACAGAGTGCTTAGGCATTCAAACTCCAACAATTACATTGTTATGGGTGATTTCACACATAGTTTTCGTTTTTTTGAGACACCCTGTAGTTTCGGCCGGGCCCTGCCTGGCGTAGGCCTAGTTAGTTTTTATAAACTTTATAGTGCAAAGAAACACATGTAACGTCTCTTAGACACTTTTTAATAATGCAATTTGTATTTAGATAATAAAACTAGGGACTTATATAAAAAGCCTTCATAATCATACGTCTCTGAATGGTCTCTAGGCTTCTGAATGTACATCCGAAGAGGAATTTTCAGTTACAAAAGTTCGACAGAAGCAGTTGCATTATGCGACGTTAGAGCTTAGGCTGTTTCAAACGCCCCCCGATGCACTCACTCGCGATTATCATATTTTGCCATTTTTTATTTGTTTGCTTGCAACTTCAGCAGTTTTCACAGGACAAACTATATCTATATACAAACCACCAATAACGTAGAGCAAGCAGGAGGGGTGGTAATCACCCTGGGGCACGGAGCAAAGAAGAAGCCCAGGTTCGTTTTCTCACGGTTCAGAGCGCAAATTAAATGATTAGAGAATTACGAAGCCACATGTTCACTTAACGATGGAACAGCTGATGAATAACACTTTAAAGAACTGTTTGTGACCGTATAGAAGTTTCAAATTCAAAAACATTTCCCGTTCAGCACTAACCGAGCATGCGGGAAACCACCTTGCGCCCTCTTCCAAGGAGGTGTCCCCTCAGGCAACTGCCCCTCAGTTAACGCCACGCCCATTTAACACGCATTATTGTCCCAGCCCCATTTAGCCTTTTGACGACCGAGCAAACTAAACAGGTCGCGTTTATTTTAACACTGGATCAATAAGAGATGATCCTTACTGCATGGACCTCTAGGAAAAACAGTTTGAAACTGATAGAGCTATATATTACAACTGATGTCATTCCATAAAGCTTGCGACTCCAAAAGATATCATGACCAAACGTGGAAACAGGTTCAGAAATGTGACGTCCAAGTGTTTGACGAAACTTGCCACTCCTTTTCAATGTTGATGTGGGTTCAATAATATAATTCAGCGGATCAAGCACATAAATTCTACAGCGTATAGATATTTACTTTCCTTTCAGATGGGATGAAAATATTATTGAAATGGCGTCTCTTCCTAACCCTCGCCCGCGTTTCTAATTTCAGCAGCAGCGGTCATCTTTAAAAATCTAGCGATTCGAAGCCTCTGCGGAGGAGAGAGGGGATTTCCTGTTTCTAACACAAGTCCAATATAAATGCCTAATATATATTCATAAGAGATGCCGGCGGAGGAGGCTATTTCCGGGGTGCAGTTGATGATAGTTGCCCTCTGAAATCTGAATCTCCGATAAACTCAGGTTTGCTAACGGAAAATATACAACATAGATTATTATACAATTATTTGTTTTATCGTCCCTCTTCAGGATGTTGTAGAATAAAGGAAACAAGTGAAGGTAGGAAGCAAAATTATCTTACGAAATCACATATATTGCTCCAGCACGACCGAATTGAGAAGCGATTAGAAACTAAAACATGTAATGCGTAACATAAATATGCGACGCATTATTTATGATCGTACCATGCAAATGGTCTTATATTGCATGTTTTATTGCCACACTGGCCTAGTTTTCACACAACAAGAATTGACAATTCCTGAATTTGCTTGCGTAGACACAACATAATAGCCTGCAAGCGAAGCGGGCAATATAATCCATTGTTAGTACGGTAAAGACCGACACACACCGGACGCAATTTGCCAACGCGAGGTGATTTTTTGGAAAATGTTGTTATATTCTTGGTAATTACTGAATGATAGTACATTTTGACTGGCCTGGGACCCAAATCTCTCAAAGTGTTCTTTCAGAATCGAATACATTTGCTTCCGAGAATGGAAAATTTTCGTCGCGTTGGCAAATCGCGTCCATGCAGTGCGTGTTTTTAGTGCTTCTCTTAATCTCTTTCCCCAGCACCTTCGCGTGTTTTTTTGTTAATGGGGTTTAATATTATGAAAATACAGAATTTGGACAACCTTGTGCAATGAAAGATTACGGTCCGATAATCCCGTGTGTATAAACCTTATTGAACATTTGAACAGGCAGTTCATAGAACATATAGAACAAGACAACTAGTTTCGTTTTAAAGTAAAAAGCAAATTCCGAATAAACAAGACATCTTGAGAATCGAAATATAATTCAAACAAGAGACTGTAAATTTTCGACTTTATTACAAAGTCATCTTCAGACAGAATGAAATACAATACTTTACAACGCATATATATATACAACACAGAGAGAGAGCGCACGTGTCAATCCAGCATGTAGGCGGAAGGCCGGTAAACCAAGCAGAGCGAAACATAATAAGGTTGTGAATAAAACTAAATATGTATGCTATATTTACAACAATATGTTAGATAGATTAATTTAAGGAAAGAAAAGAAAGACCCGACAAGGAAAGGTTTGTTATGTTTGATTAAGAAAGGCGAGAATATGATAGTTGCTCGATTTAGAAGAATTCTATAGTTATTGAAAACTAAGTTCTCAATAGGATATTGGTTATTCAAGGATAATGGTATATCGTTGAGTAGTGAGAACTGGTTTTGTAGTGTGGCTAAGAATTGAGCGTGCTCACGCTCAGAGAAATGTTGGCCTACTGCACTAGAAGTAGAAGAGAGCCTAGTAGAATGCTCTTTCAAACGTACAGAAAAGCGCCTTTGCGTCATGTCAATATAGGTTTTCCCGCAGCCAGGGCAAGCGACTTCGTATACTAAATTGCTGCGAGATAAAGGAGGAAGTTTGTCTTTGTTGGAAACAAAATAAGACAACCTTTTAGTGTCGTAAATTGTGACGAATTTCACCGGTTTGGAAAGAAATCTTTGTATTTTATTGAGACAGAATTTAAGCAGAAAACCGCCCCGATTTCCGAGATAAGGTATACGGATCCAGATTTTGGGCAATAGATTATCATCCGCTTCATGAATAACCGTATTGACAACGGGATTGGAATTTGGAAAATACTTAGTTTTGAATCTATTTAGCGTAGAGTATATAACATTATTCGGATAACCATTCCAAGACATGAAAGATTTGATGATTTTAATTTGACTTTTGAAAAGCTTTTCCGAACTACAAATTTTAAAAGCACGGTGGTAAAGGGATTTTGCGGTAGAATGGCTCGAAACTAGAGAAATGCGAGTACTGACCAGTGTGAGTGTCTTTACGATAAACGTCAGTACCATCGACCGTGATTTTTATATCTAAAAAATGTGCGATACCATCGGGAAAAGTGTCAACTGTGAAATTAAGGTTAGGATGGCATGGTAGAAAACACGGGTAACCGGATAGCCGGTACTCTAGTAACTGATCATTGATAAATATCAATGTTCAATATCGAAATAAAGATTATGGTAAATTAGCTTGTCCTTAAGTCCTATGCGCTATAGAATATTATCTCCATATTCATTTAAAAGGTTCCGCGTGAACTTTATAGATATTTGTTGGGTTAAGTAAAAAACAAATTCCGAATAAACAGGAAATCTTGAGAAACAAAACATAAATCAAACAAGACACAGGTTGAGACTGTAAATTTTCGACTTTATTGCAAAGTCATCTTAAGATGAAATACAATACTTTAAAACGCAAATATATACAACACAGAGAAAAAGCGCAAAGAGAGAATTGTAGAATAGATGTAATAGAAAGGTTTGTTATGTTTGATTAGGAGTGCTTCAAGAAAGGCGAGAATATGACACTGAATATCTCACCTCAATTATGCATACCGGTCGTCTTATGGCTTATGCACTTGTTCGTGTGATACTTTCGTCAGATTACAAGGTAGGGTAGGTAGGTAGGGTAGGTAAACTTTATTTAAAACCAAGAAACACGCTAGCCCCATCAACTCTAGGCTGGTTTCCATGAGAGGCGTGTTTAAATTTTAAAAAAACAGTTAATATGACTATAAAACAGGACAATATACACACAGACAGCAGTGGCGTCGCTAGGGGGGGAACTGGGGGGGACTCGTCCCCCCCACTTATTCTAAAGATCACTTTTGGGATTTTTCTAAATCTGAAGAGAAAAGGGGGGGGGTACAATGAATCTAATTTCCAACAGCAGAGTAAATAAAGAAATTTTCGAATTAACATTACTTTTGATCACGTAAAGAATAGCATTAGAATAACATAGTCAGCATATAGAAAGAGACATTGCTGATAAAATTGAGTTGGATGCTCTTGTTGACACATTCAGATTAGGCTGATTAGCTAACAACAAAAAGTTCCCCTTGTAAAAACTGTTTGTTTATAACAAAAATCTCCGATCTGTGGCTTTCGGATTGTCATAAAACTTGGCTGAAAATGCGGGAAATAGCGTTTTAGAGACCCTAGAAATAAAAATTTCCCCCCCTAGAGGTCTTGCGCTTTGGTGCCTCGTCCCCTCCAGTCTGAGCAACCTGGCGACGCCACTGACAGACAGTTTCACACATAGATAAATTATATGAATAAGTAGGATGCGTTTCAGTGTCCAACAACAATTGATTTAAACAAACGAAGCGACTCGGCTGATTTTGCTTCGTTTGGGAGCTGATCCCAAAGCATAGCGCCGCTATATTTGAAACTTTTTTAAGGTACTCTCGATTCGGCCTAGGGAGACTTAGGTCTGTTGCAGAGTTTCGGAGGTGATAATTAGTTTGATCAATTTCTCTTCTCACAAAAGAGTCCCGAAGAGCCGGAGCAGTGTGTTCATTAAGTATCTTGTACATCAATACTGACTTGGCACCAGACCGTCTAGTTTCAAGTGTGTCCCAAGAAAGATTGTTAAGAAGATCGATTGATGAAGTATCATAATTTGCATCTGTTCAGACCCTCGCAGCACGAAACTGAAATTTTTGCAACTTGCCTCTGAGCAGCTTACCACAAGTATCCCACAGAGGGGAGCAGTAATCGAAGTAAGGCTGCACAAGACTTTTATAAACAGATTCTAGGGTATGTCTAGGAACAAAGGGTCTTATTGACAAAGGGTCTTATATCTAGGAACAAAGGGTCTTAAAGCACACTGACTTCGGCGTGCGACTTGACTGCAGATGAAAGTTCATTTATATTACTTTTCCTCCTTTTTACTTTTGCCGAGTTTGAGGTCGAGCGCAGTCTGCCTACCTTTGAGCGATAAGATTCAAGATTTGTTTAATGCAGTGAAGACTTCTACAAACACTGAAAGACATCTAGATTAAAAAATGTTAATAGATATTCTAGTTATAAAAATTAAAGTTTACCGTTCAGACTAAGAGTTATGTCCATAATCTTTATTTCGATATCGATCATTTATATTTATCAATGATCAGTTACTAGAGTACCGGTTATCCGGCTATCCGGTTATCCGTTACCCGTGTTTTCTACCATGGCGGTTAGGATCGAAACTACTGAAACTTTGTTAAAACACCGGAAATATTGGAAGGCTTAATTAAGACAAGCGTATCATCAACATAACGTTTGTAAAATTTTATAGTGCTATCAGCAATTCAGAAACTATTAATCTCTCAAACTCCGTTATTGATATTAGCTAAGACAGTTCCTAGTGATGAGCCCATAGAAACGCCGTCTTTTTGAACATAAATTTGGTCATCAAAGGAAAAGGCTGTCTTGTTGCAACAATCCAAAATGAGTTTTTTTCAAAGTGCGTTTCTGCATAGTGGTTACTAACAATTTATCTTTGTAAATTCGATCTAGAATGATGTTGACTGTGCGGGAAAGGGGAACATTAGTAAACAAAGACTCAACATCAAAAGAAACAAGTTTGAAGCCATCTTGAAACAAATGTTTAGGGATGTTGTTATAGCATTCACCGCATCAAATGAATCAGAGAGAGAATAAGAGTTTAAAGTGAGAGGATTTAGTAGAGACGATAAGAATTTACCAACGTTATAGTGAGGAGTGTTGGTAGTGACAACTATAGGTCGGAATTTCGGTAGAGTGTCAAATTTCTTGTGAGCCTTTGGCAAATGCGCTCTGCCAAAATGTGCTGTGATGGCTTTGAGAGACTTTTTTATTCGGAATTTGCTTTTTACTTTACTTCTTTAAACTGTCGGCTGGTCATGGTTTTTAGTTTCGTTTTGTCTCGCTATTTCGGAATCTCGTTTCCGGGAGGATGACGTCATTGAGATAACATAGTGTCAAGTGATTGAATGGCGAACTAATAATATTGGATAAATAATAATCATATCGTTGAAGATACTTGATTACGTGACCAAAGATTGGGTTCGGTGTAATTACACCCGGGTGTTGTGACGGAACATAGCGGTCATGGACGTTCAATGGGCAGGGTTCCCATCACAGTTCCCCAGTGTCTCAGGAGATCAAGAAATGAGCCATTACTCGAGAACGAGGTTCCCGGTCGTGGCCTGGTAGCCTCGTTTTAGTGTTACAACTTATTTCCACATTTATTGAACAAAATCAAAAATCATTTTTCATGCATGTGTTGAAGAACGATGTTTTGTATCTTGCCACATAGCTTGTGAGAGTAAAACTTGAAATCCATCTCATTTAAGGTGGTACTCATAATATTGAAGATACTTGATTTCGTGATCGAAGATGTTGGGTTAAAGATTTTTATCGAAATTAAATTTGTTTCATTTCCGATGCCGTGTTGTCGAAGTTGTAGGATATAAACATATAAGGTATGAAGTTAATAAATAACTTTGCTTAGTCAGTAATTTGGTCCATCACTACAGAACTGAGACGCAACTGGTAATCTCATGCGATCATTGAGTAGCACATTTGTGTGAGGCATTGTGCATGTATAGCAGTGTTGGTTAACCGTAGAGACCCATACAGTAACTAGGTCCTAGGATAGCCCTAGAATAGTTAGTATAACAAGATGGCAAAATCGAGGGTGCGTATTCATACATTCGTCTTGTGTGCCTGACTGATTCCTTTTGTAGGCAATTATTTTTACGGTTATATGAACATAAATATATGAATATACAACTTGATCGTAAAGTTGAGCCTTCCTGTGGCCTAAACCATAGCTGTTTCTTAATGGGAAGTTATCAGTCTGCACAAATTTTATATATTCATAACAAACTTAGCAACATATTCATAACAAACTGAGCACCCATCCTCGCCATTGAAATTTCGTTCAGTGTGGTGGTGTTTTTTAAAAAGTTTTATCATCTTTGTGTATATACAGGTATTGAAAAGAAGCAAGAGACAAGTGGAAGTACAAATATGTCTAAAGAAGAAAAACAGAAATTTCGGGAGGAAATAAGAAAGCAAGTTGAATGTGGTGAAAACAAAGAAGATCGTTGGAAGAAGACAATTCTTTGGCGTGCTTTTCAGTTTAGTCCAGTAGATAAAAAAATTATCAAATATTTAGTTGACCATGGAGCAGACATTCATTCCAAGAACGAAGATGATGAAACAGTTCTTTGTATTGCGACAAGAAATGGTTTATTTGATCTTGTTAAGTATTTTGTTCAATATGACCCTGAACATAATTTTCAAGACGATGGCCAAGTTCTTCAAAGTGCAATACATTCTCGATCATTAGAAATTGTGAAATATTTTGTTAAAAGGTGTGGTGCTAATATACATTGTAGAGATGAGTCGGGCAAAACTGCTTTACATTTTGCCGTTGATGTTGGTGGAAGAGACATTCTCAAATATTTAGTTACGAAATGCGGTGCTGATGTAAATGGTGAGAGTACTGACGGGTGGACAGTGCTGCACTTTGCTGTTACCCATGGTACGCTAGAAATAGTAAAACATCTTGTTAAAAAAGGCGCTGATGTAAATGGCAAGGATACTACCGGGTGGACAGTGCTGCACTCTGCTGTTACCCATGGTACGCTGGAAATGGTAAAATATCTTGTTAAAAAGGGCGCTGATGTAAATGGGGAGCAGATCTACGGGTGGACGGTGTTGCACTCTGCTGCTACTAAAGGTACGCTAGAAATAGTAGAATATCTTGTTAAAAAGGGCGCCGATGTAAATGGAAAGAAGACCAACGGGTGGTCATTGCTGCACACTGCTGTTACGGAAGGTACGCTGGAGATGGTAAAATATCTTGTTGAACATGGCGCCGATGTTGATAAGGAGAAGACCAACGGGTGGTCATTGTTGCACACTGCTGTTACGAAAGGTACGTTAGAAATGGTAAAATATCTCGTTGGACGGGGAGCTGTGACTGGCACGAAAAGTGAAGGGGAAACAATTCTGCACCATGCCGTTAATAGAGGTTCGCTAGAAATGGTACAGTATCTTGTTAATAAAATTGGTGCTGATGTAAATGCAAAGCAAACTGAGGGGTGGACAGTGCTGCACTATGCTTTTACTAAAGAAACGCTAGAAATGATGAAATATAAAAGGGGCGCTGATGTCAGCGACAAATTTGAGATTGTGAGATATCTAGTGGACCAGGGCGCTGATGTAAATGGTGAGAATGCTGACGGATGGTCAGTCTTGTACGTTGCTGTTGGCTGTAACGCATTAGAAATTGTCATGTATCTAGTCGAACAGGGGGCTAGTGTAAATTGCAAGAGTCCTGATGGATCGTCAGTCTTGCACAGTGCTGTTGATGCTGGTGGGTTAGAAATTGTCAAGTATTTAGTTCAAAAGGGCGCTGATGTAAATTGCAAGAGTCCTGATGGATCGTCAGTCTTGCACAATGCCGTTGATGCTGGTGGATTAGAAATTGTCAAGTATTTAGTTCAACAGGGCGCTGATATAGCTCTTAAAAGTAAAATCAGCGTTCATACTCTTGGCATTGACATCCTCAGGATGGCTGTTGAGGAAAATTTAGCTGATTTGGTCAAGCTTCTGTTGAAAAAGAACATCGTTGTATGGAAACCAGAAAAATTCCTCGTCGAAGGAAGGCAAATGAGTCTTCTTGAATGGAGTATTCACCTTGGTCATGATGAACTTGCAACTACCCTCAAAAGGTCCGTAAAACATCGTGAAAAAATTGAGAAGTTAGAAGAAATTAAACGCAACCAGTTGAAAGAGGTAATGTTTTCGATTTCACATTCCCGCTTCTTTGGGACGTTAATGTCTTCGTCATTGGTGTGACGTCATAACGTGGGATACGACTATTTATCACAACGTGCAAGAAAAAAGTCGTATCACACGTAATGACGTCACAAGTTGGACATGACGATTTCACGCATGGCTATTAGCCAATCAGAATTCTTTTGAATAAATAATAATTCGAATTATGTCTCTCTAGCTGGTAAAATATCGTACAAAACAAACCCGTTATCGCTTGCTGTATTTTCTGCAAATTTATCGTATAAACGCTCGGTGAAGTTCTTGTCCCTTGTAACCGACCTCATATAAACAACGCCTTTAGGGTAGTTGAGCTTTGCCTTCATTGATCACAATGCTCAATTCATTTTTGTTCCTAACTCATCACAATAGATAATTTGTGGTTTTTCCTCCATAGATCGAAATACCAATACCGATGCAGGTTTTTGTCCCGAACAAGAACTTCAAAATTGGTGATGGTGGTAATTCCTGCGTCTATGTTGCTCTCATGAAGGATGGAAGTGAAGTTGCTGTTAAGAGAATTTTGGTACAAAGTGATGATGAAGCCATCATTAACGAAAAGGAAATCATGAATCTTATTAAAACGGACAACTCTCCATTTATAGTGAACTATCGACATTTTCACCGTGACGATACCTTCATGTATCTTATTGTTGATCTTTGCGAAGAAACCTTGAGGGAACTTGTTCATGCATGCAATATTGAACATCTACAAGAGCATGGTCCACGAATGATTAGGGAAATTTTATCAGGACTAGAATTTCTTCATGGTAAAGGAATATTGCACAGAGATCTAAAACCATCAAACGTCCTGGTTGATATCGAAGGTCGCATGAAATTAGCAGACTTTGGAATAAGCCGCATTCTAGATGAAGATGAAACGACGGTTGAAACATTCGCAAAAGGTACTCCTGGATGGATGCCACCAGAAGTAATTGAAGCAATAGACAAGGATGAAAAAAGTCGTTTCAAAAAGAAATCAGATGTCCACGTCGCGGGTATGATTTCCTTCTTCATCTTAACTAAAGGTGAACATCCTTTTGGTTCTTCGTTTGATCGAATGAGAAATATTTTGCAGGGGAAATCTGTCAATTTGGAGAAACTTGGTGACTGCAAAGCTCGTAGGTTTGTGTCGTGGTTGATTAATCACAAGATTGACGATAGACCTTATGCTCACGAAGCATCAAGAGATTCTTTCGTTAATGGACACTAATACAATCAAAACACAGTTTTGATAACAGTTTGGACAACCTTGGAAAAATTACGGTGCGATAATCCTGTGTGTATAAACCCTTTTGAACGGACGGTTAATGGGTCAAGACAAATTTTATACGATTTAAGTTTGTCATAGTACACAAAACATTTCGCCAACGTTTTTCCAGACAGTTCATAAAATTCATGAATAAGGGCTTTGTAACTGTTTTTAATCGGTTTTCAGCGTAGCCTCGTTGGTTAGCTGATAAAACATATTATTCTCGAGCCCAGGTCACTCCGCGTACTGCTGTGTCGTAATATGCGAGCGTGAAGACTTGGGTACAAGGATGAACCACAACGATACAGCTCTGGGTTACTTCACCCAAAATATCGCAGTTCCTAGTTCGAGATTGCCGGCGATGTCCTTTGTCGGTGTTTGAAGATGTATGGAAAATTTTGCAAATTGTGTGTTTACTGTCGTGCTTTGCGGGCTGAATTCACGTCACAATTTACTTCGGCTAATTTTAATGAAATTTTTTGGTGGCCATAATTGCCAGTGAATCCCTTTTCCAAATTAACGTTTACTGGTTTTTCGACATAGGGCCTGTTTACATAGAGCGAGTTATCTCGGCTAGGCGAGGTGACAACTGCATACAATAAACTAATCAGTTCATAAAATATGCTGAGCACAGTGCCCTTGTTGAGTACTACCTCTGGAGATAGTGCCCCGTTCTTAAGCACCATGCCCAATTTCATTTGGAAGCGTCAATCAACAGAAAAGTGACGGGCACTCAGTCTGAACGCAATTGCTTAAGACACTCAACTGAAATTGTACGTAAAACCTGACCTGATTTTTTATCATTTGTATATATAGCAGTATAGATGTATAACTTCATATCGGACGGACTGAAGTATTTTCTTAGAGTAGTTTAATCTCTCGACCGCACTGCAAAAGACAGATCGTATCTTGGGTGAAATCCCATGCACGTGTAAAAATTTGTAAGTATAAAATTTTGTCGAATGTAAAGACACATATCGAAAAGAATATTCGAGATGCTGTACAATTTACCATTCTTTGCAATTGTTGAAAGAAAATCATCCTGAAAGTTGTCAGACTACCCGCCATCAGGAAGAAAAGTCACCTGATTCGGAACATATCGTAAGTTATCACTCCAGTTTTATTAGATCGCCTTAGACGCGGCCTTTCTTAGTCACTGATCTCTATATCAGATATTATCAGTCATTGAACGCGATTTTTATGTTTAAAAAGCCAGGGAAAGAAGGTCAACAATTAAAAAATTTTCCGTGTTTCTATACAGTTTTAGTATAAATCCGACTATTGTCTATTACAAAATGCCTACATTCTGATTGGCTACTCAACCATTGTCTATTCGTGATGGTGAACGTTTGGGAAAATTTCGCTCGCGCGACCGTATAAAATTGAATTAATTAAATTATTTTTCGGGAGTGTAATTGCTGTATCGCTTATTTTCTCGAAATTAATACATCTAGGTACAGGGTGTATACTAAAACAATTAGACAACTCGCCTTCGTTGTCTATGAGCGAAGAATCAACTCAGGCTTCGCCTTCGTTAACTATTCGCTCATAAACAACTCGGACTCGTTGTCTAATTGTTAAATAGAAACACGCTTCTCGACCAATCAGCACGCGCGTACTATAAATATGACATTATAATACCTTTTACAAAAGTTAATCCATCGCAAAGCATCAGCGAACTTCTATTCGATGATTTCGAAGTATTTTTGAAGCCGTTTAGCGTTAATATCATCATGTGTTCTCAGATCCTGAAGAGAAAATAAAACTATATTAAAAAATATCTTGAAACTTTTAAAGAATGAAATTTTTGGTAAAGAATGATCACATTCCCGAGATTTGTAGTTATCAAAGCCATCGTCAAATTCTGAACAGAAGCAATTGAGCAAACAGAAGCAAACATCGAAATTTCCCTCAGTAGAACAATTGTTCTCTGAAATTTTTGCATAATTTTGACAGATTTTTAACTTAAAAATCCCGAGAACTAGTTTCGTTTTGTTTCGTTTGCTACTCGGGGAATCTCGCTCCCGGGAGGATGACGTCATAGAGATAACATAATGATCAAGTGATTGCATGACGAACCGTAATAATATTGGATAAAACTCATAATATCATTGAAGATACTTGATTTTGTCATCGAAGATAAGATTAAAGATTTTTATCGAAATTAAATTTGTTTAATTTTCGATGTCGTGTCGTCGAGGTTGTTGGATAAAACCATACAAGGTAGGAAGTTAATGAATAACTTTGCTTAGTCAGTAACTTTGTCCATCACTACAGAACTGAGACGCAACTGGTAATCTCAGGGGATCATCGGGTAGCATATCTATTTTGTGCGAGCCATTGAGCATATATAGCAGTGTTGGTTAACCGTAGAGATCCATACAGTGCCTAGGATAGCCCTAGAATAGTTAGTATAACAAGATGGCAAAATCGAGGATGCGTATTCATACATTCGTCTTGTGTGCCTGACTGATTCCTTTTGCATTGTAGGCAATTATTTTTACGGTTATATGAACATGAAAATATGAATATAACTTTGATCGTAAAGTTGACTCTCCCTGTGGCCTAAACCAAAGTTGTATCAGTATCGAAAGATGATGTGAAGTCTACACATATTTTTTGTTCGTAACAAACTTAACAACATTCGAGGGAGTCGCGTCATGACAGTTGGATAATAAAAGCTCTGTCTTGTTTTTTTTTGTGATTTGATTGCAATCAAAATTCCAAACGTTGAAATGTCGCGACGCTTAGTTATTCAAGAGCCGAAAATATTTGCATAACAAACTATATAATTATAGATCATCATCTTTAGTTAAGGGTAGGTATATAATTACTAAAACATACGACGATCGAGCAGTTAGTATATTTCTGCGAGTATTTAGAGTTATATATGGTTGCACCACTTGCATACTATTGCAGTATAGATTTGATTGCAAGAGAGCACGTTTATTAAGCGTGTATGTTGATTTTCATGATATACACAGGTATTAAAAAGAAGCAAGAAGCAAGTGGAAGTATGAATGTCTCAAAAGAAGAAAAACAGAAATTTCGGGACGAAATAAGAAGGCAAGTTAAACGTGGTGAAAACAAAGAAGATCGTTGGAAGAAGACAATTCTTTGGCGTGCTTTTCAGTTTAGTGCAGTAGATCAAGAAATTGTGAAATATTTAGTTTCCAATGGAGCAGACGTTTATTCCAAGAACGAAGATGGTGAAACAGTTCTTTGTATTGCGACGAGAAATGGTTTATTTGATCTTGTTAAGTATTTTGTTCAACATGGCGCTGAACATAATTTTCAAGACGATTGCAAAGTTCTTCAGAGTGCAATACATTCTCGATCATTAGAAATTGTGAAATATTTTGTTGAAGATTGTGGTGCTGATGTAAATTGCAAAGATGAGTCGGGCAAAACTGCTTTACATCATGCTGTTGATGCTGGTGAAACAGACATTGTCAAATATTTTGTTGAACAATGTGGCGCTGATGTAAATGGCAAGGATACTGACGGATGGACAGTACTGCACGATGCTGTTACTAAAGGTAGGCTAGAAATGGTAAAATTTCTTGTTCCAATGGGTGCAAATGTAAATGGAAAAAAGATCGACGGATGGACAGTGCTACATGATGCTGTTGCTGAAGGTACGTTAGAAATGGTAAGGTATCTTGTTGAAAACGGCGCTGATGTAAAAAGTGAGAGTACAGACGGGTGGACGGTGCTGCACTATGCTGTTTCTTACAGTTCATTACGAATAGTTATATATCTGGTTGAAATGGGCGCTGATGTAAATGTAAAAAAGACTGATGGCTGGACAGTGCTGGTTCATGCTGTTACTGAAGGTACGCTAGAAATGGTGAAATATCTTGTTGAACATGGCGCTGATGTAAATGGCAAGGACAATGACGGGTGGACCGTGCTGCATCATGCTGTGACTGAAGGTACTCTAAATATAATAAAATATCTTGTTCAGAAAGGCGCTGATGTAAATGGAACGAATACTGACGGTTGGACAGTGCTGCACGATGCTGTTACTGAAGGTACGCTAGAAATGGTAAAATATCTTGTTAAAAACGGCGCTGATGTAAATGGAAAGAGTACTAACGGGTGGACAGTGTTGCGGAGTGCTTTTGCTAAAAACAGGCTAGAAATATCCAAATATCTCGTTCAAAGCGGAGCTGACATAAATGGCAAGGATACTGAAGGGGGGAGAGTACTGAACAGCGCTGAAAAGGGCGCTGATGTAAATGGTAAAAATAATGAAGAAGAGACTGTGCTGTACTCTGCATTTACAGAAGGTAGGCTTAAAGAGGTAAAACATCTTGTTGAAACGAGCACTGATGTGCATGGCAAGAATACTGATGAGTGGGAGAACTTAAGAAATGCTGTTACTAAAGGTACGCTAAAAATGTTAAAACATCTTGTGACAAAGTGCGCTGATCTAAATGGAAGGGATACTGACGGTCGGACAATGCTGCATTATGCTGTCGATGCTGGTAGATTAGAAATTATCAAGTATTTAGTTAAAGAAGGTGCTGACATAACTGTTAAAAGTAAAATCAGCGTTCATACTCTTGGAATTGACATCCTGAAGATGGCTGTTGTGAGAAATTCAGTTGCTTTGATCAATCTTCTGTTGGAAAAGAACATCGCTGTGTGGAGAGCTGGAACATTTCTTGTTGAAGGAAGGCAAATGAGTCTTCTTGAATGGAGTATTCACCTTGGTCATGATGAAATTGCAACTATACTCAAAAAGTCCGTAAATCATTGCGAGAAACTGGAATTACTGAATAAAACGAAGTGCAACCAGTTAGAAAAGGTAAATTGAAAGAAAAGTATATCAAACAGATTTGATGTTTAAGTAGATTAGGTACACCACATAAATTATTAATACTGCAAAGCACTATTCTATTGCAGTGACGAAGGTTCCGGTTAACGGACCGAAAGCGTTGCAGTATTAGATACTTACGTGGTGTACCTACAGATGAGTAAGGTTAATAGGAGTTTACGCCGCAGCAGTTTATGGTAGCATCTTCAAATTTTAATGGTTGGTAGCATAATTTGACTCGTTACCAGACTGTGACTACGCAATTCAGACTTTTTTCATGCGCAACAACCATTTAAACATCTTTTTCTACAACAGGTTGAAACACCGATGCGAGCTTTTGTCGCAAAGAATCAATTCAAAATTGGCGATGGTGGTTTTTCTTGTGTCTATGTTGGTCTCATGAAGGATGGAAGTGAAGTTGCTGTTAAGAGAATTTTGGTGCAAAGTGAGGATGAAACAGTTGAAAACGAAAAGGAAGTCATGAGTCTTATTGGAAAAAACTCACCATTAATAGTGAGCTATCGACATTTTCACCGTGACGATAACTTCATGTATCTTATTGTTGATCTTTGCGAAGAAACCTTGAGGGAACTTGTTCAAGCATGCAGTATTGAACATCTACAAGAGCAAGGGATTCGAATGATTAGGGAAATTCTATCCGGACTAGAATTTCTTCATGGTAAAGGAATATTGCACAGAGATCTAAAACCATCAAACGTCCTGGTTGATATCGAGGGTCGCATGAAATTAGCAGACTTTGGAATAAGCCGCGTTCTAAAAGACGATGACACGACAGTTGCAACATACGCAAAAGGTACTCCTGGATGGATGCCGCCGGAAGTAATTGAAGCAATAGACAAGGACGAAAAAAGTCGTTTCAAAAAGAAATCAGATGTCCATGTCGCGGGTATGATTGCTTTCTTCATCTTAACTAAAGGTGAACATCCTTTCGGTTCTTCGTTTGATCGAATGAGAAATATTTTGGAAGATAATCCTGTTAATTTGGAGAAACTTAACGATGATAAAGCTCGAACGTTCGTGTCGTGGCTGACTAAATACAAGATTGATGATAGACCTTATGCTGACGAAGCATTGGAGGATTCATTCGTTATTAATAGAAACTAATACAATCGAGATAAGAAATTTGCACAAAATAAAATGCTGCCGGTACCATGGAAAGTCAGCAGTGTGCGTGATAATCCGTGTGTATTAACGCTGGCATAAACAGACCGACAATCGTTCAAGACAAATTATTTGCGAAGTTTGTATGAAATACGCAAACCATTCTTAGTCTAAGTTTTTCCAGTCGGATAGCTATCTTCATTATGAGTCTATTATTTTACCCTTCCTAGCGTTAGCTAGGAAGTATGTTCTTAAGGTCTATATCTACACGATGCTATTAGCCGTATGCGATTCATATCCTGGCGTATGTATTCGAATAAATCAGCGTTAAGACTCTCGTAGATGCTAAGAAGGGTATAAAACTTTAAATGGCCCAAACTTTAAATAAAATATCTTGTAAAGCACGTGAATTAAAAAGTCAGTTCTAAGGGCACTTAAAAAGTACTTGAGAATAGAAAACGTGATAAAGAGGTTTGAAAATAGCTTCAAGAATAGAGCATCATTTTATAATTTCCGGCGAGACAAAAAGTCCTTGAAATTTTCCAATTTAGTGCTTAAATTTGACTATTGAGAACTTGCATGAACTCTGCTGCCAGGAACTGAAATATTTAACTAAGAATTGGTAAAATTCTTGATCACATTTCATTTCAGACACTTGTAGTTATGAAAATTATCGTTGAAGTTTAAACCGATTAAAAACATTAAAATTTCCTCAATATCTCGAGACTGAACTGAACAGACAATAATAAAGGGCTTTGATGTTACAGTGCATAGTCAGTAGAAACATGGTCTAGATGCTCGACTAAGAGTTTTTGTTCCAGACGTTTCCTTATGTGCAAACTTCTGAACAGCGAAGGCAAATAATTTATGACGGTTTTACACTCAAAAGCCTGAAAACTAGTTTCGTTTGCTGTTCAGAGAAATTCCGATCCCGGCAGGTCGTGTTGAACATCACAACATCACAGCATGTTAGAAGATGATTGACGATAACACTTGACAACAACACTTGACAATAGTTGATTTCCTGATCGAAGTTTATGTTTGCTGAGAACGAAGATTACGGAGATTTCTTTTAAAAAAACATTTGCTTCATTTTTTGCTGTATCGTCGTTTCTTTTGGATTGCTGTATCGTTGTTTCTTTAGGATGTTGTAGGATATAAACAATTGAAGGTAAGTGGTTAATAAATAACTCTGTGGCTGTGTGGGGGAGCATATTTGTGGGAGGCATTGTGTGCGGTCGTATGCTCAATTTGTCTCAAAAGCTTGCATGCTTCATTGTCTTGATACACGAATTTTATATCATTCATTTAAGCAGTGAAGGTTCATGTTAACTTTAGGACCTAAACTTTACATAGAATTGACTTAGGATAGTCAGCCCTGTAGCTAATTCAGACGGCAAAGTAGAAGTCTTGTATATTTATGTCTTCGTCTTTTACCCAACATTCCGAAGATCAGACTTCGTGTTTAGTTCTTACTCTAAGCCAACTAACGCACATTTATCGGCATGTTCACTCCAAACCAATAATAATGTCTAAAATGTAAAAATATCAATGAACAATATTACGGAAGTAATATTGTCGTCTTCTGATGCTAGAGTCAGCCTCGTTGACGTACCCAGGCGCTTTAAACTATAAATATAGGCACAATACAGGCTTTTACATAGATCAGTGACTAAGCTGAGACTGATCTATGTACAAGCCTGTAGTGCGGGGTGCCTTAGTGCCTATATTTAAAGTTTATTAAAGTGCCTAGGTACGAGGCTGCGCTAGAGTAGAGCCGCCGCTAGAAGGCTTGTATGGGTGTTTATATTTAAACAAGACGCCTGTTCTGGCGTTAACTCCGGCGTGCCGCGCATGTGCCAGTCTTTAATATAAAAATATAAAGCTTCTGAACATAAACAATACAGTTCATACTCATTTAAATGGCTTGCGAACCTAAATGTTGTTCGATCGCGAAATTCAGAAGCACATCGTGCTTTAAAAAGTATAGAAGTTCAATTGTTCAAAATCGTACTGGGTGTCCCAGAAAAAAGTACTCCAGTTTGATTCATAATAGCTTCTAAACTAGCTAAGCTATTAAACTGAAATAACTTTCACTAGATAGAGGGAAGACTAACTTCGATTTTGATATATTACAATTGTATTTTACTTTAAAATTTACGGAGATATCAATGTTCAAAATTGGTAGCATATTTCTGGATGTGTCTAAATTATGCAAAAAACGCCGTATCAAATGTTAATCAATATAATTTAGACACATCCAGAAATATGCTACCAATTTTGAACATTGATATCTCCGTAAATTTTAAAGTAAAATACAATTGTAATATATCAAAATCGAAGTTAGTCTTCCCTCTATCTAGTGAAAGTGATGTCAGTTTAATAGCTTAGCTGGTTTAGAAGCTATTAATAATCAAACTGGAGTACTTTTTTCTGGGACACCCGGTAGATAAATCTAAACTTAATCGAACAGCATCAAAAGAACGGTTTATTGGAATTGCCGTATCATGCGAGCGAAATCGAATCGCGCATCGGAAAATTAGCCAAAGCTGTGCACCACAACTCTTGGGAGACAAAACTGTGACGTAGATAAATACGGTCACATACTAAATTTCGCCCGAAAACACACTTGCGACGACGAAAAACAAAACAACAAAAAAACAAAACCTAAGCGAATTTTCAACTCCGTCGCTCACGCCGAGTAATTACGAGTTAACATACCGTAAAAATAATCGAATTGCAAGAAGAATATATGATTATAACAGTGATTCTGGAATCCAAATTTTCCGAGGAATCCAGAATCCAAACTCCTGGTTATTCTAGAATCCATTGTTTAAGAAGTTTTAAAGTGAAATATGAAATGCCTAATATGAAATGCGGTTATTTGCCTTCAGCTTGGAAAATTATAAATTGGAATCCGTAATCCACCAATAATGTGGAATCCGGAATCCAACCGAATCTAAAGAGTTGAATCCGGAATCCAAGCAGTGGAATCCGGGATCCATAAATCTCTTGGATTACGTTAAGCCGAGCCTTTCAAAACCAAAATTCCATAAAAGAACTCCGAGTGAATAAAAAGAACTAGATATTTACACTTCAAGATGACTAATCAAGGAAACTGTTTAAAACTTAAAAGGAATTTCCAGTCGTAAAATAAATAAATGCTTTGTTTACATTTTGAACTGTTATATTTTTGAAATACGATAAAATGTATGCATATCATATGTCTTCTATTATTATTAGTTCACTATGTTAGACAAAATTTGATTGGAAATTCCGAAAAACCAACGAGCCAATCAAACAATCATTTTGGCCACAATTCCATGTAGAAAACAAATTTACTACTGATCATTATAAGTTGACAAATGTATAACATATTACGCAGCAAAAAGCCTATGGCTATGTTGCTAATCTTTATTTCGTTGTGCATATATAGGACCGGCATTGAAAAGAAGAAGAAGAGGTAAGTGGAAGTATGAATGTCTCTAAAGATGGAAAAAAGACATTTTGGAAAGAAATAAAAAAGCAAGTTAAACGTGGTGAAAACAAAGAGGATCGTTGGCGGAGGACAATTCTTTGGCATGCTTTTCAATTTAGTCCAGTGGATTCAAAAATTGTCAAATATTTAGTTGACCATGGAGCAGACATTTATTCCAAGAACGAGGATGGTGAAACAGTTTTGTCGATAGCGACGAGAAATGGTTTATTCGATCTTGTTAAGTATTTTTTTCAACATGACACTGAGCGTTATTTCCAAGACGATTGCAACGTTCTTCAGAGTGCAATACAGTCTCGATCATTAGAAATTGTGAAATATTTTGTTGAAAATACTGATTCTAATATAAATTGCAAAGATAAGTCGGGCAAAACTGCCCTGCATCATGCTGTTGATGCTGGTGTAACAGACATTATCGAATATTTAGTTGAGCAATGTCACACTGATGTAAATGGCAAGGATAGACACGGGTGGACAGTGCTGCACTATGCTGTTATTAAGGGTACGCTAGAAATGGTAAAATATCTTGTTGAAATGGGTGCAAATACGAATGGCAAGGATACTGACGGGTGGACAGTGCTGCATGATGCTGTTACTGAAGGTACGTTAGAAATGGTAAAATATCTTGTTAAAATGGGCGCTGATGTAAAGAGTGAGAGTGCAGACGGGTGGACGGTGCTGCACTATGCTGTTTCTTATAGTTCATTACGAAAAGTTGAATATCTTGTTGAAAAGGGCGCGGATGTAAACGGAAAAAAGAGCGATGGTTGGACAGTGCTGGTTCATGCTGTTACAAAAGGTACGCTAGAAATGGTAAAATATCTCGTTGAACATGGCGCTGATGTAAATGACAAGGATAATGACGGCTGGACCGTGCTGCATCATGCTGTTACTAAGGGTACTCTAAATATAATAAAATATCTTGTTGAAAAAGGCGCTGATGTGAATGGAAAGGATACTAACGGGACGACAGTGCTGCACAGTGCTGTTCCCGAAGGCACGCTAGAAAATGTAAAATATCTTGTTGAAAACGGCGCTGATGTAAATGGAAAGAGAGAAAACGGGCGGACAGTGTTGTACTATGCTGTTACTAGTGGTAAGTTAGAAATGGTAAAATATCTTGTTGAACATGGCGCTGATGTAAATGGAAAGGATAATGACGAGCAGACAGTTCTGCACTATGCTGTTACTAAAGGTACGTTAGAAATGGTAAAATATCTTGTTGAACATGGCGCTGATGTAAATGGCAAAGATAAACACCGGTGGACAGTGCTGCACTATGCTGTTACTAAAGGGACGTTAGAAATGGTGAAATATCTTGTTGAAAAAAGGGCTAATGTAGATAGCAAGGAAATTTTTGGGACGACAGTGCTGCAAAGTGCTGTTACTAAAGGTACGCTGGAAGTTGTCAAATATATTGTTGAAAACGGCGCTGATGTAAATGAAAAGGATAATGACGGGTGGACAGTGCTGCACTATGCTGTTACTAAAGGTACGTTAAAAATGGTAAAATATCTTGTTGAAAACGGCGCTGATGTAAATGGAAAGGATAATGACGAGCAAACAGTGCTGCACTATGCTGTTACTAAAGGTACGTTAGAAATGGTGAAATATCTTATTGAATATGGCGCTGATGTAAATGGCCAAAAGAATGTAGAAACGACAGTGCTGTTCTATGCTGTAACAAATGGTAGGCTAGAAATTGTAAAATATCTTGTTCAACACAGCAAAATGAATGGCAAAATGAATAACTGGCAGACAGTGCTGCACTATGCTGTTACTAGTGGTAAGTTAGAACTTGTAAAATATCTTGTTGAAAACGGCGCTGATGTAAATGGAAAAAATAATACAGGGATGACAGTGCTGCACGCTGCCGTTACAAATGGTACGCTAGAAATTGTGAAATATCTTGTTGAACATGGCGCTGATGTGAATGGCAAAAAGAATAATAAAGGGACGACAGTGTTGCACACTGCTGTTTCTAATGGTAGGCTAGAAATTGTAAAATGTCTTGTTGAGAATGGCGCTAATATTAATAGCAAGAGGAATGATGGGTGGACAGTGCTGCACGCTGCAGTTACTGAAGGAACTCTAGAAATAGTAAAATACCTTGTCAAAAGTGGAGCTGATGTAAATGGAAAAAATAAAAAGGGGGTGACATCCCTGGAAACTGCTGTCGATGCTGGTGCATTAGAAATGGTAAAGTATTTAGTTGAACAGGGCGGTGACATAACCCTTAAAAATAAAATGGGCGTTCATACTCTTGGCTTTGACGTCCTAAAGATGGCTGTTGCAAAAAAATCAATTGCTTTGATTAATCTTCTGTTGGAAAAGAACATCGCTGTGTGGAGAGCTGAAACATTTCTTGTTGAAGGAAGGCAAATGAGTCTTCTTGAATGGAGTATTAACCTTGGTCATGATGAAATTACAACTATCCTCAAAAGGTCTGTAAATCATCGTGAGAAGATTCAGATGTTGAAAACAATGAATTTGAACGAGTTAGACAAGGTAAATATTTAAAAAGCAGCTAAGGTTTATAGGAGTGTAATTTACGACGCGGTATAGCTCATTTAAGCTCCAGCTCCACGACGCGCATTTGGATTCCGTTAGACTGTCGGTAGCTTAATTTTACTCATTACCAGAGGGCGACTACACAATTGTGTCTCGTCGGTCTGGTTAGCGTGATCCCCCCCCCCCTAAACCAAGAAACTTAAATCACATCCATCCACACGGGTTGTAGCGACAAAATATATTTTTAAACCAGATGTGCATATCACTCTTTGTGAAGTTAGACATGTTTTTCCATAAATATTTTGTGGATCAATAAAAGTCTTATTTTGCAAAGTCGTGAAACAAGCAGCGGTGCAGAAGCATATAAACCAAAACAGCGGAGTAAAATTTAACCCAGGATTAGGGCTAATCTAGCTTTGAACAAGTGGCCCCCTTGCTTTTATTTAATATGATGACGAAAGGTATTCGATTCTAACCATAGATAATTTATGGTTTTTCTCTCCATAGACTGAAACACCGATGCAGGCTTTTATCGCAAAGAATCAATTCAAAATTGGCGATGGTGGTTTTTCTTGTGTCTATGTTGGTCTCATGAAGGATGGAAGTGAAGTTGCTGTTAAGAGAATTTTGGTACAAAGTGAGGATGAAACAGTTGAAAACGAAAAGGAAATCATGAGTCTCATTGAAACAAAAAACTCTCCATTCATAGTGAGCTATCGACATTTTCACCGTGACGATACCTTCATGTATCTTATTGTTGATCTTTGCGAAGAAACCTTGAGGGAACTTGTTCAAGCATGCAGTATTGAACATCTACAAGAGCATGGTCCACGAATGATTAGGGAAATTCTATCAGGACTTAAATTTCTTCATGGTAAAGGAATATTGCACAGAGATCTAAAACCATCAAACGTTCTGGTTGATATCGAAGGTCGCATGAAATTAGCAGACTTTGGGATAAGCCGCGTTCTAAATGACGATGACACGACAGTTGAAACATTCGCTAAAGGTACTCCTGGATGGATGCCGCCGGAAGTAATTGAAGCAATAGACAAGGACGAAGTAGCTCGTTTCAAAAAGAAATCAGATGTCCAAGTCGCGGGTATGATTGCTTTCTTCATCTTAACTAAAGGTGAACATCCTTTCGGATCAAAGTTAAAACGAATGCAATATATTTTGGAGGGAAACTCTGTCAATTTGAAGAAACTTGGAGATAGTCAAGCTCAAAAGTTTGTGTCGTGGCTGATTAATTACAAGATTGATGATAGACCTTATGCCCACGAAGCACTAGAGGATTCTTTCCTCAATGGAGAATAATACAATAAAAATACAGAATTTGGACAACCTTGTGCAATAGAAAATTGGTGGTCCGATAAACCACCACATCCGGTGTGTACAAACCCTTTTGAACAGACGGTTAATGGGTCAAGACAAATTTTATACGATTTAAGTTTGTCATAAGACACAAAACATTCGTTGCCAACTTCTTCCAGGCAGTTGTTCATGAATAAAGTCTTTGTAGCTGTTTTTAATCGGTTTTGATGCAGCGTAACTTAGGTTGACGAGGTTGACTGAGTGCCTGCGTGCCTGCGGCGCGGCACTGGTGTCCAAAGTCAAAACTGCTTCATAAAACATGCTGAGAACAGTGATTTTGTTGTGTTCTACATCTGAAGGTAGTGCCCGTTCATGGACACTATGCCCAATTTCATTTGGAAGCATCATGTTCAACTTAGGCGCCGGGCACCAGTGCCAGGGCACTCAGTCTGAACGCGATTGCTTATGATCCCCAAATGAGTTTGTACCTAAAAAACGTGACCTAATTTTTTATCATTTGTATATATAGCAGTATAGAAACTATAAACGTAAAATATCGTTTTAGAGTAGTTTAATCTCTTGACCGCACTGGAAACGACAGATCGTATCTTGGGTGGAATTGCACGTGTAAAAATTTGCAAGTATAAAATAAACATTGTAGTTCTTTGTCGAATATAAAGACACATGTAGAAAAAAAGATTTGAATTGCTGCACAATTTGTCATTCTTCTTTGCAATGGTTGAAAAAGAATCGCCCTGAAAGTTGTCAGACTACCCGCCATTAGGAAGAAAAGTCACCTGATTGGGAACATATCACATGGTATCACTCCAGTTTTATTAGATCGCCTTAAGGCCCAAACAGGACAGGACGCGATTTGGCAACGCAACATGTGGAAATTACTAAAATCATATGACGATCGAGCAGTCAGCAGTTGGTATATTTCTGCGAGTATTTAGATTTATATATGGTTGCACCACTTGCACGCTATTGCAGTATAGATTTTATTGCAAGAGAGCACGTTCATAAACTAAGCGTGTATGTTGATTTTCATGGTATACACAGGTACTGAAAATAAGCAAGAAGCAAGTGGAAGTATGAATGTCTCTGAAGAAGAAAAACAGAAATTTCGGGACGAAATAAGAAGGCAAGTTGAATGTGGTGAAAAAAAAGAAGATGGTTGGAAGAAGACAATTCTTTGGCGTGCTTTTAAGTCCAATAGATGAAGAAATTGTCAAATATTTAGTTGACCATGCATGGAGCAGATATTTATTCCAAGCACGAGGATGGTGAAACAGTTCCTTGTATTTCGACGAGAAATGTTTTTATATTTTGTTAAGTATTTTGTTCAATATGGCCATGACCATAATTTCCAAGACGATTGCAAAGCTCTGCAGAATTTCTACAAAGCTCTACAGTCTCGATGACAGTAGAGAGTTTGTACGTCAAACTACACCTGCACTTGTTCTATTTGTATATATAGCAGTATAGATACATATAGATACACTTTCCGTTCCTTGCAAGGAAACGTACTGGTTTTATGAATTTTTTATATTGTAATCTGTATTTAGATAATTGAAATCAAGCCATATAACAAAACCTTCATAACCATATTCGGTGAGTAGCTAAATCTCCGTGTGTGATCGAAAAGAGAATTTGAAGTGGCAAATTTTCGAGACAATTTTGGGAAAACCAACACTCTCGCTCGGGGGGAGCCGTTGACCTCAATATACTATCCTGGTGGAACCTTTAGGTTTTAGGTTTTTACATTTTTGTTTTTTTTAGTTACTGATCTATATACTAATGGCTGAACACGATCTTTGTATAAAAGGCCTGGGCATAAATTTGCTTGTCTATTTTTTCAACCAATAGGATCGTGTAAAACCATGCTGATTGTGATGATCAAAACATCGCTGTGTTTTGTCATGTTAAAAGCAGTTTTTAATTCGTTCGTAAGACGTCGGCAAAATTATCAGAGATTATTTCACTATATTTTTGTATTACTTTGGTGAATATAATTGGGGTGTTTGTGATTGTATAAGGGTAAAATTGACAAAAAAAATTCTCGCGTTCAAATTATCTCGCAAGTTTGGGTCGCTATATACATGGCCTGTGTGAAAACTGAGCTATGATAGCTACCTTAATAAAAGCCGTTCCATCGCAAAACATCAGCAAATACTTTAACTCCACATTTCCAAGTAATTCAGCGTTAAGACTCTCGTGTGCTCTCGCAGGTCCTAAAGAGAATATAAAACTATAATTTAAAATGTCTTGTAAACGAAACTTCTCCAGCGTTCGTGCAGGACCTTTAACCACTTGAATAAAAAAACAGTTTTAAGGGCACTTGAAAAGTACTTGAGAATAGAAAACGTGCTAATTAATGATGTATGAAAATAGCTTAAAGAAAAGAATATAATTCTATCATTTCCGGCGAGACAAAAAAGTCCTTGAAATTTTACAGTTCAAGGGCCGGTTGTTCGAAAGGCGTTTAGCTTAAACGGTGGATAAGTTCAAAATGAAAAACAAAATTATTTATTTATTGAACAACTGAGCTGAAATATTTCAATGTAAATAGCTAAACGCCTTTCGAACAACCGGCCCCAGTGCTTTAATTTGACTATTGAGAACTTGCATTAACTCTGTTGTCAGGAAAATATTATCCTTCAGTTTCAAACCGATTCAAAAACACAAAAGTTTCCTCAATACCTCAAGCCTGGCCTGAACAGAGAATACTGAAGGGCCGTGGTTGAACCTGGTCAATAGAAACATGGTTTAGATACTCGACATTTGTTTATAAGTTTGCAGAAACATTAACAAACGAGGCAAATGTGACAGGTTTAGTCTCAAAAGCCTGAGAACTAGTCTCGTTTGCTATTCAGGGGAAATTCCATTGCGAGCAGGTGGGCTTGAACATCACAGCATTCCAGATGACAATACCACTGACTATATAGTTGTCAGAATGTTGTTTTCGTGTCGAAGTTTATGTTTGCTGGAAACGAAGATTACAAAGACTTTCTTTTAAAAAATATTAGTTTCATTTTTTATGCTATATCGTCGCTCGTTAGGATGTTGTAGGATATAAACAATTGAAGGTAGGAAATTCATAAATAACCTTGTATATGGTGGCATATTTAATTGTGTGAGGCATTATGTATGTCGTATATTTTAATGAAGTGTCAGCGACTGAAGCAGCCTAAACATTATCTAAAAGTAACTTAGGAAAGTCATCCCTGAATCCCTGTAGCCTATTCGACACCAAAGTAGGAGTAGGTGCTTATTTATATGTTCTTCTTGCACCCAACATTTATAAGAAGTGAGTTCGTTCTAATCTAGACTTTTGCTTTAAAGCCAGGTTTTCACTTGTGACATAAGCATAGCCATAAGGAAGGACAAAAGGAAAAACAATGAAACACAATGAAACGTGTGTCACATACATCGACATTAAGCACAAGAATTTTGAGTATAAGCTAAGACAAGACAAAAGAAATTCCAAACATTATATTTCCTGCTTTGTCTTTTTTACATATATTTAAGTCGGAATGTTTCACCTCTTACGCTTATGTTATGCTATAGTGAAAACCAAGCTTTTAACCTGGCGCACACTCTCAAACCTAGCACGCACACATGCATGTCACTGGTAACAATTGTCACCTACACATATTCGTAGTCAATATCTGCGTAATTCACATGTCGACGTGATGTCGTAATTCGTTGTTATGCGAAATTCAACATATGAAAATCGAATTACAACAGATTAGGCCTACAACATTTAAATTACGACGAATAACAAGGAAACATGTCATATGAAATTCCCAAAATGTAAAAATATTAACAAAGTTAACGTGAAAAGAAATAGAAGGCTTATTTATGCGTGTTTATTTGTGTTCACATACCGTATAAACAATCGCTCTGAAAAAATCAGTCGGGCATAAGACGAATATATGACTGATATGCAGCCCCCAATAATTAAGCTTTTAGCGACGGCCAATAGATCTTATGCATAATCGGACGTAACAGCTAACAAGCTGTGACACCCGCAAGGAGTTCTGGTCTCAGTGGTCACGGCATGAAATTTTGAAGCTTCAATTTTCCGCCGTGACTGCTCAGACCAGGGTAATTGAAATAACTGATCGACTACATATTTATAATACGACCAAACGTTGACTTTATCCCCGAGCCGGTGCGGAGCGCCGTGCGAGGGTACTAATTCCGCCCGGAGATTAGGAATTACACCAGCGTATTGTGACAAAACATAGCGGAATCCAAAGTTGACAAGTTGTCCAAAAGAGGGCGCTTACATATAATATAAGCGCCCTGGTTCAAATTCTATGCCAAATTGCATGTGCGTATATAACCTCTAAACTGACTGACTGCAATAAAACTAAACCTTGGCAAAAAATATGCAAGTTGTGTGCACTGTTATACAACTGTATCATATTATTACAATTAATGCATTTTACACCTCTTGGCAATACAGCTTCACTTGACCTTGAAGTTACCTGAAATTAAATACTAGAGACCTTTACTGGCTTTAGCTTGATGTTTACCCGACACGTCGAACCGCTAACAAACTTCGTGTTTTAACTCCACTGTCCTAACGTGTGCAGCAATTCCGCTAAATTACAAACGTTCCACATAAAATTTGCGATGTTGAGCAGTAACGTAAGAAAGCAATAGGCTATTTCTGATGTATTTAGAAAAGCAGCAAATTCAGCTTTGCCGTATGTGTTTCACGTTCGCCTGTGGGTGCATGCAGACGTTCAAACATGAAATTTAAAAATAGCCTATTGCTTTCTTAAGCCGTGTTTACACTATAGAGCTGACATTTACCTGACATTTACCCGTACCTAAGAAGTACCTAACCAGGCTTTACAGGGTGTGTTTACACTAGTTACCTGGCTAACGGGACTTACATACACGCAACATACACGCAACAAGTGCTTTGGAAAGTATTACATGACGGACTTGCAAATTTTGCAGTTTTTTGATTGTTTTTTTCGTACAAAGCGTCGTAAAAGAATACAAGTATACAACGACGTAACGATTACTGGGATTACTGGCAAACAACGATTTCTTGCAAAATTAATTAAAAAAATATATGATATAACTCATCGCCAAGTTCCGAAATTCGCCATGTAATGATCAATCTCTGAATTTCCGCATAATTTTTGCAAATTCGCGACTAAAATTCCAATTCTCGAATTTACGTTTGTTGTCATGGAAATTAGCTTCGAGCACACTAGCTTGGGTCAGTGAAAATGTGTTTACACCGCCAGACTGACCTGAGACTTGGTCCTAGGTCAGTTTTAGGTCAGCCCTATAGTGCGTTTACACTACAGGACTAACTGCTTAAGGTAGGCTTTTAAAAGTCATAATCGGCTAGGAGAGGCTTTAACACTATCAAAATGGGTTTTTCAAGAGTAAATTTGTATTTTAATGTTCGCTGCTATATTTTAATGAAACTGTCGTCGCTTCAAAATCAAAGCTTTTACCGTCAACGGCATATATATCTTCAAAGAATATTTGAGGTTCTGTACTTGAAGATTGTGTACTGTTTCGATGTTTTTCTGAAGCCTCGAATGTTGAAATTTTAACAGTTACCTAAGTTGGTAGGGTCTATAAACGCCTGTAGAAAACGGGTGACATCACCTTCAATGTTATGACTATATTTTGTAACAAATGATAAAAATATTGGCTATCGACGCTTTGCCATTGAGTCATTCCATAATATAAACTTATAGTTATAGCTAATCCAAGCCCAGCAAGGAGATTATTTTCTTCGTTGAAAATAGCGAGGGGTGCTGCATGCATGATTTCTAGTAAAAAATAAATACGTTATCACCGTTTTGGTTCTGGATGAAAAAATCAGCCACGTGGCCTCGAGTCCATTTTTATGGGTTGCTGCGCGTGCACAGCTAACCACTAGTAGTGATGTGAGAACTGAGAACCGAAAAGTGTCTGTGGCGTTCATGTCCGCAGCCAATGTTTTATCGATTGAGACCAAGGTTTACAAGTCTGCAATATTATGTAGAGACTTGTGCGCGTTAGAAAACATATGGAATGTTGTGCATTTTAGAAAGCAAATGGAAAAAATTGATATTTTGTGATATGAATTTGATAATACTTTGTGAATGTATTTGTCGAACGATTTGTTGAACGACAGTTCAGTTCATACGCTACAAAGCTAACGCAAGTGTTCACACACAAATCTGCAATATTACATAGAGAATTGTAAAATATATGTAATGTATGCTACAAGGCCAAGGTTTACAAGTGTGCTCTATTATGTAGAGACTTGTGCGTGTTAGAAAGCAAATGGAAAGTAATCAGTGTGAATGTATTTGTCGAACGATTTGTTGAACAACAGTTCCTACGCTGCAAAGCCAGCGCCAACTGTTCACACACAAATCTGCAAAATACTAGTCACTAGTTATATTACAATATTTACATAGAGACTGCATTATTATATTCAGCACATTGGCACAGACATTGGCCACCGGATGTAACAAGAATATCCTGTTAATTGTGAAATACACGATTCTGATTGGTTAACACTAACAAAATTTAACTTTGCAGGGGGGTTGTCGCTTCTGTTTTAAAACACAATTGACAATATATGTAACAGAGAAAGGTGACTGACTTGCAGCAAACATGATATTTTGTCGGAGTTACATGGTGGTTTAAGGTGGTAAACCAGAAAATATTTGCATCAGGGACAAAATCAGGGACAATTTTTGAAATCTTAACATTTTGTGCTAGGCCTCTCAGTGTGGGCTGTTCCTGCATAACTAACAGCGCGCGCTTACAAGGCCTGGGACTAGGCTGAGTAAAATAATCTCCAAGCCGGCTCCGCGTGGGAACGAGATTAAGGAACTTAAGCATGTAGGACGGCAACACGACGACGACGTGGTTGGACTGAGTGATACTCCTTTAAATAAATGTTATGATAAAGCGTTGTCGTATATTATTAACTGTACCAGTTTAATGAGAAATAAGACGTTGAAAACATTGTCTTTTTTTTAGGGACAATTCTATAAAGCCTAATTCGAGATAGCGCTCACTGGGTCCTGAAATGCAAACCTTCTACATAGGACGTAATAAACGATGTTCTGCCGTTGTAAACAGAACGTAGATCACGTCTAAAACTTCCATAGGTATTTAATAATTCATTTCTTTTCAATGAAGCATTGTATTGATAGCTGCCGTCGTCGTGTTCCCGTCCTACATGGTTAAAGTGCCTATTGGCAACCCGAACACTGACATCATGCTTACAGGCAGCATTTCTACCCATAGGCAACCTATATTATATGGCTTTCCAAAATCCTCTAATCTGATTGGTTGACGAGCGATATTCCGTATGTGGACCAGTATCCCAGATATCTCATGCGATTTAATAAACAGATTATAGATTAATAGTTTAGCGATTAGTTAAACAGATTAATAGTTCAGCGATGTAATAAACAGATTATTGACCTCGCTTGTTCGGTCTGTACTGTCAAATATCTGACCGAGGTTTTTGCATACTAAAAAGCCTCAGTCAGATATTTTACAGTACCGATCTCATGCTTGGTCAATAATCAGTGAACCTTGGCGATTAGACACCCAGCTAGGAATTTTGAATACGATTTTTAATGACTTTATGGTGGGCACGCAGATGAAATAAACTCATTCTGTTTACATTTAAAAAACATTCTTACTATAAACTATATCACTGACATTATAACTATATCAAATTTTCCTTTTTAAAGGTGTGCTATATTTTGATACGAAGTCAGAATCAGTTGCTTTACAGCATAGCCGTTCAACTCCAAGATATGGCGACTTCGCAAGGTAATAGGAGAATGGCTGAATCTAAGAAGGACAAAAATGGACAAAATTTCTAAACGTTATTTTGAGTAACTGCATGTGTAACATTACATGCAAAAAAATGCTGATTGCCAACAAATCCTTCTCGGAAAAACACTACCTACGTTTCAAAAAGTTAAATTTCAGGATTTTATTGAGGCAATATACATGTAAACAATGTGAAAGAATCTTCGATTCAATATTTCAATGTGATCACATTTTCAATGTGCATGTTTAGAAACGAACTTTCTCTAAGTTACATTCATGCGCAAATGATCACATTTTCGCTTCCGTCATCCTTTGACACACATTATAGATTTTTGAATTAGCCGATGCATTATTGCTAATATATATTATTATAATATAACATTTATAGTACGCGCGTGCTGATTGGTCGAGAGACGTGTTTCTGTTTAACAATTAGACAACGAGTCCGAGTTGTCTATGAGCGAATAGTCAACGAAGGCGAGTTATCTAATTGTTTTAGTACACACCCTGTACCTAGATGTATTAATTTCGAGAAAATAATCGATACACCGCAATTACACCGAAAAATAATTTAATTAATTCAATTTTATACGGTCGCGCGAGCGAATTTTTCCCAAACGTTCACCATCACGAATAGACAATGGTTGAGTAGTGAATCAGAATGTAGGATTTGTAATAGACAATAGTCGGGTGTATACTAAAACTGTATAGAAACACAGGAAAAAATGTTTTAAATTTATTTTATAATATAACTCAATAAAAAGATTTTGTACAAATATTATAATTCGATTCAATTACAAATTCTCATTACATTACTTCGCTTGTCAAGTTCGGCGGGAAAATTCCCGTGTTTCTATACAGTTTTAATATACACCCGACTATTGTCTATTACAAATCCTACATTCTGATTCACTACTCAACCATTGTCTATTCGTGATGGTGAACGTTTGGGAAAAATTCGTTCGCGCGACCGTATAAAATTGAAATAATTAAATCATTTTTCGGTGTAATTGCGGTGTATCGATTATTTTCTCGAAATTAATATATCTAGGTACAGGGTGTATACTAAAACAATTAGACAACTCGCCTTTGTTGTCTATGAGCGAATAGACAACTCGGACTCGTTGTCTAATTGTTAATTAGTATATTATATATGTTGTTATGTGGGCATAGCTCCACGTGGGACAAATCTATTTATAACTTTATAACATTTATAATACGCGCGTGCTGATTGGTCGAGAAGCGTGTTTCTATAACTGTATAGAAGAAACACGGCACTTTTCCCGCCGAACTTGAGAAGCGAAGCGATGTAATGAGAATTTGTAATTGAATCGAATTATAATATTTGTACAAAATCTTTTTATTGAGTTGTATTATAAAAGAAATAGAAACATTTTTTATTTAAGTTTCTCACTGATTAACACCTTTTTCCAGCAAAAAGCGTTAATTTTTTTGTTGTATATGTATATAGGTATTGATAAGAAGCAAGAGGCAAGTGGAGGTAAAATTGTTTGTGACCATAGACATCACGGATGCCAAGTTCTTCGGAGTGCAATACAGTCTCAATCATTAGCAAATGTGAAATATTTGGTTGAAGATTGTGGTGCTGATATTGATTGTAAAGGTGAGTCGGGCAAAACTGCTTTACATCATGCTGTTGATGTTGGTGTAACAGACATTGTCCAGTATTTAGTCGAAAAATGTGGTGCTGATGTAAATCGAAAGGATACTAACGGCCGGACAGTGCTGCATTATGCTGTTACTAATGGCTCGCTAGAAATAGTGAAATATCTTGTTGAACATGGCGCTGATGTAAATGGAAAGAATACTCACGGGTGGACAGTGCTGCATACTGCTGTTACCAAAGGTAGTCTAGAAATAGTGAAATATCTTGTTGAACATGGCGCTGATGTTAATGGCAAAATGACCAACGGCTGGACAGTGCTGCACTATGCTGCTGATGAAAGTACGCTTGAAATGGTAAAATATCTTGTTGAAAAAGGCGCTAATATTCATGGCAAGGATATTCACAGGTCAAAAGTGCTGCACATTGCTGTTACTAAAGATACGCCAGAAATTGCAAAATATCTCATTGAAAACGGCGCTGATGTAAATGACAGGGACACTGACTGGTGGACAGTGCTGCACAGTGCTGTGACGGAAGGTACGCTAGAAATGGTAAAATATCTTGTTGAACATGGCGCTGGTGTAAATGGAAAAGTGTCTAACAGCAAAACATTGCTTCACTACGCTGTTACTGAAGGTACGCTAGAAATGGTAAAGTATCTTGTTGAACATGGCGCTGATGTGAATGGTAAAACGAATAACGGCTGGACAGTGCTGCACTCTGCTGTTACTGAAGGTACGCTAGAAATAGTAAAATATCTTGTTGAACATGGCGCTGATGTAAATGGCAAGACAAATAATGGCTGGACAGTGTGTCCCTCTGCTGTTACTATAAGTACGCCAAAAATAAACTATCTTGTTAAACTGAGAGCTGATGTAAATGGTAAGGACGCTGATAGATGGACAGTCTTACACGCTGCTGTAGATGCTCGTGCATTTGAGATTGTAGAGTATTTACTGGAAATCACTGTGTGGAGACCTGGAACATTTCTTGTTCATGGAAGGCGAATGAGTCTTATTGAACGATGTATTTATCTTGGTTATCATGAAATTGCAACTCTCCTCAAAAAGTCTGTAAAACATCGTAAGAAGATTCAGGATTTGAGAAGAATGAATTGCAACCAGTTAGAAAAGGTGATTTTTTAGCTCTCATCTTCTCATTTCTCATCATAGATAATTAATTTTATGGTTTTTGTTCCATAGACCGCAATACCGATGCAGGCTTTTGTCGCAAACAATCAATTCAAAATTGGTGCTGGTGGTTTTTCTTGTGTCTATGTTGGTGTCATGAAGGATGGAAGTGAAGTTGCTGTTAAGAGAATTTTGGTACAAAGTGAGGATGAAACAGTTGAAAACGAAAAGGAAATCATGGGTCTCATCAAAACAGACAACTCTCTCTTTATAGTGAAATATCGACATTTTCACCGTGACGATACCTTCATGTGTCTTATTGTTGATCTTTGCGAAGAAAACTTGAGGGAACTTGTTCATGCATGCAGTATTGAACATCTACACGAGCACGGGCCACGAATGATTTGGGAAATTCTATCAGGACTAGAATTTCTTCATGATAAAGGAATATTGCACAGAGATCTGAAACCATCAAACGTCCTGGTTGACATCGAAGGTCGCATGAAATTAGCAGACTTTGGAATAAGCCGCGTTCTAAATGAAGATGAATCGACAGTTGAAACATACGCTAAAGGTACTCCTGGATGGATGCCGCCGGAAGTAATTGAAGCAATAGACAAGCACGAAAAAAGTCGTTTCAAAAGGAAATCAGATGTCCACGTCGCGGGTATGATTGCCTTCTTCATCTTAACTAAAGGTGAACATCCTTTTGGTTCTTCGTTTGATCGAATGAGAAATATTTTGGAAGATAATCCTGTTAATTTGGAGAAACTTAGCGACGATAGAGCTCGAACGTTCGTGTCGTGGCTGACTAAATACAAGATTGATGATAGACCTTATGCTGACAAAGCATTGGAGGATTCATTCGTTATTAATAGAAACTAATACAAATATACAATCGAGATAAGGAATTTGCACAAACAAAAATGCTGCCGGTACCATGGAAAGTCAGCAGTGTGCGTGATAATCCGTGTGTATTAACGCTGGTATAAACAGACCGACAATCGTTTAAGACAAATTATTTGCGAAGTTTGTATGAAATACGCAAACCATTCTTAGTCTAAGTTTTTCCAGTCGGATAGCTATCTTCATTATGAGTCAGTTATTTTACTCTTCCTAGCGTTAGCCACCGAGTATGTCCATAAGGTCTATATCTACACGATGCTATTAGTCGTATACGATTCATATCCTGGCGTATGTATTCGAATAAATCAGCGTTAAGACTCTCGCAGATTCTAAGAAGAGTATGAAAACTTTAAATGGCCCAAACTTTAAATAAAATATCTTGTAAAGCACGTGAATTAAAAAGTCAGTTCTAAGGGCACTTGAAAAGTACTTGAGAATAAAAAACGTGATAAAGATGTTTGAAAATAGCTTCAAGAATAGAGCATCATTTTATAATTTCCGGCGAGACAAAAGAGTCCTTGAAACTTTCCAATTTAGTGCTTAAATTTGACTATTGAGAACTTACATGAACTCTGCTGCCAGGAACTGAAATATTTAACTAAGAATTGGTAAAATTCTTGATCACATTTCATTTCAGAAACTTGTAGTTATGAAAATTATCGTTAAAGTTTAAACCGATTAAAAACATTAAAATTTCCTCAATATCTCGAGACTGAATGAACAGACAATAATAAAGGGCTTTGATGTTGCAGTGCATGGTCAGTAGAAACATGGTCTAGATGCTCGACTAAGAGTTTTTGTTCCAGACGTTTCCTTATGTTCGGCAAACTTCTGAACAAGAAGGCAAATAATTTATGACGGTTTTACTCTCAAAAGCCTGAAAACTAGTTTCGTTTGCTGTTCAGAGAAATTCCGATCCCGGCAGGTCGTGTTGAACATCACAACATCACAGCATGTTAGAAGATGAATGACGATAACACTTGACAATAACACTTTCGTGATCGAAGTTTATGTTTACTGAGAACGAAGATTACGGAGATTTCTTTTAAAAAAACATTTGCTTCATTTTTTATGCTGTATCGTCGTTTCTTTTGGATTGCTGTATCGTTGTTTCTTTAGGATGTTGTAGGATATAAACAATTGAAGGTAAGTGGTTAATAAATAACTCTGTGGCTGTGTGGGGGAGCATATTTGTGGGAGGCATTGTGTGCGGTCGTATGCTCAATGAATTTGTCTCAAAAGCTCGATTCATTGTCTTGATACACGAATTTTATATCATTCATTTAAGCAGTGAAGGTTCATGTTAACTTTAGTACCTAAACTTTACATAGAATTGACTTAGGATAGTCAGCCCTGTAGCCAATTCAGACGGCAAAGTAGAAGTCTTGTATATTTATATATTCGTCTTTTACCCAACATTCCTAAGATCAGACTTCGTGTTCGGTTCTTACTCTAAGCCAACTAACAACGCACATTTATCGGCATTTTCACTCCAAACCAATAATAATGTCTAAAATGTAAAAATATGAATGAACAATATTACGTAAGTAATATTGTCGTCTTCTGATGCTAGAGTCAGCCTCGTTCCCAGGCGCTTTAAACTATAAATATAGGCACAATACAGGCTTTTACATAGATCAGTAGCTAAGCTGAGACTGATCTATGTACAAGCCTGTAGTGCCGGGTGCCTATATTTAAGTTATTTAAAGCGCCTGGGTACGAGGCTGTGCTAGAGCAGAGCCGCCGCTAGAAGGCTTGTATGGGTGTTTACATTCAAACAAGACGCCTGTTCTGGCATTAACTCTAGCGTGCCGCGCACGTGCCAGTCTTCAATATGAAGCTTATTATTATTATTATTAAAATTTATTTAAACACGGTAGCCCTTCAGCAAAAGCTGATTCTCAACGGTCCGTAAACGACGACATCTTGTTAAACAGCGAAATAGCAGCGATATTATTAAAATAGGACCAGAATCTACATGTATTAAATATATTCTTACCCCAATTAAATCTAAACTTAATCGAACGATTAGAACGAATCGAACGAAAAGAACGATTTATTTGTTCCTCTTGGGGGAATTGTCGTATCATGCGAGCAAAATCAAATCGCGCATCGGAAAATTAGCCAAAGCTGTGCACCACAACTCTTGGGAGACAAAATTATGACGTAGATAAATACGGTCACATACTAAATTTCGCGCCAAAACAAACTTACGACGACGAAAAATAAAACAAAACAAAACCAAACCAAACCTAGGCGAATTTTCAACTCCGTCGCTCACGCCGGAGTAATTACGAGTTAACATACCGCAAAAACAATCGAATTGCAAGAAGAACATATGGTTATAACAGTGATTCCGGAATCCAAATTTTCCGAGGAATTCAGAATCCAAACTCCTGGTCATTCTAGAATCCATTGTTTAAGAAGTTTAAAGTGAAATATGAAATGCCTAATATGAAATGCGGTTATTTGCCTTCAACTTGGAAAATTATTAATTGGAATCCGTAATCCACCAGTAATGTGGAATCCGGAATCCATCCGAGTCTAAGGAGTTGAATCCGGATTCCAAGCAGTGGAATCCAGGATCCATAAATCTCTTGGATTACGTTAAGCCGAGCCTTTTAAAACCAAAATTCCATAAAAGAACTCCGGGTGAATAAAAAGAACTAGATATTTACACTTCAAGATGACTAATCAAGGAAACTGTTTAAAACTCAAAAGGAATTTCCAGTCGTAAAATAAATAAATGCTTTGTTTACATTTTGAACTGTTATATTTTTGAAATACGATAAAATGTATGCGTATCATATGTCTTCTATTATTATTAGTTCACTATGTTAGACAAAATTTGATTTGCTCCGGAAAACCAACGACCCAATCAAACAATCATTTTGGCGACAGCTCCATGTAGAAAACAAATTTATTACTGATCATTATAAGTTGACAAATGTATAACATATTACGCAGCAAAAAGCCTATGGCTATGTTGCTAATCTTTATTTCGTTGTGCATATATAGGACCGGCAATGAAAAAAAGAAGAAGAGGTAAGTGGAAGTATGAATGTCTCTAAAGAAGGAAAAAAGACATTTTGGAAAGAAATAAAAAAGCAAGTTAAACGTGGTGAAAACAAAGAGGATCGTTGGCGGAGGACAATTCTTTGGCGTGCTTTTCAATTTAGTCCAGTGGATTCAAAAATTGTCAAATATTTAGTTGACCATGGAGCAAACATTTATTCCAAGAACGAGGATAGTGAAACAGTTTTGTCGATGGCGACGAGAAATGGTTTATTTGATATTGTTAAGTATTTTTTTCAACATGACCCTGAGCATTATTTCCAAGACGATTGCAACGTTCTTCAGAGTGCAATACAGTCTCGATCATTAGAAATTGTGAAATATTTTGTTGAAAATACTGATTCTAATATAAATTGCAAAGATAAGTCGGGCAAAACTGCCCTGCATCATGCTGTTGATGCTGGTGTAACAGACATTATCCAATATTTAGTTGAGCAATGTCACACTGATGTAAATGGCAAGGATAAACACGGGAGGACAGCGCTGCACTATGCTGTTACTAAAGGTACGCTAGAAATGGTAAAATATCTTGTTGCAATGGGTGCAAATGTAAATGGAAAGAATACCGACGGGTGGACAGTGCTGCATTATGCCGTTGCTGAAGGTACGCTAGAAATGGTAAAAGATCTTGTTGAAAACGGCGCTGATGTAAGGAGTGAGAGTACAAACGGGTGGACGGTGCTGCACTATGCTGTTTCTTACAGTTCATTACGAAAAGTTAAATATCTTGTTGAAATGGGCGCTGATGTAAATGCAAAAAAGACCGACGGCTGGACAGTACTGGTTCATGCTGTTACTGAAGGTACGTTAGAAATGGTAAAATATCTTGTTGAACAGGGCGCTGATGTAAATGGCAAGAATAATGACGGGTGGACAGTGCTGAACCATGCTGTTACTGAAGGTACTGTAAATATAATAAAATATCTTGTTGAAAAAGGCGCTGATGTAAATGGAACGAATACTGACGGGTGGACAGTGCTTCACGATGCTGTTACTGAAGGTACGCTAGAAATGGTAAAATATCTTGTTGAACAGGGCGCTGATGTAAATGGAACGAATACTAAAGGGTGGACAGTGCTGCACGATGCTGTTACTGAAGGTACGCTAGGAATGGTAAAATATCTTGTTGAACATGGCGCTGATGTAAATGGAAAGGATAATGACGAGCAGACAGTGCTGCGCTATGCTGTTACTAAAGGTACGTTAGAAATGGTAAAATATCTGGTTGAACATGGCGCTGATGTAAATGGCAAAGATAAACACCGGTGGACAGTGCTGCACTATGCTGTTACTAAAGGTACGTTAGAAATGGTGAAATATCTTGTTGAAAAAAGAGCTAATGTAAATGGCAAGGAAATTTTTGGGACGACAGTGCTGCAAAGTGCTGTTACTAAAGGTAGGCTGGAAGTTGTCAAATATCTTGTTGAAAACACGGCTGATGTAAATGGAAAGGATAATGACGAGCGGACAGTGCTGCACTATGCTGTTACTAAAGGTACGTTAAAAATGGTAAAATATCTTGTTGAAAACGGCGCTGATGTAAATGGAAAGGATAATGACGAGCAGACAGTGCTGCACTATGCTGTTACTAAAGGCACGTTAGAAATGGTGAAATATCTCGTTGAACATGGCGCTGATGTAAATGTCAAGAAGAATGTAGGGATGACAGTGCTGTTCTATGCTGTTACAAATGGTAGGCTAGAAATTGTAAAATATCTTGTTCAACACAGCAAAATGAATGGCAAAATGAATAACTGGCAGACAGTGCTGCACTATGCTGTTACTAGTGGTAAGTTAGAACTTGTAAAATTTTTTGTTGAAAACGGCGCTGATGTAAATGGAAAAAAGAATACAGGGACGACAGTGCTGCACGCTGCCGTTACAAATGGTACGCTAGAAATTGTAAAATATCTTGTTGAACATGGCGCCGATGTGAATGGCAAAAAAAATAATACAGGGACGACAGTGCTTCACACTGCTGTTTCTAATGGTAGGCTAGAAATTGTAAAATGTCTTCTTGAGAATGGCGCTAATATTAAAAGCAAGAGGAATGATGGGAGGACAGTGCTGCACGCTGCAGTTACTGAAGGAACTGTAGAAATAGTAAAATATCTTGTCCAAAGTGGAGCTGATGTAAATGGCAAAAATGAAAAGGGGGTGACATCGCTGGAAACTGCTGTCGATGCTGGTGCATTAGAAATGGTAAAGTATTTAGTTGAACAGGGCGGTGACGTAACCCTTAAAAATAAAATCGGCATTCATACTCTTGGCTTTGACGTCCTAAAGATGGCTGTTGCAAAAAAATCAATTGCTTTGATTAATCTTCTTTTGGAAAAGAACATCGCTGTGTGGAGAGCTGAAACATTTCTTGTTGAAGGAAGGCAAATGAGTCTTCTTGAATATAGTATTCACCTTGGTCATGATGAAATTACAACTATCCTCAAAAGGTCCGTAAAACATCATGGGAAGATTCAGATGTTAAAAACAATGAATTTGAACGAGTTAGACAAGGTAAATATTTAAAAAGCAGCTAAGGTTTATAGGAGTGTTTACGACGCGGTAGCTTATTTAAGCTCCAGCTCCACGACGCGCATTTGGATTCCGTTAGACTGTCGGTAGCTTAATTTTACTCATTACCAGACCTAAACCAAGAAACTTAAATCACATCCATCCACACGGGTTGTAGCGACAAAATATATTTTTAAACCAGATGTGCATGTCACTCTTTGTGAAGTTGGACATGTTTTTCCATAAATATTTTGGGGATCAATAAAAGTCTATAAACCAAAACAGCGGAGTAAAATTTAACCCAGGGTTAGGGCTAATCTAGCTTTGAGCAAGTGGCCCCCTTGCTTTTATTTAATATGACGACGAAAGGTATTCGATTCTAACCATAGATAATTTATGGTTTTTCTCTCCATAGACTGAAACACCGATGCAGGCTTTTGTCGCAAAGAATCAATTCAAAATTGGCGATGGTGGTTTTTCTTGTGTCTATGTTGGTCTCATGAAGGATGGAAGTGAAGTTGCTGTTAAGAGAATTTTGGTACAAAGTGAGGATGAAACAGTTGAAAACGAAAAGGAAATCATGAGTCTCATTGAAACAAAAAACTCTCCATTCATAGTGAGCTATCGACATTTTCACCGTGACGATACCTTCATGTACCTTATTGTTGATCTTTGCGAAGAAACCTTGAGGGAACTTGTTCAAGCATGCAGTATTGAACATCTACAAGAGCATGGTCCACGAATGATTAGGGAAATTCTATCAGGACTTAAATTTCTTCATGGTAAAGGAATATTGCACAGAGATCTAAAACCATCAAACGTCCTGGTTGATATCGAAGGTCGCATGAAATTAGCAGACTTTGGAATAAGCCGCGTTCTAAATGACGATGACACGACAGTTGAAACATTCGCTAAAGGTACTCCTGGATGGATGCCACCGGAAGTAATTGAAGCAATAGACAAGGACGAAAAAGCTCGTTTCAAAAAGAAATCAGATGTCCAAGTCGCGGGTATGATTGCTTTCTTCATCTTAACTAAAGGTGAACATCCTTTCGGATCAAAGTTAAAACGAATGCAATATATTTTGGAGGGAAACTCTGTCAATTTGAAGAAACTTGGAGATAGTCAAGCTCAAAAGTTTGTGTCGTGGCTGATTAATTACAAGATTGATGATAGACCTTATGCCCACGAAGCACTAGAGGATTCTTTCCTCAATGGAGAGTAATACAATCAAAATACAGAATTTGGACAACCTCGTGCAATAGAAAATTAGTGGTCTGATAAACCACCACATCCGGTGTGTATAAACCCATTTGAACAGACGGTTAATGGGTCAAGACAAATTTTATACGATTTAAGTTTGTCATAAGACACAAAACATTCGTTGCCAACTTCTTCCAGGCAGTTGTTCATGAATAAAGTCTTTGTAGCTGTTTTTAATCGGTTTTGATGCAGCGTAACGTAGGTTGACGAGGTTGACTGAGTGCCCGGCACTGGTGTCCAAAGTTAAAACTGGTTCATAAAACATGCAGAGAACAGTGCCCTTGTTGTGTTCTACTTCTCAAGGTAGTGCCCAATTTCCATTGGGAGCATCATGTTCAACTTAGGCGCCAGAAAAAGTGAGGGGCGCACCAGTGCCGGGCACTCAGTCTGAACGCGAATGCTTATGATCGTCAACTGAGTTTGTACCTAAAACTTCACCTATTTTTTTATCATTTGTATATATAGCAGTATAGAAACTATTGACGTATAAATTCACGTCGGACGGACTGAAATATTGTCTTAGAGTAGTTTAACCTCTTGACCGCACTGGAAACGACAGATAGTATCTTCTGTGGAATTGCACGTGTAAAAATTTGCAAGTATAAAACAAACATTGTAGTTTTTTTGTCGAATATAAAGACATATGTAGAAAAAAAGATTTAAATTGCTGCACAATTTGTCATTCTTCTTTGCAATGGTTGAAAAAGAATCGCCCTGAAAGTTGTCAGACTACCCGCCATTAGGAAGAAAAGTCACCCGATTGGGAACATATCACATGGTATCACTCCAGTTTTATTAGATCGCCTTAAGGCCCAAACAGGACAGGACGCGATTTGGCAACGCGACATGTGACCTATCATGAATACATTATATTATTATTGTTCTGTCGCGTTGCCGCGTCGCGTCTGGTCTGTGTCGACCATTAGACCCGAGCTTTCTTTGTCCCGGCTGAACGAGATTTTTATGTCTAAAGCGCCTATATGAAAGATGACGAACTACAATACCTTTTTAAAAGCCAATCCATCGCAAAAATAGCGAATTCTGGTATACTTCCATTCCATATTTCCAAGTATTTTTGAAGCCGTTTAGCGTTAATACTCTCATGTGTTCTCAGATCCTGAAGAGAAAATAAAACTATATTAAAAAATATCTTGAAACTTTTAAGGAATGAAATTTTTGGTAAAAAATGATCACATTCCCAAGATTTCTAGTTATCAAAGTTATCGTCCAACTCTGAACAGAAGCAATCGAGCAAACTTCGAGATTTTCCTCAGTAGAACAATTTTTCTGAAATTTTTGCATAATTTTGACGGTTTTTTAACCCCAAAATCCCGAGAACTAGTTTCGTTTTGTTTCGTTTGCTACTCGGGGAATCTCGCTCCCGGGAGGATGACGTCATTGAGATAACATAATTAACACTTATTTACTGCGAACGAAGGAAACGTTATGTTTTGTGGACCCGAGACCTGTCGATATTTCACGAGGCGAAGCCGAGTGAAATATCGATGGTCGAGGGTCCACAAAACATAATGCTTTCAGAGTTCTCAGTAAATAAGTTTTTTATTATATACCACTTGTCAAAGAAAAACCAAACTACAAGGTAAACAACGAAATATCTATTCATAAAAGACAATTTTAAATGGATAAAAGTTGTTATTTCCCATGAGATAACACGTTGCTCATGCGATCTCACTCTGCAGGGGTCGTCACTCTCGCGTGATTCGCTCTCGACCAATGAAACGCTACGAACACCAAACTTTGACAAGTGGTATATAATAACACAGATTAGCTATATATATATATATATAGCTAATCTGTGATAATATTGATCACTTAAGTGATTGCATGACGAATCGCAATAATATTGGATATAACTAATATCATTGAAGATACTTGATTTCGTGATCGAAGATTGGATTAAAGATTTTTATCGAAATTAAATTTGTTTCATTTTCGATGCCGTGTCGTCGACGTGGTAGGATATAAACCATATAAGGTAAGAACTTAATGAATAACTCTGCCTAGTCATTAATTTGGTCCATCACTACAGAACTGAGACGCAACTGGTAATCTCATGCGATCATCGGGTAGCACATCTATTTTGTGTGAGGCATTGTACATGTATTGCAGTGTTGGTTAACCGTAGAGACCCGCACAGTAACTAGGTCCTAGGATAGCCCTAGAATAGTTAGTATATCAAGATGGCAAAATCGAGGGTGCGTATTCATACATTCGTCTTGTGTGCCTGACTGATTCCTTTTGTAGGCAACTATTTTTACGGTTATATAAGAACATAAATATATCCCAAGTTGACCCTTCCTGGGCTGTGGTCTAAACCATAGCTGTCTCGTTGTTTAGAATGTTGTAGGGTATTAATCTTCAAAGATGATGTGAAAATATTTTGGCACACAGCTATATGGGCTTATCTAGTTAATATTTATCTGACCGGTGCATCTGAATTCTTGCAAATGAAGGACGGTATCGAAAATTTGGAAATCTAGAAACCCACAAATGCGTTTTCAGCGAATATTTTGTAACAAACATACGTATAAAATGCAGAACCCCCCCGCCGTTATTTCCCAAAATATACACAAATATATCAGTCAGTCAATAATATATATATATATATATATAAAGATATATATTATTCATAATTGCTAAGGAACATACACAGTCTATATTATACACTTAATGTAAGCTCCCGAGGGAAATAGTGAGTTTTGTTTTCCCAAGAGTCTGAATGTTGAGACTCGTGGGAAAACAAAACTCACCATTTCCTGAGGTAGCGAGCATTAAGCGCTTTGTTATATAGGAACAAAAACATACATGTTACACAACAATTTCATTACAAAAAACACTTTGTTATGACAATATGCGGGCAACAATTTTTCACTTGTTTCCCTCGCGGGAAACATTGCATTTATTTCAAGTCATGTGACTACAAATGAACCAATCACATTTAAAATACACAAAACCTATATAACAATATCTATTATTAACTTATAGACATAACCAAAACATAGATAAGATTTGAAACATGAAGTGACAAACCTTTTAAGCCCTGTTTACACTACACTCAATTTACAGGCACAGCACAGCTAAAATGGGTACCTGTGCTTGTACACAGCCTTTGTTTTGGTAGCCTGAACACTAATAAAAATGGGTACAGGTACCAATTTTAGCCATGCTGTGCCAATGAATTGAGCATAGTGTAAATGGAGTTTTAGTCAGTTGAAGTAAGATATTTTCATCAATGTTGATCAGAGTGGAAGTTATAATCACTGCGCACTGAGAAGAAGGCAACTGTGCTACAAACAACATTCTGGGCTGTATCACCATTATACAATTCTATTGCAAGATATTACTAATGATGAAAGCAGACTTCAATTATGCATATGATTCCACTCAGAATGACAATCAACTTTGTCAACAATAGTGGCATACCAAAATTTAGGATAGTAAGCATAATTAAGTATTAGTAAAAAGAAGTTAAACCTATTTTTAGTCAAACAGACTTATAGTTACAGACTAAATTCCATCTCTTTTTATCTTGACCAATATCCTTGGTCAACCTCTAGTGCGACCAGATCTTGTAGTGTTCTAGATTATTTTTACCAGCCATGTAGACAGCCCCATGTGGTATTACCACATTCAGACCTAGGCTGAGAGTTGTGACCGGCAGTCTAATGTGAGGTGCTTTTGTTAAACAATATGCACATGTGGCTGCAATGTAGTTGTGCATGTCCCAGACTCTGCCCCCCCCCCACATATGAATATGAATCATAAATATAATGTATTAATTTATCTCAAGAAATTGTAACAATACTATATAGCTATTGTTGGGCCAATGTTGGCCGGAATATTGCAGAATATTGTTATTCTTTATTTATAGTTCTATCATTATATCATAAATAGTCAAATTAGTAAAAGTCATAAATAGTCAAATTATTACTAAGTTGTAAACAAATGTAGTGTAAACAAATACTTACTTTAGTGTGTGGAGTGCACCTGTAATGTGCACTCGTCAGTATTCTGGCTATTTATTTCATCAAGACCTGAAGTTATGTCTTTCTCCTCCACATACACTGCCACGTTTCAGTGATAAGCTTAGAAAATCTATTGTATACTTTATTGGCAATATAGATCTATTGGCAATAGGGATTAAAAACCTTCGACTTCTATAGTGAAGCAGCTTCTTTAACTTACACGACGTACTGTCTCGACTCTCGATAAACAAGGGGGAATTTCGTTTTACACCAATCAACAAGTTTGTCCACATTTTCAGTAACCCAATCAGAATGCATAAATTTTGATAAAAAGTACGATATATACCGTTTTACATGAAGCATTTACAAGAATTTACATGAAAATGGCGATTACACGGCTATAAACTCTGAGCCTGCGGTTTATCAGCATGCAACAATGTCCGTTGTGCTGCCATTAATGTTCAGATAATATGTTGAAGAATATTGTCACAGATTACCTATATAGCTAATCTGTGTATTGTTGAAACTGAATCGGGTGTGACAATATTGTTCGAAGTTGATAACAACTCTGAACAATGTGGGCAGCACAACATTGTTCCATCCTGTTCATATCAATACTGAATCAACCTGATCGTTTTTAGGCGTGTAGTTTAAAACGAAATTCCTGCTTGTTGTCTCGACAACGGACAGCTTACTGTTTTTGATCAAAGATCGCACTTCTTTTGCATCGGCTCTGCAGGAAGGCTACATTTACATAGTCATATCTTTTCTTGCTGTCATGATTATCCCATTTATTATGTTCATTTTGAAATCAATGGTGTTTCTCGCAGTCTGATTGGTTAATAAATACTAAATAGTGTGATTAATAATGGTAATTGCACTGAGTGGAGTGCAATTTGGTGTGAAATCAAACGCGCGATTACAAAATCGCACGAACGCGAAGCGGGAGTCAGAGTGTGATTTGTAATCAAAAGTTTGATTTCACACCAAAATTGCACGACACAAAGTGCAATTACCACTTTATTATATTCATTTTGAAATCATAGAAAAGATTAAACAAATTCAAAATGATTTATTAGCTGAAAGAACCGTAAACGGTGTAAAATGTGAGTAATTTTCATTTATTGTTGTCAAGAAATTTTGCAGGGCATTTAAAAATTCCCAATAATAAAATTTTGTTCCATTTTCCCTAGGCCTGTAATTTGATTGGATAGTTACACTGAAATACTAAATCTGATTGGTTATTGTGGTGCAGAGCTTTAATCGTATTGGCTTATAAATGATGTGATTAATACTCAAAAATAGTGCGATTTAGGAATTAATCACACTATTTTTAACCAATCAGATTGCAAGAAACACCATTGATTTCAAAATGAATATAATAAAGTCCCAAATCCCACTATTTTTGAGCATTAATCACATCATTTATAAGCCAATAAGATTGAGGCTCTGCACCGCAATAACCAATCAGATTTAGTATTTCAGTGTAACCATCCAATCAAATTACCGGGGAAAATGGCACAAATTTTTTTTTATTTTGAATTTTTAAATGCCCTGCAAAATTTCTTGATAAAAAGAGATGGAAATTATTCACATTTTACACCCTTTACGGTTCTTTCAGCCAATAAATCGGTTTCGAATTTGTTTAATTTTTTGTATGATTTCAAAATGAATATAATAAAAATGGAAATTTCTGATTTTGCCGAACAATTTTCGGCGGCCATCTTGAAAATTCCGAACTCACCGAAATATCGACTTAGCATGCAGACCATAGGAAGCCCAGACAAATGAGTTGAAGTACAATAAAAATCCGTAAAACACTTGAGATATGTGTTAAAATAAATTAAAGTATATAATTTTCACAAAACTACTGTTAGAACCATGTATGTAGCGTGCTCCAGTGGCGCTGCCATTTGACTATGCAACTAGCGACGTAACTTACTATATTATTGGGAAGGATGGAAACTCTCGCCTCAATTTTCAACATGTTGACAAATTAAAACACAAATTACTATAGTAAAACGGGACGTCGACTGCTAAATGCCTACCGTAGGTTTAAGTTGAATAATCAAACTATACTTTCATAACAAAAATAATGCTGAATTCAAAGGAAAGCGCTGGAAAAACGTACACAAACTTTGTAAATTGCCCGAAATCTTCGTGAATTCATGCGGGATGTAAGTACCTACCCAAAATGGCGGCCGGCAGAAGAATCTGATTGGTCGAACATTCTTTGTTTACCTTTCTCGACCTATCTGATTGGTCGATCATACTTTGTTTACTTTTCTCAACCAATCAGATTCTTCTGCCGCCGCCATTTGGGGTAGGTACTTACATCCCGCATGAATTCACGAAAATTTCGGGCAATTTACAAAGTTTGTGTACGTTTTTCCAGCGCTTTCCTTTGAATTCAGCATTATTTTTGTTATGAAAGTATAGTTTAATTATTCAACTTAAACCTACGGTAGGCATTTAGCAGTCGACTTGCCGTTTTGCTATAGTAATTTGTGTTTTAATTTGTCAACATGTTGAAAATTGAGGCGAGAGTTTCCATCCTTCCCAATAATATAGTAAGTTACGTCGCTAGTTGCATAGTCAAATGGCAGCGCCACTGGAGCACGCTACATACATGGTTCTAACAGTAGTTTTGTGAAAATTATACATACTTTAATTTATTTTAACACATATCTCAAGTGTTTTCCGGATTTTTATTGACTTCAACTCATTTGTCTGGGCTTCCTATGTGCAGACCTAAAAATCGAATAAGCGTAGTGTTTTAAAGTGGTCTGGACATATCTGAAGTTATCTGTTTTTCATAATTTAGTTTGGAATAAATTCGAACCGTTCTCATCTTAATACTACATTAGTTTAGCTATAAACGCTAGAACGTGTTTTGCTTTTTTAGATTCTCAGTGTGTTATTTTGGCCCATAGTTTTACAGCGTAGTCGTTTTTCTCGAAGATCGTGGTCTGGCCATATTATAATATCGTTATAAGCACTAAAGAAGCCTGTAAAACAATGATATAAGAATGATAAAGACCCTTGAAGAGGAACTCGAAGGAAAAGACATGCAAAACAAAGAATATCATGATGGTAAGAATTATAGAATACTGTACTTCCTAAACCCAGCGTCCACCCGTTCTGAACGCCCGAAAGTCGAGGACATAATTATAAAACCTTCTGAACACCTCCTTCCCCGAATGAGATTTCCTTCAACACGGCAAGGCGTGTTCTTTTAAAATTTTTATCTTAATGCTGCATATATAGGTATCGAAAATAAGCAAGAAGCAAGTGGAAGTATGAATGTCTCTGAAGAAGAAAAACAGAAATTTTGGGACGAAATAAGAAATCAAGTTGAACGTGGTGAAAACAAAGAAGATCGTTGGAAGAAGACAATTCTTTGGCGTGCTTTTCAGTTCAGTCCAGAAGATCAAGAAATTGTCAAATATTTAGTTGACCACGGAGCAGACATTTCTTCCAAGAACGAGGATGATGGAAGAAATACTGACGGGTGGACAGTGCTCCACTCTGCTGTTACTAAAGGTACCCTAGAAATGGTTAAATATCTTGTTGAAAAGGGCGCTGATGTAAATAGCAAGAATATTTTTGGTTGGACAGCGCTGCACAGTGCAGTTACGGAAGGTACGCTAGAAATGGTAAAATATCTTGTTAAAAATGGCGCTAATATAAATGACAAGAATACTGACGGACGCACAGTGCTGCACACTGCTGTTAAAAAATGTAGGCTAGAAATGGTAAAATATCTTGCTGAAAATGGCGCTGATGTAAATACCAAGGATACCTTCGGGCAGACAGTGCTACACTATGCTGTTACTGAAGACACGTTTGAAATAGTAAAATATCTTGCTGAAAATGGTGCAAATGTAAATGGCAGGAAAACTTTCGGGCGAACAGTGCTGCACACTGCTGTTAAAAAACGTACGCTAGAAATAGTAAAATATCTTGTTGAAAATGGCGCTAATGTCAATGGCAAGGATACTTTCGGACAGACAGTGCTGCACTCTGCTGTTACTGAAGACACGTTTGAAATTGTAAAATATCTTGTTGAAAATGGCGCTAATGTAAACGGCAGGAAAACTTTCGGGCGAACAGCGCTGCACCATGCTGTTACCAAAGGTACGCTAGAAATTGTAAAATGCCTTGTTGAACATGGCGCTGATGTAAATGGCAAGGATACTGACGGATTGACAGTGCTGCACACTGCTGTTAAAAAACGTACGCTAGAAATAGTAAAATATCTTGTTGAAAATGGCGCTAATGTCAATGGCAAGGATACTTTCGGACAGACAGTGCTGCACTCTGCTGTTACTGAAGACACGTTTGAAATTGTAAAATATCTTGTTGAAAATGGCGCTAATGTAAACGGCAGGAAAACTTTCGGGCGAACAGCGCTGCACCATGCTGTTACTAAAGGTACGCTAGAAATTGTAAAATGCCTTGTTGAACATGGCGCTGATGTAAATGGCAAGGATACTGACGGATTGACAGTGCTGCACACTGCTGTTACTGGAGGTGCGCTAGAAATAGTAAAATATCTTGTTAAACATGGCGCTGATGTAAATGGCCAGAACACTAACGGATGGACAGTACTGCACACTGCTGTTACTGGAGGTGCGCTAGAAATAGTAAAATATCTTGTTAAACATGGCGCTGATGTAGATGGTAAGGATACTGATGGACAGACAGTGTTGCATGTTGCTGTCGACGTGGGTGCATTAGAAATTGTCAAGTATTTAGTTGAACATGGTGCTGACGTAACTCTGAAAAGTAAAAGCAGCGTTCATACTCTTGGCTTTGACATCATGAAAATGGCTGTTGAGAAAAATTCAGTTGTTTTGATCAATCTTCTGTTGGAAAAGAACATCGCTGTGAGGAGAGCTGGAACATTGTTTGTTGAAGGAAGACGAATGAGTTTGCTTGAATGGAGTATTCACCTTGGTCATGATGAAATTACAACTAGCCTCAAGAGGTCCATTAAACATTTTGAGAAAATTCAGACGTTGAAAACAATGAATTGCAACCAGTTGGAAAAGGTAAATATTTCAAAGATGTATATGTATTCCTTTTAATTAGTCTGTGAAAGCTCTACGACATCGCAGCTCGATGACGCGGGAAAGCTTTCAAAATCCTACTTCTAATCATTGACTGTCGACGATGACGAAGAAAATTTTTCAAAATAACAAAGCACTTTATTCTCCGTGGTCGTCGACTGTCGGTAACCTGTGAGAACCAGGTTTTAGGGCATCTGACGACTTGTTCATGATGACTGATATAGAATACTATTTGTTGTTTACGCCCGAAAACACAGAATATTTTGCCCGAACTCGTACGCTTATATGTACAATGGATACTAGATGATCATTCTAATTATTCTCGATATAATAGATAGAGATATTTGAAATTTGATTTCTTTGCCCTCATATCTTATAAATAAATCGTGAATGATTTTTTTCCTTTTTCTTCTCACGATAGAAAATTTACAATTTTTCATGTATAGATTGAAATACCAATGCAAGTTTTTGTCGCAAAGAATCAATTTAAAATTGGCGATGGTGGTTTTTCTTGTGTCTATGTTGGTCTCATGAAGGATGGAAGTGAAGTTGCTGTTAAAAGAATTTTGGTGCAAAGTGACGACAAAACAGTTGAAAACGAATTAGAAATCATGAATCTCATCAAGACAAACAAATCTCCATTTATAGTGAGCTATCGACATTTTCACCGTGACGAAACCTTCATGTATCTTATTGTTGATCTTTGCGAAGAAACCTTGAGGGAACTTGTTCAAGCATGCAGTATTGAACATCTACAAGAGCATGGTCCACGAATGATTAGGGAAATTCTATCAGGACTTAAATTTCTTCATGGTAAAGGAATATTGCACAGAGATCTAAAACCATCAAACGTTCTGGTTGATATCGAAGGTCGCATGAAATTAGCAGACTTTGGGATAAGCCGCGTTCTAAATGACGATGACACGACAGTTGAAACATTCGCTAAAGGTACTCCTGGATGGATGCCGCCGGAAGTAATTGAAGCAATAGACAAGGACGAAAAAGCTCGTTTCAAAAAGAAATCAGATGTCCAAGTCGCGGGTATGATTGCTTTCTTCATCTTAACTAAAGGTGAACATCCTTTCGGATCGAAGTTAAAACGAATGCAATATATTTTGGAGGGAAACTCTGTCAATTTGAAGAAACTTGGAGATAGTCAAGCTCAAAAGTTTGTGTCGTGGCTGATTAATTACAAGATTGATGATAGACCTTATGCCCACGAAGCACTAGAGGATTCTTTCCTCAATGGAGAGTAATACAATCAAAATACAGAATTTGGACAACCTTCACTCGGTGTGTATAAACCCTTTTGAACAGACGGTTAATGGGTCAAGACAAATTTTATACGATTTAAGTTTGTCATAAGACACAAAACATTCGTTGCCAACTTTTTCCAGGCAGTTGTTCATGAACAAAGTCTTTGTAGCTGTTTTTAATAGGTTTTGATGCAGCGTAACTTAGGTTGACGAGGTTAACATAATTAACATAATTGAATTTATATTGCGCATATTAGCATGCACATATGTTCATTTTTGACTGAGTGCCCGGCACTGCTTGACTGCTGGTTGACTGAGTGCCCGGCACTGCTGCCCAAAGTTAAAACTGGTTCATAAAACATGCTGAGAATAGTGCTCTTGTTGTGTTCTACTTCTGAAGGTAGTGCCCGTTCATGGACACCATGCCCAATTTCATTTGGAAGCATCATGTTCAACTTAGGCGCCAGAAAAAGTGACGGGCACCAGTGCTAGGGCACTCAGTCTGAACGCGATTGCTTATGATCCTCAACTGAGTTTGCACCTAAAACTTTATCATTTGTATATATAGCAGTATATAGAAACTATAAACGTAAAATATCGTCTTAGAGTAGTTTAATCTCTTGACCGCACTGGAAACGACAGATCGTATCTTGGGTGGAATTGCACGTGTAAAAATTTGCAAGTATATAACAAACATTGTAGTTTTTTTGTCGAATATAAAGACACATGTAGAAAAAAAGATTTAAATTGCTGCAAAATTTGTCATTCTTCTTTGCAATGGTTGAAAAAGAATCGCCCTGAAAGTTGTCAGACCAACCGCCATTAGGAAGAAAAGTCACCCGATTAGGAACATATCACATGGTATCACTCCAGTTTTATTAGATCGCCTTAAGGCCCAAACAGGACAGGACGCGATTTTTCAACGCGACATGTAACCTATCATGAATACTTAGCATCAAATGTGGTATAACAACTGCCTAATAACTCTCCTGACGAAGGCCCTCAGGTTGAAACGTTGAGAAGTGTTTTGTCTATTTAGGCAGTTGTTATACCACATTTGATGCTAAGTTGTTTGAAGACGCTGCCACGCTGCTCCTTGGTTATATTGGAACCTATCATGAATACATTATATTATTATTGTTGTGTCGCGTTGCCGCATCGCGTCTGGTCTGTGTCGACCATTAGACCCGAGCTTTTTTAGTCCCGGCTGAACGAGATTTTTATGTCTAAAGAGCCTATAGGAAAGAAGACGAACTAGAATACCTTTTTAAAAGCCAATCCATCGCAAAGAATTAGCGAATTCTGGTATACTTCCATTCCATATTTCCAAGTATTTTTGAAGCCGTTTAGCGTTAATACTCTCATGTGTTCTCAGATCCTGAAGAGAAAATAAAACTATATTAAAAATATCTTGAAACTTTTAAAGAGTGAAATATTTAAGTTATTTTTGTTAAAGAATGATCACATTCCCGCGATTTGTAGTTATAAAAGTTATCGTCCAATTTTGAACAGAAGTAATCGAGCAAACTTCGAAATTTTCCTCAGTAGAACATTTTTTTTGAAATTTTTGCATAATTTTGACGGTTTCTTAACCCAAAAATCCCGAGAACTAGTTTCGTTTTGTTTCGTTTGCTACTCGGGGAATCTCGCTCCCGGGAGGATGACGTCATTGAGATAACATAATGATCAAGTGATTGCATGACGAACTAATAATATTGGATAATTCATATTATAAAATAACATGTATATAACGCGTGTTCTGATTTGTCGAAGCCCGTGTTTGGATAGCCTGCAATGCAGACTATATATTGGGGTATATATATATACCCCAATATATAGTCTGCGTTGCAGGCTAGTGTTTGGATCAGGCCATCAAAACAGGGAAATTTCGCGGGAATTTAAAAACAAATTTATCATGGTTTGTTATTTTATAAAACAATTACTTAATGGTTTCCGTGTTTGGATGATCTGATCCAAACACATGGGAATGTTGGATATTATCAGTTGCTCGAGTTAAGAAAAGCTCGCAAAACACTCGCCTTCGGCTCGTGTTTCGCGCGCTTTTCCTAACTCTCGCAACATTCCCGCGTGTTTGGATCAGGCCATCCAAACACGGAAACCATTAAGTAATTGTTTAATATCATTGAAGATACTTGATTTCGTGAGCGAAGATTGGGTTAAAGATTTTTATCGAAATTACATTTGTGTCGTCGAAGTTGTAGGATATAAACCATGTAAAGTAAGAAGTTAATGATATAATAACTCTGTTTAGTCAGTAATTCGGCCATCACTACAGAACTGAGACGCAACTGTTAATCTCATGCGATCATTGAGTATGTAGCAGTGTTGGTTAACCGTAGAGACCCATACAGTAACTAGGTCCTAGGATAGCCCTAGAATAGTTAGTATAACAAGATGGCAAAATCGAGGGTGCGTATTCATACATTCGTCTTGTGTGCCTGACTGATTTCTTTTATAGGCAATTATTTTTACGGTTATAAGAACATATAAATATATCCTAAGTTGACCCTTCCTGGGCTGTGGTCGAAACCATGCATAGCTATCTCGTTGTTTAGAATGTTGTAGGGTATTAATCTTCAAAGATGATGTGAAATTATTTTGGCACACAGCCATATGGGCTTATCTAGTTAATATTTATCTGACTGGTGCATCTGAGTTCTCGCATATGAAGGGCGGTCTCGAAAATTTGGAAATCTAAAAACCCGAAAATGCGTTTTCAGTGAATATTTTGTGACAAATATACGTATGAAATCCAGAACCCCCCCCGCCGTTATTTCCCAAAATATACACAAATATACCAGTCATTCAGTAATATATATATATATATATATATATATATATATATATATATATATATATATATATATATATATATACACCCATTTGCAAAAACGTTGGCCGCAGATAGATAGATAGATAGATAGATAGATACTCGAAATCTAATTAGAATTGCATATGTTTTGTAATATGATTGAAATCCCATGCAAATGTAATCATATGCAATTCTAATTAGACTTCGAGTATCTATCTATCTATCTATCTGCGGCCAACGTTTTTGCAAATGGGTGTATATATATATATATATATATATTATATTATATATTATATATTATATATTATATATATATATATATATATATGTATTATTATATATTATTCATAATTGTTAAGGAGCATACACAGTCTATATTATCTATTATTATTAACCTTTAGACATAGATAAGATTTGAAACATGAAGTGACGAACCTTTTAAGCCCTGTTTACACTACAGTCGACTGCACTCAATTTATAGGTAGGGCACGTACAGCTAAAATGGGTACCTGTGCCCGTACACAGCCTTTGTTTTGGTAGCCTGAACACTAATAAAAATGGGTACGGATACCAATTTTAGCCATGCTATGCCAATGAATTGAGCATAGTGTAAACAAGGCTTAAGTCAGTGAAGTAAGATATTTTCATTAATGTTGATCAGAGTGGAAGTTATAATCACTGCGCACTGAGAAGAAGGCAACTGTGCTACAAGGCTTTATTACCATTATACAATTCTATTGCAAGATATTACTAATGATGAAAGCAGACTTCAATTATGCATATGATGCCACTCAGAATGACAATCAACTTTGTCAACAATAGTGGCATACCAAAATTTGGGATAGTAAGCATAATTAAAATAAAGTATTAGTAAAAAGAAGTTAAACCTATTTTTAGTCGAACAGACTTATAGTTACAGACTATATTCCATCTCTTTATATCTTGACCAATATCCTTGGTCAACCTCCAGTGCGACCAGATCTTGTACTGTTCTAGATTTTTTTACCAGCCATGTAGACAGCCCCATGTGGTATTACCACATTTAGACCTAGGCTGAGAGTCATGACCAGCAGTCTAATGTGAGGTGCTTTGGTTAAACAATATGCATATGTGGCCACAATGTAGCTGTGCATGTCCCAGACTCTGTCCCCCCCCCACATATGAATCATATAATATATAATGTATTTATCTCAAGAAATTGTAACAATACTATAAAGCTATAAAGCTGTCACAGGAAATTTGCCCCCCCCAAAAATTTGCCCCCCCCCAGGCCAAATTTCCTAGGAAATATGGCAATTTCCTAGGAAATATGGCCCGGGGGGGGGCAATTTTGGGGGGGCCAAATTTCCTGGGACACCGGAATATTGCAGGATATTGTTATTCTTTATTAGTTCTATCATTATATCATAAATGGTCAAATTATTACTAAGTTGTAAACAAATGTAGTGTAAACAAATACTTACTTTAGTGTGCGGAGTGCACACGTAATGTGCACTCGTCAGTATTCTGGCTGTTTATTTCATCAAGTTATGTCAGATTATGTCTTTCTCCTCTACACTTCCACGTTTCAGTGATATGCTTAGAAAATCTATTGTATACTTTTTTGGCAATATAGATTGACAATAGGGATTGAAAATCTTCGACTTCAATAGTAAAGCAGCTTCTTTAACTTAATCAACACGACGTCACAGAATACCTATCAGAAGTAGAACTCCTGCACTTTTTGCGTAAGTGTGATTCGTCATGATTCGTCACTTAGCAAGTGCATTTTTTTGAGGTAGTCACCCCCCTGCCAGTACTTAAAATGGGTTGATTTTAGACATTGGCAGGGGGGTGACAGCCTCAAAAAAATGCACTTGCTAAGTGACGAATCATGACGAATCACACTTACGAAAAAATAGTATAGACAATCTGAGGTATAGAGTTCTACTTCTGTTAGGTATTCTGTGACGACGTACTGTCTCGATAAACAAGGGGGAATTTCGTTTTAGACCAATCAACAAGTTTGTTTACATTTTCAGTAACCCAATCAGAATGCATAAATTTTGATAAAAAGTACGATATATACCGTTTTACATGAAGTATTTGCATGAGGTTTACATGAAAATGTAAACACATATGGCGATTAGTTTAAAACGAAATTCCTCCTTGTTGTCTCGACAACGGACAGCTTACTGTTTTTGATCAAAGATCGCACTTCTTTTTCGTGGGATCTGCAGGAAGGCTACATTTACATACTCATATCTTTACTTGCCGTCATGATAATTATCCCATTTATTATATTCATTTTGAAATCAATGGTGTTTCTTGCAATCTGATTGGTTAATATATCTAAATAGTGTGATTGATTCCCAAATCCCACTATTTTTGAGCATTAATCACATCATTTATAATAAAAATCGAAATTACTGATTTTGCCGAACAATTTTTGGCGGTCATCTTGAAAATTCCGAACTCACCGAAATATCGACTTAGCATGCAGACCTAAAATCGATTTTCTAAAAATCGAATAAGCGTAGTGTTTTAATTAAAGTTGTCTGACGTTCTCTGTTTTTAATAATTTAGTTTGGAATAAATTCGAACCGTTCTCATCTTAAAACTACATTAGTTTAGCTATAAACGCTAGAACGTTTGCTTTGCTTTTTTAGATTCTTAGTGTGCTATTTTGGCCCATAGTTTTACAGCGTAGTCGTTTTTCTCGAAGATGGTGGTCTGGCCATATTATAATATCGTTATAAGCACTAAAGAAGCCTGTAAAACAATGATATAAGAATGATAAAGACCCTCGAAGAGGAACTCAAAGGAGGAGACATGCAAAACAAAGAATGTGATGATGGTAAGAATTATAGAATACTGTACTTCCTAAACCCAGCGTCCACCCGTTTTGAACGCCCGAAAGTCGAGGACATATAAAACGTTCTGAACACCTCCTTCCCCGAATGAGATTTCCTTCAACACGGCAAGGCATGTTCTTTTAAAAGTTTTATCTTAATGCTGCATATATAGGTATCGAAAAGAAGCAAGAAGTAAGTGGAAGTACAAATGTCTGTGAAGAAGAGAAACAGAAATTTTGGGAGCAAATAAGAAAGCAAGTTGAATGTGGCGAAAACAAAGAAGATCGTTGGAAGAAGACAATTCTTTGGCGTGCTTTTCAGTTTAGTCCAGTAGATCAAGAAATTGTTAAATATTTAGTTGACCATGGAGCAGACATTTATTCCAAGAACGAGGATGATGAAACAGTTCTGTGTGTTGCGACGAGAAATGGTTTATTTGATCTTGTTAAGTATTTTGTTCAACATGGCCCTGAACATAATTTTCAAGACGATTCCAAAGTTCTTCAGAGTGCAATACAGTCTCGATCATTAGAAATTGTGAAATATTTCATTGAGGATTGTGGTGTTCATGTAAATTGTAAAGGTAAGTCAGGCAAAACTGCTTTACATCATGCTGTTGATGTTGGTGAAACAGACATTGTCAAATATTTCGTTGAACAATATGGCGCTGATGTAAATGACAAGGATAAAGGAAGATGGACAGCGTTAAACCCTACTGTTACTGAAGGCACGCTAGAAATAGTAAAATACCTTGTTGAAATGGGCGCTGATGTAAATGGCAAAAAAACAAATGGGTGGACAGTGCTACACTCTGCTGTTACTGAAGGTACTCTAGAGATAGTAAAATATCTTGTTGAAAATGGCGCTGATGTAAATGGAACGAGTACTAACGGGAGATCAGTGCTGCACAGTGCTGTTGTTACTAAAGGTGCGCTAGAAATGGTAAAATACCCCCTTGAAAACAGCACTGATGTAAATGGAAAGGATAATAACAGAAAAAAAGTGTTGCATTCTGCTGTTACTAAACGCACGCTAGAAATGGTAGAATATCTTTTTGAACATGGCGCTGATGTAAATGGAAAGGACACTAACGGCTGGTCAGTGCTTCACAGTGCTGTTACTGAAGGTGCGCCAAAAATAGTAAAATATCTTATTGAACATGGCGCTGATGTGAATAGCAAGGATATTAAAGGCTGGAAAGTGCTACACGCTGCTGTTGCTAAAGGTATGCTAGAAATAGTAAAATATCTTGTTGAACGTGGCGCTGATGTAAATGGCAAATATACTCATGGATGGACAGTTTTGCACTATGCTGTTACAGAAAGTACGCTCGATATAGTAAAATATCTTGTTGAAAACGCCGCTGATGTTAATGCAACGAATACTGACGGGTGGGCAGTCTTGCACTATGCTGTTACTGAATATGCGCTAGAAATGGTAAAGTATCTTGTTGAACATGGCGCTGATGTAAATGGCAAGAATACAGACGGATGGACTGTGTTGCACAGTGCTGTTACTAAAGGTACGTTAGAAATAGTAAAATATCTTGTTGAACATGGCGCTAATGTAAATGGAAAGAGTACTAACAGGAGGACAGTGTTGCAGAGTGCAGTGTTGCGAAGTGCTTTTGCTAAAGACTGGCTAGAAATCACCAAATGTCTTGTTCTAAGCGAAACTGACATAAATGGCAAGGATATTGACGGGAGGACAGTGCTGCACTCTGTTGTTACTAAAGATACGCTAGAAATGATAAAATACCTCGTTGAAAACGGCGCAGATGTAAATGAAAAGGATTATGACAGGAAGACAGTGTTGCACTCTGCAGTCACTGAAGGTACGCTAGAAATAGTAAAATATCTTGTTGAACATGGCGCTGATGTACATAGCAAAGTTATTGGAGGGTGGACAGTGCTGCACGCTGCTGTTACTGAAGGTACGCAAGAAATAGCAAAATATCTTGTTGAAAAGGGCGCTGATTTAAATGGCAAGTATACTCATGGATGGACAGTCTTGCACTATGCTGTTACTGAAGGTACGCTTGATATAATAAAGTATCTTGTTGAAAACGGCGCTGATATAAATGGAATGAATACTGACGGGTGGACAGTCCTGCACTATGCCGTTACCGAAGGTACGCTAGAAATTGTAAAATATCTTGTTGAACATGGCGCTGATGTAAATGGACAGAATATTGACGGATGGACAGTGTTGCACAGTGCTGTTACTAAAGGTACATTAGAGATAGTAAAATATCTTGTTGAGAACGGCTCTAATGTAAATGGAAAGAATACTAACGGGAGGACAGTGTTGCAGAGTGCTTTTGCTAAAGACAGGCTAGAAATTACTAAATATCTTGCTCAAAGCGGAGCTGACATAAATGGCAAGGATATTGAAGGGGGGAGAGTACTGCACAGTGCTGTTGTTACCGAAGATAGGCTAGAAATGGTAAAATACCTTGTTGAAAACGGCGCTGATGTAAATGGAAAGGAAAATGACAGGAAGACAGTGTTGCACTCTGCAGTACCTAAAGGTACGCTAGAAATAGTAAAGTATCTTTTTGAAAATGGCGCTGATGTAAATGGAAAGGACACTAACGGGTGGACAGTGCTTCACAGTGCTGTTGCTAAAGGTACGCTAGAAATAGTAAAATATCTTTTCCGAAACGGCGCGGAAATAAATATCAAGGATATTTACGGGTGGACAGTGCTTCATAGTGCTGTTGCAAAGGGTTCGCTAGAAATAGTGAAATATCTTGTTGAACATGGTGCTGATGTGAATAGCAAGGATATTAAAGGATGGACAGCGCTGCACGCTGCTGTTACTAAAGGTACGCTAGAAATAGTGAAATATCTTGTTCAAAATGGCGCTGATGTAAATGGCAAGTATACTCATGAATGGACTGTCTTGCACTATGCTGTTACGGAAAGTACGCCTGATATAGTAGAGTATCTTGTTGAACATGGTGCTGATGTAAATGGAACGAATACTGACGGGCGGACAGTCTTGCACGATGCTGTTACTGAAGGTACGCTAGAAATGGTGAAATATCTTGTTGAAAGTGGCGCTGATGTAAATGGTAAAAGTAATGAGGGGGAGACAGTGTTGCGCTCTGCAGTTACTGAAGGTACGCTTGAAGTGGTAAAATATCTTGTTGAAAACGGCGCCAATGTAAATAGCAAAAATGCTCACGGGATGACAATCCTGCACAGTGTTGTTGTTACTGAAGGTACGTTAGAAATGGTTGAATACCTCGTTGAAAATGGCGCAGATGTAAATGGAAAGGATAATGAGAAGAAGACAGTCTTGCACTCTGCAGTTACTAAAGGTACGCTAGAAATAGTAAAATATCTGGTTGAACAGGGTGCTGATGTAAATGGAAAGGATACTAACGGGTGGACAGTGCTTAACAATGTTGTTACTAAAGGTACGCTAGAAATAGTGAAATATCTTGTTGAACATGGCGCTGATGTAAATGGCAAGAATATTAAAGGATGGACAGTGCTGCACGCTGCTGTTACTGAAGGTAGGCTAGAAATAGTGAAATATCTTGTTGAACGTGGCGCTGATGTAAATGGCAAGTATACTTATGGATGGACTGTCTTGCACTATGCTGTTACAGAAAGTACGCTTGATATAGTAAGATATCTTGTTGAACATGGTGCTGATGTAAATGGAACGAATACTGACGGGTGGACAGTCTTGCACGATGCTGTTACTGAAGGTACGCTAGAAATGGTGAAATATCTTGTTGAAAGTGGCGCTGATGTAAATGGTAAAAGTAATGAGGGGGAGACAGTGTTGCGCTCTGCAGTTACTAAAGGTACGCTAGAAGTGGTAAAATATCTTGTTGAAAACGGCGCCAATGTAAATAGCAAAAATACCCACGGGATGACAATCCTGCACAGTGTTGTTGTTACTGAAGGTACGTTAGAAATGGTTAAATACCTCGTTGAAAATGGCGCAGATGTAAATGGAAAGGATAATGAGAAGAAGACAGTCTTGCACTCTGCAGTTACTAAAGGTACGCTAGAAATAGTAAAATATCTAGTTGAACAGGGTGCTGATGTAAATGGAAAGGATACTAACGGGTGGACAGTGCTTAACAATGTTGTTACTAAAGGTACGCTAGAAATAGTGAAATATCTTGTTGAACATGGCGCTGATGTAAATGGCAAGAATATTAAAGGATGGACAGTGCTGCACGCTGCTGTTACTGAAGGTAGGCTAGAAATAGTGAAATATCTTGTTGAACGTGGCGCTGATGTAAATGGCAAGTATACTTATGGATGGACTGTCTTGCACTATGCTGTTACGGAAAGTACGCTTGATATAGTAAGATATCTTGTTGAACATGGTGCTGATGTAAATGGAACGAATACTGACGGGTGGACTGTCTTGCACGATGCTGTTACTGAAGGTACGCTAGAAATGGTGAAATATCTGGTTGAAAATGACGCTGATGTAAATGGCAAGAATACTAACGGTGAGACAGTCTTGCACGCTGCTGTCGATGCTGGTGCATTGGAAATTGTCACGTATTTACTTGAACAGGGTGCTGACATAACTCTGAAAGGTAAAATCAGTGTTCATACTCTTGGCATTGACATCCTCAAGATGGCTGTTCGGAAAAATTCAGTTGTTTTGGTCAATCTTCTGTTGCAAAAGAACATGGCTGTGTGGAGAGCTGGAACATTTCTTGTTGAAGGCAAGCAAATGAGTCTTCTTGAATGGAGTATTCACCTTGGTCATGATGAAATTGCAACTATCCTCAAAAGGTCCATAAAACATCGTGAGAAACTTGAAATATTGAAAACAATGAACTGCAACCAGTTAGAAAAGGTAAATTGAAAAAAAAGTATATCAAACGTATATGAGGATGTTTTAATGGTTTTTGCAGTTAGGAGTTTATTAGGAGTTTACGATCTACGACGCCGCGGATGAACGACGCGTATCTGGATTCCGTAAACAGTCAGTAGCATCTTTAAGTTTTAATCTTTGGTGGCATGATTTAACTCGTTACCAGACTGCGACTCCGCAATTAGGTTTTTGTCCTTGTGGTCTCGTTTGCGCAAACGCGGACCACAATGCGAGTAACTTAAAATTTAGATTTTTCATTTGCAATAACCATCTCTTTCTCCTATATAGGTTGAAACACCGATGCAGGCTTTTGTCGCAAAGAATCAATTCAAAATTGGCGGTGGTGGTTTTTCTTGTGTCTATGTTGGTCTCATGAAGGATGGAAGTGAAGTTGCTGTTAAGAGAATCTTGGTTCAAAGTGAGGATGAAACAGTTGAAAACGAAAACGAAATCATGAGTCTCATGGAAACAAACAACTCTCCATTTATAGTGAAATATCGACATTTTCACCGTGACGATACCTTCATGTATCTTATTGTTGATCTTTGCGAAGAAACTTTGAGGGAACTTGTTCAAGCATGCAGTATTGAACATCTACAAGAGCACGGTCCACGAATGATTAAGGAAATTTTATCAGGACTCGAGTTTCTTCATGGTAAAGGAATATTGCACAGAGATCTAAAACCATCAAACGTCCTGGTTGATATCGAAGGTCGCATGAAATTGGCAGATTTTGGAATAAGCCGCGTTCTAAAAGACGATGACACGACAGTTGAAACATTTGCGAAAGGTACTCCTGGATGGATGCCACCGGAAGTAATTGAAGCAATAGACAAAAACGAAAAGAGTCGTTTCAAAACGAAATCAGATGTTCAGGTCGCGGGTATGATTGCTTTTTACGTCTTAACTAAAGGTGAACACCCTTTCGGAACTAAGTTAGATCGAATGAAAAACATTTCAATAGGAAACTCTGTCAGTTTGGAGAAACTTGGTGATCGCGAAGCTCGTAGGTTTGTGTCGTGGCTGATTAATCACAAGATTCATGATAGACCTTATGCTCACGAAGCACTGAGAGATTCTTTCGTTAATGCAGAATCAGTTCTGTAAGGGCACTTGAAAAGTACTCGAGAATAAATAAAGATGTTTGAAAATAGCTTGAAGAATAGAGCAATGCATCATATTTGCCGGTGAGCTGAGATTCGACGAGGCGTGAGATGACTTTGACGTTGTGAAATGAGTATATAACATGATTCTGACAGTCGTGCAGACACCCCAACAATAACATGTGCTTGTTTGGTTTTATGAAGATTTATTTCAATACCTGAGAATTATCTCACGCTTCGTTGAATCTCGAGTAACCAGGCTCATTTAAACAGCCTTTTAGGCTGCGATCCTGGTAGCAATTATTAATTGATCCATGAACATCCGGATGTTGCTATATATAACGTAAAAACAATCGGATATGCTTTTATAAACGAAGTAATATATTGCTTAGTGATATTGTAATATGTATTTAGAAAGGTAAAACTAGGTAAAACATATAAAAAGCCTTCATAACCACAAGTCTTCATAAGTTCGACACACGTTTGTCAAACCAGAATCCTCGCTCCTTCCAGCCGCTGATCTTTATATAGTATCTGAATGCAACCTTTATATTTTCCGGTATAAGTTCAATGGCAAGGTTGTTTCGATGTTTGAACGCCTCCACACTTACTCGCGTTTATATTATTTATATTTTATTTAATACGAAGTACTGAGAGATCCTGTTTGAAGATTAATACAATCGACCTTGCTTTACTGAGGTTTAATTAATAAAAATATAGCTGTTAATTTCGATTCGAATTTTCGATTGTTAATTTCGATAAAAATTTTAGACCGATGTTCAATATTTTTTATAAACTGTTCGTTGAAAACTTCGCGCGTTCCCAGACAATTTTCCCACCTGTTAAGAATTACCGCGGACCTGTTATGGCATAAGCGAAATACGGATTTAAAATTTTGTGGTTTAGGGCATGAATGCTTTGCTTTGGTTACAAAGTAAACAGATCTACCTCTGGCTCGCAACTTCAATCCAAATAATTCACAACAACGCGTCGACAACTTGGTACAAGTTTTCCCGCCAGGCAAATCATTTGATGATCGAGCAGAATATTTGTGCGAGGAATTGACTTTGTGAATGTATGTATAAATTTTATGTAAACACGGATTCTAATCGTTACAAAAAAACTATACGTATAATCTGCCAAAAACCTATAATATGCCAAAAACCTTGCATGTAATCTAAAAATTATAATACGCGTGAGTTATCCTCTGAGAAGATTGTGGTGTTTCTCCTAGTGCCACTTATGTTCTAATGTTTGCCGACCTAATTTTTCAAGAATTTACACGGATCTTATATCAAAGCCTAGGCGAATGATAAACTTGATTCTGCAAGTTCTTAAGCTTCTCTACTTGTTCCGTCGAAACTGCCGAACAGCAGGCATAAAATTGGGAAGTTTCGACGGATTAAGTGGGAATAAAATCATTAAAATGAAGGCACACAATGTACACATATTTTATTACAAAATGTCACATATTTTGACTTATAAAACAAATCTATAGTAAAACTATAGCATACCAAAAAATAGGTACGCAATGCGTACATGTTGGTATCCTCTAAAACATTTGCAAATCATTGGCTGCGATGAAGCTATGGTTTGGGAAAAAAATTCAAGTTTGATTCAAAGTCAAACTACAGGCTGCTATAGTGGCGAGTCAATATTAACTAATGCTTATAATTTTACTTTCTAATGCCCTATGTTAGCCAGTCGAATTCACGAAATTGATTTTTTTGCAGAATATATTTAAATTTTTTATTGTATTAATTTAAATACATTTTCAACGACAAAATAATAACATATATAAAAGCATGTTTACAAAAGATAGGAAATGCATGGTTTTTAAAAACAGAATAGGTGGACAGAACAAAAAAGAGATTAAGGTTCCAGAGTGGTGGTACAAATTGTCTGATAAGATAAAGCTTAGTTTGGAAGGAGAGAAAGGTTTTTAGACATTTTCAAAGTATTTCTTTTTGATGTCCCTTGATTATTTATTAGCTAGCATAGCATTCAATTTGACAGCCTTCAACAGCATTGTGCATCAGCTCGTAGCTAGATGTTCCACAGATGACTCGCTAAATCAAATGACACCAGAAAAGCTTATCAATCAATTGATAGAAGACATTGATGAACTGGACATTGTTTATGACACTATCCACAAGAAAATCATTGAACTATCCTAAAAGTTATGTTTATAGGAACTGCACAGTTACATAAAATAAACTAAAACAAAAAAAAAGTATAAAGTTCTGTTAAATTATGTTAAAGCTTCCAAGTGACTATTGATGCTTGTTATTTGACAAATGGTATATATTTCATATCATTTAAGAATCTTATATGACTTTAAACTTATACATATATATATATATATATATATATATATATATATATATATATATATATATATGTTAGGTCTTGATTTGAATATATTATCAGTAGTTTACATACGCATATGACGTTCTACAATATACACATTGTCTGCGAGTTTAAACTAACTTGAGTAAAATTTTTATATTAATTATATGTCTAAACATGGAATTTTGGGAATGGGACATTTGCAATGACTATATTGGTCTTCGATTACTATTTTTCTATACAACCTGATCTATCAAGTCCCCTGCATTTTAGATATCTCAGTCATTTCCTTCCATCACCAGTAGTTAAGGGGTGCTGACACATTTTCGATCCATGTGTTACATTTTTCATGAAACTGAACCATAACTTTTGCCAGTTTCATTCAAAACTGAAGCACAACTTTTGCCAGTTTCATCCAAATATTATAAAGAAACTAAACCTTGAGATCTTATTATAAATCAATATGTTCTGTTTGTATCCCTGTTCCACTGCTTCGACATGCTATTTGTGAATTTAAGCATGATTCCTATGCTCAATTTTAGTGTTTACAGGAAGCATAATTTAGCATTTAATATTTTGATCTTTTTGAAGCAAATGGAATATAAATATTTCATATTCAAAAAATACAAATGTGTGCATATTAACATTTCCATGTATGTACAAGTCACTAAATATATACAAGGTATTAAATATGCAGGGTGTATCAATATCCGCTCTGTTTTACAATACAAAAGCCATTTTAAATTTCCATAGGCCTAAAATCTATTATGGTTTAGCCCAAACGTTCTTAAATTAACTATTTGAAATTAATGAATGAAATGGGCGAGATTAACAAATGAAATGGGCGATATAAGCAAGTTTTAATACTTATGCTGTGTTACCTTTGGAAATCATATACAATTATATATGGATAATAAATAGCATGCCAAAAGTACTTACGAATCAATAAATACGTTCCCCCATGCCAAAAGTACTTGGAAATAAATGATCCAGAAATCGTGCAATTGCAGCTGTTAGTGGTGTGCATCCATGTTAGTTCGTTTCGTAATGCGACAATAACCGAAGATGTCAACAATTAAGAAATAGAAAACATTTTCCGTTTTTGTGGGTAGCCGCTGCGCATGCGCGGCTAACCACTATGTAGTTGAAAAAAGTGTCTGTGGCACTGAGCTATATAATAAGCGGTCTGTGGTCAATGGTCTGTGGGTCCGTGTGTTTGTCCGTCCATCTTCGGCCATCGTCGGACGTACGGACATGACGGACATACTCGCTCGCGGGCTATCTTTAAAATAGGGAATGGGGAATGCGGGAATGGGGGAATGGGGGAATGCGGGAATGGGGGAATGCGGGAATGGGGAATGCGGGAATGGGGGAATGCGGGAATGGGGGAATGCGGGAATGGGGAATGCGGGAATGGGGGAATGGGGAAGGGGAATGGGAAGGGGGGAGAGGGGGGGATGATGGGGGAATGCGGGAATGGGGGAATGCGGGAATGGGGGAATGGGGGAATGCGGGAATGGGGGAATGCGGGAACGGGGGAATGCGGGAATGGGGGAATAAGGGAATGGGGGAATGCGGGAATGGGGGAATAAGGGAATGGGGGAATAGGGGAATGGGGGAATAAGGGAATGGGGGAATAAGGGAATGGGGGAATAAGGGAATGGGGGAATAAGGGAACGCAGGAATGGGGCAATAAGGGAATGGGGGAATAAGGGAATGGGGGAATAAGGGAATGGGGGAATAAGGGAATGAAGGAATGGGGGAATAAGGGAATGGGGGAATAAGGGAATGGGGAAATAAGGGAATGAAGGAATGGGGAATAAGGGAATGGGGAATAAGGGAATGGGGGAATAAGGGAATGGGGGAATAAGGGAATGGGGAAATAAGGGAATGAAGGAATGGGGGAATAAGGGAATGGGGGAATAAGGGAATGGGGGAATAAGGGAATGGGGGAATAAGGGAATGGGGGAAAATAAGGGATGGGGGCGAACATGAAACCGGTGAACGAGTGAGCGGGGAACCAGGGAATGGGGGAACAGAGGGATGGGGGGAACCAGGGAACAGGGTAAAGGTATAACTATGGACTCATTGAGCAGTTAAGCTAATAGTAACAGTCTTGAGCCTGAAAGGAACAATTTTTAGTATATATTAGGCGTGTATACAGTATTATGGCTCTCTACAAATATATTTATTGTTATTAATGCCAACCTGGCAAGTGTTAATTGTTATTGTGAAACTCAGGCACTCTTGTATTAGATTTTACCAAAGTGAAAAATCAAAATATACTTGCCTTTCAGTAAAAATTAAAACTATAAATAAGATAATGGTATTGTTGTGTGCTAGTGTGTTTTCAATAGTGATATCTATTCAAAATATAATGACAAATGCAACAGCTAGAACATATGTTATATGGGAATAACATTGCTCAAGAAACTGTTCTGTGTATATAATTTTCATGCATGTTTGCATTTGCTTTCAACAAAATCTATGAATGAACCCACTGACCCTTAACTAATTAAGGACAGTCATCCTTTATTAGTGGGTTTGGGGCTGAAGAGAAAAGGGTATAGGGTAACTGCATGAAAATGAAGTGTTATTAACAATATAAATCCTTTCATCATTAAAATCTGAAACCAGGCATGAATCAACTACTGTACAATCCTAAATCATTATGCATCAAGTGACTGACATCAGCAATATATAGTCAACATATTGGCTCTTTCCCAATCAGCATACAAAGCTTAAAATCTTATAAACTTTAATGAATCTCAGTCATTCCTTGGTAGGAAGTCTCAGGCCTATAGCTAGTTATATGAAAACATTATATCAGAAAACATATATAATCAAGTATATAATCAAGTAGGGCATTTAGATATTTATTGTAGTACAGGAAGTATTTATGTATTCCAATAAATGTCATAAAAAGGTAATATACATACATAGTATTTAGTATTGCAATGTTTGCATGCCAATTATAAAGTGCAAACATTGCTTATTACATGCATAATTACCAAGTCATTCACAGTAGAGTTAAATAGTATATATAGGGAAAATACTTTCTGATATAATGTTTTCATATAACTAGCTATAGGCCTGAGACATCCTACCAAGGACTGACTGAGACTCATTAAGATTTTATAAGATTTAAAGCTTTGTATGCTGATTGGGAAAGAGCCAATATGTTGACTATATATTGCTGATGTCAGTCACTTGATGTATAATGATTTAGGATTGTACAGCTAGTTCACGCCTGGTTTCAGATTTTAATGATGAAAGGATTTATATTGTTAATTAATAACACTTCATCATTTTCATGCAGTTACCCTACCCTTTTCTCTTCAGCCCCCAACCTGCTAATAAAGAATGACGGTCCTTAGTTAAGGGTCATTGGGTTCATTTATAGATTTTGTTGAAAGCAAATGCAAACATGCATGGAAATTATATACACAGAACAGTTTCTTGCCAACTAAATGAACACACTAGCACACAACAATACCATTATCTTATTTATAGTTTTAATTTTTACTGAAAGGCAAGTATATTTTGATTTTTCACTTTGGTAAAATCTAATACAAGAGTGCCTGAGTTTCACAATAACAATTAACACTTGCCAGGTTGGCATTTAATAATAACAATAAATATATTTGTAAGTAGTCCTAGATGCAGAGAGCCATAATACTGTATACATGCCTAATACTAACAATTGTTCCTTTCAGGCTCAAGACTGTTACTATTAGTTTAGCTGCTCAATGAGTCCATAGTTCCACCTTTATCCTGTTCCCCCATTCCCCGGTTCCCCTGCTCACTTGTTCACCGGTTACCCCATTCCCTTATTGCCCCATTCCTGCGTTCCCTTATTCCCCCATTCCCTTTATTCCCATTCCCTTATCCCCCCATTCCCTTATCCCCCATTCCCTTATTCCCCCATTCCCTTATTCCCCATTCCCTTATTCCCCATTCTCTAATCCCCTCATTCCCTCATTCCCTCATTCCCTTATTCCCCCATTCCCTTATTCCCTTATTCCCCCATTCCCTCATTCCCCCATTCCCTTACTCCCGCATTACCCCATTCCCCCATTCCCGCATTCCCCCATTCCCGCATTCCCGCATTCCCCCATTCCCGCATTCCCGCATTCCCCCATTCCCGCATTCCCCCATTCCCGCATTCCCGCATTCCCGCATTCCCGCATTCCCGCATTCCCCCATTCCCGCATTCCCCCATTCCCGCATTCCCCCATTCCCGCATTCCCCCATTCCCGCATTCCCCCATTCCCGCATTCCCCATTCCCTATTTTAAAGATAGCCCTCGCTCGCGCGTTCTTCGCTGCTTTCGGAAAACTTCGTGAGTTGTCTATTGTAATATTCAAGATTTCCAGGTTAAGGTGGCTCGATACAGTTTCTCGAATTTTTTTTGGGCTCATTTTAAACAGGGATATTAAGCACCTAAATATTTCACTATAAGGCTGAAAGTTAATATACTTTGCAGGAAACATATCTAGAGCGGAAAAATTCTCAGAACCTTTGCCGGGCACCCGTTACCATGGAAACAGAGACGTTTCAAAATGGCCGCCAAACAGGGTTTAATCGTGTTTATATCACAAACGAGTTCGGTGACCCCCAATTTTTTTTTTATTAAACGTTTATGCTATAGATTATTTATCTATGAAAAAGTTTTAAAAAAATTCTAACATGGGGGAATTTTTTAATAAGCAAAAATAACGTTTTTGTAAATAGAAAAAATTCCCCATGTTAGAATTTTTTTTAAAACTTTTTTATAGATAAAGCATTTATGGCGTAAACGTTTAATGAAAAAAAAATTGGGGGTCACCGAACTCGTTTGTGATATAAACACGATTAAACCCTGTTTGGCGGCCATTTTGAAACGTCTCTGTTGCCATGGTAACGGGTGCCAGGCAAAAGTTCTGGGAATATTTTCGCTCTAGATATGTCTCCTGCAATGTGTATTAACTCTTAGCCTTATAGTGAAATATTTAGGTGCTTAATATCCCTGTTTAAAAAGTGCATCTAAAAATTTCGAAAAATTGTATCGAGCCACCTTAATTTATATCGTTTGAGCTTCGAAGGTATTTGCAAATCTGTTCTTCGTTCGAAGGTTTTGGCATATTTTGAGGCTAAGGTAAGATATTTTTTAAGATATTTGTTTATTTTGATCGCTAATTTATCCATTGTTCCATTGTGTTCGAGAAATTTCGATCACAAACGTACTTAAATATACTAAATACGCGAATCGATCTTTTCAGACTTTTCGCACGAGGCAAATTTGCCTCCACTGACTTTTGGTCAGGCGCCCTACGTGTCAGAGGTGCACGTATCGAAAAATCAAATAAACCGGAGCCATTGTTGCTCGCACTGGTCGTCATAGATCGGGCATCATTTACGTGAAAGGCCACGTACCAAAATTAGACCTTGCCATTGTGCAGGTATTGAAATTAGACCTTGCCATTGTGCAGGTATTGAAATTAGACCTTGCCATTGTCATTGTGCACGTATTGAAATTAGACCTTGCCATTGTCATTGTGCACGTATTGAAATTAGACCTTGCCATTGTGCAGGTATTGAAATTAGACCTTGCCATTGTGCAGGTATTGAAATTAGACCTTGCCATTGTCATTGTGCACGTATTGAAATTAGACCTTGTCATTGTGCACGTATTGAAATTAGACCTTGCCATTGTGCAGGTATTGAAATTAGACCTTGCCATTGTGCAGGTATTGAAATTAGACCTTGCCATTGTGCAGGTATTGAAATTAGACCTTGCCATTGTGCAGGTATATAAAGTGACAGTCATTGTGCTGTTACATTCAAACAAAAACCTTCCATCTTGCAGGTAAATCTACAGCTGAATATAAGAGAGCTATTGTTTTATTATTGAAGTCAACGTTTGAAACAATATGGGCGTTACTATTCAAGTTTATCGCTCCAGAATTGGCTCACATCACAATTGTACAGACGGTCGCAGCAGGCTGTGCCTCCTAAATGGCAAACATTGGAATCAAATACTATTAATGTTCTACCTTAATGTGTTCTACTTGCCTTTTTCGAAAAGTCAATTAAATAAAAGGCAAAAGAACAGTGAATTGTACATGTGGTATGTTCAAATGATATACTATCATAATGTGTACGTGTCATTGCTACTAAGGCTGTCAAATGATGTGGAGGAAAATCCAGGCCCTATAGGACTATAAATGATATAGTTGATGCTGTCTGTATAGTACATGCTGATTTTAATCAGGGTAATGAATTAATTTTTGGTACAAATGCTGGTAAACAATGTGTGGCTATGTCATTGTATGCAATTATTTACAGAGAAATTAAATCGGTGAATATTTGGGATCAGTCAATTCTAAACACAATTTTAATAAGTGGAAATAGTTTGTATGGTGTTATCAGCCAAACTGTAAATAAAAGTTATTTATTGTTAACTGATGTCCCTGAGTTTGTGGATATAGATGATCATACTTTTAATTTGCAATACAGTGATTCCTGTTCAGGGGTATTATATTTAAGTGAGAATAGTCCCCCATATGTGACTCTTGAGCATGCTTTGAATGAAGTATTTTATTCACTAAACTTTAAAAGCTGTTTGTTTACAATTGGTATGAATACTGTTGCAATTATGATGCCCTTTCCTGATGTATTTAAAGTGTTTGATTCACACTCAAGAGATTTCTAGACCATCAGCATTGGGTTACTGTGGTTAATATCTCTAGAAGGAATAGAGAATCTTAGACAGTATTTTCAATTAACTTCAAGATCCAGTGAAGAAAATATTGTGTTGCCATTTGAGTTGTAAAATGGTGTAAAATGCATTAATTGTAATATAAAGGGTGTAAAATGCATTAATTGTAATATGATACAGTTGTATACAAAAGATGTTACAAATTCAGATAGGACTGATTCTACTGAGTTATTTGAACAAGAAAGTCAAACTAAACCTGAAAAAGATAAGAGCTTATAGTAATTTGGGACGACAGAATGAGACCATTCAACAAAAAGAAGCCATACTTGCACAAAATAATAATGCTAAAAATGCAAAAAGACAACATGAAACTAGTCAACAAAGGGAAGCTAGACTTACAATAGAATAATACAATAAAAATTTTACATAATTTTTATATTGTGCAATAAAATCGATTTCGTTATAACTGAATTCAACTGGCTATAATTTTTGCCATTGCGTATGGCATTAGAAAGTAAAATTATAAGCATTAGTTTATATTTACTCGCCACTATAACAGCCTGTAGTTGAAATTTTTTGCCAAGCCATAGCTTTATCGCATCCAATGTTTTGCAAAATTTTAGAGGCTACCCACATGTACGCATTCGTACCTATTTTTCTATACAGTTATAGAAACACGCGTGGGAGTTTGGGAGAACGAGAAATAATCAGTGGGGCGAGTTTCTCCACGTTATTTCGAGTTCTCCCAAACTCCCACAAGTGTTTCTATAATTGTATAGAAACACAGGAAAAACGTTTTCTATTTCTTTTATAATATAATTCGATAAAAAGATTTTGTACAAATATTATAATTCGATTCAATTACAAATTTTCATTACATCGCTTCGCTTGCCAAGTTCGGCGGGAAAATTCCCGTGTTTCTATACAGTTATAGAAACACGCTTCTCGACCAATCAGCACGCGCGTACTATAAATGTTATATTATAAACACTAATAGTTTATAATCGTGATCTGTTCACTTATCCGACGATTTCCGAAGATGTGGACATTTAGACGGACGCGGACACTTTTCAGCTATAACATAGTGGTTAGCCGCGCATGCGCAGCAGCTACCCACAAAAACCACAACCTGCGCTGTTTTCGTATTGAGTTTTGTTATTGATACATAAACTAGTCTTGGAGTTGTGAAAGTGGTCTTGACATATGCCAAACCTTGTCATCAAAGAATGGACCTTTCTACGCGAAGTTTCATTTGATCGTTGGTTTTGCAGAGCCAATCAAACTACGTGTAACATTCGGCTAGCTATCCGCGTTTGATGTCACCACGAGAAAGGTTGGAAATCATTCTTATAATGAATCGCAAAAATATTAAATTTTTGGTTTTTATAGGCGCGCAGAGAACCACTTTGGTTTGACTTCAGAATTGTTCTACACATAACCGTTTCAAAGATTGCCAGATGATATTAGAATGACTGAATCCAAGGAAAATGATATTATCTTGCCCCAGGCTGAGGGCGATACAGCTTCAAGCTTTACACAGGGGAATGTCTACGAGACCTCGGAAAAATCGAAAATTATCGCTACGTCGAAAAATAAACAATCCAAGCCTGTGATTAATAATCAAAAACGAGTCGAAGAAAAACTGCAACAAGAAAACATTCAACACGGAGAATATGATAATGGTGAGAATTATAGAGTGTTAATTGACACCTAATTTACACTGTCATTGTTAATTTAACATTGTTAATTTACACCTGATGGTTCGAGGAAAAGGGCCTAGGTTCGAATAACTTTAAGACTATTTACTAGAACTGTAATAATATATTACCTATTTTTATCTAAAATATTTCCCAGTATGCCGATTAAACCTCGTTGTTTGTTTTGCATGTAGAAGACTAGCGTGCATGCTACGGCGAACAAATGATTCAGTGCTGAATGGATGAGCTCAATATAATTTTATGAAATATTCCGTGTAAACATAGTCAGTGAGGATACACAATGATGTAATCGCAAACAATACCGTCTTCAGTGATGGTGCAATGTTTCTCTCAACATCGTTTTTCCAATATGGCCAACAATTTTGATTTTGTACAGTTACCAGTGAGCATTGTTGGCGCGATGTCTAGTTTATATGCAAAGTTTTGTCTATTTGACTGCACGGGTCTAAATCTATAGTTTTCGTAATTCCCTTTTTCAATATATTTTCCTTTTTCGTTGCAAATCCCTATTTATTTGTTGGGCTAGGCGTAGAAACGATATGCATGTACTGATTACAAAATGCGAGTTACAAAACCTATAGCTCTATGTATGACCCATTTATTGATCATTACAATATGACAATTTTACTTTAAATCAAAGTTTTTACTGTTTAATATTCAAGGAAGCAAAAATGTGGTTAAATCTTATTATTCTATAATATGCAGTGTTTTATTAGGGAATCCGCAATTGTGAAAAGCGTTATTGTTAACACCGTGCGCGATTATCGTGTTTGATCAACCAATCAGGAAGCATGCAGGTATATGCGCACTGGGCCTGGGGGCTAAAAACTTTTAAAACTCGTTCGATATCATTCTCAAAGTGAATCTCGTTCCCCGAGCCCGCAATTCCTCTGGCTCTGGGATAATCCAAACCGGAAGTCAGAAATCCTAGCATCTGGTTTGTAACGGTTTTTTGTATTTCAAAATTAAAACGGCGTGAACGACCCAATCAGAATCATTTCTGACTTCGATTATCTCAGAGCGTTTGTTTTCTCGCCAGTGGCTTAGAGAACGAGATTGTCTCAACATACGAAATAAATTCCATATTTCCGCGCATTCATGTATTATTCTCTGTGTCTTCACGCTCCATATATAGGTATAGAAAAGAAGCAAGGGGCAAGTGGAAGTACAAATGTCTGCAGCGAAGGAAAACAGGAATTTTGGGAGGAGATAAGAAAGCAAGTTGAATGTGGTGAAAACAAAGAAGATCGTTGGAAGAAGACAATTCTTTGGCGTGCTTTTCAGTTTAGTCCAGTAGATCAAGAAATTGTCAAATATTTAGTTCACAATGGAGCAGACATTTATTCCAAGAACGAGGATGATGAAACAGTTCTGGGGATTGCGACGAGAAATGGTTTATTTGATCTTGTTAAGTATTTTGTTCAATGTGGCTCTGAACATAATTTTCAAGACGATTGCAAAGTTCTTCAGAGTGCAATACAGTCTCGATCTTTAGAAATTGTGAAATATTTCGTTAAAGATTGTGGTGCTGACTTAAGTTGTAAAGATAAGACAGGTAAAAATGCTCTGCATCATGCTGTTGATGTTGGTGTAACAGACATTGTCAAATATTTCGTTGAACAATGTGGTGCTGATGTAAATGACAAGGATACTAATGGCTGGACAGTGCTGCACTCCGTTGTTACTGAAGGCAGGCTAGAAATGGTAAAATATCTTGTTGAAAAAGGCGCTGACATAAATGGCAATGACACTGACGGATGGACAGTGCTGCACTCTGCCGTTACTAAAGGTAAGCTAGAAATAGTAAAATATCTTGTTGAAAAAGGTGCTGATGTAAATGGCAAGAAGAAGAACGAGTGGACAGTGCTGCACAGTGCAGTTAATGAAGATAGGCTAGAAATGGTAAAATATCTTGTTGAAAAAGGCGCTAATGTAAATGGTAAGAAAAATAACGGATGGACAGTGCTGCACTCTGCTGTTGCTGAAGGTACCCTAAAAACAGTAAAATATCTTGTTGAAAAAGGTGCTGATGTAAATGGCAAGAAGAAGAACGGGTGGACAGTGCTGCACAGTGCAGTTACTGAAGATAGGCTAGAAATGGTGAAATATCTCATTGAAAATGGCGCCGATGTAAATGGCAGGGAAACAAACGAAAGGACACTACTGGACTTTGCTGTTCATAAAGGTACGCTAGAAATAATAAAATATTTTGTTGAATGTGGCGCTGTTGTAAACAACAGGAATACCAACGGTTGGACAGTGTTGCACAGTGCTGTTACTGAAGGTACGCAAGAAATAGTAAAATATCTTGTTGAAAAAGGCGCTGATGTAAATGGAAAGGGTACAGACGGCTGGACAGTGCTGCACTATGCTGTTGCTGAAGGTACGCTAGAAATGGTAGAATATCTTGTTGAAAAGGGCGCTGATGTAAATAGCAGGGAGCATAGCGGATGGACTACGTTGCAGTCTGCTGTTGCTGAAGGTACCCTGGAAATAGTAAAATATCTTGTTGAAAAAGGCGCTGATGTAAATGGCAAGGAGAGGAACGGGTGGACAGTGTTGCACAGTGCTGTTACTGAAGGTACGCAAGAAATAGTAAAATATCTTGTTGAATGTGGTGCTGATGTAAACAATAGGAATACCAACGGTTGGACAGTGTTGCACAGTGCTGTTACTGAAGGTACGCAAGAAATAGTAAAATATCTTGTTGAATGTGGCGCTGATGTAAACAATAGGAATACCAACGGTTGGACAGTGTTGCACAGTGCTGTTACTGAAGGTACGCAAGAAATAGTAAAATATCTTGTTGAATGTGGCGCTGATGTAAATGGAAAAAATACTGACGGGTTGACAGTGCTGCGCGTTGCTATTACTGAAGGTACGCTAGAAATAGTGAAAAATCTCGTTGAAAAGGGCGCTGATGTAAATGACAGGGATACTGACGGGTGGACAGTGCTGCACGATGCTGTTACTAAAGGTACGCTGGAAATTGTAAAATATCTTGTTGAAAACGGCGCTGATGTAAATGGCAAAAACAATGACGGGCGTGCAGTGCTGCACGCTGCTTTTACTGAAAGTACGCTAGAAACGGTAAAATATCTTGTTGAACATGGCGCTGATGTAAATAGCAAGGATAACAACGGGCGTACAGTGCTGCATTATGCTTTTACTGAAGATACGCTTGAAATTGTAAAATATCTTGTGGAGATGGGCGCTGATGTAAATAGCAACAGTGCTGATGGATGGTCAGTGTTGCACGTTGCGGTCGATACTGGTGCATTAGAAATTGTCAAGTATTTAGTTGAACAGGGTGCTGACGTATTAACTCTTAAAAGTAAAATTGGCGTTCATACTCTTGGCATTGACATCTTAAAGATGGCTGTTGAAAGAAATTCAGTTTTTTTGGTCGATCTTCTTTTGGAGAAGAACGTCGCTGGGTGGAGAGCTGAAACATTTCTTGTTGAAGGCAGGCAACTGAGTCTTCTTGAATGGAGTATCCGCCGTGGTCGTGATGAAATTACAACTATCCTTAAAAGGTCCGTGAAGCATCGTGAAAAGATAAAATTTTTGAAAACAAGGAATTTTAACGAGTTTGATAAGGTAACAGTTAAAAATATTTCAAACATATATTGGGTTGTTTTAGTGAATTTGTGTGGTAAGAACGTTAAAAAGTAGTTTTCGATCTATGATGCGGGACAATCGGTAGCATCATTTAACTCGTTACCTGACTGCGACTACGCAATTGGATCTCGTCTCTGGGCAGACTTTCTTTGTTTCAGATTTAAACGAACCTCAATCCAAGTAATACAAAATTATATTATCCTAACTCACATCCGCACTAAACCCAGGACACCGGTACGTATAGCAACGAATGATAATATTAACTTCTTATTAAACGAGCGCGAGGTCTTTTTGAACAGTCAAAAAGATCGAGGTCCAATATTTCTTGGTAAAGACCGAGCAAGCGAGGTTAATAATTATATGGCATAGGGCACGTATTTGCACTTTAGACAAACAAGAAATGCATGAATTCGTATCAGTAGCCTGGCACGCATTCTATAAAAACAAAATATTGAGTTATTTAGTTTACCTAAACCGTCTGGAGACGTCTTATGAATTTCCGTGATGGATCGCCAGTAGTAATGTCCCTTATACATGCAGGACATTACTGCTATCGCCGGTGACTAAAATTCTTCTCAGCCAATCACTGAAGTTCATTTCACCGGAAGTGACGCTTGCCATATAATAAGAAAGGATAATTCGAAATATGTCTTTCTGCTAAAATACCAAGCAAAAGAAATATATGTTATTTACCGGCTGCGAGGTCCGGATAGAAAAATATTTTCCCGAGGTATCAAAAACGACCCGAGTATTTCTCAATTCGGTCCGACTAAGACAGTAAATAACGTATTTATTTTTTTACAAAAAGCGGCGTTCGGTCGTATTATCATTGTGTAGTCAGACTCAGCAATGGCGACAAAAACATAAACAATCAAAACCTCATTCGTTTATTTTACTAAAATTAACTTCAATTTATCGTGATAATCATTTGGTCCATATATTTTAAAATAAAAAACTCAAAAGTTTGCGAATAAATCTTTAGTAAAATTCCGCTGCTATAGCCAATCAGATTGCAGGAAAGGCTAAGATTCCGCCCGCTGCTGATTTGTAAAAAAATAAATACAGATATTCAGTAGCTATATAAGAATTGACTTTTTGCCCATATTTATTGCTTTTTGAAGTAAATATAAAATATAGGCCATGAAAGCTTTAATTGCTTTTTTTTTTCTTCTTATGATAGAAAATGTTTGGTTTCTCGTTCATAGTTTGAAACACCGATGCAGGCTTTTGTCGCAAAGGATCAATTCAAAATTGGTGATGGTGGTTTTTCTTGTGTCTATGTTGGTCTCATGAAGGATGGAAGTGAAGTTGCTGTTAAGAGAGTTTTGGTACAAAGTGAGGATGACACAGTTGAAAATGAAAAGGAAATTATGGATCTCATTGAAACACATAACTCTCCATTTATAGTGAAATATCGACATTTTCACCGTGACGATACCTTCATGTATCTTATTGTTGATCTTTGCGAAAAAAACTTGAGGGAACTAGTTGATGCATGCAGTATTGCACGTCTACAAGAGCAAGGTCCACGAATGATTAGGGAAATTTTATCAGGACTAAAATTTCTTCATGGTAAAGGAATATTGCACAGAGATCTAAAACCATCAAACGTCCTGGTTGATATCGAAGGTCGCATGAAATTAGCAGATTTTGGGATAAGCCGTGTTCTGAATGAAGATGAAACGACAGTTGAAACAGATACTAAAGGTACTGCTGGATGGATGCCACCGGAAGTAATTGAAGCCATAAAGAAAAACGAAAAAAGTCGTTTCAAAAGAAAATCAGATGTCCACGTCGCGGGTATGATTGCTTTCTACGTGTTAACCAAAGGTGAACATCCTTTTGGATCTAAGTTAGATCGAATGAAAAATATTTTGGAGAAAAACTCTGTCAATTTGAAGAAACTTGGTGATCGTAAAGCTCGAAAGTTTGTGTCGTGGCTGATTAGTCACAAGATTGATAGGAGACCTTATGCGGACGAAGCACTGAGAAATTTTTTCGTTAATGGAGATTGCACGATACAGTCAAAATCCAAAACTTTTCTAAGGAGATAAAACCAACGTTCGCGATCTTGTGAAGTAAAAGAATGATCTGGATTTGGACACTTTATAAATCCTGAATATCACAACATGTATTGTATTCTTTCGTTGTTGGACTGTTTATTACTTGTAACACACGCATTTTAGCAATTTTAGCACGTGCGCTGCATTTTGTACATTTCGTCCACCTTGTACAAGAGCGGGATCATTCATCTAGACAAACCTGTGTTTGTTTTTCTGATAATCTTTGTTTATTTATGCATGTTTGCTGGGGAACTGCTCGTCTGAATAAACTGATTCTACTTTGCGGCAAACGTTTGCCCAGTCGCAGAGTCAAGCTCTTGTGGAAACCTGGTCATTTTGCCCTTTTTAATCGGTTACAAGTGTATATATATATATAGTTAGTTCATCCTGGTGCCCAAGTCTTTTTGTGTGCTAGGTGCGGCGTTATTACGGGGAAGAATTTGGTACGGAGATCAACTATCCACGATGCACTCTACGTTCCTACGCCCAAATGATAGCCGGCTTCGGTTGAGGGATTGCATGCGATGTCTTTTGTCTGTGTTTCATGTATAAGCATAGGAATATCATAAAGATTGTGTGTTGGCCGTCATGCTTTGCGTGCGGTTAAATCAACTCCACACTCCACTCCGGAAAATCTGAATTTCTGTTTTGAATCCATGTAGAATTTTTACCATCTTTACTTTTAGGTATATTTCAATGTTAATTTACCCTTCTACTGCAAATGCAAGACAGAAATATTCTTTGTGACCATGGTTGCCAGTGAATCACATTTCAATGAAAGATGTTAATGATAATAATTATGCGTTGTTGATAATTATTGTTTAGTGATAATCTGTCGAATTAGTCGCGGACTTACCTTGAAAAATATAAACTTTTTTTGACAGTTGAGAGTTGTACGTCAAACTAACTTGTTCTATTTGTATGTATAGCAGTATTGTCTATAGATATACTTTCCGTTCTTTGTAAGGAAACTTACTGGTTTTATAAATTTTTAATATTGTAATCTGTATTTAGATAATTAAAATTTAGCCATGTATCAAAACCTTTATAACTTTAAATCTCCGAACGGTCCCCAAATCTCCGTGTGGAAATTCAAAAGAAAATTTGTAGCGACAAAAATTCGACAAAATTTTGGGAAAACCAGCATCCTAGCTCCTTCCGACCTCTGACCTCAATATAGTTTCTGAGTAGAACTTTTACGTTTTCCAAAAAAAATTCGGGAAAACAAGAAAGTGAAACACGTGCCGCGCTTTCTTTTTTCAATTATTGATCTATATACTAATGGCTGAACGCGATATTTATGTACACTTTACCTTTGTGTACATTTCGTTCGTAAGAATTTAGGAACATTATCAGAGATTAGTTTACTATATTTCAATATTTGTTTTTGTAAATATAATTGGGGTATTTTGTTATTGTATAAGGGGCAAGTTTCGTAAATTTAAAAAGCGATGCCTACCTAATCTAACTATATATTATTACACTATGTTACCGAAAAATTACCGAAAAATTTCTCGCATACAAATTATCACGCAATTTTGGGCTGCTGTGGCCTGGGTAGAAAACTGAGCTACTTTACCTGTATATAGAAGCCAATCCATCGCAAGACATAAGCGAATACTTGTAGCTATATTTTCGTTCCAGATTTCCAAGTAATTCAGCGTTAAGACTCTCGTGTTCTCTCGCAGATCCTAAAAAAGAATATAAAACTATAATTGACCTCAACTTTGTACTTTAGAATGTGTTGTAAATCAAATTGCCACATGGTTCGTGGAGGTCCTTAAAAAAACTTGAAAAGTGCATGAATAAAAGAACCAGTTTTAAGAGCACTTGAAAAGTACTTAGAATACTGGATAAAGATGTTTGAAAATAGCTTAAAGAATAGAGCATCATTTTATAATTTCCGGCGAGACAAAAGAGTCCTTGAAATTTTCCAATTCAGTGCCTAAGTTTGACTATTGACTATTGAGAACTTGCATGAACTCTGCTGTCGGGAACTGAAATATTTAACTTTTTAAGTTAGTAGTTTATATACTAATAGTAGTTTAAAGGGTTAGTAGTTTATAACAACTCTCCTGACGAACGCCCTTAGGTCGAAACGTCGAAATAGTGTATAGCGTATATTTTAGGCAGTTGTTATACCACATTTGATGCGAATTTATTTGAAGACGCTGCCACGCTGCTCCCTGGTAATACTGACGAGGTAGTTGTAAGACTCTAAATGTTGAGTTTGCAAGACTCTAAAAATTCTCTTTCAGTGTTTTATCCAGCATGTAGGGCCTACGTTAGTGTGCCCCCTCCCCCCAAAGAGTTGTTCCCTCAGACAACACTATGCGGTAACGTCACACCAAAAGTTTCCTAACAGAACTACGAATGGAACCTGCGCACTATAAATTAAACAAGACGCCTGTTCTGGCGTTAACTCCGGCGCACGTGCCAGTCTTCAATATAGAGCTTCTGAACATAAACAATACAGTTCATATTCGCATTTAGATGCCTTGCGAACCTAAATGTTCGATCGCGAAATTCAAAAGGACATCGTACTTTAAAAAGTATAGAAGTTCAATTGTTCAAAAATGTAAATAAACTGCATGATATTTTCGCTTTGTCTTACACTTTGCCTTTGGAATTCGCGCTTATATAGTTATATTAAATCTTCAATCCTGTGCAAACTACGACGTTCAACGCGCCCATACACGACCACATCATCTTGTTAAACGGCGAAATAGCAGCGATATTATTAAAATAGGACCAGAACCTACATGTATTAAATATATTCTTACCCCAATTCAATCTAGACTTAGTGGGACGGCATCAAGAGAACGGTCTATTTGTTCCTCTTGGAGGAGTTGCCGTATCATGCGAGCGAAATCGAATCGCGCATCGGAAAATTAGCCAAAGCTGTGCACCACAACTCTTGGCAGATAAGACTGGGACGTAGATAAATACGGTTACATACACATTTTAAATACTAGAATGTTTCGCGCCATTCAGACTTGCGACGACGAAAAATAAAAAAAAAAAAAAAAACAACAAAACAAAACCGGGGCGAATTTTCAACTCCGTCGCTGACGCCGGAGTAATTATTATTATTATTATATTGTAATCTGTATTTAGAAAGTTAAAACTGGGTGAAACATATAAAAGGTCTTACGACACACGCCAAGCTTGTCAAACCAGAATCATCGCTCCTCCCAGCTGTTGATCTCTATAAATTATAGCATCTGAATGGAACTGTTGTTTTCATTTTTTTTCTTTTTCTATTTGTTGGCGAGCAACTTGGCCATTTTCATAGGACAAATTATATGTAAGGTAATCTACCCTTGGGCAGCCTCATTTACTGAATTCAAGGCATATGAAAATTGAAGAGATAATTAAAGAGTGTTTCAACAATAAGCAGGCTTCTTCGGAAGCCAAAACAGCTCAAATTTTGAATGTCTTCTCCTATTTTTCTAAGCATATCCAGCTCATGTTCATTGAAAGGTGCGGCAACGCAAAAATGGTAAAATATTCTGACAGCACAGAATATTGTTCACATTATGGACTGTACCAAATCTTAAAGCTACATTCTTACACTTTACTGAAAGAGGTAGGTGTGAGATATTCAGATATTTAGAAGTTTTGTCCATGGAGACTTGTAAACGCTGAAAATAAATATTGCAAGATTTTACTCCAAAAAGCTTGAGAACTAGTTTCGTTTTCTTTGGCGGAGAATTGAGGGAATTCCGTTCCCAGTGGGTGGTCTTTAGACGTCTGATGACACTTGATTTGACCAAAGATTAGCTTTAGTTTGCCGACTAACACGACAAAGATTTTTGTCTAAATTATTTGTTTCAATTTTGACGCTGTATCGACACTCTTCACAATATTGTAAGACATAAACTATGGAAGGTAAGTTAGTAGATTATAATCATAGGCACAGCGATTTTCTTTTACACGGCAGCACTGACTCAGAAGCGACTAGAAATCATGTTATGCTTCACTCGCATATTTGTGCAATGCCTTGTGTGTCGCTTTATTAAATTACCAAACTAATTACAAGAATTCTACATCATACAGTTAGTTAAGAAGTGTTCATGTCAACCTCAAAGGCCTATATAAAAGTTAGAATCTAATTCACTTCTGACGCATGGAATGTAGTGTGTTATTGATAAAGCAATACATTGGCTTCAGTTGATTTGCTTTTTACCCACATACATTAGCAGTCAACAAACAATGAATAAACAATGAATAATCATTCATCAAAGTGAATTAGATCTGATCGTTTGAACAGATTTTAAATTCCCAGCATGGCAAGCAATTATAAATAATTGTATAATTATATAACTGTCTAAGTTCCTGTGTTCACAGTTGAGAATTTGTATTGCTAAATCCTAAGTTCTACTGCAATGTTTCACGATGAGATAAATAACTCCCGTTTTTTTGCGTTGAATATTTCTACCAAATACTTTGAAACTTGATTTGCCGTTTAAAAATGCCAACTGTGATCACAGAAAATTTGACAGTGTCAATGTCTACATACTGTTCAAGTGAGTTCAACAATTAGGCCGTATTCTGTGGCCGATTATCGTTCAGTTTCGTTGCCCCCCTTCGGGCACTACTTAAAAACACGATAGAAAATTAGGATAAATTATAGAAAGTCTAAATTCACTTGTTTTCACCTTCATAAACCTGCAGTTTTCGAGCATTTCATCTTCGAAAAATCAGTGAATTTGCATGTTTTGCAATACACCGACGCCATTTTGATTCAGGAAATGTTGAGGATACTTGGTGTAATATACGACATATATAGCAGATTCAGCAGTTTTATACCGGTATTTACATGAAGTTTCCAGCATTTTTGCTGTGCAAGCAGGTTTCAACAAGGAAGCTTTGAGTGGAGTTTTACGAGGTTTTTCGCAAATTTTCATAGTTTTTCAAAACCAAATTGGTCAGAGAAGACTTAGACAACAATCAATCGGAAAAACATCCGCCAATTTGCGATTTTTTTTATAGCATTCTGCTCTTGGAATTTACAAATAAATAAGAACAACTTTATTTACACGCATCAAAATCACCCACGAGCGTTTTGTTCCTAGTCAATTTATATAAAATAATTACTACACAATTCTTTTCCAGCACACCTTTTGTTTTATATTAACTACTTTTATAATACACACGTTTCCTCAACAATTATTTAAGCGTGATTTGCAACGTACAACTACTGTACATGTTAAATTATTGAACACGCCTACCAAGGTAGATATCAGCCATACGTTTGAATACCATTGTGGGAGAATTATGAGCGCCTCAAAAACACAAATAAAATGTTGAACTCAACCCTTTTAATCGGACAGCTAATACCACAACTCTGTCTCATCATCGACGTCATCTCCGAAATCCAGATTAGATCCTGATCCTTCAAGTTCATCATCGTCATCAGATTGAGCCAGGCCATAACTGTTATCATCGTCGTTACCATCATGCATGCATTCTGGCAAGCACCACACGAACATAGGTCGGTGCACTGTAAGTCAACCTTTTTGCAGGAACAACGCATGGTCGAGCATCTAGAGTCTTGCACTTGCACTCAACCACTCAATTAAAAATCGCGGAGCGGCTGGGCGTGTCATCCAATTTATCTCCAGCTCTTTATCGTCAAGCGTCCAGCCATTGCCAACCAGTGATGGAAGATCGACTTCTGCACTTAAACACTGATACCATGATGCTGCTTGATTGCTAATGCCATTACCGGTAAAAGCATGAAAGCCTGGTAAACAAAGAGCAACATCCGCGCCCAAGAATTTCGAGATAATTGCTACAAACACACAACGACATCTATCTCCCGTGCCAATCAAAAAGAAAATCTCTTTCTGCATCTGTTGTTGCATGGCAATCGCAGGTATAAGAACATCTGTATCAGGGCTTTTGATCATAACTTTATCGTACGTTGCTGCTGCGTGGTTAGCATGTAGAATTAATTAAACGAGTGTCTGCTTCTTCGTGGTTGCTATGAAGCGAAGACACCTCATTACTTGTTACACTATCGTTCGGGGAATCACCGGGATATAAAACATAGCATCTTTCTTTAGCAGTTACATACATAGTAGAAATGGAACACCACCAGGAAGAGTTACATGACCTCCAGTGTTCACTTTTCAGCTCTTCGTTGTCTCTCTGCATTCTTTATGCTCAACTAAGGATACCTGTCTGCAACAATATAATTGTTTGGAATTATACTTTCGTGCTAGCGTGATGAGGTTTTTAAAAGAGCATCATCGCCAAATGTTTTCCATTTTCCTTTCATCGACTGAATAACTGCCATAGCATCTACAATCAGTGCATTGTTGTTAAATGCACAAACATTGACTTCTGGATTTCCAGATTCATTTTCCAATACTTCAGCAAGTTTAGACTTAGGCCAACTTGGCAGTTTTCACATGTCCTCTCACGTTTTCATAAGGAAAATGTTTGAAATTTGTTCTGTAATACTTCTGTTTAAACTTCGTACAGATGTCTGGGTCTTCGCTCAACAAATTCGTTTTTAGTGGATTGATGATAATAAGATAAAGACGTTGGTAATTAACTTTGTCAAAAAACTGAGATGTTGTAAATAGTTTTGTTGAGAAAACGTGTGTATTATAATGTATTATAAAAGTAGTTAATATAAAACAAAGGCTGGAAAGGAATTGTGTAGTAATTATTTTATATAACTTGACTAGAAACAAAACGCTCGTGGATGATTTTGATGCGTGTAAGCAAAATTGGCGGATGTTTTTCCGATTAATTGTTGTCTAAGTCTTCTCTGACTAATTTGGTTTAGAAAAACTATAACTCCACTCAAAGCTTCCTTGTTGAAACCTGCTTGCACAGCAAAAATGCTGGAAACTTCATGTAAATACCGGTATAAAACTGCTGAATCTGCTATATATGTCGTATATTACACCAAGTATCCTCAACATTTCCTGAATCAAAATGGCGTCGGTGTATTGCAAAACATGCAAATTCACTGATTTTTCGAAGATGAAATGCTCGAAAACTGCAGGTTTATGAAGGTGAAAACAAGTGAATTTAGACTTTCTATAATTTATCCTAATTTTCTATCGTGTTTTCAAGTAGTGCCCGAAGGGGGGCAACGAAAATCGTTTTCTAAGCGACTTTTCGTGCCAGAGAATACGGCCTAAATGGCTTTTCGAAGAAATCAGTCGGGCATAAAGGCCCACACAGACCGGACGCGAATTGGCAACGCGGCGGGAATTTTCAACGTTTTTAATTTTTCAAAATCAAATAAATTTTAAACCATCATAATATTTTTGTAGATTACATAACAATAAAACATTTTGACTGCTCTAGCGTCTATAGTTTCCAAATTTTGCTTCCAGAATTTAATTTTGAGTTTTCAGATGCACATGAATTAATTTCTGGAAGCAAAATTTGGAATCTATGGACGCCAGAGCAGTCGAAATGTATCATCGTTAAGTAATCTACAGGAGTATAATGATAGTTAAAAATTTATTTGATTTTGGAATATCAAAAACTTTGAAAAATCGCGCCGCGTTGCCAAATCGCGTCCGGTCTGTGTGGGCCTTAAGACTACTATTTGCAATTTTGGGCGGCCTTTAATTGTATTGCACTATTTATTTTTCACTTCCAGTGGTGCTTCCCCGTGCGCTTGCTCAGCTAAACCACTGATTTATGTTAAAGCCTTAAGCCTGTAGTGGGCCTATTTATAGTTCGCAAAATCATAACTTTTACAACCAAATTTGTTCTACCGTGGATTTGCCTAAGAATAATGAACTGGAATTAGAATAATGTAATAAGAAGATAATTTACTAGTTGTACACTACTTGGATCGATTTAAACTCTAAGTAAAATTTCGTTCAAAGTCGAACCACAACTAATCCTAACCACACAAACTATATAAGGGACAAAGGGATGCCGACAATGTGTGTTCACGTGGATGCCACGTTTACATCGTGTGGGGATACACGTGAACATGTATGCGTTCGGATTCATAGCATCGGTCATGGTTTATGTGATTAGGGGATTTTAGTATGTTTATCTCACTATTTCATTCATATTCTTTTATAAATTTGGTGGTTCTTAAAAGAACCGTTTTGTATTTTGTCTTTTGTTATCAGTTATCGTTGATTTTCTAGCCACGCGCCATATGCCTTGACTTCAACTTTAGCGCAATGCCGATGAGCATTTACCTCGGTGATGCGATTTCCACATGTCTCGACTGAGTCGAGCATTCGTTAATAAAGGTTTAGTAAACCATTTGGCTAGGTTTAAATTCTAATCTTCATCATCATCATCACTGCCTTTATTTTCTTTCACATCTTGAATCCCATGGTCGTTTAAAAGCCTATTAATAAGAAACTTTTTCTTATCAACTGCAGCTTCTATTGCTTCTTCTGGATCAAAATTATCATTTTGAATAAACGCATCTTTTGTGTGCATTATTTTCTAATGTACTGGGTCTTTCTTCTGGTCTCATCCACAAAAGGCGCTCTAAATAGATATTTTCTTATTCTTTCTGGAGTATAGCTATGACATTCAAGTAAGCTTTCCATGCAGTGTGCTCATCGAAACCACTGTTTTTAAGACTTTCTTTCATTTCCTCCAAACCTGTGTTATTTCTTTGTTTTGCTTTTTCTATTAACGATATCCAGGGATCCATTTCTTCTTCAGATTCTGAGCCAGTCGCCGTCGAACTTCCAGATTGCTGAGTTGAAGTTGTTGAGACATCATCACGGAAATCTCTCTCTTGACTGTCCGAGTCTGTTTGAGACATCTTTCTTTCTTGTTCTCGTAATGGACAGTATTCCCGTTCGTGCCTGCGCAGATTGTAACCACGGCTAAAGTATCTTCCGCAAAAATTGGTAGCTCATTCAATGGCTTGTTATCGAACAGTAATGAAGTTTTATCAGCAGATGAACATGCATGTGCTCATTAGCAGTTATGTGCGTGAGCTCATCTGCCCATCGCATAAAACTGCACCGGTTCATTGAGATTTTTTAGGCCCAAACTCCTCTAATAAATTTTGTTCAATTCAGAAAGTAATGTCGGTTACAATTTTTAAGCAGATGAGTGGTGCTCATAACTGCTCATGAGCGACTGCTCATCGGATGATCGGCTCATCGCAAAATTGATACTCGATTTTTGAATAGATATTGATTGTCCTTCTGAAGATTTGCTAGCCTATAGCAACCACAAGTGCTCGAGCTAAACACATTTTGTCAGTGTTATTAATAGGTATAATTGATCGCTTGCTGATCAAGTAAATTGATCTCATGTCGTTTCTTTCCGGTGCCTCCGTTGGGCATATCAACGTTTCACAATATTAACATTTACTGAATCATCTAATCTGAATTCCCGATTAGATTGAGTAACTCGTTCAATTCTTGCTAAACACGGTTAGTCGTACTCAATTTCGCGCGACTTTAATTTCGCGATTTTATCGTAGCCATATTGCCCGAGACTTTATTTTCGCGATTTTGATGGACGGGAAATACATATAAAAGGGCATTAAATTTCTTTTGTTTTGAGTTACCATTGTATTATTTTATTAGCTGTACATGTTGTTGGTCATTATTTATTAAAACATTTTTTCAATTGCGAAATTAAAGTCGCGTGAAAGTAAGCACGAATAGGTAGTTGTAAACCATTTCTATCCATAAAGAATACACTTGTTTTAAACTCCGAGTGAATTTCTCTTTTAAAGTTGAACCACAACTAATATATTCCCGATCATACTTACTAAACTTCACCACTGGGTTGGTTATTTGTCTTAGAAACGATAGAAAAAAAATTCTCAACGGAGAATTTATCAACAAGAGCCCCTCGACATTAAATTGTCTCATTTTTACATTCTTAACGTTTATAATAGAAATTGATACGAAGGAAGAAACAAGAGGAAGTACAAGTGTCTGCGAATATGGTTCGAAACATCTTCGAGACGACGAAATAACTTCTCAGAGTCCAATGCAGTCTCCCTCATTAGCAATTGTGAATTTTTTGGTTCAATATTGTCGTGCTGACTTAAGTTGTAAAGATGAGTCGGGCAAAACTGCTTTACATCATGCTGTTGATGTTGTCAAATATTTTGTTGAACAATGTGGTGTTGATGTAAAAAAAGAAGGGTTGACAGCACTGAACGATGCTGTTACTAAAGGTGCTCTAGAAATAGTAAAATATCTTGTTAAACATGAAGCTGATGTAAATGGTAAGGATAATAACGGGTGGACTGTGCTTCACGATGCTGTTACTAAAGGTACGCTAGAAATGGTGAAATATCTTGTTGAACATGGCGCTGATGTAAATGGTAAAGATATATACGGATGGGCAGTGCTTAACTATGCTGCTAAAGGTACGATAGAAATGGTAAAATATCTTGTTGAACATGGCGCTGATGTAAATGGCAAGAATAATAACGCGCAGACTGTGCTGCACGATGCTGTTACTAAAGGTACGCTAGAAATAGTGAAATATCTTGTTGAACATGGCGCTGATGTAAATGGTAAGGATATATACGGATGGGCAGCGCTTAACTATGCTGCTACTAAAGGTACGATAGAAATGGTAAAATATCTTGTTGAACATGGCGCTGATGTAAATGGCACGGATACTAACGGGAGGACAGCGCTTCACGCTGCTGTTAGGGTTAATAGATTAGAAATTGTGAAATATCTTGTTGAACATGGCGCTGATGTAAATGGCAAGGATACTAACGGGTGGACAGCGCTTCACGCTGCTGTTAGGGTTAATAGATTAGAAATGGTGAAATATCTGGTTGAACATGGCGCTGATGTAAATGGAAAGAATACTGACGGGTGGACAGTGCTGCACACTGCTGGTAGTAAAGGTAAGCTAGAAATGGTGAAATACCTTGTTGGACATGGCGCTGATGTAAATAACAAGGATAAAAAAGGGAGGACATTCTTGCATGCTGCTGTCATTCCTGGCGGATTAGAAATTGTCAAGTATTTAGTTGACCGGGGTTCTAACATAACTCTGAAAAGTGAAATCAGCGTTCATACTCTTGGCAATAACATAATGAAGATTGCTGTTGAGAAAAATTCAGTTGCTTTGGTCAATCTTCTGTTGGAAAAGAACATCGCTGTGTGGAGAGCTGGAACATTTCATGTTGAAGGAAGACAAATGAGTCTTCTTGAATGGAGTATTCACCTTGGCCATGATGAAATTGCAACTATCCTCAAAAGGTCCGTAAATCATCGTGAGAAGATTCAGATGTTGAAAACAATGAATTGCAACAATTTAGAAGAGGTAAATATTTTTTTAAATATATAAAATGTTGTTTCAGTGAGTTTAGGCAGTAACCAAGGTTAATAGGAAGTTTACGATCCACGACGTGGTATAGCTCGACAACGCGCATTTGGATTCGTACCTGTTTAACCAAGGCTTGTGTGATGTGTGAAAACTGTTACAGATTTATTGCCTTCGTTTATTTAAACACTCGAATGCTTTTTCTAGTTTTTTTCTTCTCCCCACAGAAAATCTATTGTTTTTTAATTATAATTTTCTCCCCCATAGACTGAAACACCGATGCAGGCTTTTGCCGCAAAGAATCAATTCAAAATTGGCGATGGTGGTTTTTCTTGTGTCTATGTTGGTCTCATGAAGGATGGAAGTGAAGTTGCTGTTAAGAGAATTTTGGTACAAAGTGAGGATGAAACAGTTGAAAACGAAAAGGAAATCATGAGTCTCATTGAAACAAACTCTCCATTTATAGTGAAATATCGACATTTTCACCGTGACGATACCTTCATGTATCTTATTGTTGATCTTTGCGAAGAAACGTTGAGGGAACTTGTTCAAGCATCCAGTATAAAACATCTACAAGAGCACGGTCCACAAATGATTTGGGAAATTCTATCAGGACTTGAATTTCTTCATTGGAAAGGAATATTGCACAGAGATCTAAAACCATCAAACGTCCTGGTTGATATCGAAGGTCGCATGAAATTAGCAGACTTTGGAATAAGCCGCGTTTTAAAAGACGATGAAACGACTGTTGAAACATTTGCTAAAGGTACTCCAGGATGGATGCCACCGGAAGTAATTGAGGCAATAGTTAAAAAAGAAAAGGGTCATTTCAAAAGAAAATCAGATGTCCATGTCGCGGGTATGATTGCTTTTTACGTGTTGACCAAAGGTGAACATCCTTTTGGATCTGAATTAGAACGAATGAAAAATATTTTAGAGGATAATCCTGTCAATTTGGAGAAACTTGGTAATCGCAGAGCTCGTAGGTTTGTGTCGTGGCTCATTAGTCACAAGATTGATGATAGACCTTATGCTGACGAAGCATTGAGGGATTCCTCATTAAGCTACAACACAAGGAACGCAGTGTTTGTTTGAAATGATCTTCTTAGCCCAAGTTGGTCCTTCAAGGGAAAATTTGGAATCACAAAAGTGCGACAGAACTAGTAGTATAACTGGTAGTATCAGGTGACATTATAGAGCAACACTAAACGCTGTGCAGATTTGTATTTCGTAGACGGTCGATAGCAACTTTGATGGTTGCTAGCATCATTTACAGCTTCGGAAGTCGCCGTGTATCTCGCGACACTTTCCGAATCCTTTCGTCAAAAATCAATAACACGTTCAACATTATTGTTTAAGTTATTTTAATAATTTGCGAAGTTGTTTTATTTAGGTTTTTAGGTGATTCTCGATCCTAGGCCAGTCAGCGTGATAATAATTTAGCAGAATGCGCTGTAGTTCTTATGCATAAATTGAAATTAGCTCCCGTTGGGCATTCTATATTTCTTACACTTAAAATATTCTTGTTATAAAGACTTTTTTACACAACGTGTTGTTGGTTCAAGTAGAATATAAATATCACAGTCTTGATTTATTAATAAATACGATTTTCATAGAAAAAGTGGCATTTTCATAGAAAGAAACTATTAGCTATCTACAAACGCCAATAGCATAGAGAATGCAGGGGGGTGTGAAAATCACCCTGGTGCACGAAGCGAAAGATATGGTACAACTGAATGATTTTAAAATGCTGTTTGTTAAAAGTTTTTAATCCGAAAAAATTTCTCGCTAAACTCAGGATGCGGGGCACCACGTCAGTGCGCCCCCTCCTCCCAAAGAGGTATACCCAACACAACCACCCCCTCAGTTAATGCGTTAACACCAAATGGCATTCACATTGTCTCAGCACCGCTGTCGACGATCAAGCGAACTAAAAAGGTTGTATCTTTAGTCACTTCCATAAGACAAACACCACGTACAAACTACAGGTGGCATTTTGAGCCCATTTCTCAGAACAATTCATATTGTATATTCATTCGGCTTTTTTCCTCAGAGGGGGTAAATACCGAACTAGACGGAGTCAATACAAACCAACTTAGCATAGCAAGGTCTGTACTATACAGGAATGATTCTCTCGTGGCTGAAATTACCCTGGATATTTTAAACACATTGTGATCTCTATGTCATAGATACTGTATATCATTGATATATCTTGCACATGCAGAGACAAACCAGTCTAGCATAGTAAGATCTATACTATACAGGAATGGTTCCCATGTCCAAAGTTTCCGTAGACATTCTGTCAAAACAGTCATTTAGGTCATAGACATATTCCTGACATATCTCGCATTTATTAAACTGTTGGTCAGTTCTACCGGCCTCACGACGCAAACTAGCGAGGTTCAGATTTGACTACCACTACCGCCACCTCTCCCTAATCTATTAAGCTGGTGATTGGTTAGTCTGATAGACCTATCGCATTTGATTGGTTTATATTCCCTCAAAGGTTGTGGTAGTCGTAGTGGTAGTCAAATCTGAACCTCGCTATTATCGCTTGTAAGACAGACGAACAGGAAGAAGAAGATCCGACATTACCTTGTTCTTTCGTGAATATCTTCAACTCTTTTGCATGAAGCTTTCAATCTTGGATTCCAGTCTCGACTCCATGGCGATGTAACCATTATCTCGTTTCTATAACAAGGAAATTAAAGAGAGAATTTATGTGAATACCTGAGAGACATTTTGCTTCAAAGCAAGAATGTATTGTTTGGGATTTTGATTGTTTGGAGTGCCATTTATTGTACAGATTCCGAGGCAGCTGACATGTTTTTTGTATTTTTAAAGTTCGTGTTTAGAAATATCTTATAATATTGAACAAGAAAGTAAGATTGAAGTGCGTCGTTTGAAGAAAATTAAATATTTCCGCTGCACAATCAAAATCGTCTGCGACACCTGGCTCGAAATTCAGGTAGAATGGTTTCAGGATGGAACTTTTAGAGGCGTATAAATATTCCGACACAGCACAGGATATTGTTCAAATTACGGACTGTACCAAATCTTTGAACTACATTCATTTTAACTGAAAGAGGTGGGTCACAGATATTAGAAAACTGTTTGTGACGATCTTGAGAAACAGACAGTTATAAGGAAGGTTCTATTTTAATAATATATACGATATACACAGTCATCAAACCTTAAACTTAACATGAATAGTGTCAAAAACGCATTGCTACAAAGTCATATCTTGCAATGATTGTTGCAAGATTTGTTATTCTTTTGTATTCGTGTCAAAAATGTGAATGTGCCAGCAAACTTATAAACGTTAAAGATAAATATTGCCAGATTTTCACTTCAAAAAGCCTGAGAACTAGTTTCGTTTATCGTTTGCAATGCGGGGGAAATCCGTTCTCGGCAGGTCATCTTCAACATCACAGCATGAGGTTGTTTGAATAACAAAGACCACTGTCGACAACACCTCATTTTGATCTAAAATTAGGTTTGATTTGCCGAAAACGAAGATGACAAAATTTTGATCTAAATTATTCGTTTCATTTTCGAAGCTGTATCGACGCTCTTTATTATGATGTAGAACATAAACCATTGAACTGATTAAAGGTGGGTAAGTAGATTATAATCACAGTAATTTGCTTCAGCACTGCAGAAATCAGAAGCGACTAGAAATTATGTTATGGTTGAGTCGCATATTTGTGCAATGCATTGTGTGTCACATTATTAAATTGCCAAACTAACTACAAGAATTCAACATCAGTGAGTTAAGAAGTATTCATGTCAACCTCAGAGGGGTTACCTCAAATGGGGTATTTTGTTGATGTAAAGGTTCACACGATTTCATTTTGGTGGATCCAATTCACTTGTGATGTATGGAATGTAGTCTGTTATTGATAAAGCAGTACATTGGTTTTAGTTGATTCCCTGTCCATATACACATTGCAAGTCAACAAACTATAAAACATCCATCAGAAGTGAATTGGATCCGACGAGATTGGATCGTGTGAACAGAACTTTGCAGGGAATTACAAATAACAATTTGTTTCATTTATTGATTTAATGCTGGGGTCTTAAAGCAAAAGTAATAGCGGGCTGTAGTAAAATACAAAAGAACTCGTCTGACCGTTTTTAACGTGCAAAGAAAACCGGTCCTTAAAGACCCAAACCTTGCTAGAAACGAATGTAAAAAGGGACGAAAATTTACTCTTCGTGTGTCTGAAATTTGATTTCGTTCTAAGCCAATGAAGGTGTTTGTTTATATTTTTCCTCTTGACGAGTAAGAAGGGCGAAATACGAGCAATCTCGGGGAAAGAATATTGTCGTCTTCTCATGTATTTGTACAGAGCAGTCGTTACAAGGCTTAAATAAGGTGTTGATTCATAAATCAATGTTTACATACTGTTAAACATCGCTTTCCAAAGAATCACTCGGGCATAAGAAGAATTAGACGTCAAGCAACGCGCAACACAATTCATTTGCAATTTTCATTTTTGGGCTGCCCTTAATTGTATTGCACTTTTTATTTTTCACTACCAGTGGTGTTTTCCCGTTCGCTTCTTCAGTTTAGCCACTGATCTATGTTAAAGACTGTAGTGTGCCTATTTAAGTTCGCCCTGGGTACGAGCCTGAAATATTTAATAAATATTTGTCACCAAGTTCGCGTCAGGTTGTCAGAAATATTCTCATTTTAAAGCTGATAGCTTATGAAAACTAGATCAAATTTTGCTATGTATGGCATTTTTTTAATAAAAATAAAATTTCGTTGAAACCATGACAAATCCAAACGATACTTGCTGGGCTTGTTGTTCACTTTAGGAACGATAAAAAGATAAATTTTCAACGGCGCAAGAACAACTCGAAATTAAATTGTCTCAATTTTACATTCTTAGCGATACGATGAAATAACTTCTCAGAGTCCAATGCAGTCTCCATCATTAGCAATTGTGAAGTTTTTGGTTAAATATTGTGGTGCTGACTTAAGTTGTAAAGATGAGTCGGGCAAAACTGCTTTACATCATGCTGTTGATGTTGGTGGAACAGACATTGTCAAATATTTAGTTGAACAATGTGGCGTTGATGTAAATGACAAGAATAAAAAAGGGTGGACAGCGCTGAACAATGCTGTTACTGAAGGTTCGCTGGAAATAGTTAAATATCTTGTTGAACATGGAGCTGATGTAAATGGCAAGGATGTATACGGATGGACAGTGCTTCACTCTGCTGTTACTAAAGGTTCGCTAGAAATAGTGAAATATCTTGTTGAACAAAGCGCTGATGTAAATGGTAAGGGTAATGACGGAACGACAGTGCTGCACTATGCTCTTATTGTAAAAAGTACGTTTGAAATAGTAAAATATCTTGTTGAAAGCGGCGCTGATGTAAATGGCAAGAGAATTAACGGGTGGACAGTCTTGCACTCCGCTGTTAAAAAAGGTACGCTAGAAATAGTGGAATATCTTGTTGAAAAAGGCGCTGATGTAAATGGAAAAGATGATGGCGGGTCAACACCGCTGCATGGTGCTTTTTGTAAAGGTTCTATACAAATGGTAAAATATTTCATTGAAAATGGCGCGGATGTAAATGCCAAGAACGCTAACGGAGAGACAGTGCTGCATTATGCTGTTACTGAAAGTTCTCTAGAAATGGTAAAATACCTTGTTGAAAACGGCGCTGATATAAAAGGAGAAGATACTGACGGATGGACAGTTCTGCACAGTGCTGCTACTAAAGGTACGCTAGAAATGGTAAAATATCTTGTTGAAAACGGCGCTGATGTAAATGGAGAAGATACTGACGGGTTGACAGTGCTGCGCTCTGCTGTTACTAAAAGTTCTCAAGAAATAGTAAAATATCTTGTTGAAAAAGGCGCTGATGGAAATGGTAAGGATACTGACGGGTGGACAGTGCTGCACTCTGCTGTTGCTGAAAGTACGCTGGAAATAGTAAAATACCTTGTTGAAAACGGAGCTGATGTAAATAGTAAGAATACCGATGGCTGGACTGTGCTGCACCTTGCTGTCATTGTAAACATGCTTAGAATGGTAAAATATCTTGTTGAAAACGGCGCTGATATAAATGGTGAGAATACTGAAGGTTCCACAGTGCTGCACTCTGTTACTGAGATAAATGCCAAGCAAAGTGACGGGAGTACAACGCTGGACGATCTTGTTTTATATGAAGATAGACTAGGAATTATGAAATATCGCGTTGAAGATGGCGCTAATGTAAATGGAAAGGATACTGACGGGTGGACAGTGCTTCATAATGCACCTTCTCAAGGTACGTTAGAAATGGTAAAATATCTTGTTAAAAATGGAGCTGATGTAGATGGAAAAGATACTGACGGATGGACAGTTCTGCACAGTGCTGCTACTAAAGGTACGCTAGAAATGGTAAAATATTTTGTTGAAAACGGCGCTCATGTAAATGGTAAGAATACTGAAGGGTGGACAGTGCTGCACCCTGCTGTTGCTGAAAGTTCTCTTGAAATAGTAAAATATCTTGTTGAAAACGGCGCTGATGTAAATGGAAAGAATACTGAAGGGTGGACAGTGCTGCACTTTGCTGTTAGTGAAAGTACGCTGGAAATAGTAAAATATCTTGTTGAAAACGGCGCTGATGTAAATGGTAAGAATACTGAAGGGTGGACAGTGCTGCACTTTGCTGTTAGTGAAAGTACGCTGGAAATAGTAAAATATCTTGTTGAAAACGGCGCTGATGTAAATGGAAAGAATACTGAAGGGTGGACAGTGCTGCACTTTGCTGTTAGTGAAAGTACGCTGGAAATAGTAAAATACCTTGTTGAAAACGGCGCTGATGTAAGTGGAGAAGATACTGACGGATGGACAGTTCTGCACACTGCTGCTACTGAAGGTACGCTAGAAATGGTAAAATATCTTGTTGAAAACGGCGCTGATGTAAATTGTAAGGATACTGATGGGTGGACAGTGCTGCACACTGCTGCTACTGAAGGTACGCTAGAAATGGTAAAATATCTTGTTGAAAACGGCGCTGATGTGAATGGTAAGGATACTGACGGATGGACAGTGCTGCACTCTGCTGTTACTAAAAGTTCTCTAGAAATGGTAAAATATCTTGTTGAAAACGGCGCGGATGTAAATGCCAAGAAGACTAACGGAGAGACAGTGCTGCATTATGCTGTCACGAAAAGCTCTCTAGAAATGGTAAAATACCTTGTTGAAAACGGCGCTGATGTAAATTGTAAGGATACTGATGGGTGGACAGTGCTGCACTCTGCTGTTACGAAACGTTCTCTAGAAATGGTAGAATACCTTGTTGAAAACGGCGCTGATGTAAATGGAGAAGATACTGAAGGATGGACAGTTCTGCACACTGCTGCTACTGAAGGTACGCTAGAAATGGTAAAATATCTTGTTGAAAACGGCGCTGATGTAAATTGTAAGAATACTGAAGGGTGCACAGTGCTGCACACTGCTGTTGCTGAAAGTTCTCTAGAAGTAGTAAAATATCTTGTTGCAAACGGCGCTGATGTAAATGGTAAGAATACTGAAGAGTGGACAGTGCGGCACCCTGCTGTTGCTGAAAGTTCTCTAGAAGTAGTAAAATATCTTGTTGAAAACGGCGCTGATGTAAATGGAAAGAATACTGAAGGGTGGACAGTGCTGCACTTTGCTGTTACTAAAAGTTCTCCAGAAAAAGTGAAATATGTTGTTGAAAAAGGCGCTGATGTAAATGGTAAGAATACTGACAGGCGGACAGTGCTGCACCCTGCTGTTGCTGAAAGTACGCTGGAAATAGTGAAATACCTTGTTGAAAACGGAGCTGATGTGAATGGTAAGAATACCGATGGCTGGACTGTGCTGCACCTTGCTGTCATTGTAGGCATGCTTAGAATGGTAAAATATCTTGTTGAAAACGGCGCTGATATAAATGGTGAGAATACTGAAGGTTCCACAGTGCTGCACTCTGTTACTGAGATAAATGCCGAGCAAAGTGACGGGAGTACAACGCTGGACGATCTTGTTTTATATGAAGATAGACTAGGAATTATGAAATATCTCGTTGAACATGGCGCTGATGTAAATGGAAAGGATACTGACGGGTGGACAGTGCTTCATAATGCAGCTTCTCAAAGTACGTTAGAAATGGTAAAATATCTTGTTGAAAATGGAGCTGATGTAGATGGAAAAGATACTGACGGATCGACAGTGCTGCACAGTGCTGTTACTGAAGGTACGCTAGAAATAGTAAAATATCTTGTTCAAAATGGAGCTGATGTAAAAGAAAAAGATACTGACGGATCGACAGTGCTGAACACTGCTGTTACTACTAAAGGTAGGCTGGAAATAGTAGAATGTCTTGTTGAACATGGTGCTGATTTAAATGGTACGAGGAATAACGGTTGGACAGTGCTGCACTCTGCTGTTACTAAAAGTTCTCTGGAAATAGTAAAATATCTTGTTGAAAACGGCGCTGATGCAAATGGTAAGGATACTAACGGATGGACAGTGCTGCGCTATGCTGTTACTGAAGGTACGCTAGAAATGGTAAAATATCTTGTTGAAAATGGAACTGATGTAAATGACACGGGTGCTGATGGACAGACAGTACTGCATGTTGCTGTCGATGTTGGTGCATTAGAAATTGACAAGTATTTAATTGAACAGGGTGCTGACATAACTCTGAAAAGTAAAAGCAGCGTTCATACTCTTGGCATTGACATCCTGAAAATGGCTGTTGTGAAAAATTCAGTTGCTTTGGTCAATCTTCTGTTGGAAAAGAACATCGCTGTGTGGAGAGCTGGATCATTTCTTGTTGAAGGAAGACAAATGAGTCTTCTTGAATGGAGTATTCACCTTGGTCATGATGAAATTACAACAATCCTCAAAAGGTCCGTAAAACATCGTGAGAAGATTCAGATGTTGAAAACAATGAATTGCAAAAAGTTAGAAGAGGTAAATATTTGTTAAACATTTGTTTCAGTGAGTTTGGGCAGTAACCAAGGTTTACGATCCGTGGTAGCTCGACAAGGCGATGTGTGAATACTGTTACAGATTTATTGCCTTCATTTATTTAAACACTTAAATGTTTTCTTGCTTTTTTCTTCTCACCACAGAAAATCTATTCTTTTTTAATTATAATTTTCTCCCCATAGATTGAAACACCGATGCAGGCTTTTGTCGCAAAGATTCAATTCAAAATTGGTGCTGGTGGTTTTTCTTGTGTCTATGTTGGTCTCATGAAGGATGGAAGTGAAGTTGCTGTTAAGAGAATTTTGGTACAAAGTGAGGATGAAACAGTTGAAAATGAAAAGGAAATCATGAGTCTTATTGGAGCAAACTCTCCATTTATAGTGAAATATCGACATTTTCAACGTGACGATACCTTCATGTATCTTATTGTTGATCTTTGCGAAGAAACCTTGAGGGAACTGGTTCATGCATGCAGTATTGAACATCTACAACAGGAAAGTCCACGAATCATTAGAGAAATTCTATCAGGACTTGAATTTCTTCATGGTAAAGGAATATTGCACAGAGATCTAAAACCATCAAACGTCCTGGTTGATATCGAAGGTCGCATGAAATTAGCAGACTTTGGAATAAGCCGCACTGTTAATCACGAGGAAACGACAGTTGAAACAGATGCAAAAGGTACTCGTGGATGGATGCCACCGGAAGTAATTGAAGCAATAGTTAAAAAAGAAAAAAGTCGTTTTAAAAAGAAATCAGATGTCCATGTCGCGGGTATGATTGCTTTTTACGTGTTAACCAAAGGTGAACATCCTTTTGGATCTGAATTAGATCGAATGAAAAATATTTTAGAGGATAATCCTGTCAATTTGGAGAAACTTGGTGACCACGAAGCTCGTAGGTTTGTGTCGTGGCTGATTAGTCGCAAGATTGATGATAGACCTCACGCTGACGAAGCATTGAGGGATTCCTTATTTAGCAACACCACAACGAACACAGCGAACAATTAGACCACCAACCACGACGTTTGTTTGAAATGACGAATCCTTTCTAGCCAAAGTTTGTTCTTGAAGGGAGAATTTGGAGCGACACAAGGGCGACAGAACATAGCTAATTTTAAAATAATTATCACAATAGTATAGTAGAGGGGGGAGGGGACAACCCAAGTTTGTTCTTGAAGGGGAAACTTGGAGCGACACAAGGGCGACAAAACATAGCTAATTTTAAAATAATTATCACAATAGTATAGTAGAGGGGGGAGGAGACAGCCCAAGTTTGTCCTTCAAGGGGAACTTTTGAGCGACAAAAATTGGACACACAAGGGCGACAAAACCAGTCCCATCGGGCGACAATAAAGCAATGCTGAACGCGGCCGCCGTGGATTTGCATTTCGTAGACGGTCGGTAACAACTTTGATGGTCGGTAGCATCATTCGGAAATCGGCGTTCATTTCGCGACACTTTCCGAATCAAAAAATCGACAAGAAGGTGTTTTAATTATATGCGAATTTGCTCTATCGACGTGATTCTCAATCCTATTTCAATTATCCTGATAATAGTTTAGCAGAATGTGCTGTAGTTCTTATAAATAAATTGAAATTAGCTACAGTTAGAATAAATATATATATTTCTTACACTTAAAATATCCTTACCACGACGTGTGGTTGGTTCAGGTAGAACCTCAATATTACAGTCTTCAATATATTGTACACTATTTGAAAGAAAGATTTCATAACTGAGGGGCTGTTCACATGAGCCAGGTGACCAAGATGACTTTAAAAAAGCTGTTTGGACAATGGAGAACTAACTAGGCTAACTAGCCATTTGTCATAACGTCTTTAAAATTATAGGATTATATTTGTTCGTTGCGAGAACGATTTTGCTAGAGACTAACTGTAAATAGTCCCAGATTTAATTGACGCTGTATCGCCTGCGACATGACTTATGCTGTATGGAAGGAAGGTGTTAAGATAGAGTTAGAAGCAGTAGAGACTCGGTGATTGTTTTTATTCCTTCATCAATGGCGGACGTGTTGAAGGGAGCTCTTATACTTTTGTTAATAATTGTAGCTTTTCAAGTAAAAAAGCGCTCTAATTTTACTAGCCCTGATTCTATCGGACTATCGGTACGGACTTCGGTAAAGAAGTGTCTGATAAACAAGATAATAGCCACGAACAATCCGGAGACAATTAAAATTGCAGATGTAATTCCTCTTTCTATTGGGGATCATGATATGGTGGGATGCGTAAGGAAGATGAACTCAAGGAAGTTTAAGCCTAAAAAAATTGTCTGCCGTAATTACACTCGCTATGACCCTAAAGTATTAAACGATACGCTTCGAAAAATTGATTGATCTGTTATTTGTAACTGTGGCGATGTGAATGCGGCTTGGCAGTTAATGAAAGCTATAATTACTGGCGTTTATGATAGATTTGCTCCAGTTATTATTGGTGTGAAAGGAGTGAAAGGTAAACCAGCACCGTGGCTATCGATTGAACTTAAGAAACTTATGAATGACAGAGATGGTCTTTTGCGTAGATACCTAAGGACGAAAGAGAGCCAAGATTATCTCTTATATAAACAAAAGCGAAATGAAGTAAACGGAGCCGTAAGACGAGCTAAATCCCAGCATACCAGGAACCTGCTTGATGAAAATCGAAATAAACCGGATGCTTTCTGGAGTGTTATAAAGTCACTTTACCCGACGAATTCATCATCTGGTATTACAAGTCAGTCCTTTGATGTGGATGGTCAGGTTTTGATAGACGCTGATAAAATTTCAAGTGCCTTTTGTACACATTTTACTACCATTGTATCTCGTCTAAAGCAGAAGGCTTTTTCATTACTCAATCTTACCTGGAGAATCTCCAATGGCATTGCAAATAGAACTGATATGATGTCCTGTATCGGTCTCGGAAGTTCTTAGTATTTTAAAGTCTCTTAAATGCTCTAAATCAGTTGGCGTTGATAACTTGCCATCTCGTCTATTAAAGGACTCAGCATCCACCATAGTTTTGCCTCTAACTCATATCGTTAATCTATCCTTGGAGAGTGGACTGGTCCCTACTGAATGGAATTCAGCTAAAATTGTTCCGATCCATAAAGCAGGATCTAAATCAATCTTGGATAATTATCGGCCTATATCGATTCTGCCAGCAATATCAAAGGTGCTTGAGAGAGTTGTTCACCGTCAGCTAATGAGTTATTTATCTGACCATAAACTATTATCAGAGCATCAGTTTGGTTTTAGACCTAAAATGTCCACCGAACTAGCATCTATCAAGTTAGTTGATGACATTCGCCTAAATGTTGATAAAGGAAACCTGGTCGGAGCCACGTTTATAGACTTGACGAAAGCGTTTGACACTGTTAACCATTCTCAGTTGTTGAACAAGTTACCGAAATATGGTGTTCATGGAAAAGAGCTTGATTGGTTTAAAGATTATTTATTTCACCGAGAGGTGCGGGTTGCTTATGGTGGCAATTTGTCCCAAGAATCTTATTCCTACATTGGTGTACCACAGGGCTCAATATTAGGCCCGGTATTATTTGTAATATATAGCTTTTAATGATGTGGCTGATGTAGTCAAGGAATCCAGTATAATTATGTTTGCTGATGATGTAGTTCTGTATGCTGCTGGTGATATAAAGGTAATTAACTCAAAATTGTCAAATGATATGGAAAGTATCGCCGCTTGGATGGATGAAAATGAATTCATTGTGAATTTAAACTGAGAAGGTAAAACTGAGATGCTCTTGTTTGGAACAATGAAACGCCTATCCAAGTTAAATGAGCCAATGTCCGTGAACTATAAAGAATCCCCCATTAGGCAAGTATCGGTGTACAGGTACCTTGGTGTTGAAATTAATTCGTCACTGAATCTCAAATCGCATTTTGATGCCACATTTAAACGGACATCATCAAGACTACGATTGTTGCGGAAGATTAGACCACAATTAAATCTCCCATCTGCCAAAGCAATATATCAAGGAATGATCATTCCAGTATTAACCTACTGTGGAGTGTTAAATTTAAACTTAACTACAACGCAGCGAGATCGAGTGGACTCCTTTCACAAGCGAGCTTTGAATATAATTTTCACCGGCAGTGTTCCTGATCAAGATTTTCCATCAGCTATGGAGTTGAAGAACAAGCGAGCATGTGTCTTAATAAGGAAGATCATGGATGGTGATATCTGTGAGTCATTGTGTGGTCATTTTATTCGTAACGAACATCGTAAAGTAACTAGAAATAATGGTTATTTAGCGGTTTTACCTAAAATAAAGACTGAATATGGACGTAGAAGTTTTCACTTTATGGGAGCAAAAGTGTATAATGAGCTCCCCTTAGAGGTTAGGCAGATTGATAAATTTAAAGATTTTGTAAATAAAGTATTATGGTAATTTTCCTATATCTTATTTACATCGACTGGTTTTTATGGTCTCTCCTATGGATTTTATGGACCCTTCGACTTATTATATAGTATTTTAATAATTACTACGTTAACAGGACTCACATTGATAACAGCACTTCTGTGCTGAAGTGTATATATCCTGTTTTTAAATATTCGTTTTAATAATAATAATAATAATAATAAATAATATTTACACTTCTTTTGCTGACGAAGAGTAAAAATATATAATTGCAGTACGTAGAAGCTTTGTGGTGTTATAGATGCTCCAGGTCTCTGGCTCCAGGTTTAATCTGTAACTCGAGCCGCAAACCGGAAATTGCATCTTACTGGTTTATTGACTTTTGTGAAATACCACAGACGATAGTTGATTTTGATGACAAAGATTTTTATTCGATATATTTGTTTCATTTACGATGTTGTATCGACGCTCTTTATTATGATGTGGAACATAAACCATTGAACTGATTGAAGGTGGGTAAGTAGATTAGAATCACAGTGATTTGCTTCAGCACTGCAGAAATCAGAAGCGACTAGAAATTATGTTATGGTTGAGTCGCATATTTGTGCAATGCATTGTGTGTCACATTATTAAATTGCTAAACTAGCTACAAGAATTCTACATCAGTGAGTTAAGAAGTGTTCATGTCAACCTCAGAGGGGTTACCTCAAATGGGGGTATTCTGTTCAGGTAAAGTGTCACACGATTCCACTTTGGTGGAACCAATTCACTTGTGATGTATGGAATGTAGTCTGTTATTGATAAAGCAGTACATTGGTTTTATTTGATTCTCTGTCCATATATACATTGCAAGTCAACAAACTATAAAACATCCATCAGAAGTGAATTGGATCCGACGAAATTGGATCGTGTGAACAGAACTTTAAAGTTCGAGCATTGCAGGGAATTACAAATTACAATATATTTCATTTAATGCCGGGGTCAGTAATCGCGGACTGTAGTAAAATACAAAAGAACTGGTCTGATCGTTTTTGACGTGCAAAGAAAAACGGTCGTTAAAGACCCAAACGGCCAAACCTTGCTAGAAACGAAGGTGAAAAGTCAGACTTGTAGTCAGGGACGAAAATCAATTCGTGTTGTGTCTGAAAATTTGATTTCGTTCTAAGTCGTTGAACGCGTTTGCTCGGATTTTTTTTCTCTTATGAAGTAAATAAAAATGGTGAAATACGAACAATCGTGGGTAGAGAATTTTTCCGTCTTCTCGTGCATTTGTACAGAACCGTCGTTAGAAGGTTTAAATAAGGTCAACATTCATAAATCAATGTTTACATACTGTTAAACATCGCTTTCCAAAGAAATCCACTCGGACTCCATAAGAAGAAATAGATGTCAAGCGACGCGCATTAATTGTATTGCACTCTTCATTTTTGAGTAAAATTTCGTTGAAAGCATGACTTATCCCAACGATACTCACTGGGTTTCAGCACTGGGCTTGTTTTTCACTTTAGAAATTATAGAAAAAATGAAATGATAAGAAGCAAGAATCAAGTGGAAGTACAAGTGTCTGCGAATATGGTTCGAAACATCTTCGAGACGATGGAATAACTTCTCAGAGTCCAATGCAGTCTCCATCATTAGCAATTGTGACGTTTTTGGTTAAATATTGTCGTGCTGACTTAAGTTGTAAAGATGAGTTGGACAAAACTGCTTTACATTATGCTGTTGATGTTGGTGAAACAGACATTATCGAATATTTTGTTGAACAATGTGGCGCTGATGTAAATGACATGGATAAAAGAGGGCGGACAGCGCTGCACTATGCTGTTACACAAGGTACGCTAGAAATTGTAAAATATCTTGTTGAACATGGCGCTGATGTAAATGACAAGGATAAAGTAGGGAGTACGGCGCTGAAGTATGCTGTTACTAAAGGTAGGCTAGAAATGATGAAGTATCTTGTTGAACATGGCGCTGATGTAAATGACGAGGATAACGTAGGGAGGACCGCGCTGAGCTATGCTGTTACACAAGGTACGCTAGAAATGATGAAGTATCTTGTTGAACATGGCGCTTATGTAAATGACAAGGATAACGTAGGGAGGACGGCGCTGAGCTATGCTGTTACTAAAGGTAGGGTAGAAATGATGAAGTATCTTGTTGAACATGGCGCTGATGTAAATGACAAGGATAACGTAGGGAGGACGGCGCTGAGCTATGCTGTTACTAAAGGTAGGGTAGAAATGATGAAGTATCTTGTTGAACATGGCGCTGATGTAAATGACAAGGATGACGTAGGGAGGACGGCGCTGCACTATGCTGTTATTAAAGGTACGCTAGAAATGATGAAGTATCTTGTTGAACATGGCGCTGATGTAAATGGTAAGCATATTTACGGACGGACAGTGCTGCACTCTGCTGTTACTAAAGGTACGCTAGAAATTGTAAAATATCTTGTTGAACATGGCGCTGATGTAAATGGAGAGGATATTTATGGACGGACAGTGCTGCACGATGCTGCTAGTGAAAGTACACGAGAAATGGTAAAATATCTTGTTGAACATGGCGCTGATGTAAACGTCAAGTATTTAGTTGTACAGGGTGCTGAAACTCTGAAAAGTTATACTCTTGGCATTGAAATCCTGAAGAGGGCAGTTCTGGAAAATTCAGTTGTTTTGGTCAATCTTCTGTTGGAAAAGAACATCGCTGTGTGGAGAGCTGGAACATTTCTTGTTGAAGGAAAGCAAATGAGTCTTCTTGAATGGAGTATTCACCTTGGTCACCATGAAATTGCAACTATCCTCAAAAGGTCCGTAAAACATCGCGAGAAGATTCATATGTTGAAAACAATGAATTGTAACGAGTTAGGAAAGGTAATTATTTAAAAAAAATTTATATATTTATATGAGTTTAAATGAGTAAGTGGGTAGTAACCAAGGTTTATAGGAAGTTTACGATCAACGACGTGGTAGCTCGTTTGGATTCCGCCGTAGACAGCAGTCTTTAATGGTATGTAGCGAATTTTAACAGCGACTACACAATTGGTTTCGTCCTAGTTTAGACAGGCTCGAATAATGTGCGGACATACACAAGTGACTTAACATAGATCATTGAACATGCCACGTGAAAAACTACAAAGGCACCCCAAATTCCCCAGTGTGGTGGGGTTTAGTAACCTTAGTTGGCTTCACCAGTTTTTTTCATTAAAACAGTCAAAGAAAATCTGTTTCCCGCTCTTTTGCGAACTTTTATCTTCCACAATTTTCTCGATTTCCTCAACCGACAAGGAAGGGAAGGGAGCAGAAGCCATTTTCAAAAGAAAATAATAAATTTTTATTGAATGTTTTCTTGCTTCTTTCTTCTCACCACAAAAAAACTTATGCTTCTTGCGTTTTTGTCTCATATATAGATTGAAACACCGATGCAGGCTTTTGTCGCAAATGATCAATTCAAAATTGGTGGTGGAGGTTTTTCTTGTGTCTATGTTGGTCTCAAGAAGGATAAAAGTGAAGTTGCTGTCAAGAGAATTTTGGTACAAAGTGAGGACAAAACAATTGAAAACGAAAAGGAAATCATGAGTCTTATTAAAACAAACGCCTGTCCATTTATAGTGAACTATCGACATTTTCACCGTGACGCTAACTTCATGTATCTTATTGTTGATCTTTGCGAAGAAACCTTGAGGGAACTTGTTCAAGCATGCAGTATTGAACATCTAAAAGAGCAAGGTCCACGAATGATTAGGGAAATTCTATCAGGACTTGAATTTCTCCATGGTAAAGGAATATTACACAGAGATCTAAAACCATCAAACGTCCTGGTTGATATCGAAGGCCGCATGAAATTGGCAGATTTTGGAATAAGCCGCGTTCTAAATGAGGATGAAACGACAGTTGAAACAGATGCAAAAGGTACTTTGGGGTGGATGCCACCGGAAGTAATTAAGGCAATAGTTAAAAAAGAAAAGGGTCGTTTTAAAAAGAAATCAGATGTCCATGTGGCGGGTATGATTGCTTTTTACGTGTTAACCAAAGGTGAACACCCTTTTGGATCTACATTAGATCGAATGAAAAACATTTTAGAGGATAATCCGGTCAATTTGGAGAAACTTGGTGACCGCGAAGCTCGTAGGTTTGTGTCGTGGCTGATTAATCACAAGATTGATGATAGACCTTACGCTCACGAAGGACTGAGGGATCCTTTACTTATTATCAATCACCACAAGGAACACAGCGAGCAATAAGACCACAAACTACGAAGTTTGTTTGACCCGTTTAATCCTTGAAGGGAAAATTTGGAACAACGAAAATTGGAGTGCGACAGAACCAATAGTATCTGGTGACATTATAGAGATTTGTATTTCGTAGAACGTCGGTAGCAACTTTGATTGTTGGTAGCATCATTTACAGCTTCGGAAGTCGCCGTGTATCTCGCGACACTTTCCAAATCCTTTCGTCAAAAATCGATAACATGTTGAATATTGTTTAAGGTATTTTAATAATTTGCGAGGTTGTTTTATCGAGGTGATTCCAGATCCTTTGTCAATCAGCGTGACAATAGTTCAGCAGAATGCGCTGTAGTTCTTACGTATAAATTTAAATCAGCTCCCGTTGGGCATTCTATATTTTTTACACTTAAAATATTCTTGTTATAAAGACCTTTTTACACAAGATGTGGTTGGTTCAGGTGCAATCTAAATATTATACTCTTGATTTATTAATAAATACGATTTCATAGAAAAAGTGCCGTTTTCATAGAAAGAAACTATTATCTACAAACGCCAATAGCGTAGAGAAGGCAGGGGTGTGTGAAAATCACCCTGGTGCATGAGGCAAAAGATATGGTACAACTTAATGATTTTAAAATGCTGTTTGTTAAAAGTTTTTAATCCGAAACAATTTCTCGCTAACCTCAGGATGCGGGGCACCACGTCATTGCGTCCCCTCCTCCCAGTATACCAGAGGTATACCCCCGGGCAACCGCCCCCTCAGTTAACGCGTTCACACCGAATGGCGTTCACACCGAACGGGTCGTAATATTGTCCCAGCACCGTTGTCGACGATCAAGCGAACTAAAAAGATCGTATCTTTAGTCACTTCCATACGACAAACACCACGTACAAACTACAGGTGGCATTTTGAGTCCATTTCTCAGAACAATTCATATTCTATATTCTTTGGGCTTTTTTCCTCAGAGGGGGTAAATACCGAACCAGACAGAGTCAATACAAACCAGCCTAGCATAGCAAGGTCTTTGCTTTACAGAAATAATTCTCTCGTGCCTGAAATTTTCGTGGATAATCTAAACACGTTGTGATCTCTATGTCATCCACATATCATTGACATATCTTGCACTTACAAACTATTGTACGACGTACATGAGCAGCGCCAGAGAGAGACATGCAGAGACAAACCAGCCTAGCATAGCAAGATCTATACTATACAGGAATAGTTCCCATGTCCAAAATTTCAGAAGACATTCTGTCCAAACAGTCATTTAGGTCATAGACATATTTCTGACATATCTTGCACTTATTAAACTGTTGGTCAGTTCTGCCGGCCTCACGACGCAAACTAGCGAGGTTCAGATTTGACTACTACAACCGCCACCTCTCGCTAATCTATTAAGCTCGTGATTGGTTAGTCATATAGACCTATCTCATTTGATTGGTTTATCTTCCCTCAATGGTTGTGGTAGTCGTAGTGGTAGTCAAATCTGAACCTCGCTATTATCACTTGTAAGACAGACGAAGAGGAAGAAGAAGATCCGACATTACCTTGTTCTTTCGTGAATATCTTCAACTCTTTTGCATGAAGCTTTCAATCTTGGACTCCAGTCTCGACTTCATGACTCGATGTAACCATTATCAACAAGTAAATTAAAGAGAGAATTTATGTGAATATCTGAGAGACATTTTGTTTCAAAGCAAGAATGTATTGTTTGGGATTTTGATTGTTTGGAGTGCCATTTATTGTACAGATTCCGAGGCAGCTGACATGTTTTTTATATCTTTAAAGTTCGTGTTTAGAAATATCTTATAACATTGAACAAAAAAGTAAGATTGAAACGAAGTGCGTCGTTTGAAGAAAATCAAATATTTCCGCTGGACAATCAAAATCGTCTGCGACACCTGGTTGAAATTCAGGTAGAATGGTTTCAGGATGGCACTTTTAGAGGCGTATGAATATTCCGACAGCACATGATATTGCTCACATTACGGACTGTACCAAATCTTTGAACTACATTCATTCTAACTGAAAGAGGTGGGTCACAGATATTAGAAAACTGTTTGTGGCGATCTTGAGAAAGAGACAGTTATAAGGAAGGTTCTATCTTAATAATTACCGATACACACTGTCATCAAACCTTAAACTTAACATGAATAGTGTTAAAAACGCATTGCTACAAAGTCATATTTTGCAATGATTATTGCAAGATTTGTTATTCTTTGTATTCGTGTCAAAAATGTGAATGTGCATGCAAACTTATAAACGTTGAAGATAAATATTGATTCTCACTCCAAAAAGCCTGAGAACTAGTTTCGTTTATCGTTTGCAATGCGGGGGAAATCCGTTCTCGGCAGGTCATCTTCAACATCACAGCATGTGGTTGTTTGAATAACAAATACCACTGTCGACAACACCTGATTTTGATCTAAGATTAGGTTTGATTTCCCGAAAACGAAGATGACAAAATTTTGATCTAAATTATTCGTTTCATTCTCGAAGCTGTATCGACACTCTTTATTATGATGTAGAACATAAACCATTGAACTGATTCAAGGTGGTTACGTAGGCTATAAATCACAGTAATTTGCTTCAGCACTGCAGAAATCAGAAGCGACTAGAATGGTTGAGTCGCATATTTGTGCAATGCATTGTGTGTCACATTATTAAATTGCCAAACTAACTACAAGAATTCTACATCAGTGAGTTAAGAAGTGTTCATGTCAACCTCAGAGGGGTTACCTCAAATGGGCGTATTTTGTTGAGGTAAAGTTTCACACGATTTCATTTTGGTGGAAACAATCTGATTCACTTGTGATGTATGGAATTTAGTCTGTTATTGATAAAGCAGTACATTGATTTTAGTTGATTCCCTGCCCATATATACATCGCAAGTCAACAAACTATAAAACATTCATCAGAAGTGAATTGGATCCGACGAGATTGGATGGTGTGAACAGAGCTTTAACACATTGCTGTCGGGTCAGATGGCATCCATTTTAACTTGCGATTTCTGTGTGAATACTTGACCGATTTTGATAAAAATAGAACCATTTTAAAGAGGAAATTGTCCTCAGGCTCAGTAGATGCATGCTTTTTTTAGATCGATATGTTGCCAATTCGCCATAATATTCACTTTAAAATGCATGCGATTTATTTATTATTCAATATTACACACCGAAGCGGCCTAATCTATGAAATATTGCGCAAAATGCAAACTAAACCAGTTACAGTGATTTAGTTCACATTTTCAGGATTATTTTGATATATTTAGCGTCAAAATCGAGGCTTTAGAGGATTTTTGCCGATTTTTATATAAACATGCATGATGATATGAATTATCACATCACCGGCAATACTATTTCACAATAATACATATATCGAAATAAAACTTGGGCAAAAAAAGCCAAAAAACTGATCCCTTGGTCCAATTTTAACTCAGGAATCGATTTTTGGGGTCAAATTTACCCTAGAGGGAGGGCGTCATGGAGTTTTGTCGCCTTCTCCAACCGCATGACAACATTCCGAGCACGCAGTAAGCACGCGCTTAGCAACAATTATCGCTGAGAACTTATAAAACGCTATTTCTCCGATTTTTTTGCACATCCTACCCTAAAAATTACTCAGAATTATAACAGAATGATGATATGTAAAATGCAAACATTTTAAAGACAACAGAGAACAAAAAAAGCGAGAAAATACGGAATTTCTAAAGTATATGGTTGCTATGGGTGAGTAATTTGAGATAACAAAACAAGCTATTATTTTGACTCATGTTTTGACTTATAATACAAATGCAGCTTAACACTATATGTTGGTTTGAATATACTATTTATATCGTCTTTTCAAGCTCTATCGTTTGGTGGTATTTGGGGGTCTTTAGCCCAAATACTTGCTGAGATATTTACAATATTGTCGGGTTTAATCTATGTACGACAACAGCACAGGCAGCCCGGTCACTGCTGTTACGTCATGCTATTATATACAAAAATTCAAAAATACTACGCTAGTTTCTTAAAAAAAACTACATACAAAACACCTTAGATATATTGGCAATATTTATTTGTCGTTTTTAGACTTGAAAAAAACTCTAAAATGCTCAAATTTTGCGAATTAAAAGTGTATTTTCGTTGAAATTTTGCGAAACAGAGGCGGAATGCCATTTACTCGACAAACGTCATCATCGGAGAATTCGTCGGCAAATTTCTGATTGGCTGTGTCAAGTCCGGAAAATTTCGAAGGTCAACTCAATGAAGAAAAAAGATCTTCGTTATTTTCCGGACTTGCCACAGCCAATCAGAAATTTGCCTACGAATTCTCCGATGATGACGTTTGTCGAGTAAATTGCATCCCGCCTCTGTTTCGCAAAATTTCAACGAAAATACACTTTTAATTCGCAAAATTTGAGCATTTTAGAGTTTTTTTCAAGTCTAAAAACGACAAGTAAATATAGTCAATATATCCAAGGTGTTTTGTATGTATTTTTTTTAAGAAACTAGCGTAGTATTTTTGTTTTAAGCGATGGTATTAATGTATGTATTATATTTTTCGCGAGAGAGTTGCCAGCCTTATTGTAATCCCCGAGCCGGTGCCACAGATTAGCTATATACAGATATGAAACTGAAGCCAAATCGAGTCACACGATTTTTTGCCTAATGTGCGCATGCGTAACTTGCTTGGCAAGTGTCATGTTGAAATTTAATGAGTAAATCGATAGAAAAATCGAAATTTTGACAAACAAATCATGATTTAAACAAAACCTTTAGGGCCATGTCCCATTTGACTTAAAATTTTTAAAAAGATGGATGAGGTAGATCTTCTGAGCTAAGAACTGGTTTCTGAAATTATTTGATGCAGGCAAAAACAGTAAAAAATATAGCTGAGGAGTGCAGGGCTTGCCGTATGGAAAGCTGTGCAATGGTTTAGCACTGGCTGAGCTATTTTTGAATTTATAAAACATGTAATACATTCTTTAGATACAATATATCTCCAGGAGATAAGACGAAATGAATTAACAAATATCTAGGGATTAATAGAAATGTGAAAACGAAATGATAGGAGCTTAAAAAACTTTGTGTACTTGAAATGAACAACAACAACATGCGGAACATGGCAGGTAAATACGACGAGCAATTCAGCGTATTTAGCGATTTGGCTATAAAAAAACAACTTCATCACCCTTGTCTTGGACTATTTTTCACACAAAATTTACAAATTGCTGCTTATGCGCGACTATTATGACCATACACGAGTCTTTTTAGCGGAACTCTGAAGACAAAAAATAAAGACATGGCCATATTATGTTTTGAGTTTCGGGTTTAAAATTAGCAATAATTAGACTCTTTGCTTTGATATTTTTTGAAAAAACAGATTTAAAAGACGGTTAACAACTTGAAAAATTCAGATGAATAATATTTACGTGTAAATATGGGACTTCATTGAAAAGAATTCAGCCAGAGTACATATATTCCATAGTGCCAATGCAAATATCTTTCGGCATCACTTGCACCAGCTTTTTTGATTTTCAAAAGTCAATTTTGAGCTATAGATATGCTCACTTGCCTTCCCACAATTAACAAAAGATACATATACCGACACTCTTTAAGAATTTATTCCCGAAATAGCCATAGGTAGCGCGGGTTTTTAAAAAAGCAATTTTTCGTCTTAAAAACGGCGTTTTACTCATTAAATTCCCTCATGACACTTGCCAAGCTCGCCGGAAGTCAACACGCGCTGGCTGCGCGTGGGACACAAAACAATCAGCAAAAACACTGAAGTTTCATATCTGTATATAGGTAATCTGTGCCGGTGCGGAGCACCGTGCGAGGGTACTAATTCCGCCCGGAGATTAGGAATTACACCCGGGACCCGGGAGAACATAGCGGAATCCAAAGTTGCCCAAATGTCATGGACGTTCAATGGTCATGGTACTTGTGCGCATGCGCGAAATGCGAACGAGTGTAGACTGATAATCAGCAACTTCCTGATTGGCTAAGACGAAACGTTTGTGTTTCAGTGAAAAACGTCAGCAATCTAACTGTCATTTTGCAAACTATTTTTTAAAAAAATGTTTCGAAAACAAAATATGAAATGTGGAATCAAATAACAGATAAAACACTGGGAAGAGTTTAAAATATTATCAGAACTGGAGGAATTAGCGGTGAAAAGGAACAACTAATTGGAACAACTCGATTATAATCCTTGAAATGGTAGGAGTCTATTTTGTTTATTTATTTATTTATTTATTTACTTAAACTTTATTAAAATATAAAATAAATCCTTGAAATGGTAGGAGTCTATTTTGTTTATTTCGAGGTTTATTTCGTGTTTGCTGTACGAATACATTTTATGACCTTGGTACAATATGTCGTTTTGCTCGGTTTTGCGAAGACGTGACCGACTATTTAAGGCTTTACATCATCGTTTTAACTTCCAAAAGAGTCCTTAAAAGTGTAATTCGGAGTTTTAATAGAACAAATATCACTTTAAAGGTTTATATATAGTCGACTGCAATCACTGCATGAATTTAATAATCAAAAAACAACATTCGACGTTCACTGCTTGGTTATTTATATTATTTGGCTTGTTTTGATGTTTTGAAGGTTTAACTATAATGAAGTATTAACTCTCACTTAAACTGTGAAAGTCTATAACTTAATGCAACGGAAAGCAGCAGGAAAACGGGTGATTTCACTTCACCTTTACGACTGTGTTTGTTTCCGAAATATTTGAAACATCAGCTATCGGTTTTACATTTAGGACATTTCATTATATTGAAGGTTAGGTCTGGCTAGCTCAGGAAATATTTTGCTTCGTTTGAAATGGCGAGGGGATGCTGCATGCATGTATTTCTAGTTATATACATATATAATAGCATGACGTAACAGCAGTGACCGGGCGGCCTGTGACAACAGTGATAATAAAGTGCCTATGTCATGTTTGGGGAAATAGACTTTTTAGATAGTTTAGACGATTTTAAGAACTTTTGCAATATATTTGATAAGTCGAAAATTTCATCTGCATTGACTTTGAGGGCCTCAAAGTTGGTGATTTTGACTAAAACCGTTACCTTAAAAGGACTAGGGCGAGAACGGTTGTTAGACGGGTTGTGACATCATTTCGGGAAGTCGCATTTCTTGTATTAAAAGCCGTAAAACACTGTATTTTATATATTGCGCGAGCGAAGATAGACTTTGAATTGTACTTTTTCAATATTACTGTCGCGTTTCGTTTAATTTGTGGATGCGACAATGTCGTGAAGCTTTACTTATCCGATCAGCGGCGAGGTTAATCAGAAAATAACGCCGAACAAGCTGTTCATTGGCATTGCTACGACCTACGATCGAACAATCTTGAAGTTGCCGCTTCTCGGAGGCTCTGACTCACTCAGTGCTCTGACTGCAGATGAAAGTGTCCATACCCGAATGATGTTTTTAAAATGTGTTGCCAACTATTACAAAGAAAGTCGGAACATGAAGATAAATTGCAAATACTTAATATACAGTCGGAGGCTGGTTCGAAAGACGTGTCGCAGGAAAGATGGTGAGTAGAATTGTTTTTGTAATATACGCCATAATATTAACGTTTGCTATTTGAATCGGATGTTTATTTTACGGTAATGGTGAAGTACTAAAATTTATAGGAGTAGACCAGTGTTTTTCAAAGTAAAACGACAAACTAAGCATTTGGGGTATAGACATGAATTCTCATCTAATTATGGTGTGCTGAACAGTGGTCCACTAGAAGGTACCTATAAATTATATCACCAAGCCATGCAGTTAGCATTCAAAAGTCAAAGAAATAAGAGCTGTTGAGAAATAGTGATTATATAGCATTCCTTGGTACCATTAATATGTGTATAAGTAATATCTTCAATGATCTCAATAAGTTCATAATGCATTCTATCATTTTACTTTGTAGCTATCTTGACTTGTACATATTGCATATTGACGATCCATGCAACTTGTTCAATTATGGCCACTTGGAGAAAAGAAGAATGTCATGACCGCCATGTTATATGTGCACAGTAAATTTAATGAAAAGGACTTTCACAGAGATGACCATCTTTAAGGATTTATTTTATACTTCTTTCATTTACATATTCTATGGTTATAAGTCAACTCAGTCAGAACTCAGAAGAGGTTGCTTCTTTAGGCATTTGACTCATTGCTGCCTTTTGTAAGCAACTTATATAATATTTAAGCTTTGTTGTAACACTCTTGCAAATTTCATTATGAATTAAAATTTGAATAGCTTGTAAAACAAATTGTGTGTGTAGCTTGCAACAAAATGTTGTCTATATTGCAGTGAACTAGATTTTCTTGCATTAAAACACAATATCATGCATATATCCAAGAAATATATAATTTTGAAATAATAAATGTATAAACAAGGCACTTTATTGAAATTTTGAGGGTAGTTTTAAAGATTTATTCAAAAAGTATGCTCATTTAGGAGGGTTATAATACCTTTTTTTTTTACCATTTGACATAGCAATACATAATTACTGTTTGATAGGTTTATGTTTTTAAAATTTTGTGTGTTGTTAAACCACCAATAAAATATTTACATATATACATTATACAATAACTGATTATTTTTTCTTGCAAAGACAGTTCAGAACATTCCAATGGCCTTTTATGGGTTTGGTACAAGTTTGCAACATGGTTTTGCTTATTTTTAATGTGGATGCGTGGATTGAGTTTGCCAAGTTGAAGTTGTTGAAGCAAATTAATAGGTCTCAATCTGTTCTTGTGATTTGGTCATACTCCCAGAATCTGTTAGTGTACAAACATATACATATCAAATTACTATTTCTTGGAGAAATAAAAAATATATTGAAAGTACTTGGTTTAATCAACAGTGTGATACATTTCTCATGTGCTCTATTGTTGCATTACGCACGATATGTAAAATTCGATGAATCAAAACAAGTGAACAGAGCATTGATGAAACTTTGCGACGGTGATATCTTGCAGACAATGTCCTGCTAGTTTTGTTATAATATAAAATAATTTGACGGGCGCACAGATATACTTATTGTGTCTTACTTCAAGCGATGAGCCACAAGTCCCACGACGGATAATCTGTTTAAGACTGTTTTACACGAAAACTTTCGTTGATACCAATATAACTGCTGACGATCTTATCTTCCTTAATTAAAATGTTCTGATCGAACTCCTCAAAGGTCAAACGGCTCTTATTTTCCACGTTACCGTAAAAAAGTCAAACCGAGCTTTCCTTCGTCTTCTGCCTCGGGCGGTGTATCATATAAAATTCTATGTACGGTAGCGCAATTCTTTCGCGTAAATCGGCGGTGTTGGAACTACAAAGCAGTGTTACATCCTTGCACCATTATTAATAAATGTCGAACACATAAAGACCTAACTTTACACAAAATCTTTGCTTATCCGCGATATAATAATTTAACACTCTTTATTTTCTATAATATAGCTTATTGTTATTTTCGCAACTTCCCGATTTGACGTCACACATGACATTAGTTACCGATTTTTCAGGGTCACGGTCAAACGTTAAGACCTGGTCAAACGAGAATGATAGTTGATGAGAGTTGATGAGAGTTGCAACTCTCGCTTGCGTGTGACCGCGAACTCTCATACACTCTTGTACACTCTCATCAACTCTCATCGACTTTGAACTGGTTCAAATTTTGATGAGAGTTGATGAGAGTTTGGGCGCGTTTGATCGGTCATGAGAGTTGATGAGAGTTGCAAAACCACCAGCGGTTTACATTTTTTTGCAAAAAAAAAAGAAATCTTCTGAAAACAACGGGCAGAAAAAAAAAAATAGCAAAACGAAGTGGAGTAATGACGAAATTAATGCGCGCGGTAATCAACTCTCGTTCTCAACTCTCATCAACTCTCATTCTCGTTTGACCGTCGCATCGAGAGTTTGGAAAACTCTCGTGCGAACTCTCGCTTCTCAACTCAACCAGGGCTTTAAAATGGTCAAAATCACCAACTTTGAGGCCCTCAAAGTCAATGCAGATGAAATTTTCGACTTATCAAATATCTTGCAAAAGTTCTTAAAATCGTCTAAACTATCTAAAAAGTCTATTTCCCCAAACATGACATAGGCACTTTAAAGTTCGAGCATTGCAGAGAATTATAAATAACAATAATTATATTTCATTTAATGCTAGGTTCTTAAAGCACAAGTAATCGCGGACTGTAGTAAAATACAAAAGAACAGGTCTGACCGTTTTTAACGTGCAAAGAAAAACGGTCCTTAAAGACCTCAACCTTGCTAGAAACGAATGTAAAAAGTGAGTCTTGTAGTCAGGAACGAAAATCTATTCGTTGTGTGTCTGAAAATCTGATTTCGTTCTAAGCCAATGAACGTGTTTGTTTACATTTTTCCTGTTGACGAATTAAAATGCTGTAATACGACTGACAATTTTAGGTAGAATATTTGCCGTGTTCCCATGCATTTGTACAGAGCCGTCCTTAGAAGTTTAAATAGCGTGTTGCTTCATAAATCTATGACTTTGTTTAGATACAGTTAAAGTAATCGCTGATCAAACAAATCAGTCAGGCATAGGACGAATGAATATACACCTTCTAATTGCATTATTATAATAATTGCACTATTTATTTTTCACTTCCAATGGTGCTTCTTTGCTAAGCTAAGCCACTGACCTATAAAAATGCCTGTAGTGTGTCGTCTGAGCAATCAGCCACAAGTAACGTTTAGCTCAACTGATAGATCTCGTGTGCTTCAGCTATAAAGCCTCTTTCCAAGCGGATAGTAAAATTTTGCTGAAAGTCGAACAACGCCCAATCCTAACGAAACTCACTAGGTTTATTAACCACTGTTCATGTTGTTCACCTTTGAAACAATGGAAAAAATGAAATTCTTAACCGCTCAAGGGCCCCTTCGAAATAAAATTGTGTCGTTTTTACGTTCTTGACGTTTGTAATAGAAATTTCCATGGAGCACGAAGCAAGTGGAAGTACAAGTGTCTGCGAATATGGTTCGAAACATCTTCAAAATTGTGGTGCTGACATAAGTTGCAAAGATGAGTTGGGCAAAACTGCTTTACATCATGCTGTTGATGTTGGTGAAACAGACATTGTCAAATATTTTCTTGAACAATGTGGCGCTCATGTAAATGACAAGGATAAAAGAGGGTGGACAGTGCTGCACTACGCTGTTACTGAAGGTTCGCTTGAAATGGTTATATATCTTGTTGAACATGGAGCTGATGTAAATGCCAAGGATATTTATGGACGGACAGTGCTGCAGGCTGCTGTTAGTGAAAATACGCTAGAAATGGTAAAATATATTGTTGAACATAGCGCCAATGTAAATGGCAAGGATCCTAACGGGTTGACTGTGCTGCGCTCCGCTGTTAGTAAAGGTATATTAGAAATTATAAAATATCTGGTTGAACATGGCGCTGATGTAAATGGAAAGGATTTTCATGAACGGACAGTGCTGCACGCTGCTGTTAGTGAAAGTACGCTAGAAATGGTAAAATATCTTGTTGAACATGGCGCTGATGTAAATGGCGAGGATGCTAAAGGGTGGACTGTGCTGCACTCCGCTGTTAGTAAAGGTATATTAGATATTATAAAATATCTTGTTGAACATGGCGCTGATGTAAATGGAGAGGATATTTATGAACGGACAGTGCTGCAGGCTGCTGTTAGTGAAAGTACGCTAGAAATGGTAAAATATCTTGTTGAACATGGCGCTGATGTAAATGGAGAGGTAATTTATGGACGGACAGTGCTGCAGGCTGCTGTTAGTGAAAGTACGCTAGAAATGGTAAAATATCTTGTTGAACATGGCGCTGATGTAAATGGAGAGGTAATTTATGGACGGACCGTGCTGCAGGCTGCTGTTAGTGAAAGTACGCTTGAAGTGGTAAAATATCTTGTTGAGCATGGCGCTGATGTAAATGGCAAGGATCCTAACGGGTTGACTGTGCTGCACTCTGCTGTTAGTAAAGGTATATTAGAAATTATAAAATATCTTGTTGAACATGGCGCTGATGTAAATGGAAGGGATTTTCGTGAACGGACAGTGCTGCAGGCTGCTGTTAGTGAAAGTACGCTAGAAATGGTAAAATATCTTGTTGAACATGGCGCTGATGTAAATGGAAAGGATATTTATGAACGGACAGTGCTGCAGGCTGCTGTTAGTGAAAGTACGCTAGAAATAGTAAAATATCTTGTTGAACATGGCGCTGATGTAAATGGGAAGCATATTTATGCACGGACAGTGCTGCACGCTGCTGTTAGTGAAGGTACGCTAGAAGTGGTAAAATATCTCGCTGAACATGGCGCTGATATAAATGGAGAGGATATTTATGAACGGACAGTGCTGCAGGCTGCTGTTAGTGAAAGTACGCTAGAAATGGTAAAATATCTGGTTGAACATGGCGCTGATGTAAATGGCAAGGATAAAGTAGGGTGGACAGTGCTTCACTACGCTGTTAGTAAAGGCATATTAAAAATGGTAAAATATCTTGTTGAACATGGCGCTGATGTAAATGGCAAAACTTCTCACGGGCGAACAGTCTTGCAAACTGCTGTCAGTGTCAGTGCATTGGAAATTGTCAAGTATTTAGTTGAACAAGGTGCTGTTATAACTCTTGGCACTAAGATCCTGAAGATGGCTGTTCTGAAAAATTCAGTTGCTTTGTTCAAACTTTTGTTGGAAAAGAACATCGCTGTGTGGAGAGCTGGAACATTTCTTGTTGAAGGAAAGCAAATGAGTGTTGTTGAATGGAGTATTCACCTTGGTCAAGATGAAATTACAACTATCCTCAAAAGGTCCGTAAATCATCGTGAGAAGATTCAGATGTTGAAAACAATGAATTGCAACCGGTTAGAAGAGGTAAATATTTTTTAAACATATATGAAGTTGTTTCAGTGAGTTTAGGCAGTGACCAAGGTTAATATAGGAAGTTTACGATCCACGACGTGGTAGCTTGAAAACGCGCTTTTGGATTCGTACTTGTTTAACCAGGCTCGTGTGATCTGTGAAAACTGTTACAGATTTATTGCCTTAATTTATTTAAACACTCGATAGCTTTTTCTTGCTTCTTTCTTCTCACCACAGAAAATCTGTTGTTTTTTAATTATAATTTTCTCTCCATAGGTTGAAACACCAATGCAGGCTTTTGTCGCAAAGAATGAATTCAAAATTGGCGATGGTGGTTTTTCTTGTGTCTATGTTGGTCTCATGAAGGATGGAAGCGAAGTTGCTGTCAAGAGAATTTTGTTACAAAGTGAAGATACAACAGTCGAGAACGAAAAGGAAATAATGAGTCTTATTGAAGCAAACAACTCTCCATTCATAGTGAACTATCGACATTTTCACCGTGACGATAACTTCATGTATCTTATTGTTGATCTTTGCGAAGAAAACTTGAGGGAACTTGTTCATGCATGCAATATTGAACATCTACAAGAGCAAGGTCCACGAATGATTACGGAAATTCTATCAGGACTTGAATTTCTTCATGGTAAAGGAATATTGCACAGAGATCTAAAACCATCAAACGTCCTGGTTGATATCGAAGGTCGCATGAAATTGGCAGATTTTGGAATAAGCCGCGTTCTAAATGACGATGACACGACAATTGAAACATTTGCTAAAGGTACTCCTGGATGGATGCCACCGGAGGTAATTGAGGCAATAGACAAAGGGGAAAAAGGTCCTTTTAAAAGGAAATCAGATGTTCAGGTCGCGGGTATGATTGCTTTCTTCATCTTGACTAAAGGTGAACATCCTTTTGGATCAAAGATAAATTGGATGCAAAATATTTTGGAGGGAAACTCTGTCAATTTGGAGAAACTTCGTGACAGCGAAGCTCGTAGGTTTGTGTCGTGGTTGATTAATCACAAGATTGATGATAGACCTTATGCTCACGAAGCATTAAGAGATTCTTTCTTCATAGATCCAATGGGATTGTTACAGTTTCGACAGACTTGTCAAAAGAAAGGTTAATTCGTCTTATTGTTGGTAAACGTCGGATCGTACGTCAAGATAAATTATCTGCGAAGTTTGTTTGAATTGATGGATCCTTCCAAGCCCAAGTTTGTCCAGGCGGATTATCAATCTCTACGGTGCATCAAGTTATTTTTAGAACTTTACAACTTTTACAACTCGGTTCCTGGCGTAGACCTATAGTTAGTTCTTATAAACTGGATAGCAATGAAATACACGTGTAAAGTCTCTTAGACACAATTACTAGATTTATGACTTTTTAATATTGTAATCTGTATTTAGATAATTAAAACTCGGGGCTTATATAAAAAGCCTTCATAACCATAAGTCTCTGAATAGTCTCTAGCGTTACAAAAGTTAGACAGAATTAGTTGAACTATATATGCCACGTTAGAGCAACCCAGGTTCGAACGCCGCCCAAACTCGTCTTTTGCAGGACAAACTATATCTATATACAAACCAGCAATAGCGTAGAGAAGGGAGAAGGGGTGGTAATCACCCTGGGACACGGGCAAAGAAGACGCCCTGGCTCGTTTTCTCACGGTTCAGAGCGCAAATGAAATGAGTAAAAAAATTAAGAAGCCACACGTTCACTTTACGCGTACGATGGAACAGCTTATGAATGAGACTTAAAAGAGTCGATTTTTACCACATAGAAGTTTCAAATTCAAAATCATCTCTCTTAGCGCTAATCCAGCATGCGGGACACCGCGTTAATGTCACCTCTCCAGGCTCTTCTCCCAAAGAGTTAACCCCCCAGGCAACTGCCCCCTCAGGTAACGCCAGAGCCATGTCACACCAAACGACGGGTCGTGATATTTTCCCAGAACCGCTTAGTCTATCAACGACGTGTAAACTAATCAGGTCGCGTCTTGAGTCATTTTCACAGGATAAGCTTCACGTACAAACTACAGGTGCGCCAGTCCCTATGCCAGCGGTTTAATCCGCTTCACATAATTACCTACTTCATGTTTACATAATCGTCCTTGTTGTTGTTACGTTAATAAAGCACTGCTTTATAATCGCTTCTCCTGGTAAACCCGGACTTTACTTACTATATTGGCGGTGGTATTTTGAGTTAGTGTCTTAGAACGATTCATATTTTATAATCTTTTGGCTGTTACACTCAAGCTAGAGTACGGTAATACCGAACCATTAAGAGTCAGGACAAACCAGCTTATAGCATATATTATACATGCAGGAATGGTTCTCATGTCCGAAATTTCCCTGAATATTCTAAATAAACACAGACATCTATGTCACAAGCTGCGTTTACACTTGAGGCCTGGCCTGGATCAGGTCTAGGTGATATGTGTCACGTTCACACTGTCATCCTTGTTGATGATATCGGATAGCGAACATACTGATTGACAAAATACTTGGAAAAACCCAAAACACGCCGAAGAGTGGTAATACTAGTATGTAACCTATACAAATCATACTATTAAGTTCAAAATTTGTCAGGGTTAGGTAAAGCTTGTTCACATCACCAAAATCTTGCCCCAGGTCAGGTCCTGGCCACCTTCTGCTGTTGGCCTGGATTTTGTGGCCTAGACCAGGTCCAGGCCGGATAAACAACGTTCACATGTAGGTCAAAGTACGTAGTGTAAACGCGGCTATAGGCATGAATTATGGGATTACCACATTAATAACATTTGTCTTAAATTTAGACATTACCTTGTTCTTTCGAGAATATTTTCATTTCTTTTTGAGCAAGCTTTCAACGTTGGATTAGGATCTCGACTTCATGACGATGTAACCATTATCTCCTTTCTATAACGAAATTAAAGAGAAAATTGATGTGAATCTGAGAGCGATTTTGTTTCAAAGCAGGAATGTATTGTTTAAGATTTTGATTGTTTGAGGGTCGTCTATTGCAGAGGCTCTGAAGTAGCTGCATTATTTTTGTATGTGTTCATTTTTGTGAAAGCAAACTTCTGAAGATAAATATTGCCAGATTTTCACTCCAAAAAGCCTGAGAACTAATTTCGTTTATCGTTTGCAATACGGGGGAATTCCGTTCTCGGCAGGTCATTTTCAACATCACAGCTTGATTTTGATCAAAGATTAGGTTTGATTTGCCGAAAACGAAGATGACAAAATTTCTCAAATTATTCGTTTAATTCATTTCGTATTATTGATGACAAAATTATTCGTTTCATTCTCGACGCTCTTTATTATGATGTAGAACATAAACCATTGAACTGATTGAAGGTGGGTAAGTAGATTATAATCACAGTAATTTGCTTCAGCACTGCAGAAATCAGAAGCGACTAGAAATTATGTTATGGTTGAGTCGCATATTTGTGCAATGTATTGTGTGTCACATTATTAAATTCCCAAACTAACTACAAGAATTCTATATCAGTGAGTTAAGAAGTATTCATGTCAACCTTAGAGGGGTTACCTCAAATGGGGGTATTTTGGTGAGGTAAAGGATCACACCATTACATTTTGGTGGAACCAATTCACTTGTGATGTATGGAATGTAGTCTGTTATTGATAAAGCATTTCATTGGTTTTATTTGATTCCCTGCCCATATATACATTGCAAGTCAACAAACTATAAAACATCCATCAGAAGTGAATTGGATCCGACGAGATTGGATGGTGTGAACAGAGCTTTAAAGTTCCAGCATTGCAGGGAATTATAAATAACAATATATTTCATTTAATGCTGGGTTCAGTAATCGGGCTGTAGTAAAATACAAAAGAACTGGTCTGACCGTTTTTAACGTGCAAAGAAAAACGGTCTTTAAAGACCCAAACCTTGCTAGAAACGATTGTAAAAAGTGAGTCTTGTGGTCAGGACGAAAATCTATTCGTCGTGTTTCTGAAAATTTAATTTCGTTCTAAGCCAATGAAAGTGTTTGTTTAGATTTTTCCTCTTGACGAATAAAAATGCTGAAATACGACTGACAATTTTAGGGAGAATATTGCCGTCTTCTCATGCATTTGTACATAGCCGTCGTTAGAAGCTTAAATAGCGTGTTGATTGATAAATCTATGACTTTGTTTAGATACAGTTAAGTAATCGCTGATCAAAGAAATCAGTCATGCATAGGACGAATGAATATACACCTTCTACTTGCATTATTATTATCATTTATAGACCTGGAGCGAGGGGAATTCGACGAAATATTACCCCCAAGGGAAGATATATCCCGAGGGCTTCGCCCGAGGGATATATCTTTCCGAGGGGGTAGTATTTCGTCGAATTCCCCAAGCGGAAGGTCTATAAATTATATATTATATCGAAACAACGTGTGGGTGAAATGGCTTCTTTTGCCTCCATTTTGAAATTGTTGACAACCTCGAGTCCGACGAGTCGTGTGCGAGGCATCCACGCCTGGTACACGCAAACTCGAATACCCCGCTGCAGCGGGGTATTCGACTTTTATAGCATAATGTGAAAAAATTGGATGGAACTCCATGATTAATTTACTGATCACGTGGTACAAATCGAGCTTTCTGATTGGATGATTTACAGTTGAGATATAATATTTATAATTGCACTATTTATTTTTCACTTCCATGCAGTGGTGCTTCTTTGCTAAGCTAAGCCACTGATCTATGAAAATGCCTGTAGTGTGTCGTCTGAGCAATCAGCCACAAGTAACGTTTAGCTCAACTGTTAGATCTCGTGTGCTTCAGCTATAAAGCCTCTTTCCAAGCGGATAGTAAAATTTTGCTGAAAGTCGAACAACGACTAATCTCAACAAAACTCACGAGGTTTAACCACTGTTCATGTTGTTCACCTTTGAAACAATAGAACAATGAAATTCTTAACCGCTCAGGGGCTCCCACGAAAAGAAACTCATTTTTACATTCTTAACGTTTGTAATAGAAATTTCCATGGAGCACGAAGCAAGTGGAAGTACAAGTGTCTGCGAATATGGTTCGAAACATCTTCAATATTGTGGTGCTGACATAAGTTGCAAAGATGAGTTGGGCAAAACTGCTTTACATCATGCTGTTGATGTTGGTGAAACAGACATTGTCAAATATTTTCTTGAACAATGTGGCGCTCATGTAAATGACAAGGATAAAAGAGGGTGGACAGTGCTGCACTACGCTGTTATTGAAGGTTCGCTTGAAATAGTGAAATATCTTGTTGAACATGGAGCTGATGTAAATGGCAAAGATATATACCGATGGACAGTGATTCACGATGCTGTTAGTAAAGGTACGCTAGAAATGGTAAAATGCCTCGTTGAACATGGCGCTGATGTAAATGGAAAGGATATTTATGGACGGACAGTGCTGCACGCTGCTGTTAGTGAAAATACGCTAGAAATGGTAAAATATCTGGTTGAACATGGCGCTGATGTAAACGGAGAAGATTTTTTTGGAAGGACAGTGCTTCACGCTGCTGTTAGTGAAAATACGCTAGAAATGGTAAAATATCTTGTTGAACATGGCGCAGTTGTAAACGGCAAGGATACCTACTGGCGGACAGCTCTGCACGCTGCTATTGAAAAAGGTATGCTAGAAATGGTGAAATATCTTGTTGAACATGGCGCTGATGTAAATGGAAAGGACATTTATGAACAGACAGTGCTGCACGCTGCTGTTAGTGAAAGTACACTAGAAATGGTAAAATATCTTGTTGAACATGGCGCTGATATAAATGGCGAGGATGCTAACGGGTTGACTGTGCTGCACTCCGCTGTTAGTAAAGGTATATTAGAAATTGTAAAATATCTTGTTGAGCATGGCGCTGATGTAAATGGCGAGGATGCTAACGGGTTGACTGTGCTGCACTCTGCTGTTAGTAAAGGTATATTAGAAATTGTAAAATATCTTGTTGAACATGGCGCTGATGTAAATGAAGAGGATATTTATGAACGGACAGTGCTGCAGGCTGCTGTTGGTGAAAGTACGCTAGAAATGGTAAAATATCTTGTTGAACATGGCGCTGATGTAAATGGAAAGGTAATTTATGGACGGACAGTGCTGCATGCTGCTGTTAGTGAAAGTACGCTAGAAATGGTAAAATATCTTGTTGAACATGGCGCTAATGTAAATGGAGAGGTAATTTATGAACGGACAGTGCTGCAGGCTGCTGTTAACGAAATTACGCTAGAAATGGTAAAATATCTTGTTGAACATGGCGCTGATGTAAATGGCAAGGATGCTAACGGGTTGACTGTGCTGCACTCCGCTGTTAGTAAAGGTATATTAGAAATTATAAAATATCTTGTTGAACATGGCGCTGATGTAAATGGAAAGGACTTTCATGAACGGACAGTGCTGCACGCTGCTGTTAGTGAAAGTACGCTAGAAATGGTAAAATATCTTGTTGAACATGGCGCAGATGTAAATGGAAAGGATTTTGATGAACAGACAGTGCTGCACGCTGCTGTTAGCGAAAGTACGCTAGAAATGGTAAAATATCTTGTTGAACATGGCGGAGTTGTAAATGGCAAGGATACCTACTGGCGGACAGCTCTGCACGCTGCTATTGAAAAAGGTATGCTAGAAATGGTGAAATATCTTGTTGAACATGGCGCTGATGTAAATGGAAAGGACATTTATGAACGGACAGTGCTGCACGCTGCTGTTAGTGAAAGTACGCTAGAAATGGTAAAATATCTTGTTGAACATGGCGCTGATGTAAATGGCGAGGATGCTAACGGGTTGACTGTGCTGCACTCCGCTGTTAGTAAAGGTATATTAGAAATTATAAAATATCTTGTTGAACATGGCGCTGATGTAAATGGAAAGGGCATTTATGAAGGGACAGTGCTGCACGCTGCTGTTAGTGAAAGTACGCTAGAAATGGTAAAATATCTTGTTGAACATGGCGCTGACGTAAACGGAGAAGATTTTTTTGGACGGACAGTGCTTCACGCTGCTCTTAGTGAAAATACGCTAGAAATGGTAAAATATCTTGTTGAACATGGCGCAGATGTAAATGGAAAGGATTTTGATGAACGGACAGTGCTGCACGCTGCTGTTAGTGAAAGTACGCTAGAAATGGTAAAATATCTTGTTGAACATGGCGCTAATATAAATGGGGAAAAGGAGAGGGGGGGTATTTATGAACGGACAGTGCTGCACGCTGCTGTTAGCGAAAGTACGCTAGAAATGGTAAAATATCTTGTTGAACATGGCGCTAATATAAATGGAGAGGGTATTTATGAACGGACAGTGCTGCACGCTGCTGTTAGCGAAAGTACGCTAGAAATGGTAAAATATCTTGTTGAACATGGCGCTGATGTAAATGGAAAGGATTTTCATGAACGGACAGTGCTGCACGCTGCTGTTAGTGAAAGTACGCTAGAAATGGTAAAATATCTTGTTGAACATGGCGCTGATGTAAATGGAGAGGATATTTATGGACCGACATTGCTGCAGACTGCTGTTAGTGAAAATACGCTAGAAATGGTAAAATATCTTGTTGAACATGGCGCTAATATAAATGGAGAGGGTATTTATGGACGGACAGTGCTGCACGCTGCTGTTAGTGGAAGTACGCTAGAAATGGTAAAATATCTGGTTGAACATGGCGCTAATATAAATGGAGAGGGTATTTGTGGATGGACAGTGCTGCACGCTGCTGTTAGTGAAAGTACGCTAGAAATGGTAAAATATCTGGTTGAACATGGCGCTGATGTAAATGGAAAGGGTATTTATGAACAGACAGTGCTGCACGCTGCTGTTAGTGAAAGTACGCTAGAAATGGTAAAATATCTTGTTGAACATGGCGCTGATGTAAATGGAAAGGATATTTATGGACCGACATTGCTGCAGACTGCTGTTAGTGAAAATACGCTAGAAATGGTAAAATATCTTGTTGAACATGGCGCTGATGTAAATGGAGAGGGTATTTATGGACGGACAGTGCTGCACGCTGCTGTTAGTGAAAGTACGCTAGAAATGGTAAAATATCTGGTTGAACATGGCGCTGATGTAAATGGAAAGGATTTTCATGAACGGACAGTGCTGCACGCTGCTGTTAGCGAAAGTACGCTAGAAATGGTAAAATATCTAGTTGAACATGGCGCTAATATAAATGGAGAGTGTATTTATGAACGGACAGTGCTGCACGCTGCTGTTAGAGAAAGTACGCTAGAAATGGTAAAATATCTTGTTGAGCATGGCGCTGATGTAAATCGCAAGGATTCTAACGGGTTGACTGTGCTGCACGCTGCTGTTAGCGAAAGTACGCTAGAAATGGTAAAATATCTTGTTGAACATAGCGCTGATGTAAATGGAGAGGGTATTTATGAACGGACAGTGCTGCAGGCTGCTTTTAGTGAAAGTAGGCTAGAAATGGTAAAATATCTCGCTGAACATGGCGCTGATGTAAATGGAGAGGATATTTATGGACGGACAGTGCTGCAGGCTGCTGTTAGTGAAAGTACGCTAGAAATGGTAAAATATCTTGTTGAACATGGCGCTGATGTAAATGGCAAAACTTCTCACGGGCGAACAGTCTTGCAAACTGCTGTCAGTGTCGGTGCATTGGAAATTGTCAAGTATTTAGTTGAACAAGGTGCTGTTATAACTCTTGGCACTAAGATCCTGAAGATGGCTGTTCTGAAGAATTCAGTTGCTTTGGTCAAACTTTTGTTGGAAAAGAACATCGCTGTGTGGAGAGCTGGAACATTTCTTGTTGAAGGAAAGCAAATGAGTCTTCTTGAATGGAGTATTCACCTTGGTCAAGATGAAATTACAACTATCCTCAAAAGGTCCGTAAATCATCGTGAGAAGATTCAGATGTTGAAAACAATGAATTGCAACCAGTTAGAAGAGGTAAATATTTTTTAAACATATATGAATTTGTTTCAGTAAGTTTAGGCAGTAGCCAAGGTTAATATAGGAAGTTTATACGATCCACGACGTGGTAGCACGACAACGCGCATTTGGATTCGTCCCGGTTTAACCAGGCTCGTGAGATGTGTGAAAACTGTTACAGATTTATTGCCTTAATTTATTTAAACACTCGAATGTTTTTTCTTGCTTCTTTCTTCTCACCACAGAAAATCTATTGTTTTTTAATTATAATTTTCTCCCCATAGGTTGAAACACCAATGCAGGCTTTTGTCGCAAAGAATGAATTCAAAATTGGCGGTGGTGGTTTTTCTTGTGTCTATGTCGGTCTCGTGAAGGATGGAAGTGAAGTTGCTGTCAAGAGAATTTTGTTACAAAGTGAAGATACAACAGTCGAGAACGAAAAGGAAATCATGAGTCTTATTGAAGCAAACAATTCTCCATTCATAGTGAACTATCGACATTTTCACCGTGACGATGACTTCATGTATCTTATTGTTGATCTTTGCGAAGAAAACTTGAGGGAACTTGTTCAAGCATGCAGTATTGAACATCTACAAGAGCATGGTCCACGAATGATTAGGGAAATTCTATCAGGACTTGAATTTCTTCATGGTAAAGGAATATTACACAGAGATCTAAAACCATCAAACGTCCTGGTTGATATCGAAGGTCGCATGAAATTGGCAGATTTTGGAATAAGCCGCGTTCTAAATGACGATGACACGACAGTTGAAACATTTGCTAAAGGTACTCCTGGATGGATGCCACCGGAAGTAATTGAAGCAATAGACAAAGGGGAAAAGGGTCCTTTTAAAAGGAAATCAGATGTTCAGGTCGCGGGTATGATTGCTTTCTTCATCTTAACTAAAGGTGAACATCCTTTTGGATCAAAGATAAATTGGATGCAAAATATTTTGGAGGGAAACTCTGTCAATTTGGAGAAACTTGGTGACAGCGAAGCTCGTAGGTTTGTGTCGTGGCTGATTAATCACCAGATTAATGATAGACCTTACGCTCACGAAGCATTGGGGGATTCTTTCTTCATAGATCCAATGGGATCGTTACAGTTTTTGATAGACTTTCACAAGAAAGGTTAATTCGTCTTATCGTTGGTAAACGTCGGATCGTACGTCAAGATAAATTATCTGCGAAGTTTGTTTGAATTGATGGATCCTTCCAAGCCCAAGTTTGTCCAGGCGGATTATCAATCTCTACGATGAATCAGGTTATTTTTACAACTTTAAAACTTTTACAACTCGGTTCCTGCCGTAGACCTATAGTTAGTTCTTATAAACTGGATAGCAATGAGATACACGTATAAAGTCTTTTAGACACAATTACTAGATTTATGACTTTTTAAAATTTTTTATCTGTATAATTATTCTGATAATCAAAACTCGGGGCTTATATAAAAAGCCTTCATAACCATAAGACCCCGTTTACACTAGAACGAAAGTTTCCGGATTCATCACGAAAGCGGAATGTTTTAGTACCGGATTCATGTTGCTGTTTACACACGCAGCAACGAATCCGATAGAAAATGTACTCGGTTTTAAGCCGTATCCGGAAACTTTGAATCCGTAAAAGTTTGTGGAAACTTCGTATCCAGAAACATTTGAATCCGGAAAATTTTCTTGTGTAAACGCTTTGCACGACGAATCCGAAGAAATTCAAACGTGACGACCAAACAATTCTCCAAGAACAAGTAATGTGAGTGTAAACGGACAAATCCGCATAGAGACAACTAAAGTGTAGTGTAAACACCTGACGAATCCGATACATGTGTGTAACAATGAATCCGGAAAAATTTACAAATCCGGAAACTTTCGTTCTAGTGTAAACGGGGTCTAAGTCTCTGAATAATCTCTAGCCTTACAAAAATTCGACAGAACTAGTTGAACTATATATGCCACGTTAGAGCAACGCAGGTTCTGACGCCGCCCAAACTCGTCTTTTGCAGGACAAACTATATCTATTTATATACAAACCAGCAATAGCGTAAAGAAGGGAGAAGGGGTGGTACTCACCCTGGGACACGGGCAAGGCTCAGGGTTGGTCCAGGCCGGATAAACAACGTTCACATCTAAGTCAAAGTACGTGGTGTAAACGCGGCTATAGACATAAATTATAGGATTACCACATTAATAACGTTTGTCTTAAATTTAGACATTACCTTGTTCTTTCGAGAATATTTTCATTTTTTTTGGATAAAGCTTTCAGCGTTGGATTAGGGTCTTGACTTCACGACGGTGTAACCATTATCTCCTTTCTATAACGAAATTAAAGAGAAAATTGATGTGAATATCTGAGAGCCATTTTGTTTCAAAGCAAGAATGTATTGTTTGGGATTTTGATTGTTTGAGGGTTGTCTATTGCAGAAGCTCTGAAGTAGCTGCATATTTTTTGTATGTGTTCATTTTTGTAAAACCAAACTTCTGAAGATAAATATTGCCAGATTTTCACTTCAAAAAGCCTGAGAACTAGTTTCGTTTATCGCTTGCAATGCGGGGGAAATCCGTTCTCGGCAGGTCGTCTTCAACATCACAGCATGAGGTTGTTTGAATAACAAAGACCACTGTCGACAACACCTGATTTTGATCAAAGATTAGGTTTGATTCGCCGAAAACGAAGATGACAAAATTTTGATCCAAATTAATCGTTTCAATCTCGAAGCTGTATCGACGCTCTTTATTATGATGTAGAACATAAACCATTGAACTGATTGAAGGTGGGTAAGTAGATTATAATCACAGTAATTTGCTTCAGAACTGCAGAAATCAGAGGCGACTAGAAATTATGTTATGGTCGAGTCGCATATCTGTGCAATGCATTGTGTGTCACATTATTAAATTGCCAAACTAACTACAAGAATTCTACATCAGTGAGTTAAGAAGTGTTCATGTCAACCTCAGAGGGGTTACCTCAAATGGGGGTATTTCGTTGAGGTAAAGGTTCACACGATTCTATTTTGGTAGAACCAATTCACTTGTGATGTATGGAATGTAGTCTGTTACTGATAAAGCAGTACATTGGTTTTATTTGATTCCCTGCCCATATATACATTGCAAGTCAACAAACTATAAAACATCCATCAGAAGTGAATTGGATCCGACGAGATTGGATCGTGTGAACAGACGCTCAAAGTTCCAGCATTGCAGGAAATTAGAGTCCTATTGTCAGGGGCGAACTATTCGTCGTGTCTGAAACTTTGATTCCGTTCTAAGCCAATGAACGCGTCTCGATTTTTCCCCTCGACGAATAAAAATGGGGAAATACGAGCAATCTCGGGGAAACACATTGTCGTCTTCTCATGTATTTGTACAGAGCAGTCGTTATAGAAGGCCTAAATAAGGTTTTGATTCATAAGTCAACGTTTACATACTGTTAAACATCGCTTTCCAAAGAAGCCAGTCGGGCATAAGAAGAATTAGACGTCAAGCAACGCGCAACACAATTCATTTGCAATTTTCATTTTTGGGCTGCATTCCTTTAATTGTATTGCACTTTTTATTTTTTACTTCCAGTGGTGCTTCCCCGTTCACTTCTTCAGCTTAGCCACTGATCTATGTTAAAGCCTGTAGTGTGCCTATTTAAGTTCGCCCTGCGTACAAGCCTAAAATATTTAATAAATATATTTTGTCACCAAGTTCGCGTCAGAAACATTTTCATTTTAAAGCTGATAGCTCATAAAAACTAAATGAAATTTTGCTGCGTATGTCATTTTTTTAACAAAATGGTCTTAAATTCTGCGTAAAATTTCGTTGAAACCGTGACTAATCGCAACGATACTCACTGGGCTTGTTTTTCACTTTAGAAACGATAAAAAAAATTCTCAACGGCGCAAGAACCCATTTTTACATTCTTAGCGAGACAATGAAATAACTTATCAGAGTCCAATGCAGTCTTCATCATTAGCAATTGTGAAGTTTTTGGTTAAATATTGCGGTGCTGACTTAAGTTGTAAAGATGAGTCGGGCAAAACTGCTTTACATCATGCTGTTGATGTTGGTGAGACAGACATTGTCAAATATTTTGTTGAACAATGTAGTGCTGATGTAAATGACAAGGATAAAATAGGGTGGACAACGCTGAACTACGCTGTTATTAAAGGTAGCCCGGAAATATTGAAATATCTTGTTGAACATGGCGCTGATACAAATGGCAAGGATATTCGCGGATGGACAGTGCTCCACAATGCTGTTAAAAACGGTACGCTAGAAATGGTGAAATATCTAGTTGAACATGGCGCTGATGTAAATTGCAAGAATATTCGCGGGTGGACAGTGCTGCACTATGCTGTTATTAAAGGTAAGCTAGAAATGGTGAAATATCTTGTTGAACACGGTGCTGATGTAAATGGAAAGAATACTGACGAGTGGTCAGTGCTGCAAGCTGCTGCTAGTAACGGTACGCTAGAAATGGTGAAATATCTTTTTGAACATGGCGCTGATGTAAATGACAAGGATAAACAAGGGAGGACAGTCTTGCATGCTGCTGTTAATGCTGGCGGGTTAGAAATTGTCAAGTATTTAGTTGACCGGGGTGCGGACATAACTCTGAAAAGTGAAATCAGTGTTCATACTCTTGGCATTGACATAATGAAGATGGCTGTTGAGAAAAATTCAGTTGCTTTGGTCAATCTTTTGTTGGAAAAGAACATTGCTGTGTGGAGAGCTGGAACATTTCTTGTTGAAGGAAGACAAATAAGTCTTCTTGAATTGAGTATTCACCTTGGTCATGATGAAATTATAACAATTCTCAAAAGATCCGTAAAACATCGTGAGAAGATTCAGATGTTGAAAACACTAGATTGCAACCAGTTAAAAGAGGTAATGCTTCAAACATACTTGATAATTCGAAATATGTCTGTCTGCAGGGGCGTAAGAACCCGGGGGTGGAGGGCACAGGGACACGTGCGACCCCAAAATTTTTCAAGGGATCAAAAATGGCCCTTTTATGATGAAAAACGCCTTTTTGGAGAAGCTAATGCGGCTGAAAATAATATTTTAAAATCGAAGGTGGCCTTTTTGTTTCATAGGTATGCCCACTAACACATGACCAAATCTTTTTGTAGAGCATACAGTGGTGATCAAAAGTCTGAGTTTGGTCGATATTTTTTCTTATATTACGATAATTTAAATAAATGATATCTTGTGAGTTGGAGATTGGATATGTTGATCTGAGCTTGCGTATTTTATGATAGTAATGCCTCCCATGGATTTCTCGTTAATTCTCATGGTACTTAAGTTGAAAAGAGATGCGTATTCTTTTTGTTGACCAAAGATGGCAAAGAGAGGGCCAACAATAATGGGATGTCTCGAAAAATTTATAGAAATTGAGATGAGGTTATATGAGTCGAACGAAAAGTTGGAAAAGTTTTGAGAGTCCAGTTCGTATTCAATTAAATGAAAATCCGCAAGACCAAGGGCTACTCCTGCAAAGGAAAATGAAAAGAAAGTAGAAGAAAAACCAGTGGACCGTCCTTAATCAATGGTGGAATAGAGTTGAACTAGTAGGATATAACACAAATTGGAAATGTTCTCATATTTTGTTTCACCTTTTTTACGTTTCAAAACAGCTTTGACTTTTGTTGGATAGAGTGAACCAGTTTTGTTAGCATTACTGGTTCAATTCCATTCCACCATTGATTAAGAAAAGGCCATGGACTGCTTTCGTAAGGGCATTGGTTTTCCTTCTTCTTTCTTTCCATTTTCCCTTGTAGGAATAGCCCTTGGTCTCGCAGATTTTCATTAAATTGAATACGAACCTGATTCACAAAACGTCTCCAACTTCTCGTTCGACTCATATAACCTCATCTCAATTTCTCTAAATTTTTCGAGACATCCCATCATTGTTGGCCCTCTATTTGCTATCTTTGGTCCACAAAAAGAATAATACGCATCTCTTTTTCAACTTAAATACCATGAGAATTAACGAGAAATCTATGGGAGGCATTACTATAATAAAATACGAAGGTTGAGATCAACATATCCAATCTCCAACTCACAAGATATCATGCAAAATATCAACATATCATGCAAAAGACAACATGCCGGCCATTCTGTGAGGTTGTCTTGGATTAGGGTGTCAATGGTAACAACTTCGTATGAAAAACGCCTTAGTAACTGAGATTTGACTCTTTGCCTTCACTGATTACAATGCTCAAATCTTGCTCTTTTTGCTCCTAACTTTTCACATAAGACAATTTCACGTAATTTGTGCTTTTTTGTCCATAGACTGAAACACCGATGCCGGCTTTTATCGCAAAGAATCAATTCAAAATTGGTGCTGGTGGTTTTTCTTGTGTCTATGTTGGTCTCATGAAGAATGGAAGTGAAGTCGCTGTTAAGAGAATTTTGGTACAAAGTGAGGATAAAACAGTTGAAAACGAAAAGAAAATCATGAATCTCATTGAAACAAACTCTCCATTTATAGTGAAATATCGACATTTTCACCGTGACGATACCTTCATATATCTTATTGTTGATCTTTGCGAAGAAACTTTGAGGGAACTTGTTCAAGCATGCAGTATTGAACATCTACAAGAGCAAGGTCCACGAATGATTTGGGAAATTCTATCAGGACTTGAATTTCTTTATGGTAAAGGAATATTGCACAGAGATCTAAAACCATCAAACGTCCTGGTTGATATCGAAGGCCGCATGAAATTGGCAGATTTTGGAATAAGCCGCGTTCTAAAAGACGATGAAACGACAGTTGAAACAGATGCAAAAGGTACTTTGGGATGGATGCCACCGGAAGTAATTAAGGCAATAGTTAAAAAAGGAAAGGGTCGTTTTAAAAAGAAATCAGATGTCCATGTCGCGGGTATGATTGCTTTTTACGTGTTAACCAAAGGTGAACACCCTTTTGGATCTACATTAGATCGAATGAAAAATATTTTAGAAGATAATCCTGTCAATTTGGAGAAACTTGGTGACCCCGAAGCTCGTAGGTTTGTGTCGTGGCTGATTAGTCACAAGATTGATGATAGACCTTATGCTCAGGAAGCATTGGGGGATTCCTTATTTAGCAACACCACAGCGAGCAAGTATAGACAACCAAGCACGACGTTTGTTTGAAATGACGAATCCTTTCTAGTCCAAGTTTGTCCTTGAAGGAAAAATTTCTAACGAGTGCGACAGAACTAGTTGTATAACAAGTAGTATCAGGTGACATTATAAAGCAAAACTGAACGCTGCGTTAATTTGTATTTCGTAGACGGTCGGTGGCAACTTTGATAATCGCTAGCATCAGACGTCGCCGTTTAAAATAAATCGCGAGACTTTCGTCAAAAATCGATAACATGTTGAATACTGTTGTTTAAGGTATTTTGATAATTTGCGAGCTTGTTTTATCCAGGTGATTCTCGATCCTATGTCAATAAGGGTAACAATAGTAATAGTTTAGCAGAATGTGCTGTAGTTCTTATCTATAAATTGAAATTAGCCCCCGTTGGGCATTCTATATTTTTTACACTTAAAATATTTTTGGTATAAAGACCTTTTTACACAACGTGTTGTTAGTTCAGGTAGAATATAAATATTACAGCCTTGATTTATTAATAAATACGATTTTCATAGAAAAAGTGCCGTTTTCATAGAAAAAACCTATTATCTACAAACGCGAACAGCATAGAGAAGGCAGGGGGGAGGTGAAAATCACCCTGGTGCACGAGGCTAAAGATATGGTACAACTTAATGATTTTAAAATGCTGTTTGTTAAAAGTTTTTAATCTGAAACAATTTCTCGCTAAACTCAGGTTGGGGGCACCACGTCAGTGCGCCCCCTCCTCCCAAAGAGGTATACCCGAGGTCACACCGAACGGGTCGTAATATTGTCCCAGCACCGCTGTCGACGATCATGCGAACTAAAAAGATCGTATCTTTAGTCACTTCCATAAGACAAACACCACGTACAAACTACAGGTGGTATTTTGAGTCAATTTCTCAGAACAATTCATATTGTATATTCATTGAGCTTTTTTCCTCAGAAGGGGTAAATACCGAACTAGACAGAGTCAGTACAAACCAGCCTAGCATAGCAAGGTCTTTGCTTTACAGAAATAATTATCTCGTGTCTGAAATTTTCGTGGATATTCTAAACACGTTGTGATCTTTATGTCATAGATACTGGATATCATTGAAATATCTTGCACTTAAAAACTATTGTACGACGTACATTAGCAGTGCCAGAGAGAGACATGCAGAAGCAAACCAGCCTAGCATAGCAAGATCTATACTATAAAGGAGTGGTTCTTATGTCCAAAATTCCTGAAGACATTCTATCCATGCAGTCACTTAAGTCATAAACATATTTCTGACATATTTGGCGCTTATTAAAAAGTTGGTTAGTTCTACCGGCCTCACGACGTAAAGTATCGCTTGCAATGCAGACAAAGAAGAAGAAAGAAAATCCAAACATCACCTTGTTCTTTCGTGAAAATTTTCAACTCTTTTGGATCAAGCTTTCAATATTGGATTAAGTCTCGACCTCATGGTGATGTAATCATTATCTCGTTTCTATAACAAGGAAATTAAAGAGAGAATGTATGTGAATATCCGAGAGCCATTTTGTTTCAAAACAAGAATATATTGTTTGGGATTTTGAATGTTTGGAGTGCCGTTTATTGTGCAGACTCCGAGGCAGCTGACATGTTTTTTCTATTTTTTAAGTTCGTGTTTAGAAATATCTTACAATATTGAACAAGAAAGTAAGATTGAAATTATGTGCGTCGTTTGAAAAAAATCAAATACTTCCGCTGCACAATCAAAATCATATGTGACGCCTCGGTTGAAATTCATGTAGAATGGTTTCAGGATGGCACTTTTAGAGGCGTATAAATATTCTGACACAGCACAGGATATTGCTCACATTACGGACTGTACCAAACCTTTGAACTACATTCATTCTAACTGAAAGAGGTAGGTCACAGATATTAGAAAACTGTTTGTGACGATCTTCAGAAAGAGACGGTTAATATTAATTATAATAATATTTTAATAATATATACGATACACACAGTCATCAAACCTTAAACTTAACATGAATAGTGTCAAAAACGCATTGCTACAAAGTCATATCTTGCAATGATTGTTGCAAGATTTGTCATTCTTTGTATTCGTGTCAAAAATGTGAATGTGCATGCAAACTTATGAACGTTGAAGATCAATATTGCCAGATTTTCACTCGAAAAAGCCTGAGAACTAGTTTCGTTTATCGTTTGCAATGCGTGGGAAATCCGTTCTCTGCAGGTCATCTTCAACATCACAGCATGAGGTTGCTTGATAACAAAGACCACTGTCGACAACACCTGATTTTGATCAAAGATTAGGTTTGATTCGCCGAAAACGAAGATGACAAAATTTTGATCTAAATTAATCGTTTCATTCTCAAAGCTGTATCGACGCTCTTTATTATGATGTAGAACATAAACCATTGAACTGATTGAAGGTGGGTAAGTAGATTATAATCACAGTAATTTGCTTCAGCACTGCAGAAATCAGAAGCGACTAGAAATCATGTTATGGTTGAGTCTCATATTTGTGCAATGCATTGTGTGTCACATTATTAAATTGCCAAACTAACTACAAGAATTCTACATCAGTGAGTTAAGAAGTGTTCATGTCAACCTCAGAGGCATATTTTGGATTTGAAATGGGAGTATTTTGAAGTGAAGGTTCACACGATTCCATTTTGTTAGATCCAATTCACTTGTGATGTATGGAAACTAGTCTGTGATTGATAAAGCAGTACATTGGTTTTATTTGATTCCATGTCCATATATACATTGCAAGTCAACAAACTATAAAACATCCATCAGAAATGAATTGGATCCGACGAGATTGGATCGTGTGAACAGAGCTTTAAAGTTCCAGCATTGCAGGAAATTACAAATAACAAAATATTTCATTTAATGCTGGGGTCAGTAATCGCGGACTGTAGTAAAATACAAAAGAACTGGTCTGACCGTATTTGACGTACAAAGAAAAACAGTAATTAAAGACCCAAACCTTGCTAGAAATTAAGGTGAAAACTGAAAATTCAGACCTGTAGTCAGGGACGAAAATCTATTCGTGTTGTGTCTGACACTTTGATTTCGTTCTAAGTCGTTGAACGCGTTTGCTCGGATTTTATCTCTTATGAAATGAAAAAAAATGGTGAAATACGACCAATCGTGGGTAGAGAATTTTGCCGTCTTCTCGTGCACTTGTACAGAACCGTCGTTTGAAGGCTTAAATAAGGTGTTGATTCATAAATCAATGTTTACATACTGTTAAACATCGCTTTCCAAAGAAATCACTCGGGCATAAGAAGAATTAGACGTCAAGCAACGCGCAATAATAGAATTCATGATCATTTGCAATTTTCGGCTGTCTTTAATTCTACTCCATGCACTACTTACCACTGGGCTGGTTGTTTGTCTTAGAAAGGATAGAAAAAAGATAAATTCTCAACGGCTGAAGAACCCCTCGAAATTAAATTGTCTCATTTTTACATTCTTAACGTTTATAATAGCATTTGATAAGAAGCAAGAAGCAAGTGGGAGTACAAGTGTCTGCGAATATGGTGCAAAAGATCTCCAAGACGATGTGAATATGGTGCGAAACATCTTCGAGACGATGGAATAACTTCTCAGAGTCCAATGCAGTCTCCATCATTAGCAATTGTGAAGTTTTTGGTTAAATATTGTCGTGCTGACTTAAGTTGTAAAGATGAGTCGGGCAAAACTGTTTTGCATCATGCTGTTGATCTTGGTGAAACAGACATTGTCAAATATTTTGTTGAACAATGTGGCGCTGATGTAAATGACAAGGATAACAGAGGGAGGACAGCGCTGAACGATGCTGTTACTAAAGATGCTTTAGAAATGGTAAAATATCTTGTTGAACATGGCGCTGATGTAAATGGCAAGGATACATACGGATGGACAATGCTGCACGATGCTGTTACTAAAGGTACCGTAGAAATAGTGAAATATTTTGTTGAACATGGCGCTGATGTAAATGGCAAGGATACTTACGGAATGACAGTGCTGCACTCTGCTGTTACTAAAAGTACGTTAGAAATAGTAAAATATCTTGTTGAACATGGCACTAATGTAAATGGAAAGGATACTGACGGATGGACAGTGCTTCACCATGCTGCTATTAAAGGTTCGCTAAAAATAGTAAAATATCTTGTTGAACAGGGCGCTGATGTAAATGGCAAGGATACTTGCGAATGGACAGTGCTTCACTATGCTGTTACTAATGGTTCGCTAAAAATAGTAAAATATCTTGTTGAACATGGCGCTGATGTAAATGGCAAGGATACATACGGATGGACAGTGCTTCATTATGCTGTTACTAAAGGTACGCTAGAAATAGTAAAATATCTTGTTGAACAGGACGCTGATGTAAATGGCAAGGATAAATACGGATGGACAGTACTGCACACTGCTGTTACTGAAGGTACGCTAGGAATAGTGAAATATCTTGTTGAACAGGGAGCTGACGTAACTTTGAAAAGTAAAATCAGCGTTCATACTCTTGGCATTGACATAATTAAGATGGCAGTTATGAAAAATTCAGTTGTTTTGCTCAATCTTCTGTTGGAAAAGAACATTGCTGTGTGGAGAGCTGGACCATTTCTTGTCGAAGGAAGACAAATGAGTCTTCTTGAATGGAGTATTCACCTTGGTCATGACGAAATTACAACTATCCTCAAAAGGTCCTTAAATCATCGTGAGAAGATTCAGATGTTGAGAACAATGAATTGCAACAAGTTAGAAGAGGTAAATATCTTTTAAACATATATGAAGTTGTTTCAGTGAGTTTAGGCAATAACCAAGGTTAATAGGAAGTTTACAATCCACGACGTGGTAGCACGACAACGCGCATTTGGATTCGTCCCTGTTTAACCAGGCTCGTGTGATGTGTGAAAACTGTTACAGATTTATTGCCTTCGTTTATTTAAGCACTCGAATGCTTTTTCTTGTGTTTTTCTTCTCCCCACCGAAAATCTATTGTTTTTTAATTATAATTTTCTCTCCATAGACTGAAATATCGATGCAGGCTTTTGTCGCAGACAATCAATTCAAAATTGGCGGTGGTGGTTTTTCTCGTGTCTATGTTGGTCTCATGAAGGATGGAAGTGAAGTTGCTGTTAAGAGAATTTTGGTGCAAAGTGAGGATGAAACAGTTGAAAACGAAAAGGAAATCATGAGTCTCATTGAAACAAGCGGCTCCCCATTTATAGTGAAATATCGACATTTCCACCGTGACGATCCTTTCATGTATCTTATTGTTGATCTTTGCGAAGAAACTTTGAGGGAACTTGTTCATGCATGCAGTATTAAACATCTAAAAAAGCAAGGTCCACAAATGATTAGGGAAATTCTATCCGGACTTGAATTTCTTCATGGTAAAGGAATATTGCACAGAGATCTAAAACCATCAAACGTCCTGGTTGATAACGAATGTCGTATGAAATTGGGAGACTTTGGAATAAGCCGCGTTCTAAATGAAGATGAAACGACAGTTGAAACTGATGCTAAAGGTACTTCAGGATGGATGCCACCGGAAGTAATTGAAGCAATAGTTAAAAAAGAGAAAGGTCGTTTAGACAAAGATGAAAAAGGTCGTTTCAAAAAGAAATCAGATGTCCACGTCGCGGGTATGATTGCTTTCTTCATCTTAACCAAAGGTGAACATCCTTTTGGTTCTTCGTTAGAACGAATGAAAAATATTTTGGAGAACAATCCTGTCAATTTGGAGAAACTAGGTTACCGCGAAGCTCGTAGGTTTGTGTCGTGGCTGATTAGTCACAAGATTGATGATAGACCTCACGCTCACGAAGCATTGAGGGATTCCTTATTTAGCAACACCACAACGAACACAGCGAGCAATTAGACAACCAACCACGACGTTTGTTTGAAATGATGAATCTATCCTAGTTCTTAGCCCAAGTTTGTCCTTGAAAGAAGAATTTGGAGCGACACAAGGATGACAGAACATAGCTAATTTTAAAGTAATTATCACAATAGTATAGTAGAGGGGGGAGGGGGGACAGCACAAGTTTGTCCTTGAAGGGGAAATTTGGAGCGACAAAAATTCGACAGAAGGGCGACAGAACCAGTCGCATCAAGCGACAATAAAGCAACGCCGCGGATTTGTATTTCGTAGACGGTCTGTAGCAACTTTGATGGTCGGTAGCATCATTTACAGCTTCGGAAGTCGCCGTGTATCTCGCGACACTTTCTGAAGCCTTTCGTCAAAGTCGATATCACGTTGAATACTGTTTAAGGTGGTTTGATAATTTGCGAGGTTGTTTTATCGAGGTGATTCTCGATCCTATGCCAATTAGTATAGGTAATAGCATGGTTTCGAGTGCAGTTTGGATATAACATGCACGAGTGAGTTTTTCAAAGACCCCTCAAAATAGCACGAGTCCGAAGGCGAAGGACCAGTGCTATTAATTTTGACGTATTTGAAAAACTCAGGAGTGCATGTTATATCCAAATTTCACAAGAAACCATGGTATTATTAATAATATATATATACAGAAATTGCACTGTTACCTTTTTACACAACGTGTTGTTGGTTCAGGTAGAATCTAGTACAGTCTTGATTTAATAATAAATGCGATTCATAGAAAAAGAGCCGTTTTCATAGAAAAAACTATTATCTACAGTAGCGTAGAGAAGGCAGGGGGGGTGAAAATCTTCATGGAGAACGAGGCAAAAGATATGGTACTTTAAAAAGCTGTTTGTTAAAAGTTCGTAATCCGAAACAATTTCTCGCTAAACACAGAATACGGGGCACCACGTAAGTGCGCCCCCTCCTCCCAAAGAGGTATCCTCCCAGGCAACTAAGGGTACCTGACCTCAATCAACTCTGATCTCAATCATCAAAGGAACGATCTATATGGTTAGTTACAAGATAATATTGATAATATTCGGGAGAAGATAGATCGCGGTTTACTAAAGCGCAAATGAAATGAGTAAAAAAATTAAGAAGCCACACGTTCGCTTTACGCGTACGATGGAACAGCTTATGAATGAGACTTAAAAGAGTCGATTTTTACCACATAGAAGTTTCAAATTCAAAATCATCTCTCTCAGCGCTAATCCAGCATGCGGGGCACCGCGTTAATGTCACCTCTCCAGGCTCTCCTCCCAAAGAGGTAACCCCTCAGGCAACTGCCCCCTCAAGTAACGCCACAGCCATGTCACACCGAACGACGGGTCGTAATATTTTCCCAGCACCGCTTAGCCTATCAACGACCTGTAAACTAATCAGGTCGCGTCTTCAGTCATTTTCACAGGACAAGCTTCACGTACAAACTACAGGTGCGCCAGTCCCTACGCCAGCGGTTTAATCCGCTTTACATAGTCACCTACTTCATGTTTACATAATCGTCCTTGTTGTTGTTACGTTAATAAAGCACCGCTTTATAATCGCTTCCCCTGGTAAACCCGGACTTCACTTACTATATTGGTGGTGGTATTTTGAGTTAGTTTCTTAGAACAATTCATATTTTATAATCTTTGGGCTGTTACACTCAAGCTAGAGGACGGTAATACCGAACCATTAAGAGTCAAGACAAACCAGGTTATAGCATATGTTATACATGCAGGAATAGTTTTCATGTCCGAAATTTACCTGAATATTCTAAATAAACACAGACATCTATGTCATAAGCCGCGTTTACACTTGAGGCTTGGCCTGGATCAGGTCTAGGTAATATGTGCCACGTTCACACTGTCTTCCTTGTTGATGATATCGGACAGCCAACATAATTGACAAAATACTTCGAAAAGACCCAAAACACGCCGAAAAGTGGTAATACTAGTATGTATCCTATACAAATCATATACTATTAAGTTCAAAATTTGTCATGGCCAGGTAAAGCCTGTTCACATTACTAAAATCTTGCCCCAGGTCAGATCCAGGCCACCTTCTGGTGTTGGCCTGTATTTTGGGGCCTAGACCAGGTCCAGGCCTGGTGTAGGATAAACAACGTTCACATCTAGGTCAAAGTACGTAGTGTAAACGCGGCTATAGGCATAAATTATAGGATTATCACATTAAAAACGTTTGTCTTAAATTTAGACATTACCTTATTCTTTCGAGAATATTTTCATTTTTTTTTAGCAAGCTTTCAACGTTGGATTAGGGTCTTGACTTCACGACGATTTAACCATTATCTCGTTTCATAACAACGAAATTAAAGAGAGAATTGATGTGAATATCTGAGAGCGATTTTGTTTCAAAGCAAGAATGTATTGTTTGGGATTTTGATTGTTTGAGGGTCGTCTATTGTAGAGGCTCTGAAGTATAGCTGCATATTTTTTGTATCTGTTCATTTTTGTGAAAGCAAACTTCAAAGATTTTCACTTCAAAAAGCCTGAGAACTAGTTTCGTTTATCGCTTGCAATGCGGGGGAAATCCGTTCTCACCGGCAGGTCATCTTCAACATTACAGCATGAGGTTGTTTGAATAACAAAGACCACTGTCGACAACATCTGATTTTGATCAAAGATTAGGTTTGATTTGCCGAAAACGAAGATGACAAAATTTTGATCTAAATTATTCGTTTCATTCTCACGCAGTACGACGCTCTTTATTATGATGTAGAACATAAACCATTGAACTGATTGAAGGTGGGTAAGTAGATTATAATCACAGTAATTTGCTTCAGCACTGCAGAAATCAGAAGCGACTAGAAATTATGTTATGGTTGAATCGCATATTTGTGCAATGCATTGTGTCGCATTATTAAATTGCCAAACTAGCTACAAGAATTCTACATCAGTAAGTTAAGAAGTGTTCATGTCAACCTCAGAGGGGTTACATCAAATGGTGGTATTTTGTTGAGGTAAAGGATTACACGATTTCATTTTGGTGGAACAAATTCACTTGTGATGTATGGAATGTAGTCTGTTATTGATAAAGCAGTACATTGGTTTTAGTTGATTCTCTGCCCGTATATGTACATTGCAAGTCAACAAACTATAAAACATCCATCAGAAGTTAATTGGATCCGACGAGATTGGATCGTGTAAACAGAGCTTTAAAGTTCCAGCATTGCAGTGAATTATAAAGTACAATATATTTCATTTAATGCCGGGGTTCTTAAAACACAAGTAATCGTGGAGTTGTGTAAAATACAAAAGAACTGGTCTGACCGTTTTGAACGTGCAAAGAGAACCGGTCCTTAAAGACCCAAACCTTGCTAGAAACGAATGTAAAAAGGGACGAAAATCTATTCGTCATGTGTCTGAAAATTTGATTACGTTCTAAGCCAATGAACGTGTCTGTTTACATTTTTCCTCTTGACGAATAAAAAGTGCGAAATACGAGCAATCTCGGGGAAAGAACATTGTCGTCTTCTCATGTATTTGTACAGAGCAGTCGTTACAAGGCTTAAATAAGGTGTTGATTCATAAATCAATGTTTATATGGTACTGTTAAACATCGCTTTCCAAAGAAATCACTCGGGCATAAGAAGAATTAGACGTCAAGCAACACGCAACACAATTCATTTGCAATCTTCATATTTACTGCCTATGCACAATTCATTGCCTTTAATTGTATTGCACTTTTTATTTTTACTTCCAGTGGAGCTTCCCCGTTCACTTCTTCAGTTTAACCACTGATCTATGTTAAAGACTGTAGTGTGCCTATTTAAAGTTCGCCCTGGGTACGAGCCTGAAATATTTAATAAATATTTGTCACAGAGCTCGCGTCAGGTTGTCAGAAACATTCTCATTTTAAAGCTGATAGCTTATATAAAAACTAGATCAAATTTTGCTATGTATGGCATTTTTTATTAAAAATAAAATTTCGTTGAAACCATGACTAATCCCAACGATACACATTGGGCTTATTTTTCACTTTAGGAACGATAAAAAAATAAATTATCAACGGCGCGAGAACCACTCGAAATTTAATTGTCTCATTTTTACATTCTTAGCGATACGATGAAATAACTTCTCAGAGTCCAATGAAGTCTCCATCATTAGCAATTGTGAAGTTTTTAGTTAAATATTGCGGTGCTGACTTAAGTTGTAAAGATGAGTCAGGAAAAACTGTGTTACATCATGCTGTTGATGTTGGTGAAACAGACGTTGTCAAATATTTTGTTGAACAATGTGGCGCTGATGTAAATGACAAGGATAATAAAGGGTGGACAGCGCTGAACAATGCTGTTACTGAAGGTTCGCTGGAAATAGTAAAATGTCTTGTTGAACATGGCGCTGATGTAAATGACAAGGATACTGGCGGATTGACAGTGCTGCACTCTGCTGTTACTATAAAAGGTACGTTAGAAATAGTAAAATATCTTGTTGACAATGGCGCTGATATAAATGGCAAGGATACTTACGAATGGACAGTGCTGCGCTCTGCTGTTACTAATGGTACGTTAGAGATAGTAAAATATCTTGTTGAACATGGCGCTGATGTAAATGGAAAGAATAAATACGGATGGACAGTGCTTCACGATGCTGTTACTAAAGGTACGCTAGAAATAGTGAAAAATCTTGTTGAACATGGAGCTGATGTAAATGGCAAGGATACAAACGGATGGACAGTGCTTCACTATGCTGTTACTGATGGTACGCTAGAAATAGTAAAATATCTTGTTGACCATGGCGCTGATATAAATGGAAAGGGTATTTACGGACGGACAGTGCTGCACTCTGCTGTTACTAAAGGTACGTTAGAAGTAGTAAAATATCTTGTTGAACATGGCGCTAATGTAAATGGAAAGGATATTCGCGGGTTGACAGTGCTGCACTCTGCTGTTACTAAAGGTAAGTTAGAAATAGTAAAATATCTTGTTGAACATGGCGCTGGTGTAAATGGCAAGGATACTAACGGATGGACAGTACTGCACAGTGCTGTTACTGAAGGTACGCTAGGAATAGTAAAATATCTCGTTGAACATGGCGCTGACGTAACTCTGAAAAGTAAAATCAGCGTTCATACTGTTGGCATTGACATCCTGAAGATGGCAGTTATGAAAAATTCAGTTGTTTTGGTCAATCTTCTGTTGGAAAAGAACCTCGCCGTGTGGAGAGTTGGAACATTTTTTGTTGAAGGAAGACAAACGAGTCTTCTTGAATGGAGTATCCACCTTGATCATGATGAAATTACAACTATCCTCAAAAGGTCTGTAAATCATCGTGAGAAGATTCAGATGTTGAAAACAATGAATTCTAACATGTTAGAAAAGGTAAATATTTTTTAATCATATATGAAGTTGTTTCAGTGAGTTTAGGCAGTAACCAAGGTAAATAATGAGTTTACGATCTACGACACGGTAGTTGTAACGAACTTGAACTCGCTGCACAACGGCAACTACACAATTGGGTTTCGTCAACGTTTAGCCAGGATCGTATTGTGCGAATATTGATTCAGTAGCTGACGTTTGCTTATTTATTGCCTTCATTCATTTAAACACTCAAATGCTCTTTTACTTATTTCTTCTCACCACAGAAAACGTATCGGCTTTTTTAGTATAATTTTCTCTCCACAGACTGAAACACCGATGCAGGCTTTTGTCGCAAAGAATCAATTCAAAATTGGCGATGGTGGTTTTTCTTGTGTCTTTGTTGGTCTCATGAAGGATGGAAGTGAAGTTGCTGTTAAGAGAATTTTGGTACAAAATGAGGATGAAACAGGTGAAAACGAAAAGGAAATCATGAATCTCATTGAAACAAAGTCTCCATTCATAGTGAAATATCGACATTTTCACCGTGACGATACCTTCATGTATCTTATTGTTGATCTTTGCGAAGAAACCTTGAGGGAACTTGTTCATGCATGCAGTATTGAACATCTACAAGAGCAAGGTCCACGATTGATTAGGGAAATTCTATCAGGACTTGAATTTCTTCATGGTAAAGGAATATTGCACAGAGATCTAAAACCATCAAACGTCCTGGTTGATATCGAAGGTCGCATGAAATTGGCAGACTTTGGAATAAGCCGCGTTCTAAATGAAGAAGAAACGACAGTTGCAACTGATGCAAAAGGTACTCGCGGATGGATGCCACCGGAAGTAATTGAGGCAATAGTTAAGAAAGAAAAGGGTCGTTTCAAAAGAAAATCAGATATCCATGTCGCGGGTATGATTGCTTTTTACGTGTTGACCAAAGGTGAACATCCTTTTGGATCTGAATTAGATCGAATGAAAAATATTTCAGAGGATAATCCTGTCAATCTGGAGAAACTTGGTGATCGCGAAGCTCGTAGGTTTGTGTCGTGGCTGATTAATCACAAGATTGATGATAGACCTTACGCTCACGAAGCATTGAGAGATTTTTTATTTTGCAACACCACAACGAAACAGCGAACAATTAGACAACCAACCACGACGTTTGTTTGAAATGACGAATTCTTCTTAGCCCAACTTTGTCCATGAAGAACGACAAAAATTCGAGTGCGACAGAACTAGTAGTATCTGGTGACATTGTAGAGCAGCAACGCTTAACGCGACCGCCGTGGATTTGTATTTCGTAGAACGTCGGTAGGAACTTTGATGGTCGGTAGCATCATTTACAGCTTCGGAAGTCGCCGTGTATTTCGCGACAATTTCCGAATCCTTTCGTCAAAAATCAATAACACGTTGAATACTGCATGTTTAAGGTGGTTTAATAATTTGTGAGGTTGTTTTATCCAGGTGATTCTGAATCCCATGTCAATCAGCGTGACAATAATTTAGCAGAATGCGCTGTAGTTCATATTAATAAATTGAAATTAGCTCCAGTTAGCTATAAAGGGTAGCACACGCGTAGAGCAATGGAGGGAAACTCGTTTGTAAACTGGCGTATCTATAGATTTGAGCACAGGGAAACTTTGTTACGTTTCGGAGAACGTGCTCTCCTGATTTATTTCTAGCGGAATTAGAAAGTTCAAGGCTACTTGCATTTTGCTACAGTTAAGTAATATTCCCCTCACGTGCATGGAGCATGTTTCACGTGCACAGTCAGCATACCTATATAAAGCGATCCGAAAGGTTCAAGGTCATTTTATATTTGATTTCGTCGAAGCAATTTCGGAAGTTTTCACCCGACCCTCCCTCCCTTTCTCTAGGTTGTGAGCTACGATAATTTCTGTGTAATTATGCTGGTGTGGGCGTTTTTCATCACCCCACCTTTTCTGTGCTGTACTAAAATACGAACATTGTAACAATTAGCTATAATTTGTTACTTTTAGTTCAATTAAATCGGCATGTGCTCTGGAACATTGCCATTATTTTATCCAAAAAGTGTCATCATTGTTCATTGCAGTTGCATGCCTTTAATTTGCCCAGAAAACAGAGCTCACCAGTCTCGGAAACCGCCGGCACCTCCTATAGAGTTTGTAGGTGAAACGGAAGGGATAAAGAGCTTTTTACACAAGATGTGGTTGGTTCAGGTGCAATCCAAATATTATACTCTTGATTTATTAATAAATACGATTTTCATAGAAAAAGTGCCGTTTTCAAAGAAAAAAACTATTATCTACAAACATCAGTCCAGTAGAATAGAGAATGCAGGGGGGTGTGAAAATCACCCTGGGGCACGAAGCAAAAGATATGGTACAACTAAATGATTTTAAAATGCTGTTAAAAGTTTTTAATCCGAAACAATTTCTCGCTAAACTCAGGATGCGGGGCACCACGTCATTGCGCCCTCTCCTCCCAAAGAGGCATACCCCCAGACAACCGCCCCCTCAGTTATCGCCTTCACGTCGAATGGCATTCACACCGAACGGGTCGTAATATTGTCCCAGCGCCGCTGTTGACGATCATGCGAACTAAAAAGGTCGTATCTTTATTCACTTCCATAAGACAAACACCACGTACAAACTACAGGTGGTATTTTGAGCCCATTTCTCAAAACAATTCACATTGTATATTCTCATTGGGTTTTTTTTCTCAGAGAGGGTAAATACCGAACTAGCAAGGTCTGTACTATACAGGAATAGTTCTCTCGTGGCTGAAATTTCCCTGGATAATCTAGACACATATAGTGATCTCTATGTCATAGATACTGTATAGTGTATATCATTGACATATCTTACAAACCCTTGCTGGACGCACACGAGCAGTGCCAGAGAGACATGCAGAGACAAACCAGCCTGAGAACTAGTTTCGTTTAACTTAGCATGTGATGTTTGATAACAAACACTGACGACACCTGAAGATTAGCATTGCTTAATATTGATTTACCGATAAAGATTTGGATTGTTTCCTTCTCGAAGCTGTATCGACGCTATTTATAATTATTATGATGCAGAACATAAACCACTGAAGGTACGTGGGTAAGTGCGTTATAATCACATTACACTGCACTGACTGCAGAACTCAGAAGCGACTAGAAATCATGTTATTATGATCGAGACGAGTAGCATTTGTGCGAATGTGTACCACATTCCTGTGTGATTGCCGCACTACAAAAGTTTTATATCAGCGAGTTAAGCAGCCTTCAATGTTAACCTCAGAGGCCTATTTTGGATTTGAAGTAGAAGTATTTAGTTCAAGTAAAGGTGTGTTCAAAACTTCACACGATCCCGTTTTGGTGAATCTAAATAATCTAGTTAACTTCTGGCGTATGCCAACCGCACACGAGAAGTACATTTCTCTACAAGAATAATAAATTCGTTGGAATATTTAAGAGCATAGGTGTCAGACTTACTATATAGTGTAAGGTTTACGTTTAGCCCAGCCGATGTCTTGGCGTGCTTAGTGATAAAAATTCTTATGTTTCGTACTTTCGTTTATATTCAAAGCATGTCGTCATTATTCGACCGCATTCCATGCACAAGCAAAAGAATGCATAAGAGCTAAAACCTTGCTAGAGATGAACGAGAGAAGTCAGTCTTGTAGTCAAGATTGACTGATATATAAATATATATATATATAATTATATATATTATTATTATATATATATATATATATATATATATATATATATATAATATATATGCGTCTGACACTTCGATTTCGTTTAAAGAAGAAGGGCAATGTATTTTTTTTTCAATCTTAAGATAAAGCTTGTCATATAAATTATTAAAAAATAGTAAAAGTTTAATCTGTAGGCATTTACATCCGCAGAAAATAACATTTGTTTGCACCCAAATATTGCGCTTCGCCCGCCATCTTGAAATGTGTCGCATTTGCTAACTTATGCATATTTTGATACTTGTGACGTCACACAAGTATCAAAATATTTCCTCACACCTTTTGCGCAATAACTGACTCCATGGTCCTTTCAAGTCGTGCTCGATTGCCCGATGGATTAAAGCTGTTTTACAAGGCGCTGGCATTGACACGAACATATTCAAGGGGCATTCTACAAGGGCTGCGTCTTCATCCAAAGCTAGGTTTGGAGGAGTCCCTCTTGAGAAATTCATAAAAATGGCGAATTGGTCAGGAACTTTCACCGTTACACGGTTTTATTATCGGCCTACGTTCAACGACGTGTATGCTAGGTCCGTTCTCTCTCTATTAACTGCGTAGTTTCGTAATGACTTTGGTAGTTCCTGCTTCCCTGTTTGCTTTAAACTAGCATTGTTATATTGAAACTTCTGTGTTCGAAATATAATTTAGGATTTTGCAAGCGCGCTTCGCGACCGCAGTTAAGTCAAGATTATATGAGAACACAGAAGTGATGATAACAATTCCAAAGGACAAACACCACGTACAAACTACAGGTGGTATTTGGAGTCCATTTCTCAGAACAATTCATATTGTATATTCATCTTTTTTCCTCTGAGGGGGTAAATACCAAACCAGACAAAGTCAGTAGAAACCAGCCTAGCATAGCAAGGTTTGTACTATATAGTAATCATTTTCTCGTGTCTGAAATTTTCGTGGATATTCTAAACACATAGTGATCTCTATGTCATAGATACTGTATATCATTGATATATCTTGCACATGCAGAGACAAACCAGCCTAGCATAGCAAGATCTATACTATAAAGGAATAATTTTCATGTCCAAAATTTCTGAAGATATTCTGTCCAAACAGTCATTTAGGTAATAGACATATTCCTGACATATCTTGCAATTATTAAACTGTTGGTCAGTTCTACCGGTCTCACGACGCAAACTAGCGAGGTTCAGATTTGACTACCACTACCGCCACCTCTCGCTAATCTATTAAGCTCGTGATTGGTTAGTCTGAAAGACCTATCCCATTTGATTGGTTTATATTTCCACAATAACTGTGGTAGTCGTAGTGGTAGTCAAATCTGAACCTCGCTATTATCACTTGTAAGACAGACGAAAAGAAGAAGAAGTTCCGACATTACCTTGTTCTTTCATGAATATCTTCAACCTTTTGCATGAAGCTTTCAATCTAGGATTCCAGTCTCGACTTCATGACTCGACGTAACCATTATCTCGTTTCTATAACGAGGAAATTAAAGAGAGAATTTATGTGAATATCTGAGACACATTTTGTTTCAAAGCAAGAATGTATTGTTTGGGATTTTGATTGTTTGGAGTGCCATTTATTGTACAGATTCAGAGGCAGCTACATGTTTTTTGTATTTTTTAAGTTCGTGTTTAGAAATATCTTATAATATTGAACAAGAAAGTAAGATTGAAACGAAGTGCATCGTTTGAAAAAAATCAAATATTTCCGCTGCACAATCAAAATCGTCCGCGGCAACAGGGTTGAAATTCAGGTAGAATGGTTTCAGGATGGCACTTTTAGAGGCGTATAAATATTCTGACACAGCACAGGATATTGCTCACATTACGGACTGTACCAAATCTTTGAACTACATTCATTCTAACTGAAAGAGGTAGGTCACAGATATTAGAAAACTGTTTGTGACGATCTTGAGAAAGAGACAGTTATAAGGAAGGTTCTATTCTAATAATATATACGATACACACAGTCATCAAACCTTTAACTTGACATGAATAGTGTCAAAGACGCATTGCTACAAAGTCATATCTTGCAATGATTGTTGCAAGATTTGTTATTCTTTGTATTTGTGTCAAAAATGTGAATGTGCATGCAAACTTCTAAACGTTGAAGATAAATATTGCCAGATTTTCATTCCAAAAAGCCTGAGAACTAGTTTCGTTTATCGTTTGCAATGCGGGGGAAATCCGTTCTCGGCAGGTCGTCTTCAACATCACAGCATGAGGTTGTTTGAATAACAAAGACCACTGTCGACAACATCTGATTTTGATCTAAGATTAGGTTTGATTTGCCGAAAACGAAGATGACAAAATTTTGATCTAAATTATTCGTTTCAATCTCGAAGCTGTATCGACGCTCTTTATTATGATGTAGAACATAAACCATTGAACTGATTCGGAAGGTGGGTAAGTAGATTATAATCACAGTAATTTGCTTCAGCACTGCAGAACTCAGAAGCGACTAGAAATTATGTTATGGTTGAGTCGCATATTTGTGCATGGCATTGCATGTGTGTCACATTATTAAATTGCTAAACTAACTACAAGAATTCTACATCAGTGAGTTAAGAAGTGTTCATGTCAACCTCAGAGGGGTTACCTCAAATCGGGGTATTTTGTTGATGTAAAGTTTCACATGATTCCATTTTGGGGGAACCAATTCACTTGTGATGTATGGAATGTAGTCCGTTATTGATAAAGCAGTTCATTGGTTTTATTTGTTTCCCTGCCCATATATACATTGCAAGTCAACAAACTATAAAACATCCATCAGAAGTGAATTGGATCCGACGAGATTGGATTGTGTGAACAGAACTTTAAAGTTGGAGCATTGCAGGGAATTACAAATAACAATATCTTTCATTTAAGGGTCTTAAAGCACAAGTAATCGCGGACTGTAGTAAAATACAAAAGAACTGGTCTGACCGTTTTTGACGTGCAAAGAAAAACGGTCCTTAAAAACCCGGACCAGGCTAGAAATGAAGGTGAAAACTGAAAAGTCAGACCTGAAGTCAGGGACGAAAATCTATTCGTGTTGTGTCTGACACTTTGATTTCGTTCTAAGTCGTTGAACGCGTTTGCTCGGATTTTTTTCTCTTATGAAATGAATAAAAATGGTGAAATATGAACAATCGTGGGTAGAGAATTTTGCCGTCTTCTCGTGCATTTGTACAGAACCGTCGTTGGAAGGTTTAAATAGGGTCAACATTCATAAATCAATGTTTACATGGTATTGTTAAACATCGCTTTCCAAAGAAATCACTCGGGCATAAGAAGAATTAGACGTCAAGCAACGCGCAATACAATTCATTTGCAATTTTCGGCTGTTATAATTGTATTTCACTTTTTATTTTTCACTTCCAGGGGTGCTTACTCGCGCGCTTGCTCCGCTTAGCCACTGATCTATGTTAAAGCCTGTAATGTGCCTATTTAAAGTTCGCCCTTGGTACAAGCCTGAACGATACCCGCTAAGCTTCTTTTTCATTTTAGAAACGATAGAAAAAAAGGTAAATTCTTAACGACGCGAGGCCTCCTCGAAATAAAATTTTCTCATTTTTACATTTTAACGTTTATAATAGGAATTGATAAGAAGCAAGAAGCAAGTGGAAGTACAAGTGTCTGCAAATATGGTGCAAAACATCTTCGAGACGATGAAATAACTTCTCAGAGTCCAATGCAGTCTCCATCATTAGCAATTGTGAAGTTTTTGGTTAAATATTGTGGTGCTGACTTAAGTTGTAAAGATGAGTTGGGCAAAACTGCTTTACATCATGCTGTTGATGTTGGTGAAATAGACATTGTCAAATATTTTGTTGAACAATGTGGCGCTGATGTAAATGACAAGGATAAATTAGGGTGGACAGCGCTCAACTATGCTGTTTCTAAAGGTACGCTAGAAATGGTCAAATGTCTTGTTGAAAACGGCGCTGATGTAAATTATAAGAGTACATACGGATGGACAGTGCTTCACGATGCTGTTACTAAAGGTACACTAGAAATGGTAAAATATCTTGTTGAAAACGGCGCTGATGTAAACAGGAAGAAAATTAACGGGGAGACAGTGCTGTACGCTGCTGTTAGTGAAAATAGACTAGAAATGGTCAAATATTTTGTTGAAAAGGGTGCTGATGTAAATGGCAAAGATATTTACGGAAAGACAGTGCTGCACTCTGCTGTAAGTGAAAGTAGACTAGAAATGGTCAAATATCTTGTCGAAAAAGGCGCTGATGTAAATGGCAAAGATATTTACAGAGAGACAGTGCTGCACTCTGCTGTAACTCAAGGTTCGCTAGAAATGGTAAAATATCTCGTTGAAAACAGGGCTGATGTAAATAGTGGAAAAAGTAACCGGTGGACAGTGCTGCACTCTGCCGTTACGGAAGGTACCCTAGAAATGGTGAAATATCTTATTGAAAACGGCGCTGATGTAAATGGTAAGATGACTAACGGGTGGACAGTGCTGCACGCTGCCGTTACTAGAGGTAAGCTGGAAATAGTAAAATACCTTGTTGAAAAACGCGCCGATGTAAATGGAAAGAAAACTAACGGGTGGACAGTGCTGCACACTGCTGTTACTAAAGGTACGCTAGAAATGGTAAAATATCTTGTTGAGCATGGCGCTGATGTAAATCGCCAGAAAACAAAGGGGTTGACAGTGCTGCACAAAGCTGTTACTGGAAGAAGCCTAGAAATAGTTAAATATCTTGTTAAAAATGGCGCTAATGTAAATTGTACGGATACTCGTGGATGGACAGTGCTGCACACTGCTGTTACCAAAGGTACACAAGAAAAAGTGAAATATCTTGTTGAACATGGCGCTGATGTAAATGGAAAGAATGCTGACGGATGGACAGTGCTGCGCTATGCTGTTATTAAAGGTAAGCTAGAAATGGTAAAATATCTTGTTCAAAATGGAGCTGATGTAAATGGAAAAGATACTGACGGATCGACAGTGCTGCACACTGCTGTTACTGAAGGTAGGCTAGAAATAGTAAAATGTCTTGTTGAACAAGGCGCTGACATAACTGTTAAAAGTAAAATCAGCGTTCATACTCTTGGCATTAACATCCTGAACATAGCTGTTGAGAAAAATTCAGTTGCTTTGGTCAATCTTCTGTTGGAAAAGAACATCGCTGTGTGGAGAGCTGGAACATTTCTTGTTGAAGGAAGACAAATGAGTCTTCTTGAATGGAGTATTCACCTTGGTCATGATGAAATTACAACTATCCTCAAAAGATCCATAAATCATCGTGAGAAGATTCAGATGTTGAAAACAATGAATTGCAACCAGTTAGCAGAGGTAAGTATTTTTTAAACATATATGAAGTTGTTTCATTGAGCTTAGGCAGTAACCAAGGTTAATGGAAGTTTACGATCCACGACGTGGTAGCACGACAACGCACATTTGGATTCGTCCCTGTTTAACCAGGCTCGTGTGATGTAAAAAAGCTGTTACAGATTTATTGCCTTCGTTTATTTAAACACTCGAATGCTTTTTCTTGCTTCTTTCTTCTCCTAACAGAAAATCTATTGTTTTTTTAATTATAATTTTCTCCCCATAGACTGAAACACCGATGCAGGCTTTTGTCGCAGACAATAAATTCAAAATTGGTGCTGGTGGTTTTTCTTGTGTCTATGTTGGTCTCATGAAGGATGGAAATGAAGTTGCTGTTAAGAGAATTTTGGTGCAAAGTGAGGATGAAACAGTTGAAAACGAAAAGGAAATCATGAGTCTTATTGAAAAAAACTCTCCATTTATAGTGAAATATCGACATTTTCACCGTGACAATACCTTCATGTATCTTATTGTTGATCTTTGCGAAGAAACCTTGAGGGAACTTGTTCATGCATGTAGTATTGAACATTTACAAAGGCAAAGTCCACGAATGATTAGGGAAATTCTATCAGGACTTGAATTTCTTCATGGTAAAGGAATATTGCACAGAGATCTAAAACCATCAAACGTCCTGGTTGATATCGAAGGCCGCATGAAATTGGCAGATTTTGGGATAAGCCGCGTTCTAAAAGACGATGAAACGACAGTTGAAACAGATGCTAAAGGTACTCGTGGATGGATGCCACCGGAAGTAATTAAGGCAATAGTTAAAAAAGAAAAAGGTCGTTTTAAAAAGAAATCAGATGTCCATGTCGCGGGTATGATTGCTTTTTACGTGTTAAGCAAAGGTGAGCATCCTTTTGGATCTGCATTAGATCGAATGAAAAACATTTTAGAGGATAATCCTGTCAATTTGGAGAAACTTGGTGACCGCGAAGCTCGTAGGTTTGTGTCGTGGCTGATTAATCACAAGATTGATGATAGACCTTACGCTCACGAAGGACTGAGGGATCCTTTACTTATTATCAATCACCACAAGAAACACAGCGGGCAATACCACCGCAAACTACGAAGTTTGTTTGACCCGATTAATCTTTGAAGGGAAAAGTTGGAACAACAAAAATGGAGTGCGACAGAACCAATAGTATGTAGTGACATTATAGAGATTTGTATTTCGTAGAACGTCGGTAGCAACTTTGATTGTAGCATCATTTACAGTTTCGGAAGTCGCCGTGTATTCGCGACACTTTCTCATCCTTTCGTCAAAATCGATAACATGTTGAATATTGTTTAAGGTATTTTAAAAATTTGCGAGGTTGTTTTATCCAGGTGATTCTCAATCCAATGTCAATCAGCGTGACAATAGTTTAGCAGAATGCGCTGTAGTTCTCATCCATAAATTGAATTTAGCTCCCGTTGCGCATTCTAAATTTTTTACACTTAAAATATTCTTGTTATAAAGACCTTTTTACACAACGTGTTGTTGGTTCAGGTAGAATATAAATATTACAGTCTTGATTTATTAGTAAATACGATTTTCATAGAAAAGTTCCGTTTTTACAGAAAGAAACTATTATCTACAAACGCCAGTAGCATAGAGAAGGCAGGGGGGAGTGATAATCACCCTGGTGCAAAATATATGGTGCAACAGCAGTTTGTTAAAAGTTTTTAATCCGAAACAATTTCTCGCTAAACTCAGAATGCGGGGCACCACGTCATTGCGCCCCCTCCTCCCAAGGAGGTATACCCCCAGACAACCCCCCCCCCTCAGTTAACGCGTTCACACCGAATGGCGTTCACACCGAACGGGTCGTAATATTGTCCCAGCACCGCTGTCGACGATCAAGCGAACTAAAAAGATCGTATCTTTAGTCACTTCCATAGAACAAACACCACGTACAAACTACAGGTGGTATTTTGAGACCATTTCTCAAAACAATTCATATTGTATATTCATTGGGCTTTTTTCCTAAGAGGGGGATAATACCGAACTAGACAGAGTCAGTACAAACCAGCCTAACATAGTGTTATAAAGAGTTAAGTATAAAGAATATATTTAATGTGATCTTTTCAATAGATTAATGCCTTACATGTCTATATTCTACATTTCTACGTTCGCTCTGTTCTCAAGCCAGTTTTATCAGTTCTCTGCTATTTCGCGCCTCTACGTCCTGATACTTCATGTCATTTTACCATAACTAATATTACTCTAACAATAGCAATGTCTGTGCTTCACAGGAATGATTCTCTCGTGCCTGAAATTTCCCTGGATATTCTAAACACATTGTGATCTCTATGTCATAGATATACTGTATATCATTGACATATCTTGCACATGCAGGGACAAACCAGCCTAGCATAGCAAGATCTATACTATACAGGAATGATTCTCATGTCCAAAATTTCCGTAGACGTTCTGTCCAAACAGTCATTTAGGTCATAGACAAATTTCTGACATATCTTGCACTAATTAAACTGTTGGTCAGTTCTACCGGCCTCACGACGCAAACTAGCGAGGTTCAGAATTGACTACCACTACCGCCACCTCTCGCTAATCTATTAAGCTCGTGATTGGTTAGTCTGATAGACCTGTCCCATTTGATTGGTTTATATTCCTCAAAGGTTTTAGTAGCCCTGGTGATAGTCAAATCTGAATCTCGCTATTATCACTTGTAAGACAGACGAAGAAGAAGATCCGACATTACCTTGTTCTTTCGTGAATATCTTCAACTCTTTTGCATGAAGCTTTCAATCTTGGATTCCAGTCTCGTTTCTATAACAAGGAAATTAAAGAGAAAATTTATGTGAATATCTGAGAGCTATTTTGTTTCAAAGCAAGAATGTATTGTTTGGGATTTTGATTGTTTGGAGTGCCATTTATTGTAAAGATTCCGAGGCGCTTTTAGAGGCGTATAAATATTCTGACACAGCACAGGATATTGCTCACATTACGGACTGTACCAAATATTTGAACTACATTCATTCTAACTAAAAGAGGGGTCACAGATATTAGAAAACTGTTTGTGACGATCTTAAGAAAGAGACAGTTATAAGAAAGGTTCTATTTTAATAATATATACGATACACACAGTCATCAAACCTTAAACTTTACATGAAAAGTGTCAAAAACGCATTGCTACAAAGTCATATCTTGCAATGTTTGTTGCAAGATTTGGTATTCTTCGTATTCGTGTCAAAAATGTGAATGTGCATGCAAACTTCTAAACGTTGAAGATAAATATTGCCAGATTTTCACTCCAAAAAGGCTGAGAACTAGTTTCGTTTATCGTTTGAAATGCGGGGGAAATCCGTTCTCGACAGGTCGTCTTCAACATCACAGCATGTGGTTGTTTGATAACAAATACCACTGTCGACAACACCTGATTTTGTTGGAAGATTAGGTTTGATTCGCCGAAAACGAAGATGACAAAATTTTGATCTAAATTATTCGTTTCAATCTCGAAGCTGTATCGACGCTCTTTATTATGATGTAGAACATAAACCATTGAACTGATTGAAGGTGGGTAAGTAGATTATAATCACAGTAATTTGGTTCAGCACTGCAGAAATCAGAAGCGACTAAAAATCATGTTATGGTTGAGTCGCATATTTGTGCAATGCATTGTGTCGCATTATTAAACTGCCAAACTAACTTTAAAGAATTCTTGTAGAATTCTACATCAGTGAGTTAAGAAGTATTCATGTCAACCTCCGAGGCATTTAGAAACGAATGTGAAAAGTGAGCCTTGTAGTCAGGAACGAAAATCTATTCGTCGTGTGTCTGAACATTTGATTTCGTTCTAAGCCAATGAACGTGTTTGCATAGATTTTTCCTCTTGACGAATAAAAATGCTGAAATACGACTGACAATTTTAGGGAGAATATTGCCGTCTTCTCATGTATTTGTACAGAGCCGTCGTTAGAAGTTTAAATAGCGTGTTGATTCATAAATCTATGACTTTGTTTATATAGAGTTAAGTAATCGCTGATCAAAGAAATCAGTCAGGCATAGCACGAATGAATATACACTCTCTAATTGCACTATTATAATTGCACTATTTATTTTTCACTTCCACGGGTGCTTCTTTGCTAAGCTAAGCCACTGATGTATAAAAATTCCTGAAGTGTGTCGTCTGAACAATCAGCCACAAGTAACGTTTAGCTCAACTGATAGATCTCGTGTGCTTCAGCTATAAAGCCTCTATCCAAGCGGACCGTAAAATTTTGCTGAAAGTCGAACAACGACTAATCCCAACGAAACTCACTAGGTTTAACCACTGCTCATGTTGTTCACCTTTGAAACAATAGAAAAATGAAATTCTTAACCGCTCAAGGGCTCCCTCGAAATGATATTGTCTCATTTTTACGTTCTTAACCTTTGTAATAGAAATTTCCATGGAGCACAAAGCAAGTGGAAGTACAAGTGTCCGCGAATATGGTTCGAAACATTTTCGAGACGATGAAATAACTTCTCAGAGTCCAATGCAGTCTACATCATTAGCAATTGTAAAGTTTTTGGTTGAATATTGTGCTGCTGACTTAAGTTGTAAAGATGAGTTGGCCAGAACTGCTTTACATCATGCTGTTGATGTTGGTGAAAAAGACATTGTGAAATATTTTGTTGAACAATGTGGCGCTGATGTAAATGACAAGGATAAAAGAGGGAGGACAGCGCTGAACTATGCTGTTACTGAAGGTTCGCTAGAAATAGTAAAATATATTGTTGAACATGGCGCTGATGTAAATGACAAGGATAAAAGAGGGTGGACAGCGCTGAACGATGCTGTTACTATAGGTGCTCTAGAAATGGTAAAATATCTTGTTGAACATGGCGCTGATGTTAATGACAAGGATACATACGGATGGACAGTGCTTCACTATGCTCTTATTAAAGGTACGGTAGAAATAGTGAAATATCTTGTTGAACATGGCGCTGATGTAAATGGCAAGGATACATACGGATGGACAGTGCTTCGCTATGCTGTTACTAAAGGTACGCTAGAAATTGTGAAATATCTTGTTGAAAAGGGCGCTGATGTAAATGGCAAGAATACTGACGGAATGACAGTGCTGCACACTGCTGTTACTCAAGGTAGGCTAGAAATAGTAAAATGTCTTGTTAAACATGGTGCTGACGTAACTCTTAGAAGTGAACGTAGCGTTCACACTCTTGGCAATGACATCCTGAAGATGGCTGTTGTAAAAAATTCAGTTGCTTTGGTCAATCTTCTGTTGGAAAAGATCATCGCTGTGTGGAGAGCTGGAACATTGTTGGTTGAAGGAAGACAAATGAGTCTTCTTGAATGGAGTATTTACCTTGGTTATGATGAAATTACAACTATCCTCAAAAGGTACGTAAATCATCGTGAGAAGATTCAGATGTTGAAAACAATGAATTGCAACAAGTTAGAAGAGGTAAATATTTTTTTAAATATATAAAATGTTATTATAATAACTTGTAGGTACACCACGTAAGTATTAAATACTGCAAAGCTTTCGGTGGTGTACCTACAAGTTATTATAATTACTAAAGTCGCCATGCAATCATACAAGAATTGCAACAAGTTAGAAGAGGTAAATATTTTTTTAAATATATAAAATGTTATTATAATAACTTGTAGGTACACCACGTAAGTATTAAATACTGCAAAGCTTTCGGTGGTGTACCTACAAGTTATTATAATTACTAAAGTCGCCATGCAATCATACAAGAAAATTATTATATAAAATGTTGTTTCAGTGAGTTTAGGCAATAACCAGGGGTAATATAGAACGTTTATGATCCACGACGTGGTAGCTCGACAACGCGCATTTGGATTCGTCCCGGTTTAACCAGGCTCGTGTGATGTGTGAAAACTGTTACAAGATTTATTCCTTCATTTATTCAAACACTCGAATGCTTTTTGTTGTGTTTTTCCTCTCCGCACAGAAAATCAATTCTTTTTTAATTATAATTTTCTCCCCATAGACTGAAACACCGATGCAGGCTTTTGTCGCAGAGAATCAATTCAAAATTGGTGCTGGTGGTTTTTCTTGTGTCTATGTTGGTCTCATGAAGGATGGAAGTGAAGTTGCTGTTAAGAGAATTTTGGTACAAAGTAAGGATGAAACAGTTGAAAACGAAAAGGAAATCATGAGTCTAATTGAAACAAACTCTCCATTTATAGTGAAATATCGACATTTTCACCGTGACGATACCTTCATGTATCTTATTGTTGATCTTTGCGAAGAAACCTTGAGGGAACTTGTTCAAGCATCCAGTATTAAACATCTACAAGAGCATGGTCCACGAATGATTAAAGAAATTCTATCAGGACTTGAATTTCTTCATGGTAAAGGAATATTGCACAGAGATCTAAAACCATCAAACGTCCTGGTTGATATCGAAGGCCGCATGAAATTGGCAGACGTTGGAATAAGCCGCGTTCTAAATGAAGATGAAACGACAGTTGAAACAGATGCTAAAGGTACTCGCGGATGGATGCCACCGGAAGTAATTGAAGCCATAAAGAGAAACGAAAAGGGTCGTTTCAAAAGGAAATCAGATGTCCATGTCGTGGGTATGATTGCTTTTTACGTGTTAACCAAAGGTGAACATCGTTTTGGATCTGAATTAGTCGAATGAAAAATATTTCAGAGGATAATCCTGTCAATTTGGAGAAACTTGGTGACCACGAAGCTCGTAGGTTTGTGTCGTGGTTGATTAATCACAAGATTGATGATAGACCTCACGCTCACGAAGTACTGAGGGATTCCTTATTAAGCAAACCACAAGGAACACAGCAAGCAATTAAACAACCAACCACGACGTTTGTTTTTGATTAGGAATCCTTCCTAGCCTAATTTTGTCCTTGAAGAGGGAATTTGGAGCGACACAAGGGCGACAGAACATAGCTAATTTTAAAATAATTATCACAATAATATAGTAGAGGGGGGAGGGACAGCCACAGTTTGTCCTTGAAGGGGAACTTTCGAGCGACACAGGGGCGACAGAACATAGCTAATTTTAAAATAATCATCAAAATAGTATAGTAGAGGGGGGGAGGGGACAGCCCAAGTTTGTCCTTCAAGGGAAAACTTGGAGCGACAAAAATTCGACACAAGGGCGACAGAACTAGTTGCATCAGCAATAATGCAATGCTGAACGCAGCCGCCGTGGATTAGCATTTCGTAGACGGTCGGTAGCAACTTTGATGGTCGGTAGCATCATTTACCGTTTCGGAAGTCGCCGTGCACTTCGCGACACTTTCCGAATAAAAAATCGACAAGAAGGTATTCTAATTATTTACGAATTTGCTGTATCGGCATGATTCTCAATCCTATTTCAATCATCCTGATAATAGTTTAGCAGAATGTGCTGTAGTTCTTATATCCAGTTAAAACAAATATATATATATATTTCTTACACTTAAAATATCCTTGTCATAAAGAGCCTAACAGAACGTGTGGTTGGTTCAGGTAGAACCTCAATATGACAGTCTGCAATATATTGTACACTATTTGAAAGAAAGATTTCATAACTGAGGGGCTGTTCACATGAGCCAGATTACCAAGATGACTTTAAAAAAGCTGTTTGGACAATCGAGAACTAACTAGGCTAACTATCCATTTGTCATAACGTCTTTAAAATTATAGGATTATATTTGTTCGTTGCGAGAACGATTTTGCAATTTTTGCTAGAGACTAACTGTAAATAGTTAATAGTCCCAGATTTAATGGACGCTGTATCGCCTGCGACATGAACTATGCTGTATGGAAGGTGTTAAGATAGAGCAAGAAGCAGTAGAGACTTGGTGATTGTTTTGATTTACACTTCTTTTGCTGACAAAGAGTAAAAAATATAGAATTGCAGTACGCAGAAGCTTTGTGGTGTTATAGATGCTCCAGGTCTCTGGCTCCAGGTTTAATCTGGAGCATCAAAGCGGAAATTGGATCTTACTGGTTTATTGGCTATTGTAAAATACGACAGACGACAGGTGATTTTGACGACAGAGAATTTTATTCCATATATTTGTTTCATTTTCGATGCTGTAACGAGAATCTTTATTATGATGTAGAACTTATATAAACCATTTAAAGTGGGTAAGTAGATTATAATCACAATGATTTGCTTCAGCACGGCAGAACTCAGAAGCGAGTAGAAATCATGTTATGATCGAGACGAGCAGCATATATTTGTGCGAGGTTTGTGTGTCACATTCCCGTGTGATTACCACACTACACGAATATTATTATATCAGTGAATCAAGCAGCGTTCATGTTAACCTCAGAAACCTATTTTCTATTTGAAGTAGAAGTATTTTGTTAAAGCCGTTTATTGGGGTCGGCGTTAGATCATATTGAACTAACGTACATGACGTCATAAAATTTTCAATAACCCTAACCCTAACCGTAATTAAGGTAAAGCCAGAGATACTATTACATAAGTATATGATCACTCCTATACTGGGTATGACTGTATGAGGGTAACAGACACTTACACTTTCGTGTACATTTATAAATGTATAAATGTATCATTCATCGCCATTTTTATTTTATCATTTTTATGAACCAGCTCTAGAAAGACTTCATGTAAGACTTCTGTTATTACACTTCCGTTATTGCAAAATTTATGACGTCATGTACGTTAGTTCGATATGATCTAACGCCGACCGTTTATTGGCACGGAACGTGTTTCCACAATGAAATTACAAAACTTCTCGATCTCTTTTTCAAATTTCCTGAAATCTCCTGCCAATAATCTGATTTTTCCTGCAAAATTTCCAACATTTTAAATGTTTTTTCGCTATTAGAATATACTTATTTTTCATGAAAGGCAAAGAAGAACCGCTCACAACTGTCAGAGAACCTGTAGTATATTGATATTATACGTAGTTAAGTCACGTGGTTAATCTAGTAACCCGGATGACCACGAGGGATTTGGGGTCTTTGGGGAACGAGCTGAATAGGCGTGTAGTATGTAAAATATGTACTAAATAAAGACTAAGGAAAACCTCTACATTGCGGCGACGGAAATGGGATCTAGGTCCCTACAATAACACAAACTGGTACATACAATAACAAGTCAAACAAAATCGAAAGAAAAACGGAGAATATGGCAGTGGCTTTACCCAATTTCGCTGAATTCGATGTTCACTCAGACGGAGCAGTGGATACTCGCTGGAAGAAATGGCTCACTCGTTTCAGAAATCTTCTGCTAGCATTAGCTGTAGACGACGCCAAAAGACAAAGAGCTCTTTTGTTGCACTATGCTAGAGAAAGCGTGAATGAAATATTCGAAACACTGCCCAATACAATTTATGCTGGAGAAGACGAAAATCCGTTCGCAAAGGCTGTTACGGCACTTACAAACTATTTTACTCCCAAGAAGAATGGAGAATACGAGGTATATGTATTTCGTAAAGCCAAGCGAGAAAGCGACGAGAATATACTAGCGTTTCACACTCGTTTGTGACGGCTAGCTATCACTTGTGAATTTGCAGACACGGACATAGAGATTAAAACACAAATCGTGCAGAGTTGTTTGTCGCGCAAACTTCGCATGAAAGCTCTACAAAACCACGAGATGACCTTAACACAGCTACTCGACGCCGGTAAAGCCATGGAAATGTCAAAGTCTCAAGCAGACAACATCGAAGGCAAGCCAGATATCAATAAATTGGCGAAGAAACACGCCACAGAACACTTGAAATCGAAATATGTTGACCGGAAGTCAAACGGCGAGAATTCACGCGACCGGAATAAAACACCCGGCGACAGTCGCAAATGTCGGAACTGTGGCAAAGGATATCCACATCCGAGCTGTATGTAGATCCAAAAAGTATAGTAAGCGAAACGAACCTAGGCATCAGAAACGTGATATTCAACCCATAGTTGACGAAGACGCCAGTTCAGAAGAATCGGATGATATTGGTTATGCATTTTCTCTCATTGGCTCTGGTAAAGAACAATTGCAACCCATGTTCAAAGTTAGCATTCAAGACACTCCAATGACAATCATGGCTGATTCTGGTGCAAGTGTAAATGTGTTGGATGAGAAAGATTATTGAGCGTTATCAACCCCCTCTGAGCTTCAGAAAACAACAGTAAAAATATATCCTTACAAGTCAAGTGAATCTCTTACAGTCTTATCGAAGAGTACTGTTTCACGTACGCCAGCAGCTGGAGAAACAGCTCAAATGTGACGAGGAACTTGGAGTTGTTGAACGAATCGAAGGCCCTACACCGTTTGTATCGCCTATCGTGGTGGCACCTAAACCAAAGTCCCCTGGACAAGTCCGCGTTTGTGTAGATATGCGCCAGGCGAATCAAGCCATTAAGCGGGAACGTCATGTGACACCTACCATCAAGGAGATCATGGAGACTTGAACGCAGCCAAAATATTCCGCAAACTGGATCTCAACCAAGGCTACAATCAACTCGAGTTGGCGCCTGAATCACGATACATCACTACGTTTGAAACACACCTGGGCTTGATGCGATACAGGAGTTTAATTTTGGCATTTCGAGTGCGGCTGAAATCTTTCAAAACGTGATCCGAGAAACTCTCGAAGGCATCCCCGGGGCGTTCAATATTAGCGATGACATCTTGGTCTTTGGCAAGACACAGAGTGACCATGATCACAGCCTTGAGGCAGTCTTTCAGCGGCTCAAAGAACGTGCGTGTGAATTCGGCAAAACCAAAGTCGAGTTCTTTGGCTACGACCGTATCAGATCACAGTCCACTACCGGAAAGGCGAAGGGAACCCGGCCGATTACCTATCACGCCATCCCTCGAAACATTCCACTGCTGTCAGCCGAGAAGAAAAGATCGCCGAAGGGTACGTCAATTATATCGCCATAACTTCAACGCCAAACGCGCTAACAGTTCAAGAGATTGAAGAGGCTACCGAAACCGATGCAACACTACAAGCAATAATGACGGCGATAAGAACAAACAACTGGCACGAAGGATCAAAGCAACCTGGCATAGATACAGCAGATTTTGCAGCATGGCAGAAAGTAAAGGACGAACTGACGGCAAGCGTGAATTTTCAGGTTATCCTTCATGGAACAAGAATAGCTATACCCAAGAAGCTACAAGACCACGTAATCAACTTAGCCCACGAAGGTCTTTAGGGAGTGGTCAAAACGAAATCATTGCTACGCGAAAATGGTGGAGAAGAAAGTCCGGTCATGTAGCCCGTGCTTGGTCTCAACACCTGAGTCCAAACGTGAACCGCTCCTGATGTCTCCGCTTCCAAAAGCTCCCTGGTCAGAAGTCAGCATGGACTTTGCCGAGCTTCCAACCAAAGAATACCTTCTGATAATTACGGATGATTACTCCAGATACCCCGTTGTCGAAACTGTCAAGTCTACTTCAGCAAGTACGGTTATTCCAATGGTAGACAAAGTATTCTCTGAATTTGGCATACCAGACGTGGTCAAGACGGACAACGGACCGCAATTCAACAGCAGTGCATTTCAATCTTTTGCACGGACCCTCGGTTTTAAACACCGGAAGGTAACCCCTCGATGGCCAAGAGCGAATGGCGAGGTCGAACTATTCGTACGAACGGTCAAGAAAGTAATCAAGACTGCGAATGTCGAGCGCAAGAATTGGAAACAAGAAATGTACGGAGTTTAAAGCAAGCCAACTAGAGTCAACAATACGAGAAAATGATCGTAAAGCAAAATCGAAGATGAAGAAATACGCCGACGCCAAAGCGTATGTTCAACCGTCCACAATTGAGAAAGGTGACACAGTGTTCGTCAAACGCGACGATTCAGAGAGAAAGCGAGATACTCCTTACCGACTCGAGCCGTACGTCGTTATTTCAAAGAATGGTTCGATGGTGACAGCAAGCAATAGAAACGGAACAGTTACCCGCAACTCATCGTACTTTAAGAAAGCACCGACCCAAGATCACGATGAAGAGTCAAGTGATGACGAGGATTTCGCTGATCCAGTGTGTCAACCTGAGGTATCTGAGTTTGAAGCTCCCGAGGTACATCGCTACCCCCGACGAGCGCGAAGGCATCGTGAAACGGAGGACAATTCGAACAGTCATTGAACTTGATAGAAACTATATATATAACTTCTAAGACATTTATTCAGAGCGTTGTGTTAGATTTGAACTCATACTTATTTTGAACTTTTAGCGTACTCTAGCGTCGGAACGTTTAAGTCCTGAGCTTTGAGCTTCGTCTCTTTGCATTTTCTAATTTGGGGAGGGATGTAGTGTATTGATATTATACGTAGTTAGGTCACGTGGTTAATCTAGTAACCCGGATGACCACGAGGGATTTGGGGTCTTTGGAGAACGAGCTGACTAGGCGTGTAGTATGTAAAATATGTACTAAATAAAGACTAAGGAAAACCTCTACAGAACCCTAACACTTTTTTATTTTAATGTTGAATAAAAATATAACAAACCGCCTTCTTCTGCACAGGATTGCCGACTGCCGATTCATGACAATATAGACAATCTCGATTTGTAGTAATTAGCCTGATTTGTCCAAAAACGCAGACCCTACCAAATGCACTGCTACAAACTACACCCACACCCCATAGCAGTCCAGTAATTAGAACTTATTAGTGTATTTTAATCGTTTTTAAGAATCTCCTTAGATTCCCCGAATTTTTCTAGATTTCCTGAATTTTCCTTTATCCTGATTTTGTCCTTTTTGGCAGTAAATTTTCCTGCAAACAGGAATTTTCCTACATTGTGGAAACACTGCACGGCTAAAATTGGCACTCGAAGTCTCGAATCCAATTTTATTAGTGCTCAGGCTACGAATACACAGGCCGAGCACGGATGAAACATTCTACAACGTTTACACACGATGATTAGATAACTAGTTGTAAACCATTTGGATCCATAAAGAATATAATTGTTTTACACTCTGAGTAAAATTTCTCTTTCTCTTCTAAAGTCGAACCACAACTATTCCCAACGATACTCACTAAACTTCACCACTGCCACGGCTGGTTGTTCTTAACGTTTAAAATGGAAATTGATATGAAGCAAGAATCAAGTGGAAGTACAAGTGTCCGCGAATATGGTTCAAAACATCTTCAAGACGATGAAATAACTTCTCAGAGTCCAATGCAGTCTTCATCATTCGCAATTGTGAAGTTTTTGGTTAAATATTGTGGTGCTGACTTAAGTTGTAAAGATGAGTTGGGCAATACTGCTTTACATCATGCTGTTGATGTTGGTGAAACAGACGTGGTCAAATATTTTGTTGAACAGTGTGGTGCTGATGTAAATGCCAAGGATAAATTAAAGTGGACAGCGCTCAACTATGCTGTTTTTAAAGGTACGCCGGAAATGGTGAAATATCTTGTTGAACATGGCGCTGATATAAATGGCAAGGATACATACAGATGGACAGTGCTTCACCATGCTGTTACTAAATGTACCCTAGAAATAGTGAAATATCTTGTTGAACACGGCGCTGATATAAATGGCAAGGGACCATACGGATGGACAGTGCTTCGCCATGCTCTTACTAATTGTACCCTAGAAATAGTGAAATATCTTGTTGAACATGGCGCTGATATAAATGGCAAGAGTACTGACGGTTGCACAGTGCTTCACTATGCTGTTAACAAAGGTGAGGTAGAAATGGTAAAATATCTTGTTGAACATGGCGCTGATGTAAATGGCAAGGGTACTAACGGGTTGACAGTGCTTCACTATGCTGTTAACAAAGGTGAGGTAGAAATAGTGAAATATCTTGTTGAACATGGCGCTGATGTAAATGGCAAGGGTACTAACGGGTGGACAGTGCTTCACTATGCTGCTAATAATGGTGAGGTAGAAATAGTAAAATATCTTGTTGAACATGGCGCTGACGTAAATGGCAAGAATAAATACGGATTGACAGTGCTTCACGATGCTGTTTCTAAAGGTACGCTAAAAATAGTGAAATATCTTAATAGATTAGAAATTGTCAAGTATTTAGTTGAAAAGGGTGCTGACGTGACTCTTCACACTCTTGGCATTGACATCCTGAAGATGGCTGTTGAGAAAAATTCAGTTGCTTTGGTCAATCTTCTGTTGGAAAAGAACATTGCTGTGTGGAGAGTTGGAACATTTCTTGTTGAAGGAAGACAAATGAGTCTTCTTGAATTGAGTATTCATCTTGGTCATGATGAAATTGCAACTATCCTCAAAAGGTCCGTAAATCATCGTGAGAAAATTCAGATGTTGAAAACAATGAATTGCAACCAGTTAAAAGAGGTAATGTTTCAAACATACATGAGATATTTTAAAACCGAGCCGTACAAGCTATACTTGATAATTCGAAATATGTCTTTCTGCAGGGAAGTAGGAACCCGGGAAGGGGGGGGGGCAGGGGGCACGTGCGACCCCAAAATTTTTCAAGGGACAAAAAGTGCTCTTTTTAATAACCAAAAGTGCCCCTGGAAGCTGGTACCCCCCTAATCTCTGGATGCTTCGTACGCCGCCGTCTATCTGCTAAAATATCATGCAAACGGCCACATCATGCATGGCGGACTTTCTGTCAAGCTATCTCGGAATAGGGTGCCCATGGCAACGACTTCGTATGAAAAACGCCTTAGTAACTGAGCTTTGACTATTTGCCTTCACTGATAACAATGCTCAAATCGTTTTTGCTCCTAACTTTTCACACAAGATAATTTGTGCTTTTTCGTCCACAGACTAAAACACGCATGCAGGCTTTTGTCGCAAAGAATCAATTCAAAATTGGTGCTGGTGGTTTTTCTTGTGTCTATGTTGGTCTCATGAAGGATGGTAGTGAAGTTGCTGTTAAGAGAATTTTGGTACAAAGTGAGGATGAAACAGTTGAAAACGAAAAGGAAATCATGAGTCTCATTGAAACAAACTCTCCATTTGTAGTGAAATATCGACATTTTCACCGCGACGATACCTTCATGTATCTTATTGTTGATCTTTGCGAAGAAACCTTGAGGGAACTTGTTCAATCATGCAGAACTGAACATTTACAAAGGCAAGGTCCACGAATGATTAGGGAAATTTTATCCGGACTTGAATTTCTTCATGGTAAAGGAATATTGCACAGAGATCTAAAACCATCAAACGTTCTGGTTGATATCGAAGGTCGCATGAAATTGGCAGACTTTGGAATAAGCCGCGTTGTTAATGAAGATGAAACGACAGTTGAAACAGATGCAAAAGGCACTCGTGGATGGATGCCACCGGAAATAATTGAAGCAATAGTTAAAAAAGAAAAAAGTCGTTTTAAAAGAAAATCAGACCTCCATGTCGTGGGTATGATTGCTTTCTTCATCTTAACTAAAGGTGAACATCCTTTTGGATCTGAATTAGATCGAATGAAAAATATTTTAGAAGATAATCGTGTCAATTTGGAGAAACTTGGTGATCGCGAAGCTCGTAGGTTTGTGTCGTGGCTGATTAATCACAAGATTGATGATAGACCTTACGCTCACGAAGCATTGGGGGATTCCTTATTTAGCAACACCACAACGAACACAGCGAACAATTAAACAACCAACCTCAACGTTTGTTTGAAATGATGAATGAGGATTAATAAAGGGGGAATTTGGAGCGACACAAGGGCGACAGAACATAGCTAATTTCAAAATAATTATCACAATAGTATAGTAGAGGGGGACAACCCAAGTTTGTCCTTCAAGGGGAACTTTTGAGCGACAAAAATTGGACACAAGGGCGACAGAACCAGTCGCATCGGGCGACAACAAAGCAATGCTGAACGCGACCGCCGTGGATTTGCATTTCGTAGACGGTCGGTAGCAACTTTGATGTTCGGTAGCATCATTTACCGCTTCGGAAGTCGCCGTGCACTTCGCGACACTTTCCGAATAAAAAAATCGACAAGAAGGTATTTTAATTATTTGCGAATTTGCTCTATCGACGTGATTCTCAATCCTATTTCAATCATCCTGATAATAGTTTAGCAGAATGTGCTGTAGTTCTTATTAATAAATTGAATTTAGCTCCAGTTAGAATAAATATATATATTTCTTACCCTTAAAATATCCTTAACACAACGTGTGGTTGGTTCAGGTAGAACCTCAATATTGCAGTCTGCAATATATTATTGTGCACTGTTTGAAAGAAAGATTTCATAACTGAGAGGCTGCTCACATGAGCCAGATTACCAAGATGACTTTAAAAAAGCTGTTTGGACAATCGCGAACTAACTAGGTTAACTAGCCATTTGTCATAACGTCTTTAAAATTATAGTATTATATTTGTTCGTTGCGAGAACGATTTTGCTAGGGACTAACTGTAAATAGTCCCAGATTTAATTGGCGCTGTATCGCCTGCGACATGACTTATGCTGTATGGAAGGTGTTAAGATAGAGCTAGAAGCAGTAGAGACTCGATGATTGTTTTTATTTACACTTCTTTTGCTTACGAAGAGTAAAAAATATATAATTGAAGTACGTAGAAGCTTTGTGGTGTTATAAATGCTCCAGGTCTCTGGCTCCAGGTTTAATCTGTAACTCGAGCTGCAAAGCGGAAATTGGATCTTACTGGTTTATTGACTGTTGTGAAATACCACAGACGATAGTTGATTTTGATGACAAAGATTTTTATTCGATATATTTGTTTCATTTTCAATGCTGTATCGACGCTCTTTATTATGATGTAGAACATAAACCATTGAACTGATTGAAGGTGGGTAAGTAGATTATATTCTTAGTAATTTGCTTCAGCACTGCAGAAATCAGAAGCGACTAGAAATTATGTTATGGTTGAGTCGCATATTTGTGCAATGCATTGTGTGTCACATTATTAAATTACCAAACTAACTACAAGAATTCTACATCAGCGAGTTAAGAAGTGTTCATGTCAACCTCAGAGGGGTTACCTCAAATGGGGGTATTTTGTTGAGGTAAAGTTTTACATGATTCCATTTTGGTAGAACCAATTCACTTGTGATGTATGGAATGTAGTCTGTTATTAATAAAGCAGTACATTAGTTTTATTTGATTCCCTGTCCATATATACATTGCAAGTCAACAAACTATAAAACATCCATCAGAAGTGAATTGGATCCGACGAGATTGGATCGTGTGAACAGACCTTTAAAGTTCCAGCATTTCAGGGAATTACAAATAACAATATATTTCATTTAATGCTGGGTTCTTAAAGCACAAGTAATCGCAGACTATAGTCAAATACAAAAGAACTGGTCTGACCGTTTTTGACGTGCAAAGAAAAACGGTCCTTAAAGACCCAAACCTTGCTAGAAACGAATGTAAAAAGTGAGCCCTGTATTCAGGGACGAAAATCTATTCGTTGTGAGTCTGAACATTTGATTTCGTTCTAAGCCAATGAATGTGTTTGCTTAGATTTTTCCTCTTGACGAATAAAAATGCTGAAATACGACTGACAATTTTAGGGAGAATATTGTCGTCTTCTCATGTATTTGTAGAGAGCCGTCGTTAGAAGTTCAAATAGCGTGTTGATTCATAAATCTATGACTTTGTTTATATAGAGTTAAGTAATCGCTGATCAAAGAAATCAGTCAGGCATAGCACGAATGAATATACACCTTCTAATTGCACTATTATAATTGCACTATTTATTTTTCACTTCCACGGGTGCTTCTTTGCTAAGCTAAGCCACTGATGTATAAAAATGCCTGTAGTGTGTCGTCTGAACAATCAGCCACAAGTAACGTTTAGCTCAACTGATAGATCTCGTGTGCTTCAGCTATAAAGCCTCTTTGCAAGCGAATAGTAAAATTTTGCTGAAAGTCGAACAACAACTAATCCCAACGAAACTCACTAGGTTTAACCACTGCTCATGTTGTTCACCTTTGAAACAATAGAAAAATGAAATTCTTAACCGCTCAAGGGCCCCTTCGAAATGATATTGTCTCATTTTTACGTTCTTAACGTTTGTAATAGAAATTTCCATGGAGCACAAAGCAAGTGGAAGTACAAGTGTCTGCGAATATGGTTCGAAACATTTTCGAGACGATGAAATAACTTCTCAGAGTCCAATGCAGTCTACATCATTAACAATTGTGAAGTTTTTGGTTGAATATTGTGCTGCTGACTTAAGTTGTAAAGATGAGTTGGGCAGAACTGCTTTACATCATGCTGTTCATGTTGGTGAAAAAGACATTATGAAATATTTTGTTGAACAATGTGGCGCTGATGTAAATGACAAGGATAAAAGAGGGAGGACAGCGCTGAACTATGCTGTTACTAAAGGTGCTCTAGAAATGGTAAAATATATTGTTGAACATGGCGCTGATGTAAATGACAAGGATAAAAGAGGGTGGACAGCGCTGAACGATGCTGTTACTATAGGTGCTCTAGAAATGGTAAAATATCTTGTTGAACATGGCGCTGATGTTAATGACAAGGATACATACGGATGGACAGTGCTTCACTATGCTCTTATTAAAGGTACGGTAGAAATAGTGAAATATCTTGTTGAACATGGCGCTGATGTAAATGGCAAGGATACATACGGATGGACAGTGCTTCGCTATGCTGTTACTAAAGGTACGCTAGAAATTGTGAAATATCTTGTTGAAAAGGGCGCTGATGTAAATAGCAAGGATACTTACGGGCGGACAGTGCTGCAAACTGCTGTTAAAAAAGGTTCGCTAGAAATAGTTAAATATCTCGTTGAACATGCTGCTGATGTAAATGGAAAGGATAATCACGGGTCAACGGTGTTGCACTATGCTGTTACTAAAGGTTTACTAGAAATAGTAAAATATCTTGTTGAACACGGCGCTGATGTGAATGGCAAGAATACTGACGGAATGACAGTGCTGCACACTGCTGTTACTCAAGGTAGGCTAGAAATAGTAAAATGTCTTGTTAAACATGGTGCTGACGTAACTCTTAGAAGTGAACGTAGCGTTCACACTCTTGGCAATGACATCCTGAAGATGGCTGTTGTAAAAAATTCAGTTGCTTTGGTCAATCTTCTGCTGGAAAAGAACATCGCTGTGTGGAGAGCTGGAACATTGTTTGTTGAAGGAAGACAAATGAGTCTTCTTGAATGGAGTATTTACCTTGGTCATGATGAAATTACAACTATCCTCAAAAGGTCCGTAAATCATCGTGAGAAGATTCAGATGTTGAAAACAATGAATTGCAACAAGTTAGAAGAGGTGAATATTTTTTTAAATATATAAAATCTTGTTTCAGTGAGTTTAGGCAATAACCAAGGTTAATAGGAAGTTTACGATCCACTACGTGGTAGCTTGACAACGCGCATTTGGATTCTTCCCGGTTTAACCAGGCTCGTGTGATGTGTGAATACTGTTACAGATTTATTCCTTCATTTATTTAAACACTCGAATGCCTTTTGTTGTGTTTTTCTTCTCCGCACAGAAAATCCATTCTTTTTTAATTATAATTTTCTCCCCATAGACTGAAACACCAATGCAGGCTTTTGTCGCAAAGAATCAATTCAAAATTGGCGATGGTGGTTTTTCTTGTGTCTATGTTGGTCTCATGAAGGATGGAAGTGAAGTTGCTGTTAAGAGAATTTTGGTACAAAGTGAGGATGAAACAGTTGAAAATGAAAAGGAAATCATGAGTCTCATTGAAACAAACTCTCCATTTATAGTGAAATATCGACATTTTCACCGTGACGATACCTTCATGTATCTTATTGTTGATCTTTGCGAAGAAACCTTGAGGGAACTTGTTCGTGCATGCAGTATTGAACATCTACAAGAGCATGGTCCACGAATGATTAGGGAAATTCTATCAGGACTTGAATTTCTTCATTGTAAAGGAATATTGCACAGAGATCTAAAACCATCAAACGTCCTGGTTGATATCGAAGGTCGCATGAAATTGGCAGACTTTGGAATAAGCCGCGTTCTAAATGAAGATGAAACGACAGTTGCAACGGATGCTAAAGGTACTCGCGGATGGATGCCACCGGAAGTAATTGAGGCAATAGTTAAGAAAGAAAAGGGTCGTTTCAAAAAAAAATCAGATGTCCATGTCGCGGGTATGATTGCTTTTTACGTGTTAAGCAAAGGTGAACATCCTTTTGGATCTGAATTAGATCGAATGAAAAATATTTTAGAAGATAATCCTGTCAATCTGGAGAAACTTGGTGACCGCGAAGCTCGTAGGTTTGTATCGTGGATGATAAATTACAAGATTGATGATAGACCTGATGCTGACGAAGCATTGAGAGATTCCTTATTTATCAACACCACAAGGAACACAGCGAACAATTAGACCATCAACCACGACGTTTGTTTTAGATTATGAATCCTTCTTAGCCCAACTTTGTCCATGAAGGACGACAAAAATTCGAGTGCGACAGAACTTGTAGTATCTGGTGACATTGTAGAGCAATGCTGAACGCGACCGCCGTGGATTTGTATTTCGTAGAACGTCGGCAGCAACTTTGATGGTCGGTAGCATCATTTACAGCTTCGGAAGTCGCCGTGTATTTCGCGGCACTTTCCGAATCCTTTTGTCAAAAATCGATAACACGTTGAATACTGTTGTTTAATGTATTTTAATAATTTGCGAGGATGTTTTATCGAGGTGATTCTTAATCCTATGCCAATCAGGGTGACAATAGTTTAGCAGAATGCGCTGTAGTTCTTATTAATAAATTGAAATTAGCTCCAGTTAGAATAAATATATATATTTCTTACACTTAAAATAGTCTTGTTATAAAGGAGTTATTTTCCGTAGCGAAAAATAAGTTTATTGCCTGCGTGTATCATTATTAGTTTATTTGTATATAACGCTATAGCTATAAAGGGTAGCGCACACGTAGAGCAATGGAGGGAAACTCATTTGTAAACTGGCGTATCTATAGATTTAAGTACAGGCAAACTTTGTTACGTTTTGGAGAACGTGCTCTCCTGATTTATTCGTAGCGGAATGAGAAAGTTCAAGGCTACTTGCATTTTGCTACAGTTAAGTAATATTCCCCTCACGTGCATTGAGCATGTTTCACGTGCACAGTCAGCATACCTATATAAAGCGATCCAAAAGGTTCAAGGTCATTTTATATTTGATTTCGTCGAAGCAATTTCGGAGGTTTTTACCTGACCCTCTCACCCTTTCTCTAGGTTGTGAGCTACGATAATTTCTGTGTAATTATGCTGGTGTGGGCGTTTTTTATCACCCCACCTTTTCTGTGCTGTACTAAAATACGAACATTTTAACAATTAGCTATAATTTGTTTAATTAAGGCGGCATGTGCTCTGGCACATTGCGATTATTTTATCCAAAAAGTGTCATCATTGTTCATTGCAGTTGCATGCCTTTAATTTGCTCAGAAAACAGAGCTCACCAGTCTCGGAAACCGCCGGCACCTCCTATAAGGTTTGTAGTTGAAACGGAAGCGATAAAGCCTTTTTACACAAAGTGGTTGCTTCAGGTGCAATCACCTGTGGTTGCTTCAGGTGCAATCCAATTATTATACTCTTGATTTATTAATAAATACGATTTTCATAAAAAAGTGCCATTTTTAAAGAAAAAAAACTATTATCTACAAACCTTAGTCCAGTTGCATAGAGAAGACAGGGGGGTGTGAAAATCACCCTGGTGCACGAAGCAAAAGATATGGTACAACTTAATGATCTTAAAATGCTGTTTGTTAAAAGTTTTTAATCCGAAACAATTTCTCGCTAAACTCAGGATGCGGGGCACCACGTCAGTGCACCCCCTCCTCCCAAAGAGGTATACCCCCAGACAACCGCCCCCTCAGTTAACGCGTTCACACCGAACCGGTCGTAATATTGTCCCTGCACCACTGTCGGCGATCATGCGAACTAAAAAGATCGTATCTTTAGTCACTTTGATAGGACAAATACCACGTGCAAACTACAGGAGGTATATTTGAGTCAATTTCTCAGAACAATTCATATTCTATATTCATTGGGCTTTTTTCCTCAGAGGGGGTAAATATCGAACAAGACTGAGTCAGTACAAACCAGCCTAGCATAGCAAGGTCTGTACTATACAGGAATGATTCTCTCGTGGCTGAAATTTCCCTGGATAATCTACACACATATTGTGATCTCTATGTCATAGATACTGTATATCATTGACATATCTTGCACTTACAAACCCTTGCACGACGCACACGAGCAGTGCCAGAGAGAGACATGCAGAGACAAACCAGCCTGAGAACTAGTTTCATTTAACTTAGCATGTCATGTATGATAACAAACACTGACGACACTTGAAGATTAGCATTGCTTAATATTGATCATAGTTATTGTAGTGGGATAACTATGCATTGATTTACCGATAAAGATTTGAATTGTTTCATTCTCGAAGCTCTATCGACGAAATCGACGCTTTTTATTATGATGTAGAAAATAAACCATTGAAGGTACGTGGGTAAGTAAATAGTTATAATCACATTACACTGCGGCGCTGACTGCAGAACTCAGAAGCGACTAGAAATCATGTTATTATGATCGAGACGAGTAGCATTTGTGCGAATGTGTACCACATTCCTGTGTGATTGCCGCACTACAAAAGTTTTATATCAGTGAGTCAAGCAGCGTTCATGTTAACCTCAGAAACCTATTTTGGATTTGAAGTAGAAGTATTTTGTTAAAGTAAAGTCTGTTCTAAACTTCACACGATCCCGTTTTGGTGAATCTAAATAATCTAGTTAACTTCTGGCGTATGCCAACTGCACACGAGAAGTACATTTCTCTACAAGAATAATATATTCGTTGCAATATTTAGAGCATAGGTGGCAGACTATATAGTGTAAGGTTTAGCCCAGCTGTCTTGGCGTGCTTATAGTTGCGATGAAAATTCTTATGTTTCGTACTTTCGTTTTATATTCAAAGCATGTCGTCATTATCCGACCGCATTGCATGCACGTACAAGTGAAAGAATGTATATATAAGAGCTAAAACCTTGCTAGAGATGAACGAGGAAGTCAGTCTTGTAGTCAAGATTGACTGATATGCGTCTGACACTTCGATTTCGTTTAAAGAAGAATAGCAATGTATTTTTTTTCAATCTTAAGATAAAGCTTGTCATATAAATTATTAAAAAATAGTAAAAGTTTAGTCTGTAGGCATTTACATCCGCAGAAAATAACATTTGTTTGCACCCAAATATTGCGCTTCGCCCGCCATCTTGAAATGTGTCGCATTTGCTAACTTATGCATATTTTGATACTTGTGACGTCACACAAGTATCAAAATATCTCCTCACACCTTTTGCGCAATCACTGACCTCATGGTCCTTTCAAGTCATGCTCGATTGCCCGATGGATTAAAGCTGTTTTAAAAGGCGCTGGCATTGACAAGAACATACTCAAGGGGCATTCTACAAGGGCTGCGTCTTTATCCAAAGCTAGGTTGGTAGGAGTCCCTCTTGAGAAAGTCATAAAAATGGCGAATTGGTCAGGAACTTTCACCGTTACACGGTTTTATTATCGGCCTACGTTCAACGACGTGTATGCTAGGTCCGCTCTCTCTCTATTAACTGCGTAGTTTCGCAATGACTTTGGTAGTTCCTGCTTCCCTGTTGCTTTAAACTAGCATTGTTATAATGAAACTTCTGTATTCCAAATATAATTTAGGATTTTGCTAGGGCGCGCAGTAAAGTCAAGATTATATGAGAACACAGAAGTGATGATAACAATTCCAAAGGACAAACACCACATACAAACTCTACAGATGGTATTTGGAGTCCATTTCTCAGAACAATTCATATTGTATATTCATGGGGCATTTTTCCTCAGAGGGGGTAAATACCGAACCAGTCAGAGTCAGTACAAACCAGCCTAGCATAGAAAGGTCTTTGCTTTACAGAAATAATTTTCTCGTGTCTGAAATTTTCGTGGATATTCTAAACACATAGTGATCTCTATGTCATAGATACTGTATATCATTGATATATCTTGCACATGCAGAGACAAACCAGCCTAGCATAGCAAGATCTATACTATACAGGAATAATTCTCATGTCCAAAATTTCTGAAGATATTCTGTCCAAACAGTCATTTAGGTCATAGACATATTCATGACATATCTTGCACTTATTTAAACTGTTGGTCAGTTCTACCGGCCTCACGACGCAAACTAGCGAGTTTCAGATTTGACTACCACAACCGCAACCTCTCCCTAATCTATTAAGCTCGTGATTGGTTAGTCTGATAGACCTATCCCATTTGATTGGTTTATATTACCTTAATGGTTGTGGTAGTCGTAGTGGTAGTCAAATTTGAACCTCGCTATTAACACTTGTAACACAGACGAAGAAGAAGAAGAAGATCCGACATTACCTTGTTCTTTCGTGAATATCTTCAACCTTTTGCATGAAGCTTTCAATCTTGGATTCCAGTCTCGACTCCATTTAGATGTAACCATTATCTCGTTTCTATAACAAGGAAATTAAAGAGGGAATATATGTGAATATTTGAGAGACATTTTGTTTCAAAGCAAGAATGTATTTATAATAACTTGTAGGTACACCACGTAAGTATTAAATACTGCAAAGCTTTCGGTCCGTTAACCCGGACCTTCATCAGTGCAATTACTTGAATACACGTTTGCGCGTCACTTAAATATCATGTTAGTCGTGATTAGTTTGCTCGCGCTATTAATTAAACGGTTTCATTTAATTAAGTTCTAACTAATGCGCGCGCCCTAGACAAGTATTTGACTAAGAGACACCGAAAAGAGCACGCCACGTACTATTAAGTGGCTTTCCCTCTTGGACGATAGTTTGATGTTTATAAATTTCAATAGATTCTCTCATTTTACGAGAGACAGTAAACTTATCGTTTGCTAAAATGGTAGCATCGTTCCATTTAATGCGATGATCATAAGTCCATGCATGGTGAGCTACTGCAGACTTATCCAGTTTACCTTTCTCGCAGTTCGTCTTATGTTCTTTAAGACGTATTGAGAGATTTCTACCGGTCTCTCCAATGTAAACCAAACCACATTCACATGGAATGCGGTACACACCAGGTTTCTGTTGTTCATCGACGCCATCCTTGTGTGTGTAAAGAGCGCGAAACAATTTGTTATTGCTAGAATGGTAAACTTGTATTCCAACTTCTTTTAAAATCCTAACGATTTTATATGAAGCTGGGCCAATATATGGTAAACAGACAGAGGATAGATATTCCGTGTCTTGCCTCTGTCTTTGCTGTTCATTCATAGCATGTTCTATGAATTTCTTAGGATAACCATTCATGTGCAGAACATCCTTCAAATGCTTTAACTCTGAGTCAATGCTATTTGAATCACAAATTGTTTTGGCACGGTTGATTAATGTTTTGCATACTGATCTTTTAATGCTAGGATGGTGAAATGAACTATAATTCAGATATCTGTCAGTGTGTGTTGGTTTTCTATAAACTTTATGGCCCAAAGTCCCGTTCTCTTTTACATCAAAATAAGATATCTAAGAAAGATATAGAGTTATCTTTCTGTATTTCTAATGTGAATTTAATTGAAGGGTGTATACTATTAATGTGATCTAAAAATTTATTCAAATTTTCTAAACCATGCGACCAACTACTTAATGTGTCATCTACATATCTAAACCAGAAACCAGGTTTTAAACATGCTGTAGCTATAGCTTTCTTTTCAAATTCTTCCATGAATAAATTAGCCATAA